AGGTACCTTAAAGGCTAAAAATGAATGTTATGAAATATTGACATTTTTAATGAAAAATAAATAATACTATAATTGAAAATATGTACATTTTTTTGTTAGAGTATGAAAGTGTACAAACTTAACCCCCTCCAAAAAAAAAAAAAAATAAAAATATATATTTTTTTGTAAACGCACCTTATTATATTATTCCGTTTTCAATAAAGACATAAATAGCCAACCGCAAAATTAATAGCACTTTTTTTTTCTAGCAAATTCATTGACACTCGAAAGTAAAAATCCGGAGAGTATACGGCGTATTTCGGAGTAAACAACCCGAGGATGCCGGCGGATAAATTTTTATATGACAAAATATGTTTGTGTATCGTTTTTTCGCAGTGACTCGATATTTTGGGGATATCCCGAGTGCGTCCCGTTTTTAATTTTTACCTTTTTCATAACCCAAGTGGGTCCACGGTCTTACCGACAAGTTATTTTGAACTCTTCGCAGTCGTATCGATGCAGCAGTAAGTTTATACCTATTTAAAAACTGATAGAATTTTATAATAATTGATAAGCTGATCGGTAAGGAAACAACATTTTATGTTGATAATAAAACTCAATAAGACTATGGAGTACGGCTAGTAGTCGTGTAGTAACTAAGCTAGTGCACGAGTATAGTGCCGTAATTTTTCCCGTAACCTGATATTGAATTAGTGTCGTAATATTTTCAAAGTTTTCAAAAAAATGTAAAAATTGTTATGTTTTCATTGCAAAAAATTTTAAATACCGTAAGTACTCTAAAGACTATGACGTATTTTGTATCTATTTTACAACGCTCAAACAACCTAAATGTGTGATGTTATCAATAATAGATAATAAAATGACCTAATATTTTTCGGTTAAGTTAGGTTTAAGTCAGTTCACCAGGTCGTGGTGCACCCTGGGCAACTCAAAATGAACTAGGACGCGTTCGGACTACGTCGAAAAAAATGATCTGTTTTTATTGAGACGCACTCGGGGTGTGAACCTAAGTCATCCGGACGCACTCGGACAACCCCGGAAATTTTCATTTATTTGTTGTAAGCGAAATACTGTTACCCCCCCCCCCCCCTCCTTAACGTATTGATTTATCATAAACGATTTCCACGGTATCTCAGACGGAAAATTCGTTAAAAAATTATATAATATTACGCGTTATAGCGAACGGTGATAATATTTATTATCATTTGTTATGTTTGTTCAGTGGTGGCGGTGGTGGTGGTAGTGGTGGTGTGATGTTGCCGCAGGTGCGGACCGCAAACAATCCGCTCGTTAATTTCGACAATCGTCAATGTCTATATTATTATTACACAAGATGTCTAATAAAGTTTGTGCCGTCCGGGTAAAACACAGTCGCCGGAATGCGTTATTGTGACGGGTACCCGTGACGTGATATCGCGTCAGGGACTCGTCGATCACCGAAACTTATTGTGTTTTTTTAGCGCGTACCTATACCGCCGCGGCCGCGGCATTAGGTACCGCGATTTACGCGCGTGATTGACAACTCCTCCGCCGGGACGTCGACCGTACCCGTACCTACTTACCTATTCGGCTAATTGGATTATTATTATTATTATATTGTTACACGCGTTGTCTTTGACGGGAATCGCTGCGCCGCGGTTTTGAAAAACAGCCATACCGCACGATACAGTATTGCCGAATCGGTCGCACAGTAATAATGACGGGGGGGAACGAAAAAAACGGGGGAAAAAAAAAAATTGCAATAATAATAATAATAACCGACGGGGAAAAGAGAATTAATGTACCCGCGGGGAGGAATGCGGCGACCGCAAAACAATCGTTATTTAGCAACAAGTCAATGCGGACGTATCGTAACGCGGTCACAATGGCCTCCCGCGGGAACATTCGCTTTTGTCTATGCATTATAATAATATATTTTTACACGGGTACACATTCACGCGGACACGATGCACTCGTATTATTATTATTATTATTATTATTACCGTATACGCGCGCACGGCGGCCTTTGCGATTCATCCGACCGTGACGCTCGACGCCGCGGCGGCGACGCGCGTTTCTCGCCGGCGAGTTGTCAATCACCGCGGCGCTCGATGTTATATTATTATTATTATTATACCGTTATATTATTGTATTGGTAGCGCCCGCGAATATAATGCGGCCAGCAGTACGGTAATAATAATAATAATAATAAAACATTGTATCCGGGTGATTGGGATCCGTGTATTACGTACACCCTGTATAACGCGATCGTCCGTGACTGCGCACGTCAAAGAATTAATAGCGGCGAAAATTGTCGCGGCGACGACGTCGTGTCGATATTGAAGTTTTTTTTTTTTTTTTTTTGCTCTCTCTCTACGCGTCCCGACCGTCGTCGTCGATGGGAACGGCAATATAAATAATTTATTCCCGTCCGTTTTTCCGTACGCAAAACCGCGATTTCCGAAACGCCGCGCCGTGTACCGAACGACATTACGCGACGCGGTACAATAATGACGACAATGATCATAACGGGGACGATACGCACACGCGAACCGTTTCTAATCTGCCGATAAAATGTGACGTCGGGTGTACGCCGTGTATTCAAATTCCGTCCGGTCCGCGACGAATTTGTTTTATCGTCCGGCACCGACGACCTCCGAACTCGCGATTCGCACGCGAATTTCGCCGTAGGCAGGCACTGCTTTCCTTCCCTCTCCCCCCACCCCCTTCGTAGTGCGGCGTCCTCCCCTGTATGCATTATAACGGGTAATGTCTTGTCTCGGTCTCGGCGTATTATATTATTACCGTTTATGCAGAACAGTTCTTATTATATGTATTGTTATCGCGTGTATTTAATATTATAATATATTATTATTTTTTTTTTTTTTTGTCATTTCCCCCGTATAAAAACTCGGACAAATCGTTTTCGCGATACCATCTCGTTCGCGCGGGGTTAGTTCCGTTCTTTCCCGGTCGTATAAAACGTTTACCGCCATTTTTTTTTTTTTTTACCCCGGCCGCCTGAAATCACATTTACGACTGTGTGAGAACCCCGGAACACCGCGACCCCGCAAAGTATAGCGGCCAACTATAATACCTACTTTTAGTCATAACTTCATAAAGCACCCGGTACGCACTGGCTCAGGTGGAGCTATAGCCCTATCAGCCAAACCCGCGAGTAAGCCTTATATATGATGCAGGGGCGTCATCTCAGTTTTTCAAAACGCATTCGATTCATTTGAAAACATTTGAATCAGGGCATCGGCCTGATTTTTCTGAATATGTTTTGTTCGCTTCGTTCGCTTTTATTCGTATTCCTGCTTTACGTGTTAATATTTCAATACCTAACTCATTTTACCGTGATTTACTCTACGTGACGTCAGTTTCGACGCGCACTATTATCTTCCTAACACGCCTGTTTATTTAATTGTGATAACAATTAACAGTTGTCGACAATTAACCGTGGCGAAAATTCCCCAATGTCTCACTCTCACATCTCAGACGGTCGAACCCCCGTAGATCCGGCCATTGACGGTTGCGGCGATTAATTTTTGCATTTTACATTCTATGCGGGCAAAATAATGTTTAAAAATATATCTAGTCGAAATCACTTAAATAACGCCCCTTTGGTCTAGATACCTTGATAGGTATGCATACACAATACACATATTATATTATATGGGTATATTATTTTGTTTTAATAACTGTTACATTGGCCTTCTTCACTCCAAATGAGGGCCCAGTAGCCACAAGCCAGTAGGTTTTCTTTGAAGAAATAAGGAAATCAATTTTGAATTATGAAGACATTTATTGCCAACTGTATAATTACAATCATTATTTTGTAAAATACACATAAAGAAACACTTTTAAAAATATTGGGTGTGCGACTAGTGAATAACGAAATGATAATATGTTTATTTATGCAAATTAAGTTTCAAAAGACATTTGGCATGGGAATACAAAAATAAATTACAAAAGTTTAATCTACCCGGTAACAGAAATCCAAGGAAATATATGTGCTGCAGTTAAGTACTTAGGTATGTACATACCCATTTACTCTGGTTAGCTTCCTTTTGTTGAGAAAATTTAATATTTTTTTAAAGAGAAATCTATTAGATACTACAAGAAAGTGCCAATTGTATTATATTCCTCTTTTCATTAAAAAAAACTTAAATTATTATTTCACTGATGGATATTCTGTATGGGTAAGTAGATAGGTGCCTATTTATTTATGCATAGTGTATAATAATTATAATACTAACCTAATTATTAACTGTTTTTAAAAACTATAATTGCCGTAAGTACTTAAATTATTTATCACCTAATCTTTTTAGTTGTGTTTTTGTAATTTTGTAAAAAAGAAAAAACTATGAGGCCCACCAAACTAATATACAGGTAAAAATAAAAACACCTATATACCTACGCATGACCATTATACATATATATATATACTAGGGTGTTCCTTATTATTTTTTTTTAAAATTTGATCGGGCTACCCATGGAATTTGTTTGAAATCATAAAAAAATGAATTGTGTAAAGTTTCGTAGTAATTGTTCAACTCTAAGGCATGCCTCAAAAGGACTGAAGTTCAATGGAGGGTGATTTTATAATTTTAGTCTAAAATAATTAAGATAGGCAAAAAAGTATAGGAATAAAATATTTTTTAAATTAAATACGCCATATAAAATATTACTCGTACTTTTTTATTCATCGCCCCCCCCCCCCAAAAAAAAAAAAAANGCGTACCTATATTTTATATATTATGTTATACATATGTAATTCAAATTAAACACAAATAATATTTAAATAATAATATACATAAATGACATAATTAAATATTTAGTAATATTATTTAATAATTTTTTAGTGTATTTTTTTTAGCGTTGGGATATCTTTGCCGGTAATCATGTATGGTCTGAATTAAAAATTGCTTTTGATTTTCGTTTTTAGTGATTAAATTATTGTAATCGCTCATTAATTATAATATGAGTTGCATCTCTGTCACTTACCTTGCATCTATCTAAAACAGTTTATCGTTGATGAATGCTGTTCTTCCTCGTCTAGTAGTTGAAGGGCCGGCAGAATCTTCACAGCTTTCCACAGTAATAGAGTTTTTGGTATTATCTTGTATGTTTTGGGCTAAATCACAATCATCAGACAAACTTTCTTCTGTATCACTCGAAGAACATAATTCCACAGATTCAACTAAAAGTTAATTCGTAATTTTATATTATTTAAAAGTACTTATTATACGACAAACTATAAAAACACAAAATACGAAATACTTACAGATAGATTTTATTTTGTTTTCATTAAGTTTTCTTTTTTTTTCAGATTCTTCTAATTGTTTAGATCGTTTAAATTCTCTTTTTTGACTTGTCCAATCGACGCCCATCATCGCTCCTGGACGACCTTTTTGTCTCTGAGTAATTAAAAACTGTTTGTCCATGTCAATAGTCATCATATCCAATGCATCTGCATGGGCAATGTCGAATAGTTCGTCAAAACATTGTACAAACTCATTTTCATTTTTAATTTGAGTATTTGTTCTCCGACTTGAATTTTTCTGCAAACTTCGCCATGTATTGTACAACTCTTCCAACATTGGTACACAATTACGAACTTCCCTAGTCGGTATTCGGGCTTTTTTCCAAAATATTAACGTTTCGTCAATCACTAACCGCGCACTTTCACGTAAACTTAACTTGACTTCTCGAATATTAAAAAATAGGACCGATAAAACTTGTTTGTTTGATGGTAACTTGCATCCAACCAGTTGATGAGAACTAGTACCAATTAAATAAACACGTTTACGTATATTGATTTTACTGTCCATTTTTAATATCGGAACGTCTGTTCGTCGATGGTGTGTGGACAATTATAAACTGAGCCGTGACGACAATGTTCGGGGATTAATATAAACAATAAATAATACGTCTAAAACCGAGTGAATAATAAACCTGTAAAGACATGTTTAACATTTGAATACTACGCGTGGTCACAGGACCTAGTCAACGTCGCAAAAACGTGAGTAGGTATCATGTCTGCGCTAGTTTAGGCAGACATGTTAGAACATGTATAGTTAATATTGCGCAGCTTTCCATTTGTATGAAACATGCGTTTTAACCATGTTATTAGTGGACTATTTAATAGCTACTATAAAGTTGTTTACGCAGTTATGTTGTAAATTTTCTTAGTACAAAGTATATTATATTGTACAAGCTATTATCACGTAAAATAAACTGAAAATTAGTTTTTGTTATTTTGTAGGTGAACGAGTTGTTAAATGCAAAATGTACAAATAACATTTTTTGTAGGATAAACAATTTAAAAAATATATTGTTCTTACACTTTTTAGTCTGTCTTAAAAATTTTAGACTAAAATTACAAAAATCTAAAAATCACCATTATTTGAACTTCAACCCTCTTGAGGCACGCCTCAAGGTTTACCGATTATTACGAAACTTTACAAAATACATTTTTTTGTGGGTTTCAACAAATTTCAGTGGTAGCCCAATCAAAAATCGAAAACAAATTTTCTTCATCTATAGTCTAAGGACCACCCTAATATATACATATAATTATTATAAATGTTGTTATTATAATGTGATATAATTATTATATACACTCATAACAGCTACGAAATATAATTTAATTTATTGTAAATTTCAAAACATAGATTAATATAAATTAAATCAATTCAAATTATTATTTAAGTTAAATAATTATGGGTGGGCCACTGTTAAAGGTGAGAAGTTTAGAAGGCAGGATATAGAGGGGAAATTTAATGTGTATCTCTGCGCAACGATTTATCATTGCTAACGAAAAACGATTTGATAAAATTTAATCACGTCTATATAAGACAAATATAAGGTTTCTGTCCAAATTTTAAGCCTACAAACATTTCGAACATATTTAACTGAATTACAACAATAAAACAAAATTGAAAATAATAAAATTATGTTTGTAAATTTTCCTGTTTTTCCAATTTTTTTGAAAACTGCAAGGAAAATCAAAAAATTATCTCTCTTAAGTATCACCAAAGGGAAATTTTCTTTCAGAGAAGGGCCTATACTTGAAAATCAGAGTAAGATTTCTGGTAGAATTTGTATATATAGTATAAAAAAAATAAAATAAAATATTCAATGCATTCCTCGCTTTGCTCAGAATCTAAAATATTAAACAAAATTTGGAAAAAAGGATTTAATATTGATTATTGGTTTGAATTTATATATGGTATTTGATAATATTTATAATACTAATGTATAAGTACTATTATCATTAATCTATTAATGTACTACTTATCTTTGTATATCTATGAGAAATTTTAGTAGTTACCAGCTGGTATTCAAATAAAAATTGTTCATATTTTTTTTTGTGTTTTGAACTCATCATTAAATATAATTGATATATACAAATATATAATGTAGTCATAAACAGATTAAATTATTAAAATTTAAAAATTTAAATGGAGATACCGTGGAGACAATCAAGGGAACCCTCAGAAATGAGGGGGCCAAAGTCAAAAGTATAAGACTTTCTTTTACAACTTACAACTTACAAGTAATCATGGCTTAAATATTTAAGCCATACAAGTAATAAAACAATTATTATTTAATGTTAACTAAAATAGTAGGGAGGACCATGGCCCCCACAGGCACCCTCCTGCGGTGACGGTAACCTGATTATGACTATTGGACTATAAAGTAATATTACCTTTTATTATAGTACCTAATTATCATTTACTATTTATTATATTTATTACAATTAGCCATTATGAAAACAGTCAATATGAGGTTGTTCAAAATATTGTAAACAAACATTATACTTACTAATTTATATTTTAGTTTTTGTTCACACATACCAAGTTAATACTTAAGATATTTCAATAAAATTAACAGTGTCTCTAATAGTATGGATATTAGTAAGATGAGCTATTCTTGTCAGAGATGTGTACAGGAAATTTTGGTGAACCAAATTTGAGGTAAGATCTTACTCTGTGATATATAATGATTAATGTTTTTAAACAAATAGGATTTCTAAAATATTATTTTATTTATGTTTATGAAATTTTGCATCTTATACAATTTACAATTTACAATTATTTATTCTGATTTAATTTAAATCCAAGTCTTTAATAAAATTTATTCTATCGAGAATAGTTATTAATTTGATACTGTGATATGATTGGGTTTTTACTATGAATAAAGCCACTTGTCATATTTTTTATCCAAGACACACAGACGTGGTCTCGGATACGTGCGTCACGGATACAAATTCTAACGTTATAGTATACATTGTCAGAATACACATTTTATAATATTACATTTTAGTATTGAAAATGGATCCAGACGTGGCGAACGTCGTTCTTTCAGTTTGTGGACTTTTGGCTAATGAGTATAAACAATAAATGTTGTCAAGTAAAAAGAAAAAAAAGAAAATATTGGGTTCGGCAATGGGTTTCTAAACAAAATAGAAGACTGAATTGAGTTTTGAAAAAACCTGTGGTCCTAGAAAACTTGTGAGATCCAACTGATCAGAAGTTTTTTATTAAAATTATAAAATTGTGTAAATGTAAAAAATAAATAAATGAGTTTCAGTAGTTACCAGAATATATATTTTTACTGTTTAAAAAGGTATAATATATCATGAGTAGAACTGATTTTAATCATTATACTTAAATTTGTACTACTTTTTTACTATACTAATTTAATACAATAATTTAGAATTTATATAGTGTCAATTAATTAAATTTGTATTATATTAATATTTTGTATATGTATAAAAGTTAATTTATGTAATTTTAATATTTTACTTACTAAATTTGATTTTATTTGACGTTGAGTAGTATGTTTTCTTAAAAAAGAATCTACTATATTAATCCATACTACAATAGGTTTATAAACATAATTCACCGATGTTCCCGATTTCAATGAAACATTCATTTTTTTAGTTTCTTGGCAGTATGTTGAACGAATATTATTGATTATTACTTTTATTTCAGAAACTCCAAAACCTTCAATTCCCATTTCTGCTGCAATTTTTTTCAAAGCAATTTGCCTGCTAGTTTTATTTTTGTAATTTGCTAAACTATTGTTCCGCAAAACTTCTGTCGTCAAGTATATATTTATAAATTTCATGATTGTATCATCAAACAAACTTTTTTTTCAAACATTTTTAATCACAATAATATAATAATATATATTTTATTATTAATTAGACACAATATAATTCTCCTTTTGAAGGACTGAAATGCATAAAAAGCACCTAATGATTTGTAAAATGATACTGCAATTATTTTTGGATGGAATTTACGGACATGGTTATGTATACACAGTTAAAAAATTATCAGTGCCGTGGATTCGAAAAACACAAGGACGTGGTCTTAAATGTAAAATATGATAAGTGAAAACCCGACTTGAAGGAAATTAATTAGTATTTATTGAAATTTAAAGGGAGATTTTGTTCATTCCATAAAATAAACTTATCAAAACTAGATTGTACAATATTTGCACCATTATTAGTTTTAAATTCAAAATACAATTTCACGTCATCAGCAATAATAAAATATTGATAGTGGTATGAGGACCAAACGAATATTTAAAATAAAAATTAGAAATAGTAATTATCAAAGGTGAGAACCCTGAGAAACACCAGAGGTCACTTTTTAGAGTAAAAAATAAAGGTTTTTACAGTTTACTCCAATTTTAAAAGCTTTCAATTTATAATATAATAATGAGTCCTTTACTTTTTAGAAATCAGTTTAAATAGTATCAACTTAATGCCCGCTATCAAAGGATTATGTGAGGATATTTTGGAATAATATCAAATACATTTAACCAGTATAGAATGTTAAGGAAGAAAACCGTGTTGATGAATAATTATGTAATATGTTTGTTTGTTTAGTTAACAATTTAAATAAGCAAACAAAATTTTTATACTTGTTATTCACTATGCCACCATTATATACAGAATTAAAACAATAATTAAACATTTTTAATATATTATACGATTTTCTTTATGGCTCAGAAGAATTATTTTTATTTTTTTACATATTTTTTTTTAATTTAATAAATTATTATTTATAAAAAAAATATTAATACATTAATTATAAAATTAGTACATACTTTGTGTTTCAGTTATAATACTGTCACCATTAATGTAAAATAATACTTAATTTAATAATTGTCTATATATGTGTCCAAAAAGTATAGAAACGAATAAACAAAGAAATGATTTTTAACCTTTAAGACACGAGACATTTAAAATTTGAATAAATAGATGAAATGTGGATCATTACATTTTAATTTTAATATAAATGTAACACAATATAAAATTTAAACTTTTATTTTTATATTAAATAAATTAAATTTTGTCTATACTTTTTAAATATTCATTATACTGTGTAGCATGAGTCAATTGAATTTTTTGTAACTTCTTGGTCAATCCTTTACTTATTTTGTTACCTTGAATATCAACTGTTGGTAATCCCTATATAAAAAAAATAGTTTAAATATAAAATTTGTTAAACTAAAGTAGAATATTAAATGTAATTTACATTTTCATCAAATTCTAAGTATTTTTCGGTTTCTAATTTAAACAAATCTTTAGGATGTATTTTTTTAAGTTCTTCCTTTTTGGCACGTGCCTGTTCCAGTTCCATTTTCTTTTTTTCCTTTTCAGCAAGTTTATCTGCTTCAGTTTTTGCTTTTGCCCTTTTCTCACGTAAAATTGCTTCTCTTCCTACAAATTTGATTGCAGTAGGCTTCCCATCAGCATCTTCTAGTCGTACACCATTTTCAGGTAAGATTTCATCCCGGAGATAATCACACAAGATTAATATATCTTTAGAACCATTTGTGCGAGCAATAGAACGTACTGAATCACGAAAATCTGATAAAATGTTCAGATATGGGGTAATAATGGTCTCAACCTAAAAAAAATTTTGTTTACATACATTTTTGTTAAATATATTATATTTAATTGTATTAATAGTTTATTAACAATTTATAAATATATTACATCATTAGAAGAACTCTGTTCAGATACTGGGAAACCAATTTCATTAGCAGTTTGAATACCAAATATTTTTAATATTCCAGTAATATATTTAGCAATGTTTAGCAATAAATAATGATTTACATCAGCAGAACTGCAGTCTCTTAAATATATGTTACAGGCAAATATACATTCTTTTATTGCTTCTAATGCTGCCTTAGTATCAACATTATCTAAACAAAATGTTTATTTATACAAATTACCAAGTTAATTATATAAGTCTACTTTACTGAAGCTATTTTTTTTTTTTTTTTTTGAAAAGGCATGTTTTTTGACACTGATTCTGAATATATTTAAATTTGTTTATGGAAATCATTGTTAAAGATTAAAGAAATTATAGCTATTTGAAGTTGGTTGTTTTTACAAGTCCAACACGAGCCTGCGAATGGAGTTTGCTGAAGGTCTGGTCTCACATAGTTAGGTTTAGGTTTACATTTAAAACACTATCCTTCTTGTTATAGTATCAGTTTGGAAATGTATGTTAGATCTGCTAGCAACCTTCTCTCGTACAGAATGGGACAAATAGGCACTGCCAACTAGGTACAGCCAATTCAGCATAGCCAACTGGGCGTTAATAGTTAATGATCCATATCATTTCTATTATTATTATTATTTTCATTATCATTGGTTTTGTCAATATTTTTGTCTTGTTGTAATAATTCATTATTGCTTAATCTGTCATCAGCTGACTGGTTTGCACATAAACAATGACAAAATAAATAATGATATAATTAAATGTTCTTATAATTTTTAAAATGGTAGATCGAACAAGACAGCATGTAATATAATAGTAATTTACAATATTTTATTGTTGCTTAAGCAAATAGTAAAAATATGATCTAATCTCTTTTTCATTTAATAATTTCCGTTCACTTGATCCCACGTCGAGTTGGCCATGCTCAACTGCCCAAGACTGTCTCCTGTAAGTAAAGGTGTTCAATGAGGGTTGTGCAGCAGCACTCGAGTTCCCTACAATTGTTTTTTCCGCATACAAACAAACTTCAAACCGCTATAACTTCTAAAATAATAGTTTCTGAAAATGTCTGATAGCACTATAGCATAAAAAGTATTATTTTTGTAGTATTTATCTATACTAATTTTAATAATGATTTTTTCAAAAAAACAATTCAACTAATACAGAATTGGCCTTTTTCCAAAAAAAAAAAAAAAAAAAAAGGGCAACCGGGTTAAGTAGACTTGTCCTCAAATTTTTAGAAGTTTACCACATAATGCTGCATGAACATTTGATTTGCATAAATTGAACTTCTTATCTAATTCTTTTTCAGAAGGTAACCACTTTGAATAACTAACAGCTAATTTAACATCATTTCTTCTTCTTAATAAACTTTTGACATTCAAAAAAAATTCCTAAATAATTAATTTGTATTAAACAAACATTATGTACAATAGTACATTTTTACATTTTATTTTTAAACTTATCATTATAATAGACTAACATTGAGAACTTTTTCACAAGACATCGCTGATTCCATTGTGCTTTCACTATAATCTAGAGTATCCTTCCATGAATGCAGTAAAAATGCAAGTCTTAGTTGTCTTGATGTATTGTTTTTAAGAGCATCATCAATAGTAATAAAGTTTTTCAGAGACTTTGACATTTTACATCCTGAAATAGTTAAGTGACCAGAATGCAGGAAGAATCTAACCCATTCTTTGTTGTTGTAATAAGCCTATTAAAATAAATAATATCTATGTTAGCAAAAAAACAGAATTATTCAAAATGCAATAAAATATCAATTACTTCGGCTTGGGCAATTTCATTGTCATGATGTGGGAATTTCAGATCAATGCCACCAGTATGAATATCTAATGTTTGACCTAATATAGAAGAAGCCATAACAGAACATTCAATATGCCATCCCGGTCTTCCTTTTCCCCAGGGTGATTCCCACCATGGCTCACCATTTTTAGACCGTTTCCAAAGGGCAAAATCATTAGGTGAATGTTTTTCATTAACTGCACTTACTGATAAATCACCTTAAGTTTTAGAAATTAAACTTATTAATATATATATAATTATACTGTTAGTTAGTATACCATCTATACAGATATTATATTTTTATTAGAGATGAACAAATGTTCAAATAATCTACTTATTTAACCTATCATTAATTGTTTCACTTTTAAAAATAAGGGCAAAAAAATGGTAATAAAATATTATAAAGCTGCTTTTTTCTCATATTTAAAAAAAAAGAATGTCTTGAAAATTTTTAATACTTTCTGAAATACTGCAATGCTATTATATACATTTTGTAGGTATAAGATAGTAAGTATCATAATATTATTATTAGACTGTATTAAACTAGTACCAACACCAGTATTTTCTTAGATATTTATAAGCATAAAAAATTAATATTAAGTAATTAGGTACCTTCCCCATCTAAAAGTGATTTTGAATCCCCATATGCTTCTGGAACTAATTTGGCATAATGATGAATAGGTTTAGAATCAAATTCAGCAACATCAAAATACACTGATCCATTAGATTCGTAAGCATAACCATTTTTGATTATTGATGTTATGTAATCAATGATTTCGGGAATATATTCACTCACCCTAGAAAGTTTATCAGGTGGTAAAATCTGTAAATTGAAAAAAAAAGAAGTAAAAATATTGGTTAAAACTATGCTTTGTAACATTAAATAACTTTATACTCAACATTTAAAGAGGTCATATTCGAATGGAAATCGGTTTCCCAAAATCTCGGTAACGCTACAAATATACTATTGTCAGTAATATCTGCACTATTGACTTTGTCTAAATAAGCACCAAAAGGATCTTTGATGTCATCTAAGATTAACTGAAATTAAACTTGACTTTATTCTTAAGGTATATAATATTAATTTCATACATACATACATTTAGACTTTCTAATGATGTACTCTCGATTAATTTAGAAACTGAGGATAATTTGTCTATAGCCTTTAAAGTCATTGTCTTTTTGTCAGCATCCATTTGTTCAATATCTTTTTTTAAATCGTTTAGAGCTAAAATAATATCTTTTTGTACCATTTTTTTATCAGTGACAATCTTTAGGTACTCCTCAAACAAATATATTTGTCGGGCTCGTTTGATTATTTTGTCATCAATATCTGTGATATTCATCACATATTCAACATCATAATGAAAATAATCCATTAATACTCGACGCAATATATCAAATGTAATGTAACTCCTGAAAAGTTCATAATCATACACACCTTGAAAAAATGAATACATTTTATTTATATTTACCGAGCGTGGCCCATATGTGAAGCATCATACACAGTAGGTCCACAGCTATACCAATTTACTTTGTTACCGTTTTTTGGAACAAATATTTCTTTCTTCCTTGTCAAACTGTTGAACAACTTCAAACGAGGTACATCAGAAATGTTGCCCTGTGACCAGATTGGCTGAGTTCGCTTTGTAGTAGTCATCGCACATACACCTGGAATAAAACTTAATAAAAATAGTAGAAGCTTTAATAAAATATTTATACTGCCACTTTTACATATTTGTGAGACGAAGGTCTTTACAAACATGACGTAAAAGTAAACATGACAAATATTGTTTTGATTTACTAAGTGCTTACATACAAATTTGTATAAATTGAAATAATATTCTTTTTAAATGCTGCACAACAGTAGTTAATTTTATAGTATAATTAAATTATTTCCCCGCAAGTTAAAATCGCATTACACTAGAGTTGAATAAACGTAATTATACATGTTTTACAATATGTCATATGCATGTGTTTATCAATTATCACGCCAAGGCTTTTTACCACGATCGGCCGATGGAGATAACAAAAAAATATTATCACTTATCAGTGATATCATTTCCTTATTGTCGTGTTGACGTTGACGGCAGAAATAATGGTTTCCATAGATAAAGAAAATAATACAAATTAGGTACAGAATAAGTAATAGAAGTAATTTTTGGTCATTATAGATTTTGTAATACACAGTTTTAGTTAATAAAATAAAGTTTTATTTACATTCTACATTGTATTGGATTTATTAAAATTATATGGTAAACCTATATTAAGGTAAATATAGTTTATTTATTTTTTGTATTGTAATTTTTATATTTACAGTAATATTTTGATAACATTTGTTTTTATTAATTTAATTTTAATGATTCATAATATTACTAAAATAATTGTGTTAATATAGTTGCAGCATATTTTCTTCGGTTTACTATTTTGTGCTATAATTTTACAATGTTTAATATAAAAATATAATGAACTCTGTAGGATCTTTTAAATTTCATATTATCAGTCAAATTTTCCAGAACTTACTTACCCATTTTTTTTTAAAACTTTATAAAATCATATATTTTAAAATGTTACATTGCCATTGTGGGTGAATCGGCTACCTACTTCTGTTAACCGTTGACAAGATATTCCATTTTTAAGTTTTAGGTAAAGGTAAAGGGAAATACTGAAGTATCATTTGTGTGGCAGCACAGCATTTGAATGGTGTTGCACTACTCTACCTCTACCTAAACTTAAAAGTGGAATTACTCATCAACATATTTACGGAAATTAAAAATACATGGCATTTTAATATAGGTTCACAATCAAAAATAAGGACAATGTCACATTTTAAAATATATAATTACAAACATTTTATAAATATATTTATATTTATATAATTTATATTGTTTTCTTAAAGACTAAACAAGTTTATTTTATTAGTTATTATTATTTATTCATCTCAAATATAGATAGTGTATGTGTCTAGTTTAAATATGCCTTATTTGTTTTATATATTATGTTCTCTAATTATTATCTTCTTTTTTTTAATTGGCAAATAAATAAAAAATATAATATGGTTTTGTAAACTGACTTTTTGTTAGTAAAATGTATGACTAATACAAATATTTTTGTAAACATTGTTTCAGGTATAAATTTGTTTATACTCGGCAGTTTATCATGAAAATGGTACCAATGAATGATTTTATTTTAAATGAGCATGAAGGTGAAGTACATGATGCTGAATTAGACTACTATGGCCAACGTTTAGCCACATGCTCTAGTGACAAAACAATCAAAATATATAATATACAAAATGGTACTAAAACTTTATTAGCCGATATAAAAGGTCACCTAGGACCCGTTTGGCAAATTTGTTGGTCCCATCCTGTATCTGGACATTTGTTAGCCTCCTGCTCATATGACAAGCGTGTTGTAGTTTGGAAAGAATCAAATGATTGGTTTAATATATTTGAATTTACTCATGAATCATCTGTTAACTCTGTTGCTTGGGCACCCCATCAACATGGCATTATTTTGGCAAGTGCTAGCTCGGATGGGTCAATTGGAATACATGTGTTTAATAAAGAATGGTCCTCAGTTACAATAAATGCACACAGTAATGGATGTAATTCTATAGCTTGGGCTCCCTTCAAGGAACAATTATTTGGGTCTAATCAACCAGAATTTGGTAAAAAGTTAGCATTGGCAAGTGGTGGTTGTGATAAATTAATTAAAATATGGACTATCCAAAGTGATCAATGGGTTCAAATTGGTGAAATAAATTGTCACACCGATTGGATTCGAGCTATTGATTGGACTTGCACAATTGGTGATAATCGACAATTAATTGCAAGTTGTTCTGAAGATAAAACTGTTGTGGTCTCACATAGTGATGATTATGCTAAATGGAATTCTACTCAAATGCAAATATTCGATAGTCGTGTCTGGACAGTAAGCTGGTCAAAAATTGGAAATGTACTAGCAGTATCTACTGAAAGGAATAAAGTATCATTGTGGAAAGAAAATAGAAATGGGCAGTGGATGATTTGCAGTAAAATTAATGATAACAAAGAAGATAATTAAGTAAACGTTTATACTGTTCTCATTCTAAAATAGTCTATATTTAAAGTACTTTCAGCAATTAAAAAAATCAGTTAAACTATGGTGAAATATATTTTATTTTATTGTATGAACTCAATGGGAATACATCCTATAAGATTACATAGTGGTATATTAATAAATTAATGTTTAATGAATTACATAAATCGTCCAGAATCCAAAAGAAAACTATAAATATTTTATACTCAATTGGTTTCATGCCAGTTTTATTACAATGAATAAATTATTATTATTTTATGTATGAAAACAAAAACTGTTTAGTTTAATATCAAAATGAACACATATTTATACAAATTAAAAATCACAATAGTTCCTTTTTAAATAAAACAGAACTTTCTTTACATTATTCCAGAGACATGAAACAGAAAAAATTGATATCGTGTTATTAGCAAATTATTAGTAAAGGTCTAAGGAGATATGAAAAATTAACACTTGTTTGTTTTAAAAGAAGGAATAATGAAGGTAACTAAATTACATGTAAATATACAAAGAATTCAGAATAAAATAAAGGTTTAATTTAATTTAACAATATAATGTTTTAGTTATTATTATTGTTATTTTGTAGTTATAAAATTAAAATGAAAACTAAAATTTTATAACCTCCTAATTTTATGAATGTTTTATTAGACATTAGTATGGTCAAATTATTATACTAGATTCATTTTATAGATAAATATAATAAAATAAAAACTTATAATTTTTAAAAATCAATTATAAGTTCAAGAACTTATTTTATTAACTCATTTCTCTACAGATTTTCAATAATTTGTTTTATAATTCTACATGATTGTACAATTACCCAATAAGTTATCTATGAATTAATAAAAAATAATTTGATTATATTTTTATATAATATTAAATTGACCAAGTTTTATTACTTGTGAGCATAAATGACTTAACCAATGTTTGTATTGACAAATTTCAAATTGTTTCATTCAACAGTATGGTATTCCCTCATTAGTAGAGAACTATTAAAATGAATATGTTAACACAACTCAAACCAAAAGTTTACTACGTTCCGAATTTAAAACTTGAATATGTAAAATGCTTACAATTGCTTCAAAAATATTTAGAAAATTTGGCACATCAATTCCTGAAGAAGTTGCCGGAGAAATAGATTCCAATCAACATACAAATATGTATATTCAAAATAACTTGTATAATATAAGACATTTGGGATAAAATAACTTTTAATAGTCATGCCAATAAATAACAAATAGGTACTCTGCATTATACTGAATTCATTTTCTAGTAAAGCAAATTTAATTAATATCTTAACTACAACAGGGGCCTACCCACAATACTTATACAATTTTTCACGAAAGAACGGTAGAGACTCGACGAAAACCAGTCATTCTTGCGCATCCCCACGCCGCACCTCGCCCAGAGCTCCCACCACTATCGGGCCAGGTGTAGTTTTGCGGACTGTCGTAGCGGTAGCGAGTGATCCGTAAGCTCAGTCGCGTGCGCGAATAACTACCTTTCTCTCGTGAAAAATAGTATAGTAGATTTGCCATATAACTTATAAATATATTTTTATCCGATTTACACCTGTTGTAGCAACTCTCTCTCTCTCTCATCAGAAACAAAAAAATTAAGATAAGCAAATAAATTTAAACGATAACAACATAATTAAAACTTGGGTAGTATACAGTTTTCAGAAAAAATTATAAGAAATCGTAGCTATATCCATTTGCACGAACACCAACGTTAAGAAAAAAAAGTTGAATTAAAAAATATGTAGTTACCCCAACAAACATAACTTGTTTATATATACAAACTGAAACATACCATGAGCTCAAAAATGAAATTTTCAATCGAGCAACGAGAACTTTTGATTTCTAAAATCCAATCAAGACCTCCCTAGTGGAATGATTGACATCCTAACCACAAATAAAACAAACAAAATGTGGGATGAAGTGGAAAAGTAGTTTTACAGGTAAAGAAATAGATTAACTAGATTATCTCTGTTCACAATTGAATTTTATAATAATTTTAAATGTATAATAATAATAATACCTGAATATTGTAATATTAAAAGAATTTAAGTAATTAGTAGGTATGGTTTTCTTTTAAACAAAATATTTATTACACTATATGGTGAAATATTATATAAAAACGTGAAAAATGGAATTTTAGATTCCGAGCGTAGTGAGGGAGCTATTGATTTTACTAAGATGTTTATTTTTTCTTTGTTCTAGTCTGTGGACACGTTTTTTCCTAGTAAACTTGCTCTGATGTATAAGTGTAGAACCTTTTCTGAAAGCTCAAGTTGTCTAGATTGTACTTTAAACGGATCATTTTTTAATTTTCGACACGATTTTTTAAATAAAGGCACTTAAGTGGAAAAAAAACGTAGGAAAACGTACAATTTCACGATTTCATTATTTTATAAAAACGTCGTTCGACGTTTTCTACGATAAAAAAAAAAAATAAAATGATTTTAATCGAAAAATCATAAAACACCTTTAATGAAATAAGTACTAACATATAATTTACCTTAGTGTCTAACATATATCTAAATTCAACACTGACTATCATCATAATATATGGTCGTCCGTTCGACGAAACTAGAGTTTCGTACTTTCGAATTCGTGCCTCAGTTCCCTGAAATAATTGGAGGACTTGAAGAGTGACTCGTGTAGATTCTATTGGTACACAACGCGGGACCGTAAATGCCATTGTCATGTACTTTTATTGCTATACCGATGGCCTTTATATTTGACCAACAACGTATTCATATTTTATATTTTACATTTCCGTGTTTAGCTACAAATCAAATTTCCTTTATAAAATAGTATGAATTGGAATTAACTTTATGATATACTTTACTACTACATAAACAAAACTTGCGCCAAAAGTTATAAAATTTTAAAAACAAAAGTATCTATATTGTTAAGTAATTTAATTCCAACGATACCTTACGTATATTATTCAAAATTTAAATCATTGTGTTCATTATTTAACATTTTTACTTGTAAAATAAAAACTCAAAAAAAAAAAAAATTATTTATTATTTTAGACTACTACTTTTAGTTTACGTCTTAAAACCGTGCTTAAGGCCTAATAAAAAAAAAAATAATTATAAATTATATAAATACATTTTTATAATTATTTATTATGAGATAATATCATTGACATTAAACTTATAGATCGTCATACATCGTTGATAGATGGCAGTTCTAGTATATTAGAGTTCTTCGTTCGGTCAATAAAAGCACGGGTGATTACATGTTAATCTCATCGAGTTGCATAGGGCAGCCGCGGCTGGTTTTCAATAATTCTATAATCTATTTTAGATATCATTATCAGATAATTTCCGTGATAGTAAAACGCGATTTAAATATTATAACAATATTCGTTTACTGCCAGGAAACAATTTCGGTTCATAATTTTAATTGTGTTTAGACATTAGACGTCCAATTTTTTTTTCGGACATCAACGCAAGATATAGATATATTTATACGTGGGCTTCAAAATTAGCAATTTGAAATATGATCGAAATTGAATCTAATGAACTTTGGCCGATTGTGTATAGAAATGAATATAACGTTAAATTTTTTGGACTTGAAAAGTTGCATCCCTTTGATTCGAAAAAATGGGGGAACATATATAAAGTAAGTGTTACTTTTGAGAATAATATTCAATCACTTTTATAGTTGTATATGTGAATTTTATTCCAAGGCTGATTTTGATTTAAAATTAATTTTGTACGGACATCATCATAGTATATTTATTGAATTAAAAATATGTCTCCCGTTCTTATTAAAAGGTTTAATTATACCCAGTGGTGTAGCCAGGATTTTTCAATGAGGGGGGGTTTATGAGTACAACTATATATTTACCTACAGCTGAAAAAAGCAATGAGGTAGGTTATAACCCCAAACCCTGGTTACGCCATTGACTATATACAGTTAAAAATAAATATTAGATATTTGTTTTAATTATTTGTTAATTTATACCTCCTTTAATTGTTTAAGATATTAAAGAATACCCTGGGTCTAAATCAAAGTAATATCTACGTTCCTGACGAAATCACTGAAGATGAATTGCTTACAATTCACAGTAAAAAATATCTTAAAAGTTTAAAAGTAAATATTATTTTTGGTTTAAGTCTGCCTTTTGGGGAACAAGAAAAAACCTTCAAAATATTAAAAAACATCTTAAATAACATTTATTCAGGAACTTGCTCACACAAATTATGCGTGGTCTGATTTTGAAATTTTTCATTTTCCATCCCTTTTCTAAGACAGAAAGACAATGGCTCTTGGATATTGGAAAAATAACAAATTATTCAAAAATGGTACAGATATTTTTTTATTTTTAAAGTCATCTAGAATACAGTACGTGAATTAAAATTTCTATTTTTATTTTTAAGCAATAATTCTTAAATACCTACTATAGCCCATTATACCTAGTAATACCTATTTGTTATTTTCTTTATATTGTTTATGTATATTTTTTATTTGTATACACATACTGTCATTTTAATTTATTTTATTTCCGTAAATAAAGAAATTATTATTACAAGTCCACTGCTACAGGATAAAAAGGAGTTTGTGAAAACATCTTATTAAATATTTAAACAAATATTAAATAAACACTTTTTAATATGTTGTCATTATTTTTAATACCCAAAATCCACAGTGTCTTTGAAAAGAGGTAAAAAATTAAAAAATTCAAAATTGGATTATGTATAAATTGACTGGGCAGGTACCTGAACAAATATTATATAACATGTTTTCAACATTTTGACTTTTCCAACTACCCAAAAGCAAGAGTTCAACCTTAGTATGAAATAAAAATATTACATTTTGATAATAATAATAATAATACATACAAAAAATAATGTTATAAATATAATGTTTGATAGTGGAGTTATGTTGCTGCGCGTATATCAGAAATTCCTGTGGTTGCTGTACTTCCAAATTTTTTTGTTCAAAGACAATACTTAAAACCATTAAGGTAAACAATTTCAGATTTAAATGTTTTGGTGGTCATTATTTTTTAATTATTTAGATTTCAGGTTGGAGGTACAAAATTAGCTGGCAGAATAGCTCGAAAAAAAGGAGTTGCTATAAATTTAGGCGGAGGTTTTCATCATTGTAGTAAAGATCGCGGTGGAGGGTTTTGTCCATACGCAGATATAACACTGGCTGTTAATGATGCTCTACAAGATGGCTGTAAAATAGTGATGATAATTGATTTAGATGCTCACCAGGTCAGTCAACAAATTTAAAATCTTAAATTTGTTTTAAACAAATTGAATTGGTCTTTCAAAGGGTAATGGATATGAAAGAGACTTTATTGGCAATTCAAAAGTATTTATTATTGATGTGTTTAATAAAAATATATACCCTAAAGATGCATATGCTGAAAGTGCTATTTCGCGGGCTGTGAAATTAGATTATTTTATACAAGACTATGAATATTTAACCTTGGTTGAGAGGTAAACATTTGCAGCAATTTACTAAACAAAATTTAAATTATAACTATCTTGATGGATAACATAAAAATTAAAAATAAATATATTTAATGGTATTGATTTGTTATTGCCCCTCGTGGCCATTAAAAAAATGTATCGCCTCGTCAATCAAGTTTATTGACTATTTCTGTTACTATTTTCTAATCGCTAAACCAAAACTCTCATAAGTAGTTATTCCAATTGATTACCAATACATAGTTCACGTTTACAAAACGACATTGATGTTATTAACTCAAGAAAATTTGAAAATAATATATGAAGTATATAATTTTTTGAACCGGAAATCTTAACTCCTTACATGAATTGGAAGTGGTGATTATTGTCTTATATATGTGCAACATAAGAATTTTAGTAGAATTTACTGATTGGTCTAATGAAACGATAAGAATTCTGAAAACAGATTTTAAATTGTCATCAACTCTACTTGAAAATTAATTTCTCATATGTTTTATTTTATCCCTCTAAACACTAAAACAGGAGTAATTAAGAAAATCAAATATTTAAAATTTGTTGAGAAATTAAAACTGGAAAAATCTATTTATATAAGTAGACTTGACAACAAATTCAAATCTGTTTTTAGAATTCTAATTGCTTCACTAGACTAATCAGTACATTGGAAATAGAAAACATATAAATTCTTATGTTCCACGTGTGTAAGACAAAGACACCAAATTACCACTTCTAATCCCCTTAAACCAATTATCAACTTTTAATGTCTTTTTCTTTATGAAATTCTGACAATGTCAATACTAATGCAAAACTTTTAAAAACATTTCTTGGCTGTTTTCATAAGTATATTCTTTTAAAAATATTTTTGGATTGCAACATCTGGTACTTGGGTGAATAAATATGGATTTTATGACCCACAAAATGATAAATAAAAATTATGATTGTTGAAAAACATATTGATGTAAGTAATTTTTTAACCCTCGATAGTCATACCAGAGGAAAAATTTTCTGAATTTTTTTTTCTCAGAATAATCTACCTGTAACAAATGTTTGATTCAACCTTCCTTTTGATAATTTCATTCAGGAATTAATTTTAGAGTTTTGAATAAACCCTTTTGTTTCTTTAATAAAGGATTATGTGACTTATACCACTATGACTTTAATCCATTCAGTTCCAAGTCGTATTCGTCTATTAATGTACAAGAAAATTGAGTAGGTTGTATGTTATAAAGTCATACCTGTATAGTATGTTTTTTTTCCAAAAATTACAAATAAATAATAGCAAATTATATCCAATTATTCTATTATTGTTATTATTATAGAATGGTGGTGGGGTGATAACAAACAAGTACTCATGTATTAACTATTTATTTATCTTTTGATTATTTTAACTGAGTAGTGGTTTTATAAGTAGTGGAATTTGATTAAATAATAACTAGATATTATAATAATAAAGAAATTACAAACACTGTTTAAAACATCATTCCGTACAAATGTTTGTGTTTCACTCTTACTCTTCCTGTTTTAGAAAATCTTGTAAAACTTTTAGCAACTTTATTAGTATATAATTTGACTTTTTTCTTTATGAATGAAACCTTGTTTCAATTCTGCATGGTAAATGCTTGACTCATTATCAAACACAATTCTTCACATTATATATCAATCTAAAATCACCGTGCTTTTTTAAATTAACGTAATTAATAGTAGTAATAATATTTATCAAGTGCTCCAATTTAATATTTGTTGAAAATAAATCTTACTATCATTCTATATGTATTTTTATGATTTAGAATACTAATTTTAATTTTTAGTATCTACTAATTATAGATGTGATGTGTTGTTAAAATTAAAAAGAAACTTATGTAGTGTTTTGTTTCTAACTGTACACATTTTGTTTAAAATATATGGTATAATAGAATTTATGAAAACAATTTTAACTTAATTTCAACTATTTATTTAATATTTTAATCATAATTAATTCATACTCTTTATAGACTTCCTTTATATTTGTTTAGTGCTCTGACTGATTCACTTGAGAAAGTTAAACCTGACTTCATAGTTTATAATGCGGGAACAGATATTTTAAAAGGTGATGAATTGGGTATGCTCTCCATTTCTCCAGAGGTAAGTTTAAAAAAACTTAAATTGATTGCATTGCATTATAATAGCCAATTTTATAATTTTTCTATAATATTATTTTTTTTTTCAATTGTTGAGTTAACAGTATCACATTTAAATTTTTTAAAATTAACCAATACATCAAATTAATACCCTTCTTGGCTTCACAACTCTTCAAGAATTTTTGTTGTTACTGTCATCTCTTTCCATTTGATTGTTTACTTTTTCTTCCCAATTTGGTATCCCTAATTTTTCCAAGTTCTGTTTTATTCAGTCTATCCATTGGTTCTTTGAATGTCCTCTTGGTTTCTTTCTGTTGGTTTCCTCTCAACTACTACTTTAAAATTTTCTGAGTCCGACCTTATAATTTTGATTCTTTGTACTTTTACAAAATTAGTTATCCTCAAGACTTTTTTCAAGTCTCAGATTTCTTTGTTTCTCCTACATCAGCATCTCGATTTGCTATCATAAACTTGGTTACAGATGATTGTCAATATTTTGTTCTTGAACAGTTATGCTGTCAAAATCCATACCTTGCAAACATATTTTAGGATTTATGTAATCAATAATAGATTGTATAATATATGTAAATTATCATAGTAAGATTAAATAAAGAGACTATTTGTTGGGTTTTACTGTAGTTTTCAAGTTGTATGTATTCAAATATTTGTATAGGCTATATTATCACTGATTTGTTTGTGCTAAAACAATTAAAATTATTTACTTACAAAAAAACATCATTATAAAATTGTAAATTGTATAACAATTCATATTTTTCACTTTGAACTCTATTCAGATGTATTTGTAAAGTGCAAACATTTTGTTTATTAAAAGATATTTTTAAATTATAAATTCAGCCGTTATAGTACAATAGCATGATAAAGGTTTGAACATATATATACGAGTACCCAACTGTTTAAATTTATTACCTACTTAAAACTTATGTGTACAAATCATGTTAACACTATTTTAGTTATAATTTATTCTGTGCGAATATGCATAATATACTAACTGTATAATTTAAATTCTATGAATGGTAAAAATTAAATTTTTATTGGCAAGTTTTAAATTTGTATAGCAAAGCCATAAAGTTATAAAGTTATGAAGTTTATAATAAATATAACGGATTTTATGTTTTTTCTCGAGTAACAATTTTAGAAATAGTATATTATGCTAACCATGTTTGAATTATTAATACACCATGAATATATTTTAACATGTGTATTATAAATTGTTTCGGTACTCTACAATTTAAAGATATAAATTCTCTCACAGGTTACATTTGAATTTATGTGCAATGGAATATTGATAAATTAACTACACCCATTTTTGATTTTTCACCCAATTTAAGAATAGTGTTTTAATATACTCGTAGTTTTATTAACATAAAGCTTAAAGCTACAATGTTAATAATAAGTATAGATAATGGTTTTATGTTTTTCTTGGATAAAAATTTTTATAATAGTAGGTATAAACCATAATATGCAATTTTTTAATTATTATGTAAACAAAAATATCCTAAGGGCTAAGAACCTACATTAATTATAATTTTGTTTAGAATTGTTTTTAGAATATGAAAATAGTTTACCAATTTAATAGTTTTAATATTGTGAGTAATAAATAACTGATATAGTGTATTTTTTGTTATACACAACAATACCCAATAAACGGCCAGTTGAATAAGGCCTTTGTCTAAGAACTCGCACTTTTATACTCGAGTTTTTTTTTTTATTTTGCTTATGTTATTTCTAAATTATTTTTTACTAATATCTGTAGTATGTGTAAATATTATTTTCATTTTTTGCTCTTTAAAATATTTTTTTTACATAAATAATTAAGAATATAAACATAATATCACAATCATTGGTTTGTAAATACTAATGAATTATGAACAGTTCTTACATACAATTTTTAATTACCATATATTTCCTTAAAACGTATAAATATATAAATTGTACAATTTGTATTTAATGATTACCAGCAAACAAAACAGAAAGTAATAATTAATGATAGCAAGGTATCCAATAATTAGTATTAATTTCTAATTTAATGATCAGTGTTCAGACTAAAATTGATTTTTTATATTTACATTAAAAATAGTAAAATGTTGTAGATTTCTAATGTTATAATAGCTTTAATTGTACTGTTGATTTAAATTGTGAAATTTAATTTTGTATAATTGGATATTTTATGGATTCTTTTATGTTAATACATATTTAATGAGGGTCTAAAATATTTTAAAACTCATTTAAGTATTTTGAATACCATAATATAAAATTAACAATTTTCTTTTTCATAGATTGATTAAAAACAAAACGAAATACAATCTCTACAAATATCTAACTTTACTACATACATACTAATTACTTTTTTATTCGATTTGTAAAGAATAATAATATATTTAACCTAGTGTACACAATGAGGCAGCATGCATTGCACCTGTTATGGTGTGTGAAGCTCACAAAATTTAATTTTATACCCAGTGATATTTTTGTTACCATTATATTGGGAAAATTATGTAGTGCAAAGAACGATTACATGAGTAATTATAAATTTGTATTGGCAAACCGAATTTTCAACAATCTAGGAATAATATCCTAAAGTTGATATTAAATTCACAATGGTTATGGTGTTTATAAGTAGAGTACACAAAATTGATTTTTGCAATAAATAATTTAACATTTTTATTGAAAAATTTGGGTGTAAAATATTGTTAATATAGTTTGTTTTTTTTCGACCATTTACCGCGTTTTATTTTTGATAAAGTTAGGAATAACGCCCTAACTATACATAATTTGCAGGGAATATTGCACAGAGACGAAATGGTTTTTAAATTGGCCAGACAAAATAATATACCGCTGGTGATGTTGACGTCTGGCGGTTACCAGAAGACGACAGCGAACATTATAGCGAAGTCTATTCAGAATCTAGTACAACGAGAACTAGTCAAGCCTTCTCTAGTAGAATAAAGTACAATAATCTGATATAGACGTAAAATATGAACTCTGTTTCTGTTGTTCAATTATTATTCATAAATAATAAAGAAAACCGATCGAAAAAAATCGGAGTACAATATACGAGAAGAATGACGTGCCGTAGAATTATTATATTAAGCATAAATGTATTATTATCATTTGTTATATAGTAAAAGAAAAATAATAAGCGAATTATTGAATACGTGCCTACCTAACTAAAGAGTTTTGATATCTCGACGATAGTTAATAATAATCAATTCAAAATCAATTTCAACGAGAAATCTAAATAACAATTTGGTTACGCTCGAAAGGCATTCGAAAATACATAAGTATTATGTTTATGGGTTTATTGTTTACCGTAACACGTTGTTAATTCTACGGGTATTTGTTTGTTTCAAACAACTATGTACCTACGTACCTATACTGCCCATAAGTAAGTGTGTAAAAAACATTCAACCATAAAAAATTGTTTTAGAACCAAAACGTGTTCTGGATAAGTAATTTATAAGTACATTTATTGTAACAACCGAATAGTATACATAGTAATCGAATTCGTATAAAATAATTGATTTAAAGAGTTTTTTGTTTAATTTATAGTATTTTCGTTTGATTTTCTCACGTTGTTAAGAAAAAAATAAATAGACTTAAATTACATACTCTTACAGACGAACATTTAATTTCCGAAAAATAAATTATGGCAAAGCCCAAAGAAATTCTGTTCGAAAATTACAATTTCAGATTCCTTATCTACCTACCTACCAAACACTGCCTTATAACATTTTAATTAGGATTTCCATAGCGTTAATCTTAAGTTTATGGCGAATCAAATAAGAAATACTGTTTTATTAATTTAATTATTCAGTTTAACGATAATTTTATTTTGGTTTAAATTTGTCAATTTTAAATACGGCGGTATCCGGGGAGCGTCAATTCTCACGTAAAATCTTTTTTTTTTAGATTCTAATTTAGATAATTCTAATTTTTAAATTGTATTTTTCAGAATTTCGTGATATCTAAGGCTAACTAGTCGTTGGTAAGGCATTTACAAAGTTGGACAGTATTTTCGATTGTATTACAATACCGAAATTAATATATTTAGTATCGAATATTCAAATGATACTTGATAAATGTAATTAATATTTAAATTGTATTTTATATCGAGTATCAAGCGCTTATTTTGAAGTCTATCTTGTCCATCTCCGGGCATTTATTATAATCGTAGCCGATTAGGTTGTGCTAAGATTGCTTGAATTTCCCTGAGAAGAGAACTAGATATTTCTCCACTGTATAGCTTCTGCGCAGAATTTAATGTTAGTGGAATTCCTTCTTTTTCCTATAATTAGTTTAAACCTTGTTTCCTTATTATAATAGTCGCAAATATCGATATTTAATGAACACTGTAAATCGTATCGTTTTCCCCATCATAACACCAACACGTCTTGTCGTCGTACAGTAACGGATTTTCAAAATTTTTCCGAGAGGGGTCCACATTACGTACCTATACCAAAGGTAGATCTATTAATGTCATCTATTAATAGATAATTTTTTTTTTTTTTTGACAGATATTTTATTTAAATTATATCGGAGTCTGGGCGGACTGGTGGGTTGGCAAACTCATGGACTCCTCCTGTAATCCGCCGCCGCTTATAATCGTATTCTAAATTTCTTCTAATTTTACGATAGCCAATAAAATAATAATAATATGCGACAATAGACAAAAAAAAAAAAAAAAAAAAACCATTATCCGCGTAAACGATTCTACATTAGTCTGATGCGTTACACATAACACGTATAACTATATTATTGTGTACCTATATCGGTTCGGACTACGGTAGGTAGAGGTAGTAATGCATTGTGTTCTCCCGGAAGGCTTTCTCCGCCGCCGATACCGTCAAAATTCGTTAATCATTCCGTAGCCGTCCCTAATCGCCGTTCAACCGTAACCTCATCCGACGACCTTAAGGAGAAGAAGACGAAGTCAACAAGTTACCGGTGTCTACTACACTGCGGATATACCTAGAGGTACCTAGTTAATATGTGTACGAGCGCGCATCCGCGTGCGTGTGCTCGTCGACGGCAGACGAGTCCGTGTGGGGGACAAAAGACAGTACCTTCGAGCCTCAAGTAATAATAATAACGTATAATACGCGTCGCGGACATCGGAATTCGTTGGGACGTCGCGTGCGTCGGGTATCGACCGGACTATAAATTGGTTTTCGACCTTACCCGGAGACATCATTGTCGGGAAAGCCGTCAATATCTTCGACCGCGCGCTGCGACAACAAAAATACTTCACCTCGCCACTGCAGACGTCGGGAGACGTTTTTGAAAATCCGTTCGTCATGACGTCGGCTACGCGCGTTTTTTCGTTTCTGGTGGCGTTGGCGATCTTCGGTCGAATTTCCACGCTGGGTACTTATGACCTTTTTTGTTTTAACGTACTGCTTTAAACTCAGCAATAAGTGGCGTGTCCTGCAGTACAGAGGCAGAGGGAGCCGTACAATCCCCAACCAGAATGTCAAAAAAATCTTAAATTGTCGTTTCAAATATTAGTTTTTTTTTTAAATATTTAATTTGCAGTTTTACGGTTTTTTTTTGTAATGTGATCAATAGTACCTGAAAAAAATTCCCGGATACGCCTCTGTACTCGTAACCGTTATTTATACATCGATATTTAATATATATATTTTTTTTTTTTTTAATATTTACATTTATGTATTATATAGACAGTGCCAGAGTCGTTTGCTATTTTAGTAATTGGGCTATTTACCGACCCGGCATTGGCAGGTACACCATTGAGGATATCCCGGTCAAAGACTGCACTCACGTCATTTATTCGTTTATCGGAGTGGACAACAAGACTTGGACCCCGAGCATTCTCGACCGCGATGTAATTATTTGTCATACTAGATAATGTTATATCAATACATATTGTATATTGATTAACAATATTTTTAACAAAATATTAACATTGTTCACAGATTGACGTGGACAAAAATGGATTCAAGAATTTTACGGATCTTCGAGAAAACAACAAAGGGGTTAAGTTTATGGTGGCTCTTGGCGGATGGGCAGAAGGGGGTAAAAAGTATTCGACTTTGGTGTCCTCTCCGGAAAAACGTGCTACATTTATCGACAGTGTAACAGGTTAGTATAACAATATAAGATTAATGATTAGTTAAGGTACCTACAAGAGACCTGCACGTTACGGAAATTCCTGTTCCGGTCAGGTTGTAAAATAATCCCGCCCAGCCCTGTTTTTTTGTGCGTGTATACAAGTCAGGTCGTATTATTGGTAAAGAAAAGTTCGGTCCTACCTGGTTTAAAAATATTTTTCAAAGCTCGGCCTGACCCGCGCTTTTTACTGGCATATTATAAAGTCCAGCCCTGTTTTTTCACAGATCTTTACAAGTCCAGTCCGGCCTAGATTTTTTCTTATTATTTTCGAATAACTGTACCACTCCGATCGTATCCTTGTAGGACTGGTGGTATTAGGTTAATAATAAAAATGTAAGAAATGGTCAACATGTTTTTGTAACAAAAAACTCTGCCCGTAAAAAAATTAAAAGTTCGGGCATAATATATATTTTAAAATTACACCTTGGCCCAGATCCGATTAAATTTAACCCATCGTCACTCGCACTGTTTCCATTGTCACCTTTACTCACACAGGGTAGTTTTTTTCCAAGTTTTATTTCTTGTATGTATTGTATGAGTAAAATTATTATTTAACCTATTGAGCATGGCAATCCGGACACAATTCGATTAAATGATCATGGCATATTAATTAACGCATGTTGTGCAAACTTTTATTGTTTTGCGATCAAAATAACATAAAAACAAGAAAAAAAACTGGGAATGAATTACTTGACGGGGTAAATTATTTTCAAATACTAATACCGATCATTTTATGCACTTCTACCAAGTGAACAAAAAATCAAGATAACACAAAGTCGGTTACATTTTATCTATAAACACATTATTTGAGGCTATAGAAATGTATGAATATTTATATTCACGATATCATAAAACTATATACAAAAATAAGCTGAGGTCATTATTTCCCCCTTTGTGAGTGACGACGGCGTATTAAAGAGCCTGGCCCTTGCAGGTCTTAAGTGTATATCTATTTATATATTTTATTTCATATACTAATTGTATACACTTAGAATTCTTGAAAAAGTACAACTTTGATGGACTCGATCTCGATTGGGAATATCCTGGAGCAATAGACCGAGAAGGAGCTTATTCAGATCGCAATAACTTTTATTATTTTGTGCAAGAACTGAGAGGTGAATTTTTAAAGCAAAACAACTCTTGGGAGCTTACCATGGCAGTACCCTTGGCAAAATTCAGATTAATGGAAGGTTATTACGTTCCAGGATTATGTCGGTAAGTTGGCTTTTTACAGAATTGTTTATTAAACAAATTACAATAAAATCATCTTTGTACTATAGAATAATGATAAAAAAACTGACCTTAAATGTATGTTTGAAATTGTTCTTATAAATTATGTAGGTATTGTATATTTAATAATTATAAATATGAAAAATTGAGTAAAATTAAAACATTTTAGTTAAATTTATATGCAACAATTATTTAGTAGTATACCTAACCTATATTTAACTCTTATAACTTAAAATATTAAAGTAATTAATACAATTTGATATATTATAACAAAATTAAGAGAAAATTTTATTTATCGAGGGTCCTAATAATGAAATGATAATTTTCATAATTTAATTTTGCGTATGCATGCATTTTGTTCATTTTGCACTGTATAATTTATACAATTAAACTATTTAATATGTTTGTTTTATTTTTTAAGTTTAATGGATGCTGTACACGTAATGGCATATGATTTAAGAGGAAACTGGGCTGGATTTGCAGATGTGCATAGTCCATTGTTTAAGAGACCTACCGATCAATACGCTTATGAAAAGCTAAATGTGGTATGTAATCAAAAGTTAAATTATAAATGTTACAAATACTATTTATGGTATACACTATGTGATTGACAGGCTGATGGGATGCAATTGTGGGTAGATCTTGGTTGTCCACCAAGCAAATTGATAATGGGAGTACCGTTCTATGGCAGATCATTTACATTAAGTGCTAGCAATAAAAACTATAATATTGGCACCTATATTAATAAAGAAGCAGGAGGTGGTGAAGCCGGAAACTACACTCAGGCAATTGGATTTCTATCTTATTATGAGATATGTGAATATTTACAAGACGAAAACAATGGTTGGACTGAAATGTGGGATTCCATAGGACTCTGTCCATACATATACAAAGGTGTTTATTAAATTTATCAGCTTTTTAAAAATTATTTTAAACTTAACTTTTATTATAAATTCTGGTGGTTACTAGGAACGCAATGGATTGGTTATGATAATGTTACAAGTTTATCATTAAAAATGGACCATATAAAAAATAAAGGCTATGGTGGTGCAATGACTTGGGCTGTAGATATGGACGATTTCAATGGCATTTGTGGTCCTAAAAATCCTCTTATTCGAGTTTTACGAGATGCCATGGAGAATTACACTCCTCCAATTGTAGAATTAACCACTACCCCAACGGTAAACAAATTGAAACCAAACATGTCCCATAGTTTATAATATTCTAAATCATTTTTTGTTCTAATAGCCTGACTGGTTGATACCCCCTGAGAAATCTACTCCTAAAATGAAAGACATTTCTGCTCAAACAATTACTGAAGCACCTGAGCCAGTAAAAGAAATAGATGAAGTTGTAGTAATTCCACATACAGATTCTCAACAAAGAAAAGGTTGTCTCGAAGGAAAATATTCACCACATAAATACTGTAATAAGGTAAGTTATATTTAGCTAAATTCATTAATAATAGTTGAGTGTTTCTTTTTGATAATATTTATTGAGTATTTCAGTCAAGTTATTTAAACACAAAAAAATTTGTTTGTATTTTAAAATTTACTTCCATTGAATTAGTAATTTAAAGAATTTGCAAAATAAAAAAATCATAAAAAAAAGCTGATACTGTTGTTTGGTGGGAAGTTGGAAAGGTAAAATACATAAAGTTATTTAATTTATATATGTAAGCAACAATAAACGATTGTTAACAAAATATAATGCTGAGCAAAGTTCAGTTATATATGTTTTAAAATGTTGTAATATTTACAATTTGTATCATAATTTAATCTTAAAACAATTAAAAACAAAAAACTACTTTATAACACTCAACTTTTTTTCTTTTTTCTTTTTTTCTACTACCTACCTAATACAACTGATAATGTAATATGTAATATATGTACATATATTACATATTAAATAGCAATACAATAAATAACAGAGAAATTAAAAAGCTGTCCTAGGATAATGGGGACGGGTGCTGTTATAGGTAATATTTTAATGTATGTCTGTAAATAATGATTAACCGTTGCTAACGAAAGAGCGATTTTGAGCAGAGGTCGTAATATTTTACTATATATTCATACATTTTCTTGTTTTTTCCCATTTGTTGAGTAAACTCCATGGAAAAATTTGAAATGACCCTTCTAAAGTATCTCCCTTTAAAGTTAGATTTTCTTTCAGAAAAAGTGTTACGTTTGTAAATCAAAGCATAATTTCTAGTAAAAAAATTGTTTTCAGATAAAAAAAAAAAAAAATAAACATTGTAACCAAAATATTCCTCAGTCCACTCAGAATTTAAAATAAAACAGGTTTTTACATCATTAACAAGTTTATTTAAATTTTATTTAGGTTTTATTCATATTATTTATAAGAAATAATTTATTCCATACATTTTTAAAAGTTAATTTACATAAATAATTTATTATAATTATCTGGAATATTTTTGTGAACAAAAATAAATAAATAAGTCAATAGGTCATAACTATTTAAATTGAACAGTTAATTATCATTTCTATTTGGTTTTCTTAATTTGTATAAATTAATCTCATTCCATTCATTTAATTTATTAAATAAGTGGCAAATTTAAGTTATTATAAAGTTTATTGTATTTTTTCTTAGACTGATTTTTAAATCTATTTCATTATATTGTTTAAACAATTCCATGGGTAGTATTTAAAATGTTAGATTGCTATAATAGTATAATATATCAGTGCCTATACAAAAATTTAATATTTATGTAATTATATTATTTGTTTTAGTATTTCATGTGTAATCATGGGAAATTAATGACATTCACCTGTCAGCCAAGTACTGTTTGGAACCAAAAAGAATCTGTGTGTGATTGGCCTTTCAAAACTACTTCATCAAACTGTATAAAATTTTAATCATATTTATAAATAACATTCCTGTCCACCTACCTTATTATAGATTTGTACAGTAAAATTGTATGTTGTATTAAAATATTGTATGTTTTAGAAATTAGAAAAAAAAAAAATGTAACAATCTACTTACCTAGTGAAATTTGCATTAAAAGGAAGTTACATTGTACAAGTAACATGTTGTGTTTGTTGTACTTTTTACTACCCATTGACAATTTTTCGTGTTGTTTTAATATTAATTTATAATAGCTGACAAGCCAGTTCTTTGGTAGTATTCTATAATACTATACCGTAGTAATAGCCAACGATGAAAGGACTTACAACGTTTGTCGTCTTACTTGTCTCGCTGCTGGCCTGTGCGCGGGCTGGATTTGAGACATTTCCATATGAATTTTACGAAGAGCTCAAAACCCAGGAACACGGGCAATGTAGTGTAGACGTAAATCGAATGCTGGATGGAGTGAAAAACCTCGATGGCTGGGCATTGGAAAGTTGGTTGAGTTTTTTATTGTTTTTATTGTTTTTTATTGGCTTGTGTTGACTTGCCGGTACACCAGGAGTAGCTAAACTTTTTTTGGTAGAGATCTACTAAGAATATATTTTCCTTTTGTGGATCAACTTACTAATAAAAATGTATAATTCTAAATTACCTAATAAGTAATAATAATAAACATACACATACAAAATAATAAAACTAAAAAAAATGTATAGTTTAATTATCCTTTTTACCACACTATTCTTAAGATTAATATAATATTATTGTAAATACAATTTCCAGGATAAACTCAGTTGAATTGTATTATTTGATAAATTTACAACAAAATAAAGATAATATATTAAGATAAAAATGATCAGCTAATTGTGATTTATCTACTAATTACATCAAATAAAATTCTAATAAAATAATGATCGATATCAACCGTTTGGCCACCTCTGCTGTACACCATAGTTGTTTCTTAATATTTTGGTCTGACTTGTTCCTATTTTAATTGTTTTTTAGTGGTTGACTCGTCGGCCAAGATCCCTTCTGGAATACTCAGAGGCAATTTGAACCAATACGGTGATTTTGATGAATGCATCAACACGGTTCATGAAAATGGAGAACCGGTGAAATATTGTCTAGCAGCCATACAGCTAAAACACAATTCCATTTTTGGCGACCGCATAAGTGCCCACAATCAAGTGAAAAACAATTTAACCGACGTAAGTTGCATTTTGTTGATTATTTAATATAACTTCTGTTGAACACAACAGATTAATAAATTAAAATTGAGTTCAGATTCCAATACAACTTTTGTGGTTATACTCTATTGAAAATCATAATTACATTATTGTACTTCAAATTTAGTTTATCATATAATAAATTAACTAAAAAAAATAAGTTATTAATTAAAAATCAAATCTAATGTGAAATATTTTATAATATGCTCACAATTATATTGACATTACTTGTGATTTGTTTATTAATGGAATTAATAGTTCAGAAAATAACAAAACAATATTGATTTGTATTTTATATATTATTCTAATAAACTTATAATAGATAATAGAGGTAAATTAATAGTTCAAAAAAATTATAATATATTTATATTTATTATATAAAGTAAATAGGAAGGTATATTTTATAAATATTGATAATAAATAAAATTCAGATTTTTGTCTCAATTTTTCTTTTAAATTGATTTGTTTATGGTTTGATTAAACAAGTAATTCAGTTAATTCAGTAATTTTACATTTAAATTAAATAATATGTTTGTATTTTAATATATCTTAGCCTGGCCATCGTTTGCCTAAATTTTCTACTGTGTACTGGGGTGTTTGTGTACCATCATCCTGCAGTCCAGATGATGTTTCTTCTGCAGTAAGTTCTACAGCTCTGAGGTTCTACAATGTTGAAGTACTCGTTGAAAATGATATGTGTCAAATGAAACGTATACCAAAAAAATCAACAGATTTTGATTTGGTACGGTTTTTTACAGCAATTTTTCTATTGGCTATGGGAATGTTTGCACAAGGAGCAGTTTGCACCCCAGATGAACTTGACCGTAATTAACAACTATTTTACTATGTATAAATAATTTATTTGAGATAGAGAACTTGTTTAAATGATTATGACTTATATAATGTGTTTAAAAAAAACTCTTAGGCATATTTTATCATGTTTTATTTTAATTTATAAATTGACACACCATAAATAGTTTTTCATTAAATTTATACACTACATTAATAGTTATATTTTGATCATACAATTTTACTAGTATATGTAGTGGAAAAAAATATGAAATTAGGAGTTAATTCAAAAGTCTAAATATCTTAATTGTAAATATGTACTTTGTTACAAATCAAATGTTATACTTTAAAAAGTAATTATGTATTTTATTAACAGCTGATGTAGAGCATTCAGCACATCTTATGCTTCGAATAGCACAAGTTCTGAGGAATTCATTTTCAATTAAGAGGAACTATCAATCTTTGTTTATTTCTCCTACTAAAAATGGATTCAAGAGTTTGCAAGGTATTCGAGCATTGAATATGATTAGTTTACTTTTGTGTCACATGGTTATGGCAAAAATGTTTCTGCCATATTTAAATAAGACTGAGATGTCTGAAGTAAATATAAATATTATCTCCTTAGTATTTTTAGTTTCATTTTTCATTTATAAAATAATTTGCAGAATATGTCAAAACCGTGGTTGGTCACAGGAAGAGTAGCTTATTTATATACTGATTCTTTTTTGGTAATTAGTGGATTTTTAGCAGCATATACATTGAGTCGATTTTCTCCAATAAAGAGTATTATTTCACGCTATATACGGTTGGTATAATAGAGTTGTATTATATTATATTTTGTAATTATAAAGTACAAATTTTTATTTTCTTATTTATTCTCTTTTTCATATTCTTTTTTACTATTTATTTTTTTACAAATTATTGTTTTAGATTGACAGCAACTCTAGTAACTGTCATGGTCATTTGTGCCAAATATTTACCGGAAATGAACTATGGTCCTATGTGGAATATGGTTATCACACGACATTCAGACCTTTGTTACAAGAACTGGTGGAGAAATGTATTGTATATTCAAAACCTGTTTGGTTTTAAAAATATGGTAAAATATAGTTTAGTCGTATTTATACGTAATAACATATTAGTATTTTATTTAAATTAAAATTTTTTATTTTCAGTGTTTGACACATACTCACCAACTTGCAATCGACTTTCAATTATTCATGATGGCCATTCCATTAATGTATTTGTTACGAAAAAGTAAAGTGGTCGCATTATCTATTATTATGACTATCATGTCTATATCCACAATACTTCGTTATCAATCTGTTAAAAATAATAATTTATCTACGGTTGTTTATTTTGGAGCAGAGTAAGTGCCCAAATTGTATAACCATTAATAATTATGTTGTATCTGAATTTCGCACCAAATTAATATTTGTTATTTTATTAGTATATCACAATTGAATCGAACCTTTGATTTGACGTACACTTTACCCTCTCACCGGGCAACTGTCTATTTAATGGGCTTCTTGGTTGGTTACTGGATGCAACAAAAGGGTAGTCTGAATATTTCCAATGTATGTATATTGTAAATTATGTATACACTATACACAAGTTACTATTGTTTTCAACAAATTTTTTTAAAATAATTTATTAATTATTATAAATGCAGATACAGGTTAAACAAATGTGGCTTATAGCTACTGTATGTGGTTTATTAGCTGTTTTCGGGCCTTATCAACTTTCCAACATGAACTACGTATACAATAATGTACATTTAGCACTTTATAATGCAGCTGCACCCATACTATGGTCTATTTTTATTCTTTGGTGTATTATAGCTACAGATAATGGACATGGAGGTAAAGCCCAGCAGCTAACTTAGTAATTTAACATTTTTATGGCTAATGGTTATCATTTTTTTTTTCAGGTTGGTTTGGAAAATTGTTATGCTGGAATTCATTCACATTCTTGTCTAAAATTTCATATGCTGTTTACTTAGTACAGTATCCAGTATTTTTTTATTATGTTGGATCTGCAAGGGGCCCCTCTTTGCATACTGTTTCGACAATGGTTAGTATTTATCAATTAAATTATTTTTTATTTAAGAGGGCACTTTACCAATGTTTAAGGTATAGACATAAATTTTAGAGTCTGCAAATATGTACTTTGTACTGCTTGTGTCAAATAAGTTTTAGACTTAATATTATATATAATATATATAATATTAAGAATATATATAGACTTAATATTTATTTGAATGCTATAAATAGAGCTTAAGGTGGCTCAGGAAGGGCTGAGTTCTCATAAGCCTCCCATCTTTTTACGTTAGTGTTTCTCAAACAAGGGACCATGGATGTATTACTTGGAGGCTGTGAAATATTTTTTTTATAATTTTTGACTTAAAATTAAATGGGGTTGATTATAAATATCGGTTTTCAAAATAAAATAAAAAAATATAAATAATGAATTGGGTAAAAATACCCTTTTCTATTTCACTGAAATACGATCATATTCTATGAGCTGCAAAAAAGCAATTTATTAAAATTAGAGAAGACTATACTCTTGAAACAGAACTAACTGAACTTTGATTAAAACGACCGCAAGAGTGACCATTAATTTAAAAAGTGGCTTTACTTTAACCAACAATAAAACATTGCTAACAAAAACGATTCTGAGACATTTTTGCTTATACGTGTCTTGAAAGTCCATAATATTTATGATTTTCATCGAAATTTGATTTTAAAACTTATAAAAAAAATAATACTGTATTATACTAAGTGTTTTTTTTTCCTACTTAGTGTGACTTTTATAATGAACCTCTTGTCAAATGTTGTGTTGCATGTAGGCAATTTCAACAACATTTTTAAAATAATGAAAATTGACTCACTTTAATGTAAATTTAAAAAATTTGTTTCTTGTAAGTACTTACAAGAAAATATAATGCGTGTTCACTTATTTTTAGTTTGATATTGGCCAAATAGTACTGATTATGGTGTTGTCAATATTCCTCACTCTGATCATCGATATACCGTTTCAGAAAATTGGCAAACGTGTGACAGAAGGAGTATATGAAAAAATTAAATTATTTTAAATTTTTAAGTAATTTATTTACAATTTTTATTATTTGTTATCAATAGTTTTACTTCTTAGGATATCAATTATTATTTTAAGTTTGATTGTATTTTTATAGATGTTAATAAATTAACATAATCTCAATTTTTTGATTTTTATAATATTAAAACATTAATATATTTGTTTGTTTCTTGAGTTATAAATTATGCATTCTTATTCAATAGGTATATGACATTTTATCAAAGCTGGACAAGTTACTCAAAATATCAAACTTAGTTAAGTTTAGTTAGTTATTGTAAACAACTAATAAAATTAATTATTTAATTACCTATAGTATGAAAAAAGAGCCCTACCATCCTATTATTGTTATTTGACTTTGTTGTTTTCTGTTACTTTGGCAACAATGGCAAAATACGACTAATACTATCCTGCTCACAATGGTTTTTCATTTGCAAAAATGTTTTTGTTTTATATAGCTCATAAACTAAATTACCTACACTGTACATCCCACCTTACCAACTGTCCTAAACTATTTTACAGCATCAACTTTTTTAGTTTTTTTTTTGATTTTATGTGAATAAAATTATTTTGGCACTAAGTTCATCATGAATTATATTTACCTAAAGTAGAAAAATCTATTTAAAAAAGAAAGATGAGTGTAATGAAATAATAATTTTTTTTAAGCGTTTAAAATTCAAATATAATATACCTAAGTACAATACCCATTTCACATACCATTTAACTATTTATGTAGATAAAACTTATTTTGCTTCAAAGAATATTTGAAAAAATTTATTGCAATTTTGTTTGTAGTTATTTTCATAGTAGGTATTATTATAAAGTAGTCTATCGTCAACGAGTCCACGTGTACTGCTCGCTTAAAAAAATTGTTAGCATGGGATATATTAGATACAGAAATCTTGAATATTCATTAACTAAAAGAAAAAGATAATGATGTGGTTTTGCTTTGATATCTATCGAAAGAAAAAAAAGAGCATGATCCATTATTTACAAAGAGGTGTACCGACAATTATCATGAAATATTTATCAATGGTCATCTGAAAAATAATGGAATCAAGTTCAGGGAATTTTTTAAAATAAACTGCAATCAGTCTGATTTCATTTTGAATCTAATAAGAGATTTAACATCGTCTTCGACTTTATTAAACTTGGGCCATTTTTAGAACTCTTTGTAGAACTCAAGTTTACCTTTGAACGACCGATGTCAACGAGTGGTCGATAAGTAAGTACCTATTTATCATATTATTTAAATTTAAATATCAGTTTATAATTGCTCAATTATATTATTAATTATTTTCAAAACATCTAGTCGATCGCGGTGCGAACAAATTTACACCCGCCGACCGCGATCGCGCAAGAAAAACCAAGATGTTTAAATTACATTGTATCAGCAGTCGCGTTACCCGAAATATTTAATACACACAATTATCATAAGAATAAAACAGATAAGAATATGTTTGATCTTTGTTATCTATGAAAATTATATAATATATAAATGTAAATCATATTCTTAGTCCATGCACAAAATTATGATTGAGAAGCCAATCTGAGGGTTGATTCTATTCGACTTCTACAATGATTAATTATCAATCGAAACGTTTGGTTGTTTGGACCAGGTATTCGTGAAAAATATTATAATACAATTATTGAATAGGTACCTATTTTAAGTTTTATAATTGCATTGCACAAAATATAAATATGAAATTATTTAATTTGTATTTATTGGGCGAGTACCTGTTCGAACGTTAAATAATAGTTAATATGCTATTTTGAAACAACTAAAATAATGTGGTCAAAGTACATATTTTGGAATGCAGTGTAAAAATGTCTAATATTTTCATATTTTAGGGCGTGGCGAGAAATTGTTTTTTCGTCATTAAATATCATTAAAAAGTGCGTATACCTAAAAATTAATTTACCAACACACCACTATTTGTATTTATACATACTTGCATATTATATAGAGCTCGACATTTTATTTCATAATTAAATATAATTTATTTGTAAACACAATTGTATCAATAATATTATTAATATTAATTCCGTATTTTTTCATGTACAATGTAGCTGAATTGTTAAGTCGGTTTTGCAACATATACCAGGTGATCCATTCAAGTGGGTACACTCATTATCTCGGAAAATATTAATTTTTTTCAGAATTTGTTTTCTAGAAAATTTAAGAGACAAGCAAGGTCTACAATTTTTTATTTATATTATTTTTTGGGGTAAAGCCACTTTTTACTTTTAGTTTTCAAAAAACAACCTATACGAAAAAGTCCATAAATAGATGGAGTATTAGTTGAAATAAATTTTGGTGTTGACATTTTTGATTTCTGCCAAACCGTTGACGAGATATTCCACTTTCAAGTATGGGTTGGAGGAGAGTTGTAATGGCGCGTGCTTTACCGCTACACAAATGATACTTCACTACTATCCTCCATCCCAAACTTAAAAGTGGAATATATCGTCAACGGGTAGACGGAAATCAAAAATGTCAACCCTAACATAGAAGAAGTTTAACGTACAAAATGGAGTACCTCAAATACAAAGGTTACGCCGGAGCAATGATTTGGGTTATAGATATGGATGATTTTCGCCGTGTACCTATGTGTTTCGTAATATCCTCTTAGTTTGATAAGCAGCGCCATGGCAAATTATGATATTAATAACAATAATAGTTTATTTATATCGTCAATAAAACGGACTGAAGCCCATTAATACAGATAAGAAACTTAAAAAATTAAAGTAATATTTGGAAATATATAAAAGTACCAATACATTAGTATATACAACACAAAACTAAAATCTACGATTAAAACATAATTCTTTTTTTGTTTTACTACTGACCGAAGTAATTAAGTTTTATTACAATATGTATTATTTAAAGTAGCTGTTTGGGTCTTTTTTGGCGAAATAATATAATAATTACAGATGTTATTGTGTTTTAAAGCATAAAGCCAGCGTTTTATATAATTATTTACCTTTAACATATTTGCACACATGTACGTTATCCAATTTAATAATTTTCACGACCTATAAATAAATAACATTTAAATTATTAATTTCAGTCTACAGAATGATTTTTTTTATCATGAACCAGCATTTATTTTTGAGGATTTTCAGGAAATTTGATTGTTTATAAGTTATAACCGTTTGAAGTTTAGACTGGAGGAGTATAGAAAAATTATCAATTTATCATTTAAAAATAGATATTCAATTTATTATCCATCCTTACTGTTCCGGTGGATAACTCATTAACGGTAATTCTGATATTAGTGTTATACACATCAAAATGTCTAGAAAAATATTTTCACTATTTGAATCAGTGTTCGAAAAAGGGAATTCCTATTTGAAAAACCAAAGTAGTTACTTATTTAAAGTATTCAGTGAGTGTAAAAAATTAAAAATAGTTTTAAAATAAAGCTTAACCAATTTCACAATAGTTAAAAAAAAATAGAAATCAAATTCTCTTAAAATCCTCCGAGAAAATATCTAGATCATAATAAATAACTTTACTGTTAGAAGCCCGGTGCCGGTTTTCCAAATCTTCTCCAATTTTGTAAAATTTGAAAATTATTTGTTAATACCACAAAAAGAAAAGAACTGAATCTGTTACAGAAATAAATTATAATCCAAAATCATTACATTAACATTGTAGGAATCAAAACAAAAAAATTCAGAAAGTCTCAAATCAAAAACATGTTCTTACATTTTTAATTAATAGTAGAAAAAAAATAAGTATGGATAAGTATAACTCAGAATAACTACTCAACCAAGGAATAGTTTAGGACGGAGAGGAGTAGGGGGCATAGGTTTCGGGTACCATATTTCAAGGAGATTTTGTGATCGTTTAAGACATCTCTTACAATAGTTTTATGATTATTATTTATTTACTATTATCATGACAAAAATGATTTTATCGTTGTTATTAAGCTTTATATTAAATAATTTACTTAAACATATAATTTTGTATTGGAATATAGACATTTTTTAATACATTAACCTCATCCCATAGTTTACACTCGCAAAATGGGTACAGTTTAGATCACAATAAGACCATCTCAAATTCCTGTGTGTTTTACAAAAATGCGTTTTTATATGAAAGGGATCTAAAGAAACAGCGCCCCAGTATGTTTAAAAGTTTAAATACATTTCTTACCCAACGTAAATACAAAGTACTAGGTACTTATGTCTTATAAATATTCGATGATTAATATTCGATAAGTAAATATGTTCTGGGAATCGGGTTAAATATTTGCTTGTTAAATTTTCTTTTTTTTTACCGAACTGTTTTAGAATATAACATAAAGTACCAATGTAAAAAATATAATTTATTATTATATTCATAAATTATAATATCACTAAACAAATATTTTCGTAATATTAAAAATGAAATTACCAAAACTGTATACATGATGCAGCGATTTTAACGTCATACATTTAAATTATTATGATTTTCACTACGTGAACTAATTAACTTTTGTAAGTTGGTGCGTCAGTGCTTGTGTTGCGCCGTGCACAAAATACCGCAACCCAATCATAAATATTTGGTAAAGTACAGGACTACAATACAAAATACTTTTCTAATTTTTTATAATAGCTAGAAAAATTTATTAGCTAGAATATTGTCAAGAGATACAAAATTCAATACAATAATATGCAAATTGTAAATATTATTTTAATTAGTTAAAGAATATATTTTAAAGCCATAATTATGATTTTGGGAAAATATTATTTTTTGATGTTAGTTATCTTTAGCTGGATTTCAACTTTAGGTAATTTTGTTTTAGTATACTTTGATAATTCAAACATTATATAATTGTGTTAATAAAATATATAACATAATAAAACATCAATGTGAAATTGTTTATGTACGTAGATTGTGCAGGAAAAGTCGTTTGCTATTTTAGCAATTGGGCAATTTATCGGCCTGGTATAGGGAAATTTACCAGTTGTGATATACTAGTCAAAGATTGTACTCATATGATTTATGCATTCGTTGGTTTAAATACCACTATTTGGTCTGTACAAGTTCTCGATTATGATGTAATTTGTATAATTACTTTTTTTTCTTTTTGATATTTACAATTTCAATATTATGTTAATTATTATTATTTAGGTTGATATAAAACAGAATGGATTTAAGAATTTTACAGATCTTAAAAAAACAAACCCACAAGTTACTTTTATGGTGGGTCTTGGTGGTTGGGGAGAAGGAGGAAAAAAGTATTCTGAGTTAGTTTCCTCTATGTCAAGACGGCAAGTATTTATCAAACACGCAGTAGGTAAGTTCATATAAAAAAACGTATATATTATTTATCATACATATTTAATAATACTTTGATTTTTATACTATATATGTATATAGAATTCATTAAGGAGTACCATTTTGAGGGCCTTGATGTTGATTGGGAATATCCAGGTGCCAAAGATCGTGACGGTAACCCATCAGATTACACTAACTTCGGTTCTTTTATCAAAGAACTACGGTTTGCATTTAATGTCGAGAATCCAAGTTGGCAGCTCACTATAGCAGCACCCTTATCAGATTTCCGATTAAAAGACGGTTATAACGTTCCAGCACTATGTCGGTAAGTTTCTGACCCAACCTAACTGATTGGTCTATATGTAGCTAATAAGATTCAGTTATTCTTAACGAAGTTATTCCTATGATAATGGGGACGGGTGCAGCCACTGTTATGGGTGAAAAGTTGGGAAGATAGGATATAAAGGAAAATTTAATGTATATATCTGTGCGCAACGATTAATCTTTGCTAACGAAAAACGATTCTAAACAGAGTTTGGTTATACATGTTTTGAAAGATCGTACAATTTACGATTCTCGTCAAAATTGGATATTAAAACGAGAACAAAAACAAATTCTACATAACGCGCAAACATACGTTTCTGTTTTGTATAACAATTTTGTCTATAGAATATACCTACCAAAAAAAAATTACGTCAAAACTCACAAAATTAAAATGTCTGTAATAGCTCAAACATTTTTTAAATATTTTAAAAATTTGACCACGTCTAGAAAAAGCAAATATAAGCTTTCTGTCTAAACTTTGAGTTCTTACGACTATTTTAAACTTAATTTTTAACTAAATATTTTTAACTGAATTGCAATAAATGATGAATAAAACTACAAGGAAAACCAAAAAATTACTTTTCTACCTACTTAACTAGATTTAAAATGCAACAAATTGTCTTTTGTTGTTTTTCTATGGGAGCAATATTTCTAGTAGAAAACATAGTTTGCAAAAATTAAAAATAATAAAATTGGTAACGCCGCAGTGTGCCAAAAATATTTACAAAACTAAGTATGCAAAACAACTGCTCTATTTAATTCAAAATGACTGAATAAACTAAATCGTGAACATACCTATATATGATACTAATTAATATAGAATTAGGAAAAACCACACAAATGCCTAGAAATCCTAGCTCTACTTATGTCGTTTTGTGTCTATTTAGACTCACATTGATTATGTATATTTTACTTGAAAATTATATTAAACATATTAGTTTCTAATTTAATTCAAGTTCAGCTGACGCTATTCACGTGATGGCTTACGATCTACGAATAAACCAAGACGGATTTGCGGGTTGTCATAGTCCATTATTCCAAAGTCATTTTAATCCAAAGACAAATAAGTCATATAATGTTGTGCGTAATTATAACACTGGAAATAATTATGTTTACATTTAATATCAGCCAATGTATTAATATAATTATGAATATTTTTGTCACATACAGGCCGATGGGATGCAACTGTGGGTGGATCTCGGTTGCCCACAAGAGAAATTAGTAATGGGAATGGCGTTCTACGGAAGATCCTTTACTCTGTGCGATAATAAAACTCACGATGTCGACTCTCCTGTTAATGTCCAAGCAGGGGGTGGCATAGCTGGACCGTACACCCAGAATGTGGGATTTTTGTCTTATTATGAAATATGTATGGATTTGAATTGTAAACAAAATTCTTGGACAGAAATGTGGGACCCCGTGGGACTGTGTCCGTATATGTATAAAGGTATTATTAAAAGTGATATGTTTGGAGTATGATTTTTAACATTATCGATCTAATATGCCGTATACAGGTGATCAGTGGGTCGGTTATGAAAATAAAACAAGTTTAACGTACAAATTGGATTATCTCAAATGTAAAGGTTACGCCGGAGCAATGGTTTGGGCTGTAGATATGGACGATTTTCATGGAGTTTGCGGTCCTAAATATCCTCTTATTGAATTGATACACGATTCTATGGAAAGTTATAGTATTACGATAAAACCATAAGTCTTTTTTTTGTTATACGCTACTGCCCAAAATACAGTGATTCGTTATATTTAAAGTAGCGTTTTGGCCTTTTTTTCGAGTTAATATTACGATATTTCAGTAGGTATAGATTTTATTTTATTTTAGCCCTAAGGGTGCAATAGAGCTGAAGATCTGTAACATTTATCTCTATCCTATATTTGCACACAACATATCTGTTGTATAATTAAATATTTTTATGATTTACATAGCTTACAAACATATTAAAATAAATATGAAATTTGAGCATACACTTATTTATGTTAATTCTAGATAATATACGAAGAGGTCTAAAGGTTTGCGTAAAAGTGATTTTCTAAAACAATACAAATTTATCAAATTAAATAAAAAACATTTAAATTTTCTTTCAAATAAATATTTACAATTAATTTCATGTTATTATTTTGTAATAATGTCAGTTATTCGTGTCAGTTCCATGCAACCATGGTATAAACTAAATTATTTACGGACAAATCATTTTGCGCGAGAAAGAACGAAGAAAGCTACAATTAAGAAACCGATATACCTATATATATGTATATATGTATTTTTTTATATAGAGTGATTATTTTATCGTTCAGTATAAATTATATTCATCATAAAAAGAAAGGGTATTTGTCTATGCCTAAGGACTTTTATTTTTTTGTTGCACAAGGCAAATACAAATGAATCAAAAATTCAAAAGACGGACATACTTCGCGCGTGGATGGACCACTGTTGTAGGTGAGAAGTTGGAACTGTAGGAGGAACATTGAATGTATATCTTTACGCAACGATTAACCATTGTTAACGAAAAACGATTCTGAGCGGAGTTCAGTTAAAAGTGTTGCTTTGTCAACAATATATATATGCCATATTATGTAAAAATAATTGCATATGCATTATATATTTTCTTTAATAATATTTGTTTAATATTGTACCTATTTTTCCTTTTTTTTTTTTTAAATAATTCCTGTTAAACTTCCAGGATTACCTATTTTTTTCACATTTAATGTTTGACCAATATTTCCTATTGAGGAGCATTTTTACCTCCCTAAAAACGAATTGTTTTGGTCCAAATTAGTATTTCGAATTTTCTAGGAACTTCTGCTGTTCGGGTATAATTAATGGGTGCCCAAAGTTTCTCGTTAGGAAATATTTTGACCTTCGTCAAAACGAAGACTTAATAACTGTATTAACGATAAATAAAAATAACAATATACTGTAATAATATTAATGAACGGAGTATTATGAACTACAATGATTACTTATTTATTAATTAATTTACTTTTTTAAAAATATTTATGATTATAACAATTTGTATACTAAATATACATAATTAATAAGGTTCATGCAATATATTGTGTATATATTGTATATTTTGCCTTGGGCGTATGAAAAACAGACGGTCTACGAAAAGAGGGCTAAAGCAAAAAAAAAATAATAGTCTACACACAATTCGTTATTGAATTTTAATCCAACCATATAGAATGAGCGTTTTTGGACGATGCGCTGCGTCATGCGATGATAAGGAATCTGTTATTATTGTGACTGTCGATTTGTGTCTTATTATATTATTAGTTATATGTTGTAATAAATTATGTATGCACAATTGTATTTCTTTGTAATTAGTGTTTGCAAATAAATAATTACTGACGCGGTATATTACATGTAAAGTTAAAGTATAATATAATTTCGATAAAAATTGTTTTAAAAATTTCTTCCACTCACCGTTTCATTTATTTTTCAATATTACAATAATTATGAAAATAATTATACCTACCAAGCAGATTTATATATTATTACACTATCATAGAGTAATACTACTGTATCATAGCTACCTTCGACCTGTGATAACATACGCCTGTGAAATCTGGTCGTTGACTAAAGGTGATAGCAGAAGACTTATCACGTTCGAAAGGAAAATGTTACGAACCATTTATGGACCAATCTTCAACCCAGAAACACAGACATACGAAAGAAGAAGCAACGAAAATATAATGTCTCTTTATAATAAGCCAGACATACTCTATTTTATTAGAAAAGAACGACTAGAATGGTTCGGACATGCATGGAGGGCAGATGGACAGTTAGTTAAAAATGTACTTATCAATAAAATAAATAAAACGAGACCCCTAGGACGACCCAAAACCCGATGGATTGACGTAGTTGCCAAAGATATAGAAATGATAGACCAGGACGCAACTTTAGAAACAGCGTATAAGAGAGAGAGGTGGAGAGAGATTTTGATGGCAGCGATGGTCCTGAATGAACCGCTAAGCTGAAGAAGAAGAAGATCATAGAGTAATCATTTCCTGACCACCTTCTATATTTTATTTTTATTTTTATTTTATTTGTGTTACTTTACTATATTATTTAACACTATTGTCTGTAGCAAAATGACATAGGTACAAGATAATAATGATAATAATAATAATAATAATAATAATAATAATAATAGTACCTATATTTGATTTTTAATCGAAGATATAACCTTCAATTTAAAATTGGTATTCGTTTTTGATTTCGATTTCGTCAAAGTGTTATCTGTCAAATGATGTTAAATCAATACTTGGGCTCAATAGTTAGTCAGACAAAAATATTTGCTTTAGATAAAAAATTCAGTTTGCGAATCAATAGCACTATACCTACGCATGTTTTAAAAATTCAACAAAGTGACGAGTGCATTTGAATCGTTTATTGGTTCAATTATTTACACAGTTGCGCACAGTTTAACTTTAATGGAATTGCTGCTCGTTTATTATAATACCAAAACAAATGTTGGTGAAATTATATTTTTGAACGGAGCACAAAACAAGATTTTTTAGACTTACAAAATTAGACTATCGATTTACGTTATAAAGAACCAGTGCCCGAATTGGAAAAATAAAACAGATCGATTGCGAGACTCTAAAACAATTAGCATCCCTTGCAATCATTAAACTCAAGTTAACCCGCGGGGGGCTTTGCCCTGCACAACCCCCTTATACCAATTTTTTAACATAATTCAGCGAATAATAATTTACGAAAATATCCTACTCAATAACACTATTCCAGATTAAATATTTACTTGTACATACATTGACTTTAGATTCTACTATGATAGATTGATTGATTTAATATAATGTATGATTTTCTATTTTATCTGTCTATAAACAATTTTTTACCAAATGTTTGCCTCGATTGTTTTATTTTATCATTAACTTTAGGGTTGAATACTTCTGGTAGAAATATGTATTGTCTAATTTTTGTAATGAGGAGATAATTTTTTTTTCCTTGTTATAATCTTAATAATGGAGAAAAATCGAAAAAACTATCTGATATATTCGATTTTGTTCTTTTGTTGTAGTATTTCAGTTAAAAAATAGTAGTAGAAACCGAAAATTTCATCAAATACTTATATATATATATATCTTTCGAAACAGTATAATTTTCAAATTATTTTTTCAATTTTTCAGGGATTTGTAGACGTTTGAAATTTTTGAGTTTTTAGGATTTTATTTGGCTTATGCGATTAAAATTTTTTTGCCCCATTGCGAATTTAACACAAGGTTTATCATGAATTAAAATTAGTGGTAAAAAAAAGTTTTTTAGTACGTAATACATAGTCATTTTTATTATATGCATTTAGAGTTTAAATTGTAATAAAAATGCAAAACTACGTATCGTCCTATATGTTTCACAAAAAATAAATAGTTGGGACGTACTATAAAATTTTTGAAAAATTAATTGATGTATGAACCCCCCCCCCCAAAAAAAAAAATTAGAGCACTGTAATAGAACATAGAACTATAGAAGTACATATCGCCATTAAGCTAAATGTGTAATTATATGAATATAAATTAATATAGGTAGGGCAAAGGACATGTAACAAGAAGCTTTAAAAAAGCTTTAATCATGCAACCACGTATTCATTTAAAATCACTGAAATCAGCACTAAAAATAAGTTTTAATATTTTATTTTTTAGCAATTTAATTAAAAAATATCCAAATTAAGAAAAATAATTACCTAACTAATTCAATTATATGTTATTAATATTATGAGTCCATGACCAAATTAATAAAATAAATTGTTGTCTTTATGCAACTTTTTCTTATACATTTTATTTATTTAATTGAGTAGTTGATTAATAAATTTTATTAATTTTTAAACATATTTATTTGACATTTCTTCTTCTGACACTTAAAAATAACATTTTTAATGTACTAATTTATGACTTGATTAATGATTATCGTTTTGATAAAAGTTATTTCGCAAGGAATTGTGAAAAAAAAACCCAAACAAGTTTCCATAAGGCATTAAAAAACCTATAAGTGTCCCGAAAACAAAAATTTCTAAATATGCAACATAAAATTATAGATTGGACTTTGTTGTAACAAAAAAAAAATTTCTTTCAAACTGGCCTTTTTTTTTAAGACTGCACAAAATAAATATGCGACTACTAAAAGTGTTCTGCCTTAATCATATGGTATAATTGAAAAATATTATGCGATTTCCCATACAGATTTGTTGCGCATTCATAACCCACAATATCCAATTACTTACATTGTTTTGTGTTTATTTTGTTAAAATACGTACTGTTATTGTAATACTGTTGCGTTTGTAACTCGTCACTTAATTGTATAGTAATTGTTATACTAGATTGAAATTTATTCATATGACTCATGCAAAATGCTATTACATACTTTTTAAGTATATAACCATATAGGTAATAGTATCTAATACAACAAAACTTGTCTAAATACTGAAGTATCCGTTAATTATACTCGTATTATATCAATAATATATACGTCAGAATTGAGCTATACAATAAAATACGACTGACACTGGACAGGATGTGGAACGTGTTCCGAGATTATCTCTTTATTAACACTTTTAAAGCTAAAACAAAGTCATGTTCAGTCAATGGTTTTAACGCCATCTAACGGCGTTAAAGCAACATGGATATATATACATCGGATATACACTACGAATGTGTATTGGTTGTTCTGTATTTAACGTTTATACACGGCATAATAAGAGTGAGCAGAAAAATATTGAATACTTGTATAAACATCCACGAAATCAGTCAACGGGAATAAAATCAAATTATACAGATATTGCGTTATAATTTATGTAGCCCAGGAAAATATTTTAATAAGTAAAAATACAACACTCACGATGTCACAAAAGTTTTCTTTAATTATTTATTTTCTGGCGTTGTCGATTTTCAGTTTGATTTCAATTAAAGGTAAATATTTAATTTATCAATACCCGTATTCATCATACGTTTAACTTATGATATAATATATATATTTTGTAGATTGTGGGAAAGTCGTCTGTTATTTTAGCAGTTGGGCTATTTACCGTCCTGACATTGGAAAATATACCAGTGCCGATATACCGGTTAACGATTGTACCCATATTCTTTACGCTTTCGTCGGTCTAGACAACAAGACTTGGTCTGTAAATGTCCTCGATCCCGATGTAATTTTTTTTTTTTTTCTATTTGTATGTAATTATTTAAAATATATTATGTTATCGTTTATTTAGGTCGACGTGACACAAAACGGTTTTAGGAATTTTACGAATCTTAAAATAAAGAACCCGCAAGCAAAGTTTATGGTAAGTCTTGGTGGTTGGGGAGAAGGAGGAAAACAGTATTCTGATTTAGTATCTTCTCCGTCGAGACGAGCAACATTCATCTCGAGCGCAGTAGGCAAGTCGTTAAAAATACAAATGAATAATAGATACTATGTGAATTATAAAATACACTTTTATGTAAACATATATACAATTATATTATCTAATATAAATATAATAATTAATAATATATTCTAATAGAATTCCTCAATAAATACAATTTTGATGGTATGGATCTCGATTGGGAATATCCCGGATCAGAAGATCGCGACGGACATCCTACAGATTTAGAGAATTTCTATTTGTTTGTAAAAGAACTCAGATTTGCATTTATAAATCGACCTGATTGGGAAATCACAATTGCTGCGCCCTTGTCAGAATTTCGATTAAAGAAAGGTTATAACATTCCAGGATTATGTCAGTAAGCTATAACAATATAATTAAAATATTGTTTGTTTTACATATCTATTCGATAAAACATGTTATAGTTTATTGTATTTTTAGAATATTTAACTTTACTGCATTCCTGTCAGTGTTTTTTTGAAATTTTGAAATTTTAAGCTGTTTCGGGGGTGAGGATGAGAGGAATTTTAAATAATTTTAATGTATTAAATTGAAAATAATATATTTCGTGAATTTTCCAGTTTTTTCCATTAATTATGAAAACCCTTTTAAATATCAAAAAATTACCTTCTTAATGTACCACCCCAGTCAGATTTCCTTTCATAAAGAGTGCTACACTTGAAAATCAGAGCAACATTTCTGAATCTAAAATACAATACATGCATTTCATTATTTGATTTATAAGGATTAACAAGATAACTAATTAATTTTTTAGTGAATTGTGTTTTTATTATTTTTAGAATAGTCGATGCTATACACGTAATGGCTTACGACTTACGAACTAATGAAGACGGATTTGCGGACGTCCAGAGTCCGCTGTACAGGAGACCTACGGACAAAAATAAATACGTATATTGGAACGTGGTACGTAATCAATAGACAAAAATCCAAAGAATAACTAAATAGCATATAAGAATATGTATGATTTATTTATATTACAATGGTATTATGCATATAAATATCCATCGGTAGTCGATTTATATTAAAGTGTTGATTTGGTTTTACTATCGTAGGCCGACGGGATGCAATTGTGGGAGAATCTTGGATGTCCAGCATACAAGTTGATAATGGGTATGCCGTTTTATGGGAGGTCGTACACCTTGATCAACGACAATTCTCACGCGATCGGTACCCCTATCAAACCTGGATCAGAAGGCGGTACCGCCGGGACCTACACACAGGAAGCCGGAAGTTTAGCCTATTACGAAATATGTAAAGATTTACAGCGCAATGGAGGCGGCTGGACTCCAATGTGGGATCCCATAGGATTGTGTCCGTACATGTACAAAGGTTAAAATGTCGTTCGAGATGTGCGTTTTAGGCTGAACAAAACCGCGATACACAAATTAAAATAACAGCCCAACAAAATGTTTGCTAAAATCATAGAAAATTATAATGTAGAAACGTTGACGTATAATGGCACGATATCGAGTTACAGATAAAACAAACAGTTTTGATGGCCAGTTTTGACTGTCATCACCACGATATGTCGTGATTTAACCACCGAAACGCGAAGTCACCAAAACGCGTAAAATTATCGCAGTACCCGACAGCAGTTTTATCAATTTGTACCACAATTATTTCAATACATTTACGGGATGAACCCAGTATATCTCGTTCGGCTTTTTTTCCCCGTTATACCGATATCGATCTTTAGACACTTGAGAGTTATGCGATATCTGCACAATTTGAAGCACTTCCGCTTTTATTACACTTAAGTTTTTAATCCCAATAGTGAAAGTTTTTAAATGGATAGATATCATGTAAAACAAAATGTCCAAACGCTTTAATTATCAAAATTAAAAAATTAGAAAATCGATCTTAAGTAGATTTGTATCTGTCCATAGATTTCTTATCGTATCATTATAGATCAATCGACACAATATACAAAAAAAGAGCAGATACTATTGATGGGTGCGTCACTGTCGTTGGTAGGCAATTAGGAAGATATAGGATATATAAAGTTATTTAATTTATATCTGTAAGCAATAATAAACCATTGCTAACATAAAATGATTCTGAGCAAAGTTCGTTTATATATAATTTCAAAGACAGTAATATTTATGATTTTCGTAAAATTTTTATCTTAAAACCATTATAAAACAAAATTACTACTTGAATTTACACTGAACTTTCTTTTTAACCACTAAGTACAATTTATAATAAATTTCATGTTAAATTTCCAAGCATTTATTTGGTAGTTCCTATCAAATAAAAACTATGTAAAAAACTCGTAAACGGAAAATCAACAAACGACTTACTTCCTTCCTTACTAGATCCAAAATCCAACAAAATAGTGGAATTTTCAGATTAAAGCAATATTTCTGGTAGGAAATTTATTTACAGATAGAAAAAAAACACAAATAGTAAAACCAATAAATCCCTCATTTTTCTCCGAATTCAAAATGGGTATCTACCCACCTATCTGTTGAGTAAAAAAAAAAAAAACGATTGGTATCAAATCCCCAGAAACAGAAGTTTAGCTGTTTTAGTCTGCAAACGACTGTATATCTTATATTATTTTAATGAATATTATTATGTATTGTCGTGTGTACAGGTGATCAGTGGGTTGGCTACGATAACACGACGAGTCTAAGTTACAAATTGGATTATATCAAAGAACATGGTTATGGTGGAGCGATGGTTTGGGCTATTGACATGGATGACTTTCATGCTATTTGTGGTCCCAAAAATCCTCTCATTCGAGTCATTCGGGAAGCTATGATGGAATATCGCATTACTCAGATTTATTAAAAGACAAAATCGACGTCAAAAATCATATTAATAATATAATAATGTTTTCACTTTTTCTCCTATGGATATTTATACAAGGAAATCGATATGCATTACCGTTATTACGCGTAATTAGTGTTTACGTCAGACGTCTTTCATGTTGACATCACTGTATTACCCGCATGCTTATTTGAGTATCTGGTAAGATAAATGCAAACAAAATTAAGTACACAGATTTTTTTTTATATAAATTTATTCATTTATTTATTTATTAATTTCATGTATACATTTTTTATTTATATACTTATTTACTATATTTATAAATAGTTTACTAGTAACATTTTGAAATAATTTGAATTTCATGAAAATAACTAAATCAAATTAAAATAAATAACAAAGTTATTTTCCAAAATTTTATTTTTTTTCCCTATAGTTAAGTTAAAAGTTATAAAGTAATTTATAACGTAACTTTTAGCTTTTCAACTAGTTACACCTCAACTCTAATTATTTTCTTGTTCTTTCCTTGAATGCATTTTGTAAATTACCTATAGCGTTTAAGTATATAAACACAATATAATAATCGTACAAACGTACGAGTTGTATGGCATACAAAGTTGAGAATGTTGAGACGTATTATGTTTAAACAAATTTACTACCTTTTTTTTTGTATGTATACATTTTGTATTAAACATTGTGTACACAATGATTTTTAAGCATGCCCATCCCATTCGTGTGGTTAAATTATGCATTTATTCAAATTATGAATTTCGGAATTTTTAAGTGTAATTATAGTACACATTCAGTGTAGTAGCCAGCTGGTAACTATATAAAAAAAAAAAAACAGTAGTAATTTAGATATATGACTGCAGTTTATTGCTGCGCATATATATAGGTAACGTAATTTTGAGCTAAGATAAAACATATTTTTGATCATAATAATTTAAATTTATATTTTTTCAATACCGGTAGATAAAATATTATGGCATATCATTAAAATTTACCCGAAAAAAAAAAAATGATTTGCCTATGTACCTCTGGGCAATATAAGTTCTGATTGAGAACGAATGACTATACAAATATATAGTAGCTATATATTGTGATAACCTCATGCATTCAGGTAGATGGGTACTATACATAAACGATCACCGCATTATTGGCTATTTACGATAATAATTAACCGTTTTGTTTCGGCTACGTCGTAGAATGATTTCTCAATCGCATTCCCGCCTGGTCCCAAAAATAGACAATTATTATTTTGAATAACGCGTTGAATTATAATTCAGATATCTGTCGTTATCTTTCGATGGTTAATATTCATATGTTCCTTATTTTCATCTTAGATGACATCGATAGCAACGGTGTTGTTCCTTTTGAAATCTCTGATGCCATCTGAAATGGTTTTATCACTCACTTTGTTTCTGAGTAGATTATTGAGATGTGATGGACTAGATATGTAGTTGTTATCTCATTTATTTTACGATATCACGGTGATAACGTTTAATATTATATTTATTTTCCTAACTGTATTCACTTTATGTGATATACCTCAATACCTGTCTCTTTCGTTATATTAAATTTGAAACACCTGAATTAATATAATATCTCGAATACAATGTTTTACATTACTTTAATTTAATAGCTGGATTAATAATGTTTTTAGTTTAAGCGACACTCGAGAGTTATAATCAATTTAATTATCAGAACACAAGAAATAGCCGATTCCGTTCTTAAATTATTAAGTATTTATATAAATTACGTTCATTATAATACTGAAAAATCAATGTTCTCTTAATATTTCATGGTGTCATCAGCGATGCCTGTCAGTTTTTCATACAATATTTCCCGTTACATAAGTACCAAATATAACTGGGTGTATAATTTGCTCAATCGTAGCAATCTTATATTATTAAGACTTTTTTTTGCACTTAAAGACCCGTATTGTAAATTGCAGTTTTTATTATTAATAATAAAAATACAAATAATTTGTTACAAGTAATTATAATAATGATTAATGACTTTATTATTTGTCTTTTTTTGTAATACACATTGATGTAATGATGTCAATTGTGGTTTTATATTTAAATTCCAAATGCATATAACGTACTAAAGTGTATTACTGCATATAAAACTAATTAATAGTAAATTAGTAAGTACGCTACAATAATGTAGGTAACGAATTTGTTTATGATTCAATTTTCACTACATACACAACACACTAAATGCACATTAACACCACACTCATCAATCAAATAAATCGACCAACAAACAATTAACAGTAAGAAAGTAGGCAATGGCGGCATGAACTTATTATTTCAATGATCCAGTAAAATTTTTCAACACTCACACACCTCCTTTTATATAAACACAAAATATGAAAAAACCGTTTACCAAATCAGAGATCGACATGTAAACTTTCTTGATTTTTAAACTTGAATCTTAAGAATAAAGTGTCTTTCATCATTAACATTCTACCTCAAGTATATTGTATCTACTCAATCATAAACATCAACATTCAACACCCACCCACACAAACTCCCTTTTTTTCGTAACGCAGCTGCGTCAATTCAACCCCGTTTATGCCACCACTGTTAGTAGGTATTTAATATAAACAGAACTATAGATAAGTACAGTATATTATTAAAGTTTAAGTAGATTACCAACACATGTTTTAATAATTTCTTAATACGATGAATACCAAAAGACGGACAGTCACCTTTTTAAAATTAATAAATTCTACAATGTTGCGGCTAATTTTTTTTTTTTTTAAGTGTTTATCGTACAACACTCATTTTTTCAAAAAATATTAATTTTGTCCGGAATCCCTTTTTTTATAGATTGTAAGAAATGAGCCGCTTCAAATTGTTAAACTGCCATTTTTTTTCACCCTTGTTTTGGGGAGTGAAACAACTATCTACTTTTGATTTTCAAATGGCATCCTACATATTATAAATTCCTTAAATAGATTAAGTATTAGTTTAATCTAGATTAGATCGAAAATCTTGCCCCAATGTAGCACCTTTTCTGAAAGGAAATTTTATCTAGTCGATACTTTAAATAAATCATTTTTTGATTGTCCAAGTGGTTTTCATAATAATTGAGAAAAACAAAACTAATATTTGCCTTTTATAGACGCGGTAAAATTTTCAAAACATTTGAGCCATTTTTGAGCTATTTATAGACATTTTAATTTCGTAAAATTGTACACAATTACATTTTACCTAATAAAATTATATAAGAACTATATATGGATGACAAAAAAAAAATTTAAAATGGTAGTTTAACATTTTAGAGCGCCTTATTATCTTCAATTTTTTAAAATACAAATTCCGAACAAAATTAATCCTTTTTGAAATAATGAGTGCTGTGCGATAAATTAATCATCTAGTAAACATTACGAATATTACTGATATTTTATATTATCTTAGTTTTTTTTTTTTTTTCGTATAAAATATGTTTTTAAGCTTTAATTGACCTTTCAGTATCAACGACGTTTTCCCACAAATTTAATATCTAATGTCTATAATAATATATTATATTATATTCATTGTATTATTTATTTAAATATACAAGTATGTGTTCATTATCAGCAAACATTTTGTATCCGTTTCCGGGCACCGTCGTTTGTATTTTATTTTCAACGGAAACGTGCAATATATTTTATTCTATCTATATTTCGAGAAAAATATTACGCCACATCGTATAACAATCCTAATCGACATTTAAAAAATATATCAAGTTAGGAAAGTTCATTCTGCGAGCGTGCCAACTTCCTCGTTTCTAAACGTATTTTTAATAGTAAATTATAATTCTGTACACAATTTTGAAAGAATTTGGCAACGTAGTGTATAATGCTTATCCGTAAAAACCTAAATCAATTAGGAAACGCATATCTGAAATTTACAAGATCGGAATCCAGGTTTTTGTGGATATTAAAACCTTAACCGTACAAATCTGAAAAGTAATTTCGTTGAAATTAAAACATTTTACTAGCCGAATTTGTACGTTTTAGATTTTTATAGGTACTCATTATATTATGTGTAATAATAATGTTACGAATATTATCTATCTCCTCTTTGTTAGTCAAATCTATAACTGTTGTGTACGTCCCACTGTTCGTGCGTACCTATTATAATAAAATTACGTTTAATTAATTTTAAGATTATTATAAATATATATATTAATAATAATCCTTTCGGTCAAAATTATCATATAATTAACTATTATTTTTAATAAGCACACCGTAATCGAATATAATAATTATTATCGTTATAATACGTTGCGTCAATAAAATGTCGCTGACGCGATTTGCGTGTTCATAAAAATCAATCGTTTCTGTCGTTTCTGTTGATATGTGTAAATATGTGTAAAGCAGCTGAATGACAAGCTAACGGTGAGATCATAATAAATAGTGATACCTAAAACACTATTTATTTAAAAAGTGAAATGCACCGTTTTGTAAAGTACAATTAATCTAGTTTACATTATTATTGCCAAAAATAGAAATTTAAAGTGCCCATTAATACAACAAAAATTAATTAATATAATATTAGGTATTCAGTAGGAATTGTAATAAATAATAAGTGCACTAAAAACGAAAAATTTGATGGTTACCTATATAATTTAAATGAAAAAGGGGTTTGAATACCTATAAGAAAAATCAATATGAATTAGCAAAAGAAGTATAAAATAAATTGGATACAAATAAATTCGGTTGCCTTAGAGTCACTTGATCTGACGTCAGATTCGCCTGTTACTCCAGCAGCTGGCAATGGACTATAGATTTGTTATAATTTGTTCCTTATTTTTCCAATACCTTAGAGGGTACTTCAATCTAGAATAATATTAAGAGTTCAATATAGCTGTACCTCAGAACCAGACGAATAAAATATGTAATAAGTCACAACATGCCAAATTTTCAGGAGAGCATAAAATCTGAAAAAAAAGTTCAATGCTATCAGCCTCCGAAGCTTGAATTTTGAATTGGTGTATACCGATACGCTATATTGGTTTATTTGTATTATTTATTATAAACACTAGACTCACGTTGTTGTGACATACATATAGGTAACATAGATCAGAATTTACACGCGTATGACTCTAATAAAATAATGAAGAGAGAACGTTTAACGAGTCGATTTTACATTTGAACATTGTGGTATTTAGTAGTAGGTTATCAAATATTACATATTTAAATATAGGTATAGATATTTATACTTTTGGGCCATTATTATTTATCATAATTTTTGTCCATATTATTTTCGAAAAACTGTACCCATGATTAAAAAAATATAGACACGTAGGCTAAAATTATATTTTCACTACATCATTACTCGTGTTCAGTGTTCACGATGTATCCTTAATTCATAGTCATGACTATCCACGGATTATCATATGGTGATAACCAGCCATTATCACACATTATTTGATCGGATTTTTTACGATCGGCTAGTACATTGTCGGAAAAATAAATTTCGTTTACAATACTTTCGGCTTGAATATTGTTTAGTCGAAATATTTTTCGTTTCAAATATTGTTTAATAAAAATGAAGATCTTCCAGTATAGTCTTCGGCTTTTTCACGCGCTCTCGGGCAAATTGAGATCAACATCGCTGTATAGCGACATCCGATTATTATTGCGCGGCGGTTCGCCTATTGCATTAAGCTATCTATAATCTATTTTACATAATATAATCAACGGTAATACACTAATACCTATATTATAATAATTCACGTTTAAATACAAAATAACAGCTATAGGTGGGCCGATACATATACCGATAATTTATTAGTATAGGTTTATTTTTTTTTTTTTGTTTTTTTTTGGATTTTTTCGAATGTTTACTAAGATTAACTATAGTTCAGAGATCAGAAATAGTTAGCTAAATACGTTTTTACTGTAAAAAAAAATATTTATTGGACATATTATAAAAATCCATGTTTTTGGTGGATTCTAATTTATTTGTTTTGCCTCAACACCACTACTGTTGGGAATGTTGGGATGTCTAAAACCGATTGAAACATTTCAGAAAATACATTTTTGGTCGGTTGTTTTTTAATGATTCAGCTCGATACATCCTATCAATGTCTAAATATTTGACGAACAATATGTCAAACTTCAAAACATATTTTAAAGCCTTTTCTAAAATAAATTAAATACCTACTGAATTTATTTAACAAATATCGTATATAGCATTTATGTTTGATTATGCGATTTAAACAGTAACAATTTTGTAAAAATTTTACCTATCACCACCGATCAATATTCTAATAAATATTGATATTTCGATATAATATATATTATTTTGATAATCTCGAGTCCGAAATATGTTTCAAACAAATATTTGAAGTTTGATGAAATCGATTATCTGTGAAATTCTGGTTATATAATATAGGCAGGTGCCATTATTGAGCGGATTTCCGCATTTAAACAACATACTATACATTTTTTTTTTTTTTTTGACAATAGCAAAAAATGAATCACGATTTCCGAGCTCGTTTTTAACGTGATATTTTAATATTTACATAATCTTTTTGTTGTTCGACAGAAGATATCATGAATTCGATCATTCAAACAGTTATTCGCGTGGAGTTTTAAAGGAAATACAACCTCCATAGAAGAGTCGTTCGGTGTCCTATATAAAAACAAAGCCAATAATAATTTATCAACCGCGACCCCCCAAAAAAAATATTCCTAGATTAAACTTGTGATTTTTAATCGAAACAAGACTGAGTTTTTTAAATTAATAAATGTATATATTTGATATTGTATTCAAATTATATTGTTTTTGTTATTCAATTCCACGAGTTGATGAACTGATAATTATTTAACAAATTGTATACGAAAGGGTATGACAATGTGTCTAATAGTGTCTAACTTGGCTAACTTATCGTGTTTACTGCTGTTCCCTTAAATCGTAAACGTAGGACATTAAGATTAATTTTGAAAAATTACGAAATGAACCGTATTTATAATAAAAAAACATATTTTATCACTTGAGAATAATATCAACCAGTTAATAGCCGGCTACCAATTATCAGCTAAAAGAAAAAAAAATACATATAATACCATAAAAAAAATAAATAGTAGTAAATGCTTACTAAGAACGTAGTTTTTATGAATATTTAATTAACATAGTTTATAATTTACAAATATTATAGTTGATACAATGAGATAGTTTTTGATTATTCAAGCAGTTCTCATAATAATTGGGAGAAACAAAAAATTACGTATAAATAAATTTACGATATATTAATTTCATTAGGTACATTGTTTTTCTATCAAAAATTTTGTTCCGAATTTCAAGAAAAGTTTCTTTTTTGAAAGACAATTTTGTCTAGTTGGTGTATTTGAAGATCGTTTTGGGCTATTTTAGGCATTTGACATTTTCGAGTTTTGTTTTTGTCTGTATTTATGCGGATGAAATTGCTTGCACAAACATAATAAGTTGAGAGTTATTAAGCAGTTTTTTAAAATCGTTCTAAGGTTAAATTTTGACGAAAATAGTAAAATTGACGGCATTTCTAAACATGTATAATCGAACTTCGCTTTAAAAATCATTTTTCATTATAGCAATGGTTTATCGACGATTGCAGATACAAATTGTGTAACAATATGTATCCTAACTTTTTTTAAATTGTTTACATCATATAAAACTCGTTGCAGTTTCGATCATTTCCATTAACAACGCAATATCGTATTCGAGTATTATTATTACTATTTTTTTCATTATTCCAACTATATGTCGATAAATAATAATTATTATGACTGTAATAATACGCCCAGCACGACGAACGAATCGTCGCGACGTCGACCAAAATATTTGGTTTTGTTATCGCGTAAAAGATAATTCATTATGTATAACATAATAATATTATAAAATACCGCTCGTTTTATCGAAACCGGATGAGTTCGTTTCCTTTTCTTTTTTTATTTTTTTTTTCTAAAACGCCGACTGACGACGATCATCATCCGTCCACTTTTTTCCCGGACCACATTAATACAGTTTGTAACACGACGGCCTGCAACCATCACGACGAGCGTATTAATCGAAATTGTATTATGTCATTTTATATATATATATATTTTTTTTTATCGATATTTCTGTAATTCATCGTCCACGAAATTGTTCAGAATATATTATTTTACTACCGGCATACTGTTCAACCGTTTGTGACAAGGTTACAGCTTGTTTCTTGGTTACTGACGTCTATTTAAAAAAAATCAGTTAGCTGCCATGAAATAAGCTATTAACATGTCACGACGACCGACGAGAGACGACGTTATCACGGGCGATCTGCGATATTTGCATCTGCAATGTTGATATGTTACGGTTAATGTCGTTATGTTTATGCGAGCTATAACCGATTTCGTGCTGTTAGTTTCAATGTTAAAGTGTATTGGCCTGTTATCAAACTTGAAGTTACGAACATTGCTTGCGTAATCGTACATTGGTGTTTTTTTCGATATTGTGATTTTTAAGCCAGATTCGATGATATTTAAATAATTGTAATATTTCATACATTCGTAACTCGCATGAAATAATAATAAAATATCGAGATGAAAACCAACGTACAATAATAATAGACAATGTTCTTACTTTTAAGTTTGATAATAAGCTAATACACACTATAATATCAAAATTAACAGCACAAAATCGGTTTTCATTTACAAAAAGGGTAAATATAACGGCGTTAACCGATTTTATAACGTTAATAAAAATTGCATATGTTACATACATTTTTTTAGTAAAACCGGTAAGTTTTTTATTTTTTCGGCGATTCAACTGGATTTTCTACACTCCCAAAGTGGCGCCCGTCTTGTTTATAGTATGTATTATTTGTCATTTACTCACCCCGAAATTACCAAAACCTAAACATTTTAACAATTTTATATCTACCGTGTTTAAATAAATAAACGGATAATTATAATGATAATGATTAAAGCTAATTTATGTAAATCGCGTAACACCGTGGAGCAAAAGTGTTGTACTTCATAAAGTAGTAATAAAAATCGATTATGTCGGGACTTAGTTGTAATTGTTTTAGTGTACCATACCCATGTCATTAATCACAAGAATCTTAAAGATCTAACTTAACGGTAAACACTGCACACCGAACCTTCTGAAGTCCTGGGACCATTTATATCGAAAAAGGAACCATTTTTATTCCGGGTACCAGTTTTTCGTTGTTGTTTTAACATTTGACCGTAGAAAAATGAAATATTATAGGTACCAGGATCGCAGAAATGGTCAATCAACTTGTCGTTTGTGTGATTTTTCAATTTTTGGCTGTAAAGTAATAAACCCGTTACAATTAATTTTATTATAATGATGATTTTTAAGTATAATAAGGACATGAATAGAACAGGTACACTAAAATAAATATTATTATAGTATTTAAATAATAAGTGAAATAAATTTAAAAACAAAATAGTTTTACATTTTAATATTTTACATTGCTGATTGCTGTTTGTTAATAGGCTGGTACCTACTTGCTAGTTTTGTATCACCTAATAATTAATCAATCATTAAAAACAATAATATAAGTTCCATTTAATGTATATTTATGTCAAACGCAAATAATTATGGGTCGATACAGAAAGCATATTTGATAAGAGTGAAAATAGAGCATATAATGCAAAAGTTACCTATTTTAATAATTCATTTGGTCAAAAATCCGTTGATTATCTTGGTCTTACATATTTCAACACATTGTCTATTAACATTAAAAAAAAATACACACACCAATCCCAGGAATCTTAAACAGTTAAATCATAATAAAATAATTGTTAATTGGTTATTCGCATTATTAGATTAATATCTGTGTACGATGTTTAATAATCTTATCAACGAATTGTGTTTCATTTTTCGATCGTTAATTTAATTTAAGTGATATAAATTGTAACTCTTTACCATCACCACAAGCATAGCTTAAAAATGGTAGATTCATGTTTATTGTAGTTTTTGTTTTTTCAAATTTATAATAAATATATTTCTAAAAAAAAAAAAATTATCCTTTACAGTCGCAGTAACTGATAAAAATATCCGGATCTATAATATCCGATGAAAAAATATCGAGGCGGAAAAAAATAATGGTGGAAAATATATCTAAGTATAAATGTATAATAATTAATAAATAATCATGTTGTTATTATAACAGTATTCTATATTATATTATTTATTTAAAAATATCTTATTTGTGAAAATTGTGATGTGGCGTTGAAACTCGACTGACAACTGATGACACTACGACTAGATATATAAATTACGGAATTACCTACCTAAGGAAAATAATAACTGGACCACTTCGTCGGGAGTGTATTTATACCGTTTTTTTTTTAGTTTTGTTTGAATTTTTCGAACAAAGTTCCGAGATTCTCTAAAGAAAATGAATTTAAGCATTTATTTCTAAATTTACTCATCTAAAAATACCATTTTTAAAAATTTGTTATTAAATATGTACCTTTATAATTGACGTGCCTAATTGCTTTGATGTTTACTCTCATAGTGTCTTTAAATATTAAATTCTTTACGACAGCGACGACGGTTCCGCAGCATATCTAACTCATGGTCTCATTATGATACCAACTCAATAAAAAAAAATAGAAGAGACGCGAGACTCCGATTATCATTAAAAACATTGTATTCAGTATCAATTTTGCGATTTTTAATTTGAGACATTTTAATAATTAAAATTAAATTTATTGCATTTTTGCTAGAAATGAGAACCTACAGTTTTGAATAACGAAAAAAAAGTACAAACTAGGGAGTAGCGTGGAAAATAGATATAATATTCAATACTTTAAATTTAAACACAAATGATAAGTTATAAATTTGATTTTCAAAGACAATATGCGAAAATATAATATATCTATTGAAGATTTTATCAAAATGAACCGGTATTACAGGTAAGGCCCTTAGTAAAAATATAAATTTTGAATGTGGCCCGCACACAAAGTTAAAAATGGTTGGGCCTGCACTACAATAATGATAATTGTGATAAACGTTTAAGTGCGATCACATATGAATTGAAACTACTAGAACACAAATAACTTTTCAAAACTAATTAATTTAAAATTTTACCAAAAAAATACATTTTCTATCTTTTTCTCTTTTTTTTTACGAATTGAACAAGTTTTGTAAACAAATTTTCAAAACGATTTTTAATCTTATTCGCGAATGAACTTTATATCCACGAGTCTTAGAAGCGACGTCAATTGTATTTTTAGTCACAATATTGTCACAGGAACAGGTAATAATATATTATTATTTTGAAAAAATTTAGGTTGTTTCTCAGTGGCCAAAAAAACAATTTATACTTGTTTTTACACATCATGTACAATAAGCTATATTATATTATAGTAAATTATATTTTTCTCTAGCTTCCCAGCACCTACAACAGTGAGATACTTTCATCATTTTTAGATGATAAATAGAGAACCTTCAAGGTTATATAATCAAGAGTTTTAAAAAAATAGAAATTAATGTTAAAATAAACATAAAGATAGTAAAATTGAAAAAAAACAAAATTAAATTCACTAAAAATCCTCAAAGAAATTTACCACTTTCTTCCATTTACTAAATAAATATAACTTGTATAATTTCATAAAAAATATTATAAAACTTACCAGTTTTCAATATATTTAAACTGATTAATTACATAATAACCAAGAGATTTTTCAAAATATTATAATGGTATAAAAGAAACTACTAATTGTTAAAAATAGTTTAATATATAAAACTATCAATAGAGTAATTAATGAAAGTAAATCACAAAATATGTTTTAAAATACAGATTTAATTTCATCACATAAAAAAAATGCACCCCTACAATGACGGTAAATAAATGACTGAATATAAGTTACTCTAACACAGCGAATGAAAAAAAATGCAAACATCTTAAATTTAGATTAATAAGAAATTTGATTTCAAGCGTAAATAATCTATTATACTAAGGTTAATTTATGATTAAAAAAAAAAAAAAAAGAAGGTTACATAAAATATAAAAAGTGAAGTATATTATTAAAATACAAAACTTTTTAGAATTAAATTAATTTTTGTAAATTTGAACACACATTTTACTTTTTTGGAGTATCTTTAATGGTTATAAAAAGTTATTGTAGTGAAACTTAATACAGTAACAATAGTACACATTATGGATCACTAGGAATAATTTATTACCTTAACAACACTAAAAAATATTGCTTAAAAATGATACATTATATCTATATTATATAATTTTGTACTAAACAGAATACAGTTTTTTCATTACAATTTAGAATATACCACAATCTATTCTTGAAAATACAACACTCGTTTTATAACATAAAAGTAAATTTAAAATGTCAATTATACATTTACAAGAAAAAAATTATCCATACATAAATCATTATTCCATAAAGCATATTGATTTTATGATAAAAAAATTGTTATAATCAAGCATTTATCTTTTCTTAATGTTACCCTAAATCAACCATTACAACTCTAATTCATTCAACCATATGTTCCTAACGAGTACAGTATTTAGCAATTACGTATATGTCAAACATAAATACAATGTTATAAATAATTCAATCATGTAGTTTCATTTAATTTTCAGTTTTATACAAAATATTAAACTCAAATCGCACAATACAATGTATTATAATTTATTAAATTTTTTGTCGTTGATTTGCAAATATATAACTATAAGTGAAAAAATTAGCCAATATATATATATATATATAAAAAAAAATTAAATGGTATTATTGTACACATTTGTGTACTATCATAACTAGTATTAAAACGTGTATAATTTTTATCTCTAATGTCTATTATAAAAATTACTGAAAAAATGCAAATTTAATGAAATAATTATATTGTATAGTTAACATATAATAAATAATGACAAAAAAATTAAACTTAAATGTCAAAAAAAAAAATACTGTACTCCTGGGTTAGAGGATGGAGAAGAGTATAAAATAACTATGCTTCTTTGAGGCGACCACCATCTCCTTCAGACACATAACGCTTACGGGAAGATCTAAAAATCAATCAAATCGAATTAAACATAATATTAGTTCTCAACTATGAATTAAACATAAAATTAAGTAACTAATGAATACCTTGTTGGGATCTTTTGCAATATGTCCCGTTTTAAGAATCCGGCATTAATACACTTGTCCAAAAAACGTTCAAGAACAGCAGGTGCTAATGGCACATCAATAGATATATCATCAAGAACATCAAAGACTCTATCAAAACCCTAAGAAATAAAACAAAGGATGAGTATCAAAAGTAATAATAATACCAGCTTTTGTCTCATACTTTATTCATCATTTCTGGGGTTATAATAATAGCGTCGTACAATGCATTAAGTAATTTGCACATAGCAATCTCAGTATGTGTATTCATGGCTTCAATCACATCGACGACAGCCTGAAAATAAAAATACATTAAATATATATTTTACCTAAGTGTATAGTTATAAATAAATAAACAAAATTAATATAATAAATGATAGATTAAAAAATAATAATACAAACCTCATAAACCAGTTCATGATGAAAATGTGGTACTTCCAATTCTAAAATGCATCGAATAGCTTCTTGCAAATCACCCGAACACAAATATTCGTCTAAAAGCATATTCATTTGTCGCACAAGATACTGCACAGGCCTCAAACTACCGCCAACACCCCAAACATTATCTAATCTAGTCAGTCCGTGTTTAATGTTCAATAAGTTATGGGCTTTGATCAATGCTTCACTATAAAAATAATGCACAAATAAAAAAAATTATAAAGTATTATTTTAATATACTTGCAAACAATATACTTACTTAGCCAATTCACTGTAGTTTTTCTCTTTGAAGAAATCTATGATCTTCGGTGGGAGACAATCGTCGGCAATAGCTCTAGCCAAGAATAAACCAACAAAAATAGGAGCTTCAGGGGTATCAAGAATGAGATCAGGAAGATTAGCCAATACTACATCAAATCCTTGGGCAATTTCCTTTTGCTTAATTACACGCCCGTACAGATCTGACAACAATACAGAAGTCATTTCTCTCTGTGATGGTTTGTGCTCAAGAGCCACTTCAACAGCAACTTGAGTAATCTAAAAAAAATTAAATAATTAATATGTTACATTAAATTATTATTGAAAAATATAAAACTTACCAAATGCCATTTGCTAATAATGTTAAGCTCATACAATGACATTGCTACCTCTTCAGTATCGCCATGTTCATAATATTCAAGAATATTAAATGTAATAGAGTTCTAAAAAAAAATTAGTAAAACATTATAAGTACACTCTGGAGAAAAAACAAAATAATCTTAAATATATTATAATTAGGGTTCACGATAATAGCACTTAAAATCCGGAAAAGAGAGTTTAAAAAAACGTTTATTATATAAGAATGGACCATTGATATATATTACATAATATATAAAACAGATATCCAATATTTGAAACAGAAAATTATGAATTTATATTGAAAAGAACTGATATCAGGTGAAAATTTGATTCTTTTAATGCTATTAATCATATTCTTGAAAATATTTTTCTCAAATATTAATTTAGGAAAAAAAACTGATACTTGATCAGTAAGAGATTTAAAGATCATTATCATACCAATAACGAGTATCAATTCATTTATCAGCCAATCGTTATTTATTATCTAATAAATTGTAGAATACAATGATGAAAATATTTAAAAAAAAACCATAGGGAGGAAATCAGTGAAAATGTGAAAAAAAAAAACCCAAGGAATAAATAGTAAAAAAACAACTTTTTATATTATAAACGTATCAAAATAAAATCCAAAAAAAATGCTATCAAAACCCAAATCCTGATTATAATTCATATTGAATTAGAAATATTGCATTAAATTAAAAATAAAATCCTCCCCTTTTAATTATTTTTATACGGATTAAACAAATGTATTAATTTTTTAATATGGATATAAGTTTAAATAATTTAACACTAAAAATTATTCATATCAAGAATTGTTGACAATAAACTTAATAAGAGTTGATACAACTGAAGTAGGTGGAAAGTAAGCAAGGTAGGATAATGTTATATATATATCTTAAAGCTCTAATTTATAGGATTTTCATCAACATTTGGAGCAAAATTTTTAACAGAAAAACAGAATTATAACAGCTTTATGAATTTGAAAACTACATCTAAAATGATACAAAAAAAGTTTATTTTTATTTATGGATCAGAGCAAGATCGGAATAGAAAAATTCTACACACCAAAAAAATAAGCACATATTGTAGAAAGACCAATACATTCCTTGCTCCACTCAATATTTAACAATTATATTTAATTATTATTTATTTATGATATTAAATTTAATATTAACTATCAAAATGATAACATGTGTATTATTAAAAGTAGGACTATACTTAAAATTAATTTTCTAATTTTTAAATGTTAGTAGATATCTAATGTTATTACACACACACACACATACACACACACTAAAGGTGAAACAATTATTACTTTCAGTTCTTCGTCAGACGATTCTGGAGTAATTTCCCGCAGAACAATATTATCGTCATCCAAAAGGTCACTATCATAATTAGGATCCTTCATGTCAATAGCTGCATCCAGATCACTTTCTTCACCTAACTTTCCCCAAACACCTTTGCCACCAGCACCACCTGATGAAATGATAAATAGGCATAAATACAAATTATTTAAATTTTCTACCTAACAATAATATTAACATAACTATAATATTGTAACTGAGAATATTATGTACAACAAAATAATGAATGCTAATACCTATTTATAAATATATCTAAGTTAACAATGGGAATAGTATTACCTATTCAATTTAAGTTATTTAATATCGTGCATGGTTGTAAACAACCAAAGTAATTGTATACAACATATAATACACATTATATTATATAAAACTACTTCTTTGAAAATTAAATGATCTCGTTTGTCAAGGTTTAACTCACCACTAGAAAATTATCTAAATTTCAAATATAAAAGCTATTTGTTGAACAGAAAGCTTTTACGATCATTCAAAAAATGCTAATAAGCTTGTACATTATGAGTCTTATAATAACTGATACAAAAATAAGCAAATACCATCTATTACAAACAGGTACATTATAAAAAAAGGCTAATGAAATGTTTTTTTCCTATTATTTATTATCACAATACCTAGGTACTTAAACAATAAATTATTGCCTAGACTCCATTGAACTGTCAGGAAATATAACTAATAATTATAATAATAACTATCCATATAAACATTAATTGGGTACTACAATGTCAATTTCAAAATATAATTGTTTATTTATTTGGAAATAATATTAATTTAACAGAAAAAAAAAAATGTAATCTAATGATTAGAAAAATGTACATTATTTTATGTTTATTTAAGTAGGTGACAGTAGTATTATATTTTTAAACACATTTAATGATTAAAAAATCTAAATGCTCAGCATAAAATATTCTGTTAAATATTCAAATAAAATATAATATTGATTACAAATTAATTGTTCACATGAGATGCTAAAATATCAATGGATGCTTCAATAATTCAAATAATGTACCAAATCAAATTTAAATTGTGATTAAAACTTGTCATCTGACACAATTTTATTGAAATTAAATAATGTTTACCAACATTAAGTGTAAGGACCAAAATGTGTGATAATACATTATCGTCTTTAATAAGTTCTCAAAAGACAATATCGAGATAAACAATAAATTAAATTACCTAAATTTTATAATCTCTATTTCATATTAACGAACGACCTTCAGTGAACCTAGATAAAATTTTAAAATATTATACATACCTTTATCTATTATACCATAAAAAAAAAATGAATAATAATATGTTTACTATACTTTAAAATGTTTAAAGTAGTTATCTGGTTAACAAAAATAATAGATTTTCATCATTTTAATTGATTTGACGTCATTCACTCTTATTTACTGACCTTAAAATATTGGTAAATTATATAAAATTAACAAAAGAAATCAATAAAAAGAAAAATGTAGATACCACAAATGTTTAAAAAGTGTATTAGTCTCTTGACCAAAAGAAAATATAATTATAAACAACCTAAGTATGTTAAGAAATTTACTTTATTATTATACTAAATGTTCATACTATGCATTGATTATCACTACATTAATCATATACCTACTTATAGCTATTTAATTTTAATATAATACTCGGGTATATGTAATAATTACAAACACCTATTCAAGCCCTATGATTAACCTATATTTAAATTTCAACTCAAGTCACTAAGCGGTAGGTACCTACTACCTACTAATAAGGGCTGTATTTAGAAAAAACCTATGAGCGTATTTATTTATTTACTTATTTATTAATTTGTTTGATTTAGCAGTCAAATATTAACATGGGTAATATAGATAAGTAACAATTAAAATACGCCCCAAAAATTATTTATAAGACAAATATAAACTTGTAGGCATGTAAGTCATCAATACAATTCTGGCTATTTATTTTATAAAATTTAAAATAACTGCCAAATTATTTATAACATTAATCCGATTTCAAATTAAAATAATAATCGTAATTAAAACCAATATGATTTACAATGCAAGTGAAATTTAAATTAATCATGAAAGTTATTGGAAGTTCATTAACTACTATTTCTCACAAAATAGATGATATTTTATCCCCTAAAATAATAAATAACCATTTTTAAAACAAATGAGGCAATAATGTTGAAATAGTAATAAAATTAAAAGTAAATTTCAAAAGAATATAATTTGTTGTTTTATTTAAAGATCTATTTATAAGATAAATTAACTACATAAAATAATACTTACATACGCAAATACAGGGTGATTGTGTAAAATTTATTAAATATTTATAATTGATTGTTTTTCTCTTGGCAGATAACATTTATTTAAATATTATTTATTTGCACAACTTTTAAAAGATTATTTGCTTACTTCTATTTCGTTTAAGTCATTTAACCCAAATGCCTCATAATTAGTCATGATTTTTATCTCGATTACAATTTTTATTTTTACAAGGAATTAATTTAATATTGGACTGAAAATAAAATCTCGTATAAAATTTGTTTAAAACTTTAAACTAGAATAATAAATTGATACAATAATTTCAATATTTATTTTGAGACAATCAATGATTATTAAAGAATGTTTTATGCTAAAAATCCATATTTTAAATTAATATTAAGTTTTTGCATAATATAACAATCAATTAAAAACGTCCTACATATAAACTTGCCATAAAAATTGCATTACCTAACTAATTGAAGTGCCTAAATTGATATTCTAAATCAGTATAAAATAGGAATGCAATGTTTTAATTAATAATTAAGTAACTAGGTACCTAATAGAATCTTTGAAAAATTATACCATACTATAAATTAACTTAAAAACTATAAAACTTTCTTCATTAATAGTTACACAATACAAAAAACACTCTGTATACAAAAACAATTTCCTTATGAAAATGATAATATGCCAAGTGCATAAAATACCTACCTACATAACTATATATAGTAGGTACCAACACAGAGGCAAGTAGTAATTTATAACTATTTTTAATTTTAAAATAACAACAACCAGCCAACAGGTACCTAAAAACAACAAAATTATGAGGGTGGGTAAAAATCGGATGTGGATAATACCCATTATTATTAATTATTATTCAAACTTACAGTAAACTCAGTAAACTAATAAAATCCAGTGTCAACCAACTAAGGAGGGGAAGTGGTGTAAAGAAAGCACATGGTTTAATATTACGTACAAAGTATAGATGTATTAAAGTGTTGATAAATCACCTTTTTTAAGTTCTCCTCTCTTGGTAAACCCGTTTCTGGACTTTCTGTTGTTCTTCCAGCGCCGTTTGAGCTGCACTACAGTGGCTGTGCCACCGTGACCATTGACAATACCGCTGTCCCTGGACAGGGATTTGGCTAGGCGTTTGGCTTTGCGCTTGACGCGCATCTCCGCCGACGTTGGGTCCACAGCCTTGTCCGAATAGTCACTGTCACCGGTAATGGTGCACCCGTTTATCACCTCGGACGCTACCACATCGATAACGGCGTCGTCGACTTCAGCCATAGTGATGCCGTTGAGGATCAAAGGACTTCACACGCTCGACCGATGGGTACGGGGGCCGAAGGAAATTGTGTAGGCCTTCAACGTTTTTTATGGTAAAAACGTTTATTACACTACAATGTTGTGGGAAGAGTGAAAGAGGACACGTATGTCATCGACGAGCGACTGTGGTAACAAATTTTATTTAGACTAGAACGTACACAACAATGTAAATTAAATAAAAAATGGTTATGTAATATTAAAGAAAATTAACGACTCGATAGGGCCTAGCAAAAGGGTAAATACTGAAATCGGAAATTACCGGGACGCAGAGAGAACGGATTCAAACGACCGAAAACCACGATATGAGGAGTATGTGCGGCAGGAAAAAAGCCGATACGATGTTTTTGTCCGATACGCAAAACCGCTTCCAGATTGAATTGCGCAGTTAGCAAACGGAGCCCTCTGATTGGACACAGCTGTTCAGCCCGATGTAAACAATAATAAAACAACCGTCAAGGTCAGCCGGTCTCCGAGCCGGCAAACGCTGGAATCAAGGAGATTCCAATATTTCGTGGGTTCTAGAAGTTTCCCGTTCTCCTCCTACGACGACGCGGTCGGCGCAGATACCAGTGCGCACCACGTAGACACCATGACAACGCTGCCGCCCTCCTCGAATGTTATTATTATTGCCGGCAACACCGGCTTCGTTGTTGTTATTATTATTGTTATTTGTTGTTGTTATTATTATTATTATTATTATCGCATTGAAAACCACATCGGCACGGCGGTGGCTACGCGTCGACCATTCGTCGTCGTCGGTCAACCGCTCTGGCAGTCTGACCATCATTTCCCTGTTACATGTTTTCTCGTCCTGTTCTATACCTACCCCGCAATATTGAATACAATATTATTATTAAATATTACGACACGACGGACTATTTATTTTATATCTGCATTGATCGTTGTTTTTATTAATATTATTATTATTATTATTTATGTAACGATATTGTTTTTGCACGCACGACGTACAATATTATTGCGTTTTGCAATCGTAGATATTAAGTCGGTGTCTATGTTATCTATGTGTACAGCGTATACGGTCGCGGTGTAGTTTTCAAAACTACTGGTTTGACTATATATTATATGATGTACATATTATTCGGCTATAAAACATTATAAGAACATGACGTTCGGATTCGCATATTTTAAATTTTCGAAACATGTAGACAACGCCCCTGCCACAGCGTGGTTGCCTTTTAGTTTAATTAATATAGTTTTCTCACGAGAAAAACAAATAATGATATCCGTTTTCAAATCACTAAAACCTGTACCTACGTAAAAAACTGGATACACGCCATTTAGTCTTGTGCTCGGATTTATTGGAAATAATTTTCATATTTTTTAGATTCTAAGCGCAGCGGGTGCCAATCAATAACGTATTGGTTTTACTATGACGTGTGATTTTCAATTTTTATTTTGTCTTCAAACAGCTTTTCTACCGGAAATCGAGACGATTTTCAAACGCAGCATTTTGGAAAACGAATTTTATCTATTAGAGAAGGTCGTTTTTTTTGTTCTTCTATGCAATTTTCTTAACACTTTCAATTATATTTTATTATAACGCAACACTCTACGGTCTACGGAACGCGCTCTGGCATCAGCAATTAACATCGATTTTATAAAATTGACAATGAGTCTTTCAAATAAATATAATGCTCAATAATGAACGGGTAAAAAATATATTGTTCCGTGCCGTCGAGGAAATCCACAACGAACAACAAATACGTAGGTACTTACCAAAACCTTATTATGGCTGTTTGGCCGATTTACACGAAATGAACGACCAATGCAATTTTTTCACCAAAATTAAGTGTGGCCACACTTAAAAAAATTGACTTTGTGCGTTTGGGTTATTATAATATAGGTAGCGTTTTTAAACGCCGAATAAACTCATAATTATCCGTAAATTAAATATTAATAATAATCGCTAACCTACTAAAAACATATTCGAATGTGAACATAAAATATCGATACAATTATCGTTATACAGAGTGGTCCGCGAAGATACAGTATTAGTTTAAATAAATCTCTTGGTGTTGTATTGACATTTTCAATTTCCGTCGACCCCATTGATGAGATATTCCACTGTTAGGAACTTTGGGTACAGGGAGACCAGTGGAGGGAGCATAATGTTTGTGTGGCATTTGCGTAGTGCTCCTCTACTCTTCCCATGCACTAACTTAAACGTGGAATAACCCGTCAACGGATGGACGAAAATTAAAAACAAAAATTACCGTACCTACTTGCCGAAATTCGTGGGCCACGAATACAGTATAACATATCCGCTGTTTTTTTTTTTTTCTGCTTCATTTCAAACACGTTTTTTCGATTAGTTATTTTAATGGCACCCAGATTATTTAATTTTCAATCACACTGTAATAATAACTTCACAACAAACACTACGGCATCATATTGCAGTATAATGTAGATGCAGGAACCTAATAAAAACGTTTTCACTTCGAAGATCAAATTAGGAAACAGGAGTATCGTGTGGTGGGTATTGATTTCGTACATTATATGATTCAATATTTACAATACCACCTTAATAGGCCCTTTGGGACCACGACTATACACTTTGCTATACACTTTAACCATAATATAGCTTCGGTGCCACCTGGGGCGGTCAAAAGGGATGAGGAGGAAACCACTATTTCCGTGTGACTTTTTCCCGTTCAATATGTATAACATTACCATTGATTATACAAGAATACATAATAATTGATTTATAATCAATTATATTATCTATATATTTGTGTAGAAAAGTAAATAAATAGGGAAAACAGTAATAACTGTCGAAAAAAGAAATACTAAAACGTCATCCTTAAGCATCTCCTTCCCCCTCCAATGACGAAATAATTTGTCCGCCGCTGATTTATTTTGTTACGAAAATTTTAATTGTATTAATTTAATCGTATTGCTAGGCACGCCTTGAATATATTTCACAATAATAGTAGGTACGTGTCTCGTTGAATTTATCTAATATAATAATGTATGTAGGTTATTATATTTATATCGATGTGTAAACTCGGTGTTATTGATGTAATGAAAAAAAAAAAAAAACAGACGAAAATAAAGCCACGTATTAAAATCCACGTACAGTATACCAAATGTCAACGGACTGTGCTATCCAAATTGTGTTATCTAATCTAAATGTACACACTGATAGAAACAAAACAACAACAAAAAAAAAAAACTCAGACACTTATACAATTCGGTAGGCACCTCGCATATCGATCGGGTTGCCCGAGAAACGACACCGAAGTGTTTTCGCCTCTATACATAATATAGTGAAAACTGAAAATACTATACAGGGTGCACAATAATATTGAATTATTTTTTTGAGTTTTTGTTGCGAAATCGTATAAAAAGCTCGTATAATTATTATGATAACTGTATTGAACCGAATATGATGTGAACCAGAGACGTATCCAGGACATGATGACGGGGAGGAGGGGGAGCGATTTTGAAAATGTATAATAATATATGGCACGCATTTATAACGAATTCAGTGATGAACCAAGCTAGAAGTATAACACAGCTAAGAATATATTGAGGAGTGAACGGGGGGAGGTCTACCGACCCGCGTTCACCACGTGAAATATTATCTGGTCTGAAAATAATTTTGAAACTCAAATAACAGTGAATAGGGAACCCTGATTACGATAGACGTTTTTATTGGACAACACTTTTCGATTAGTAAAAATGCTTGCAAATTATTAACACTGTACATTTGCAAATTCGGACTTTTTGACTGGTAATAAATTCTCAACAGTATTTCGCTTAAGTTAAAAAAACCGACGAAAATTATCGGTTTTATTTTTATTGATTTTCGAGTTACCTCGACTATTACAGAGGGGGGAAACATGAATACTACAACTTATATTGCACTCAGAATCGTTGTTTGCAATGGTATGATTGTCGATATGAATGTTTTCAGTTTAAAATATATTATATCCCAGCCGAGTTACACGAAAAAATTCGTTTTATTTCATAAAAATTGAATTTTGACACCTTACACAATTTAGGAATTGGAATATTAATTTAAAAAAAAAAAAAAAAAAACGAAAAACCGTAATATCAATTATTAGTAACGGTTATGTCCTGTTTGTCGGTTCGGAAAAACTAAAGATTAAAACAGCAATAACACGGGCTCGTGCTGTTCAACGTTGTTTAACTGAAAGTAACAAAGAAAATTAATTTTCGGGTAGTAATCATTATGACATTGACGATGCGCGACAACCCGGCAGTGGCGTTGTTATTGTTCCGCGTGTTTCACATTTCCCAATCCGTACTTAAAACCTATAGTAGTATTCTATATCTGTCTAAACTTAAACAGTCTATTGTGATCAATGCCGGAACTAGGAATTTTTACCCCGATATTTATCAAATACAACCGGTACCTTTTTTCTTCTCACAACAACCGGTATAAACCGATAATAGCCGATACTAGAACCTCTAAAAATTGTTAGAAAACCGGGTCTCCAAACAAATTAATCGAATAACCGAAAAATACGAAAGGTTCCAGTTCTCGTTGTACTACATCCCCTCCCATTGAAAATAATTCCCGGGCCCGCCACTGTAACTATTACCTGGTTAGTTCACACGTGTTAACGATAATATTATTGCCTATATTAGTTTCTATAGGTATCAGCTGCGTACAAACTACGCAGCTATAAACGAACTTGTACACGTTTTGTGAACGTATAACGACTAGACGGATATGTCTCTCGGTCTGCTGTGTCGCTGCTGATCAGAAAAAAAAAAAAGTCAAAACGATACAGCGCATTAACGATTGACCTTGGGGAAAAAAAAATACTGAATAACTGAGGAACATAGGTATACAACAACCAATAATTGTTGTGATTCGCGCGTTGCCAAATAATCGAAAATTCTACTGCACAGGCCCGGTCGGTATTTTCAACCATCACGACAATTATAGGTTTATTTTATTTTTCATTCGACAACCAATAACAGTAAAATTATTATAGTCTCATTATAACGTCAGTGGTGTTCCCGTCAATTTTTTTGAGAGTATATAGGTACATCCAGTACTTTAGGCGCATGTGGTATTCTATAATATTATCTCTCTTATGGTTTATACTGTTTATAGGGAAACAGATATATTATGTATAAATTATACAAATCGTAAATTAAAACTACTGAAACAAAACGCTGAATATTGAAAAAAAAAAAAAAAAACTATAGGTAAATCGTAAGAAATTTGTCAATGTTTTAGTTATAAGTATAATTTTTCAAGTGAAAGGACAATGATAATATTATAATATCATTACGAATTTTTTTTTAAAGTTTACGCGCGGTATACTTTACCCGTGATTAAACGATTTGTCAACAAAATGTTGAGAGTATACGCGGCGTAAAATACGTTGTATACGCTATGGGAACACCTTAAGCCCATTATTAATTACTTATGCATTGAGGACGATATTTTAAATATTTGATATGTCGAACTATTGGTCACATTATAGGCAAAAAGTATAAATAATTAAAATTTTTATTTCACCATTAGTTTTCATACATCTGCAGCTGTATTAAGAGAACAGTTAAAATCGACTTGCAGACAGATATGTAGCCAGAGGGGTTCCATGAGTTCTCGACCCAACCCAGAAATTTAAGCTTCTCACAAAAAAACAGATAGTATCTACTTTAATTTTTTCTTCCTCGGACAATTATCGGTAGTTATAGTAAAGAAAACAGTATATTAGCCCACCTCCAAAAAAAAATTATCTCGTTATGGTTAAAAATTCACAGTTTTGAAGATAAATATAACATTTTGTGAAAAAGTTGTCAAAAAATAGAGTACCTATCTATATTTTTATACAAATAAGATTTAAATTTAAATTATCAATGTCTATATCGTTTTATCCGTCATTTGTAGGATTCAAAATACAAAGATATTAACCAAACAATATTCAAGGACTATTGTTTGTTATAATAATGCACTTGCACTGGCGATAAATGTGTACCTACCAAACATTATATTTATTATTATGATTTATAATATAATAAAATACAAAATTAAAATTAATTTTAATTGAGGATTAAGCAGGTGTAAGGGGAAAGCTGATACAAATATGTGCCACCCCTGAATTTTTAATTGGTTTCCATTAATGATACCCGCAATACCCTTTCTACACACAGCTGTGAAATTATTATAGTTTTTCTGAGATTGCGTATTGTTTTGTTGTTCCTCAATGTACGATGGGGACTGGAGGAAAGAAATGGGTAACTAGTTCCCCCTCGGGTTACGGTTCAAAATAGTGTAAAAACAAGAAACAGATATCAACAAATTATACTTAGAAAGCATAGTTAATGTTGCCATATTTAATTTGGTGAAATATTTTTTTTTTTTTAGGCCTATTAAATCCTAAGTACTATATGAAGTATAAATACACATTTTTGTTAATTTTCCGTTATAGATATACAGAGATGGTAATTATTACTGTGACACCCTTCTAACATTCGTGTTTTTTAGTAAAAAATTTTTTACGAAAGAGAAAATAGACAAATTCACAAAATTACTCAACTTACGGTAACAATTATTTTTTCAAATTTCAGATTTTCGTTTTATTCAAGACTTTGAAAAGAACCTATGTATTTATTCGTGATTATACGTATTATTGTCTATTCTGAATAGCACACGAAAAGAATTATTCCATTAACTATATTTGGTCGTATATTATCCGACGTTTCTAATTTATAGAAATACATAATTCATTACCTACCTATATAATCGAAATAAACGCCAATAGGATTATCTACCTAACAAAAAAAAAAAAAAAAAAAAAACGATAATAATAATAATATGATTCCATTATTATTTTATCAACGCACATACATGTAATATATTATACTGTGTTTTGCTACAAGAATAATATGTACTTATAAAAAAAATATAAGTGTCCGTAATATGTACGGAAATATAAAATGTACCTAATCCTAAGCAGATGCATTATAATGTATTCGTCGCATAAATCGCATTATGTTATTATTATTATTATTATTGTATTATCCCAAAATAAGTACCTAACTAAATATTTACATTTGAATATTTAATATTTCAAATATTTGTGCTCTGAAATTATTTCTTTTTCAATACCTATCTATAATATTATAATATTTAAGTGGTCAGTTTTGTATGGCTGCAGTTAGTTTTAGATTCTGAGTGAAGCAAAGAAGCTTATGATTTTACAATGATGTTTATTTTTAAATATTTAATACTTTTTTTTTTTTTATCTGTGAACAACTTTTCTACCAGAAATATTGCTCCGGTTTACATGAGTAGCAATTTTTCTGAAAGGAAATTTGACTGGGAATGTTCTTTTGATTTTCAAATAGGAAACCCCCCTTTTTGAACGTCAAAAATATGTACTTATTTAAGGTATATGGAGTAGGGGTAAAAAATTAAAAATAGTTTTAAAATAAAACTTAAATGATTCCATAATGATTAGAAAAAACATAAATCAAATTCACCTAAAAAAACTCCGAGATAATTTCTGGTTCATGATAAAAAAATCATTCAGTATATGATAATGATACACTATATATAATAGACCTTTATAAACCTATATATAGTTTATAGGACTGTGCTATATGTATTATAGATATATAGTTCAATGTATATCACAATCTATATCGTGAAATACGATAATATTAACATACCAGCAGGGTCGGAGTTAGGGTAGGGCAAGCGGGGCTTATGTCCTAGGCCTCGCGATATCAGAGGCCTCACGCTTGTGGATCAATAAAAAAGGGTAGCAAAATTATAAAGGGCCTAACACTAAAAAAATATTTTTTTTAGAAATGTAACGATGTTTTTGGAGAAACACGTACACGTCTGTTGCTTTATCAAACATTGTTTACGGCTGTGGCCTAGAGCCAACTCTAGCTCTAATACCCAAGTATTATTACAATTATTATGTGAGAGTAGGAGTGGTACGCTAAAAAAAAAAAACTCACAAAACTAAATTTATCCAGGGCCTCGCAAATCGTAACGCCGGCTCTCCATACAAGGTAACTCGTGGAGTATGGTATTGGTACACTAATGTATAATCTGATGAAAAATGCTATAAGGATAATGCATTTTATTGTATCTACCCATGCTTAGAAATTTTTTTTTTCATGTGGCCTTTATTGTAAATCGAATATCACGTCAAAATAATCGCACTGAAACTCAAACAGAACCTTGAAATACTAATTCAATAAAATACACTGAAATAGAAAAATGTTCATTCCTTCCATTAGTATCCTGTATCCACCATACAATTTTATTTAAGAGAAACTGTTTCAGCCAAAACAACTTCTATAAATCATTGTTTATATTTTTTTCAAGTAACAAAAAGATAACATCTAATTTTAAACATTTCGGGCCACTCCAACCCTGGATCAGGGAGTTTTCCCCAAAAATCAATTATATGTCACTGGTCATCAAAAAGTACCGATGGACGCCTTAAATTTTACCTAAAATATGTAGTACATCACAGGTTTCCGAAAATTCTGGTTTTATGAATTGTTTAATGAACGAGTAGATTTATAATAGAGTACATACTTTCGTTTCCGATGTCGTGTTTTCTAAACGTCAAAAAACATTGAAAAATATTACGAAGTATTTAGTTAATTTCAAACAAATTATTAACCTACCTAATCCAAAACCAATTTATAACAAATTATATATCTATAAATATAAAAAACTAAAAAACCAAAAGGTCCTTATACCTAGGTTTATCTAGGTATTAAACGAAAGGTTGTTATAAACAATAGATAATAATAGTTTGTAAAGGTATTTTTGTCTTATATATGTTTGCATAGGTGTACACAGCATATAACTATTTAAAATTAAGATATTTTATAAATCAATTTCACGTAAATACGTAAGTATAAGTAGATCAACTAGTTTATTTTGATTGCGGGATACAGATATAATATAATATAAATAACATTATAGTTTACTTGTTATTTAGATCTGCGCTTTTGCCATAATCTCTAGATTAAGCTAATAGATTTTAAAAAATATACTTGTCTACACATATTATTATAATATTGCGTTTCCGTCATTGGCTACGACCTACCTATTCAGTCTTGGCTGTGTTTATCAAAGAAACAATAATGGCAAAAAAAAAAAAAACAACGGCAAATAATAAATTATAGAGGGGCGATACCAAAAGTTTGGAATTCGATACTTCATACTCGTTCCCTTTGTTTAAAATTGCCACTTTTGAATTTGTTAAGAGTAGGATACATACAAATATATAATTAAGGTTCGTACATAACAATGAAGAAACGACGATAAACTATTCACAATGAAGTTTGATATGTTTTCATTTTCTGTATATTTTAAGATTTTCGTCAAATGTTTAGGTACAATAAAAGTTACTAGGAATATTAAGCTCATCTTTTTTTTTGGATTTCTAAATATCTAAAAAAAAGCCAAAGAATTAAATTATATAGACTTGCAAACAAGGGAAAGATACAGATATAATAAAAGCAACAACTATCTGAAACCTATATGGTAAGAGACCAAAAAGCAGACTTAAAAAATGTCAGAAAAGCAAAGTAAAAGATGATATGGAACAATTAAGTATAAGAAATTGGTAAGACTTCACCGAGGAAAAAAGAATCTTAGATAATTTTTAACTAAATGAAACGTATTATAATAAAACAGTTTTGAAGGTACCTACTCAAAAAAGGAATCTAATTGACATTTACAATCAAGCATTTAAGATTAGCTTTCATTTTCCTTCTTTCAATTTTATGTGATTTTTGGGACATTGAACTAGTCAAAAATTAACATAAACTGTATGATTGTTTCATCACAAAAAAGTACAATTTTTATACATAAAAAAAAAAATTGTATAAATTAATAAATATTCCTATTCAATAATAGTATTCTATGGTAAAAAAAAAAAAAAAAAAGATCACCTTGTTTATATTATTGGTAGGTACATAATATTATAGTGTCTATTAATATTTACTCATAAATAATTCAAATAAATTAATAGGTACAAATAGATATAGGTATACTTAGTCTCCTCTGGTAAACATTACTGTATCAAACTATCAAAATCACTATATAGGTAGGTACAAATAATTTCCATAGAATGACAATAATTTTAAATGGATTTAATAAAAAACATTTTCATAAATGACATGAACATAACGTACATACATTGTAAAATAACAAAAATGATATTCTAACATATATTTCAACAAAAAAGCTAATAATACAAAATTACATTTGTTATTATATATAATAGCATAATGTCCTCCTATTATATATATATATATACCAGACAAATTGCAAAAAAAAAAAATTACAATATTTCTCTGCAATAAAATTTTTACATAATATAACGTACCTATAAAATGTATACATCGGTACTCTAACATTGTCGACTAATAGGGATAGTTAGACTTAATTGAAATAAATACATTTTATTCACATTTATTTAAGTTTAAAACAATTTTAACAAACAACAAATAATAATCTAATAAATAATTTACTGTTATTGGTTTTATATTTATCATATTCTTTAAGTACTTTATTTTAAAACGCAATACACAGATATTGAACACTCTAGACCGAAGTTCTAGTGAATGAGTATTTGCTGCATAACAATATTTTAAAAAAATATGGCCAAAAGGTTTATCACGTAATCTAATCAAATTAAAACAGTATTATTATTTATGAATATAAACCAAAATGAAATGAGTACCTATAGTTTCCGACCTATAGGTCAACCATAATTTCAAATCCCAGTTTGGATAAGAATACATTTTGTGAATGTTTATAAAACTATATTGAAAACATTAATTGTCCTTTTAAATACAAATGAAATACTTCTAACTTAAACAAAACAAATTAAATATTTTATAAATATTATAACTAAAAATAAATACAATAATAATATAAATAAAAACAGTTGACTCTAAATTATGGAGTTTTAACAAACTACTATCAATTTTTTTTTTTATATATAAATATTTGTATTGAAACAAAATAAATTTAGTTGATACATCATTCAATATATCAAATTATTAAGATAATGGTAACATAAAATCACATATGTATATATAAAAAAAAAACAAAAACAATAATTTAGCATAGTATTATGCACTATAAAATTTTAAGTTTAAAGATATATACCATCTTATCAGTTAAAAATTGGTGTTTTAATATACTTATTAGGTATATACTTAATTATTTAACTAATTTTTTTTTACTTTACATTCAATTTATTCGAAAAAATATACATGTTATGGATGGCAATATTAAGGACAATATTTATAAGTTTGATAAATTGATTTTAATAAAAAGATAAATATTATTAGTTATTACTGTATAATATTTATAATTATGTGCATGCATATTTGTACTTAAGTTTAACATTTATTGAAGATAAATGTCAAATAAATGGTTCACAAATCTTTAATATGAAGAATAAAAGCACCCAATCAAACAATTGATTTAAAAACAGTTAACAAACTCTAAAAGCACCAACCAAAATAAAAATTTTTTTAACAGATTATAACACTATAAAAACTCATATATTCTGAGTGTAAATATGAAAACTGCAAATTTTTAAACATTTTAATACATATTATTTTTTAAATAATTAATTATTATGCTGATAATATCTACTTAATGTAATGTATTTAAGTAATATTTAAGATTTTTATTAAGAAATATCAATATCAAATAATTTTTTTTATCTTTTCTATTTGTTTAAATACAATGTAATCATTAAGGTTATCATTGATTCAGTATTATAATAATTACAAAATTGATTTTTAAATATGCTTTTTGTTGTATTTAACTTGTAAAATTATACTGTGTTTCTATTATTAGTATAAATAGTAATTGGTTATTCATATTATATTTTTGATACTTTTTAGTAAAACTTTTGAATATGGTAAAAGTCCACTCCATACTAGAATAACAGACATTTTTTCAGTTTAAACATACTTCATTTTTAACCAAAATAAAAAAACAGTTGCTGTATGTTATTCTAATGTTATACTAACATGGACCTGACTTAACAAAAATTTTGATTACAAACAAGTTTATTCCTACAGTGATATAGATAACAAAATTATTCTCGCAATAATTAATAATCTACATATATTTTTGAAAACAAAAATAATACTTTTCAAGTAAAATTATTATTACTAATATTGAGTTTATACATTTTAAATATTAATACATACATATGTGAATAATCAATTAATTCATGATATACTCAGTGATAATAATAAAAAAAAATTTCTGTTACTTTAATACACAAACTAAAATTCTTGTTTAATTAAGTAAGACTAGGTTTTATGAGTTGCTAGGTTCTGTATATCAAAATCATAAACTTTGAAATACCATTAAGATATTAAATTAATTTTCTTATAAATTGAGAACTGTAATATTTATTTATTCATTTGTATGTCAATAAAAACAGTACATACACTTGAAAATACAAGAAATTTAACCTGAAAACTTTTTTCTTAAACTCATGTTTGTAAAGCTCACCATATGACATGTATTATGTATTTATGTAAATTAAATTTTTATATATATTTTAAATCGGTCAAAATATATTATTTGAACTAGCAGATAAATAAAGAAACATTATTAATTAACTATTAAAATTTTAATGAAGTACAATAATTACAAAAATTAATAATTTCCATTACTTAATTGGTTAGTCATTTATTAATACAACCAAAATTTAAGTGAGATATTTTGAAGTAGTCTTTTAGAATCTATACATGTAGTAAATTGATTGTTATTTATTTCTGACTAAGTAATTGTCATAGTAAATGTTAGTATTAGAATTTTAAAGATAATCAATCATGTAAAGACAATTTATTTTTAACTGTAGGTAAAATATCCAACAACTAAATAGTTTCAAGTAGTTGTTCATACTACAACAAACAAGTTTATTAATTTGTATTATTTGTTTAATATTCAAAACACAATATTACTTATAATAAATTAATTATGATTATAATGGAGTTAGTTTTTAAAATCAAATAAAATATTATTTTAATGAATTAGGTATCTCAAAAAATGTATCTTATGATTTCACATTTGATTCCAGTCTTTAAAATATATCAAAAGGATAACCTACAAAGATAGCAAAAATATATTGGCAAATGTTTATACATTTTAGAAATATGAGATTCTATTTTTTAAATTGACCATATATAAATTAGAAGTCACTATAAACCATAAAATGATTGGTATTACTATGCTTTAAAAGTAACTTAAATTTGACTAGGTAAATGGCTAATTTAATTTTATGTAAAATACAAATATTTTAAAAACAATTTGTTAATTAATCAATTAATAATTCATTTGACATTGATCTACAACTATGCAAACTAATTATAAATAATTTACTATTTAATTGTACATTGCCCTTATAATATTTATTGTTTACATAAAACCAAATACATACAGATATTTGAAGCAGTTTTAAACGAGTTTTTGATTTTCCTCAGATGAACGGTTATGTGGGCGACACTTATCAGTCAATGAAAGCAATGATGATGGATTGAAAAGTGAACTTATGCTTCCTTTTTCTCGGTCTACAGTCCGAAAATTGTAAAGTCCATAATTTTACAATTTATGGGAGATTGATCTAATTGTTATATTTACAAAAATATAATATGAGGTTCAGACATGTTTACCTCGAGATTCACTAGCTGATCGATGACATCGAAACTGATGGTTATAACGAGGGGAAACTACACAACTCGAAGAAGCACCTGCAATACATAATGCAGAATAACATTAGAATATATATTTTAACATATTGTATTTAAATATTGAGTTATACAAACTGAATACATAAAATTATATATAACTGCATGTATAAGTTAGGTTATACATATATATTGTACTAAATTGTCACGTCAAAAAGCATTAATACACAAATTTGACGACATTTAAAAAGATATTTGATAAATATAAATACAATAAAAATAAATAAATACTTGAACAGGAGCTGTGAAAAAGTGACCGGGCTTGTGGACTCTTACATCTATCTCCATATAGTTCCTAAAATAATTGTATATATTTTAAAAGGATATTATTTATAATATTTAGTGGCAGTGTTCAAGAGTATATAAAAGTGTATTTACTTGGGTTTGGTCCTTTTCTTCATACTTAAATATTGGGATACGTGGCCACGTAGTTGGAGGTGGACTTCTTACCATGTGTTGATGAAGTTCTATTAAAGCACCAGGGCCAATATCAGCCAAGTATTCCTTTAAATTACGAAATAATGAATATATTTATTTAATATGTAAAAGTTATTTATTCTATATAATAAGGGCAGATTCAGCTTACAAAGTTAAAAAAGATGACTATATTTTTTTAATACAAATTAGTATTTTAATAAGTATTTTTCAAGAAGACATTTTAGTAAGTAATTAAATAATAAATAAAATTTTGAAATGTTACCTGAGCCATTGTGTCTATATTATCTGTTTCTGATACAACACTATTGTCATCTAATAAACTTTCTCTGCTTGCTAATATTTTTTTCTAAAAAAAAAATTAATTATTTATTAATCTAGAAATATTTAGGTACATTTAAAACTGTATATTATTATGTTTTATTATGTTAAATACTGTAGATATGGATAATATTTTACACATAAATTGATTGGGGAATTATTAATGCAATTTATTAAATAATACAAGAATAAAGAAATAATTTAATAAATTAAATGTATAAAGTTAATTAAAATAGGTAAAATTTGTCAGTACTGTGATAAATAATAATTTGTAACTAAATTATCATTAATAATGGTGTAGACAAAATTATTTAATAAAAATAATAAAAATCGTACACAATTTTTGAAAAACAAAAAACAAGACCCCACTAAAATGTCAATTATAATTTAAAACCATGATTACTAAGACAATTGTTTCTCTATAACAAGAGTGTAAGTAATCTTTTATAAAAATAATAATAAATTCACAGGAATTAAAACATTAAAATTAAAAACTAAGTTTAATTTGAAATGATATATAGTAAATTAAATATAATTACAAGTTTGTTATTATTAAAATTATACTCTACAATAAAAATAAAAATACATAAAAATCTTCTAAAATAACACATGCCAGAAATAATAATTATTATTATGAAGTTTAGTAATTCTGAACTACCCATAATGTAATGTTTGCAAGTTATGTTAGTTAAAAGTGTACAATATTAGTTATTATTTCTCTGGGATATCTTATAAATTATGTAGACATAATAAACTGTTTTTAAAAATTTTAAAAACCATTGAAGAAGGAATTATAGTACCTATGAAAACTTCAGACTAGTCAGTTCCAGTTGTGCGAGTAATCAAATCTGATGGAATGATTCGTTTATGTAGTGATTACAGAGTAACACTCAACAAAATATTTAAAAGTGAATAGTTATCTCAAATCCAGAGCCAATGACTTCCAAGTATTTTCCAAGAAGGAAAAGTACTCTGCACATTGGCTTTATAGGTACTAGGCATATTAGCAAAAATAAATCTTTGATATAACATGATACAATATGAAGTAACTACGGCTCTGTATATTTTACAAAGAGACATGTAGATCTAGAAAAATGCTAGCCTGGTGGACATTGGAACAGATAAATTCATAGATTTTACATATTATAGAAGCTCTTATTTTAGTATATTGTTTAACATTGCATCAATTACTCTATAGTAGACAATATGTTTTTAAAACTGACCATAAACTGTTTATTAGTATTTTTGGAAAGGAAAAGGAATTCTAATGACTGCTCATAGATTACAGATATGCAATATTTTTATAAGTATTCATATACTATAAAATATATCAAAGATTTAGATATAGCAATACTGATATACTAACTCAATTACCATTAGCTATATATCGGATTAAAATTAAGAATGTGATCATTTTTTTATTGTTTAAATTTCAATTCATATTAAAGCTATTTCGAGTTTAGATATTTGTAGAGAAATTAAAAAATTTTTCACAAATCAAACATAATTTTTTTTTTTGTGAAGCCCTAAATCTCGAAGAATTTGATCATTAATTTCTTCAAAATACCTTGGTATATCTAAATATGTGTAGGTACATAATATGCATGTGTAGCATAAACAAATAGTACACATAAACATACATTTAATTATTTTATTTGGGTGAATATTAGTTTATTAATTTAATTTAATAATTTCAAAAATAATTAATTTGTTTATATATTATAAGAATTGAACATTATTATTGACGAGTAACAAGTATATGCTAGAATAAGCAAACTTCTGGGTTTCTTTAGCCCAAACTGTGAAATCATTGCTATTAAAACGGTAGATAGGCAATACATTCGCACAAATGCATAATGTGAAGTTAACTGATGGGAACTAAAAAAAATTGTAGGTAGTAAAAAGCGGCACAGCTAACCAGCCGAGGTGACTAACTTTGAAGCCCAATTAAAAACAAAAAAAACTTGTTGGACACAATATCATTTTATCAAAATATAGCTAGAAATATGAAATTTAATATTGTATGGTCGGATTAACAATTCTCTGGAAGGGAGATTTTAAATATTAATTAAATATTTCAATACGGCCTCATAAATGTATTTGATAATATTAAAAATTCATTATTGATTTTATTAAGATGTGTTTTTTTTTATTATTTCTGTCTATGAACAAATTTTGTACCAGTAATCTTACTCCAATTTGTAATTGGATTTAAAAGGTGTAACACCTTTTCTGAAAGGAAATTGGTGAATTAAAAATGTCATTTTTGATTTTCTCTACAGTTTTAATAATTAGGAAAAATCGGAAAAAAATTAAATGAACAAGATTTTTTTTGTTGTATTTCTATCTGCAATCTAGTTGATAACCAAAAAAGTAACCTTTTGAATTTCCTTATGGTTTTTTTAATAATTGGGTAAAACCCAATTGGGTTAAAAATTGGGTAAAAATTTGGGAAAATTTACAAAAATAATTTTAAATTTTATTTTTTTTTTGTTGTAACTTATTAATTAAAAATAATCATAGAGTTGATATTTTGATAGAAAACTTATACTTGCTTTTTCTAGACAAGTTAAAATTTCAAAACAATTTTTGAGCTATTTATAGACATTTTAATTTTATTAATTTTTACAAAATTTTTATCTAGTAGGAACTCTGTGAATAAAATTGTTAGACTAAACAGAAATGATTAAAAATTTGACAGGAGGTTCATTATAAGTCACACTCAGAGGTAAGAAAAAAAATGTAATTCTTTTTTAATGACTTTATATCAATTTTTGACAAAAAAATTATAAATATTACGACCTTTTAAAACGTGTAACCAACATTATAACCAAACTTTCCTCTGAATCGTTTTTTGTTAGCAACAGTTTATTGTTGATTATAAGTGTAAATTAAATAACTATATATCCTTAATTTGTATGTAGAAATGTATTTATTAAAAGAAATAACCAAGTTTTTTGATAACATTCTATGTTTTTTTTAACTACCCAGTTAAGTTAAAATTGATAATAAGTTTAACTTTAACTAGTTACTACCCAGCCTTTCATAGAAATGAATATATTGAGAAAATCATTATTATTTTAAAGGCACCTAACCTACCTAGATAAGTATTAGTATCAGGTTCATACAATTTTAATTTTTTTTTTTAATTTCGCCTTAAAAAATTTAAAAAACAAAATAGACCTCCGTTTTTCAAATGATAATCTCATTAACAATTTTGAATTCAAATTCAAATAATGAAAATTTAGTAATTTGAATTATATAATTAAAAAGTGATAGAAAAAATTTGTCCTTTCAGTACATGTAATTTTACCACATCACTTTGATATTCTCAATTTGACAAGTAAAATTATTACTTAGAGCCAATTAACTATAATTTTGTTTAATAGGTATCTATTGGATATTCTGATACTCTGATACTTCTGATGTAAAATTAATATTTTCAATGAAATATTCTTGTTAAATTCAAATTATATAATATAAGTAGCTATTTTAGTGTATAGATATTATGTTTATACATTATGTATGATATTATGGTTGAATTGATTGAAAATCAAAAATTAATTATTTTTTTAAATATATCTAGATATTAGAATTGAAAGGGAAATTATATGAGATAATTTAAAATTGAATGTGTTTTGACAAGTTACAAAAAAAAATAATAACAGCACAAGTAATTATTTTTCTATAATAATTAACGCAGTAAGTAATTATTTAAAAATGGCGAAAACCGCATCAAAATCGGTTTAAAAAATTTAGTTCCAAAGATAAAAAAAAAAACTCTTTATTTTATAAAATAGAGTAATATAGGGGTAGGTACATACGTAATTTATTCTTATAAATGTATAAGTAATATCAAGAATGAGCAATATACTACAAAATTAGTGATCCTGAATAGTAAAATACAGTAAAACTATTTTGTTCTTACCTGCAAATATGGATTGTCGTGTCTAGAAATTTTCAAAGCCTCCATGTCTTGGAATACATCTCTGGATCTGGGAATGGAAAGGGCAGGAGACGCAGGACACGAATTTCTCGTTTTCACAGACATTGGTGTTGCAATGCAGACCTCGCTTTTACTTAACTGTCTAGCTGTATACACGCAGACAATTAGTATGTTTAACGAATTAGTTAAATATAGCGAAAAATAATACAATTATACAGATATTGAATGTATTAGAGATTGTTACAAACCTTTTTGTTTTTCTTTTTCCGATTTTTTCCACCGGAACAGACCGTTGAACAACTTTAACCGACTATCGCTGTGGCCATTCTCCCGGGCTGTCGATAAATGAGGCATTGCCGGTGATCAGTCGCATTACACGAAAACAGTGACTGTTATCTGCAAACAAATCGTTATGTTTAAATCCGAGTATTATCGGCACTGTCCGTACACACGATTAAAATTAAACCTATGTTATATTATGGATAAACAGATACAGTGTGAGTGACAAAAATAGAACAACGATATAATTACATAATATATTATTACATTATAATATTAATACATAGGTACCTTTGTATTGTGATTCACAACGCCTTTGGAACGGGCCATTTCTATTAACAATATTATAATATTATATTATTTGCGTATTAATATAACATTATAAATATTAATTCGTTTGATAAGATAATAAGAGGTACTATAGCCTCTTGGTTTGTCGTACCTACCTAAGTAAATAATATAATAATCGCTCGAGACGATTTGTACATTTTTATTGTTTTTTGTCACTATTATAATAACTGGTATTTGTACGTTATACCATTATGTAAAATTATATAACATTAATTAACACAGTTTATTGATACATACTTAGTATTATATATTATAATATGTACCTATGTATTGTTGTAATAATCAATATCCCAGAAGCAGTATACACTATACTTTATGATACAATATATTTATATTACCAATATGGTTTAAAAACAAAAATGATTTAATAGTTTAATATTCATAAATAAGTATGACATTTAAATAAAAATGAAGAAAACAAGGAACGATAAATTATTGCTTACGAAAAACGATCCTGAACGAAGTTCGGTTAGGTGTACGTATATTATATAAACATTTAACATATAATATACAATGTAGGAAATTCCCTAATTTTTTCGGTTTTCATCAAAATATTATTTTAAAAAACTTAAAATGTCAAATATCCATAAATTGCTCAAATATCGCCAGAATGTTTTAAAGAATTTTCCACGTCTAGATAATACTGCAATGTGCAAATTTCAGTTATCTGCGATAATTTTTAACCAATTTACAAAAAAAAAAAAAAAAAATATATCAAATCAAAACTTTATCGCGATTCATTTACACCCTCAGTTTTGCCCAATCATTAAGAAAACACCTTAGAAAATCGAAAATGACTTTCTCACACGACTACTAGATACAAAATGCAACAAAAATCTCTTTTCGGTTTTTTTCATTGAAGCAAAATTTCTAGAAAAAAAAAACAAATCGTACAACTGTAAAATTTACTCGGCATCGTAGATACTTATCCGGTGTTCTAGTTTTTCCAATTTACCCAATTATTATTAAAACCACTTAGAAAATCAAAAAATATTTTCATTACATTAACTATAGATCTAAAACGCAACAAATAATAATTTTTTGATTAAAACAAGATTTATGGTAGAAAAGTTATTAACAGACACTGTTCGGTGAAAAAAATTGTTTGATTAATAGGTATCTATTTTTTTTATAGTAAAATTGTTAAGGTTTATTTTGGCACCAAAATCAAGTTTATACGACTAACAAGGCCTGAGTAACTACTATTTGAAGTACGAAAATACATATAGGTGTATTAAATGTTCAATTGATAGGTACCTATAATATTCATCAACTGTACCTACTATGATTTCGCAAAATCGCAAATCTGCGTTCTTCAGGGACGACTTTGTACTGTTATTAGATATTAGTGTGCCAGATTGACCTATTATCAATCTTAAAGCAGTTAAAAGTTAGAACAGTATCTGAGTTTTTTTTTTCGTTGTTTAAATTTTTCAAGCAACAAATAAGCATTTTAAAATCATGATATTTCACATATCTCGGAGGGACATAATAAAATAAAACACCAAAAAGTACTTAAATGAAATTATGTTTAAAATTTTGAAATACAGGGGAGGCAGATACCCCGTCTTGCCACCCCCTCTGGGCGCCCGCGTAGGTTTACCTATCTACTGATTTTTATTATGAGTTTCTAAACTTATAAAATTGTAATGTTTTTTTATTAGTTTTGTATTTTTAGTGAGCAATTTTCAAAACTTACGGTTGCGTTGTTACCGTGCGTTGTTCGACATTCTATTTATAGAACTATTTAAACTCGTATAGTAGGTACCTATGTTATTATATTTATTTTCTAAATAGATGTTATAACCAACATAGTAACATATACATATGTTTGTATATAAAACAGAAGTTTTCTTTTTTTTTTTTTTACTAATCTAATATCGTATTATTCATATTTGTGTTTCGTAATAATATAATAGATATTTCAACATTTTCTAGAACGTATATTCTGCACGTGTAAAGTTGTAACATACAGGCACATTTTGTTTATAATAAAATGTTGACATATTGGCATAGTTATCTGGTTTTCCTCTGCTTTAATGATTATATTATTATACATACGTATTCATTGTATAAACTTCCGAAAGTGTTCATATATAATTGGTACACCTAAATAACATAATGTATGATGCTGTGTGCATTACATTACACTGTGGCATAGTTGTAAGTATACACCGTTATTTCTATAAATATTATTTTGTAGCTTTTACACTTTTGCTGTTTTAAATGTACGTTTAATTATAATGATGGGTAATAAAATTAAATGTTTTATATTTTATGGTTACATATATTTAAAAAAAAAATAGTAACATCTTTAGAACCACGGGCAGGTCATTGTAAATGAGAATTTAGTAAGATGTATTAGATATAGAGTGTGATTCAACTAGTAAACTAGTGTTCTTTTAAAAATGCCAAATTAACCCAGGTAGATAAGAAAACTTTTAAATCAGCAAAAAGAAAACAAATGTATCGTTATTCGTTATAATAATTATTGTTTTTAGTTCTTTTAATTTTAAAGAAAAAGTGTCAAGACCTTAGATAATTTTTTTAAATAATTAAATAAATATCATTAGCCATCGGTCGAAAAATCCTCATCTTTAATGGTATGGCATAAAATAAATCGGAGCACTTTAACTAATAAAAAAAATAAAGTTTTTTCCAAAAGTAAAAATCTCCGCATACTTAATACAATTTAGAAAAAACGAATTATCGTAAACAATTAATAAATAAATATTATTATGTTTCATGGTCAAAAATTTAAATTAAAATTAATTGTGTTGTATGTTTCCGAGGTTTAAATTTATTTGTTAATACTTTCAAACATTGAAATTTTCAATATAATAATCGATAGTACACATCAACTATGGATATATTAATTAATAATCTAGGTATGCTGTAGAAGGCAATCCCAGTGGACGGTTTGAGTATACTCGAATTGCCTCCGAAAACACCCGGAAGCAATTCGAGTGAAAAAAGGTCACCTACCTGAATTTAAGAGCCAATAAGAGAGTACCCATTTTTTTTACAGGTAGGTAAAACTAAAATATAACATTGTCCATACTATAATTACTATTACGAGTATTGCGGTACCTATGTTTCGGATATTTTGTCTTATCACTTTTCTGTACAATTTTCAAAATACCTACCAAATCTAAAAAAGGGTAATAATATATATTTAGTAAGTGATAATGTTATTTAGTCACAATCTACTTCTGTAATTTTTCGTTTCTAATAAAATAAAATAAAATTCATAAACGTTTTTTTGTTTTTTATCGATGGTATTTAATTACCGACCTAGTATAATTTTCTCCACACAGAGACTATAGTTCATATTATTTTAACAAATATACACAACTTTATTTTATTATCAAATCGTCATTATGGTACCTGAAACCTATTTATAATTATAAATAATTGCAATAACATCATTCGATCAATAAAATAATAAAACGACATTAATAACCAAATTATTATTCGTATGATGTTCAAAAATAATATACTTGGCAATTGGTATTACGCAACGGGTAAATAGGTATTAAACAAATATTATGATAGATGTCGAGTAAAATTTCGCACTTACCTTGTACGGGCAATCACTGCAGTAGCCAACACGAATATTTATTGAAAATAACATTGGGAAAAAAAAAACTAGATAGGTACACTAATGTATAGAGTAAATGAATATAAACGTGAAATAGATATTAAATATTAAGTCATTCCTATTTTTTGTGTCGATTATCATGAGTATCAGCTGGCGCCACGGAAATCGATCGCTTTCAACCCCCTTCGCCCGGAAGTGTACTGTGTGGGTGTGGGTTTTCCTATCGTTTTCCCGCTGGCGCCAATATTTGCAGTGTGTCCACAAAGGATATGTTAATTTGTCATATCATGAAACAAAACCGACAGGAATCCAGATAATAGATATTAGATATAGAAAATATTTAATCATGTAATGTAATCCAGATTTTCTAAAAAATTTTACGAACTGTCAATCAGTATATAAGTAATACATCGGTATTATAGGCCCATATAGTCATTTACTAATTTTTGTCAGGGTCTCATACCTACAAATCGGGAAAAGATTACTCTGAAATTTAATCAATACGCGTGGTCGGATTTTCCGTTTCTCGAACGTTTTTGACAAACTCGCAATACTTGATCCTGAAGTAGTTTACCTGTATTATAGTACCTATCTAAAAATAATTACCTACTTTTTACTTAGAAGTAAAACTAGACATATAGAAATTCTATTTTACGGACTATGTTTTAGGGGCCTTTACAAATAGAAAACCTCGCTGTAGCAATTTTCAATATTTTGAAATTGTTCCCAATTATAAGCTGTCTGAGAAAAGATGTAAAATATGAAAAAATCCAAAATCAGATCACTCATAATTTATCATCTCTTACATAAACGAATGTTGTATATAAGACGTTTCCAAATATTTTAAAATTGTTTTTCCGTTAGGTAAGTACTCAAAAATCTGAGTCCAACCGAAATTTGAAATACGTTATAATTTACTACAATACTAGTATACTATACGTCTATATCTACGTGTATTATAAACAGATTATAGAAGGTGTTTGGTAGGTATAAGTATTCAAATAAAATGAGTAAGGTGGATGGTATATAAAAATCTTTGATCTTTACAAAATGATAAACAAAGTTCCACACGTCAATGTTTTCAAGTGCATCACAATTATCTATTACATATACCAGTAGCCTGCATATATTTAATTTTAATCATTTAATCATTTTAGTCACGACAAATTTACATGGCTCAATAAGCGTGGTAATCGTTATACACCTATCTAATTTCGAAGCATTTTTGAGAGGCCAAACAAATTTTATTCATACCAATAACAAATAAAAATGTAAAAATTAAAAATGTCAAATGGCCTATACACAGCATACAATTGACAGAATGTTTTGAAAATTGCTCTTTCTATGCCTAGAATATAAGCTAATATAAGGAAGTGTTCCATACAAATTTCAATTATCTGCGTTATATTTAACTGAATTACAATAAAAAATCAAAATCGAAAATAACAAAAACCGCTATTGCGTAAATTAATCGAAGAAAAATAGCTGATAAATAACGTTTGTAAACGGATAAAAAAAAAGAAAAGAAAACACACATTATAACCTATAGTATAACTAGGTATATATTCGGACTTCAAACTTTTTTCAGTAGGTATGTTTATTTAGAAAATTATTGAAATTAGGTAATCAATTGCGGGTAACACGGCCATTGCGGATCGACACTCGAGACATGGTATAAACCATAGACAAAATATTAATATTATCGCAGATAAAAAAATTAAATGTAATTTCCCTTTTATAAAATCTTCCTTGAACGATATCAGGACTGTGTGAACACTGCATCGTGTAATCATCATTTATTCATTTTGTTATTATCAATTTTTCGGCATCGGGCCATCGGCTTTATTTACCTGCTATATTACATTTTGTTCGAGGAAAAATAACGAAGTTCCTATGTTTGTTTCTTTATTAAAACGTTGATACTAGTATTCGTGAAAAAAATTATATTTAAATAATTTCTCAACTTAAGTGTTTGTTTTTATTTTTCATTATCCTCCGATTACACACTTGATCTCATTGAGTTGTACCTGTTCGTATACAAACACTGATCCATAGTGCAATGATGACATGTTAACCACTAAAGAATTGGAATTGGTATTAATAGCAGCATTAGCTTGCAAGTCTAGGCAACTAAATTGGCAAAAATTGGCTATTATTTGGCCACTTTTACGTAACAAACGTAGACAAGCTGAATGTAGTTCCTCCAGTTCCTTGTCTTCGTTATCACATCAGTCGATGGAACAACGTCCATACTTTGGCCAACGAGACGGTCAAAATAGAGATGAATTACTGGAAAAGGAGCTTGAGTGGTTGGCCCAGGAAGACCGTGGTAAACGGTTACGCGTTGATAGACAGACATTTCAAAAGTTATTAACGAAATTGGACCCTTATATGGCCAATGTTAAAAACGGACTCAAAGTAAGCGCTGCTAGGCGTTTGACAGCAACACTTAGATTTCTTGCTACCAGCTCGACACTGCAAGAAATTAAAATTGATACTCATATACCGCCTCAAGTGTTAGCGAAGATCATTGTAGAGACATGTGACTGTATTATAGAAGCGCTCAAAGACTACATTAAGGTATTTTAATTTATATTGTGTATAATTACAATTTATACATTTAGGTAGCGAGGATTGGTAAGGTTATTGAAAATACACGCAGATACAAAAAATTATTTTTGATAGGAACTTACCTAATGTTCTCAATTTCTGGAGTAGTGTTTGAAAATAATTTTTACATTTTTTAATATATAGATACATTTCTATATTATATTTTGTAAGGAAAATGAGAATAATGAAGACAAGGTTAAATTAAAAAAATTATCTTAATATTATCAATTGTTATTCAGTTATTTTTGTGTTTTTAAATTTGTATCCTTTTATATGTAATTATGGTTTTTGTCTGTGTCGAAAATAGGGACTCATCATTCTTTATCTAGGTACCCATGTACATTTAATATCACTGGTTATAAAAGTATTATATTAATTATCTTTTTTCTTATTTAATTTGCCAGTTGATTTTTTAACATCTATTATTTTATAATTCTATTTAAATATAAGAGACATAATATAAAGACATTAATCTAAATATTTGTTTAAATATAGCACTAAATACATTGTTCAGTAATAACGACTAATTCAACATTTAAAAATGACTGTAACAATTTAATAAAATATGCATCGTCTTGCCTTTCAAAATATAATTTTCCTATATAATTTTATATTACATACTTTATTCTAAAAACAAAATTAAGTGAGTTCTATGCAGTCTGTGTAAGGATGATTTTGCTATGTTGTAGAAAAGTCAGGTGCTTCATTGTCTTCTTTAAAATAATTATTTTTGTTATATCAATTTTAATGTATAAACATGAGGGTATTTGTTAATTATATAGAAAGAGTATTATTTGTCAAGTTTTGTAGTGCGCTGGTTTAAAGTTTGAGGTCGATTGAATATAATTAACACATGGTGACTTAAACTTAAAGTTGTATGAAAAAACATGAAATTTATCATTTTGTCGTACTACTACTTACATTTTTATTTTACAAAAATTTGTATTCTATCATTATTGTAGTGCTAATCATATTCGTTCTTAAAATTAACCTTTACTCTTGAAATAAAAAAAAATATGTTTAAGGTCATGTTTTATGAAATAAACTAGATTTTAAGTTTTTCTTGTAAATATACTCTTATATTTTGTAAATTCATGATAAAAACATTTTCAAACAAAATTCAGATTTATACTTATCAAACTACTATTTATTAATCGTTAAATGATTTTTTCATAACTTTCAATGTGGACTTTTTGGAATATTTTTACAGTAATCTTGAATGGTCTGTAATGAAAAATTGACTATTATTTTGTTTAAATATTATTTAACTAGAAAATAGTTTTAATATTTACCTTTAATAAAAACCATTTTTAGGTTTATCTTTTGTAATCATATCGTAAATCTTTTTCATCTATGCTATGTTCTTCTGAGCAGAATATTTACGATTTTTAAGTTTTTAAGAACAGAAGCTCCTTTCTTAAATTAAATTATCTTATTCCATGTTGTAGTAGGATGTGATTTAAAAACATTCTTTTAATATTTTAAATTTTTTGAATAACTTTATTCATTTTTCATCAATATACTTAGTTAAAATATGCTATCTTCATCTTCTAAAAACTATTCCAAATTTAAATTTTTTTATTGTTTATTTGTTTAATGTATCCTCTTTATCTTCCTAAGAATCTCCATATTGATTAACTTGATTCAATATTTTTTTGTCAACAATCATTATTGTGGTTTCATTATTTATTTTTCCATCAATAAATGAAAAACAACTTTCTCTTCATTTTAATAATACAATTAATTAATAATTTTGAAAATGGATATATGAGAACTTTTTTATTGAATGTTCTATAATCATGTAATTTTCTCAAAAATTGAATATCGTCAATTTGAAGTTTTTGTGAAGAAAATAAATACTTTATTTAAAATTTTACAATAAATACAATTAATTGTAACATAGATTTCTCCTCTTCTTTTTTCAAACGAAACTCTCGGTGTAATAAATATACATAATAATTATTTATTAATTTATTATGTATAATGATTGTTCCAGGTTTTTTTAAATTTTATTCCACTCGGAGTAATATCACACAAATTATGATAATTTCTAAAAAATCTTTATAAATAATATAATCAATATTGTATGATTTGCAAAACCCAGTACAGTATTATAATCATTTCTTAACATACCAATATTTGCTTTATCAATGTTTCTGTAAAATATATAATTTATGTTTTTTATACAACTTTGAGCTTAAGTCGTCACGTGTTAATTATGTTTGATTGACCTCAAACTAAGTAGAGGTCAATATGTTTAATGTTAATTTAGCTATCAGTAAAATCAAGGATAAAATTAATACAAGCATACATAATATTATATTTTATTAGTTTTTAGTATTGTTTAATACTCAGTGATAGTGCCAGATTGAGTCAGCAAGTTACCAACAAAAACTCAATGGGCCATTATAAATTTTATACTTAAGGTCAATGTAAATAAGTGTTATTGGGTTGCTTCAAATTAGAGTAGTAACTTTGGCCAGTTTTACTTCTCAAATTGATACTGCTCAGTGAATTTTTTCTTCAGTTATTGTATATTCAATTGGAGATGTACAAAAAAAATATGGCATTTATTTGTTTAGTTATGTTTACCTACTTAGTGTAGGTGTCACTTTTAAATTTAAAACTTGAGGTACATTTTTGGGATGTTCCGTTATTGACAATAAAAGTGGACATCATTTTATAGGATTCTTTATTACTTATTGTAGTAAAACATTGTATTTTTAGAATTACCTCTCATTAACAATTGACTTAGTATTGAATGTATATTTTGACTCGGCATTATTTGGTATTAATCTGGTAAATACATATTTCAAAATAACAACTTTTTTTTGTTTGATTTAATTGGATATAAAAATATTATTAATTTAAATAATAGCACATATAACATAATTATATTGAGAGTTAATTTCAAGATCATCCGAACACATTCATTTTATGCGGGATGACCTGGTCAATGACAATTCTTTCTGATTTTCCGCAGTACTTATATATATTTGAATTTGATTAGGTTATTAATGATTGTAAGAAAGGTAGTAAATGTATTTGTCTATAATAAAAACCCAGGGGGCATGTGCACGTAGTGATTTGTCGTAGTACACGCAAAAATAGCTACTGGAGTTAATGAACTCGTTATCAAAATTGGTACAAGATATTAGAATATATTAATATATAGTCTACAATTTTGGTTTGTCATCTTTGACTGGGGGCTTGCTAACCACAGCCAAGTAACAGAACGCCCCGCACTTGGGCACGGGCTTTGCGGCCAAGAAAGCTCCGCCGTCCGGCGATTGTCTATGCAACATTGGCTTATCCGTTTCTTCGCTGGACAGATCGCATTCAAACGAGCCGCCGCCTTTGTTGCCGGCGGAGGGCGCATTGCCCGTCAACAGATACGTGAGATTACTGAGTGGCGATGACGGTGGGTACTGATTGAACGGTGGACGAAGCTCTCCCTCTTGGACGGACGTAACCAAGTGGTACATAAAATCGTTACGGAGCTTCATCTCTGCCAGGGTTTTGTTGCTGGCCAACAGTTTGTGCACCCAACGGTTTACGCTGTGTTTGTCTGTAAAATACCGAAATGATCATGGTTGTATTTAGTTCTTTGCGATCGGCCTAGAATAGATAGGGGTTCTGAGGAGGTCGAGAATAAAAAAAAGTACGCTATTGAATTCACTTGCGTAGGATAAAGTTAAAGAGAAGAGTGATGTATGTAGTAATTCTCACCTTGTGCCGATTTTAGGTTCTGCATTGAAGTCTTTAGCAGGAATAGATTATAATTCATATCGTAATTGAGCTCGGTCGAGTCTCCTTTCTTCGACGCCATTTTATGTATTAAGTTTTCGGCGATGGAAACGATTGTATAAGAATTCTTCGTGCGAGATTCTTTTTATAAAAATTATTTTTCTTTTATTATCGGTTCTTTTATATTCGACCGTTTCAAAACGATTTGGTTTTCTATGGTTGCCCAGGTATCAAAACAACAATGTTTACGAGTTTATTACAAGCCTGCGTTTAAATTAAAATATTTAATCTCTATGTTATGAGCCAATCAATTAAATGAGACATTTTCATTTTCAGTGTCCGCAGACGGAAGAAGAATGGATGCGAGTGTCGGCGACTTTCGAACGGACCACCCGATTCCCTGCGTGCTTAGGCGCTGCGTGTGCACGTCATATAGAACTCCGCAAGGCATCCAAAGCGGACTCGGATTATCTGAACGAACGCCGACGACCGAGTGTACTGTTATCGGCCGTAGTGGACGCCAACTATGAGTTCCTTTTGGTGGACACGTGCCCCAGTGGTCACCTTTCTGAAGACAACCCACCCAATATGATTTTGGAACGGAAATTATGCTCGACCAAGATACCGTGCCACCCGAATTCAAATCAGTTACCTTATGTGTTCGTGGCTGACGAATGCTTCAAACTACAGGAAAACTTTATGGTGCCCTACAGAACTATAAATGACAAAGGTGGAGAAGCTAATAAGTTGTTCAATCGACAATTAGTTCGGGCCAACCAAAGAGCTGCCAAAACTCTTGCCATAATGGCATGGAGGTTTGGCGTATTACAGACGCCTGTCAATTTGGAAGCAAAAAAGGTCAAGACTATCGTAAAGGCTTGCTGTTATCTTCATAACTTTTTTAAGCGTGAGAGCGCTTATTACATAGATAGCAACATGGAAGCTGTCATTAAAGCTGACATGGCACCAATTGTTTGGGGTCCAAACACTACGGTCATACCGCATATCAATAATTTCGATAGCGATCCGCAATTTGTTAGAGATAGTTTTTCAAATTACTTGTATACACTATCCCGGGGTCAAGCCACATCTCAAACTCGTGTTTGTAAATAATATTTTCATTCTCCGAATATTTCAATTTATTTATTTATTAAATATACCATAGTTAATTTACATATTTACTTTAGAATAATAAGATTTCATGTCAGTTGATGACTTACAAATCTACATTGTGAAATGATTATTATTATTGTTTGTATACAAAAGCATAAATATATCATTTCAAAGTCAAATAATTATTTAATACTAAGTTATTTTATTGATAACTTATTTACAGAAATAATACATTATTTTTTCATTCAGTAAATATAAGTTTTTTTTTTTTTTAAGTATTTTGTATTCTTAAGCAGTTATTGCAATGTTTTTCATCAGTATTGTATTTTTAATTAAATTTTTTTTTGTAAATTTAAGTTTACAATTGCGTCATAACTGTTACGTATATATATATATCTTCGACTAAGACTACTGAGAGTCTACAGGAGGTCTTCCATAATCTATTTTTATTTTTTTTTATAAAAATCTGATTATTTTGCCCATATTCTTATTATTTATTTTACAATGGAAATTGTACCTATAATAATAACAGGGTGTGTGCTGATAGTTTTTGGATCGTATTTCTATGATAAAAAAAATACATTTTTGTGTATAATCAAAATTACTTATTCTAAAATCTATTCATGTGATTGAAAAAAAAAAAAGTTATTTTGTTATTTTTCACCTTATACCTTTAATTTTTTTAATTTAAAGTCTAAACATTTATAAAACTGTTTGAACAGTTATTCACTGATAGTTCATGCTCTAATATTTATTTGATAAATAGTAAATATATTAGTCATGTAATTTATTATAATCATTCTAAATATATAATACAGTTGTATCTACAATATTAGAGTAACCAATGTACAATATATACCAATTTACCAATATATACAATTTATTTTAATTTGATTTTGAAAATGTTTGAATTGAAACTATTAAAAATTGTAGTTATTACACATTTGCTGCAAAATTATTAACTTATCTGAAGATTTTGAGCAACTTTAACTGACTCCTTTATTTTTTAAAAATTTATTTTATTTTTAAGTTAACAAACAATTTTTTAAGGTCTACAAAAATAAAATAAATACAAATGTATATATAAAGAAAAACAGCTCTTAGTATTATTGGTTGTTTTATTTACACGCTGAAAAAAAAGTAAATCCAGTCAATAATACTTAAGGCTAAATTAGTCTTACATATTTATTTAAACATTTTTTTTTTTTTTAAATATATATTTTTATATTTCCTTTAATGTTTATATTTTAAAGTTTTCGATATTTTTTGTAAGATTATTATTAATTTTAAATATACAAAATTATGTATTATAAATGTGGGCCTTGTGATTTATAATTAATTTATAGATATATATATATATATATGTATATATAAATGAGTGGTAATATCCAATCGTTTAGTTTTTAGTTGTGCTTTTTATTAGATTCAGTGTATACATAAATATTATGATTAAAAAATATTGTTTTATTTTATTTATATTAAGTTACTTATTAAGAGTTTTGTTCTTTTTCTTTGAAATCTGTCATTTCAAATATTTTGAATATACAATTTTAAGCTTAATTTTGAGAGTGAATATATATTATTTTATTATAATATAAATTTTGTATTTAAATGTACTGCAAGAAATAAAGAAAGACTTTAAACTATTTATTATTATGAGTATTCTTGTTTAACAATACATATTACTGCTGTCTCCGTCAATTTGTTTTTCAAAATTTTAGTTTCAAATAATTGAAGATAAAAACCTTATATTACCATTATTATTTAATATATATTTTTTTTTATACATTTTTTAAGTGTTTCAAATTACAATATAAAGTGTTAAAAGATAATTTTCTTTTTAATAAAGTGTAATAGAGATCTATTTAATTTAAATTGGACGGATTTTATATTATGCCTTCGGTGCATGTAAAAATAAATAATTATTCAATTGTATCCTTCAGTAAATAAAAAAGGTTTTGGGTCTTCGACGATTTGTAGATAATCTGCCTTTACAGGATTTGAACACATTGGACAGTTTTCCCCAGACTCCAACAACCTAAATATAAACACAATACATGTATTACAAAAGTTTATTCTTTGATTTTATAGTTATATAGTAATAATAGGTTTACCCTGCAAATTCGTTATACAATGCTGGAAATTGACAATTTGGACAAAACGTAAGATTTTCTTTAGTAATATGCCATCCCTAAAAAGAACAATAGTGTAAGAGAAACTGTTTTTATATTTAAGGAGATTGAATATAGATATTTTCTTCCTTGGCTAACACAATGGTTTTAATACAGGGACGATACAGTCTCAAAAAGGGTATTTTAATACTTTATTATTGTCACACGTGAAATCAAAATACAGTAGAATTTACTAGTAAAGGTCTTCAAGGGACCTAGAGAATCAGATCATTATATCCGGATGACAAAAAAAAACCTTAATTTTATTGAAAAATATTGATTTATTAAACACATTCTTGTATTGAAAATGTATTATTATATAAACCATATTATAATCTTATGAATAAAAGAGCTGATACTGGGAATGGGAGAAGCAACTGTTGTAGATGAGAAGTTGGGAAGGTAGGATATATATGATTATTTCATTTATATTTGTAAGCAATGATAAAGCATTGTTTAACGAAAGACAATTACGAGTGCAGTTAGGTAATACATAATTTGAAGTGCCATAATTTTTTTTTTGCGATTTTCATTTAAAATTTATTCCAAAAGGCTTATTAAATAAAAAAAAGTACGTTTTCCTGGCAAGTTTTTCCCCACAAGTGCTTTTATTTAAAAAATGGCTTCGAAAATCAAAAAATGATAATTTTAATGTACAATGTAGACAACTTGGGCTTTTAGAAAAGTTGCCACATGTAAAAATTGGAGCAAGTTAACTGGGAAAAAAACGAGTTCACAGACGAAAGAAAAATAAATATCTTAGTAAAACCAATAGCTCCCTTGCTACACTCGGAATCTAAATATGTACTTGTATTGTGGATAGTATTATGTTAACCTAATTATTGTTTACAATTTTTTGAAAAATAATCAGTTAAAGTACTTTGTCTATAACAGGAACAGTATGATTGTTTAATATAATTAGCAATATTTTGTAATGTCATTGTTACTTCCAGCGTATTGATATGGACATAATCCGATTTATTGTTATAGCCGAATGAAAAAAAAAAAATTTTAATTTAAAAATACCATTGATATATCTGAATTACCGTTTAACCGATATTGTTATATCTGACCAAAATTACTGTATGTTAGATATAAAACCAATTAAGTACATGGCTGGGAATCTTTTTATCTGGAATATTGTTATTTACGGCATCATAATAAACAGAGTCTACTGTAGTTGTAATTGTGTTTTAGGTGTAGGGAATAAATCTAAAATATTTTTATTAATACATTAATTTTTATAGCCATAAAAGCCTAGTGTTACACACCTAGCAGAGTGTGATTGATTAAATTTCTTATATCATCTGATCTTAGGACTTATAGGTTCTTACAAGGTGTCTTTATGAATTGTAAAACAAGTTGAGTATCATTCAATCAACAAAACTCTTATTTAAAAGAAATATCTGACACTTAAATATATACAAATATACTACGCAAGGAGATGGTTCTAGAAATAAGATTATGAAGCTGGTTTCTTTGAGCAACTGTCTACTAAAGAATTTATGAAATATTCAATGATATTGAAAACAAATTTATAAATTCATTGAGAGAAATTATTTTGATTTTAGTAGTCAAAAATTTTAAGGAAAGGGTGTTGAACTGAAAAATGTTAAGAACATGTTATGGTCTAACATACATATATAACATACATATATAACATACATATATAACATACATATATAACATACATAATATATTAAGAAGCATAATACCAATTTTATTTCAATCAATTTAATTAACTTAGTGAAGGAACATAAATTATGAAAATAGATTTGAATTCAGTTTTAAGTTAATATGAAATAGGTCAAGTCACTTGTTTTAAATTTATATATGATAAATACATATGATTTTTATATAATTTTTACATTTTGTAAATAAAGGACTGAAATTTGAAATAAGTGGTCTGACTAATCTCATTTATACTCCACACTGAATTAAAATATAAATTCATAATACTTCACTTCACTAAATCAATCATAATATGTTTATATTTATCACACTGATAGAAGGGAAATTGGTCTAAATAATTATATTGTTATCCAATCCCTTTAATAAACAATATACTTACAGATGCTATACAAAAAGGTATTGTACTTTTGCAACTAGTGCACATAAGACTTGTCATGGGTAAATCAAGTCCACAATAAGGACATGGCTCTGTCCTGGATATAATATCATCTGATTGGGAACCAACCCTTGGAGACTTTCTAATAACACTTTCAATTTTTTTTCGATATTTTTCATCAATCTAATACAAAAAGCGTAACTTTATTTTTTAAAAGATCATCCAAAGATGAAAACCATATAAATAGTATATCACAAAAACTGTAAAAGTAAAGTTGTTAAAAGAAGAATAGACTTTGTTTTTAAGGATAATTAAATAGTTAAACATTAACCTGGTGTCTGTAATCAGATTTCATAAGAATAGTGGCAAATTTAAAGGCACTTTCCTTCATGTTTGAACGGTAACATTCAATGACAGTTGATGTTAAAATTTGTACAGCATCTATAAAAAACATAAAAATGATACATTAATGTATTGCATAATCATGTATTTATAGATAATAATAAATATACATACGTGAAGGAAATCTATCAATATTTTCAGAAACTCTAATCAATAATAGAGCCGCTTTGTTATGGTCGTCCAAACGAACGTATACTCGTACTAATATGTACGAATGAAGTAGTGCTAAATTAGCAGTCATCTCATTGCTCACTTTTAAATGATTATTACGCAATTCACATATAGTATTATACAGTACATCATGCGCTTGCCTGTAGTTACCTATATTATATTATTTATTATTAATTTAACTTTTTATAATACGTTAAAAATGTTCAGTTAAATAATATGCAGGATAATTCATTAGGTGTGCTCACTCCATTTTTTGGTTAAATTTAGCATATATTCAAATATTTTTGTAATTTTGAATTGTAGTTAAAGCTAATATTTTTGAAATACTTAGATTTATCACAACATTTAAGAAGTATCAATAGATATTTCACTTTTAAGTATAGGTAGAGGGAGAATAGTGGAGTATCATTTATATGGTGACACGACATGCGGCATTTTATTAATGCTCTACTGCTTCCCCTCTAGCTAAACTTAAAAGTGGAATATCTCGTTAACGGGTTGACATCAAAAATGTTAACACTTAAATTTGTAATTTTTTAATTTTTAATTTCTAATTTAACAAATTTTCCATTTATTCATGGAATTTTTACTATGAGTTCATTCTCATCTGAAAAACCAAAGTTGTATCGTTATAGAATACTTCTTAAATATTGTGATAAATCTAAGTATTCGAAAATATCAGCTTTAACTACATTTAAAAATTCCAAATATCAGAATTCAAATACAGAGGATTCCGCCTAATGTGGCACTGAGTAATATGAGCATCCATGTAATGTAGGCAAAATGGTCTAGTCCCAATACAAATTTATATTAACAAGGTAAAAAATACCGCATAATATGGGCCTTCGAATCGGTTTATGTATATCATAGCTCTAGAATATTCACATATGTATTTAAAAACAACTAATATAATCGGATTTTGTCATATCTATGAGATTGTGTTTATTGAAAATCATTATAATAAAAGCATTATCATTTAAACCTTAATGGGATTTTGTTGACTAAATATATACACTTCCATGTGACTTCATGCAAGAGGGTAACTCCATGTTTATTCCATTTTTTCTTTTTATATAACGGTACTATATAATTTTTTATAGTGGATAATTAGTCAAAATTGTATAATAAACTATATGAATACCATTCAAATTTAGCTAATAATATTAGTTTTTTATTTAATGAACAGTATGATGAATTAATAGAAACAATTTTGAAAATTAAAACATCTAAAGAAAAGGAGCTAAAAGATTTTAGTACAGTCAGGAAGTATTTATTAAAAAAAAGGTTTTAATATTGTATTAGTTTTAATTTACCTATTTATTTTTACTGTTATAGGTATGATGTATTGAACGTACAAGGAAAAAAAACTATGTAGTGTTGTATTAAGTACCTGACAGAAAGTTGTATGATGTATTGCAAACCAGGCACATTTCAATAGTGATTCGAGATTGATGATCAAGAAACTTGGTAATAATTAATAAATATAAAATACAACATGTAATGATCATTATATAGAGACGTTTTTGCATTTTTTGGAAATTGATTGTATAAAGTAATAAATACTATAAACAGTGAAGAAGAATTGATAGAATTAACTACAGAACAAACACAAAAAAACACAAGAAATTTCAATGTTAACAATGATTCCTGAACACAGATTTGACATTACAAACTGTTGTGAAGGAACAATCTACAGGAACGAGAAAATTATTTTTTAAATGCTTTTGTAAGTCAAGTGCCAAAATAATAAATGTATTTGCTAAAAAAACTTTACTGTGTCATTCAAAATACCACTTATCAATTATATGTTGAATAAGTAATAATAATTAATAAATATTAAATATCTACCTAGATATTATACCTGCATTATTAATATTTCCGGTAACATTTATAAATTATTACCTTAAGTCTTAACTCTTAGGTTAAAATAGTTTTTACCTTTGACCTGTTCATTATTTGCTAAGATAATAGCAACTTTAGCAGCTTCTCGGTATCGACTTCTTGCCATGTGCAGTCTAAATAAAAATTTTGGATTCTGCAATTGATTCATTTTATTATTATACATCTATGAATTAATGTTTTTTTAATTTAGATTACTTTATGTAAATAAAAACATTAAAACAATTTGATAAGTAATTTTCTAAAAACATATGAATATAAGGTTTATGCTTTTATGGTGGAACATTTATTATTTTGCAAAGTAGGTATATTTTTTTTAAAAAAAAAAATCTTTTGACAATTGTTAAAAAACAAGCAGATCTAAAATGTTATATCACACCAATAGCATGGCAAAGAGGGTAATTGAGAGATGATCACTTCTGACTTATTTAAGAGATTTACATATATGTCTACTTTTACGACACTTTTTAAGAAAGTGACAAAAACCCAGTGTTAAATCAAAATTAGGTAGTCGTTTCATCCCCAAAAATAATGGTAACATAACATTTAAGATCTGCTTAGTTCTTAAATTGTCAAAAGATTTTTCTTTAGGAAAAAAAGAAGTATTTAACCATAAAAGAATCACACTATATATACAACAAATAATAATTATGAGAAAAGGAAATAATAATGCAGAATGAAAAGAACAGGACTACCCTAAGGCTCCTTTACAGGCAAACAAAAGGGGGTTAAATAATTTGGAAAAGTATTTAGAGAGTTACTTAACCCACAAACAGAGTACTATACAGGGTATAGAGTATCCTGCAGTGTTATTCTTATGCTAATAATTCTGTCAACATTTTTTTTCAATCTTGTTTTGCGCAAAGGTTACAAATATTTAGAGAAAATTAAATTTTTATTTTCATCCCTTAATTACTGAAAAAAAATAACTTTTTATTTTCCACTTTTTAAAATGTTCAAAATAACCATTTTGTAAAATATATTCAGACAATTTAAATGTATCATACATTCATATCTGGTTAATAGCTTCTTAGTTATAGTGGCTTTAAAATATTGAAAATAGGTTTGAAAACACTAAATTTTCAATAGAAATCAAAATTAAGCTAGTTTTATTTATTCTGCATAAGCATTGTTTTTACATGTTACCCAGTAATTGGATTGAGACAGTAGATGCAGGTAGCACGTTCTCTTCAATAATTAGTTCAAAAACACTATGAATTCAACAGACTTGCATATGATGTTATAGAAACATATATGTTTATATAGCATATGAATCAGTTAATAGAGAAGTGCTATAAAATGTACTTAAAACTTTTGGGATACCAGCTAAAACAGTGAAAATTATTAAATTATAAATAGATAACAGTAGTTGTAAAGTTAGATTTAATTAACATTTATCTGATGAGTTTGAAGTCAAAACTGAACTTCAACAGGAAGATAACCTATCTTTAGTACCCTCTAATATAGCATTAGAAACAGTAATTAGGAAAAAGCAGAACAAGTTTGGAGGATTAAATTTAAATACTGGAAGATAACGCGGAATACTTGTGTACACAGATATTATCACATTAGGGTCAGATTGTTAACTAGTAAAAATGAGCACCAAGGAGGTAATAAAAAATAGTAAAAACATCGGACTGCAGATAAACAAATCAAATACCAAATATATGGTAATATCCAGACGAAAATTTCATCACCTAGAAGATAAAAAATATAAATTTGAAAAAGTACTTCTTTTCAAATACTTGAGCGTTACAATAAATAGCAATACCAATTGTCATGAAGAACTCAAAATAAGAACAACTGCAGTGAACAAATGCTACTACGCAATAACAAATATATTCAAGTCAAAACAAGTATCACTTAATATGAAAGTTACACTATACTAAATAGTTATCAGACCAGCTGCCAAAGATTAAGTTGAAAAGAAATTAGCAGAAATGGAAATACAGGATGTATAAACATTTGTACAGGATAGGGAAACAGGAAGAAAGTTCGTGTTGTGATAATGGTTTTTGAAAACCAAAGAAGATATATATATACAATTTATTCATACCCTTGTATGGCCATCAACTTCACCTAACAATAATTTTATAAATTCATCATCAATCGAATTGTTCTTTGCTGCAGCAACTACTTCAATAGCTAGTGACAGGATTTCATCATTTTTTGGATTAGATTTACTACCCTCAAGTAAATTTTTAAGTGCCTACATTATAAAAACATAATAAGTAATATTTTTAACACTATTTTAACAACTATTTTTTTAGAAATGTTAAATTATTAGAAGATAACCTTTTGGTAATTTTTGGCATGAAAATAATATTTTCCTGCTAGAGCTGGACTATTTTGTGTTTCATAATACTTAGCAAGACTGGCAAACTCTGGAATAGAAACTTCCTCATCTTCATCTAACAAAACGTCACCATATAATTCTAAATGATCATGATCGCATGCTAATCTGAAAGCATCTGTAAAACAATGTGACATTGCCAAAAATCGAATTGCTAATAATATTTCGTTGTTTTTTTGAAAATATCTGAAAAATATTTAAATATATTAATTACATTAATTTAAATAATGTTCAAAATACATGGATATCAAATGACGAAAAAGTTACCTAGCAATCATTTTTGAACCTTCAGTACTACGATGTTCTTGAACTACTCTAATAGCGTCTTGAGGATCATCTAGTTTATCTAAATCTAATCTAATAACATTTTCATAGTCATGAGCTGCATTATATCCACATAATGCTTGCTTAAAATTTCCCATTGCTTCCATAGCCTTGTAAATTAAAACAATTAAATTTAATGATTTGGTTTGGTTAAATTCTAAGATTTTAACTTTACCTTGGCGTATTGAGCATGAATTTTTGAAGATGTAATGTAAGTTGTATATTCGCCAACTTTAGACCAATTTTTTAAACGAATATAACAAGAAGCTGCTTGATCCCAATTTTCAATCTTTGTATATAAATCAGCTGCATCACTTAATTTCTAAATATAAAATTCAATGGTTTAATACTATAATAATATAAATATAATTTCTATATACTTTTGTATTTTCTAGTAACTCAGCACATTCATTTAATAATTTTTTCGATCCTATCTCTAAAGCTATATTTATGCCTTTCTTTGCATTGCCACATTTTATCAAACATCTAGCTATTCCTTCACGACAATATCTTAAATGATCAGTATCTATATCTGTATCTGAATCAAGGCCTTGTTCATATTGTAACAATGCTTCGTGAGCTTTACCACTAATAAAAAAAAAAAAAAGTAGAAGAAACTCATTCTCAACTATGATTAAAAAGTTTCAATACACACATAAGTTCTAGCTGTTGACCATATTTACAAGAAATGTAAGGCATTCGTTCAGGAGCAAGAATTTTGGCAAGATCTAAAGCAACATCCCATTGCAATAAATCTTGTCTCATTTCTAATGCTTGAATTGGGTTTGATGATTCCAAAAACAATTTCTAAACCAATTAATTCATTAACAAAATAAATTAATAAAATATCATTAAATGTAAAAATTACTTGAGCTTTATCAAATTCTTTCAAATACATTGCTAAATGGCCAGCAAACAATTTCTTGTCTTCTATATCTTTAATTAGTTCTAATGACCAAACCATTGAAACATCGCCGAGATTGGTATACACTTGAAGAGCTAAAATGAAAAATAATCAAATAGTATAAACAATTAAAAAAATAATATATGTACCATATTGTATTATGACATACCAGTTTCTATATCAAAATAATTTAAACAACTCAAGCCCAATTTTTCCCAATACTCTTTTTTATTTAACAATTGACAAGTCTTCCAAGCATCATTAATTCTTAAAAGGGCCAATTGTTTGTCTAAATCTTGTTCTAATCGTTCTGTTGGATGACTAAGTGTGGTGGCTGCTGGTCGCATTAATAATGCTGTATGTGTTAATAATGTTATAGTATTTAATTTTCCAGTGGAAGTCTCCAAGGTCAAATCACCGTGAGACAAAAATAATGGTATTTGGCGTTCAGGTAACTTTGTAGATCCAATAAAATTAATTTCACTCCCTGAGTTAAATACATATATAGGTTATTAATGTAAAATTATACATGTGGTATTATTTAGTACCGTTAATTGAATCACGGATATATACAAATGTCAGAGCTGATTTTTCGTTACATGCAATAAATACACGTTTTTCAGATGGCCATAGATCCCAAAATACTGAACAAGCGGAAGTTGGAAAATCTTTGATAAGTATTATCTCCTCTGAAACCTAAAATAAATAATAAGAAAAATATACATTGTATATTATAAACTAAATGTATTTAATGCACAACATACTGGAATATATAAATATGCTTCATTTTTTGCATCAACTATTATACATCTTATTCCTTCTTGATTAGGAAATAAATTAACAATACCACAATGATGCTTATAAGCGAAAGCTTCATTCCAATCTTCTAAGTGAAAATAATGAATATTACCTAGCTGTAAGAATTATTTATAAATTATAATGTATACATAGTACTTATGTAATAATATTAAGAATAAGAACACAATTCATAATTTAATAAATATCTTGATTCTTCTTATTTATTTTCAACTTAAAAATTAATATGTTACATAGATTTCTAAATAAATTAATAACTATTTAAATTATATAGTAAATTAATTAATAAAATATTTTTAATTTAAATATTAGGTTTAATAAATTAATAAATAGACCTTTAAGCAATATAGTTCTATTAATAAAGTCAAATCCCCCCATAACTGTTTGGTATTCTATAAATATCGAATTACATAATATTTCCAATTTATTTTTTTACATACATTAAAGACCCAACAAATATATATATACAATTATATAATGAAAGAAAATATACATTATACCGCAAGTCTTTACTTATGGCCTAACATGACAAAAACATTTTGAGTAAATATTTTATGAGTAATAAGTGATTGTAAAATAAGTAAATAAACTTTTACCTCGGTACTGTATATGAGAAAATCATTAGTCAAGTATTGATTGTTGATATTCTTTCCTTTATCAGTAGGAAATATTTTTGATACACTATCGTTGACAGCCTTTGAAATAATTGAATCAATCTAAATTATAATATATGTACTAATTGTATTAACAATGATTTTGTTTAGATAAAAAATTAAAAATATGTTTAAAAATAAAAATAAGATATAAGTCAAGTATTATTATATATTAAGTTATTAAATAATTTAATATTTTTCATAATTATTGTATTATAAATTATTATATTGTATACACTAACTGTATGTATTTGTAGTCGACCTTCAAATAACACTGATATAAATTCACCATTTAAGCAAATATTTTTTACACTGCCTAGATATTCACGATCGCCAAGTAATGAAGTTGATAATTTAGATAAATCAGATGTGTTAATTTTATAATACCAAATCCTATTATTCATGCCAACTGCTAAATGATAGGAACCAATACCTAAAAAACTTGGTTCCATTTCCGTAGTTATAGTGACCATGTCCGGTGACTGATTCTAAAATTTAAAATTGTATACTATGATGATCACAACTTCTAATCATTATCAGAACACCTACTTTGTCGGAATGACAATAATGTATAGTAACTTGATTTAAAGATGTCAAAAATGCAACACAATTGTTGTACGTTGATGATAACATGGGTAAAGCTTCTAAATAAAGATGAACACACCCATCTGATGAAGTAGCGGCTAAAATTCGTCCATCTTCACTCCATGTAACATGCTCAAAAACACAACCTTCATCAATATGTAGTACAGCTGTAGTTTCTTGTAACTTTCCGATTTCATGAACTTTAATTCTATAAAATAATTATTAATAATTTTACATTTAGATCATTTTTTTAGATTAGAATTTAATTCTTACGTATATTCACCACATGTAGCAACTTTCCCCGCAATTTTAGATAAACCAACATCTGATAACATTTCTTTGTGATTTCTTACTTGAAAAAGTTCTTTACCTACTTCTTTAGGATGGGTTGATATCGAAATTAAATAGCCTTCACTAAAACCAATTAAAATATATCCATCGCCATACCAATGGTAAGTAACTATTGATCCATATTTTAAATTAAATGCCAATTCAAATGGATTGTCAGTGTCTTGTAAATCAATAAGGTACAAGGTTTTATTGCTCACTAAAACACTTACCTAAATGAAGCAACAAAAAATTGTAAAATAACTTTATAACTTTTAATGAAATATAATTTACTGTTTCCTCAGAATGTTTTCTACGGTCAGACTTCATTTTTGAGAATGCTATTTTAGATGGTTCACCACGTAAAGATATAATTTTTAATGTATCACCTTCTATGTTGTTTATAGACACGGTTTGGTCTTGGGATCCTAAAGCTAATACATTATCTCTATTCCATTCACCACATGTTATACTTCTAGTATGTTTTCCTAAAACTGGTGTTCGTCTAAAAATCATCATCAAATATAATAAAACATTGAAATCAAATAAGTGATAATATTATTGAATTAGTCTTACTTTGTAGTAACATAGTCATATATTGTTAGGTTTCCTTTAGCAGAAGTTACAGCAACCGTTTGACTAACTTTGGACCATAATATACATGTTAGGTTATCTTTAAAAACAGGATTAATTTGTTCAGTTTTTGATGAATTAGCTTCCCATAGCATTAAAGTTGAAGATCCATCACAAATAATACCTAATAAATCACCGTCACGATCCCATGCTAAACCAGTACATATTCTAAAAGATAAAAAAACAAAACAATTAATTTGTTTAGTACATCTGATATATTGGGTATGTATAATTAACTGTTTAGTTATGAAAAAGTATGTATTTTAAAATGTATAATAAAAAAAACTATACCCTAAAATTTTAATTTTTTCAATTAGTTTTCCATTGCGAGTGTAAATTCCAATAAATTGATCTGAACCTGTTACAGCCAAGTAAGTACCACTTCCTTTTTGCCATGCTATGTGTGTTTCACCGGTTCCACTAGTGTTTTCAAGTTTTAATAGTTTCTAGGTGAATAACAAAATAAAATTACTTACAAATTTACTTACAAAATGAATTATTAAATAATTACTTGTAATTTTTATTTAGAGCAAAAATTGATTAAAATTTACCTTCATTAGTACACTCAAATACTATTAACTATCCTGTTTGGATAGAATGGCATTGATTTATTATAATTTTGTTATTGTTCTTGATGATTCAATTATAATGTATTAATGTATGAGAATTGAGATACTGAGAAGTAGTTTGAATTATTTTCAGCCTTATCACTATACACTATGTTATCAAACAACGGTTAATGTTTGGACACGAGAAGGATTTTGTTTCCCGGGCAACTGAATATTGGATAGGCAAATTAAACTTCATCACTACTAAGAAAAAATTATCAACAAAACCTTGAAGCAAGAACGCTCTCTGACGATTAATTTAGTAAACCTTATGTACTACAGTCTATAGTCTCTATGGCTTAGACGACAAGACCATCGTACTTCTTATGTAAAATTGACAAATTGTTTAAACAAAAGGGAGTATATTATAACACGAATATTGTTATTTTTATTATTCATTACCTACTATTTATAGTATATTATATACTATTGACGAAGACTACTTTCAGAGAAGGGGTAGCGATGAAAAAAAAATTCGGTTCATTTTGTGTAAAAACTAATCCATTCATAACCAACCCGAACATTTTCTCACGGTTTAGCCCGGGTCGGATACGGACTGGGTCGAGCTAGCCCGGCCCGTGCTGATCTCGAATAACAATACACTTGATCTTGTGCATGCGGATAAATTTAAACCGTGATCGTATTCAAGTATTTGGACAACGGTGTGACGAGAACTTTCATTTTATGTTTATTTCCAGGTTTTGTTAATTATTATTAAAACTGCAGGGAAAATAAAAAAAGACTTTCTTACTAGATTAAAAATTTAATACAAACTTGTATTTTTTTTTAATTGGAGCAAAATTTATGGTAGAAAACATAAGCCGTACACACTTAAAATAATTTTACCAGGACGCTAAATTTCCATAAATATTAATAATTTACAATTTTCTAGCTTTTCCCAAATATTATAAAAACTACTTTGGATACCAAGAAATAGATTTCTTTGTTAGTGGCCATAATATATTAAAATAAATAAAAACGATCAATGTCATTTTTTGATTAGAACAATATATTATCTGATAGGAAGAAAACTAGAAAACATTGTGAAGAAAATTAAAATCAATGAAAATTGTAACGCCAGGGCACGCTGAAAATATTTGTTGTTTTACCTATAATTTTCTCTCGGGTTTTTCATAATTATTTTGAAAACCACTTGGAAAATCAAAATTAATTATAAATGCACTAAATAGACAAAATTTAGAAAATTAGAAAACGTACAACATTTTACACATCGGAGCAAGATTTCTTTTTGAAAAGTTATTTATAGATAGAATTGTTTTCGTAAATTTTCTAATTACTTCTTCGTATTTTTTGGTTTCGCTCAATTATTAAAAAACTATAAAGAAAATCAAAAAACAATTTTTTGGTCACCAACAAAATTAATAGTTAAACAAAAAAGGTCCCATGTTGTTTTATTGGGTCAATATTTTTGATAGAAAACAAGAGCCGTAACAATTTAATATAAAGGAATCCTAGGCCCTAGGTCTAGTATTACTTATTACTTATTTGCAGTTATTAGGTACCTAATACCTATATCTACTATAATATTTTTACTATTTTTAGGATCAAACTATTTTTGCGGGACGAACGCGTGATAATCAGATAACGTGATACTTCATGATTACAGTTTGTTATCGTTATCCACGTAATGCAAGTAGCGACCAATGGTGCGTCGATTACGGTGTCGTATGATGATATTGTATGATCTTCGTCTCTGTCGTGATGTCAGTTTTTGTTACCCTGCCGCCGACCGCCGTTTCAATATTTTGAACATTGCTTATCAATAACGGTACTTAATTTTAGCTTTATAAAAAAAAAAAACTAATAGTATAATACCTTTTATTCGTTTTTGCGAACCAACTTTGACTATTTTATTATTGTAAAATTAATTAAAAAGTAACATTTTTGGCGTTAATAGTTTATTTCAGCTGCTTATACATAGGTGTAGTTATTACTTATTAATCTAAACGTTTGTGTCTAGACATCCAATACTTATTTGTTACTTGCAAAATCCTTAGACGCACTTGTGTTAATATTAATATTGCCTAATTAATCTAGTTGATTGTTTGAGCGGTTCTTAGATGGATCCCACTGATTCCAGAAGTCCAGCTGTTTCAAAGGACGGATCATTTTATGGTGTTTTTGTAGAAACAGAAGTCGATGATGGTGGTGAGCACTGAAAATAATTAATATAATATTCAAAGACTATTTTTTTTTTTTTTAATACCTTATTTACTTAATCTACATTACAGGTATAAAGAAAGTATTTACCGAACTTCGAGAAACACTTTCTGTAGTAAAATATAAAAAAACTGCTAGGTTTAAATTGTTTAGATCTGAAACAGAAGCCGAACGTTTTAGTATCTTTGGTCAAGAGTCCCCAGTAAAAGAAATTATCAAAAATAATAAATCAAATGACCTTTCTAATAATGTTCATTCGACTAGTTTTAACTTCAAATCTTTAAAATCTGAAGATTTAGTTGCATTTCGACGTCTCATTGAAAGTGGAGAACTAGAAAAAGTAAAACAGGCCGTGTATTCGAATCCAAGATTTCTCGTTAGCAGTGGCGATACACCATCAATAATTCAAGTAAAATCATTAAATACTTTAAATATATATTTTATTAAGTATTCTAATTTGTATATCTAGTTACTATCAAAATAAAAACTCAATTTTATGTTTACCTTATGTAATTTAACTAACGAATTTAAAAGTATTTGTTTATTTATTTTGAAATATAGGTACTCAGATATAAGTTTGAGATATCAGTTAATTCTATACAATCGGAGAAAAATAATCTTATAAAAACCATATTTAAATTATTATTCATATTATAAACACTATTAAATACCCAGCTTGTTACTGATTATAAAACTAAATTAATTGAAATATGTATTTATTAGTGTTATTATTATTACAATATTTATTATTGTTTTTATTAAAATAACTAATTTATTTAGGAAGGATGTCGATATAATGCTATGCATGTAGCTGCTCGATACAACCAACCAGAAATTGTTCATTTCATAATGGAATGTGTTACTAGTTCAGATTTTATAAAAAGTTTATATGGTATAGAACAATCATATCTATCGCGAAGCGAAATTATTACAGATTTGTATTTAAATACTCCTGATAAAGCTGCTAATGATACGCCTCTTCATATTGCCTCAAAATTTGGCCATGTGAATGTAGTGAAAGAATTAGTTTCCTATGACAAATGCATATTGACATGTTTAAATAAATATGGCCAAACTCCAAAAGACGTAAATATTATTAATTAATAAAATTGTTATTTAAAACTAAGATATCCTATTAAACAACCTAGGTTATATGCTCAAGAAAAAACCAGGACATGTATGATAATATATTAAATTTGATTGAAAGTGGATACTTTGTACCAATGTGGAAATCTAATGACAGTTGTGTACAACCTACAATTGGTAAACCTTTTTCACCTAAGTCTCCGACAGTATTTCCAACACTACAGGTTAAATAAGAATATGAAGATTAAACATATTTTCAAGTACTTTTCCTAATTAAAATTGATTTGTATATATATATATTATTTTTTCCTTTTAGAGTGAAAGCCTTAAACAATTAAATCCTGTACTTGAAATACAAGCTCTGGCTGGACCAATGAATGAATCACAAGCTTTAAAATTTTGGAAAGATTGGAAGTCACCAGTGCGAAAAACTCTATTATCTTCAACACCTCAAAAATGTTCAACAAGCCCAAGACAAAACGAGTTTAATATCAAAAGTATTGAAAAAGCAGGAAGGTAAAATACTATTTATAATATTTATTTAATTTTGTTTGTGAATTATTTATTTATTTATTTATAGAATTTTAGCTGAAAAAAGAAAAGTTGGCTGGGCTGAGTATTGGCCATTTCTTGATCAAATAGTTGATCTTAAGTCTGATAGAGGTTTAGATCTACTTGAAAAATACTTAAAACAAAGATTTAGTATGAAAGTAAAGGATATTCCTGAAAAATATGAACATGAACCAACTACATTATTGAGTCCTATGAGTGAATTATGCAAAGCATTAGAGACTATGCGAATCAGAAGTACCCAAAAGGAAAAAAGTCCCAAACGATCTACTCTTGTACCTTATACTTGCCTTGTAAAATCCTGTAAAGTATGTACGTTAAATTAAGTAATAATAATAAAGATTAAATTAATATTATTATTTGTTTTATGTTAAGGTTTTAGGAGAGCGCCTGTTAAAAGTTATAATATCGGAATATAAAGATATGCAAAATATCAAACCATTAGCTAATCAATTATGTCATGAAGTTAGACATTTGTTAGTTTTAGAAGATAGTTTCTATTCAGATATTCGTTTTGATTCAAATATACAGGGTAAAATTCACGAAAGAGTAGCCGAGTATCTTTGTCAATTGTTAATCGATCATTTAGAACTTAACGTTGATATTTCTTCAGTACTAACTAAACTTCAGAAGTATTATGCGTAAGAAAATTTTAAGTTTTTAATATTTTTTACCAGAGGTATTTAGATAATATATTTAAATCAGTTTAACCGTTTTTTAACAATACATATCACATCTATTTTTAGACATATGCAAAAATAAATCTCTAAACATATATAACACAAATATTTTGTAATACTTTTGAAATTTTTAAATGATGTAATGAATTACTAGGAATTTTTATATTGGTTTGAGTTACACACTTTAAAAAAATTCATTATACTTACCATTTGTAATTAAATTGTATATAGAAAAATTAAACTTATTATAGTTATCATGCAATTGGAAGTCGTAGTGAAATAACTGCAGCTTGTTTGGTATCTCTCATGTGTAAGATTTGGCATGAAAAATTGTATAATATAAATGGTATGGAATTTATTGATGACGAAGAAAATTTTAAACAGTGGTTTTTAACTATTGATCCATGTTCTTGTAATATTGAAGCTAAACCTCCATTAAAACCAATTCAATTATTTTTGGGTAATATAAATATAATTAATATAGTAATATAATTTATAGTAATTACTTATTCTTCTTCTACTTTACTTTCATCTCAACTATTTGGGATCAATTAGAATTATTATACATATTTTATTTTTAATTTTCTAAGGTCCAATAATTTGCTAGATTTGCCAGAAAAATTGTGTACAAACCTAATCTATTTTATCCTACCAGTGTACAAATTCATGATATTCCACAAATAAATATGTTTGAAAAACTGGGCCTAAGTTTTGTTACATTAATATTATGTATTTAATATAACCATTTATTTTCTTTTAAATTACAAATATCTAATATAGAGTTAAAGTTTTAAAAATGTTTTTATTTTTACTATTGATCCATAATATAAATAATAGATTACTTCATTGACTATTATATATATTGTCTATAATTTATTACTGTATTTATATGGTTTTTTCCTTTTAATTAGATGACTCTCATTTAAAAACATCATTGGATAATAAAGAATCTAAAAATGATTCCCGGAATGGTAAATACAAATTTCCATCTGTTCAATTAGATAATAGTTATTGTTGAAAATGTACTTATATGATTAATTTGTTGACTAATTATTTATAACTTTAGACTATGATTCAGATGAAGACATTTTTTCAAGTGCTCCAACTAGTCCGTGTAGTGGATATTCTTCATCTGATGAATCAAATATGTTTTATAATGCTGAACGTGATTTTTCTTATTTGTTATTTGCCAGGTAACTTAAGTAATAATTCTAAAAACCATTAGATTCTGAATAAATCGGAGTCACATACACATACTTTAATTTTAATTATTAGCAAACTTAATAGATTATTTTTAACAATTGTGATTCAAATTATTTAGAAAACTGAAATGTTATTTATTTTTAAAAAATCTTTTGAATTATAATAAAATATTATGCACGTATATTATTAAAATCTTACAAAATAAAAATTATAATATTTTATCAAATTTTATGTATGGGCTATCAAATCTCAAATGCTTAAATAGTTAAACTAGATATTTTTTTTTTTTTCAGGGATAATCCTATAGATGAGGATTTTGAAATATTTGATGCTATTAATGGTATAAGTGTTGAGTCTAATAAATATCCATGGCTATATAGATGGTTGTATTCAATGAATGACTATAATAATGTAAACAGTCTGTGATAAAAAAAAATTAACACAAATGTATTTATTTTAATCTGATGAATTATTTAGTAATTACTAATAAATGTTAAATTTGTAATGTTAGAATAAGTTAGAACAGAAAACATAATTTCTATTAGTAATGTAACACTGTTTTGTACTATTTGCAATATTTTGTGTAATTTATTGTTTATTTTAAAATAATTTATGTAACTGATTGATCTTTATATTGGTCCAAAAAGGAAATTCTAAAATGCTATAATATGTACTGTTCATAAAAATATACTTTTGGATCTTAAATTATTATAACCAATGATTCAATTATAAATTTGAATTAAAAAAAAAAAGTTATTTCCAGTGGTACAATTCAATGTTATATGGTTATTGTGTTTGTTTGAACTACCAATTATTGTCATGGGTAAGGATAATTGTTCAAAGTAATAAAGGAAAAATGTCATAATTACTTGCTATCGTAAAAACCTTTAACCTCTATACAGAATTACACTCTATAAAAAATTCTTTGATTACAACTAAGTACAGAGACATATTTGCATGTCTAAACAGCGCCCTTTCATAAGAACACATGTTAATGTACTGGAACTAACGCACTGGAATTTTGAGGTGAACATTTTAAAATTTATGCCTACTGTACATTATGGGCTCTAAAACACAATATTTTAGACCATTCTGAGTGAGTGTAAACTGCGGAATGGGGTTGATTTTTCAAAACAATATTTCTATTTAGCTATGCTTTAAACAAATTAGCCCTTTTCCAATGTGGTGACCAAGTGTAGAAAATTTTCCTTCTAAATACATTTAAAAAAAAAAAGCTGATACTGGGGATGGGAGAAACAACTGTTGTAGATGAGAAATTTGGAAGTTAGGATATATATGGTTATTTCATTTATATCTGTAAGCAATGATAAACCATTGTTTGACGAAAGACGATTACGAGCGCAGTTAAGTAATACATAATTTGAAGTGCTGTAATTTTTTTTTTGAAATTTCATTTAAATCTGATTTCAAAACGCTTATTAATAGAAAATAATCAATAGTCTGATGATTTTGGAAATTTTACCACGTCTAGGTAATTCTAATCTAAATATTACCAATTTTCTATGTGTATTTATAATCGAATTACATAAAAAAAAAATTTACGTTTTCCATGTAAATTTTTCCCCACAAGTGCTTTTATTTAAAAAATCAAAAAATGATAACTTTAAAGTACAATCTAGACTACTTGAGCTTTTAGATAAGTTGCTACACGTAAAAATCGGAGCAAGTTAACTAGGAAAAAAACGTGTCTATTGACTAGAACAAAAAAAAAAATAATAATCAGCATTGCAAAACCAATATCTCACTCGTTACACTCGGAATTTAAAATATGTATATTGTATATTTTAATGTATTTATATATATATTTACCTAGGAACTTCTTATTTTGGTCCATAAATCAATCCCCCATACCATAGATAAAATAGACATTTGGATATCCAATATATACCTATCCATTGGAACTTGAAAGTCCTAAATATTAATAACTAATTAGACATCTACTTTACAACCATTAGATAGGAACAAAACAGGTCTCTTGGAATTTTTTGATGAAAACTATTTCTGGTAGAAAAAATTGTGTGTAAAAATTAAAAACTACGAAATCGGGAACGTTGCGGCGTGCGTTGTTTGATTAAAGTCCGACGTTTTACATTATACTATATAGTATAATATTTAGGACTATGTAAGTTTTTTTTTTCACTATAAATATGTTATAATTTTTATTCCATTAGACTTATTCGAAATTGTACTGGCGATATTTGTATCCGTTGAACAGGCAGTACCATAATTTTTAACCTAGTTTTTACCAGGGAAAACGAAAAAGTTATTACTGTTATATTTCAAATTTTTCCAGGCTTGTGCACTCCCAAAAAGCATTAAATACAGAGCGAGTAATTCTGACCGAATATAGACCGAAGATCTAGAGTTGATTTAAGTGGGGAAGCGGCGCTCGAACAGTACAAGCTGATCTGCGGGACGCATTATCCGATTTCACTGTATTACCACTGGCGGTTGCTCAACGAAATTTGTGTCTACTCCATAATTTATCGAATTACGATACTCACTTTATCGTAACGGAGCTGGGATACGATAAAAATCGTATTATAATCGTATAATTGTGATACCGAATAGTAAAGAAAAATGTACATATTTTACGAAATATATAAACCGAAACTTCTCTATTAAGCTCATAGACATGTTTAGGTTTATGCCCTCTAGTTTAGCGACTATGGCTGCAAACCTAAAGATGGATGACTTAAGGTTGTTTCGGGGAACAACAAAAGTGTTTGAAAATACAGAGATAGGACTTGTAACTCGTATAGATAGGCGTATACCTTTAAGAGTATACGGATAATTGGAGGAGATGACATTATTCGAGGGAATGAAGTTTTATAGCGCGTTGGAGGAGAGAGATAGAGAGATATAGACCACTAGGACTACTTGACGTTTTTGGAGAACGTCTTCGGAAATTTCAGGGACTTCAGCGTAACCACGTACAATCTAGACCCTGCGCGGTATTACACAGTGCCAAGGTTCAGTTTCAATGAAGTGTTGAAACTACCAAGTTAGATGCATATGCAATGAGGAAAGTTCTATGTTTCTTCGAAATCGAGAGCAACTTTCAGCCAACTATTTGTATTTGATGGTATCTAGTTAAGTAAAGTAAAATAATATTTAGTATATTATTTATATATTATTTTAATACCTTTATATAAGAGTGAAGACCAGTTAATAATGCTTCGTATACTTCAGGTACAATCTGTGATATTGACTGTTTTGATATTTTGAATGTGTACATTAAAGAATGATATGAATCACCTGTAGATAAAAATCGTAAAGTTATTGCTAAACGCACTGACATAAAAATACTTTTACGAAAATGTGTGTTTTCTTTTGTGACTTTTGGGCCAATTAAATTAATTCATAATTCAAAATCACTTCTAGACATTTTGGTAAAATTACTAAATAAATCACCGTCATGTAAATCTAAAATTAAATTCTCACCACTGTAAGTCTTTCTTCGCTGAAAAAGTGTTCTTTTCCACCACCTTTTTTTGTTTTTCATTTTTTTTTTTTTTTTAATGTTTTATTACGCATTGTAACAAACGCAGCAGCGCCAATGCAGCATGCGACCTGTTCTAGATCTGACATTTTCACAACTGTTGGCAAACATATAGCGAACAAATAAATTATGAACAAACATTTGTTGTCATGATAAAATGTTTGACAAATGTTCGACAAACGTTTGTTAGGTGTGGAGACATCTTTATATGACGCCCACAATGACCTGCCTCTATTTGAAAATTCCATCCTGGCAAGTTCGAAGGTACGGGAGCTGATGGCAATATTGGAGAAAAAAGATAATTACATGGAAATGAGAAAGAAAAAGGTGAACGAAAGGATTTCTTTAAACTGATAAAAAATTCAGTAAATATTTTCATTATATTTTTTATAATCGATCTCCCCAGGTTTTCGATTAGACGACGGAATCACCTAGGAAGAGGAAGAAGATGTAATTGGTATCGTGCGAGTGTAGAATTCAAGATGGTTAATAAATCCACATTTAACCATCCTATAACGCTCGCAGAAAATTTGGAATTAGTTATTATGGATAATAAAATAATACAATTTGACAGTGGTGTTGGAGGTCAGCAAGACGCTAATGTATGGCCATCACTACAACACGACGAGGAAATATTTTGACGATAAATTAAACTTATATATACAGATACAGGTAAATTATTATTAGCACTTTTTGTTTTTGGTATATCATATATCAACGAAAGATTTTTACACGGACTTGCTTCCAAACCGGGGCTGTTGGAGAACATGGACACTGCTAACCTCTCCCTGGTTCATCTGTGCTACGTAGCCGAGCGGAAGATTTCAGGTATATTTTTTAATGAGACAGATGGTCATACGTTGACGGAGTTTTGCGCACTACGAACCAAATCGCATACGTACACATTGGACAGAGTAGAAAAAATCAAGGTTAAAGATATTAGATGTCATGTAGTCAAAAACCACATTACTTTTAACGGCCATAAACAGTGCTTGTTTGGTGACGTTGAACTTGATGCGCGTATAGGGATAATGTTTCTATATGGTCGTTCCATCACCAACTCAGACCGATCTCAACAAACAAACATATAATAGGTTTTGATGATAAAATGGTGACAATGGTGAATGGATGATAATTTGGTGCACACATTGCCACATGGTCATTATAAACTTGAGTAAATCAAACCGGAAAATTATATTAAACACATTAGACTAATTTATATATTTTTTCAGTAACGCAGAAATGATTAAAGCGGCGGAACACCATCTGGAAGCAAACGAAAATGTATAAAATATATATCTATTTGTCGACATTTATATTGTATTTACATTATTGTTGCTATTATTATTTTTATTTTTTTTTCGTATTATAATTTAATTGTTGTAAATATTCTATAAAATACATGTATTTTTTCAAAAGCTGACTTATATCTGTTCTTATTCGACCTTAATTGGGTGGAGGTATTAAGTAAATGAGGTATTAAATAAAATTATTTGTGCTACTGGTAGTGAAGGCATTATGATAAAAGCTGATAATAGACGATGACACAAATGTGATAACATTTCGGTTTCTGTGACAACATCTGATAAGAGATAGCAGTGATAACGGCTGATAAGAGCGGGGTCCTTGGCTTTGTGAAAGGGACAGAATGCCCCTTTACACGCTACTGCCAATAAGATATTTGGATATCTCATAGATATCCATTGGAAATTTTAAACATTTATTGGATATTATGTACCCAATACAATATTATTATTTATATTACAATTTTTTGATGCACGAGAACCACCGTGCGATTTTTCGAAAATATTTCAAAATAATCATATTATTTTGTATTCAGAATAGATTAAATGCATTAGTAAACGAATTTTACGTATGTACCATAATAATAAATTATTATTATTTTTTTGTCTATTCGTATTAATGGTACCTCGTACCTATATATGTAATATAGACAATACTGTAGATTCATTAGTATCAACATAAATGTATAGGATATTTCTTTTTGGAATTGATCAAAAGATTAATTGTTGGAATTGAATAATGACTAATGCAGATTTCGATTGTTGCCCATTTATACCGGGTGTTTTACGATGATTTGAAATACACTTTGTTCTATTCAATATTTTTAAATAATTAGTATATTTTTGTTCCAAAATTAATATATATCAAAAAAAATTATTTTAAGTGGAGGAACTTATAATACAAAATTTAAAATTTTACTATAATTTTTTAAAAATAATTAAAAAAAGCCATTTTCTAAAATAGATTTAGTCATTATAGTAGTATTGCATGATATTAACTGATGAAAACGAAAATCATTATCATTTGATGTGTCTCACTACTGATTAAATATTATATTAAACCACTACAGTATACTGATTTGAACATTACAACATCTTATAAAATAAAAGACAATACCTAAATAGAAGTTTCAACTACCAAACATTTTCTAAAATGGCTATTTTGAATTTTTTTTAATAAAACAATTTTAAATTGTTTATTTTAAGGTTTCCACTCTAATAAAAAAAAAAAATATATATATATACATTAACTGTAGTGCAGAAACATACTTCTTATTAAAAAAAAAAATATTGAAAAGAACAAAAGTTATTTCAAGTATCAGATCATTATATAGGAACATCCTATATAGTATGTAAATACAAATTTAATTTAACCATCTAATAATGTAGATGTTGTATAGGTATGTACTATATTTATTTTATATTAATACTTTTGTACAATGCTTAAATTATTTGTTTTTAATTAAAATAAAAAAAATACCATACCTACTGCTTCTTTATATAATAGGTATTTTATATTTACTGTTCAAAAATGTATTAAAATTTTAAATTATTGTGAATCAAACACTAATAATTTTTTCTTAAAAATTGTATATGAAAACATTTTGCTTAAATTTTAAAAATACGAGTATATCCAGTAGGTATTAGTAGGTAGCTTTTATATAGGTTCTTAAATTGATAGGTGAATTTGCTTCGATTAAGTAAATATATAGGTAATTGGTATCTACCACCTAATGTAGGTCTACAATTTTATTATAAACCTACTTTTCCTTAAAAAGTCCAAATTAATTGTATACGTTTAATTATAGTAAAATTAATATAGCGTTAAACAAACAATAAACATATAATATTAAGTAGGTTAAAATGTTTTATCCAATTATTTATTTTTTAGTGAATTACCTATTATATATGCGTGTAGCTACCTATGTATCATGATGATAGTAAAAATGGAAGTAATGTATAAAAATGGGATACATAATGAGACCGGGTACCGGACACTCGTTTCGCTTCGCGCTAAGCCAATGTTATATTTATTAACTAGCCTGTATTTATTACCTAGCCGTCCCGTCCGGTTTTTGCACGTGCAATAAATCATAGAAATATTAACTAATTTGGTTAATATGTCTATGCAATAAATCCTCATATTTATTTTAGGTGAAATTGCTATGTACAGGCAAATAAAAACAAATTATAATCGTCGTTTTCCTTCCCATTTTAACTGAGGCCTATCTGGGTATCCCAAGTACCTCCTCATCAGAAAAAAGAAGGCCGTAATATTTTTTAACTAATACTTATATTTCTTACATTTTCCTGTTTTTCTCTGTTTTTTTCGTTTTTTCACATTTGTTGAGAAATCTCCTGGGAAAATCGAAAAATTACCTCTCTAAAGTATCTCTCCAATCAGAATTCCTTTTTGAAAAAATGATATCATTGTAAATTGGAGCAAAATTTCTGGTAGAAAAGTAGTCCTCAGAAAAAAAGAATTGTAATAATTTACTAATATACCTATACCCCAATAATTTTTTTACATATTAAAATAGTTTTTGTATCTATGATTGAGCCGGGTCAAGGTTTCTAGTGTTATAATTTCGTTATGGCGGTTTAACCGTTGTTTCTTATCATTGAATTTTAGTAACAAAATAAATGTGTCACGATCGCTTATGTGGGTTTGCACAGCATTGAATATTTAGTATTTACCAGGAAATGAGTATATTATAGTGCAAGGCCGTATTTGACGGAGGGTTTTATGGGCACTTGTCCCGGACAGCAGATGTTTGGGTGGCATCCGGATACCGGAATAAAATACGAAAAATTTAAAACTTTTTGATCCTTGGCTTAGAAAATTTATGAAAAAAAAATATCAATTTCAAAAAATAAAAATTGATAGAAGAATTTGAATAAAAATTTATATGATTTGGCCTGCAAATTTATACGTCAAGATTTCACGTAACAACATAATGGCAATGGGGCATCCAGCGAACACAAAATATTTTAGTACTTACCTATATAGGTATAAACGTTCCAGAGGTTAGATGGTTTATTTTTGAATAAAACGAATGAATGAATTCAGACTGTTGCGTGCATGCGTGTGTTTCATTTCGCGTAGTCGTGTATACGTAATTACATTCAGTTTTTTAGATTCCGAGTGTAGCGAAGAATGTATTGGTTTTACAAAGATGTTTAATTTTTTTTTTATGTGAAACCACCAGAATCTATCCCATAAAGTTTACTCCGATGTAATTTTCTCAGAAGTTCTCCCAACAAATATCAAAAACCAGGAAAAACAATATACAATATAATACAATGTATATACAATACAATATTTAACAAATATTATTAATGAAAATATATAATGCCTATTTAGTTATTTTACAATAATATTATGTATATATTTTTAACAAAACATCACTATCAATTGAACTTCGCTTAGAACCGTTTTCAGTAAGCAATGGTTTATCGTTGCTAACAGATATAAATAAATTTCCCCTCTATATCCTACCTTCCCAACTTCTCATCAACAATAGTGACTGCATCTATTGTACGAAATATGTCCGTCATTTTGGTTTTTAAATTATTCATGTAACGGTGTAAATATTTGATTTAAAAATTTTAATAAAAAATCGGAGTATCGACTTTTGTTTCACGGTAACAGCATATTGAGCTTTGGTTTTATTTTGATTCACTTGTTGAATTAAGAAATATAGTTTTTTAAATAGTTTTGAGTATATATATATATATACAGTTTATACAGTAATATTCTGTATTCATTACCTCGTTAGGGTGTTAAATAAAATAAATAAATAAAAAGTTACGAGATTAATATACCTATTTTTACTCTTAAACACTGCTATATTTAAATGCATTTTGAAATTTGTTAAACATAAACAGCAGTATTTCAAATTTGAAGTAAACACATTTTAGGTAGATAGTTATAACGTACAAGTTTGCAATTTTTTTATTTTTTCCTTAACTACTTAGATATTGGGTATTTTTTAATTTGTTTACTGCTAAGAGCCTTAAAAAAAGATTTGCCTCAGGCATCCGAAAGTCTAAATCCGGTCCTGCTATAGTGGATGATATTAATATATCATTGAACGATTTTCTTCTTTGAAAAACTGTAGATTAGACTTTGTATTATAAATTTAAAACATGCATTATAATATTATATTATTAATTAAATACAAATTTCTCATTTTATGTACTAAAATGTAATAATATTTCGCAAATATTAAAAAGCCCAATTCCCGTGTCTATTAATAAAATTGTTGTATCTGAGACAACGTTAGAAATTTTTTATTTTAAAAGTGAGTAAAATATATTTCCCCATACCTCCTCGTCAGAAAGGCCTAGGTACTTACTCCGCTGAACTTCGCTCAGAATCGTTTTTCGTTAGTAATGATTTATCGTTGCGTACAGATATACCTAAATTAAATTCCCGTCTATTTATCCTATACCTTCCAAATTTTTAATCAACAACACTGGCCCACTCGCGTCATGATGCGAAGCATAATCTGTCTATTTTTTTGTACAATATTTCTGTCGCATTATTTTTTAATTTCGATTTTAATAAAAATATCGAATAGGTAGATATACTCAAATACCTATCAAGCGTTAATTTATTAATAGATGGTAAGTATAAAATAATGAATACCAACATACATACTTACCTATAATCTATGTATTATATTTTATGCTATACTCATGCTTAAATTTTATGTCTAATAGATTCTAGGTACTCAGATTCAGTTCTTATTATACAAAATGTTAAATTTGCCATACCGCACATACGGTAAACAGCTAGTGTAGTTACGGAATACAAATTTAATTCATGTGGAGCGCTTATACAGGTATTAAATTAATTTCCCGTACCTCTGTATTTAAAATATGAACTACTACGTTTACATATTGTAGTCATTATATAGTGCGCATTAACCTAATTCGTATTTAGTGGTTTCAAACAAGTAAATAAACACACATTTAGTACTCAATACTACAATGAAATTTGATTTTATTTGATTTTTTAATAATCTATTTCACTCTTATTGTGGTGTTAATGTATAAACACGGTATGTCGGTAAGTATAAATAGATTTACAGTTTTGGCATTAATTGAATATCTAATTATGTATACATAGATGTATATTGTATAATATATGTCGCATCCATATCCCGTTATTATCCGTTTCGCAAAATGGACACCGTTAACATCCATTTCGCGAAATGGAACCGCGGTTTCTCCACTTTGCGTAATTACACAATATGGATAACATTTTGTGAAATGGATACCTAAACCATAAACAACGGAACTTGTTCCATCATTTGGATGTCCATATAGCGAAGCAATACTTTTTTTTATATACAAATTTCGTTTTTCACAATTTAATTTATTTTATAAATGTATTATTATTAAAATATTAAAAACTATCAAATAAAATGCCTATTGGAGTACCTATATATAGTACGTTATTTTAGTTATTTTTATAAATTGTATTAAATTTTTCGTTTAATGAAAACAATTTATTTTATAAAAATCACTACTAATTCTTGACAGACCTGAACAAAACCACATAGTGTCAATAAATTTGCAATCAAAAGCCAATTCTGAAGTTCAAGATCGGGGTCAAGGTTTCTGATAGAAAAGTTGTTTACGACAAAAACATATTACACTATCATAGGTATTTAAATTTAATGGTATAATCCTCATTAATGTATTTCAAATTTCCATTAATGTCTAAAAGAGATATTAATAATATCTATTAAAAATACGAAATTAATCTTAATCAGTTACAGTTTTTTTTTAAATAATAGATTGTTATAATAGTTATATTATTTGGCGTTAATTGGATTAGGAATATGTAAATTGATATAGTTGTTGGTATTTAATGACTCATGGGTTAACTAAATAATATTATGCTATCTATTACAAATAGTAGGTACCTAAATAACAGTCAAATGTATAAAACCTTCCGGCTCTTTAACAAAACTAATAAAATCAGAGACGTATTTAGATATTTTGTGCCACAGGTAAAAAAACGCCCCCTAACCCAAATTTCTTCAGAAATATATTTGTAAAAAAAAAATCAGTTAGGTGATACATTTAATAGACACTACACATAAATTAAATTGCAGCATCTCTTATTAACCAAGTTGTACTGGGGAGCAGTTCTTATCAATTACAATTGTACCTACATAAAATAACATGTAATAATTCATATTAGTATATAAAAAATAATATACAATATTAAAACTAGAAAAAATAAAACTATAGCACAAGTAAATACACAATATAGTATGTTATACTAATATAAACTATAAATACTAGATTAATCAAGACTCTTAACATAACTTTTGAAAGACCTTAAATTACGAAAATAATTTATATTAATATTTAATTTTTGACATAGTTTTAGATCATTATATAAAACATTCATTTGGCCAAAAACTTAATTATAACTAGGTAAATATAAATTAATGTATTCTTCGTTATACTCGAAATCTATAAAAGGCATGTTAGGTATATATAAAAATACATTAATTGATGTACAATTTACATTATACATAAGTGTAGTAGGTGCATTTATTGTCAATTATACAAAATGTATAAAAATACAAAATTGTATGTTAAGTTAGGAACTGTTGTTTTCTAAAAAAATAATAAACACAGTTTAAAACATTTTGGCAGTTTGACTCCCTTAAATATGCCATTGATTTTATTATTAGATATACGTAAATGTATTTATATTTAATTATAAATTAATCTCAAATTCAGTAGAAGTATAGTCAAATTTTTAACTCACAACAATGTTAATTCAAAATATAAGCAATATAAGAATATGAGCTGATAATGTTCTATGCAAGTTGTTATTAATTGTACGAGCGATTAAAGAGTAAACAACCGGAATGAGTAAAATATATGCGTAACGGGTGGATTATTCGGCCACTTTGGTCATAAATAAATTTTCTGTCTATCAGGTTATCCTAATATTGTAGGTATTTCTTATTGTTTAGAAGCTCAATAATTTTTAATTAAATGATGAACAGTTGCGAAAAATTAATTTATCATTTGAAAATATTATATAATCTATATGATAGGCATTAAGTTAATATTTAGATAGATCACAAAACTAATAAGTTTTGTAACCTATTGTTATTCCAATTATACTGTTATATTTACATTAGGTACCTTATTAATATAAATATGTTTTTATTTTTGTTTAATTATATTGAAATTTTATTTGTAGGTTATTTTACAATGTTTAAATAGAAAATTATAATTTAAGGATGGCAATGACTATAGTAGGTACCTAATTAGGAAGAATATATGTGTACATTTCTAAGTAGATACCAGCTATTTCATTATTATGTTTTATATCATTTTATTATCTTATATTATATACAGATTCACTAAACGTGCTCACCCCGTGTTTTTAGTTAAATTTTGTATATATTTAAATTCTGATTTTTGAAATTTTTAAATGTAGTGAATGCTGGTATTTTCGAAATCTACTTAGATTTTCCATATCATTTAAGGCATATTCTGAGGTGATACCAACTTTGGTTTTTCAAATAAGAATCTACATTGGAAATTCTATAAATGGACGGAGTATTACTTTAAATATATTTTGGTGTCAACATTTTTAATGTCTGTCAATCTGTTAACGAGATATTCCACTTTTAAATTTAGGTAGAGGTAAAGTAATGGAGTATTATTTGTGTGGCAGCACAGCGTGCAGCGTTTTAAGTAGTTTTAAGTTTTAAGTTTCAGTAGTGTCGCACTACTTTTATATGGTTAATATTATTTCTGTAAGTGATAGTTAGTGGAAAAAAAATGTCAACGTAATGTAAGAATTTTTTTTAGCGCTCTAAGTTTTGAATAAAAATATATTTTGATAAAAATGCCCCTTAATTCGAGCAGTGATTATATAGGTATAAGAAGTTCAATATAATCTTTTACTAGGTAACAATAATAATTTATTGTGTAATAATGTTTTACCTATTAATCTAATAATATGTTTTATATGTTTGATTTAAATTAATTTATTTTTTTAATATAAATAAATACATATATATATTAATATTATTATTATAAACTTTTTTTTAATTTTATGCTCATTAATCTATATGCAGAAATTTCAGGTTCAAATTTACAAATACAATTTAGAATTATTTTTAAAAACATGCATTTGTTTTATACGAATCCCAGAAAAAAACTAAAAAGAAAAAAAGAACAGTTTTAAAATTTGAAATAAAATTACAAAAAAAAAAAAAAAATAATGATATAATATTTTAATATCTATAAAAACGCTTTGACACTTTAGTGACTTTGACAGACTAAATTTGATTCACTCAAGTAATGACATGAAAGTATGAAAAGGTCTAGGTACATATAGGTAATTTCCAGTAATACAAATGTATTTTACTCTATATTATACCACTAGTTATATTATATTTAATATATAAAAACATACCTACCATAAAAATATTAAGATTATGAATGAAATATATATTGCAACCACTTATTGTTTTGAAAATTATTTTTTTTTCATATAATTTTTTACAATTAAGCATTTTTCAAAAGAAATATATTTTTTATATTTCAATGTTTTTAAAAATTATTTAAAATATTTTTTTAATTTTCATATTTAATAAATATATATACATACTGAAAATTTAAAAATTGATTTCTTCTTTGGTTTTTTTAACTGATCACCTATTTGTTCGTATAAAATAATATGATAAGACGCTCGTGTACCACGACTAAGGTTATAACCTAACCATAGAACATATTATAATATATCATATTATTATCTATAGTCTTGATCTGTACGATAATATTGTGATTATGGTTTCTATGATTGGTCACACTGAAAATGCAGCTGTGAACGACCCGTTATGTTTTTGTTACACTCAATTTTTTTTTATCATTTGCAGTCGGGCCGTGCGTCTCGTGCTATAGTGTTAGTGTAATATTATTTTTTTTATTTTTCTTATTTATTTGAAAATTAGTGAATTTATATATTTTGAGTTATATTTTTTTCTGGTCAGTGTTGTTGTATAAATTATTTATTGTGAAATTATTTAAGTGAATAAAAATAAATTACCTAAGTCTGCACGTTAGAAATGTTCGTGTATAGAAGCTCTGACAAGAATATTTACATTGTTTGATGATCGTAATGAATGGATTTCGATTCAACGGATATTTTTAAAAACTTGAAGGTAAATTTGTATGGTATATTTATACCCGTTTAATCATGCCCCCGAATTGTGACAGTTTTATAAACAGAGATTTAATAAAAATATAATTTACAACCAGTGGTTTATTTTTCGTTATATAGTTATGTAGGTACCTACTGATTTAAATGACTAATGCATATACTATGTAGTGGTTTTAAATAAATTAAAACTAGTAAATTTAAAGGTGTAAGTTTATATTTTAGAAATATAGTTAATTATTGTTATTTTAATTTAAATTAACTATTAACGAAGGTACTGAATATTGGTAGAAAATTGCATTATATTATATTTTAAAGGTAGAGACTATATAAATTTTTACAATTTAGGTAGGCAAAGTAGATAGGTGCTTCCTACTAAAAATAAAAATAAAAATTTTTAAGTTTAAAAGAGATTAATATATTTTTACAGATTTGAATTTTTTTAATCAATGTTTACAGTGTTTTAGATTAGTTTTTTTTTTTTGTTGAGAGTGTATCTTAACATAATTAATATATAATCCATTCTTGAAAATACAGTTAAATACAATGCAAGTTACTTATTATTACAATATTATCTACCTACAATGTTTATCATTATGTAGAATTGTCAGTTGGCAGTTTAATTATTGTATTAAGATAATAGAACAGATTGGTATTCATTTGTTATTTCATATGTGAAGGATATTTTCGTATGTCTTTTATTCAAGTAAAACTAATTTTTCTCTAATAATAGAATATTGCTATTACTATTATATGTTTTTATTCAATTTTTATGTATACTATTATACGGTTTGACAATTAATAGTTAATAGTATTTAGGCGATTGACCTTATAAAATTCATAGTTGTAAGTAATACTTTAGTGTATATTAGTAAAAGGCTTGATAGTAGGTACCTATTTAATTTAAAAAATTAATGGAGCCCAAATAAGTCCATAGATAAAAATAATTTGTTATTGTGAGCAAGGCAGTAAATAATTTTAAAAAAGGACAAAATAACTAAGTAAATACTTATAATGTTTTAATTAATATAATTTTAATAAAATTAAAATAGTATCTAAGTATAGGATAGTATAGGTATGCGGGTAGGTACTTATATAATATATTTTAATTCTATAAATAATCATAATATTAATATTCTATTGGTTACCTATAACTCTAACTATATAACCATTATAACCATAAATATTTAGGTTTTAAAGTTTTTATTAACATTGATTCATAGTTGTTGATTCATAATAATGACAATATAAAAATAATGCTCATATTACCTAGTTTATGTTAAGAAATTATTAATAATATTATCTGTAAATGATAATGTTATAAGTTCCTACTCGTTATAACATATATATTGATTATTCCAGAGATTAATCATTAACTTACATTTAGGTAAAAAATACATTAAAAAATATGTTTTCTTTCAAATAAATTTTCATAAGTATAAAAAAAGCATTAACAATAATATTATGTTAATAAAAACAAATGTATAAGTACCCCTTTAAGTATCTCATTTTAATTAAAGTTTGTCCATATTTTTCTTGATATTTTATGAACATGGCTTACCATATAGGTACATTACTGCTCTAGTCTTCTGGTTACTGATTTCTTCAGTTCAGAAAACTTAATTTCATTTCCTTAATAGTTAATCATGTAATATAAATAGGCACCTAATGAATATGATTATTTTATAAGGGTTATTATTGTTAAATTCCAATTAGTTTAAATTTTTATAATTTTATTTCTTGATTATAAATAAATAAATTAATTAAATATGTGTGTGTGTAGGTATCTAATAATAGAACTAATTTAATATATCTACTAAAGGATCAAAAAACGTTTCTTGGTATTTTTAGCCAAACAATTAACAAAAAATTATATTGTAGCATTGTATATGAATTATTATATAGGTAAGTTATATTTGGTAAGAAGGTGGAGTTGCCACTTATGTTTAGTGTACCTACTATTTTTGCCACTCATTTTAATTTTAATTTATAAATAGTGCAATTTTTTAATTTGGTAAGTTTTATGATATCTAGTTGTATTTGTCCACATTCAAAAATTTACTGAGTGAAATTAATTATTACAAAATCATAGATAGTGTATAATGGCCATAGACCAAAAACATGTTATTTTAAAATTTGCATTTAATACTAATTTTTCATTTCATAATGTTCTTAAGATTTAAAAATCAGACTAAGTATAAGTTAAAATATAATGAATTCATAGCTTAGTTTTGAAATTTTTTTTATAGTAACTAGATAGAATATATAAAAAATTAATAGAAAAAAATCCTCAAGAACACCATAGGTGGTGACTGAAATCTACCAGTTTCGATTAATGTAGCTAAACTATCCGAATCTATATAATAATTGTGTAATAAACGAAGTATTAAATATTATATTAATTGTAACTTTATCTACATATTTACTCATTATAATTATAAATATCGGAAACCTGAAGGTAATGTATATCAATTTTCAATGGGATTTTCAATCAGTTTATATTTATATAATTTAAACACATAATAATATTATTTATATAATTTCATTATAATAATTTACTTAATTTTATGGAGATATACCCTAGGGTCTAGAGTATACCTATTAAAACTATTAAAATAGTTTTTTCATATTATTTGTTTTAAATAAATAAATGTTTAAGCTAGATCATACCCTTGGTAATACAATTCTGAATATAAGTATACAACTAGGTGTACAAGTTTTACTTTTGATATTTATAACTGTTATAGATAGGTTACTATAATATAACTTAGATACATAAGATTAGCGTGTGGACCTTTAGTTTGATATTTTGTTAATAGGTATACTTGAGCATTAAAAATGCTTTAGACTTAATAGTTTTTGTTTTTATCAATTGATCAAAATACTGAATTATAATTTATAGGAGAGCCAAGAGAATATATTTTCTTTGTCTACTAAGAAGTAAGCTTAAAATATATTTATAGAAAATAACTTTTTTTTTAAGTGGAAATATTTTTGGTTATACCTAGGTTACAATTGATGAAAAACTATACTTTTAAACCTAATAATATCATGTAAATTATTAATTTGTATTGAATTTTACATTGAGCATCATTATTTTTTATCCTTATGTTGTATTTAGAAGGGGGAAGTGTTTGACAGCTATTTTTCACAAATTCCGTTCAAAGGCCTAAAACTCGCCATAATTGTTTTAAAAATTATTTACCAGAAATTGCAGAGGGGAAGAAGGTGGCACCATTCAGATCCTCTATAAATACGCCTCTGTCTGACTTCTGTTTAGTATCATATTTTCAATTTAATGATTTATTTCCAAAACATGAATAACTACAGTAACAATATTTAGAAAATAAGAAATGGCTGCCCTTAAGTTCACTTAAGTGGAATGAAGACATACAGGTGTTAAAGAATTATCTCGAAAATAATTTATTACATCGTTTTAATATATATATATATAAATAGGTATATTGGTGTATTAGTTATATTATTTTAGTTTTCTTAATAATTTGGAAAAAATTAAAAGAGTACGCAATAACGACTACTGATTTTGTGGTTTTTTTTTTGTTGTAGTTCAATTAAAAGTAATCTTTGACCTTAAATTTCTATAGAATACTTTTATAAGTCTTTGCTAGGCGTAATATATTTTTCAATGTAATATACTGTAAGCGGAATCGTGTTTTATTAACATACAGATATATATTAAATTAGGGGCGTACCCTACATATTCCATTTTCTCAACTTTCCACCTACAAATACCCGTGTTGCGAAGTATGTCCGTTGCTTTTATTTCCTATTTTGTACAATAAAAGTATCATATTATTCGACTTTTTTGATTTTTAGTTTTATACTAGTGTCTTGTTCCGGATTTTAAAGGAAGCGTTTTTTCTTATGGACATTTTTTTCTAGTTTGTGCACACGATTGTTTTCATTTTCTAAATAATTAGGAAAAACGGGAAAGTTTACGACAATAACGGTTTCATTATTTTCAATTTGGTTTTTTTGTTACTACCTACATTATATTGGATTAAAATAATTGTAGAAACTTGAAATTTTTAAAGAATTCTGGTGATTTGTAGACATTTGACATTTTCTAGTCCTTTTTTAGTTTTTATTTTGTTTTGTTATGTTTTTATTATGTTGACAAACTCAGGTAAAATTATATTATCTATTTATTATTCTTATTATTTAAAATTTAGATGAGAGCTAATAATTTATTTAGAGCCTAAACTACTTGGCTTTTCAACATTTTAAATTTATAAGATGAAATATTGTAAAAACCAGAGTAAAAATGTAGTGTTATGTACCTAATTACTTTAAATTTGGTTAAGAAAATAAAACAAAAACATAATATCGAAAATAGATGATTTGTTATAAATAAATATTCTGTATAGCTAGAACTTTAAATTTAGTTTAAAACTATTGTTTTTAGATGTTGGTATTTGTTTATTTATTGTATGGTTTGTATACAACACTAAAATAGCAAAATACAATAAATATATCAAATAAATGAAATGGATAAAATTTGAATAATATTGATGTAATAATATTAAATGATGTTTGCATTGACAACACAATACAATATACAATGAAAACTGTCTAAAATTCACCATCTGTAAGTCGGAAACACTGTATTCTTGAAATTAAAATTTGAATAGTTTCAAAATGAAATTTTTCACATATTTCATTAAATTACTGTAAGGAGACGAAGGTTCTTATTTTTGGTCTATTAGAATTCCGTTTTAGACATTTTTCAGTGTTTTCACTGTATACGGATCGATAAACATATATAGGAATCGGCTATAAAATAAAATATTGTTTTCTTAATTATTTCTATATGCCTCATCCATATTTTCTACCGTCTGGAGTGTTGTCACGTTGCCAACTGCATAGGTCTTTCTACATTATAGTTTTAAATATAAACAATTACAACCGCATACATTCTTGAGTCTGGAAACTTTTCATGTGCCCGGACTAAAAAAACAATGTATATACTTATATTATGTTAAATATTAAGTAAAAAATGATCAGGAAACTCAACAGTTTTGTTATTTTTTGACGAATTTCACTTTGGTCATCTACCTGTTGTTACAAAGCAACAAGTATCACAATTGTCAACTTTAAAATTAGTAAGGTTTACAATATGTTTTCATAATAAAAGGTTTTACGAGTTACAATGCATAGAGATTATATATAATATATGATACACATATATGCCATGTTATTTGATATTCGTGAGGTTTTCTTGTGGTGTGTATATGTAACATCGGGTATCGATGTTTTTATTGTTCGAAAATATGATCTCATGTTTGAGTTTACTATATACATAAAAGTGTATATAAAAGAATCTGTAATTACTTATTTAGTATAAAATATAAACTCAAATAAGGTATTTTAATCATTCTGTGTTAGAACAAAAGTAAGTTTGTAGTAAGTAGGTACAAACGAACAATTAAAACTAATAAGTTAATAAATTAATAATTTTTATTCAAAATTATTTTGAGTTCGTTTTTAATTTCTAGCTCGATAGGTTTACTTAATATAAAATATAGTAACTATTTTGCATATATTATTACCATGATCTATTATCAATAGATAATAGGTATATCCTTATAGATATATCCATAAAATATATATTATTTTATATAATATAAATAAAATGCAAACACTTGACAGTCAACACAAATACATTATTAAAATTAACTGTAAACTAAATATTTTAATTTTAATATAATTACTTACCTACTATTTTTTCGTATAATAATAATTAATACAAAATATTAATATTTTTTATCCGACGACTGGTTTTAACTATTAATTATCTTTTTTTCGTGCACCTGTTTACAGAATTATTGTTATTTGTTTTGTAAAATAATACAATAAGGTTTTACGGTTTTCATAGAACATATATATATATATATACTATAGTATATGATGTATTGAAAGTATGATTTATAAATCATATATGTATGTATATATATATATATATATTAAAAAAAACATAAATTGAATGATTAACAATTGCTATAATAATTAAGTTTTCATTCATAGTCTCTGTCCTATGTTTTACAGAAACAAGTTTGGGTTTTGTAGTTGCTAGCAAAAAAAATATGGCTTACTTAAATTTCATCGGAACCTTCATTCTATTCCTCAACGTAATTTGATCTGGTTTCAACATCACCCAGTTGTTGTCTGCACGTTTAAAAGATAGCGCACGTCTCGAGATATTTCCACTTATTATTTTATTATTGCTTTTACGACCCAGTAAAAAAACCGAGTGGGCGATACGTTTGGTGTAACTGTATTCATGTTCTTTAATATGCGTGTCAATATTATTTCATGGACATACTTAGCACTTAGGTTCATAATTTATTTACTCCTCTATACAAGTATAGTATTCATTATTATCCTATTATTTCTGTAAACTATTTTTAACTATAAAACAACATTGTATCGCATTATTAATTTTTTCACTTACACGGATAAAGAATTATGAAATAAACATATATATATATATTTGAACATTAAGAACTTTAATTTTTTAAATTTCTAATTAATTAGTTCTGTCGCTTATTTTTTTTATCAAATAACTGATCAGTTATACAGTACTAAATCTATTGGTAAATTAATATAAAATAATTTTTTTTTTTATATATTTTTAAAATGTATTTCATCATTAGCTAATTAGCAAATAAGTAGGTATCTACCTAAACTTATATTCACGTGTGTTGTATCGGTTTTACAAACGTACAACATAGCAAATTTGCGTTCAACAGTGACTACTTTGTGCTGCTAGGTTTAATACTAGAGTAAATTGATTTATTATCAAATTTAAAGATAAGAACATAATAGTCGCAACTACTTCGGTTTTTTTTTGCGCTTTTAGTTCTTAAGCTAGAAATAAGTATTTTTGATTAAGTAATATTTTAAATGTCCATATCATGCTTAACAAATAAATTATCGAAAAAATCGGCGTATAGCGCAGACAATGTTCTTATCTTTAAATTTGATAATAGGTCAATTCACTATAATAATAAAACTAACGGCACACAATTGGTTTTATTGAACGAAAATTTGCTGCCGCGCGTTTGTAAGACAGACGGAGACAGTTAGATGCGGGTATCACGTCAATTACTTTTTAATAATTGACACCTATTTGGATTTATTTATTTTTTCATCGTAGTATTAAATTGCTTTAAAACTGACTAAAGCACTAAAACAGTAATCAAATGTAGGTTTTTTTTATCTAATCAGTTTAATACAATTATCAAAATTGTTTTTATATAAAAAATAAAAATGTACAGGTTGCTTTTTATATTGATTGATTTTCTTTCTTATCGTCAAAGAAATAAATTAGGTAATTCGTTTTTGCGTTATTGGATAGAATTTCATGTACAAAAGCCGGAAGAGACGGTTTGTTGAACATAACTGATACATCCTTCCGGTAGCCATGATCATATCCGTTCGATCCACCTATATCTATCGAGACTGAGTAATATAGAAAAACCATTGGGCCGTTTTTAACATAGTCGTTCGACTCGTTTTACAACGTTGTTGGATTGAAACTGTGCGGGCGTGACTGGTTCTCAATAAAAAAAAAAAAATAACAACATTGTTATGAAACGTAAAATACTGTGTCTAAACTCTAAATACAATCGCCATGTATGTATAAAATATATTTGGCGAGTTTCTCACAGCTGCATATTATAGACGAAGGTCAAATTCAGATAAATATTATAATCCATAACTATAATTTCTTCTAATGTATTAAGTATAAAATGATCACTTTATTAGCGTATTTTTATAACTTTAATCGCCATACGATGAATAAAATATAACTGAAAATTTTAAGATGATTCAATAATTAATATTGATAGTTGATTGGAGGTACGACAGTCTAGGTTAATATCTTATACGAAATTGCGATTTTCTTTTTTGTGTTTATAAAATTTAAATAAAATAATTATAGGTATTCATAATACCTTGTATTGAATAAAATTGGATAAAAAATACCGATCTAGTTGCTAGTTTTAATAATTATGCAATTATTTGTCAATATATTTAAAAAATAAAAATAAATAGATTATTCTGCTGAAAATCGTAAAATATAATATAATATTGTTTAGAAAGGTAAAAAGAAAGAAAAAAGTTACTAAAGGTCACGCCATGGCCATGGACAAATTCGCAAACTCTGTTAGGTCCTTATATGGCTAATTCTAGTTAAATAAACAGTTGTCGAGTGGTTTTCAGGGGTTTCCAACGTTTAACCGTAGTCTCTTATGAATATTTTGTTTTCCCCGTGTTACCTATAATACCTTGACTTTATTTCTGTTTCAGTATTGATATATTGTTATTATGACTTGACCTGGAAGCAGTGTCACGAATTTGGCCTACTATAGATAGACACATAAGTACTGCTCGTTTGTTCCTTTTTCATACTTTGATTTAAAAATATGCATACCTTTTACGAATGCTATAAAACGGGCAAGCAGTTTTTTACTCGATTAAAGTTAATAAAAAACGTAAATATTTGTATAGAATTGGATAGGTTTGTTTATAATATTAATAGTCGTATTACGAAATGAAATATTTTCATTGTATCGGGTTTCTTTTTTTCTATTTGTAACAAAACAACATGAAGTTTGAAAATAGAATATAATAATATACAAACCGTTGCACTGCTACTAGTAAGGCTACTGATTAGGTATTTTTATTATTAACATTACCTATCAACAATTTAATGATAAGGCAATAGTTTTATCTGTGACAATAGTTAAATTACTAAATTTTTATTTACGTCAAATAATCTACGACATCAAAATATAACATAAAGCATTACTTTGTTGCTGATATTTCACTACAATCATTAATGACGGAGACTAATTAAATAATATTATAATATACTAATAATAATAATGTGTTAGTTAACTATAAAAAGTTCAAAAGTTCATCGACAACGTTAGAATATTCAAAGGGCTTACCGACCCTTTTTTAAAAAATGTACAGTAAAAAAAATAGGATTTCCTTTGTTAAACTTGTAAAAAATATTATGTATAAACACTGTGTTTTCGATATATGGCGAACAGTATACACTGTACAATCTCTGAATCATATTTAAAATTACCTCGAGTTACGGATTATTATTACGAGTAATAATATTACGCATGATTAGAGTTTTTTCATTTGGACATTAAAATTATTGTGCGAATTCGTTAAAAGTAAAACGATCGCAACGATAAAAATTAAAAGACTACAAGTCATTTATGTACAAATAATATAGTCACAACTAAAAAAAAAAAAAAAGAGAAAGTAGGTTTAGAATTCGGACTGTTAAACATTACCGTTGTGCTTCGTACCTTATACATATATAATGTAATTATTCTATTCTATTTTTCTTTTTATAATTTCTGGTTTCCTTTTTTTTTTATAGTTATTATTTATTATCTTTAAAAGAAAAAAACCGCTTATTAGATATTATATTGTTTATATATGTATAACCAACGATTTAAAATAAATTATTGATATTATTTTTCCATTGCATCAGTTTTTTTTTTATACAAATTTTATACTGAAGACAATTTTTTTTTTAGATTATGAACGTTTTGAAATAATATTTAGTACTATTTATGAGATTATATATTTAGTTAAAATAAGTATTTTGATAAAATAGCTTATTATGTTGGATAGATAATGTTTCAGATACGGGTATATTGCAATAATTACAAACCGTACCTATTTCATTATTTATATTATTGTCTTCTTGTAGAAATATTATTTGTAGATTAAAAATTATTATCAATTTAAGATGTATCTCTTGTTTGATTATTATTGGTATTTTAACTATTTAAACTGGCATGTCTACTAAAATAATATTAAATGTCGAGCGTACACTTTTCAGAATGTAATTCAATCATTATTGATGAATTTGAAAAAAGTTTTATTGGTCTAAGCAAATACCAAGTTAAATATAATATTCGAATGTGTATATTAGCCATGTACGGTCAAAATATTGTCTATGGTTGTGTGGTATAAATATTATCTATAGGTATAATTAGATCTTATCATGACATAAGCAGAAAATAATATGTGCCTGAATTGTATACGAAATGAACTTTCTTCCACCGTTTCTGCTTATTCGTAAAAAATTCTCGATTTATTTTTATTTTACGTTTGGCACAATGTTATACTACAATAGTATATTATCGAAAATCCGTACATTCCTGACATACTATAAAAATAAAAAACTATTTGCTATTGATCAACAGTTAAAGGTGCCTCTAGTTTCTAAATACCTAGTTAAGTAAGGTCAGATGATATCTGATCTATGCACTTTTTTTTACATTAATAAGTTATGTAATTGTGTGATAACAGCAGAGGCCAAATTAGGATATAAACATTGTCATCAGACAGCATATTAAATAATAAATTATTATAAATATAAGCATTTATGAAAAAAATAAACTTATAATACAACTTTTTGAGTTAAAATGTTATTTTTTTGTATTATGAAAACAGATCCCTTACTGCTGTCGGTTAAACAAAAAAAACATAAAAAACAAAAACTTATTCGATATGAATTAATTTCCAAGCCAAATAATTATTAGACCCAAAGTTCCTAATATTTGTAATATCATTGCTTGAATCGTGTGAATTATAATTATAAATTATTATTCCGTTGAATTATTAATATTAGAATATTAGTTTTATATGCTAAAGATATTTTCCTGATGAGCTGGTCGATTAGATTGTATATTATTCAATATTTATATTATACATATGCATGGTAAATTTAGTAAATTGTTAATTTCCTAAACACGTATTTAATAATATGGTTGCCATAACTGAAACTTAAACTTTTTTAGTTTTTTCTTTTCAATGATGTTATAAAATCATTATCGATCACAAAATATACAAAACATTCTTAACTTGCATATATTTACTACTTATATTTTATTTTAGATTTTTAACAGTAGATATTTTAAAAACATTGCGTAACTATACTAACTTTATCAATGACACTATACCTGTATATTATTTAATTTATTTTGTTTTGTTTCAACATTTTGTCGCATTATAAAATATTCAAATTTTATCGTAAAGACTTATAGTATATTGTAGACCTGCCTATTGTTTTTTTTTTCATATTTACAAATAGAAATGATGACATATTTTAAATCGGTTATATAAATTCGGCACGCATTTCATTGCTTTAAAATAGGTTTATTTATATATATATATATATGTACATATTTTTTTATATGCGTATCCATAACATATTAATTTTTTTTACTGAAAAATATTTAAATTTAAATGGAAGTTTCACTAGTTTTTTTTTTTTGTTATCATTGTCAAGTGTCACATAATAGATTACAAAATTTCACTTCTTATTTCAATATTTATGTAATTTAAACTTTATAATACCGACTGTTGTTATACCTATTATACAGTTACTTAATAGAACTGTTAATAAACAAAAAATAATAATAATAAAAGTTTTACCTATTAATTTTAAAACTCTAGAAGTAAAAATTTTTCATTTCTAATTTTTATTTTTTCAATGTTTGTTTTTAAGTAAAATAATTGGTAAATATAATGAAAAATTCGCGTTTTTTTCTCCCTTCAAAAATAAATATTTAACTTATAATTATATAGGTAGTTATAATATTGTATAATGCCGAAAGAACAGTTTATGTTTTAGTACAATTTTGCATTAGGTACACGGGTATTTTTAAATTCGAGCATACCTCATAATTTTATTTTTATATATTTACATATATTTTATATTTATGTTTTTTTTAATTTTAATATATTATCTTATGATTTTTTTTTTTTTTTTTACTTAATACTAGATAAAGTACTAGTAAAGTTTATACCATTTAATTTTCTCAATAACTAAATTTTTGTTTAAAAAAAGGTACATCAGCATATAACGTAATACACTCATTATTTCGAAGAGTATTGGCTTTTTTCAGAATTTGTATTTTAGAACATTACAGAACAAGCAGGTATAAAATATTATGTTGAGTTTTACCTTTTTTTTGGGAGTGAAACGACTGTCCAAATTTGATTTTTTAATTAATAACCTAAATTTCGAATTCCGTAAATAAATGAGGTTTTAGTTTAAATACATTTTTTGTGTTCAATTTTTTAATTTCAATAACCCAAACACAAGGATGACAAAAATAATCATAAGTACCTAACATAATATTTATTAGCCGATTTTTTCTTAAATTTTCCAAAAAAAACCCAAATACTTTCCGACTTAACGAGAGTCTTATTACTTAATGTTGACCACTCTGTATACAGCTAAATCTTCGTTGATTTTATTTAATCATCACTAAATATTTTTTTATTGTGTAATATTTTTTATAACATTCTTTCATTTAAAAACGAACGAGTTAAAAACGACTCAAATTAATTTTTTTATATTTCATAAAGATGTACATTGTACACTATTATATTATGTGTCAAAAAAACCAAGTTGATATTTAAAAAATTAGATAGCTTCCGTTATTACCCGTTATCCGTTGTATGAATTATTAGTCATTGTTAATAATGTAATAACAACGAATCAATCCTTTATAATAGAACATGTGATAACATCGATAACTTTTGTCTCGTATATGTTTTATTTACAATAACCATGTTGTTTTATCGTGTGCCAGAGTATTTATAATATGTATTTATTTACATACATATATATTTATACATTCACATTGATTGTTTAGTAAATGGCGGCTTACTTCAATTATTATGCTCGTACTCTGCAGCACCCATCAAGTTTATTACCATTGTATACTTTTTTTTTTTATTTACGGTTTTTAACCTAACCTAAGCTTCTATGAATTAAATTTAATGGTATGTAAATAATACATGTTCTAATAGAATATTAGAATAATTGAGATTCACGCGACTATACTGCAATAATATCGGTTTTAGTCCTTATTATACTTACAAAATTTAAATGGTTCCTGCAATTTCAAAGGATAAAATACAAGTCGAAACATACGAATCTGTTATTCAGATATGTAGACGTTATTTTAAGTCAATTTATTTTTTATTTTTTTAACGTTTTTGGCAAATTAAAGTTGGAACTGTGTTGGATGTATACTGCATATAGGCTTATACATTAGTTATTGTACCTTATAATTTTGTTTTATTTGAATTAATTTGAACGAGCATTAATATGTTTGAAATTGAATGGTAGTAGCTATGTGAATTAATTATTATATTGACGATTATGTTGACTTTTGTATGTAATCAAATATTACTTAACGTTTTTGTCCGATTCTCGTTTGTTTGAAACGATTACCGTGCACAATAATATTGTTACGTGTGTTATGAAACATTGGTGAAATTGTATTATTTCGTAAATTTTTTTATTTGATGTGTTGTTGACTAATCGTGGTATCATTTCCACATTAGGCCCGAATTTACATACAGCTTCACCAGACACAGATGGGTCGCTGACCCATAAAATAAAAATCTATTTTAAAACTAATATTTAAAAAAAGGGCTAACACTGTTGATAGGTGTGCCGCTGTTGTAGGTGGGAAGGTAGGATATGTAAAGTTATTTAATTTATATCTGTAAGCAACGATAAATCGTTAATAACGAAAAACAATTCTGAACGAAGTTCGGTTTTATATTTTTTGATGTGTTGCAATTTTTACCATTTTCATCGAAATTTTAACTCGAAACTCTTTTTTAAAAAAAATTACTAAATTGCACTATACTGTATTTTACAACTAAATAGGTACAACTTATTATAAACCTACAGTTAAAATTTCAAGCATTTCTGTGTGATTAATCAATTTTATCCACATATTAGTATTTATTATTATTATTTTTAGTATCGCCTGGTTCGGGTAGGGAGGAACTGCGTTAGCATTACTTCCCCCTTGGACATAATGGTACTTTAATATCTAGTACCTACTAAATATAAATTAAAAAAAAAAAAAAAAAAAAACTAGCAAACATAAAATGCCTATTCATGTAGCTCGAAAATTATGACGTTTAAAAAACGAAAATATAAATTTTTTATCAAAATTTCCACGAAATCTCCACGAATAATTTTTACTAAATTACAATAAAAAAATAAAGTTTAAAATTAGTTTCATAACTTTCCTCTTCTTTCTACCTTTTTTTCTCTAATTCTGCTGCGTAATTAAAATAACTACTTGTACTTGGAAAATTAAAAAACAACTTTATTACTCACCAATTAAATTAAAAATGCAACAAAAAGGTTTCATGTCATTTTTCGATTGGAGCATTATTTCTAGTTGAAAACATAAATTGTTAAAATTTAAATATAATTAAATCATAACGTTGCAAATTTATCAGTTTTCATTTTACGTCTTTTCGGTTTTTTCTAATTATGAAAACTGTTGGAAAAAAAGTTATATCATAGTAAAACCAATAGATCCTTCGCTACACTCAGAGTCTAAAGTGTTAGAGGAATATAAACCCTGTACTTTTTGACTATTTTTGTATATTAAACTTAAATTTAAATGACACGAGTTCAACATTGCAATATTATGATAATAATATGTTTACATTTTATGATTCATTATTATTATTGTTGATAAATGTATTTCCGGTAAACACAAACAAAATATTATTTGATAAATTACTAAATACGGTTTTTTTTATGTATTAGTTACTACATATACTATAATATTATCATCCTTATGCCCGGTTGCACCAAACTTGATACATTTAGTGTTAAATATTTCTATAATAATAAACTAACAGTTAATAAATTAAAGTTTTAACATATGTTAAATTTACGAGTGTTGCTCAATCATTGTGTTGTGTTCGGAATACTGGTTAACGAATAAATAGAAAAACATTGATCACGAAATTCAACTATACATCATAGTTAATAAGGAATAGATAAGCCATTCCTATAGTTTCGACGTAAGCCGCCATGTTCCTAGAGAGTAGATTTATCTCTGTCTCATAAAGCTACCTTATACTACAATGGATACTGTAGTTAATAATTTTTTTATCATCATTAATGTGATAATATTATAATTATTATTTTGTTTGGATGTTGTGTATTATTTAAATTTTTTTTATATTTCAATGGTTACCATTCCGTTTTTTGCAAGTATCATGGAATACAAAAAAAGCACCTCAGGACAGCGTTTTCGGGAATGTATGATTAAGCAAAATGGCCTATTCATTTTTTATCATCTATGCCCTATGCTATATATACATTTTTACACGACGATACATTTTTATCAACAGATATAATTTAAAACATGGTTTACGCAACAGAATTTATTTTAACTCTAGGTAAACAAATTTATCTCTGTATAAATACTGTAAATATATGGTGCAATTCGGCATTAATGTCATATTAATGTTTTAAACATATTTATTTGTATAAACATAGTTTATTATTATTATTTAATTTTAATTTTAATCAGTCTGTAATATATGCACCTATATATATATAAATTTGTCGATTTAATTTCAATTTTTAACCAGTATCAGCTAATCTTATTCGTAAAGCCAAACAAACTTTCTCAATATAGTTAATCCTCCAAACCCAGGGAAGAAATCCTTCAGACAATTTTGTATAGTTTTCATTACAAGCAAATATAATTTTGAAAATGTATGCTATATTTATACAATTCAAACCAAAAAACGAAGGAAATAAAATCGCGTTAAACAAATTATAAATACCGAAAATAATTTAAGGTTAGGTTAGTTTTAATTATAGTTAATTAATAATTTATTGCCATCATATATATTTAAAAATTGACTAATATACAATTTTATTTTCTGTGACTAAATATATTATATGCCTGCTGCAACGAAAAAGTCGCATCTCACTTATCCACTTTCTAATCTTTTATCGTATCATCTGCCGCAACGGAGAAGGAGGTATCTTACGTTTTCAACTTCTAATATAATTCCTTTGGACGACTAGAGATACGAACTTTTTCGTAACTCTGAAAAAACAAATACAATTCGGAATCAAGTTACGACCTTTTTCGTTGTGGCAAGCGATATTAATATATACATATAAGATAATATAATAATCTATGCCTATATACGATTAACACATTTATTATGTATTAATGTAATTATGTAATATAATAATATATCAATGAGGTATTTTATAGATAACACAGTACCGAGTCTAATTTGTCATTTTGTAATATACTTTTTTCTTTTTTTTTTATAATAGTTTATTAAAGCGTAAACTAAATCTATTTAGTATCCGTTCGTTTTTTCGTATAATTTGGTTTATAATAATAATAATAATAATAATATGATAGAATAATTCAACGGCCACTTATTTCTTTGTTATTCATTTTTTTTTTCTCTTACGCTTTTATCTTTTTTTGGCTGCCCATAACACTCTCCCACGTTAAAATCAACGGCATAAAATCAATGTTTTCCATCACGCCTATTTATCTCTTCTGGCGCACTTATTCCCAAAAGAAATGATCCGCAGTTTACATTTATGGTATACAAAAATGACGGCCACGTGTTTTTTGTATTCGACGAGCAGATATAGCAATATATTTTATTTATTGACGAGCGTCTAAAATATGTATTTAATGGATGCCGCTCTACCCACGAATCGAATGAAAATTAAATATAATAAAAAAACGCGGGTGTTTGTGTTAAAAAAAAAAAAAATATATATTTTTAAATAGTTTTGGATTATATTTGTATTTATATTTTTTTTCCGTAAATATACATTAATATTGTTTATTCGTGTTTATTACAGCCAAATGCAACGTGCAAAATAACAAAATCGACTGTACATGATACTTATACACACGATAATGTCTTGCTTGCGGGAATCATCACCGCAACCTGAACACGTTTCCAACCAGAGGCCAGGTATAATGAAAAAAAATATATACTTATATATAATATATTTCGTGTTTATACCTGTTTATATTTTTAAACCTTTTAATAACCTTACACATTATAATAATACGCCTGTACAAATATTCTTATTATTATGTTACAGAACCGAAAAGACGTCGATTTCATCCACTCAGAGGTTTGCGTCGGATATTCAGACGTAAGCCGCCTAGTCCCGAGCCAAACGAAGTGAAATCGTGCGACGACGTGATAGAACCGTCTAGTTTGAATACGTCCAGATGTCGTTCGACTAGTCAGCTGATCGATGAGCCATTTACCAGGAGGCGGTATGTAGATAATATACCCGTACACAAAGAACGCGAAATTCTCATTAATTCTTCATCATAATATCCATCATCCTTTATATAATAATACGCGCTTTGAAACGTCGTAGTATTAATTGGATACTTATACTTGTAATGATTGAAATCAATTACTATTATTGTCGTTATATTATAGAAGTTTACACTCCACTCTATTGAGCGTCAGCCACGACAGCGTGTTCAACCCCGAACAGCATTCTGGCCAGTTCGGTTCCGAATCCACCTTATCCGTACCGCGATTAGAATTTCCACCAGCCAACATACAGGTAATTATATATATATATATATAAAAATATACCATTAAAACTTGTTTTTTTACGTACGTAAAATTGCACGTATACCTTTGAAACAGTATCTCCATACCGTCTCGATGATAATATTATAATATATTTACGTCGCATTAGTCATTAGTGCGTTATCCTATATTAGTTTTCAAACACTTTGGACGACAATAGCTAATTTCCGTTTAAAACTCTTGTTATTTTTTCTGTACAATATTTTTCGAAACATAAATCATAATATATTATTATACAATAATATCTGATATCATTAGACGTTTTGCAGCGCACGATGAATTATTTATTTTCTTATATTATCGTGCGAACAGTGTTGTAGTAGTAGTAGTAGTAGGCACCTACATTTTATACTATCATTAAAGGCCCGCTGCGGAAACTCCTAACGGTTGTTTAATGTGTTCGCTATAACCGTTAAATTTCATTATTAAAAGACTATACTCCTCTCAATACTGTTTGAAAAATGAAAAGTAAAAATATGGATCGAATAAGTATATCATTTTTATTTTTTCAATAAATTCATAATAGCCTGCGGTGTTAAAGGAGAATGTTCCAGAGCCTTTAAATTTTCAATGGGAGGAGATGTAGTAAACAATAATTCAAAAGCCAGATCCAAAAAATTGTGTTCAAAAACCCAAGCTTTTTTTCATTGTAATTCATTGTAATTCATTTAAAAAAATCTTTAGGATCTTTTGCTAAAATTTGTCTGATTTTAAAAATTATTATTATTTTTTTATAATAATATGTCAACTTCTTCATATTTATAATATCGTTATATTCACATTGATTAAATATTGTCTGACATTTCAGGGAAGTCATACCAATAAAACCCGTTTAATAATGTAGCTTTTTATTTCTTTTAATCACTATAAAAAAAAATGTATAATACTGTTTTAGAACTGCATAATAATGAATTTAGAACTGCGCGTTTTGTTGTGTGCACGTAGCGTGTGACTAGTCCTGTCGTATATTGTCAGGAAATTATATTCATGATGATAATAATCGATAATATCTATCTCTGTTGATAACAATAAACTATGGCGATTATTGGTTACCTATGGCTTCATGTCTGTTTTGTACATACTATTCATAATAATGTTGTAGTATTACGCAGTAGTCTATAGAAAATATCTAAACAAAAAATACAGTACATCTTAACATCCCTAATATTATCGTTTAATATAATATGATCGTAGCATTACAAATTATGCAATAACGAAGGTATAGCTTAGGATTCGTAAAAAATAAAAAAAATTCCAAATTCCAATAGGTTGTAGCCCAAAAACTGTTCGCCTTTCGCGATGCGCCACGAACATTTTGTGTTATATTATTCCATATTTCCATTGTTATAACATCCAGAACAAAACAAATTTTAGTTTTGAAACTACGTCACTGCGCGACGGCACACAACGACTGAGCGAATTGTAGGGGAGGGGAACCATAAACGCACACACACACACACACACACACACACACTAGTATCGCGTACGTTATATTATTATATTTATTATATTATATAGGTAGTTTGTTTGCGTGTGCATTTTACATTTTCTCTCGATTAAAACTAGATAAGTAACTGAGGTTGGTGCGCGCGCTAGCGCATTAACAACCTATTATATTTTAGTGTATGTACCAGACGCATTACAATGGCCCGAGGCATTTCTAATATAATGTTATACGGGGAGAATTGCGGGGACCCAGCTGACCGTGACCTTTAATCACTGTGTATAACAATATTATACACCGAACCACTGTGTGTAACGCCCTGCGTTGTTGTGATACCTCCTGCGATGTCTGATACGATATCACTATATATTCCAATATTATATTATATAGGAAAGTATTTATTTATTTTATCCGTTTAAACATATTTGCATACATATGCATATTTAAGGGGGGAAACCGTACAAAAAAGTTTGCGTCAACAATGCGATGTATGTACACTTGTTATATTGGGCGTGTTTTGGCGATGCAGTTTTCGATCAACAGTTTGCTACTGCCGTTAGCTACTCGGTTGAAATATCACTAAAAATGTTTTGTTTACTATATAGTGTTTTACCGAATAGATAACCGGTAATCGAAAACAGTAAACGTAGCTTTTAATTGTTTGCCGATTCCGACAGCCAGCAAGTTGGCGGAAATTGCATTCAGTTATCAGACGATTGCAGTAAACAGTATGGCCAAAACAGTTTGTTCGCTAAACTAATAGGTGACCAAGTTGTTCAAAACTGCATATCCGAAACACGTCTATACTGTATAAACCAATAATTGAGGTCCGTGGTATAATTAACGAGGTTTTATTTGTAAATCAACATAAGCTAGGTATGAATTATAATAACTCTTAATTAAAATATACCTATATTAAATTACTGCGTAAAATTATGTTAATTACTTTTTAATGCCACGGAATTGTATAAAAAAAACATCTTTAATTAAATCTTGGTTATGGTACAAAAACTATATTTTAGACCGATTTGTATATTTACTTTTCGTTAAAACGGATTCTTTTTGTCCTAATAAAAAAAAAAAAAAAAAAAAAAAAAAAAAAAAACAAACAAACAAATAAAGGCCGAGCTATTAGAAGCGGTAAGAAGACGAAGAAAAATTCAAAACGACGATGACAGTGACGTAGACGAAGAAGATTTAGGACTCCCACGAAGTCCATCAATGCATTCTCCTACTATAGCCCCTGGCAATGATCTCCTATTGAGCAAAGTGAGATTATATTATAACATATTAAAGGTATTTTTATTTCAGTTTTAATGACAATTGAAAATCTATTATTCTAGGAGCTGATAAATAAATCTTCACATAGCACCTGCAGCGATGGATCACTTCTCAGTATGGGAAGTTCGGAAATGGATGAAGTAAGAGAACTGTCTATTAAATGTATATACAAATCATTTTAATCTATTTGAAAACGTAATTTCGTACAATTTTTTTTTGCGCGTTTTATTTCATAAATGGCTTAATTTTAGACATCGTTTCGGTTTTAATAATATTTTATGTGGAAATTTAACATTTTCGTTCCGCATAAGAATAACAGGTACAATTTTGTTATAGATGTCGTGTCAAAGTAATAATTTAGCAAATACGTGCTAGTAAAAAAGCTTAAAATGCTTTATATAGAAATTTTGTAGACTAACAATAGGGATACTCATCAACGGAGGTCGTTTTCAAATATGAAGTCCGCCATTAAATAAAAATACCTCACTACCTGTTTACGTGCTAACTTCTTCAGTAATTACCTATGCTAGTTATATTGTTTATTTATATACATACATATGTATGAAATTTAAAAAATATACACAGGGTGTCCCACGAAGATACCCATTGCAATATCGCCTGAGATAATAAAGATAATCAAATTTTGTTTTTTTTTTTTTTATATTACTCGCAGGGTTAAGAACTACAAATATTCAGATTTTAATTAAATTTCTATGTTTTAGTAAAAAACTAAAAAACTAACTTTATTTTATTATTTTTGAAAAATTTAATTTAATGAAAATAAAAAGTTGAAACGTCAACATTTTCAGAAGAAAAATCTCTAAAAAAAATGGTGATTAAATTTTTTAGTTTTTTACTAAAACATAAACATTTAATTGAATTATAAATATTCATAATTCTTAACCCCGCAAGTTATATTATATATATATATATATATATATAAAAACAGAATTTGATTATCTTTATTATTTCAAGAAATATCGCAATGGGTATATTTTCGTGAGATATTTTGTATGTATATATTAGGGGTAGACATAGGGCATAATAATTAGTTTTCTTATCTGTAAACTCGATAAATTATTGTTAAATTAACTTTTATCTTAAAACAAGTCAATCGAATTTAAACTAATTAATAATTTATCTTTTTTAAAGTTTGTATATAAAAAATAAATTTAGGATTCCTTCAGTAAAGATCTGGCACTCGCTGTTATTTTACGCCAAAATCCGCGACTGAGAATTACGTTCTCTTATAATAATTGAAATATCTTTTATTTTTTACATCATTCCATATCCGAATTTTACTTATCAAGATTTAAATTACCATTCGTTGATAACGTTTAAAGTAATAACTACGCTTCTATTGTTCAGGATGGTTATATCATAATATAACCTTTATTTATATTGTTTTTATCTCGAAAGGATTCTTTTGGACTACACAATTCTCGGCATTCGTCAAAACTATCTTTACACGACAAGCGCACGTCTCAAACATATCCGGATAGTTCAGGTATATACGACTGCGGTAGAAAAAACCAATATATATGTATCAATTATTTTTTACTTAATCATGTGTTTAGACGGTGACTCTTCGACTAGTGTTCCTCTAAGTCATAGTGCGGCCAAGCATCGAATAGCGATCAGGCCCAAAAGGAAACACGGCAATCCTCGGAGCAAAAACCCGGTAAGTCGACACCCTACTATGGCGATAGGTTGTGGGGAAAATCGATAACATAGTCAATTTTTTTAAATATTTTCAGAACTAATAAAAAAAAAAAAAGATACGTGAAAGAACGGTAAATATAATATATATGGGGCGACACAAATAAGTGTATTTTATTATGTGCTTTAACTGTATTTATACCAAACCTAAAGTATAAAAACGAAAAAAAGACGGCACACTTAAGGCGATTCGTTTTTACATACATTTATACCAGTATGCTGGAGTAAAATAAACATACTTCCAGTAGTCTAATTTCTGTTTTTGAAAAATGATTTGACTTTGTATATTTCTATATTTTATGATCTGTTGGTAAAATAATATTTTTTTTTTTTTTGGTGACACTCTTAAGTGCGAGTTAAAAAAAAAAGTATAGAAAAAATGCATCATATAATTTGATTAAATTTTAATAAAAAGTGAACTCGTTTCCTACAAATTTTCTACTAGAAATCAAATGTTTCAAATATGATTTAAAAATTAAAGTTGAACGAGTGGTGGTTTGTGAATTTTACTCTATAGGTCTAAAACGTCATATTTGCCTGTTAAAAAAAAAACGACTGTAACCCTTCCCTTGATTCGATATTGAACAGTAGATTAGTGGAAAATTCTTATCATTAAGGTGCTCATTAAAAAGTGAAATATAATTTTCGAATTTTAAAAAATTGATAACAATTTAGAAAACCGTGTTCACTTAATTATGTTGTTTTATGTATAAAATTGACTACTGTTGACTCGTTTTTTTTTCTGCGCACAGCTGACCGTGACGAACGCCCTTCCAGCGACGCCCGAAGTAAACGAAGAGCACTCCGGACTGTCAACTTCGCCGGAGACGAACAAGCCGCTGCAAACCGCCGCCGACTCAACAACAGGTATATACAATTACGGGCAAAGCTATTCCGCTTATTATCCGACCAAATTTATCGCTAAACGGCGGCCGTCTACTGCTTTTTCGAAAACGAAACGTAAAAAACCGCCGAAAAAACGTTGTTGTCTGTTCCGGGCGACCGGCTGCTGTTTCGGCCGCAGCCGTTCCGGCGCGTATCGCGTGCGAAACGACACGCTACCGTATTTCGTACGGAGTTCGTCCGTCCGGCCAGTCGGATTTAACAAGATTTCTCCTCCGTTGTCGCAACGTAAACACCGCCAACAACAACAGCAACGACGACAGCAACGACGACAACCACAACCGCGAGAACAGATCGACGTGACCAAAGGTAGAATTAGACTGAATTTATACGCGTACCCGAAAGAGTATTTGAAGTTTCTGGAGAGTTATTTCGCGTGTACCACAGCCGTCGGTAACGAGGACGACGACTCGACGAAAAAAAGACTGTCCGCCATAAGCGAAGAGGACGTGTGTCCGCTGTGCGGATCTGCAGATTACGGCCTGCAGATGAAAGCGGCCGGGACCGGTCGATGGAAAAACGCGTTACTAGTACCGTTCTAATAAAATTAAAAAACTTTGTGCGCGCTATCTATTCGGTGTGGACTCGTATGGTTTTACACGGCAAAACATCTGCTTATTTTCTTCTCCCACCCCATAGTATAACTATACTACACTGTCTTCCTGGTTTTTGTCATTTTTTTTTTTTTTTGCACTTACACGTGTTTACCTATTTTTGTTTGCAGATGGCACCACCACCACAACCACCAACACTTCCACTACCACCATTACCACCATCACCGTCACCTCCACCAACACTACTGCCACCACCACCACTACCTCCGCCGCTCTCGTCACTGTTACATGCCCCATCGACGGCGACGGCGACGGCGACGGCGCTACGACGGTCGGGTCCTGCGATCTGGACACGTCGGTCGACGAGATTTCCGTGGAAAACGTGCCGCGACGTGAAGAGGGCTTTTTCCACCGGTTGCTGTCGCGCCGGAGCACCAAGAAAAAGGCGGCGACAACAAAATGCTCTTCGGCCGAGGACGTGGACGTGGACACGTTCCTGTTCGACGAGACGATGGGTCCTAAACCGAGACAGCGCGAAGAACCACCGCCGGCCGGCCGCATGCAATTATCGTATCCGCCCGATTTACCCCCCGACCGGCAACCACCGCACCCGCGAGACGCGACCACCGTGGCCGAAAACATTTTCGGGTCTGCGGACACGTTCGTCCCGATCAAACGGTCGTTCAGCATTGGACAGCAGATGGTTGGCGGCGGAGACGATGACCTGACCTCTTGTAGCGGCGGCGGTGAGTCATCGTCCGTACAAAAGTCTTCATCCTCGGATAGCGTGTCCAGCACCGCCCTTGACGACTCCATCGCCAGTGTTGTGGTCGAGCCCGCGACGGTGGTGGCCGGCGACGAACGCCGTCGGAGTTATAGCTCGAGCGATTCGGACCACCTGGTAAATGGAGGAGAAGGAGGAGGAGGAGGAGGGGGCGGCGTCAACCTGTACCAACACCAACACCATCAAAACTACCACCAGCGTCCGGTGCCCGCCCCGCGTCCTTCGAAATTGTTCAACGGAGGTGGTGGTCCTACTGACGTGGTGATCCGAAGGAAAAAGCGGGACGACCTACAACAGCCGGAACTGTTCAAAGTGTTCGCCCGGCGGTCGCTGAAATTGGGTAAAGACGGCGAACCGGAATTGTTGTTGACGATCGGCGTCGACGTCGAAAACGACGACGGTGACGGCGACGACGAGGACGACTACGGCGACAAAGAGGACAACGACGAGGAAGCGCGGACCGTCGAGAACGGTCGAGTGACGGCGGCGGTGGCGGACGACCAGAAACCGCATCACCGCGAGTCCGACGTGGACGTCAACGAGAACCGGACGGCAGCGGTTGCCGAGGTCGTTCCCCAGTTTAAGGGCATACAACAGCGCCGGGAGGAATGGGAGAAACTGTTGCAACAGCAGCGCAACTGACGGGCGTGGCGGCGCACTATGTTATATTACAATATAGTCAGCATAGTCGAACTACGTACGCCCGATCGCCGTCACCTTGCCCAGCCACACTTAACGCCGGTTAACGAGCAATATTAATTATAATGTTAATCGCCTTTTTTTTTTTTATACATATATATATTACTGTTTTTTTTTTTTTTTTTTTTTTTTTTCTTTTTTTACAGAACGGTGCTAGATGATGGTCGAATTCTTTATATATATTTTCGTTTTTACCCGAGTGGCCTTACGCACAACGTGCAGTCGGACGATACCCGGCCCCGAGAGTAATATTTTAACCCTTGTCGACGGGTATCGCCGGTGTCTTCTTCTTTATTGTTCGTTATATACATATAAATACTATATGATTATTGTTATGAAATATTATCATTACGTAGGTTTCCTCTTTTATTCGAATTTAAAAAAAAAAAAAAAAACTATCGACAATATTCGACCGGTTTACCGTTTTATTAATTAATTAAAAAAAAAATAATAACAATAATAATCCCGAAATCAATTAATATGTCTGTCGTGGCCGCGGTAAGCCGGGTATATCGTTTTATAAAATCATTACAGATAGTTAACAAAAACACGTTGCTGGACAATTGTTATTATTATTATTGATATATTTTTTTTAGATCGAAAATTCTATTTTAACGTTACATAATATATAATAAATACATATATATATATATTGATAAAGTCTATAGAGAATATAATATTTTTTAGATATTTTCGTTGAATTATACGTATTTACATATATATATATATATATATACATTTGTTATTTGACGATCGTTTTTACTCGTTAACACACACCTATATAATATTAATAATACCATATTTTCTGTGATTTCGAATCGTTTAAGACAATATTTTTTTTAAATTTATAATATATATTACGTTATAGGTATTACAATATATAGGCCTATTATTTTTACCAGAACAATTTATTATATATTTATAATACGTTTTTACGGCATTTGTTATGGACTTTCCGTTTTATTTTTCTTTAATTCCTCGAAAAGTTCCTCTCCCCGGGTCGTTTCGAGAATATATATATATATATTTTTTTTTTAATCCGACGATTATTATTGTAAATGTCTTTACTTTTTTTTTTTTTTTCACGCTTTTCTACGGATATTTTATTTACACGCTGCTCGTTTTCCGGGTGGCCGCCCCGATTTTACCGCCCGCGTAACGGCACGTGGCCGGCGGCCACCGTCCTGTAACCGGGTAGTCGGTTACGCGAAAACCCGGGACCCCAAACGAATCGGACGTGATTGACAAACGCGCGCGCGGTGAACCGTTTCGACGGCCTCCGAGTAGGTATAGAGTCCGTACACGCGGCGTCGTTTTCTGTATTTCCAGTGTATTTGTCCCGCCGTCGACGGGCCGTGTGATATTTGAAAACGCAAAGACTTCTTTATAGCGAGACAATAATGACGAATGTCGAGGAAAACAAAAATAAAAAAAAAAAAAGACGCGATGGTTGACGGTAAAATTTCTCTTGTAATCGCTGATTGATCGTTCGATATTTCAATGCATATTCATATTATTCATATTCACATGTTCACATATTTATATTCGATACATATTCATACAGATAGGCGCGACTAGGTTCGAATTTTTAGATGTTTTAGTATTATAGCAGTCGTTTATAAAATCCCCCCCCCCCATCTTTACTGCCTACAAGCGCATAACGTAGCGAATTTGCGTCCGATAGGCCGAATCGTTAACATTATCTCGGGTCGTCGGTCGGTCTTTTTTTCTCTTGATATTTTAACTCGTATATGAGCGGGTTATAAGCGTTTATGCCCGTATCTTAACAATATTAAAAACGCTATTAAAAAAAAACACCGACGTGAGGGTGTGGATCACGTTCTTTCCTCGGAGTTCGGTATAACGCACCGATATTTACTCTAATATTGAAAACTAACGGCAAATAATCGTTTCCGAACGAATATTCGTCGCCGTGCGTTTTGTAGGCCGCGGAGGCTGTGTAGATTTGGGTGTGGTGTCCTTACCCAGCGGTCGACTCCTCTTAAAACCATTCCGAAAACGACCGGTGAGATTTTCCATTTTAAAATATCAGGGCCTCGCCTAGTCGCGTCTGCGAAAATATTACCAAAAAAACAAAACGAAAATCCCACCCTTTGAGTACCTATATACATATATATTATTTCTATTCTACCGTCGCAAATCAAATCCCGAGTACCGCGATGTTCTATTTCGACAGGTAATCATTGTTCTATATTATTACCTGTATATCATTGTTGTGAATTTGTGATCATCGTCGCCTTTATACTTTTTTTTTTTCTATTATTATTATTATTAACTTGTATACTTAATTTTTATTATTATTCATAATGTATTTTGTATTAGATATATTACGTTAAATATTTATTTTTCGACAAACCGTGTATTTTTGTATTTATATATTTAATGATGAAAAACTTAAAAAAATATATATATATATATTATTATTATTACTAATTATTATATTATATTTGAAATGTGTTAAAAAAAAAATACATTATGCATATGTATTTATATACACATGTAAATGCATTTAACCATAATATATTAAACAATAGAATAATAATAATAATACGAACATAACAAAATATTATTTACGGTAAAAACTTTGATATTTAAAAAAAAATAAATAAACAAAAAATACGTAGAAAAAATAAATAAATAAAATACTGATACTCTACTATTGTTATACTCGTGTGCGCTTAATATTTATGGCGAGTGCGGTGCTTCAGTTGATTTCCGTTTCCCTATGTCCGTTCGCGACATCCACGGAGGTCGGCAACTCCGCCGTCGCCGGCGGCGCTTCGTCCTCCTGTTGTCGTTCTTCGTCGCCCGTTAAGTCGTCGTCACGGGACTGACGGCGAGAAGCGTTCTGCGACCGTCTGCGCGTAAAACAGGAAAAAAGAAAATCCGTCAAAAACCAAAAACCCAGAGAAAAGCGCGCGTGTAGCGCTGACGATTTTTGATTACTTCAAAGCGTTTGCCCTTTTCGTTTTCACGAACACCCGGTAACCGACGCACACCAGGATGACGAACAACGGTCCCAACAGGAGCAGGATGATCGGCACGACTATCACCAGGGCCCTGGACGAGAACTCTTGATGACCTGCGAGTTCGCCCAAACGGTACAATAAACAACCGAATAACCGCAACCGTGTTTTTTTTATTTTTTATTTTAAATACTATAATGCGTGCGATGATAATTCTCCTGAACCGGTTTTCGATTTCGTTATTAAAATAAGGGAAACGAACGAAACAGCAGAGAATATGGATTTTAACGGTTTCGTGGGCAGAAAATTGACATTTGACAAGGATCCCGGATCATCGAAGGTATTGATCGTCGAAATCATAACTGTGGAAAGGAGAGATATGGACAAAAAAATCTTTTCGCCAAACAATATGGTCTTTAATATTGGTAATATTTTCACCAAGCTTTGATATTTCCACAATTTGTATTATTGCGAGAGGTAAAAATTAAAGTGTCAAAAAAATCACACATTGGCATAAGTATCAGATTTGTGCAGATCCGTGCGATCTTTTCATCAATCTGAGATTCTTCCGAGTTTTTCGATAATTTGTGGATTTTTGCAAATTATGTAAAATGTTAAGGATGGCTAACAGACGTCGTCAATTCTTTTTATAAAAGATATTTCAATATTTTCGTTCTTTCCGGAAACGTAATTTCGGAAGCCGAATTATTTACCTTTTCCTTTTTCTTTAGTTTTTGACCGCGGATATTTATTTGTTAATCAGTCATGTGCATTTTTAGAAAATTGTTCGTGTTTTTTAAATTTACCCAGACGGATATTTGTTCGGCTCTGGTAAACTCTTCGTTATATTCGATTGCTACTGTACCCATTTAGTTAGTGATGAATGTGCAGACACTGATTTAATTACGTCTATGTACAGTTGAACAGGAAATATTTATTAAATACGAATACCAGTGAGCAATAGTTTTTGTCTTCGTTTATCCAGTGCTCGAATTGGAAAAATTAAAGTAGAAGAGCTCAGCAAAGTCATACAAAAATAACGTTGTTTGTAGGGTCGTGGGGAGCCTATAAGCAAAATAAAAGGGGTCACCATTCAAAATTTCACTCACAAGACACTATATTATATAGAACAGAGTACCTAACCGTTATAAACGTGGCAGTTTCCTTTATCAATTCACGAATTCGGACGATTAATTATATAAAGTACTATGGAAAATTAATAAAATCGATGGATGGATAAAAAAAAAAATAATAATAATAATAATAAATGTACGCAACCACGATTGATTTCAAATAATTTTAAAGAAATGTCGTGTAAAAAGTTATATATCCACCGTCCGCCGCCGCTCCAGTGTGATAAAACAGTATGGGCGCGCGGAAAAAAAAAATATATATATATAAGAAAATTAGTAGAGGGTTCCCGCCCCAATTCGAGCACTGCGTCTATCTGTCTATTCCGTTTGTTATCATTATTATCATTATTATTATGGTTATGTAGACATATTGTTCGGATATGGGCCCGTCGATTTTTGCCGGTCGAATAACCGTCCGGTGGAAAAGAGTGTTGACCGCCTCTGACCCAATTGCGGCCATTGTGGATACACGAGCACTCGCGTATCGTGTTTGGGAACGCAGTGGGGTTGAAACGACGGTTACGAAAATTCGGAACACAGACGACCGTGGATAATAACAATAATAGCTGGTACCTCGGGCGCTGTATCTTTACGTATTATAGATAAACGTCCGTATAATAAAACGACGTATCGTCAGACGGACGTGAAAATCCACATCCCGTAATGCCCGCCCGTATCGACACGGGTGTTAGAAAAAAATATGACGGGTGCAGCCACTGTTGAGATGTTTGGTGGGTGCGATATAGTGGGGAAATTGGTTTGTATCTGTAAGCAACGATAAACCATTGTTTACTAAAATCGATTCTGAGCGGAGTTCAGTTGATAGTGATGCTTTGGCGACAATGTACATGTCATATTATGGTAAAATAATTAAATAGGCTTTTGTATATTTTCTTTAATAAAATGTGTTTAATATCGTACCGATTTTCCCGTTTTTCTCGGTTTTTCCCGTTTGCTAGGAAAATCGAAAAATGACTTCTTTAAAGTACCCCCTCCCCAGTCAGATTTCTTTTTAGAAAAAGTGCTATCGCCTATCATTGCAAATTGGAACAAGATTTTTTGGTAGAAAAGTTTTCAACAGAAAAAGAAAATCATATTATTTCGTAAATTTTTTCGTTTTTTTTTTATTTTCGGCGTTTCACATTTGATGAGAAAAACCCGAAAAAATCGAAAAATGACGTCCCCTGAGTACCAGCCCGAGAAAACTTCTTTTCCGAAAAAGGTCTAGATCGTGTACATCGGTAAGAGTAAGAGTAAGCTTTCTGGTAGAAAAAATGTTCACATAAAAAGAAAAAAAAATTAAACATCTTTTTAAACACCAATTTATATTTTTCGCTACATTCAGAATATAAAACTACAGAAAAGTCTAACGATATATTGTGACGGCGTTAAACGACGTCAGGGAAATGTTATGGAAACAGATACCTCACCGCCGTCGTCGCGGTTATAACCCGGAAAAATAATATCGGTATATAACGAGTAGGTAAGTATACCTATTTGTCACGGACAAGAGAGTGAAGATCGAAAATTATGTTAATAAAGAGATCGCTGTGAAGATTAACGACGCGACGATGACGGGACTGTGACAAAATCGTAAACGGCAATAGTGCCGGGGGGGGGAGGTGAGTGGATAAAATACTCGTTTTTAGGTATTTTTTTTTTAATTTTTTTACATTGTACACAGAATAAGGCGGTCATATTGTTAATCGTTGTTTACGACGCGTTAAACATCATCCTATACCGTTACGCAGTATAATACTTTTCGTTATTTGTTTAACGAACCGTACAACAGCGGCAAAACAATTCGTTAAATATTGTCGACCGGTGACGGATCCGCCGTCAGAACGTTACGGATAAACAGATATTACACATAGACAGCGGCGGATTTACGGGGGTGGGGTGGATGGCAGAGATATCGATACGATTCCAATAAAATGTCATCCGAAAAAGAGGCGGCGTCATCCATATTAATAGGGATACCTTTAAAATACGTATTATATTTCAGTATCGTTCCCAGAAGAAATGTTGAAAATCCGCCACTGATTATAAACATTGCATCGTCGTAGCTGTGTATACCGACGCAATTCACGTGAAATGAAAACGATTGCGGTTTAATGGTACAAAAAAAAAAAAAAATGTTAAATAATTTACATAACACGGTATTGACGCTCCGGTCTATATATTATCATGATTACGTGAGCAGTGGCGTGCGCGGGGCGAGAGAGGCGAGAGGGGTCATATCCTTTTCCCGTTGCGGATTCCGGGGCACGCCACTGTATATTACGGAGCGCGTGTACCGTTGCGATCACGTTACGAGTGCGCAATAATTGACACGCGTACAAATGTTAAACCACCGAAACGATTATTTGTCAATTGATTTTTATTTGTTACATTAAATCGATTTATACACATGCGTAAAAAAACGGACGTTCAAATTTGATCGTTAAAAATTCGAAAATGCACATTAAAAGCCGAATTTTCATTCCACACGATTGACGTCGTATACAAAGATGTACCGATGGATTCACGGAACTATTTACGACTTATAAACTATCAAGCGATTCCGGTATAATAGATGTTATAGGTACACCACTCGAGTTGCGCCCCGAATAACGGTGAATTACGATACAGAAAAAAAAAAAAAAAAATGAGAGGATAAAGATCGTTTTCGTATATCGTATATGAATTGCGTGTAATTAAATAATTTGTCGTGATAATCTTCGGCTCGCGGCGGTGACTGTTGCACGAGAGACGACAAGAAGTCTGTCATCGTTCGTGATTTTCAATTGGAAAATTATTCCGAGCGTAACTCGCGTAAATTATATTAAAGCCTTCTACCTTGATATTTTGAGCGCAATTCGCGTGGGCGACCTGTAACCGGTGGCGCAACAAGTGAGCGCGCGAATGACTGCACCGCGGTGCACGTGTACGGTCGCGTACCGCCGCCACGTGCGTTAGCCGATCGTGTTTGGAATGAAATTTCGTCCTTTTTACAGAAAAAAAAAAAAAAAAAAATTAAACACGTAAATGCCGTTGTTTCGTTAGAAGTTTTTGAATCTGGACGGCAATATCTGTCGTTGGACGGCCACCGACGGTCCTCCGGGATCGGAGGCGGCGGCGGCGGCTGCGGCGACAACGTCCCGGGGCAACCGGCGTCCGGTCGGCGGGAGTTCCGCGACCGCGGCGTTCTGCGGTACGGGCGACCGCTGTTCGAATCGCGATTGGTCGTCTGCCGGCGGCGAGGACGTCGTCGGCGACCCGGGCACGTAAATGGCCGTTCTTTTGTCCACCTTGTCCAGCTGTCCCTCGTACTCGGCGTCCAGGTCCCAGACCTTGTTGGGATCGAACTCCACGTCGGGTTTGCCCGGCAGCGGTTCGTGCGTCCGGTACACCGCGTCGTACGACCGCCGCGGGTTCGTCGAACTCGGCACCGAACCGCCCGGCGTCGACGTCGAATCGCCGTCCTCGTCGCCGCCGCTGCCGCTGCCGCCGCCGCCGCGCACGTCCCTGACTGCCCTGCTGGGGCCCGGCGTCCCTGCCGCCGTCAGGTCCATTGTGCTCAGGGCCAGCACCGAGTTACGCCTCTTGGCCGCCCGCGCCGACTGGTACCGCAGGCTCAGCCGGCCGTTGCGCCGGTACACGCGCGACGCCACGCAGCAGATGCACACCAGCAGCGGCACTATGAGGCACACGATCAGTGCGATCGTCGTCCACGCGCTCCGCGACTGGTACTCGATGTGACCTTTATATTATATGGTTTTCGTTATGACCGTGTCAGTTAGTATATAACAGATAGAATATTGGCGTACGGCGAAATAGTCAAAAAATAATACTACGGCCGCGGGTTATTGGGCGGGGTCTGTACAGCATAGAACAGAGCCGTAGCAAGGGTGAGGCGACCGAGGCGTTAACCGCGGACGCCGAGGTGCCATCGTTATGGGGGTGGAGGGGTGGGGGAGGAGAACGTTAAATCTCGACGATTTTGTTTAAACTGAAAATTCAAACGCATAGAAATCGTATTTGCCGTATATAATATTCTCTTTGTATAGCCGAACGTAGCTCCAGCGAACTAAAACACATAGAGAATTATTTAAGATCCTGCACTATACGGGCCGAGAGAGGCGATCAAATTTGGCTATTTCGTCTACAGAAAACGAAGTTGTTGGAGAAATCGATTACGAGAACGTTATTGGTGAATTGCCAACAGTCAAATCGAGAAAAGTATACAATTATGTTCTACTTTGCACCTACCTATGCTTTTTGCATAATCCTCTTTCGTTGAACGCTACATTTCATTTTTGTTTTATTCAGCGTGTGCAAAAAAAAATAAATATAAAATATTACGCTTGTTAATATTCACGCTTATTTGAAAATTCGATAAATAATAGTTTTTGAAACGGAACCTAAGATTTTTTTTTTTTAGGGGCGGGGCGCCGGATGCATAAATTCAAATTTGCCTCGGGCGTCAGAAGAGCTTGCTACGGCTCCGGCGTAGAACCAGATACAGGCTATAATAAAGTGCAAAATGTGTAATCTATGGTAGGGAAATGACGGGTATATTGTGGAATGGATTGGGATATGTGGGGAACGGCGACGTGAACAATATAACGTAGTAGTTGATCTTACTAATGCGGAACAGAGGCGAATGTAGGGAAAAAAATGTTTTAATATCGACCAAACGTCGAGGTTTATTATTTTCCGCATCGTGGTCGTTTCAAACGATAAATTGTCTGGTGCGCGTTTTGGAAATATCTCGATAAATGCCGAAACACGAACATTATTTGTGCCTGTTTGGATGTTTTGAATTATCCGGAAACACGTTCTGATCGATAATAATAATATACGATTTAGTGTTGTTTTTTTTTTTCTATAGAATGTCTTAATCATAACTATTGATAATGAATCGTGTATGAAAAAAAAACGGGAGAATACCTTAATTTAAAAAAAAGTATAATTATGTGAAAAAAAAAAAATTTTCGTTTTGTAATTTTTCAAATCACCCGAGCGTTTTGGGCGATGCCTTTGAAATCGAAATGAATTTATAACGGTAATTCGTGCGGTTAGCCGTTTGAGTAATTATTGGCAGTACTATCCTGTAACGACCGAGTAATTAATCGAAAAACCAACTAATTTCGGTTGGCTATTCCCACGGTATTTTTGTTTTCGTTCACACTCCCCCGCGGTCTGTCGTTATATCCGGGTACATCGGACATTTCGGTATAGCAACGCAACACTATAATGCACACCGCATTAACTGCCTACAATAATATTATACACGAATAACCTCAATATTTTTTTAACGACGCGAGATCCGACGGTTTTCGACGGATAATAATATATTTCGGTTGGAATACGATTTCGGTTATAACGATTCTCGGATGATTCCCGCACAATACCGCGAATACCGTACCTAGGTTGGTATTAATATACGGGCGACAAAACGCAAAACTGGTTTTTTGACCTTTTAGCCATGATGTAAAGTTATTTGACGTTAGGAAAAACATAAAAAAAAATGAAAAAAAAAAAAACATAAATAATAACGAGACTCGCGCGTTGCCAGCAAGTACACTGCAACGTGGTGTTAATAGCGAGTTTATAATACACGCGAGCGCGTCCGTTATACTCACGCAAACACTCCGTGTATCCGTATTCCGGAATGTCCCATTTTCCGTCGGACGAACAAGACCGCCGTTGGTCGCCGATTAACACGAAATCTTGGTTGCACTCGAACGTCACTTTGGTGTTGGGCACGAATAGAAAGTTACTTTTCCGACCGAAACGCGGCGTTTCCAAAACGCCGCATGAAATCACTAAACATACACAAAGCATAACGAGAAAAACGATTAAATTCAATTATTCGATTACACTGCTGCAGTCGACCGCGAGTTGCGGGACATTATCTCCCGAAATCACGGGCTGGGGCCGCGTATGCAAGGAAGGGGTATTTTGAGGTTCGAGTCCGCGGGCGCCCGTGCGATGGCCGGACGGACGCACGCCTCCCCTCCCCCCTGAAATAAACATTAGTCGTCATGCATTTATGCGTTTATCACGCATTGGAATTACTCCGGCAGTTCAATTCTCGTTTTAACCCCCCATTCAATCGTGTTCCAACGCTCGACATTCAAAACTCGGAACATCCCCGTCCACACATACACAATCTACGCCAATACGCCTCCGCTTAGAATACCTCGGTGTTGATTGGTTTTTTTCGTATTGACGTATCCGTCTTGGTACTGCAACGTGTAAAAGGCCATATCCCTGTTGAGACTGACCGCGTAGTCGTACTTGCACTGGTACGAGTCGCCGCACAGTTCGTTGGCTTTTTTTATGTCGTCGGTATAGTTGCTGGGTATAATGAGTTCCGGAGTGGCCTCGAAAATCGGTTCGAAAGACCGATTCGCATAATAACTGGCCGTCCGACCGTGTTCGCGTAAAAACAAAGCCCCGCCTTTGTTCTTTTCATCCCTGTCTTCTAAGATCCCTGCAAACGAAAATCATACACACACGTATAATGCTCGTTGTGTGCTCGTAGACAATATAATAAATTACATTATTTTACTCTCATAACATATACTCACAAGCCATACCGAACAGTTTGTGTACCGCTTCGAAATCATAAGCATTCGGGTTTACCACTTGGCCGTCGGGCAACGTAAAATCGTTGGTCTGATCGAAACTCCAGTTGCCGAACAATCCTCTGGTTCGATTCTACAAAAGTGGTATATTCGAACACACCGTAACGGAAAAAAATAGAGATAACGTTCATTGAAAAACTTACGATAAACTGCCAGGGCAAATACACTCTAGTGGTCATGAATCCTTTGTTTTCCAAAACTTCCAAACCGGCACCCGACTGGAACATCACAACTATTTCGGACTGGTTCAATATGTAAGAGGGGGTGTAAACGGTAACACCTATTGAAAACAACATTTTTCAACAAAAACTATGTGCAGGACGATAACTCACGCCTATGAAGTTAGCCCCCTCCCGTCACGGCCAAATCGTTATAAACAAATGTAAGTCATAGCCCTTTAATTGTAAGTAAATGTAAGTTCATTCCTGGAATTTGTAAGTCAATCGTATCCCAGTGAGGCGATTTTGAAGTTTTATATTAATTAAGCTTATGTTTTTTATTTATATAACAAGAGCGGTCATTTTTGAATATTCTTTTAACTTTTCCTAAAAACGGGGGAAAAACAAAAACACTTGGTGAGGTGAGAGAAGACCGACTCTTTTCTCACGAACTGGCACTAATTTTCAAATGTTTTAATTCCGGTTTTTCGGCTGCCGCCAAAACTTTAAAAGCTCCTCGTGGGGGTATACGGTATAGTGATAAATTCCGGAATTGACCTTACAATTTTTCCGGAAATTGAATAGTTATAATTCACAATTTGTTCGAAACGATTCGGCCGTGATCGGGAGGAGGAACAATTCCATATACGTAGACACCTCGGGTTAGGTTCAAAAGAAGTTATCGCGCTCACCGTGAAAGTGTTGAACTTTCAACGCCGGTCTGTCGAAAAACACTCGTTTGCCGTCGGCAAATACGTCCAACCGATACCTCCACTGAGCCGTCTTGGGCCGCAATCGGATTTCGATAACGGTGGACGTGTTGTCGCGGGACGCTACAGACGTCAGCGTAGTCGCCATTACCGGGCCGTTTACGTTGTCCGGCAACTGTTCGAATCTGCCTTGGACGTCGAATTTGTAAGCTTCCGAGTCCACGTGCACCAACACGAATTCTCCTTTACCGTTGAACGTGTATTCCAGATTGTCGAACGTGATCACGTGTGGATCACCGAACACGGTGGCTATATTGTGTACACGAATATTATGACGTTATTATTGTACACAAAATGTCAACATGTGCGATTTGTTGTGTTTATACATACCCACGTAAGGCGATTGGTACGCGACGCAATCTTGAGACGGACGTCTTTCGAAACGGTACGTTTCACAGCCGACGGCTTGCTCCTCCTGCCACAGACAACACGAGTAAAACGGACTCATGTCGTGGAACCATTGCGACAGTGTCGGCACCTGAAAGTCATCCACAGTGGTTATTATCGTCATTGTTGCACTATTAAGTGGCGACGGTGTAGGTGTCAAGTGTCTCCCGTTGAAGTTCACATACCTTGTTGGCTTCTGTCCACGGTAAAAATCCTAAATTGTGCGATCGCCGCGGCCGGGAACCCCACTGTTGGTCGTAGGACAACATTAAATAATTGTTTTTGTCGTAGCAGCACTGCTGTTCCGAGCCTTCCATACTCGGCGCGCCGGTCGTCACGCAGTGCATCGCTCCTTTGTTGTACAGACATTCCGGATTGGCGTCCCTGTCACAGTGCACGTCCGGCAAAAATCGTCCTCGGTCGTTGAGCGCGTGATCCAACGTGCACGGACACTGGAATACCTCGGAAGCGAAGTTTTTTAGATACCTGTCGTTTTTTATCCAATTGTCGCACAGATTTTCGGGCCAAGCCGAACCGTACCACCGTGCCCATTGCGGAGAGAAGTACCACCCCAACGGTATGGGTTTACTCCACAGTTTCCTAAACAACAATACAATAATAAGTAAGTAATCGAGTAAAACAATATTTCAAACGATTCGCGGGTTTACAAACTCACGGAGAAATCGGAATACCGGAATACGTGGTCGGAGTGATCAGTTGTATTTGTAAAAATCCGAATGTCAAATCTAGGTTTTCAGTATTGTCGCGGTCTTCAAAAAGACTCGGCTTTATAATGTATTCGCCGGAATTGGGGATGTTTTCCTATACAATAACATCGTATGATAATATTATAAATTAAAACAAATAATACTAAATAAATAAATTCACCAACAGCTATAACATCGATGTATATGAGTTCAGGCGAGATCTTCACTTCTTTGTAACCGTATAAGGATATTTTTATGTTGGCGTCAAAATTCGCCGTGAGATTTTGCTTTTCCCACGTGATTTTTATCGATTCCGGTTTTTTTTCGCGTACCGATCCGTCTTCAAATCGTATACGTTCGGTAGCTGTTGCTGGAGTCTCTATATAAAGTTTAAAATAAAAAAGATAAATGAAGAAATTCTAAATAAACCAATATTATCACCCATTCGCCCAATATTTTTCGTCCCCACGCACGTACCTACAAAGTATTTCGCCTTCCAATTGTACTTTTCTTCACCGATCGCTACGTCCAAAATCACATAACCTTCGGCCATTAAAAATGGTTGTATGCAAACGGCACGGTTTCTACTCACTACAATCCCGACTACTTCTTCCGTGTCAAATCTATACAGGCAGATGTATATAAATCGTTACAGTAACCAAAAACTATAAATATCTGTTATGTCGAACGTTAGTCCATAGGCTACAGACACGTATAAAAATAGACGTTGAATAGCCTCTTATGGACTGTCCATATATGGACACTGAAAACCTCCTTAAAAATACCCCTTTTACTCACTTGCAACGAACTTTGTCTCCGGGTTCAAAACACGGTCCGGTTATGTTAACGATGGTGCCGCCCAACATGTTACCACTTTCGGGCGCGAACACCAACGGCAAATTCGTTCCGGCTACACACAACATTTTTTGGTATAAATCATAAATGTCATTATTTTAGAAATCAATTCAATAATGACCCGTACCGATATCTTTGTTACACGTCCCTAGCATAATGTTTTCGTCGATTCGAAAAATGTGTCGACCCGGGAAATTATTGGCCCAACCACGACCCACCAAATCTCGAATGGTCGACCTCTGTGAATAAGGATAATACTCAAAACTCCGGGTTCCGTTGCCAGCGTTGAATCCTACCTGCATCAGAAACAAATTATGGAGAAAAAAAAAATAATAACAAAACAGTTTATTCAAATTTCTTTCCTAAACGAACTCACGAAGGCCGGTACTCCTCCTTCGCCCCCGGTCGTATCACCTCCAGCTTCCGTATGACTGGTCCACTGCATATCCGCGTAGTTAAATATGACGTAAGTGAACACTTCGTCGGTGGCCAAGATCATTTGAAACGTATTGGTCTGGAATATAGGTAACTCGTTATCAAAATTAAATGGTTAAAAGGTCAATTATTGTCGGAACACAAAAATCATAAATATTTTATATTTGGTTTTAACCCCAAAATGACGGTTACGACATATGGCCTTTTAGCAATCGATTGATGTTTGTTTCGATATTATACCTTGTAAAGAGAATTGTCGATTCCTCCGGCAAACGACATATTTTTCCACGTAATAATGGCCGAATGTTTGGGCACAAATGCTTCTGCGCCGATTACGCCTTCACGGATATCCCACATGAGTCGTTCTCTCATTTCCACGCCGAATTGATCGGTGCGAGCTTGTAAATCTCTCTCCATACGGAAGTACACTCCAGGCTTACGTCTGTCTACATCGTCCGTTCTAAGTGAACCGATCCGACACTTGCTGTAGAATATACCGATAAAAGACGGATCGTGTTTTTTGGGCCACTCTTTGATAGGAAAAGACAACGGATATCGGTAATGTTTCGGCGGATCGCTAAATTCTAAATAGCCGTTCATCGATACCCGAGTGTAATTAAATCGAAAACCAAAGAACGGTAGTTGAAAATTGAAATTTTTGTGGATTTGAGGCATTGACCCGTGTATGTCTGTTTGATAGTCACCCTGATCATTATCACCGCCTTTGTCAAAATACCAATACATGAACTCCTGTCGGATTTCCGCCAATCTGTCTTCGGTCAGAACGTAAGGCTCTGAACCAGCTGCCAATCTCAGTGTAGCAGGTGCATATCTAGACGCAAAGGTATCTGAAATAGAAAACAAAAACTTCAATATTAGAATGTTGTAAGTAAGTTATAACGCGCTATGTAATTAGGATTTTTTCAAATGGAGGAGTTCTCAGAGCAAAGCTTTATTACTTCTCAACCATTATTAATGGTATTTGTATGTGCAAAATGTTTATGAGTAGAGCAGAGGATATTACATTAATTGATTCAGTGGCGTTAAAGTCCGTACTGAAGACAAATTCTTAAACCAATAGTTATTATTGTTTTATTAAATATTTTCTTGTAAATATTTAAGAAAAATAAGATCACGAAGGGATATATCTTCCTCACACCCCTTGTCGTTTAATCGCCCCTAACGCCACGAATAAAAATGCACGAAAATGCATCGATTGGCCATAATTTGAATCATTCATTTTTCTTTGATAATGAATTGACGAATAATAGTCACCTACAGAAAAACAAAACAAATACGCATGTTGTTTGTCATCGTATAAATAAACGGTCATAGGAAGTGGCTTATTGTAAATCTGTTACCTATTATTTTCAATAGAATTTATAATGGCTAAGTATATAGGTACCTACGTCCTTACGTCATTATTTTTTTTTTTTTACAGAGATTAAAGACCTCATTTAGATAACAACGCAACATGACACACAATTTAATTTATTTATAACGTTCAAATAATATAAATACAATAAAAATGATAAAAAAAAAAAAAAAATGAATCTCTCTTAAATAATATTATAACATTCGAACACACATTGAAACAAAATCCAGTATTCCATTCCTAAGTAAACTATCGCTTAATCCAGTGGTTCGCAAATTGTACGACTTAGTCTCTCTGTACAGGGATACCTCATCACCATGTGGAATATTATTTGTTCTAAAACTGAATTTGAAACCCAAATATGACAGCGGAAACGGCGACGCTGACTCATTTTATAGAATTTTTTTTTTCAGAAAACACTTTCGGTAAGTAAAAATTATTTGCATTGTACCTTAAAATTGAATTTTCTGACACGGGGAGATATTCCTGCCAGGTAGTATTTAATTTAAAAAAAATATATATTCTCAGTGGTTTTTTTTAAAATTAAAAAAAAAAAAAACTGATAATTATTGTCGATACTTCGTATTTATTTTTGTTGACTTCTGGGTTACATTTGCTATGCAAAACATGAATACTACTATTACCTATTACTTTTAAGATCGTTTTTTAATTGCAGTGATTTGCAAAGGTACTCTGAAAAAACCTTAGTTCAAAAATGTTTGGGAAGCATTGGCCTATTGTAATTACATCTACACGGCCTATATACGATGAGTAAATATTCGATAATTACTTGGTTTTTTTTTTCTGTCTGAAACTTAAGAGGACGTTGTACTCGTACGTGCTGTCTCAGCGATATATCAAAATCTACCTTACGTAGACTGCGTAGAACTCGCTTAATTTTGGTTTAAGAGTAAAAGCACCGGTTATAAAATTAAAAGAGGACAATAATCTGGAGGGCAAGAAGATGCTTTGCTTTTATTAAATTAATTTTTTGAAATATTAGTAATTTAAAAACAATGAATTAGTCTTTATTTCTAAACGATGTACTGAACGTTATATTTGGAATAATTATTAGAATTATCGAAAAAACGCATCATATATGATTTATCATATTGATAACTTTTGATTTTATAACAGGTGATTTTATTCTAAAATCAAAATTAAGCGAGTTCTACGCTTAATATATTTCGCTATATTCGGACTGACACAGCACGTGTGCATATTTTTAAGTCCTCGTAACAGAAAACAATTATTTTGATATTTGACTTGTTATAAGTTAAGTGTAAACAGTTGTTCAGATGATAAATGTTTACACTGTAAGAATAAATTAATACCTACCTACGGATTGAATATTATTAAATATTATAGTAAAGCTATTCAATTAAATGTGTAAGCGCACCCACCTTTAGTTATTGTTTTTACTGTAGTATAAATTTATTTTATATCTCTTTCGATGTGGAAATATGTATATGGTGTGTACCACCATCTTCGTCGGATTTTTCTAGCACTGTTAATATTAAATTTTTTCGATTTTTTTTCCAGTCGGTTTGTCTTCAAGGGGGGGATATCGATTTACAGAAAAATTAAATTTTTATTTTCATCCCCTAAACATAAGGAAAAAAAAATTATTTTAAAAATTGTAATGTACCATACATATACATTCGATTAATAGTTTCTTAATCATAGACGTTTTAATTTCTAGAAAATAGGTGTGAAAACAATTAAAACGGCTATAACTAAGAAATTATTCATCGGATATGAATGTGTGATACATTAAAATGTTTAGAATAATATTTTTTACAAAATGGCTATTTTGAAAAGTTTCTCAAGTGAATAAATAAAGTTATTTTTGTTTTGGTGTTTAAGAGATGAAAATACAAATTCAATTTTTTTCCGAATCCCCCTCAAAGACAAACCGATTGGAAAAAAAAAAGAATAAGCATTAACAGCGCTAGAAAAATCCGTCGAACAATGTGTATAATTGTGTGTAATAACATGTGACTAACTGATTGACTGATTCATCATCGCCCAACCCAAACCACTGGACGGATCGCGCTGAAATTTGGCCTACAGATAGCAATTATGACGTAGGCGTTAGGCATCAGATAAGAAAGGATTTTTGAAAATTCAACACCCAAGGGGGTACAATAGGAAGTTTTAGTTATGTTTGTCACGAAAATCTAATTGTTTATTCATTTAGTTTTGTTTATTCACGGGTTACCTTGGTCTTGGTGACACGGGTGACATGATTCGGTTGTCCCGGACAACTATTATTATTAACACTATTATCTAGCAATAGCAAAGCATTGCCGGGTCAGCTAATATTATATATAAATAAGTACCTAACATTATGACGATAATATTATTATACTTACTGTAATTTTGTCTCTCCTGAAATCTTAACGGATCTTGTTGATTACGATTTTGATTATAATTCGGATTTCGCATTGACGTCTGTGACGATTGTTGTTGCTGTTGCGGCAGTTGCTGTTGGAGACGTTGTTGCTGTTGTTGGTATCGCTGTGGCTGTTGTAGTAATTGCTGTTGCTGTTGTGTCTGTCGCGTGTTGTCTTGTGCGTAATTGTTGTACGTAGGACGGCTAAACTGCAGTTGGTTGATGATGTCCTGTGGCCTTTGCTGTATCCGTTGCCAATACGATTGGACATTTAAGCCGTACGGATCGTTGAGATCGACATTTTGAGCAGTTACCAGATTCGTGTTTAGCGCAAAACACGCTACCAAACAACAACATAATATTAAATTATTATTCGCCATGTAGAGCAATGCGACCGCAATATACAGGAGTTGACGGACGTGTGCTAAAAAACACCATTATTAAATACTATCTTGAGCTACACCAGCGAGATAAGATTGGAATAGAAAACAAATATGGGTGTAGATGTGCGACGTAACGAGTTTGTGCCACTCGAGGTATGTTAGTTTATCTAATCAATGAATTCGTACCGATTTCCAAATTATTATTACTCATAGTACTGTAATATACATCTACCTAATAGGTAGGTATTTTGTGATGAAATATGTTGTACAGTAGGTGGGTATAAAATAAAATACACGATCTTTCAAAGTTAATTTTCCATGAAGTATCTATTTTTTTCAAAAAATGACGTAAAACATATTTTGAATCGTACATTTTAAAATGTTACACTGTTCTCATATTTTTCATCAGTAACACTGAAACTAGCTGTCAAATGTGGCGGTCACCACCTTTCTTTTAATGGGTTGGTGGTTGGTGTTTTCGTGATAGACACTTAAGCATAATTTTTATTGAATTGGTACATGTGAAATATTAATTACTGTAATTAAGAACATTGTATTAGAATTTGGAATTTGTTTTGTAAACGAGGGTGGTGATCTATACAACTTTTTACCTGCCCAACTTCTTAAATATGGTTCTGTTTTTTACCATAATTTTTGGGGTGAATCACTACCCCACTTTTCATTTTCAAACAGCAACCTCCAATCTATACCTATCCACCCTTAGGAAGTTCAAGTACTTAACAGGGCAGGCGAGAGGTAAATATTTATATTTTCAGATCAATAATAATTTTGTTGAAACGTGATTTTATAATTAAATTAGCATATTTATCATTTATGTAACATTTAAAAAAAACTTAATTTTTTAAATAAACCTTTTAAAAGTATAAAAACTCAATGAAAATAAAAATTCTACAATAATATAATAAAGTGGATACTTTTATTTAAATCTACTTGGGCAAAGAAAATCGTAAAAGCACTCGTTTTCCACTTTTGAAACATTTTCTTGAAGATAATGATCTTGAATTACCGAGGAGTTCAATAACAATCTTTTCTAATAATTTCGTTGCACTTGAAAGTAATTTTGTCAAATATTTTTTAAAGACTCCTTTAATGAAAAATCATTATCTAATTTCACAACCCCAGAAGAAGAACAATTATTAATTGATATTTCATTTGATTTTTCGTTACAAATACAATTTTCTTCATTGTTACTTTTCGGATTTTGGAATAATAACATTAAAGATGAATATCCTAAAGTTGCAAACAAAGCTTTGCGATGAAAACTCCTAGGAAAATCAAAAAATTACCTCCCTAATCAGATTTCCTTTTAGATAAAGTGCTACATTTTAAAATTGGGACAGTTTTTGACAGAAAAGTTATTTATAGAAAAAAAAACAAACATCATTGTAATATCAATCTAAAAAATGACTAGGGTACAAAGCGAGTACAAAATAAGATACTCACAGCAGTCAACTTGTTAAACAAAAAAAAAAGCATGCTGTTCGCATTAGGACTTAATACTAATAGTCATTGTTTTTTTCTTTGTAAAAGCATATTAACTCTCCATACACAGATGTATAATTATGTTTTATTGATGTTCAGTTGTGATTTGTCTTTTTCTATTAGTTATTTATTTAAATATTTAAACACCCTGAGGCAGTGGTTGTTAGAAAAATAATGAGTAAAACAATTAATAAATTACAATGAAATAGAAGACATCAGGTTAAGTATGGTTAAGACAACACATCCTATGGAGAAGTTGATTCTGGCCATAAGACGTGAGGTGCGTTGGAATGGAGAAGAGGTAGTTAATTAATAACTACTATAATATAAAATGTTCTCAACACTGATTATGTAAGTCCTTTTCTTTAGATAGAAAAATAAAGGTAAACATATTTAGTCTATTTTACAGCATCTACAATAAATTAAAAATTTCAAGTATATCATAATTCATAATAATATATTTAACAAAAACTAATTGAAAAAAATTAATAACTTTTTTAAACTTAACCACATATAGACAATATTACATTTTTACGGAGTGGACAAAAAAAATTTAATAATTTCTGATATTTAAATACTATGAACCAAATTATGCGTAATTTCATGAAAGCAATATTAATATTATATTCAGCATAAAATAAAATTATAATCTATTAAATTGTAAAATATTAATATTTTGTCCATTCCTACACAATAACCATAATGCCAACTATAAACTAATTAATGTTAATAATTATTTTAACAAAAAAATATCATGGCTGCACTTAATAATACAGGTACATGTAATATAATTTCAACAATAATAATTTAACACTATATTATGTAAAATTAATTAGTGAGAACAAATATTAAAAATGGATATCAAATGTATTGGTGGAATTATATTTTTTATAATCAAACTCTAAAGAGCATTAAAACTTATAATAATACATTTTTTAGTTTAAAACTTAACGTCATGTGTGAAACAAAATTTTCGTGAAAAAAAATATTAACTGAAATGGTATTAATGGTCTTAAATCTAGTGGTCGTGTATTTAAACAAATAAAAAGAAATACAAATATTATCATTTTCAGACTTATTATGGTATACAAATATAAAAATAAATTGATAAAAATAATTATTTGTAAAGTACATAATATTATATCAGTTTAATTTCTTATAAGTAATAATGTATTTTATGAATATTGACATAAAAAGTATACAATTAGTTTAAGATTTTATTTAAAAGAAAATTCTTGGCATTAATTACAATATTTTAAAAATTAAAAACAGTGTTTGTTTTCGAAATCTGTGAAATTATTTTCTTTATCTAGTTAGTAAAAAACATTTATAAGATTATTAAAAAAATATTACTATTAATGTTATAATAAAGTTATTACTACAATTAGATACCTGGATTTTATTATTTGAATTTTTGTACTCTAATATAAGTAAAAACATAAATACTTTTACCCTCTGATCTCTAGTTATAAAATATTATATTTGTCCTATAAAAAATAATAATTATGGTATTGAAAATAAATAATTACAACAGTAATAAGTATTTGTTGTTTTAAAATTCCCTATGGGTAAATAATAATAAGATCTATTGTCAATATTAAACTTATTATAATAAATATTATAAAATTTAATTAATATTTAAAATACATAAATAATTTAGGAGTATTACAACAAAACTATTGTATAAAAAAAAATTATACATAATATTTATATCATAAATTGGATACAGCTAAATATATTAGGAAATATTTTAAATGCCTTTAACGAAAAGTCAAACTGGTTCTTCTTCTGAATTATTTTCACTCTGATCTTCACAAAAACTGGTCATGCGATGGTATGCTTTAGTCTCTTCACCCGTTTGCCGAAAACTTATTAAAGGCCGCAAAGCTGAGCGTAATGAAGCAAATAAATGCGGAAACAATATTTCCTGTTGGGCGAGTAATTGTTTTGTTCGATGACGTTCCTAAAAAAATAAATATTTGTCTATATGAACTTTTTCTTTAAATGATATAAGCAATCAAATAATAAGTAATAATCTTTAATGAATTGATCTGTTATTTCTGGTACACTTATTCACTAAATCTCAAGGATTGTAAACAAGATGATAAATCAGCTACAGAATTTAACAACTCTAATACTGACATGATAAATTCAAATTGTAGTTTATGTAAACAAATACAAGTAAGTTTTGGTGTTGTCTTAATGGAAAATGTTGTAAACATTATACTAGTTTAAAATAAATTTTGCATTGTTAATAAAAACAAAATACACCGCCAACTACAATTATTTTTAGCACAAATAATTTGCTGGATAGAGAGTAAAGGAGTGTACATATGGTTTACAAGACTGACAAATTTATCTCAAAACTTTTTATTATACATGAAGTTTTATTCCCTATACTATTTTTGATAAAAGAAAAAAAAAAAATTAAGATCTTTAATAGTTGAATGATACAATTAATTATAATATATTAAAGTATATTTTTACATTCAATAATTTATCCTTATTTACTTTTTGAGGTTATATACGCCAAATTTTTTTTTGAAATAGACAGCAAATTTTGTAATTGGAGAAGACATTATAATATGTTTCTGATATACATAAAAAAAATAACATCAAAATTTAGTTAAATAATACCAGTGCTACCTTGGGTGCTTCAAAACAGGCAGGACAGTTTTCTGCTATGACAGGTAGCTTCTTAGTCTCAGCAAACTGACGTAACATTTTTTCTCTGACATATACAAATGGTCTGATCACACGCAAATCACGTTCTTTTACGGCGTAATGAGCTTTCATTGATCTTAATCGACCATTATGAAATGTTGACATTAAAAAACTCTCAGCAAGGTCATCCAAATGTTGTCCAAGAGCAAGTACATTGTAGCCATTTGCTCGTGCAGCAGCATATAAACGTCCCCTTTTCATGCGACTACAAAAACTGCAAATGGAAGTGCATTCAGCAGATGCAGCTTGTTCAAGAATTTCTTTAAATGATCAAATACATATATAATTATTTTTAAAATATACAGTTCAAGTAATATTGTGATATAACTTACTTTGTTCTTCAAATAAATAGTGAACACCTAGTGCTTCCAAGTATGGTATAAGAGGTTTAGGGTCATAAGCTGCACTGCCAGGATCAACTGTTGCAGCTCCTAATGTAAAATGTATACCTTTTGACGAAGCATAATATTGATACTGATGAAGTGTATGCAGTAATGACAAAGAATCTTTCCCACCCGATAAACAAACCATAATTCTATCCCCGTCTTGAATCATATTGAACTCTCGAAGAGCCTTAAATTTACAAATCAAGCAGTTTTATTGAAATATTGTTTTTAAACGATAGTTTATTATTTTGAAAATATATTAACATTACTATAAGCTTAAAAAACAATTTAATTGTCAATATTTACTTCAAGTGTTGGTTTCCAAATAGGCTTTGGAGGACAATACCATCTTGCTACAGCAAAATCAACTGTTTTTTCACCTTTAACTTTCACAATGCTTTCAGGTTTATTTTTTTTCAAATTACATTCAACTGGTTCTGTTTTTATGTTAATACCGCTATCAGTTGAGCTAAGATTTGGATGTTTTAAACTATTTTCTTTGTCACTCTCAGAGTCTGATTCCTTTTCCATTATGGTGTCAGTGTTTTCATCCGACAATGAACAAGAAGAAGCTAACACAGAGCTTACCATATCATGTATTTCAGTTTTCATCTCCGAAGCAAACTCAGATAATCGATTAATTACTTGTTCTTCAATGCCATTTTGGCATGGCGTAGTAGTTATAACCGGGACAGAATTGTTTCTGGGCATGACTTTGTGTAGATTTTTGGAAATGCTATTACGTTTATCTATAATGTTTAAACTTTCAGAGCTCTCTGACAATGCATTGTCAACTGTTTCTATAACTCCACGAAGTTCAGATTTTATTTCTGTAACAAACTCCTTGGTCAACTCTTCTACATAAGCCTGTATACTCTCGTCATGAGACGCACGTGATTCACAATCACTTAATTCAGTTTGGCTACTACAAGAACATTGTCGATCACGTAACTTTCTAAATTGATTTGCGTTTGTTGGATTTGAACCTAAGCTGTAGCATCTTTCCCTTGAGAAATTTTGAGAAACAAGTCCAACCGGACTCAAGTGTTTGTTAGGTATCAACATTTCTGAACTACCACTTGAAGATCTCATACGAGCAGACAAACTGAAAAATAAATAACATAGTTTCATAGTATACTAGTTTGGTTCTACATGAAGTTAATCAATCAGTTTAAAATTGAAAAAAAAAAAAAAAACAAAACAAAAATTTAGTATGATGTTAAAACTAATTCATAAAGAAGCTTTAGAAAATCATAAATTCAATAATACCTATTGTCCAAAGCTGAAAGACTGTTGTATCTTGCTAAAGATGAATTTGGTGTAGAAACACCAGACGATTCAGAAGTTTGAGGTGAACCGTGATAGATAGTTGGCGAGAATGGAACATGCTGTTTAATGCATATTGATGCATGTCCCAATAGTAAGTCTTGGGCTTCACTAGGCAACATGAACCAACGCAACTTTTCAGCCTTCTCCGTAAACATACACCTCTGGTCAGGCAAAGGAAATTTTTTGGCCATCTGGAAAAACAAACACAATATTGTTATTGTTTTATTTTAAAAATTAAAAAATGAAACTGGATACACAATTACTGGTGTTGTATTACCTTTCTAGCTTTATTGAAAGTGTTTCTTGCTGTTTTCAGACATTCAGCATAATCAGCTGGGCATGTGTTTTGTACAGAAATCTTGCGTTCAGGCATAGTCATTTTACCATCGGTGTACCGGATGGAACCCAACCACTTGCGGTCACGGAAAACATTGTTAGTATGGTGTTTCCATTCTCCTGTCTCTGGATTTAACGTGTACTGCGGTAAAAGTTTCCAGCCTTCAGTAGCCACCATTTTCAGGGCTTCCAGCACAAACGACACTTCGTTGTCAGACATGAAAAATGGCAGGGAAACACGGGCGAAACCGGGCCTGAGCATTTCGAATGGTGAATGTTCTTCTTGCCGGCGAAGATGGTGTCGATCCAGACGATCATCTTCAAGGAGCATGTTCTCGTATTCGGCAGCTAGTGTATCATCTATACCTAAAAGGTCTTGGGCATATGGGCCAGCGCATGCACAACCACCACGGGCCTGTACACCAAACACATCGTTGAGAATTGCGCACACAAAATTGTGATGCAAGAACGCACCACGAGGGTGCCGAATGAGTAGTGAGAACACGGGCAGCCGCTTGATGGTCTGCAAGCAATTGCCTAGTACAATTATTTCTGGCATTGCTTGCAGAAACGATAACACCATTCTGCAATGAAAATAAAATTATAGATGTATGTGAATAACAGATCACACAAGGGAAAAGCTTGATATGAAGACCAAAACAGAGATTGAATGATAAAAGAAAAAAGTTAAAAAGCTCAGAATAGAGAGAAATAGAAGTAAGATTATTTTGCCATTTTCACAGTGGCCTCTAAAAAGCTGGAAGTAGAAGATATTATTAAGATTATGGTTATCCCAACCATACAGAAATATAAAGAAGTATTACAAAACATTAAAAAATTTAAAGTGTTTTATAATCGATTTTGAATGTTTATATTATTATTGTTATTGTTTTTAACCTATTCATAAAAATATATTCTTTGTTAATATATAAATAAATACCACATATTGAATTTATAATAGTCTATGACATTAGCTTTTAGTATTTAATAAATTATTATTTTTGTATCGACTAGGTTAAGGCCATATATAAAATAAACTTTGTAATAGTAACAATAACAATAATAATACATATTCTTTTTTGTAAATACATATTATGACTGTAGTTCATTATAATAAAGGCTATCATAACATAATGATATATAAATATTTACTCCGTAGTTTTAATATTATTTAGGCACCAAACACTTAAATTGTTTAACTTCTTTTCAATAAAATAAATAAGTTAAGAAAATAGTTTAATTATATAGTTAATTGTTTACTATTTTTTATTTTTATTATTTGCATGTCATTATAGTCTTGTTGAAATATTATCTTTAATAGCATTGGTAAATCTTGTAATTAAAACATTACATTGATATAATGTAGTTTTTCTTTGAAAACTGTGTAAAAAAACTGTCAAATAAAAATTAATGGGGACTTTTATAGTTTGGTTGACAGTTTGACATTACTCTATTCATTATTGTCTACATATGTATACTTTATGCACAACAGCTTTTTTAAATGATTTTTATTGTTAACTGTTTGTGACAATATTTTACACATGACAACACACCATTGCAGTATGTGTTTAAATAAGAATTTATACTTAAATTTTAAAATATTATTATTACAAATTAAAACAAAAAAAACAATTATAGCATCAACTTTGGGTATTTTACACCACAAATAATAGCAGCATAACTATTTAGTTAAATATCAATCATCTCATTCATTTTAATTACTTGGTTATTTTTTCTTCTCTGCTCATAATGAATGGTACACCGATATTTTGTTTAAGTTGTAATGCTAAACCCATACGCACGGATTCCACAATTGCCCCAGTGCCTCCTTCTTCTCGTAATTCCGTATCCTATAGAACATAACCTAATGTAACCTAATGCAAAGTAACTAGATCTATATATATTTTTATATATGTATATATAATTGAACTTGTTAATTTTACAAAAGTACTCACAAATAGTATATATGCCCCCATATAGGTTCTAATACTGGAAAAAAGTTTTAAAAAACGGGCAAAAAAAATATTAACAAAGACTCACTTTTAAATATCTATGATCTGTTCTGGAAACGAAAAATACCGCTCCGCCACCACTACCATTCGGTATTCTGTTTTTGAATAATTTTTTTTTAGCCACCAAAACACCTGTGTGCACAGCCCACACATTTTGTTATTAAACTTCCATAAGAATATACATATTCAAAGGATTTTCAAACCTGGGGTTTGTATGCCGCCTACAAATTTATGCCCGGAAAAAAATATGGCATCTTTATAGACGGCTTGGTCATTGGCAGGGAATAGAGGGTTCATATCCAATACCACATAAGGAGCTGTAAAAAAAAATAAAAAAATCCGTGGTTAAAAAGGTTCGCTCGTAATGTTAAGTATAGTAAAATACTGCTACTTTAGCCATGTTGGGTGTGTTTGAACAATTATGATACGCAAGTATTGGTTATAAAATTATCCATTTACAAACAATATATAGGTACTGTTTATACTAACAACTGAACAAATATTTCTTATCAACACATAAACAAAAGTAAGCACCATAAGCGTTAATCATTTATCACAAATTATTATTAGTTGTTAGACATTCTCGACAAATATAATAATATTGTATCAACTCGTAATAGTTTGCACGTGTTTCCTTAAAAACAGCAAACATTTCAAACATTGAAACACACATTTATTTAATATGGTGTAAAATATAACCTTGATTTTTATCTATAATGCGAGATTTCGTTCAAAACTCGTAAACTTTTTTTTTTTTAAATAAATTATTTCAATCGGTTGCAAAAAACATTACCACAAACCCAGTGAAAACGAGTTAAACAACTGAGGAAATAGAAAATCATTTTACCGTTCAATTAGAATCTGGAGGAAGGGGCAGAGGGAACTAGTACCTACTATTTGATTTGTGGAAATTGAAACTATAATTAGATTAAATAAAAAAAAAACCATTTGACATTTCAGATTCCGTTTTTTAAAACGACCCACGCATAAAATGTAAAAAGAAAAAAACACGATCGTGCAATATAATTTCGTTATATTCACCTGCGGATGCGTAATCCCAGAACGCCAACGCGCCGTATTGGTGTAGAATCAACGTGGTGGCAATGTCGTCGGCGAGTATTCCGGTGATATTGGAGGCGGCGGAAAAACACCCCACCAATTGTGCACCCGGACTGACCGTCTGGTACAACTGAAGTTTGTTCTCAAGATCCACGAGATCGATAAAACCCTCTTTGGTTTCCGCTATGCGGACGACCTGAAAACGTGTAGAAAACGGATTTCCATAATAATATTATGTTAATGCTAATGCTATAATAAAATATTACAAGACTCACACAAATATACAAAGCAAATTTATAATAATAATACTAGCGAATTCTCTGATATTTTATGGTTTATTTTTCGGACCATCACGCCTCATAACCAATTCTCCAATCATCTCTAACCATTGCCAAAATCTTCCAGTTCGGTTCACATCGTTTTCAACCACGTCTTCCCATCGGTTTTTTCTCTCTCGGGTTCTCCTCCTCTGCACTTCCCATAGAAGCGGTCTCGACTTCTTCAACGAATATCCTGTTCAGTATCGCAGTCTACCTTTTTTTACTGCGTTTCTACAATTTTCTTTTCGTCATACGATATTTCTAGCGTTCTGTTATTTCTTCGTCTCCAGTTCTCTGTTATCCGGTCATACTATTCATTATTCTCATTCCGTTTTTTTCCCTATAACACTTATTTCTCGCCTGAATTATTGCGGTTATGTTCTCTTGCTATATCGGTGGTTTTTTCAGTTATTATCGTGTAAAGGCATTCGAAATGGTTTACTTTCTTATTAAAATTGATCTGCTGTTATGGCCATACATGCCGGCTGCTGTTCTCGTTTACCTAGATAATGTATTACGGAAAAAAATAACGTCTGTGTCCACGCGACAAAAAAAAAAAACCCACCGTCGGAATAGAGTCTGGTAAACTCGAATCTTCAATTCAGTTCGACCGCGCGGTAATAATACAACGGTGTACCTACACACACGTACGTTTTGGCCAACAATCAAACAACATAATACTATACGCGACAACAATATTATGCAGATACATTTAGATTTTATACGCCATTTTGATACGGCGCCAAGTCAATAACCGCCGCAGCAGCAGTACTATATAGTGTTTTACGACGGCTGGAGAGAGGCGTTAAGACGACAGCGTATAATATTATAATATAATATTATATATAAAATATATTATATTATATTATTATTATAGCGTATACACGTCAGAAAACGTGTTGTTTTTGAAACGTCCGGCCGCCGCCGCCGCTAAGACGACGAAAAAATTATTCTTGGCCAAGGTCGCAATAATATTTCATTACCATTTGGTACCGGAGGTCGAGTCCCGTCGCGGATATCGTGTCGTATAATAATAATAATAATAATAATACACCGACTATACGTGACGCAATAAGGGCTATTAAATTTATTACAATAAATTATCAACACACTGCAACACAAACACACCTAACTCGGTGACCACAGAACGAGTAGTACGATAACACCTCCGGGGACGACAACGCGACTTGTTTATATCGTCCGTTTATATTTGTTCGTACTATTCGTTCTTTGATTGTTTATGAGTAGAAAAAAAAAATGAATAGTGCAAGCAGTGGAAACCCGTCACTAGAGACAGTGGCGTGTCCAAGAATTAACAATGGGAGGGGATTTATCAAATAAGTATCGCGAATAAATTGCAAATTCGTCTTCTCTATCTAACTCAATTTTGAGAATTGAAAATTTAAAAAACAGATTATAAAAAAAAAAAAAAACCAATTTCTAATAATACTTCAAGTTTTTCCTCGTAACTTGGCTGCATTTCGAAATTAGATTACTCATATTTTTTGTATTTTAAACCAATGGGGACATTACTCCTAACTTCCCCACCTGTGCACGAATAGAAGAGTCGAATTTTACCCCGCCTATATTTTATATTATATAGAAAAAGTACATCCTAGATACTAACACCTTCTCTTGGCCTCTTGGCTTCAGTTATGGAATCTGCAGGGGTGTTTAAAACTAACAAAACACTGTCCGGCCGTAATAACACGGTAAAATGTAACCCAATTTTGATCACGTTAATCCGCCTATAAAATAACTGTTATTCCCGAGTTTAAGCTCATGAGTAGCTCCAGAGGAATCCCCCTAAAAGTGTGCAAAAGTAACGTGAAAAGGAACGTTTTTATTTTCGGGGAAAATTCGACGAAAACACAAAACAAAAACTAGATAACAATGGGGAAACGGATATAATTATAATAATTTTCCGCCAATATTTTGACAGTTTGAGTAGCCCTGTCGCGAATACGATTTTACCTTTGAAATCCTCGAATTTCCAATTCAAAGGTCAATTTAATTTGGAATTTGGTCGATTTATTCTCACGTAGAAAATTGTACCCGAGGTTCCGAATATAAATCGTTTATACTGAATATGAAAATATTCGTTTGCGACAACAGCATGCCATACTAGAACATCCGAAACGCATTTGTTTATAACATTAGTAATGCCAATAACTACCAAACAATTTGTTTTCATGCATGAGGTAATGGCGTTCTACGGTTTTCAAGTTTCCGTTGACAGCGTTTTACTGCAGCGAATTAGAGTTTATATTATAAAATCAATATAGAGTAATGGCGCGCGTTAGTTTCCTGTAAACATCCGCAAACGGTACTCGAAATGATAACGATAATATAATATTCAAAATAACATTATTATTAGGTAAATATTTTTTTTTCCTTTAACTCTTTTGAAACAAATCGCAATTCGGATACGAATTTCCGAAGAGAAGTCGTCTTGACGTAAACCTACTACTAATATTAGTTGCAATGAGGATCGGTATAAGCCGATATTGAAGATATCCTCGGCTACCTATCGACACAATAGTCGTAAATCGAATTTAACAAATTTTACCAAATTGTTATTAAAAAAACTTCAACGATCTTCCTAATTCACCAATGTTACAAGAAAATTTCCTATGAAGTTTTTGATTGGAGCATGATTTGTGATTGGTTAGTTGTTTATACCCAAAAAAAAGACGTACGGTTTTTTTTTTTGCTGGATAGCTGACGATATCGAGTTATTTAAAACCGATATTTTAGGAGAAAAATGTCTACAATGTCTCTGGAATAGGAAAAAAATATCGTTACAAAGATCGGGAGTTTCACTGGATTAATTTCAATTCATTAATTCATGGTTTTAAATTTAAAATATTGTATAAGTTAGCTGTTTAATATTGGCAAAAAGTTATATCGGCTGACCACTAATAATTATAATAATATATATATATATGTACAATATCGAATACTATAAGTACGCAAAATTTCAAACTATATATAAATATTATATTATACAAAGTAGAACTCGATCCGATCCACTGTAATATTATATTAATATTTTACTTTTTTACTACTATCACTATTTTTTTTTTTTGCATAGGGCTGGTATTTCAATGCACTTTGCATTTTTTTCATTTTCCAAAGATAACTGCGTGATGTTTGTTTTGTTACAAATTCGTTATATGTATTTTTGAATAAAAATAAGAAATTGTATTTTATATTTTATGATAATTTTTGACTTTTGAAGTCATTTTTTTAAATTTTCTATAGTACATTTTAAAAGTGCATTATTTTGAATGTTTATTTTATATACAAACATATTTATTTTAAGAAATTATTAGGGCTTTATGACGCATCAAATTGTTTGCTTTAATTATTACTTATATTATATGTATTATTAAAATATTATATTTACTGTGGCGCCTATTTCTCTCCACGGCAACAAATTGGAATGGTGTTCATAGGGACCAATCAATACGATCGGTTTGATGTCACTCGAAGCGAAGTCCATCGCATGTATCAATTTGTGTATGGCACCAGTACAACCGCTTCCGGTGAATATAACAGCGTCATCTTCCGAGGCGTGGACCGCGTTTCGGACGATATCACGGGCTTCGTGTCTACAGAGAAGACATTATATACATATACCAGTGAAATAATATAATATCTAAAAACCTAGTGAATTTCGAAATATGCAATGCATAGATATGTTAAATACATTTGAAATATGTCTGGGTAGAGAAAAGGGCTCAAAATTGAAACGCGGGAAAAAACTCTGAGAAAATGCAATTTTTGTAAAACTTGTTACTATTTATACTCATTGTGCATATTATTCTATGATTTGATATATTATAAGGGGTGAAGTACTTTTACCAACATTTTATAATAGCATAATAGTTACATAACTATAAATAATATAATACACATTGTGCAATGAAAAAAAAAAATGTTGCTAAAAAAGATGAGCCCAAATTGTATATAATATTTAAAACATAAAGGAATTAAAAATAGAACATTTAAAATGGTATGTAGAAGAGTAACTTTAAAATTAAGTTACGATAAGAGATAAGTAGAATTATTTCTAATCAATTATAATATATTAATAATACTGTTTTGCAGACATATTGAATAATTAAATAAGCCCTATAGGTTAGATACCTATAGCATGCAGTTGTATTATTGTAATTTATTACACGGCTGTTTGTCAAAGCATAATATGAGATAGGTATGTTAGTCAACCAGGCGAACACAGCTGACTGTAACAGATGTATATCCGTTTGATTGTGTGCAATGTGCACTATACGTTTAATTAAAAATAGCAAAGAAATATCGAGTAGGTATTTTAGTTCTGCATACATACTGTCCAGTATAAAAATAACACATTTTTTTAAAATAATTTTATCGATTAGTTTATTATTGTAAATTAGGTATTGGAAAAAAAAATATAAGTAAAATATAATATAAATTCAGAATAAATTTAAAATTCAAATGAGGACCCAGTTGCCGAAAGTGTGGGTTAAAACGTATATTTGTACTTTTATTTATTCTGAAATTTCAAGTATACATGTTTAGAAATCGAGCTATATATTATAGTATAAAATATCATAATAATTAGAGCCCGGAATTAAATGCATTTAAAAATTGTTAAATATGAAGCAAATATGTATAAAAAGTGGATAAATATGCAATTATACTTTTAAACCAAGAATAGTAATAAACTTAGTAATAATTTATTATATATTGATATATTATATTATTTGAAATAATATACTTGAAAACCTAACAATAAACTTTCAAAATAATAAAACTAAAATCACATGTTTGTTACCACACAAGATTTTAAAATATAACGACACATCGCACACGACAAGAATGACAAATTAATACATAAAATGATGACACCAAGACATACGTGATTGTGAGCAATAGGTTAGAGCTAAGATTTCATATACTGTGGCAAATATAACAATATTTTAACAAAATTCCTCTGAGAAACAATGTTAACAACTTTTTTTTCTACAATAAAATTAATTTATCAATAATAAATACATATGATATGCATATTATATGGAAGTATGAAATAATATGCAATAATCCTCCGAATATACAAAATATGCAAAGTCAAATTTGATAATTAAATTCGGTGCGATATAAATCTTAGACATTTTAAACTTCCATCGACATGCATAAATTGTGTACGAACGTAAAAATGCATATAATTCTGGGCTCTAATAACAATTATGATAAATTGTTGGAAAAAACATTTCCACTCTTTTTTTTGCTCTTTATTTTCAAAAATTAAATTCACTGTCTTAAAGATTTGTTATGTCATATTATGGCGCATACTTCAGTTATTTTTATTACTATAAAATCCGAATCTTGATTATAAGAAATACGAATCGTGTTTTGGAAAGCACGAGGATACGGAGACCTGTTGAAAGGGCCGCGAGCGTATTTTTGCTGTACAGTAATTTGTGACAATATATACAGTTAATACATTTAAAAAAACGCACACAATCAAGAAATGAGATTGAAGAATACCGCGGTGGTAAAATAAAACAGTTGAAATATAATATTTTAAGTGTATTAAAAAAAATAATAAAAAAACTAGTGACAAATGATGGATAGACGGACAGTCGATGCATAATATGTGCAGTTTGATATTATTATAGTTGAAATGTAGGTCAAGGATAAGGGAAGCCCACCCTAAATATATTATATATTCCTGTTGACAGGAATTTGTGATTCAATGGCTCAAAAGCCAAATATAATACGTCCATTTTTGAAAAAATGGATTTTGTTATATGAGTCTATTAAGACATCAAGAATCAGAAGTTATGAGGAATGCGTTGTTGATAATATTTAAAAAAAAATGACAAATTCGGTTCAAGCCGGGCCAACTTCGAATTTCTGTCAGGCCAAATCAAATTTATTTTTTGATGTCCATACGGAGATCGATACATGTAATTAAAGGAAAATTACTTGTCTCTTTACATATTACACGGCCCTCTTTAAAAATACAAATATAATTACGCGAAAAGTTAAAACGAAATTCGGAATAACATGCATATATATATGTATATAAATATATAAATATTAGGAAAATTCGATCAATTGATATATTTGATTAAAACAATATTTATACCGTATAATTTGTTTACTGTCTTCGTTCAAATCCTAATAACCTTTTGACTATAATGCCAAATAACAGATATCAGATGTGTCAGAAGCATAATGCCGAGGTATATATACTAGTAATCGAACTGATAACACCGTAATCGGTTTGATAAAATGTTTGGCTGTTGTAAAAATGACATTTATTATAATAATGACATTATTTTTTATCGATTCGATAAATAATCACTTATCGTATCGATTAGTTGAAAACCCGATTTTGGTTCGATAAGTAATAAAAACAGTCTCATAACTTTATTAAACTGTTAATACGCTTTCATATTTATGCCCGCCGCACTTACTTGCCTACTTGTCGATTATTGTCTATTAATTTATCCTGTGGTTATATATTCTCTCAATTTTGTAATTTATTATTTTGTAGTTTTTTACAATGTATCTAAATCTTAGACCATATACAATGGATGGAGACAAGGGCACCCGCAGAAATACAAACCAAGGAAGGGAATGTCAAAAGTATAAGACTTTTTTTACAATTTACAAGTAATCATGGTTTAAATATTTAAGCCATGCAAGTAATAAAATAATTAAAAATCATTTGATGATTTTGAAAATTTTACCACGTCTAGGTAAGTTCAATATAAATATTATTGCGTTTCAAGTCTCTACGTGTATTTATAACCGAATTACAGCAAAAAAACTCCCAAAAATTAAAATTCCTTAAAAGCTCAAAAGTGGCTCAAAACTTTTGGCGATGATACCGTGAGAAAGTAAATCAAAAGACAACAAAAATGCTATCTTGTGATTTTTCGATTAAATCATTTTTTCTGATAGAAAACGTCGTCCGTGTTTTTATAAAATAAGGAAATCGTGAAATTGTACGTTTTCCTACGTTTTTTCCCACTTAAGTGCTTTTATTTAAAAAATGGCGTCGAATTTACTAGGAAAAAACGTGTCCACAGACTAGAAAAAGAAAAAAAAATTATCTTAGTAATACCAATAGATCCCTTGCTACGCTCGGAATCTAAAAAATGCCCGTTTTGGTTTTTTCCTATATCCTTCATATGTAATCTATAGTCCGTGGCTTATCTAGTGTATATAATCTAAGATCACGGTTGTATTTTTTCATTAAAAAAAAAGAATCATATCAAATAACGATCGATTTATCATTTAATGAATATAGCACACTACCACGACCAGGGTAAGTTATCAATCACTACCTTTGTCGGATAGGACGAGCCACAGACGCGGAGTACCACTACTGCCGACACCCTGAAGACACCGTTGAGCAAACGCTCTTCGCATGCCCTCACTGGGAACCATATCTAAAATACATCAGAGCGTATGTTGGCGGAAGAAACATAGCTCCCAGTGACGTTCAAAACCTGCGGCCCAGAAGATCCCAGAATCCCGGGATTCTGACTGGGCTTTACACGATCAGATCGAGACATCCTCCTTTCGCAGCTCACAGTATTTCTACTGCATGGTAGAGGACATACTGAACCACAAGGAGCATGAAGAAAGAACAAGGGTGGTCGTGGCTAGGGTTGACCAGCTGCCATAGGAGCAGCCGTCTCACCAGTCCAGGGCACCAAAGTCACCACACAATAGGACCCAGCTACCGGCTCAAGGTCATGTACAGGTTAGGTTAAGCTAACATAATCTCAGGAGGTGACGCGATCCTACCGCTCCACCTTAGTTTTAATTAGTATAGTTCGTTATGTGAGCCTGCTCTGCGAAGAGGAAGACAGGAGCATTACTTAATTATACTTATTAATAAATGGCAGTGGTGGGGTAGCAATGTGAAAAACTGATCTCCCACTGCTCTCGGTTAATCAGGAAAAAAAAAAAGGGTGAGTTATCAAAATAATTATATTTATGTTCAATATTTTATGCTACAATACTGTACTATATAGAACCAATAAACATATTTATATAATAGTTTATCGACCCGATAGCACACCTTATCGAGTTTTTTTTATCGATCGTTTATGCAACCCGGCAGCATATAAATATCACGATTTACTCGCCAAAGTATGTACCTATATGCATGATAAATTAAATTGGTATGTCAGCAACTTTGTGATACGTTGCGTGTGACGTAGGTTTTTCGGCTACTATTATCACAATACCAAATACAAAAATATTAATTGTGATTCCCAATAAATGCCTATGATTACTATAATTTTAATTTACGTTTCTGCTCAGGGAAGTGTTTTGAAAATTGCTCAATATAAAAAAGTCTTTCAACTCCTTTCTTTTTTACTCCTATAACTACTAACTATATAATATATCAGTAGGTATAGTAGGTACCTGTATAGGGTAGACTGCAGTGAAGTGACGTTAGTTGTCGTGTGTGTGTTACCGTAGACGGGCAGCACTTCTTTAAGAATGTAGTCTTCGATAAACTGCAGTGACTTCCCAGAAGCCGCGTAATCGCAGTAAACAACTAGACAAATAAAAACAAATGTGTACAAAACATTAATACCGTTCAAAATATTTAATATTAAAATGATAAAAATATATTATGTTTATCGATAAAGTTCTCCAGTTAACTATCTCTATCAATTCATTTAATATGTATTATTATTGCTGTCGACGTTTTGAATGATAAAAAATTAAAAGCACATAAAACATTGATGCAATAGTAAGTATACGATGTAATCAATTCTCGACTAGACATTTATTATCTAGGAAAGTATTTACTTTTTTCCGAATTTGTGTTTTTAAACAGTTTAAAGATAATCAGCTTTAAAATGTTATATTATTACGTTATTTTTTGTCTCCCTTGCTAAAGGGAATGATCCACTATATTCTCTACTCGAACATACAAGTGGAATAACAGGCTAACGGAAATTAAAAATGTGAACACCAAAATGTATTTTAACTAAAATGATACATTTTTATTGAACTTTTAATAAAGGTTACTATTTGAAAATAAAAACGGAAAATGGTTTTGCCCAGTGATGAAAATCATTACGTTTACGTTATCAAACAAATTCCGAAAACAGTGATACTTTTTGAGATAATCAGTACTTTATTGAGGATTGATCACCCCTTATTTAAGAAAAAAAATAAATAAATAACAATAATTGTTAGTGGTTGGCGTTTAATAGAAAAATTCCGATAACAATATTGAAAAGAAAAAAAGAAAATACGAACACGTTTGATAATTTTATTGTTTTTAATTAATCTAACTCATCGTTGACTTTTGAACTTGACCTACTTTTTCGTCTCTTCGCTGTAATTTACGCACGCATCGGATAATAATTAGAAAAATCATTTCAGAAAAACTCGATAAGTTTTATAAAAAATATTTTCGAAAATATTATTTACTATTTTTATATTAATTTTACTCGTCAAATATCTAAAATATAGATGACCTACGTAACAATCATAATATTTATTAAACACCTGTTTTAAATAAAACAATTTTATATGTCTGTAGCACACAAAACAAATTTCGGATTGTAAAATACCAGATTGTAGAAACTAATAAAATGTAGCATAAATAATAAATAGATATATCCGTTGTTTTATTATATTGCTGTTGATAGAAACTAAAATGGATACAATTTGTTTTTCAATTTTACAGATATATATTTAGCTATTTCGAATCGTCTGTAAAAATGACTAAATATTTCAAACATTTTTTTTGTTTTGATTCTTATTGAATTATTACTGAAATTAAACATAAATATACTTAATAGTACCATATAGTACAAATAATTGTTTGAGTAACTAAAAGTATCAAAATTATACGTTGCAAAACGGCAAACACATGAGTATATATTGCTTACATTTAAAGATATAGATTACTTGAAAACAAGATAATTTAATTTATATCATTCAACTCAATAGTCAATGAAAGTTTTAAATTTACACCAAAATCTCTATGTATCGATTATTTCAGCAGTATTTATTATTATGTATTATTTATAGTCCATTTCAACCGCGTTAATTAAATAATTGCAAAAAAATTAACGATAACTGTTTCGTAAGATTTGTTCGAATTATTAACGTCGTGGTTTTATAAATATGTCCAGAGCTGCCCGGTATTATACCTTCTACAAACATAGACAATACATTAACAGTGGTGGTAAAAATACCTCCGGAAATAAGCGAATAACCTCAAAAATATAAAACTTGAAAATTTAATAAACTGGGTAACAAGTGAAGATGCATAGTATTCACTTGATATTTCGGTGTACTCGTCGCAAGTCTTAATTAAGTTAAAATATCAGACGGAAAATACATTATGTTAATAACCAATAAAACAGGTACCCAACCAGATATAATTACAGAAATACAGAACCACAATAAAACTGAGCCGCTAAACCTTAATCAAACAAGAAACACTTATATAAAAAGTATAATGGTAATATTTACACCGTGGTATGAATGAGGGTGAAATACATAAAATATATAATAATAATAGACAAACAATTCAGTAGTAACTGACAATATTTACTCAACATGCTGTTTATTACTTCAACAATATAATATAATAGTAACAATAATTGAATGACAGGAATCGAATAAATATAAAATCACGACATTTTATTTATACCTATAAAGTAAGACATTTTTATTTTCAAATAAAATTCGCAGCGTTGGGTGAAAAATTCGAATTCCTGAAAAACTATCATTTTTTTTTACTTGTTTGTTTATTGATGACGTACAAAATATGAAACTAAACATATAAAATTGAGATATTTAGAAAATATTATATTCTTTCCGTAGATAATAGTTTATATATATATTTTTGGTGGAAAATATACTGTAATTTTGCGTATGTATTGCGTATCAAGTTTAACGATGCACTGTAAAATGTAGTATGATATTAAATATTGTTGTATACAAATTTATGTACATAATGTTTAAATTTATGTAACTTTGAAAGATAAAATAAGGCAATAATATAAATTTAGATGTATTTATTTAGAAATAGGTATTTTTTTTTTTTAATATATAGATTGTAATTGATTTTATTATAATAATATAATATATTGTATTATTTTTCACATAAGTATAATAGAAATTACGAATTTGTATTTTTACATACAATTTATATTTTAATATACCAAGAACCGTTCCTGTAATAACATTTAAATTAATTTCCAAATCAACGAAAAAATTCTAAATGTAATTCATAAATATACTTTAAACAAGTATTATATATGTTATTTTAACCTAAACTATAATCATATAGTTACACAAATTGGTATAAATTGATTGCCTAATGCCTGTAAGTGACATCTCTAATTTAATATAAATGGCGTATCAATAAAAATAAATTGAAAATTGGTCATCGATCTTTTTATTATTATTTTAATTTGACTTATAAAAAGAAAGAAGAAAAAAACAAAAGACGTTCTCTAAATGTTTGTTATTAATACTGATAATCGTATATGCACACAATAATTTATGTGAATATGGATTCTGCGAACTACTTCACTCATTATAATGTTTTGCCGGACGCTGGTATATGAAAAAAAAAAAAAACATTCCTGCATGAATTTATTGTAATGTAATAGCGCAGATTTAGAACGGAAGATTCCTGTTTTTTCGATCGTATACAAGGCGTTTATAACTGCGCAATTCCCCAGGATAAATACTCGTTGTTCCTGCGTTTACATGTCAAGGCTAAATGTATACTTCGCAGTTTTTCCTGGATAACATTTTATAGCTATAGCAATTTAAACAAAATATATAATCTAGAAACAGCATCTTAAGATATTAGATTATCGAACGTTGCAAAAGTCATTTTTTTTTCTCTTTATTTAGGTAAGTACCTACTATGCAATTTCTACCATACATCGACAGCCTGGTTTTCATATTAACATGTATTTCATATATTTTAGTTTTTTGGTTTTTATAATCATAATAATATTCTGTCCGTCATGGTTTTTTTCTTAGTCACTTTATGTTTTGCTAATAAAATTATAAAAATTATAAAAATAGAAACTTGTTTTATTTCTCTAGTCTACCAAATAGTATAGCATTGATTTAAAACATAACATTACAATTTAAACAAAGTAGCCATTTATTTACAATAATTATGTGGCATGTTATTTTTGTTATTATTATTATGTAAAATATTTACTTTTGGTACTGGGTAATACTTTTTGTAGTTGTAAACACAATGAAAAAAAAAAATATGCCTCAATTTAATTGATAGGTATACATATTTTTAAATTTTATTTATTAGCACATTTTAAATTAAGAGATGAGAATTAAAATGTAAAACTATTAGTTAGGTTTTACAAATATTTAAAAACTAACATCTTTTGAGAAATTATATTTTTGGTAGACCATTTATTTGTAAATAGAAGAATAACAAGAATAATGAAGATTTTAAATTAAAATAATACTACCAGCACCAGCACGTAAGTATTACTGGTTTTTTTTTTCTGAAAAATAAAATTGTTTGTAAACAATTTAATAATAATATGAAGTACTTATTATATTACTACAATTATAATAGATACTTGCCATTAAAAAATGTGTCAAATATAATTATTAAACAAAAGTGTAATGTTATTCAAGATAGTCATGGCTTTCAAAATTAATTCAATTCACAAATTCATATTATTTTATACTACTTAGGCGGTAGGGAATTTAAACATTAACGAATAAGAACACAATACTCATTATTATTTTCTTGGATTGAAAAAGTAATAACCTACACATTAAATACATCTACATCATCTTTGAAATAAAATAAGATAATTATTCAAATACAATGTTCTAAATAAATATAAATTCATAAGTTATTGGAAATAGTTGGGTTCCAATAAGCTAACACTCATATTTTTTTTTTTTGACAAAATTTATATCAAATAAATTTGATTGATTTACAATATATGTTGAATAAATTTAAATAAAATGGGTAACTATTTTTCTCTTACTGAGTAATATTTTAATTTTGAAACTAATAAATAACTATAGCTTTAAAAAACTTAAAAAAGAAAAGATGATACTGGGAATAGATGTATCACTATTTTAGATGAGAAGCTAAGGAAGAAGGATACATAATTATTTAATTTATATCTGTACACAATGACAAACTATAAGTCACGAAAAACGAATAAAATGCTGTAATTTTAAGATTTTCATAAAAATTTGATTTTAAATTTCTTTTAAAATCCTATTACATTATGCTGAACTTTTTTTTTACCACCAAATACAAATAATAATGAACCTTGTGTTAAATTTTCAAGCCTATTTGTTTACAAAAAAGTTGTACACACACACAAAATAACAAAATAAATTCACATTGTAGTAAACCAATACATTCTTCACTCTGCTCAGAATCTAAAACACTTAATATATTAATTACCTATAATACAATTTGAACCTAATTGCTAATACATATGTACATTCAAAAACGTATTTCTATTATCATCATTATTAATAAACCAGTCAAAAATTTCTGCAAAACTCAATTTAAAATCCATTTTATATTTCACAAGTTTCTAATAAACAAACGTATTTACGCGATTGTGATGAACATTGGATCTAAATTATATTATTTATTTTGCACTCTGAATATCTTAATGTCTTAAGGTGAAGATCATTCACAACATATATTATGTCAGTAGCTGGTAGGTACTTATTATTATTTTTGAGATAAAGTATAATTTATTTATTACATTTTCTAATCAAATAAGTAACGAGAAATTCAACTTGAAAATAAATTGATATTACCAATAATAATATTTCAAACTATTAGCTAAAAAAATAAAAGTTGTGTGTGTCAAATATGTGTTATTTATTTACATAAAGTAAATTAGTTTTGATGATAATACGATAAGAGGTATATTTAAAATATAATATAAATATTTTTAATCATGTAAAAACAAAATTAATTACTAAGTTTAAACTAGGTATTCTATAATTTTATCATAATACTTATCAATTATGCATAATGAATTACTCAACAGACCTTGATCAACAAATAAACAGTATACTTAATCTATCATTCACCTTTACCTTTAAATTTTAAAAAAATGTCTCCATGGTTATTTTTGTATTATACAATCACATGACATATTGACGGTCAAACAAAAGGATGAAATTTAAAAGTAAAATTTTAAAATAAAATAAACTCTACATAATAATTAAATTTGAAATATGTAATAATTTAGTATCATCAAAATACTTCAATATATTAGTCTTAAAATGATTAATGTTTAAATATAATAGAATATTTGTTAGTATTTTACAAACATTAACAAACAATAAAGTGTTAAGGTTTTTGCATTTTATCCTTGAAGTAATTTATTTATAAATCATAACACAATAGACAGATAATTTATTTTGAAGTAAACGTAAAGAATTTGTCTTGTTAGATACCTTCGTATTTTTTAATGAGGTTAAAGAACTCATAAGTTTTTAATTTTATTTAACATATTAAAAACAATGTTAAATTAGAAATGCTTATTATTTATAACTGAGTTTGTTAAACATACCTACTCTAAAAATTTATTGTTTGAATTATATGTATTTAATGCTGATTTATACTACCTACTTTATGTAAAATGTATTTACAATTCTCTGTGCATCTGGTATGCAGAGAAGGTATTAGAATATGTAAAACCTTTTACGGTTATCCAACTCTTGAATTTTAATATAAACCTAAAAGTTTGAAAACAACATCGTTTTTTTTATATCCTAAAAAAATATCTTCGATAAAGATGTTATTGTATTTTTTTATGTTTAAATTCATTTACAGTTATGTTTGGTTGCTATAACCACAGTAAGTGGCATTTGGCACTTATCAATTGTCTGAAATTCGAATTATGTACATATTACATATAAATATTTAACTTATAAATGATTAAATTCGAATAACATTAATAAATACAAATTAATATCATTTTTTCTTTATGGATAAACACCCACACAAAGATTTGAATGTAAAATGTCTAGCTTGTGATTAAAAAATATTATTTTAAGAAAGTCACAATATATCTAGGTACTTAAATTTGTAAATTACTTAATATAATACTTAATTAGTGACTTAATAATAATTATGTCTTTATATTAACATTATAACTAATTTTATAATAAATTAGAGCGTTTAGCCATATTTTAGATTTTGAGCATAGCGAGAAATTTATTTATTTTACTATGTGCTTAAATAATAGTAAAAACTGGGAAAAAAATGTTGGAAAATAGGAACATTTACAGTAATAACACATTTTAATAACCTATTTTCAATTTTTTTTTTTTTTGTTGTTCGGTTAAAAATATTTCTGAAAATCTGAAATTTGCATAGAACTCTTATATTACCAATTTCTAGACGTGTTAACATATTCAAAACTTTCTGGTGATTTTTAGTTATTTATAGGCATATGCTAGTTATGAGCTTTGTTTAGTATTTGTTTAGTTTCATTTATTTATTTGTTATTTTTATTTCCTTTACAATATACACTTTACAGCATTTTACAAATGTGATAAAAGAGAAAATTATACTACTAAATTACTATAAATATATTGAACAACATAGAATAATATTAGATAAACGTGTCTTAAAATGTACCAATAATTTTATACGTATTTTTTAAAATGTTTTAAAATTGAAACTTTAAACATAGAAACAAAATATACCTGCACATTATATATTACAGACTTAACTATATTAACAATTACTTAGTCCACTCTTAATCTAAATCACTTCTACTAATTTCATCTTTATTAATTTACTTCATCATAAAATTTTAATATTCCATTCATCATCATACATCTGTTTAATATTTATATATAATAGTGTACTTGTAAAATTAAGAATAAACAATTTTTGGCACAATGTAAATTCATAACAGGAAATCAATTGCTAATTTTAACACGATTTTGGAATTTGGCTTGACAGTTTTTATTTGTATTATAATTTATAAGCAACCTAATTGTTGTATCACCTAATATTCATATACTTGAAGTTATGTAAAATCAATAACAAATAGTGAACACAAGGAATATTAAATGAAAGAGGTGTACATGTATAATATTTGTATGAACCTGCATGCACATTGCAAATCATAATGTAATAAAAAAAAACGTGTACTAAATTATAAATAAGTAATTGTCTATAATATATATTATATCAATCATGATTAATTTTAATCGTGTATTCATTTTTCAATTTCAATAACAATAACTTTGGTTAACTCAACCTTATTTTTTAATTTATAATACACTCTGTCGGTGACATCAAAAGTTATATACATTATTCAAGAAAATCATTTAAACAGTTTGCCCCATATGACCATGAGGCATAAATAAAATAAATGTATACAATATACCAAGCCGAAATTTTAATATCATGTCAACAGACCTTTTTGTTTTTATTTTATTTATCTTAAAAAGAAAAAAATTTAGTTATTGACTAAGAATATATTATTGTACAAATGTGTATATTGATATGCATGGTAGACAATTTATTTAAATTTATTTAATTTTATTCATGAGAAAAATAATATTAAGTTTTTCTTTTTATATAATCTTATCTACAGTTATATAAAACAATTAATAAAATTAAAAATTGTAGCATTTTTACTAGCCGAAAGTGTTCCGGAAAAAGAAATAAAAAAATATTATTAGTATAATTAGTCGACTTTTTACTACACGTATAATCTAAAACTAAATTTTGTAAGAAAATATTTTTTCTAAGATAGGCATGACTCTGAATATAATAACAGTTATCCAAATTTTATCCTAACTTCAAGCCTAATATTCCAGAAAAATGGAGAATATTTGATAATTTAATGTTGTTATTATAATTGGTCATCTCCATTAATAAAACGACTGATATAAGCTACTGTCTTGGCATACCCACTTATCTCTGAAAATAATAATATTGTATTGTATCCAAAGACGATGCTGACAAAAATAAAACAATCTGGCAAAAGAACTACAAAGGATTACAATTTTTAATCATAAGTTAAAAATAGAAAATAATGATTAGTTAATTTATACCTACCTAAAAACTATTAAGTACCTAACAACTGTTAAATAAATACAAGAACTCTTAAATAAAATAATTTCATTAAATTTAAATATAACTAAGTATAATTTTAAAATATGTACACATTACTACTGTTGTATTAGAGTAATAATAATTTAAATATTCTATATTTTGAATTAATATTATATTAAAAATCAAATTAGGTACATTATTTATTTTTAGTATTTAGAGTAATATAATCTACCTATAAACTATAAAATGCTATTAAATATCATTAGTTGGAAGATGATTGTATAATTGCAATCGATAAATTGTACTTCTATTACATTCATCAACAATATAATATGAATACTAAAAACGAAACTGAAATCATGATTATAATACCTATAATTAGAAACCTATTTTAATATAATAAACTAGAATGTAAAAATGCAATTTATTATTAGATATCTTTTATAAATAGTACATTAAACTTAATAGGTAATGTATATTATTTTAAGTCTACTTTATAATTTGTATCTAATTATGAAATATGCCAAATATAATAAGAAATCTTGTTGAAAAATACAATTTTGTTTTTATCAATTCAACGCAAAATTAATATTTTATAAACTATTGTTTATGAGATGTAATACTACTCTATTATTAACTTATCAAGCTTTACAGTAATGTTTCCTTAAAACTTAAACTACTATAAACCTGACTTCAAGTATGTTTTATTAACGCAAAAAAAAAAAACCACTCGTGAATAGCAGTGTGAGCTATGTCACTGGTTAAATTTTCCCTCACCTATTTAGTATTATAGAAATAATCTTTGCAAAACAATAAATAACTGTATAATATAATAATACAATACTTTACCAACTATACTACAATTACAAGTACAATTATTATACTACGTGAAATTTGATCATAAAAAATAACTGTAAAAATAGTAAGGGTAAGGTTGAAATTTGGACCCTCTGATTGAAAACCCCATCATTAAAACTTACATTAAGCATAAATTTATCTCCATCTCTCAATAACATGGTGAAATTAAACTAAAATTTAATTTACAAATCTAATTCCAAAAGTTTTAACTCATTTGATCTAGAGCGAGTCGCAAAAAATATATATTACATTGTACAACAGACACAACACAGAAAAATAGTCCCTATTTACGAGGAAATTTCAACAAACATTAAAATAGTAACAACATAAAAACAAAACAGAGGAAATATTTACTTTCAGTTTGGTGGGAAAACAAACTTTAATCAAACTTTTAATTTACAAAAAGAGGATATCTGTTAACTTATTAAGCAAGAGCAGTAAATAACCTAACATGTAATAATACGTTATTTTTTGTTTGAGCAATGAGTATAACTGTTTATAAATATTTTGTTTACATCAATACGGATTATATAATATATATTTATATTGAAGTATATATTATTGGTATTATAGCTAAAGGATTATCAAAATGTAATTAATATTTAATAATGTTAATTGCTGTTATCATAATTTTCAGGTTAATCAAATCATAATACACATAATTAATTAGGTATTTAGTAACCAATAACATATCTAATACATATATGTTTATAAATTTATGATAACATAGCGTATACAATATTTCATTTTAGTCTAATGACTAGATTTCATTCATATTAAACATTTGTTACATTTAAATAAACCTATTGAATGTATTATTAACTATTCAACTATTGAAACAAGTATGTTAAGTCATTTATTAATATAACAAATCTAATCTCACCTAATTGCTTAATATTCAGTTCATTTACTCCCAAAATAATGTAACATCAAGCCACTTACCTACCTTAGTAGGGGTTTTTCTCTGGTTGATGCCCTCGTATCGTGTCTATTAATTTTTTAAATCAGAATTAAATTACTTGTTATATACAATTAGAATTTATAAAAATAATTATTATTACTGACAACCAAAATGGCGACTAGTTTAGGTTTGTATAGGTACCTACAGTGTTCCTTTTAACGTTTTTTTTAAAAAGGAATTTGTTCCCATTTATCATTCCTATTGCAAAAAAGGACCTCATTCCTGTTTCTTGTTCATTAAAAAAAAAAAAATTCGTTCCTTACTCAAACTTTCCTTTATAAATATCTTGTACAGTCTAAAATAATTTTTTTATATTCTTAATTTGAAAATATCACTAATTAATTTTTTTTGGAACAAGTCGTGCATACACAAAAAATTGGTTGGAATTGTCTCATTTATTAGATTCAAAATTTAAGCGAATTTGTTTCCTCAAATGTGTTTTAGAACACATTTCAGAGAAGAACAAAGGAATTACGATATTTACATTTTCATTCCTAAAAATAAGGAATTCATTTACATTCCTATTCCTTTAAAAACAATGGAATTAATTTCTTCATTTGTTTTTCTAAAACGGAATCAATTTCAGGCCAGGAATCTATTAGGAACATGTTCTTAACAACACTAAGTACCTATATAGGAATAGTTATATTAAAACTGATTATCTTATACTTAACTATATTTGAAAGAAAATTTTATATGATAGATTATTAATTAATTTTTAATAATTAGGTAGTTACATAATATTTTATGTTGGTATATATCAAGTAGATACATAGCATAGTATTATAATACAATACTAATAGCTATAACATTAAATTTAATTTTATCACTTTTTCATATAAGAACTAAGAATTTAAGTTTCTGATCAAATTGTTGTTTTACATATTTTTATCGCTATATATTAATACAATACCTATTATCAAATGTATAAGAAGAATTTCAATAACATTAAAAATGCAACAAAATAATCAATTCATCTAATGTCAAATCTATAAGTAATAAATCGAATATTGTGGTACAAATTATTGAATTATTTAACTAAGCAATTCTGTATTTATCAATCTTCAATCTCCAGGTATATATTATGTATTTGTAATGGGTATCTAAGTGTACGTAGTTAAAATATTTGTTTACCCATTACCTAACTATCTACGGGTTATTTTTTATTATTATTTTATTTTAGTTAGCTGAGATTTAAATATCAGTTGAATATCTAAAACCCTACCTAAGTAGTACCTATCTACTATCTACAGTATTAACTAACAGAATAAAATTTGAATTGATTACTAAATTAATTTATTTTTATACATAATGATGGACACAAAATATTGGTACTTAATGATAAAACAAAAATCTTATATACATTATTTTATAACGCAAAAAATAATGCCAAGTAGGTGTGTGGAAAATAATGAAAATGTATTCATCCAGTATGGTTACTGACACATAACTATATTACCTATACTAAAATACTATAAAAATCTCAAGTTATAACAAACAAAAATAAAATAAATAAATGAATACTAAATACCTAAAATATGAAATACACAATATCACACAAGTACCACAACTACTCGTAGTTTTAATTTTACATATCTAAGTTCATCTAGATCTAATCATTCTAAGGCTTCTTTAACAACTCAATAGATTCCTGCAATTCCTTGTTCAAATGATCTCTTAGGGCACATTGTAATGAAAATAATAGATAGGTGCCTACTAGGTAAACGACCAAATCATTACTATTTAGTTAATTGTTAAAATCCGACTCGTTATACCATCAGATAAATCGTCCGAGCTTAATATTAATATCTATGTTCTATCTTGTAAAGACAAGTTCTAAACTAAACAAATACAAATTAGATTACCTTTTCTCCTTCCGTAAGGTCCAGAGAATGTAGAACTCTTGCCAATGATATTTTCATCCACATATTTAATAAGTTTTACTGGATCTGCAGATTTCTGTGACGGTTTCGTTACTTTGGTATAATCGTCTGGTAAAGTGTAGAACTTTCTGCTGGCGTACCTTTTTGTGGTACTTTTAATGGAATTCATAGCCGACATTAATAATCGATTGTCACTGAGCTAATTTCATGACAGTCGCAACACGACGTCGTCGTTCTTACGCACGTGTGTCGGCTTAAAAAGAAAACCCAATCACTATTACTATAAACACTAAAAAAAACTATACAAAATTACAAAATTTTGGAATCGAATAAAAATAAAATATCAATATAGTGGTCGTATAAACGGGAAAGTTATTAAAAACTGTATAAAAACTACGAAAAACCGCTAGATGTTGTTTACAGGTTTAATGACAACAGTGGCGAACTCGACTACTCGCATTGTACACACGTTTACGTATATTACGAGTTTCAAACCGCAACGTAATGACGTTGTGTTATCTAAACTTCAACTGTCCGTCTGTATCAAAATTCAAGATTCACGAGTACTTTCACGCGGTAACAATATTATTCATAATAATAAACAGTGTGACCACGAGTAAAATGCTATTCCAGCGCGTATACGATAACAATGCAAACTACGTCATTGCGTAAATGACGTAAAATTCTCAAATCAAAATAGTAAAATACTCGCACATGAATTTGAATAGCGAAGGAAATGTAGATGTAAATTTTTTCGATTAATTATTCGAATTCTAAATGTTTGAACGAATATTAAAAATTCAAAGAGTAGGTACTACCAATAATGATAACATATTTTGTTTTAGCAATTTTATTGTCCTGTCCCTATGACACGGTATGATACGGTAGGTAGGCATGTACGTCGATACCTAGTACCTACCTTCCTGTTTATCCAAATAATATGTAAGTAATTATTTTGTGTGTATGCCGTCCGAAATCTTTGCTATGGTGGACAATTTTTGTTTTTATTCAAAATAGGTAGGTACATTACTAGTGCACAATTATTCATAATAGGTATGTACATTATGGTACATCCTATAATTATTTAGGCATAGCAAGTAATATAATATTGTTTTTTTTTTTTTATATTCATTTGTATCTACATATAGAAAAACTAATTTAGTTAGATGCATGTATTATTATAATTACAATATTACACAATTGGTATTATTTAGTTTACCTATATAATATTACATTCTTCGAATATTTGAGTATCAGTTACATACCATAGAAACGATACGGGCGGCCTAGAGTAAACACAGACTTAAAAACATGCTCTAATATAACACGCAATACATCGGTCCCCCTATAGTCTCATTTCATATATATAGAAAAAAAAAAAAGTAAATTAATAATTGAAACCGCGTGACACATCGTCACACGCGGGTGTCGTCGTCATCGTGTAGGACATGACGTTAAAAAGGATAATCAAAAAAAATGTAACCATTTCTGCATATTTTTTTACATAATAATTACATATGATGCAGACACTTATATAGTGGCCGTCTGCCTATGAATTAAAAATACTGGCTACAGCTCCACACCGGTGGAAATCGTCTATTTGGTGAGCGATTGTCAACTATTATGGACTTTTAAGAAAACTATAAAATGTTCGCATAGATAATTTACTATTATGATAGTTGGAAAAATATTTTATTCATTTTTCTGATATCATGCGGTATGTCTTGTTAATTGTTAATATAATGGACGGAGACGATAAATGCGTATAGTAATGTTTACCTATATTAATTCAGCAAGTAAGAATGTCGCTTAATATGAGTTAAATTATTGTTTCATTCTATAATTGAATTCATAATTCAACGTTTAGAATGTTAAACGTTTGGTATATACTAATATATACGGCCACCAGAGATGGCTAATTGGTCGATCGCGATTCCTTTTCGTATTTTCTTGAATTTTTTCCAGAAAACCAATAATATATATATATTTTTTAATAAATTTGTGTCTCTATGTTTATCCCTCGAACATAAAAATTAGTTTAATATCAATTAATAAATACGATAAACCAATAAAGAATGCATTGATTCTTATGACTTAGAAGATAACACATGAAAACATCTAGACGTTCTTTTCGATACGAAAAAGAATGTGATAGAAATCAAAGCCGTTATTGATGATTTTGATGTAAGATTTTGTTACTTTAAGAAACTTGAAGATGTGATCCCATTCATCAGTTTTACGTTTAATTTAATTAAATTTCAATTAATTTGTATTAACTTAAATACTCAGATGACTTCAAAAAAATACCTTATGTACAGTAAGTTGTTTGTTTCAAGTATCTCATGAGGATGAGATGATCAATCTATGATACATCGTCTTTTTAAAAACTAGATCGTCAGAAAATAAATTTTGGCACATGGCAAGCAAGGAAGAATATCCCGATTTAAGACGATGCGCTGAATCAGTATATTCCTTCCTGCTTTGGATCGACATGTTTGTATGAATCGGCCTTTTGTATTTAATTTAACCAAAAGTACCTAAGTACCGATCACGTTTGACTGATGTGCATATACTGAAGATAGTTTGAGATTTTCGTTGTCGTCATATACCATACATTTTGCGAAATTATCAAATCAAATGCAAGCCCAAACATCTCATTGAATAATTAAATAAAATTATTATCTAATCAAATAATAATAAATTAAAAGTAATAATTTGTTATCAAATATATTCGAATTGTGCGTATTGTGTAAAATTATAAAATTAAACGATATTATTATTATTATATATCGCGAAAACCTGCTATTATATATAAAAAAACAAGTATTGTTATTAGCAAGGTTCAGATTTTATAATAAATACTAAAAAGTACTAAAGTATGCACTACTATATATAAGACATAATCGTTTAATATGGGCAAAAAAATCCTTAAAATATATGCTATAATACCTGTGCCCTATACAAACATAAACAATAACAAGGAAAACTATTTTTGTTTTTATTTAATACAACTTTAAAATTAACAACTTTCTAGTAATTTTAAATTAGTAAATTATGAATTTATATATAATTAATAAATTATGGTTAGGTATTTGTCTTATCGATTCAAATAAATGACAATTTGTTTCTACTGTTTTGAATTTTCATTCAATTTCAACATGATTTATGAACTATACAAAATAAACCATACTAAATGCAATTAATGCATATTATTAACAAAATATAGTACTTAACAAAACTTGGAAAATAGCACTAATGCCGCTAATCTAAAATATTTTAAATATGCAATATACAATTGTATAGGTATCTATATTATATGTCTTTGAAACTTTTGATGCATAAAACAAAAATGTTTACTTTACTATTTATAAATATTTCTAATAATAATGTGCATATATTGCAAAATTCGAGCCCTGGTTCATATTATTAGTTCATAGTGTTGATATATTTTAAATAGATACCTACTATCTACTGCAGTTAGAACATTATAATAGGTAATCTGTTAATAAATGAGCTAGTTCCTTAGGTACCTAATAAATTTATAGAAAAAAGGTATAAAATCTGTAGTTATCATTCTATACGTAATACCATTGATTATAAATACTACTAATAAAGTATTTATAATCAATGGAAATATGTATAAATTTATAGGACATAGAGATAAGACGAACGAAAAACTCAGTTACTTTTTTTATGCTACTTTGTATTCATATAGGTACTGTCATATCACATATCTACTTAAATCTACATAAATCATATCAACAATCTAGTATGGTAAACGTATTAAATATTAGGTATATTTTATATTCTGAAGTACCTAGCTTACTATTTAAAAAATAAATGTTATGATCCTAATATAGGTACATAGGTTATTCTAATAAAACGCTGTATTAAAGAAACAACTATTGAACAGTGTGTCGCTAAAAATATTAGTATCTACTATACCTATATTCAGTAGATATATTATTTTTAATTATTAAATTTCATTTGAAAAAACATAACGGGTGTTTTTAGCCTAACTAACTACTTACTAATATGATTTTCTAGAGACACTGAATGAATTTTGATAATAATTTAGTGTGTCGTTACGAGGGTAGTTGAGGATAATCATATTGTATTATAAGTAATATTATAGATATACCTGCCTAAATAATAATAATTGGCTGTTACAATTAATACGCAATTTATTAAAAAGACGTGATATATTTGGACATGCTGTTCTGTTTATCTATAACGCATGTAACCATGATAGAAAAACAACACTATATAATAGTTATTAGATAGGTTATTGTGGCGTCTTGCTGTCTACGTTAAAACTATATTAAAGAAGTTATTAAAATACCAATTATCATTACCAAATTTGATGAAAAGAATATTCCATTATAATGGCATAATATTTTTCTAAAATATAAAGTTCAACATATACGTACCAAACTTATTTTAAAGAACTTACAACATGTTGAAGTTTTCCTTTTTAATTGTTTCTAACATTTTAAATTGTGAACACAGTGGAAAATATATTGTTTTTACTGTGTGTGCCATTTTCACTTTAAATTTTTATTTTCTGTATCTATGAAGAACTTTTCTATCGAAAATCTTGCAAAAATAAAAAAAATGAAAAAAAAAATGTTTGTAACATTTTGGATATGGTTGATTCATCTGGTCTGTTCGTTGTAACCAAAAGTGTCACAATGTATGCTGTTTGTTTTAAAAAAGTGTTAGTTTGGTGAGTACATTATTTACATCAGGAAATGTGAAGATGTAGAATCGGATTTTCGGTGTGCTTTCCAGTTGATAGTTTCCAGTTATTTGCACCCACGTACATGAGTTAAGTTATCTTATATATACGACAACTTTCAACAGTGTGATTTTATTACACTGAAAACGTTTGTTTTAAATGGCACACCGGTTTAGATTATCAGAATGCGATTACAAAAATTATATACATTTTAGTGTACACACTCAATTTTTAAAACGAACAAAGCTATCGAGGTCATATTTTGATTTTCCTTGCACTTTTCTTAATAATAAGGGAACAAGAAAGTTTACTGCAGAAACGTTTCATTATTTTTGATTTTTTTGTTTTTAGTTAAACCTTATTGTAGAGAGATAATGGAGAGTAGCACTTGAAGAAAAGGAACTATTAGTAGAAATAAAACAGAGTATTTAAAGTATGAGTTTGAAGAAAGAATAAAAGTGGTAGACGAAATAAGATAATTAATAACAATAAGCGGTAATGTAATAGGTGAAGTTAAGAGTTTTAAGTTTTAAGAACGATTACTTTCAGTTTTAGTGAGAATGTGAAACATAGAATTAAGTGTAGTTGAATAAAGTGGAGATAAGCATTTTATGTAATAAGATAATTCCAATGAGACTTAAAAGTAAATTCCATAGGAGTGTGGAAGATCGACTATGTGCTGTATTATTCGAATGTTGGGCGATATACAGAAAAATAGAACAGAAAATGAGTGTAACGAAAATGAGAATGCATAGGTGAATGAGTAGTATGATGTGAGAAGATAGGATAAGGATCGAGTAAGTACATAAGAGGTAACATATACTTCAATAATAGACAAAAAATAAACCGAGATGGTTTGGGCATGTCATAAGGAGATAAGAATCGAAACCAGTAAGCATGGTATAAAATTAAACATAGGAAGAAAGACGAAGAGCGAAAAAGAGGTGATGGTTGGATGCGATTGAGAATGATATGAGGACGGCTGATGTATGCGAAGATGATGTGGGAGATAGGGTAAAGTAGAAGTTTAGGACGAAAGTGGTTGACCCCGAATATTTGGGATGAAGATAACAGAAAAGATTTGGTTTTATTATAAGTGTATAAAATTGTTTTAGCTGAGCAAAAATATTTTAAAATTTACCCCGGAGATAAAGGACACCATATCACAAAATATTAATTTTATAGGAAACACAATTTTTGGTTATTTTCATCTATACATTTGTTTTTCTTCGGATCTAATACGAATTGTTTTATGAAACTTTAACACATCTTTATTAGTATTTTTAACAAGATAAAAACACTAATTTTAATATTAGATTTTAATAATTTTATAAAATATCGTATTTTTTTATTTTCCATTGCTTTATTTCCGTTATTTGATGTAGTGCCCAATCTACTATTACACGGATCGAAAAATATTCAACGAGGACATGGAGATAACTCAATTTTGTGAATAATGGTATGGTGTCTTTTACTTCTGGGCATAAAGTAGAGTATACAAATATATTGGATTTAAGCCCAACAGAATATATGTTTTTAGATTAAAGTTTAAATTAATTCAAATATCTTAAATATGACTTGAGATGACTCTGGGAGGGCTAAATCTTCCTAAGCCCCCATCCCTATTTACGTCTATGCCTCCGGTATACATTTAAATATTTAATGTGTTGTTTAGTAGTAAAATAAAAATTTGAGCGTATATGATATAGGTAGTGATTTCAAATAGGTAGGTAAGTTCAAATTTTGCCGAAAATCGTAATAATCACGGCATTTAAAAATATCACGGTATTTAAATAAATTTAAATCACGGCAGTTATAATTTATACTCTAACTGACGTACATAGAATACTATACATTTGCATTGTACTTACAAGGCAGGTTTATAGCTACGGGAAGGGTGACAGGAAGCATTGTCCCCTGAACCTAATCGTTGTTCACCCAACAAGTATTAAATGTGTATATGTAGTGATATGTTATGGTTTAATGGGTTCCTCGTAAAATTTGGTTTGCCCCATTTGATTATTTGGTCTGGCTATGTGCATGCTACAAGGCTACAAAATAATATATAATACTTAATTTATAAACACCAAACTAAGCATTATCTCAAAGACAATATTTATACCTACATTAAAAATATGTTCCTAATCTTCATAAATTACACAACACACACGCTTGAGAACATATCTGTATAAATTGTTAAGTGGAATATTTAGAATGAATATCGATCAATAACCGGTCTTTTTTTCGGTTTAAAAATATGTATTATAGTAATGAACCTAACATATGACACAAAAATTTACAAATACCTGATTATAATTTAGTTTATTTAAAATAGTAAAATAGTTTATTTATTATAACTGTAAAACAATAAAATCAGGAATTTATTGGTTTTCCGTTGTCAACTATCTATAATTATTACAAGAAAATAAAGCATAGAATTTATTATATTATAAACATTACAACACAATATATAGTTGTAATAATATACTTATACAAACAATTACATTAGTATTACCTACCTAAAAACATTAACTGAAAAAATCATTAAGTACCTGATTGTACGACTAATGATTTTCCTCACTTCACAATAATCTAAAATTAAAATTTATTGCTTAAAATAATTTACCTACGTTTTAGATTTTATTGAACATTGAATATTTATTCAAATTGCAATTTTATATATTGTACCAAAATGTAAATATTCACGGTGGTACTCATACCTTGACAAATTTAGTAAGGCACTAAGGTCACATAAAAATTAATGTGTTTAAAACGTGCTCAATCAGGTTTAAATATAAGAATATATCTATATAAGTCGGTAGGTGATCAGTTGGAATTTATTAGTAACTCATACAGTCATAGCAATTTATAATATATATTCGACGTAGAATATTGTTTAATTGTAAAATTAAACTAAATATGAACTCGATTTCCGGTCTATTATATATACTTGGAGAGTACTTACCTATACTAAATTGGTAACAAGGTTAATTTTTCTTTTGTTAAATTAGTGATAATGCAATAATATTACTAGTACAACTTGTACAAACAAATTTAAAAATATATTTTTGTTAATTTACAATTTCAAACAATGACAGAGAGTACAGAATAATAATAATAATCTATATGTATAATATATAATACCGTTACCGTATAGTATTATATAGTAAGGATAAAATATTAATAATAATAATAAAGAGAAAATGTGCAGCACAAAATTACTTAAATACATGTTATTAATCAAATAAGAAAAAGAGTTACAGAATAAGTAGGTGTATTAGAATTAGGCAAATTATTATTTATAATACGAAAAGTTCAATCTAGAGAGAATGCGTAACCATAATTAATACTATGGAAATTGCATCTAAATGTTAAGCCCTACTTCGAGTTAAAAAATGGAACAGCAATGGGACGTAGGAATAAAATATAAAGGGAATCAATTAAACCATTAAGTAATTTAAATACATTAATGATGTTAAATAAAGCGGTAAATTTGCATACCTAAATGATATTCGAAATAATCAACGCAATTTAAATCAACTAAATCAGAGGTAGATGTGGTATCAGATTGGTTAGAAGGGTTAGATGAACCTAACCTAACCGATTTTAAAGAATGAAGTAAAGAAATATCTTGATGTATATAATAACAGATATATTATTTAGAGTCATTATAATTGGAATGAAATTTTCATACCACTAAAATACGTTGGGTTATCCACTAAAGATGATTGTATGCGGGTGAGGTAGTTTGAATAGGATAATTTAGATTCAATTTTAACTTTTAAACATAAATCAGAGAAATAAATATAATCATTATGGTCATTAAAAATGTTTTGTAGGCAATTTTTATTTTTAATAATTAAAAACTAACTAAGGAGAAGTAATATATCAGAGAAGTCACACCGGGCATAATCAAAAAATATTCATTAAAAACAATAGATTTGATATTTGATTGGAAAGATAAATATTTGGAGCTGGATAGTATTGAACATCTAAGGGGACGATTACTTTACTTAAATCATTAAAGATAGAAGTATTAGAAATACTAGAAAATATTAAATCCAGCAAAGAGCCAGATAAATTGTGGTGGCGATTATATTGACGATAGTTAAGATAAGCAGACCACCTATTACAGTTGCAGCGCGATAGCAAACATTACCGATACAAGTAATATAGTTATCTATAGTAACCCAATTGAGATTAGATGCCCAGATTGAAACCTCCACAAATAATTAAATCGCTAGTAGGATATTGAGATTCAATAATTTCTAAGGAATTAAAAAAAGAGATAAATGTGGCGTTAATACTGTTGAGAGGGAAAATATATGTACCAAAAATAATATCTTTATAAAAGCAACGGAAACGCACAAAAAGTTGTTCAAAATAAGTATTGAATGTGAGCATATTTAAAAATTTAATTACAAGTTTATTATAAATATAAATCAAAACACTACCATCTCGTGAAACACTACATTTTTCATAATTATTATCACATCTATATACAATATTAGTATGTGTTTATTAAATGATAATTTGACCAATCACATGGTTCTGTTTTATAATTAGACTGACAAAAATGCTCTAGATAAATAAGTCTAAGAAAATAATATATTACGAGAATAAAAACAAGCAAAAAATTAAGCTTTTAAATAAAAAATATTACAGTATAGTACAACTTCGATGGATCTAGACGAAAAAATAGAACTGTTAGTAATTTAGCACATATTTTACACCTATAATTCCAATAATTTATTTTATGGAAACAAATAGCCGATATATATAGATGTTAAAAGAAGAAAAAATTAATTTTTTGGAATAAAAACAATTATTAAGGTTAGATTCCACAATTACATATAAATCCAATTTGAATAACTACTACGTAGTTCATTATTACGTTAAGTATCTAATTTGGTACGCAGTCCCTTTAAATTTTAGAAAGAGCCATTAAATTATATAAGTTTAAAATTTACTTTTTTGATATTTACATTTTAATTAGTACTTATATTATTATAAACAGGAGCACTTGTGGAGGAATTTAGTTTTTTGATTGCAGAATAGTTGGACAACCATTTTTGAAACCAATGAGTTCTTTTTCCTCACTGTTTTTCCGAGAGATTAGAATATTACATACAGATTTATAGTTCACGTTGAGTAACTTCCAATCTTGAGAAATATGAAAACTGTTCGTCACATATGAGTTACGGAGTCGAGATTTCTATTTTAAAATCAGACTAATATCACATTTATCCTTACAAAATTTCTTTTAACGGACGAGGCTTAGATCCAACTGTACCGAGACGGAAAGTTTTAGTAATAGGAATTATAATTATCGAGTTGTTCTATTAAACTGGTCAAAAAACTCATCAGAAGGCTTAGTTTTATACAGTACGTTATTTAAAAATTCTTGTTCAGCTTTCTGTTCATTAGCTAGAGTTAAGTTGAAGTTCTTGAGTTCATCTTCTATGTTCCTAAAAATGCATTAATTATTTTAATTAGAACACTTCAATAAAACGAGTAGATAATACAGGCTGTCCTACGAAAATATAATATAGTATACCCAATTTATATTATGTATTACATTATACAGTGACGTTTTAACACTAAGGGCACTTGGGGCACGACTCTAGGGCCCCGGTTTGATGGAGACCCCGAAAAAAATAATTTTTATATGTACGTTAAAAATTATCAACTAAATATTTGACTGTCAGCCTTAAATATTAAGTAATAATTTTAAAATATAGTTAAATTCTGTTTACTCAAAATTTAAATATTTCAAAAACGACGATTACCTCGTAATCGGTATTTATACATGCAATAAATACGTGGACCGTTGTACAGACTATAACAGCGGCTGGCAGCTGCACAGTTATTATTAACTGTTGTTAATAGTTAATTAACAATTAATATATCGTTCATAAAAGCCATATACGTATCAAATATCTATTTAAGATTGAAAAAATGTTATTTTCTCATAAGTCATTGAACAAAAATTATTATTGTTGTTTTCATTCGTGATTTTTTTAGCTTCTAAAAGAGCCTCCATCTATGTGTGCCCAAGGGCTCCTGCACAATTTAAGACGGTCCTGAGAATATTATTTAGGTATTTAATATTACATTACTTATCCTATTAACCTGTATCTATATCTCACAATTTATGGTTTATAATTGGGGCCTGATGTATTTCTCACTAGTTGGCTGAAGTTAATTTGGCGATGATATTTTTTTTTACATTCGGAGTATAGCAAAAGATCAAGTGGTTTTACTATTATGATGTTTTTTCCTTAACTTAGTGTTTGTAAGGTCTTATTAGGTATTTTATATTTTCGTGTACTTATGAGTATTTTTATTTGATAGGTATTTGTTATTAAAATTATATAAGTTAAGAGAAATGCTTGACAATTTAACACAAGGTACATTATAAATTGATCTTAGTGGTTTAAAAAGTAAAATTGAGATCAATGCATTAATTTTGTTTTTTTTCATAAGCATTTAAAGATCAAATTTTAACCAAAATCGTAAAAATTTTGGCATTTCAAAATATATCTTCTGTATTAGTCTAATGAATTGTGTACGTAATTACTACCTACAAATTATAGTATGGTATTATTAATTATTATACACTTGTATTTATTTGTTTTCTGTTGGGAAATTCTAAAAGTGCAATGCACTTTTGTAAACGTAAAAATAGTTCTATTTAAAAAATGCAATTTATAAACTATAATACTTAAAACTTAAGGAGTTAGGTATTTTTTTTCTTCTTCTAGTTAGTTTGGTATATGTCCCCAAAAATATATTGAAACATGTTTGTTTCCATTAAATTCTTAGGTTTTTGTATCCACTCACATTTTAAATTGTCAAAAACGTAATTTACCTTTTTTTCCTTTGCAATTCCCGATAACTGAGTTTGCCGCATCTAGCCTGCATGTTTAAAAGCTCAGCCCAATCTTTTTCCTGTTTTTTAAGCATGTCTTTTTTCATCTGAAATCGCATAATTATAAATTATGGTTATTGGGTTAGTTGATACCATTATACCAACATATGAAAGTTATTTTGTAACCAAAGTTCTGAACGGTAAATAGATTAATTACCTTGAGTTCCTCTCTTTGTCGGGCCTGATAGTCGTATATGGCTTGTTTCATGGCTGGTGTCAATCCTTTGTACAATGACGGAGTTAATATACCGGGTCCTTTTGTGCTATTAAAAGCTCGTTCGACATTTTCCGTCAGGAAATCTCCGGTGATCGCGTTATACACCTCAACCATTTTGTCTTCTTCATTTTCCGTCTCTATAATATTTTTGTTCATTTTCTGTTCGGCTGCCTATACATAACATAAATTATATTATTCAAATTATTAATAAAATAATTCAAATATAATAATATAAAATCAGCCATTGTTTGTTGCTCACGCCAATAAGTTATTTTAACAGTTCTTACCAAGGATTGGTTGTAACGGTAATTGGCCTCAATAAGTTTTTTCTTACATTCATTTTCGAGCAACTCGTGCGCCTTGGCTCGTTCAACTGTTGTGCGTTCAGCTTCTTGCCACAATCTATCGACATTTTTGTCTTCTTCTTGAGCCATTCTTTTTTCGCGAATTTGCAATTCCAACCACACGCGCTGCTGTTCAATTTGCTCTGCTTTGATTACTTTCGAGATGGGACCGTCTTCTCCTTCGAAACTAAAATATAGAAATTCGGTAAACGGCCGTGTTAGTTAATCATTTATAACATTATAGTTTTTTCAGTTAGAAGTGTTAGTATCCACTACTTACCGTTGACACGACGACAATGTAATCCTTGGATCATCATCGCCTATACGATTCTGCTGCCCCTTTTTGCATTTTAGAGGGTCATTTATGTCGTACTCTCTCCGCGTTTCGGGTGTTTGATATCTCTTTCTAAACTCCAATAGCTCTAGCTCTATTTCCTTTTGTTTCTAAATAGTTGTGAAAAAAAAATTAATTTAAAATAATTGCACATATTTCTAGAAAGCCGTATTTTCACATAGAATAAAATAAAATTCTTTGCAGTTTACACCTCAGTACATTTTCAATATTATGTATAAAGGAAATCTTTTAAAATGTTTTAATAAATTACTAACCAATACAGTAGATAGTCTCGGATTAATAAAGCGTTTGAGTTTTCAACCCACCAAGATTAATTTCAGAAATAATTCAGCATTTGCCGAAAATGTTTAAAATGATTGGTCATTTTCACCCTTTGATATCTAAAGGAAAAATAAACCTATTCCATATCTAATTTTTAAAATAAACAACTATTGTACTATTATAGAATTTACATCAGAATAATATAATAGATATAATATACATATGTACCTATTATTATATTTTATTAGGTTTTGTTAAAATTATTATAATATATTTGTATTTTGTGTATTTTGATGTTTAATCTTGTAAGTTGGATTGGTTTCCATAAAATAAATTATTGCAATTATAGATGTAAAATATGTGCTATATTACTAACAGTTCTATTTTCTTTATCTAGTTTTATGGACGTTGTACAATCCTGTAATATTTTGTGTGCAAAAGCTTGATCTTTTGCTTGTTCTTGTTCTCGCAGCATTTTTTTTTCTTGAACTTGTTTATCAAGAGCATTTTTGTCAATCTAGTTATAAGACAGAACCATAGGATTGAACAAATTATAATTTAATAAATACATAATTGATAATTTTGACTTACTCCGATAATTCTCGTTGTTGGATTGAAAATTCGTTTTTTCCGTTCTTCATCATATAGTCTCGCTTTTGTTATTTTAACTATTTCAGCTCGATCTTTCGGCGATGGTTTTCCCAAGTTCAACATATTTTTAAAATGTTCAAAAACTTTTTTTATTATAAATAAAACGTCATAATTATAAAAAATGTAGGAATAATATTAGACGCATTTACAAAATATGTGTGTATTGAATAAATAATACAATTGATGTTGTCTTAGAAACAGTAGCGTGCGTATGGAGGAGGCCGTAACTACAACAATGAATATTTATTTAGTAATTTTATCTTGTAACTAGCTGTCCCGATCGTCATTGCCTGTGCTAATTTTTTATTATTCGTTTTACCCATATTATTTTTTTGTATTGACAGTGTAGGTATTGAATGAAAACAAATAGGTGGAAAGTGGGTAGTTCACCTTCGACGGACTAAGAGTATTCTATTGTGACATTTTTTCATGAATTTCATACCAAAAATATCTAAACACCGAATTTCAGGGGAGAAGTAGATTTCAAAGGAAATGAAGCCTAATCTAACCTATCGGTGAAAAGGGTTGCTCGCAGTGATAGAGCACGTGTACTGTATTATAGTCGTCACTTGCAGATGGCACGGCGTTCCTTTTATACCTTTATTTACGTATTATACAAATTATTACAAATACGTTCGTATTTGCCGAAAATTTATATTAATACAAAATTAATAACTCGATCGTCATAATTAGAGACCGAATTTATATGTTCTAAAAATCCACAAAAAAGCACTTGAAAACGTCAAAAAGCCTCGAAAAAAATCACTTAAAAAATGTATTTAAACGCAAAAATAACAGGGGTTTAACAATCCTCCCACTAACGGATTTAATTTATAAATACAATTTTTTAACACCAAAAAAATGATTAATAAAAAGTAATTTTTTTTATAATACGTACATTTTTATCTATTTAAAAGAAATTATTTTGTATTAATCAATTTAGTAGTGTTAGGAAATTAAATTTAATAATTTAGAGCCATTATTGAAGAGACTTTTTAACTTCTTTATAATTTTTACTTTTTTAAATGTTTTTAAATGCTTTTTTAAAAGTTTTTTGATGTTTTAAAGCGCCTTTTTATGAATTACAAGAGAATATAAATCTGGTCTCTAGTTATAATTTATTTATATATATATATATTATGTATAAAAATGAATCAAAATATTATATATACAGATTACATATTTCAATCTAGTTACAAAGAAAATCTTGATTTATTAAATGTAAATTGAGTTTTTTGGATTAGCTTTTAAACTCCTATTGTTAAATTTCCTATACTAGTATAAAAAAAAAGTTTCTACAATTTATTCATGAACCATGATTATTTTTATTATTTTTTTATCTCCATTTCTGTAGTTAGTTGTAAATAAATAAAATAAAATAATTTAATTCAACCCAGTTACACTCCCATTGACAATTTCTAAGCACGCCACTGGAAATGCATGTGATTGATATCAAAAATAAATAAAGGAGGACAGTACTTACACTTATGTAAATAGTAAATAATTTATTATAATTAACAAAGAAAGTATTGGTTTACAATTTAAACATTTTCTGATAGTTCTAGACGTCATAAAAATAACCATATTTAGTATTTTCAGACATTACCCATCTGACAATAAATTTAAATGATAATTATTTTAATGGTTATTGAATAATATATTGACGTGTGTACTTTTCTACGTATACATTGTATAAACATGGAACATAATATTATAAGCAACTGATTAAAAAAAGTTAATAATCTTTCAATAATAATCGGTTAACAGTATTTTTTAGAAGTAATAAAAAAAAATTATATTAATCGTTTTTAAATTTTAAATCGTAGAACAATATTTATATTTTACTATGATAATATGCCTGATTTGGCGAAAAACTTTACTTATATCATTTTTGATCTACTCGATTTTTTCTCGAATAATCTTCGTATGATTTAAATAATTTGCATGGCTTTATTCAAAATATGAATAGTCTCAATTAGATATTATATACAATAGGAGAATAATTATAATTAAAATGTATATATTAAAGTAATTAGTTATGACTAATTATACTTAATTTATTAGGAATTAAAATACTAAATATAAGTATTTATTTTTAATTAAAAACGTACTGCTCAACATTATTTTTTTATTCAAATTTGGTTTGATAACAAGAAAAATTATTATTATTAAATTCAAATGTCTAGGAACAGACTAAAATATCACAAGAAGCTGACCTATGGGTTGGAAGATATGTGTTTGGAAAATTAAACGACTTTAAATATTTAGGCAGTAGACACCAACCTAAGAAGGTATAATGATAATCTCGAAGAAATTGAAAACACACATCACATCAGGAAAAAATGTTTCTATGTTTTCTCGAGGTTAATGTGATCAAAATTGCTCTTCAAGAAATCCAAAAACGACTAAACAAAGTGTTAGCAAGGCAAGTGTTAGTAAGTGATAAAATTCGCATGTGAAATCTGGCCCACGGCGTAGGAAAATAAGATGAAACTGTCATAGAGAAGAAATTCCTTTTACAAACCTAACAAAAATGAAAAAACTCAAACTAATGAAATTAGGTCAAAGATTTAAGATAAAAAGAACAAGAGTTATTTGGAAAACCACGAATAATAGCTGAAATATGGTAAAAAAACTGCGTGGATTCAATCTATAATAAGGGCTAATTGCCTGTAAAGCAGGAAGAAAAAGAAGAAGAAATTGAAAGTTAAGGTAAATAATTTTTATTATCAAATGTGTATACTAAAAACGGCTGTTCTATTAAAATCGTTTTTATCCCACCAACTTTTCACATTTAAGGCACTTCTAAAAGCAATTTTAAAGAATTTTTTATTAAATAACAATACAATTTTACTTAGAATATTTTTTTCGAATGTAATGAATATCATTTATAAAAATCATGTACTAATAAATAATAATAGACATTCGAAGATTAGGTATGGCATATACAACTAAGATTTAATCATATTTTGATTAATTGAGTAATTTGTGTATTTGATCCTTGCTTTAGAGTTTAAATTTCTTCTATATATTATCACTATATTATAGTGATGATACACAAACTAATAAGTAAAAAAAAAAAAGGTAGAAAAAGTGTATTATTTTAAACAAATTTATTACTATTTGTCAGATTTAATCTATATATTAAAATCATATAATATTTATAATACATTTCTAAAGATTATGTACTGTACTTAACAATATAAATGTTTTACCTATACACTGAGTAGTATTGCTACACCAGCTAAAGTCCATTTAGATGGCATTTGCCGTGTTTTTAAATTAAATGTCCATACATAAGTTGGGCCTCTTCGTTTTATTTTATAGACTGGGCATTCGTACATGTTTCGCATATCTTGTTTTTCCTTGATAATAGCTTTTACGTGTACTACCGGCATCATTGGAAACAATTCTTTCAAGATCGAGTCGACAATACACCCCATGTTTAGATCCCAACGAGCGCCTTCCAATATCAATCCGTTAATCATAGCGCCTTCTCTGGGTACAATCCTACATAGACACAAGCCAGAGTTCAAACTTAGTCGATTGTTTTAAATAACATCATTTTCAGTTTAAATACCTAGACAATTCAATAAAAATATTACTTATCCACCTACGTGATATCTTCTTTGTATTTTTTTGTCACATCACATTGCAGACACATTTTATCCAGCGGCCATTCCATTTTTCGAGCAGTGCTTTGCATTATAGCCGTTAAAAACGATTGTGGGTTGAAAAATCCACCTAACCAGACTGATGATGGAAGCTAAAAAAAAAATTGATTACATATTTTTTTTATGTCTATAACATTTTGTTTTGAAGTTAGTAGAAACTCGTTAAACCGTTTTTGTCGGGACCGGGACAATGACGGTTAATCGAATAAAAATTACGGTTAATAAAATTTTTTTAATAAACGTATATATTTTACAGTGTGATTTGCAAACGAAAATAATTTGCAACAAATAATAAATACTAATAATATTTAATATGTGAGGTAACAAAAATACGTAATACCATACTCAAAAGTACTAAACAAAATAATCCGTTATCTCCTACTATTTTTTTGAGGCACGAGCTTTTTGAGCGGCTATGTTTCCTATTTTACGAAAAATTAAGACCTGCGTTACATTTGCCTCCACTTGCACTTCAAACCAATCAATGCATTTTAATAACACTGCTTCTGCTTCTATGTGACTAGTTGACAGTTTTAAGTCAAGTACTGAATTTTCAATGTTATCATCAACCTCTTCTTCGACGGCAGTGACATTATGAATAATAATTTTAAATTTTAAATCCTCTATCCTGTTTTCACTTTTTAACAAATTTGTTACTTCCTCGTTGATAATATTTCACTGTACAGTTCATTACAAAGTTGTACAATTTCTTCTACACTAATATACACTCAAAGTCTTAGTTTCTTCAGATTCGTACTGTATTATCTCAGGCCATAGTTTATTCTACCCATTTTTCAGATTCGGTAAGTCAGATCAGCCCGTGCACTGGCAACATTGAAAATAATATTTTTTATGTTGTAATTTTTCCAAAATTCTTTAATACCTATAGCATCTTCAGATGACAGCCCACTTTCTATTAAACTTTTTCTATACCTTCATATTCTCAATTATTCCCTGGTCCATAGGTTGGAGAAGAGTAGTGAGGTGGTATTTGCTAGGAGAAAAAGACATGTTATATTGCAATCGTTACTTTTCAGTTCTCTAGAGGGGTTATCTATAAGCAGCAGTGCTTTCTATGACAACTGTTTTTTGACGAGATGAACTTTTACTTGTGGTACAAACACTTTATGAAACCAATCTATAAATATTGTTTGATCCATCTAAGCATTTTTGTGTGCATAATAGTTCACAGGCAGTGCATTTAAATTAAAATTTTTATATGCACAAAAACACTAATCCACACACACAGGCTATACTATACGTATACTATTTGTATATGCTGATAGTTGCCTAGTCGCCGTGACGAGTTTATTACGATCGCATCATTAACTATTTTTTTTTTCGACGGTGACCGATGATGGATAACAGAGAGTGACGGTAAATCGAATTTTTACTATATTAGGTTATGATTTAATTACCTGAAATTCGCTAACCCAAGACTCTAGTTCACGCAATCTCTTTAGTAAATCCGCATACCAAGCTGCTAAAGATAATAATGACGGGTAAGCTCGTTTTTCCCAATTTGACGGTACTCGGTCCATAAACAAACAATCTTCTAAAGTCTCCATATCTGCCGTTATTGTCAGTTCACCCTAAATTTAAATATATAATTATAATAATTAATTCATAACAAATTTATTCAACAAACCACCTAAGTACTTATATTTTATATCTATAAAAAAAATGTAAACTTCTTAAATAGGAAATATTTCAAATTTATACAGATTATTAAATGTGAACGAATTGTATTTTGTATTTTTTATAAAATTATCTCGTAACCATTACCTTTAGCCCCAATTGTAACTCTTTTAATGAACGTCTAATTTCGTTCATTAAAACATTCATACGCTCACACTCTTGAAATGAAACGATTACATACGGTGTTCGTTCTTCAACCCTAGATATCATATCTAGTGTGTTAAATGGTTCTGGTACTTTGTCGAGAATGTCGTCCAAAGTTTGTCTAACCTGATTATAAATTACATAAAATCCAGAGTGCAAGTTTAATAGATATTGTTTATTAATTAATTTACTTTATCTTCTCGAGATATTCCTGTTACTCCAAACGAGCTTGTGTCTCTAGGCTGCATTTCCATTAGTGTTTGGAATAAATTTTCAGACCTTGTAGTCAGGGTACCAATTTCAGCATTTGGGTGAAGTCCATACAGTATGGGGCTTTCGGGGGGTAATAAATCATCGATGTATTTATGATACGATTTGTAGTCTGTACTCGGAGGGACTACAAAACCGGGTGTGAATAAAAGCTCACCTTCCATCTATAATTTAAAATAAGTCAAATCAACTAATTTTCATTTGTACACATTTTAAATAATACCAAATCTGGATTCATATAAACTTCAAGATATGTTCGACATAACCTCCTATCCCAATCATCGGTGATATGCCCACCGTACATGATCTCACCCAAAAGATATCTGAGATCCTCCCAAGGAATTTTATTGTTTACTTCCAGGTAATTGTATAGAACATTCACGGAAATCGTTAGATCACCTACATTAAATGGATACGATCTATTCCATCCTTGAGCACCAAATTTTGACCTTTCCTGTACTGAAGCGTGGAAATAACATAAACTAAACAAAATTGCTTTAAATTCTGCTTCTTTTGAGCATATTTCAAATGTGTCTTGATTGAAATTATCTAAAGCTTTATGTAAATTAGCCATCATTCCTGTTGGTGGTTCGTTTGTAATTTTTATTGAAGAATCCAAAACGCCCTAAAATTATATTAAGTTTACTTAAAAAGATAAAAAATATTTTACAAGTATGTTGAAAATACTTGAGGTATAATATGATAATGAGGATCTGAAGCCGGTTCAGCACTAATAAATAGTCTGTAATTTTCATGTGGATTTTCAAAAGATGCTTCCATTTTTTTGTCCAAGATTGGCAACCAATTTTGTACTAAATGCACATTCTTTTAAACATAAATATTACAAGTAAAATTTAAATTTAAATTTAATGTGGAATACTTGTTATAAAAAGTATACATATACGTGCATACATTAGTACAATACGATTTAAAAATCATTACTATTATTGGATTTTAAAAAAAAAATTGTTTTTATAAATAGTAAAAAAATTTAGGTACTGATGAGTTTAACAATAATGATATTATGCTATTTAATCATTACTTGCAACATGACCCAATTTCCAATCCGAGAACTTAATTCTATGGCATCCTCTGCCAATTTTTCTTGTCCTTGCCCCAATGATATATTGTAGAAATTTTTTTTTTCAATTGTAAATCCCTTCTTCACCCCAAGAGCTTCAACATCCTAGAAAATAATACTGAACATATAAGTAAGTTAAAATTAACGTTTTATACAGTAAATATCTACTATTATATCACATATAAATGAAAAAAAACAAATCGATTCTTATTATATAAAAATGTATTATTTACACGTGTTGGATCAACTCCAGTCGACAATATAAAAAATACGGGAGTTTTCGACGATGTTTCTTTAAACGATTCAGAAAACTCTGGAGGCCTAAATTTAGTATAATTTATTCCAAGAGTCTCCTCGACATATACTTTAGTAGCGTAAGTCATTCGATCATTCCTTAAAGCTCTAATTATGCAAAGTTTCTGGAATGGAGTTTTATTTTTCCATTCTTGCGGCAGTTTATCTTTTTCTGGAGCTTCGCCGTCAATATAAAGTTGCCATCGTTTACCAGAAGTCTCAATATCCTTATCTAGACCTCTTAAATAGCATTTACAAGATATAACAATATTAAATTTAAAATAATCATTCTATTTTCTAAAAGAGTTATATTTACGTAAATTCATCATCGGCTAAAACAAGTGACTTAATAGCTCCCCAAACATCCGATGATAAAAAATCAAATGGACTAGATATTCCCGCGATTGTCGGTCTCCTCAATAAATAATCTAGTTCTGTTGGTTTTATTTTTTGTGATTGCAATTGTATCTAAAATATAACAAAAATAAAAAATTATGCTACTAAAAGATAATATTTAATTTATATTTGTAAGAAATAATAAATCATTACTAATGAAATACGATACTGAGCAAAGTTCGATTACACATGTTTTGATATACCGTAAATTTTACAATTTTCGTCAAAGTTTTAAATTAAATCTAGTACAAAAAAAGACCACATTATAATCAACTTTTTTTTTAATGACCACTCAGTACAATTTATAATTAACCTACTAACTTCATGATAAATGTTTAATGATAAGTATTTCTGTTTGATCAAACAATTTTACCCACATAGTGTCCATTTACCAAATAAAAAATAAAAATCTCTAAAATGTGAAATGACTATAAATAGCAACTGTCAGAATTTTTTGAAAATTTAACTACGTCCTGAAAAGACTAAATTTAGGAATCATCAACATTCTTAACGAAGTAACAAAAAAAAAAAAAGGTAAAAATAAATAAACCATTATTTCTGTAAATGTCCTAATTTTTTCTTCGGTTTTGCCCGATTATTAATAAAATTATACGGGATATCAAAAATGGCCTTCTTACTCGAAAACTAGACAACATTTCTTTCAGAAAAATGCTACATGCAATGCTACAATGCTATAAATAAATTTTATCCAAAATTAAACAAAAAAGGACTCTTGGTATTTATCGATTGGAGCAAGTTTTCTGGAAGTTGTTTACAGCTACAAAAAAAAAAAAAAAAATTGTAGTTTTAAAAAAAATAAAAAAGGTTTTTAATACGAATCCCGCGTATCGCGCTATGGAGACAACCGCAGTTGTCTTATGAAAGTCAAAACAATCAAATTTTAGAAAAAAAAACTCTTCGTCATGCACAACTAGAACTCATTCTGATTCAGAATATATCAAGTTTATCCCTGTATGTTTAGCTATTGTTGAAAAATCGTGCGGACAAAAAGTCAAGATTCGAAGTTAAATAAAAATCTTAAAAAAATACATCTTAGTAAAACCAATATATATTTTGCTCCGTTCAGAAACTAAAAATTACTGAAAAGTTATCAAATAATCATTAAATAACGTACATTTTTAAAAGTATGAAAACACTTTTTGTAAACATTATTTTTGGAATATTGAAATATACCTGAATGGTCAATTGACAGATAAATATTAGTTTATCTTTTTCAAATAAACCTCTACTTGTATAAATAAATGTTTGATATGTTATATTTTCAATCAAATTGACTATTCGTTCATTTAACGTATCTGCTTTTTCTGAGTTTCTCATAGCTCGTTGAAAAACAACACAAAAGGTCTGAAAAACACGCATAGATATAAAATACAACAAAATTAATAATATATATATATTTATACATAAGTGTTTTATTTAAAACTATTTATTTGAAAAAAAAACTTACATGTATTATATTATTCAATACATATTTTCATTGTCAATTTAACAGATAAATTTATATTAATGTTAATAATACTCACCTCTAGAGAAAACTGATACATTGGATTTATTTTTATTAAATCATTCATTATAAAATAAATTATTGATGCTCTTGATGCAGCATTACGATATTCTTCTCGTGCATTGTCAATTTCTTCAGATGTTATCTTTGCTTCAGCGACTTTAACTTCAATTTCTGTAGCTGTCTTTTTTGACTTTTCAAGATTCAATACAAGCTCTTTATCACCAAGAATCTCGCCATCTGCTGAAGATAATCTCTGTAACAATCCATCTTCGAGCCGTTTCAATGTTATTTTAAAACTATTCTGTTGTTTGGTTAATTCAATTCTCATTGTTTCTAAATCAGGCCTTTCAACTTTTACTACTTCTGCTAATAATTGATCTTCAAGTTGATCACGATTCACTGTGAAATTTATTAAAGTAGTTTGAGCTTGCATTTCTGGTTTGTAATGTGGATTTGACAATTTTGTGTGCAATATCAGACGAAAATTTGGATTGTAATCAATTTCTTTTTCCCCAATTTTCACAACTCTATACAATATAATTAAATAATTACGTACAAATTAAAATCATAAGTGATTTTTTTTTTTTTTTACCTTCCTTTTTTGATAAAATTGCGACCAATAATATTATCCAAAACAGAATCGATGTTTTCACCAATATTCTCGATCAGAAGTACATTCCCATTTTGAACGCAGTTTTCAATATCTAATACACAATTTTTGTAGTTAAGTCTGATTACTTTTAAACTTTTTCCGTATTTGTTTTTAATCCATTTGATTCCTTGGAGCTATTTAAGATAGACAATTTGAATTAACTCTGTTTATTTTAATTTTATTTAAATATTAATACAGCGCGTACCTGAGGATCGACCATTAATGGCCATCGATCCGATTTAGTTAAAATAGTTGCATTTTCAGATGACATCCGATCATTTGGTAAACCTTCATTATTCCATGCAGCGATTTGTGCATCATCAGTGAGTAAACTGAGTGGATCTAAATTATCTGTTACTGGTATTCCTGGCTGAAAATTAATATCTCAAATTGTACCTATATAATAATTGTTTAATTTAGTTTTTTCATCGATAATTAATTTACCTTGACATTTTTGAAAAATGGTAGCCATGAACTTTGAATTAGTTTTTGTCGGTAAATTTTCGTAAAGTAACCAACGTATGACACAAAAGCTGAAACCATAAGAATATCCCCAGGTAAAGTCTGTAAACTTATTTGCAATCTGAAATACGAAATATACTGTTTTCAAATATTTTGAAATACGTTATATCTAATTCAAAATATTTACGTAGAAACACTTTCTTTCCATCGAACATTTTCCGAAGCTAAACCATTGACAAGTCGGTTTGCCAAATCTATTCTTAAAGCTGTTTCATCAGCTTGATTTTGACACATAGTTTTTTCAGCTACAGCACCATCAAACTCGTCTGTTAATACTTTTTGTTTTCTTTCCAATTCCTAAAATTTTATTTTATTAAAATATTTTTCAAATTAAATGACATTTATAATTTATTTTTAATTTACATTTATCATATTTCTAATTTCCATAAGTTTGACTCTAGCTGCACTCAACTCTTCGTTTGCTTGATCTCGAGCTTTTCTCTTGGGTTCCACAATTTGCCAGACGTTATTAAACTTCATTATATTTATAACCCATGCACATAACCCTTAAATATAATATTAGTTTAATAATTAAAATGATTGAAATAAATTTCATTTTATCAGTGTCTATTATAGAATAGGTAAAGTTCTGTATTATTAAATGCGTTTGCTTTTTAAAGTACCAAATAAATTATTTAATGAATTAATTATAAAATTTAAAATGTTTTTATATAGTTTTATTAAATAACTGATAATCATAAATTGAATCATGTTAATAAATTACAGAATATTATTTTAAGATCCGAATATATATTACCAATTCATGTATAAAAGTCTATTAACATTTTAAACATAAATCCTGTATTATTATTCTTAAAATGAGAGTTCTAGTTTTAAATTCTGAATGAAGTGAGGAATGTATTGGTTTTACAATGTTTATTTATTTTATATATATATATATATACTGTGTACAAAATTTCCGTCAGAAATCATGCTCTGATTTTCAAATGTAGCTTCTTATTTGGAAGGAAATTTTGTGTACCTAAGTACATAGGGCATTTAAAATGGTAAATTTTTTTTATTTTCATAATAATTGGAAAAAACGAGGTAAAACGTAGCAATAAACTAATAAATATTAACGATTTCATGAATTTACATTTTTAGAAATTATGTAGCCACCTAGAAATTTTGTGTCAATCAAAAAATAACAAGACACATTTTTGTTAAATTTCTTATTTAGTTGTACACAAAGAAAGACACTTTTTGATTCTCTTAGTAGTTTTCATAATAATTTAAATTAATCAAAAAAAGACAAAAAATGAAAACTGACAAATATACAGAGTTCTGATTTCACCATTTTAAATTTCTACGCTTTATATTTTCTGTACCAAAAATATTGCTCCTATAAAAAAAAATGATATTATGGATATATTACATTTTTAATCTAGTGGGTTTTTGGATTTATTCTAGTTTGATTATCAATAAACTAGTAACTAATATTATACATTAACTACAGAGAGATCAAATGATATCTGAACTGACGAACACATAAATAATGTAATTTACAGAATTTCCGTAACGGTGTTATTTGTTATTTATTTAAATGCTTTTATTAACCAGCAGCAGCTGACGATTTTCCAGCAATGAGATCTGGGTCAAATTCTGGATCTTTTAAATATGGTTGAATGGCTTTAACTACATCTGGGTGTACATGTTCTTTGTCATAGTGTATAAGTGAATCTAAAAATCCGTCAACTTTGGCCATCATCACCTAAAAATAAAAATCAATAATATTTTAATTAATAAAATAATAAAGTAAAAACAAAATTTTGAAAATGGTTAATATTAGTAAATAAATATATGAATAAAAGATGTATATATAAAAAGACGTCTTAAGATAATAGAGACAGGTACAGCTACTATTATAAGTAATTTATTGTATATCTGTAAACAAAGATAAACCATTGCTAACGAAAAAACGTTTCTGAGCAGAGTTCAATTGATAGTGATGCTTTGTCATCAATATATATGTCATATTATGGTAAAATTATTAAATAAACATTAAATATTTTCTTTAATAATATTTGTTTAATATTGTATTTTCCCATTTTTTCTGCGTTTTTCTCGGTTTTCCCATGTTTTTTTCCGGATTGTCACCGGATATTTTAATCGAAGAATCCCCCTCGATTTGTTCCGCAAACTTTTCTACCAGACATCTTACTCTCATGTGTCAAGTGTAGCTTATTTTCTGAAAGGGAATTTTATCTCCATGGTTAAGGGAGATCATTTTTGTGATTTTTCAATTGGTTTTTATAATAACAGGGAAAAACTGGGATAAAATGTCGGAAAAACAGAAAATGTACGAAATGTAGCTATTAGTTAAAAAAATATTATAGCCCTTTTTTTTCCTGTGTACAAATTTTCTACCAGCAATTTTGGTTCGATTTACAATAATAGCACTTTTTCTGAAAGTAAATCTGATTGGAAAGTTACTTTAAGGAGGTCAATTTTTGGATTTTTTTAAGAATTTTCTTAGAAAATATGATAATCCGGGAAAAACACGAGAAAACCAGGAAAAACGCACAAAAAACGGAAAAATCGATACAATATTAAACAAATATTATTAAAGAAAATATATAATGCTTGTTTAGTTATTTTACTATAATATGACATATATATTGTTAACAAAGCATCCCTGGTCAACTGAAATCCTCTCAGAATCGTTTTTTCGTTGGCAATGGTTTATCGTTGTTTACAGATACACATTAAATTACCTATAATATTGGCTGCACCCGTTTACCATTATCCTAGGACGTCTTTTTATGTATACATTTTTTATTCACATATTTATTTACTTTATATTTTAATAATTATATGAATAATTATATTTGTTCATATTTACTGTCAATGAACTTATATAGAATAATAATTAATAGTTTTAATTACTGTATTTGATAATAAAAAAAACAAATTGGATCGAAGAAAATATAATTCAATATGGAAAGTTACATTTCTATTATTTATGTCTTTGGCGTATCAAAATATGAATAATTAGGTAATTAATAATTTTAAATTGACTTATTCATTTAATTCATCTGATTTTATTATATAGGCAACTAAATCAAATTTTTATTATTATGTTCTTTGCAGTGTTTATTTGGTTGCCTTACTTTTGAAAACTGTCATATTTAGTAACATTCATTTTCCTAAAGGTATATTTTTCTATTAGTTAAAATTATTTTTACTTTGAAAAAAATAGACACTAAGTTTTATTTATTTATATTATTATGTAAGTATAAGTAATAAGTATATTAATTAAAATTTTTATTTGATCAATTACTGCAATAAATAAAACACATAAAATTAGATTATTATAAACTATATCTACCTTGCAAGCTTTCCAACTCCTATCTTTTGGAATCTTTCCTTTTTTTGCTTGTAAAACCATAACTGCACCTGTTACATTTATCACGGCCAATGGAGGGGATCCGAATGATTTTAATTCTGTTAAATTGTTCTAAAACGTATTAATAAATATATTTTAACCAAATTTTAATACATTTGAAATGAATGACCTTTTAAAAAATGATGTTTCCATATTTAGTTAAAAATTAATCTAACAAATTTAAACACGAATTTTTTATACGAAATCTTATTAAATATAAATACATTTAGAATTACTTATACACTTATTTCATATAAGTAGGTACATTTAGTTTATAATTTTCGTTACCATAAATTCATACCATTATGGCTAAGTAGATTTACTTTATTTAAGGTATCCAAGGCAGCTTGTGCCGCCACTAAGGCTGGTTCAGCTTTCTCTAAATCTTCTGCACACAATCGTTGTTTTAAAGCAACGTCTTCTTCAATCAACTTTACTTTATCTTCCTCTTCAGCAGCTGTAGAAAATAATACTAATGAAATAATAATAACACTAAAATATAGTTTCATAACATTGCAAGTACCTTTGTCTTTTTCAAACTTTACTTTCTCAGTTTCTTTTTGGACGACTTTGATTAAGTCTTCAGCTTTGACATTTTTCTTGGCCAATTCAATCTTTTGCAAATCTAACTCGACTTTCAATACATCAACCTAATTATAAAATACTTAATTGAAAAACAATATATATTGTATCATTGAATCAATAGTGACTATTTAATTTAATTTTACTTACTTGAGCTGCACAGGATATCAGTTGTTTTATACCATTTTGAAAACGGCTTATTCCACATTTTATATCATTTGTTTTAGACACTAAAAGTTTTACGTAAAGATTAATTTGTTCCAAAAACGATTTTGGTGTTGTATAATTATATCGCCGATCGTTTGCCAAATATTTTAGAGACATATCGTTCACCGAACCGTGTACATGAGCCATAAATAAAGACACCGGTTTCTTAAGTTTATCAGGAAGTTCAGTCAAATTGCTCAGAAATCTGAACGATACAGATTCCAAAGCTTCTTTAGGCCATTCATAAAACCAGTTAATTGAGGTACAACTAATCAAGGCTGGAAACCGTCTGGCTCGAACTCGTATAGTGCTGCCGACCGGTGAAAAACATAAGACAATCTTAATCAACGATCTGACTTTGTTGATGAAATATTGCCAACAGTTCTCCCGAGTTTCTAGTAAACCAGCAGCTTTCACCTGAAATCACACATCACATATGAAGGGTTGAGACGAATTTTTTGGGCCAGCTTAGTAATACATGAGTTACAAACCTCCAAGCCGATAGTCTGTATAATGTAGTCGACTTCATCTTCAGCAAACATTTCAGGTATTTGGCCACTGGCCAGTATGTCGTTTATAAGTACTAGAAATCTCTCATCGGGCACCTGAGAGTCGGTCATTAGGAACATGACACCCACGTTTTTCAGACCGGCTTTTACATATAGAGCGGCCAGGTCAGTTCTCAAATCGGCAACACTGTACGTGGACTTGAGCTGTATCTGAAACGGTTCCAGAGACGATATGAACGCTGAAAGTCGGGCCAACGACTGCTTTCCACTTCCTCCAACTCCTACGAGTAGAGCATTGCCTCTGGGAAGTTCGAGTATCCGGTTAATCCGACATACGTGTGCCATAGCGTCTTCAAATAACACCAGGTTCATGGCACCCACAAGTTCATTATACGAAGTCATTGCGTCGTTGAGTAATTTTTGAAGTGTGGTCCACGACTGAACGGGCATATACCTCTGGTCACCAATACCTTCCGCGAAATGTGAAAATATCAATGGGCTTATCAAGTATTCGTTATCCGGAACGTCCTATGTTTGAAACAATAATAGATGGAGTTTTTTTGTACATTTATATTTAATATTAATTATTAACATATATAGACAGTGAACATTAAATATTAAATATCAGTTAAATATTTGAATACTGAATGTTTAATGCTATATACAATTTATAAACTTACCTCAATCACCAAGTTCTGCTTAAAAAATTATAAAATATTTGTTTCATTGTTACAATACAAAAGTTAGCTATTTAGTACATAAATAATTTTGAATACTCACACTAAAAGTTTTTTTTATTTGCTCGGTAATTGTTTTTGTAAATGTTTCTTGATCTTTCTTTTCGGTTAATTTATCACCATAAATTCGACTGGTTTCATGGAGCCAAAGTCGTATAAAAGAACTAGTTGATGTAATACATTCACCAGTGGCAAACATTAGTCCCTTATTGTCGTAATAATGATTTTAAAGTTTATAATTTCAATTAGTATGTATACAAATTTTATTATTTTTTTTTATCATTAAATTATTGTTCGGTTTAAAATTTTACCTGAAATACGTTACTCATATCTCTAAGATTGAATGTATAATGAAACTTAATGGCCGTAGGCAAAAATATTGTAAGAATCTTATTATGAAAGTTGATAGCTAGTTGTACAATAAGATCAGTTAATTTTATTACAGAGTTGTTGAATTTATTTATTGGATTTCTTAAATGTTGACTAAGAATCGAAGAATAAATTGTAAATAATGCTTCTTGGGATGGAAATCTTTAAGGAAAAAAAAAATGTATAACTACTTAGTCAATAAGTAAATTAATGAAAATAATATCTTAAAATCTTACCCTAAAGCGAATACATAAAAGTGTCTCTGTAATCGAGAGTCAATTGTAAAACTTCCAGCAGTTGGATTCATAGTGGAAGCGAATATTACATTTTGTATTTCTTTCAAGGACAATTTAGTACGATCGTACCAATGTCTGTAATCCATATATTGTCTAATCAAAGTGTGAGGTGCAACAGTACCATAAGGATCAACCTATAAAATAAAATAAAATAGTGAATATGAAAATAACACTTACAAGTATACAATAATAAGATTTATATATATATATATATATAAAAAATTATTATAATTTAGATTTGTGAATGAATAATCAAACAATAATTATATAATTAAACAATTATACATAATAATATATTAATATATTATAAAATATTTTCTATATATCAATATTATATATATATATATATATAAATGTGAAAATGAAAATCTTGGACTTCAATGATATCTGGGACTAATCATCCAATAATAATGCGATTTTTTTTTAAATAATGGATTACATTGCCATGAAAGTATTAAGTCTAATTTAAATTCTGTAAGTTGAAAAATAACCTAGGTTTTAATTTTTAAGTATTGGTAAATACGCTAAAACTCTTCAATTTTTTAAGTAAATGGTATATTATTGAAAAACAGAAGATAATTAGAGTTAAGGAGAAGGAAAGGAAAGTATTAGAATGGATAGTCGGGCGTGCATAGAGGATTTTTAGGCATTTAATTTGATCTGGTCAATGCACTACGAGGGTTAACTGTATAGGGACCATTTAACTACTACAACTATATCATACGAGTAGATTCTTAACCCGGAGTCATAACTACAAAATAATTTATGTAAAGCGATAAGGGTAGTCGGAAACGTCTGACTTCACTATAGAGGTGCACCTCTATACCTCTATACCTTTAATACGTTGTACTGCAGTACAACGTCTAACATTATCTGCAAGCAAAAACTTAAAGACAAATCTAATCGATTTTCCATAACATTAAACATAAATGATATGTATCCGAAGTATAATTCAAAATCATATTAGTGTTTAAGTCAATGAGTTACCTGATGATATCTAGGAAGATGTTATTAAGTTACAAAACGAAAATTTGTGAACATTTTGTTTATAAGGTAAATAAATAATAATAATAATAATAATAAATATCGTCAGCAAAGCGAGGTAGCCCGAGACCTGTCGAAAGTTCTTTAAGTGGTTCGTATTGTTAAAAAAGTTTCGGATGAAATAAAAACAAACAAATATTCATTAAACGGACATGAATTTTTATTTAATTTATTTTTTTAATAATAAAAAAATCTTTTTAATTGCTCGGACAAAGTAGGACAACTAGTATATATTGTACATGTATAGTATTTAGTATAAACATGTTAACTTACTTCGGGCATATTTATATCATCAATAAAATATATTAACATTTTTCCACCTGGTGGACCATAGTTTTTTCCAGATTTTTTCTCCAATGGGTTTTCCAAAATTTTTTGTAACATTTCTGGTAACATTAAATAATAACACTAGTATTCTGATTTTATGCAATAATTCAACTATTTCTATTGCCTGTTTTCTATAACTATTAATTAAATGAATTTATAATATTTTATATTTTGGGCAAAACGAGGAATGTATTGGTTTTAAAACAATGTTAATTTTTTTTCCTTTTTCCGATGCGCAATTTAAAGTAAAAACTTCTGAAGGTAAAATAGTCCCCCAATCGAATCTCCACGGGTGGAAAATACTCAAGAAGTAAAATTTTTAAAATTGAAATTAAAAGGTATTAGGTAATACCAAGAGAGTTGGTAGGTATATGGAATGATAGAATGATTCTGCAGACAGGAAACTAGAAAATTTAATGTCGAGATGAAAAGACTTAAAATAGATATTTTGGGCATTTCAAAAATGAAATAGAATAAAGAAGTTTATAGAAAAATAGAAGAAACAAGGAGCTTCATCAAGTCCTTAAAAACAAAAAGAGTCAAGTAATAGGACACATACTGTGCTATAATAGTCTACATAGCAGAATAATAGAAGGTGCCATAGAAGGGATAGCAGCAGAGGGCCACCGCCACTAGACTACATTAGTCAAATAGAAAGAAACATGGACTGTATCGTATCATGAAAAAAAAGTGAAAGCTGAGAAACGCGAGGAATGGACAATTTGCCAACCATCCTTTGGGCTGTTAATACAAAGAAGATTCTGTGGATAAAACTGTTAAATCAAATAAAAATATTTAAAAATTTAACTGGAAGTAGTTCATTATAAGTCGTTCTTTGTAGTCAAAAAATAAAATTGAGTGAATTTGAGTATCTTTTTATATTTATTTTGAATAACAACCATGATAAAATTAAGTATACATATTATGTTAATATTTATTAATATATTGTATATTGTACGAAGTTATAAAATATGCGAGTTGGTATTAATTTAGGTAGGTACCTGAAGTTGTGTAAAAATTAAGCGGAACACTTGTAACGGCATACGAATCATTAGAAAGAGATTTTAATTTTTCGTTAATTATGACTGATTTTCCAGTACCGGCGGCTCCAACAAACATAATAGCTTTTTGTTTATCAACCAGTAAATCGAAAAAATATCTTACTCGAGTTGTTTCTATTGTGTTAACGAGTGTTTGCTATAATAACAAAATAATAGATAAAATTAAAACTTGTTAATATTCAACCATTGTTACAATGACGTGTTTTAATACGTGTTAAGTTATGTTTCTTGCAGATGAAATGTAAATAAATAATAATACCTATGTTTATACATTACTTGTAGAGGATTGGTCGGATTAAGCTCAAACGGCAATATTAAATCTGACCACGGACGAAACTTTTTAGATTCCGGATCAATGAAATAATTGAACACAATTTCAGACGACGGTATTTTAATCGTTCTAAATTCAGACAACCACCATTTGGAAAATTCAATTCTCCAGTCAATCACCTATGCAAAAAATACAGATATAATATGAATAATAATTATTATAATTACAACCACACCTGATCTTGAAATGTTGCTGAACCAAAAGCCCAAATACACGCGAATACAAAATACGTCTCGTACACGTCTCTGGTAGTGTCCAGTGGACAGTTTGTCGGAACCAGAAGACACTCGAGTAATGTGCACAACATATGGATATGCGTTATTTCTGGTATGGGCGTGATAATTTTGAACTTTGTTTTCAATGCCTCCATACAGTTAGGCACGTACTTTTCAAATAGTACCACGAGTGCTGCTTTTTCGGTTACGTTCACCCTAGAGTCAATCCAACTTGCAACATACGGGTTCCATCCGAGGTCCGTTGGGTTTATATAAAGAATTCCAGCACGGGAAACAGTGGCAGGCGTGGCTGAACGTAAATTGGATACCTCGAATAGCAGACGCATTGTCGGTGTCAAGGCGATACGTTCATTACTCGCCAACGTCAATACCTAGTTCATTACATGGTACGAATTTACCAGAATTAAATTCAATCGAATTAAATAAAATATATGCTGTGGTATACGTACTTTGTTGTCGTCCATTACCGTATTCAAGGACTCGATCCACATCGGATCTATGTCACCGTCCATCACCATCCATTTGGAACCGTCGCCGGGCATTTGAGCTTGATCCCGTATCAAACACGAAAATAATCCTGTCATAAAAATCTTTAAATGAAATTTATTACAATATGAATTAAATACAATAACTTGAATACTTACCATCTACCCATTCTCTAGTAGCTGGACTGATTACGCCGAACAATTCGTCGTTGGTAACCGCTTTCGGTTCAATATCGTTATAATATGGTTTCAATTTTAGATTCGAATACGTCCGATACAGCGTTTTCCATACTTCGGACTTACCTGTTCCAGCCGAGCCGATTATGAAAACCGAATGTCGAACTTCTAACAACTCAACTAGTTGCACTACCTGCGTTGACAAAAAACAATTCAACTTGTTAGATGATACATCCGGAGATTAAATAATAATCTGCAGACCTTGAGAATAAAGTTATCCTCGGGCTGGAGTTTCAAGTCTATCGCAGCTTGGCGAATTTGCTTTTCGAATTCCGAATCTCGTTTACGAGGTACATCAAGTGAAGGAAATAAATCACTGACAAGTCCCATAAATATCGCAGTATCTTCTGTTACGATTTTTGGAGTGTTAAAATCTCTAAGAGCTCTCATCAAAACTTGATCTTCTGGACGATTTCTATCTGAACGCTAAAATTAAAATTAGACTAAGATAAAATAAAAATGTAAAATACATATGTATGAAAAATAATTTTTAATATTTATTTTGATTATATTAAGGGTTACGAGTATGAAATTTCAAACTCCTTGAAATTTGTTTTTAAATATTTTTAGATTTTGAACGAAGTAAGGAATATATTGGTTTTAAATTTTATATGATGTGTATAAATACACATGTACTTATTTTTTTATTAATTTATGTATTTAATTTTTTTGTGACTGTTAAAAACTTTTTATCAGAAATATTGCTCCAATCGAAAAATGACCAGAAATCGATATTTTTCCTTTTAACATATAACTATTAACAAAAAAAGTAGTTATTTTTATGTCTTAAGTATTGTCATAACAATTTTAAAAATCAAAAAAGACGAAAAATACGATTTTTTTTTTTCAAATTACGACGCAACGATTTCTTTATTTGAAATTTGTATGGCTTATATTTCCTTTTTTGTTGTATTTTCAATCTAGTTTGTGAGTAAGAAAGTCGTTTTTTGATTTTTTTCTGTAATTTTATTAATAATTAGTAAAAACCGGAAATAAACATGATAATGACGTAAAAATGAAAACAGACAAATTTCATTATTTTAAATTTGTATTATTAAAAGAAATATTATTCCAATAGAATAACAACATAAGATTATTTTTGTTTAATTTTTAATCTAGTTGGTGACCAAGAAAGTCGGTTTTTGATTTTCTTTATAGTTTTTCAAATAATTAGCAAAACCGAAAAATATGTCTAAACATAGAAAGTCTACGAAAATAATTCTTTTATTATTTTAAATTTTGTTTTTTTAATGTAATTTAGTTAGAATTATTCGTAAAAACATGAAAATGTTGATAGAATAAGACTTATGTTTGCTTTTTCTAAGTGTGGTAAAATTTTCAAAACATTTAAGCCATTTTTGAGCTCTTTATAAACATTTTAATTTGAGAGTTTTTATGTAAGTTTTATTTGTTGGATACTATTTGGATAAAACTATTAGACTAAATAGAAATGCTTGAAAACTTTAAAGGAGGTTCATTATAAGTCATACTTAGTGGTAAAATTAAATTGAGTATAATGTAGTAATTTTTTTTTTTAGAAAACTTTTAAAGTCAAATTTTAATGAAAATCGTAATTATTAAAACGCCTTTCAAAATATATATAACCCAACTTCGCTTTAAATCGTTTTTCGTTAGCAATGGATAAACCATTGTTGCAGGTATAAATTAAATAACTTTATAGATCCCATCTTACCAACTATGTACCTATGTACCTACAACAGACAACAATGGCCGCACCTGTCTCCAGAATCAGCTCCTTTTTTGTTTGTTGGTTCACTTTATAAAGTTTTATAAAGTCATAATAGTAACTAGTATTATGGTATATTGAATTTATTTAAAACTTTAAATATTACATTCTTTATCTATATCGGCCTTGCGCCATAAAACAAATATTTATATTCTATACATAATGTTAAAAATTAAAACCGACTGTACTATTTGTTAATACTATTGAAGAGATAGTTTCAATTTGTTGTTAACAATTTTTTTTTTAAGTTACAAGCATGGTCGTTTAGTCTAGATGTCTGCCGTAGTTATTATTATTATAATTTAAAATTTAAAAATAAATTGTATAAAACACCCCAGCAACGTAATCATCAAAATTTAAATATAACACATATTATTATATAGCCACAGTATAACTTTGTACCTTTAACGATCCAGCAACAACCAATAGCGACTTAATAGCTCTTAGACCCCAATCGTAATGATCTTGTTTAGATAGCAGTTCTTTACAAAGTGAGTATAGTGTCAAAAATTTTCGAGCAAGTAACCTTGCGTTTTGGAATCCTTCCGCAATTAAATTAATTTCACAAATAAGTTCAAAATCTGGTACCACCATCGCACATGGCCTGTGAAAAATAAAATAAAATACACACTTTCAAGACACCAATTTTTCGAATATAACGATTTCTTTTATTCTTAATTTACCTAAATAATGCCTTGAGATTTTCGGGAAGTTCTGCTCGTCCCGCATATCCAGGGTTCATTGTAATGAACATACCGACCGTCGGTATAAGATTAATCTTGTCTCCAAGTATAAAACATGAATTTTTTTTCGCTTTAATAGAATCCAAAACAGATTTCACTTGAGTAGCCACTACAGATAACACTTCTACGGATATTCTATTGAATTCGTCAAAACACCCCCAAGCGCCGGTTTGTGCGAGACCTTTGTATATATTCCCACATGACTGAAAGCACATAATTTTTAGAAAGTTTAAATATATAAATATATGTCAAAAAGTATAATACAAATACAAATATTATTATAAGTATGTACTTATAAATAATATGTTGAGCATACCTACCCTATAATCCATTTGTTCAGAACAATTGAAAACGTAAACCATCATTCCTATAGATTTACCCAAATCTTTGGTCGTCTCGGTCTTGCCAGTACCAGCTGGTCCCGCAGGAGCACCACCCATTATTAGATGTAATGACTATTGCGTTTTGGACACACGTTAAAAATTAAAATTAAAATCTATCGACACTAAAGAGATACTAAAAAAATAATATTATGCTCTTTTAAGTTTTAAGAAGTAACAAAACTTACCTGTGTTAACGTAATGTAGCATCTGTCAGTAAGTGGCGTCACCACTAGTCTAGGAGTATTCCCTAGATATTCGTATGAATATCGAAACTGAGCATCACAAATGTTGGCAAAACAATCTGCTTCTTTTAAATCCCATCTGTTAAAAATTATGTTTTTATTAAATTATTTAGTTATTATTATTGTATATAACATTTTAGATTCTGAGCGGATTGAGGAATATATTAGTTTTACAATGATATTTATTTTTCTGTGGACAGCTTTTCTATCAGCAATTTTACTCCGATTTTAAAGTATAGCACAAAGGAAATCTAATTGGAATGGTACTTAAAGAAGGTCATTCTTAAATTTCCTTAGCTGTTTTCATAATAAATGGGAAAAACCGGGAAAAAACGTAGGAAAAACTGGAAAATGTATAAAATGTATTATTTTTAAATCGTAAATATTATGTGCTTATAAAATATGTATAACTGAACTCCGTTCAGAATCGTTTTTCGTTAGCAAAGATTAATCGTTGCATACATAAAATATATACATTAAATCACTCTCTTTATCCTACCTTCCAGACTTCTTATCTATAACAGTCACCCATCGTGTGAAGTATATCCGTTTCTTTTTATGTTTATATTTATATTTTACCTGTGTCTTAGTTGCGATTGCCACTGAAATGAAGAAACCGTTTCAATTTTCTGTTGAATCATTTTAGCAACCACATCCCGGCAATGCACATCGATCGTGCAGATTGTATTTACTTTTTGTCGTTCTCCTTTAGTCAAATCTCCTAACAGTAGATCTATAAGTTCGTTTAACTGCATTATCTGAAAATATATTAAGTTTAAATGTTTATTCTTGTATTATATTCACATTTGATAAAAATATTTTCAGATATATATAGATGGTAGGTAATAAATATTACTTGTTTCTTATTATATTCTTTTAACGCGTTTTCATGACCTAGTTCCAGTTGAGCAAAGGCATCGTTGGTTTCACTGGTCCACCATATTTGAATACCACATAGTGCTGCCTGTGCTGGATAATCAAATATCCACAATCTTCTCGGTTTCTCGTCATAAGCTTTCACTGCTTTATCGAAATAATTACGACCCGAGATACGCATTGAGTCAGTCAATTTATTTAGCCATTTTTCAACCTCAAGATTTTACAAAGTTGTAAACCATAAAACCAAGAAATAAACAGAAGAAATCAACAATTTAATAAACTATTATTATTTACCTGACCAGTGCATTCACAATTTCGATAGAACTCCACGTATTCGCCATCTTTGGCATACATACCAACTGCCAATTTATCTTTGGAAAACTGTAATTGAGCGATTGAGTCGTATAGCTTGATCAAATGTCTAATATTATATTTTAATTAACAGTATTATAATAAATATAATAAATACATTTGTTTAATTTACTTGCAAACGGCCTCCGGATTATTTCCATTTGATAGTATATCTAATAGATCTGCCGATGATATAAAATAGAACCTAGGATATATTAATCGTTTCGTTTCTAAATATTGTGCTAAAACTTTTTCACATTTTAACAGTTCCTTTTGTATACTCATAAGTTTATTATATAATCCTGGTTTACTAGTACCTTTTACAACGTTTTGATTACTTTTTATACCAATTAACAATTCCTACACTCATATAATAAAAAAAAATGATTTAGTGAAATACTCGAACAATACTGATTAAACTATTCGATTTCTCGCTACCTTAAATTCCTGATCGAGTACTTCGAATCTTCTCGTATCTTCTGGTAATTGTGTTCTTATGTCATCAGAGCCAATAAATATTGCTTCTAAATAAACCCATGTCCTTTGCACTTCTACCCATAAATTAATAACACGATCGGCAGTATTTAATTTTTTTTGCCAATCCGATACTTCATTAAAAAAATGGCCAACAAATTTCGAGGTTAACATATTTTGTAACTGTACTTGATTGTCCTCCAAGACTTCTATTAATTCTTCCCTGACCCTAAGTAAATTAACTTTCGTCCTGGGATGGGATACATACTCAAACTGCATTGTACTCCAAATTTCAGTAAATTCTTTCAAGGACTTTTCCATACTCATTTCTTTTACGGACTTATCCACAATAGTTTTTACGTCATCTTCATACTTATGTAAATTAAGAGATAATAAATCATTTAGTGTTGTCGATTGCTCAATAGAAAATTTAACCTATTTGAATTTAATAGTAATTTTATATTTATTATATACATTTCTAAGTTAAATAATATTACATTCGTAACTTCCATCAGTTCTACCCAGTGACGTTCTTTCATTGCTGGATTTTGAAGTTCAATTAATGCTTTTAACGAAGTCATCATGTTTTTTATCAAATTTTCAATATAGATATAAACTGACCAATCCCGTGTTTCTTTGTCCATTACTTAAAATTTATTATTATACACTTTTAAATATTTCATAAAAACATTTTCAGTCCTCAAAAGCAACACGATAGTTGAAAAATAAAATTATTTTTAGTTTTTTTTTTTATCATACTCGATTTAAGAAAATGTACAATAATTAATAATTATTATATTTATTTGAATTAAATGTAGATGATTAAGACGTGTTTTAAACAACAATATAATTTTTATATTATTATAATGCTTTTGAAGAATTCTGAAATATTTTACAAAATATGCACTTAATTGAAATTTAAAAATTAATTTGAATATTAATAAATTGAACGTGAATATAATTTGTATAATTTACGTTATATATTTAAACAATTTGTTTTAATTTTAAAGTATACCTTTCAAATCTTTTGAAAATCGTTTTAGTTCTGTATCCATAAATTCAGAGTCAATGTCTTTCCATAATGTTAAATGCCAAACATCTATCCAACTTTTTACTATATGTACGAAATCCCATAAATGTTTATTTAGTCGCAAAGATATCTTTGTTGATTCCAAAACATTTGGCTCTGGTTGTGGTATTTCGAATAATATTGCTTGAGAAAGTAGTTTATTATGTAATTCTTCTAGTTCTAATAACGAATAATTTGCCTTATCTATTTCTATGTAAGGGTTTTCACAGTTCCCACTAGTTAAAACAATTCATTATAATTTGTTGGTACATTAATAACAAAATAGTTTTTGACACTTACTCAAATTGGGTTTGTCTTATGAAATTATTTTTGAACAACGTTTCCTGTACCCCTAACAAAATGATTCGTCCACTTATTATTGATCCTTCTGTTTGAATTAATGGAATTACTTGTGATTTGACGTTTAAAGCATTTTTCTTCGTGGTACTCCATTTCTCTGGCAATTCCTTAAAATATAAAATAAGTAAATATTAAAGTAATAAAAAATACTTACTTTTCTTAGATACCTACTTCTTATTATTAATTAAAATAATAATAGAAATGTTAATATAATAATACTCATACTTGCATTAAGATGTATACATCTTCTGGCATTTCTACGTCATACATTTTTAGCAAATATAGCGTTTCGGCTAATGGCTCAAACATCGAGTCGTATTCTTCTTGTCGTTCGCGAACTTTAAACAAATGTCCCATAATACTTACAAGGCCTACATAATCTCCTTCTTCCAATGGTTTTAAAAGACCGTTGTCTGTTTCCACGGTAAAATCACGCAATGAACGGAGACTAAATAATAAAATTCATTAATATAAACAAATCAAAGTCACGTGAAATATTGTAGATTTGTAGATATAAATAGGTACCTATTCACCACTTTATTGACCAAATACTTTTTAAACAAATCTGACCAACTAGTAATTAATTTTAGAAGATCTTTTTTAAAAGGTTTAATATCAATTGTTAACCAATAATCAAATGTGACAGATTCTTGTATTTGTTCTACATTTTGATAAAGATTATCCAACGAGTCTATCTAAATATAGTATTCGACATAAAATTCATATAAATTAGGTTTGAAATAGGTACTGTTTATCTTATGGATATACTTTATTTTTAAAAGCACTGAGTTTTGGTGGAGAAGGAGTTAATAATGGACATCCTTCTTCATCCACTTCTGATTGAAGACTCTCCAATTCATCTGGACACAAATCTCTACCATACGTTAAAAAAAATGATAAGGCATCATTTTGATCAGTTAGCCATATCAAGGAATATTCTTGGTACTGAGAAATGTAATCAAGAGCCTAAAATACAATTGAAAAAGTTATTAATCAAATAAGTCAAATTTATCTGTTCAGATAATTAGTGGTGGTTTTGATTTTCTTTTCTGAATGAAATTTAAACCTTTAACTTGGCTTCTTTGTTCAACAATTATAGAAAATATACATATTGATTGTTTCTGAATAATCATCAGATTAAATATATATTATATACAGTGTGTCCCACCATGTTCGATGGATTTTTCTAGCGCTGTTAATATTAAATTTTTTTCGATTTTTTTTTTTTTAAGAATTAATTATTTATTTTCATGCTCTAAAGACAAAAAACAAATAATTTTTTATTTATTGACTTTAGAAAATTTTCAAAATAGCCATTTTGTAAAAATATTATTTAAACTATTGTAATGTATCATATATTGAATAATTTCTTAGTTATAGCTGTTTTAATTAGGCATTAAAACAATTAATTTTCAATAAAATAACTCGTTATGCGATGAGGAATTATAATCAGCACAGTAATTCTTTACCGTCTATTGAATATTAATTTGTTTTCATGCCTATTTTTTAGAAATTAAAATGATTACAATTAAGAAAATATTAATCAAATATGAATGTATAATACATAACAATTTATTGAATAATATTTTTTTATAAAATGACTATTTTGAACATTTTCTCAAGTAAATAAAGTTTTATTTTGAGTTTAGGTAATGAAAATAAAAATTTAATTTTTCTTCAAATCGATGTCCCCCCCCATTGAAGACAAAATGATTGTAAAACAAAATCGTAAAAAATTTAATACTAACAGTGCTAAAAAAAATTCATCAAATATGGTGGGACACACTGTATAAAACATAAGTAATACATAACAAACAAGTTTATAGAACGAAGTTAATTAAGTTAAAACATTCAATCTGATCTTGGATCTTGTGAAGGAAGGTACACTTTTTTTGTAAAACCACCACTACAAGTATTATAAATTATAATTTTTAATGTATTATTACTTTTTCAGATGTTGTTTTTACTTTGTGAAGTATATCATCTTTATACTTCTTTACTAAGTGGTTATTTCTAATATAGACCTACATCAAAAGGTGTTAACAATACAATATATTTTAAGAAATTATACCTTATAAACTAATTTGATTTACAAATATTATAAATAAAACATTACATTATATGGTGGACAGCCATCAGCAATTCTTTCCATACTTGATCCCATTTCAATTATATCATTGAGTAATGAATTGATTAATCCTAACAAATTTGGTTTATTATCGATTTCCAAGTCGGGGGAAAATCGCGGACCATTGTTCTTAAGAAGATAAACAGCCACAAATATTGGCGTTGTTTCTTTCAAATTTTCTTCATCTTGAAATATATACTTAAGACTAGAATAAAAAAAAATAATAAAATAAATTTGTTTAAAAACAATTTTTTGACTTACATACATAAAATTATATACATTCTAGTGAGTAAAATATAATAACACGTTTATAGAAATTATCATATTTTATTTAAAAATAAAATACTTTTACAAATGCACTGGACTTAAAATGAAAATAATTGTTTTGAAGTTTTAGAGGCACTCAAAGATTTAATATTTTAGAATATATAATATTCTAATCTAATATAATTATATACCTGCAAAGAGTGGCTTCTTGTAACTCAATAAAAACTATTTCATCAATATAATGTTTATATTCATCCCACATTGTTTTGTTATTATTGTCTGATAAAATACTTTCTACCTGAGCATCTATATATTCAATTGTTACTTTTTCTTCTCCAGTTAATTCAATTTTTTCTTGGCTGTGTTGTTGATTTTTCTTGTCTTCCAAGCCTACAATCTCTGTTTCATTTAATGATTCTCTTAAGTTTACTCCTTCCACTTCTTCTAAACTTAATGACATTGTTTTTTTCTCAATTTCTTCTCTTTCTCTATTTTCTACTTAAACAAACAATTTATTATTCATTGAAACATTTTCTTCTGCAGTTTTAAGTTAAGAACATTATTACATAAAAATACTTTATTCCACAAAATAGTTTGAAAAGAAAAACAATTTAGTTAACTTACCCCAATTCGGATCCAATACAGACACATTATGAAATAGTAAAAGATTATTTTTGAGTAATTGCTGTATCTTAATACTTGTTATTTCTATTTCTCTGTATCTCATCGTTTTTATTTCAGTCAAATGATTATCAAATGTTATACAATTTGTATTCTTTTCGCGTAAGTACATTGGTATATCACTCCATTGACTACTTAGTATAATTATTTCTTGGAAATTATCTTGTGTTTGCTTTAAACGCTTGTAAACATTTTCAGTCAGACTATAAATAGTTCTAATAGTTTTTTGTATTAAAGTTAAAGCAGACAAATCATCATCTACTTCTTCGCATAAAGTATTTTCATTTGAATAAACTAAATCTATTTAAAAATATAATATTCATACATTATTAATATCATAGAGATAATTTTTTTTTTTTTACCTTCAGATTTCCACGTAACAGACTCTTGAGCATCATTTATAAGTTTATCAATATTCTTAACTTCTTCAATAATTAATTGGAATTCTGTATGATGAGTTTTTGTTCTCAGTGTATTATACCTAAACATGAAAAATAGATAGTAATAATAATATCAAAAATATATAAAACTACAAGTATTTATATTTTGTAATAATTTATTTATGGATCTCATAATAGTTGTTCATTATTACTGTGTATATATGTAAATATTAAAAAGACATTTTTTTTATTGTTAAATAATTATTATTAAAAATATGTTTTCATTAAATCATTGATTATATAATACATTTTAAAACAATCAAACTGACCACTTGACTATTTCTTCAATATCTCTTTTATAATTTAAAATACTACTCTCTCGTTTGTATAACTCAATTACATTGTATGGTATATCTTCTATTTCAATTAACGAGTTTTTGTAATTGTATTTAATAAGTAGTATGTATCTAATTTCTTTGATTGCAGCATGGAGCTGAAAATAAATTAAATATTAAAGTTTATTGAACATCAATAAATAATTTAAAACAAAATTTAATAACCTCTTTAGGAAAATTCAAGCTTATTGTTTTATTGCTGTTCATAATAAAAAGTGGATACACAATTTTATCTTGTATTTGATTTGATACCACACATTTCCAATCTTCAAACAAAGGATGCAAATAATTTGTAAATTTATCCATTAACTCATTAACCTTTAGTTCAATTTGAATACTTTTTGGAGTTTGCATAATTCTATACAACCAAATAATGTTTAATATAAAATATAGGTACTTAATTTAATTTATTATTTTTATTTCAATGTATACTATAACCTTTATTTATTGCTATGCATAAAGACATAGATGAGTATCTAAATAACTCGAACGAAGAAAATTGAATTATGTACCATTTGAATATGTTTGTGATACTTACGGCAAGTCTAAAGTTTGAAGAGCGACTAGATTTTCCATTAAGTGATTTTTTTGCGAATAACCCCACATAATTGTTGTAGCCACCGGCGGATACTCCAAGTCCATTTTCTCAATCATAAAACGTAATTCATGATAGTTACACTTTTTTATGTCTAAAGCCGCAGTCATTTTGTTTAAGCAGTCAAAGATTTTCTACAAATGCACCAATGTTCAATTACTAACATAATAATTAAAAATTTAAATTGTATTTGACTTCTTACATTTGCTCTGATTAATTCTAGATTCAGTAGGTTCAATAACTTTTCATAATGTTCTTTTATGACTGTGGCTATGATTGGTCGGTTCAACAGGACCACACCAAAAACCATTATGAACTATATATTTGAAAAGAATATTCATCATAATTAATCAGTAATATATGCACAAGTTTCAATTAAAGAAGGATCTAATTTATGTATCTATTATAAAATGTAATAGGTACATTAATATTGCATTCATCATGTTAATTGTTTAAACTCAATTCAATTATTATCGACAAAAATTAATTTTTTTTTTCAGTTACAATTTTTTTTTTTAAATCTGTCTATTATTTATGATAGATCAATGATCTTGACTCTAGACCAGTTTTATCTCACTGGGAGCGCGACTCTCTTGGGGGTTTTCTATCTCATTATTGAGGGTAACCAAAAATATAAAATATTGGGTCACCGTGTATAAAATATATACTTAGGGGTCGCTAAAAATTTAATTTTAGGGTATCACGACAGTAAAAAGGTTCTAAAACACTGGTCTAGACCATTTTTAAAAATAAAAAACCAAAATAAATGACATTTTTCACAAGCTTATAACATGACAAAAAAGATTTTGCATACAATTTGATATAAGATTTTAGATTAGTAGCAAATGGATATGAAAATCAAATTAATATAATTTTACCTTATGTAATGTCATTAAATCGTCGCTGTTTTCGAAATACGCTTTGGAAACGGTAGCTAAACTCTGATCAATGTCATTAGACATATTCAAATAAAAGTTATAATCTTCCAAAAATGATTTATTATACGACTCGTTTAACAAATCCAATGGATCATATGAAATAGAACTCATTTTTTCCATGTACTTTGTAAACTGAAGATACACACGTTCGATTATTGGACTATACCAACGGCCAACGAGTCCACTGACTTCAATTTTTTCAATTTTTTGATAATCAATAAAGTTAATAATCATTGACTAAAAAGGTATTTTAAAAACAAATATAGTTTATGATATAAATACAATCCGAATTAACATTAAAATAAAGTATAATTATATGTAGATAGGTGCATCAAGCACCTATCTCGACTTCATAAATTGTTTTATTCAAATTGCATTACAGAAAATGAAATAGAAAAATAATGGACATAATTCGCGGTGGGCGGGCTACTCTTATAGTTGAAAAGTTGGGAAGGTAGAATATAGAGGGGAGTTTAATGTATATCTATACATAACAATCAATATTTTATACCAAAAAACGGGTCTGAGCGAAGTTCGGTAATACTTGTTTTGAAAGGCCGTAATATTTACGATTTTCGTCAATTTTTTTTTCTATTACAAAGTACGACTTGTATTGATTGAACCTCCAGTTAAATTCTCAAACATTGGATACTAATAATTCTATTAATATTAAAATTGTTTTTTTTTTCAATCAGATTTTGTGTTAGGACCTTTATTCAAACGCCGCGCTGCGCACAAATGCCGTCACAGTAATTATGCAGCGCTACTTTTCCTCTAGTTAAACTTAAGTGAAATAACTTGACAAAGGATTTACAGAAATTTAAAAATTAAAGACAAAAATGTATTAAAACTAATACTTCGTCTATTTATAGAATTTATAATTTAGGTTGTCAAAAAAAAAAGTTTTCTAAAATTAGATAATCGGTTTACCTCCATAAGTAAGAGTGAAAAATAATAATAGTAAAGTAACATTTTAGAACTACTTTTATTTTCTAAAAATTTTCAAAAAAAAAAAAATTTCGAAACAATAATACTTTCCAAGATATCGCAACAATCGTGTTTTCGTGGAACACTGTAGATACATGTTAGATTCAATATTTTAGAATAGTACCTATAACAAATCAGCTATTTTTAAAATTTCGAAAAGTAAACAAACAAAAGATATTTTATTTTTCTAGTACCTATAGTTAAGGTGTGATGATAACAATTTAATTTTTCTTTAAATATATGCCCCTCTGACAGAAAATTAAATTTATTATTATTAATAAATTATTCAAAAATTATATATATTAAAATCCTGAAAACATTGTAGGACACTGTATATTAAACCAAAAATAATATTGTATTTTTAAAGTAATAAATAGTAGTCATACTAGCATACTTTAATAGAGTTTAGCCGATCTTCAAATGTATTAACACTTTCAAACAAATCATTCATTCGGAAGTTCCAAAAACGTGCTTTGTTTGCTCTCAAATCAGGATTTTTCAGTAAACATTTTTCAAATTGTTCTTTTAGGTATTCCGTCTGAACCACTTTAAATTGATTTCTGTACAATTTATTTTTAACATGATTACTATTTTTATCTAAATGTAAGTATAGTATTATGATAGTATAAGGTCATAAGGTAGGTATTACAGTCTTAGAGACTTTGCACAATACTTAGTTACGTCATAACGTGAACTACTTAACTATTCATTATTATTATCTTAGATAATAATTTTTAATTATTTAGTAACTAAGTATACGATATTGATAATAAGGATTAATTAATATAGTATGGTAAAATAGAATACATAATTTCTTGTAAATATTTCTTTTTTATAAAACCTTCCGTAAAATTCGGTTAATTTATTTAATTTATATTTCATGCTAAAATTTCACGTTATAAATAAATGATGATTTATGTATTTATTAGGTATATATATATAATACCTGTCTAATAACGGTTAACATCGATGATTGTTAAAAAAATACCAAAAACAATATTGTTTAAATTGGTAGAAGGTACTTAAAAAACAATTCTTGCAATAATTAATATCTAATTGTTATAAAGTATACCATACTTGGAATAACTTAGGATGTTTAAAACTTCATCGATCCTAAGTAGATTTTCCACTAGTTCACCTTGAAACAGAGTAGTCGGTTCTAAATACCTCGAAGACTGTGCAAAAAGTATCCATATTTTACAAATGCACAAAAATAAAACATATTATGTAATTAACTCCGATTTATCGTATATTACCTGGTCTACAATCATACTACAAATAGCTTTAATCAAAATAATAATGTAATCATAATTTTGAAAATGCAAACAGTTTATCCATATAAAAGCCAACTTTCTCCATAACACGCATAGTTCTACCTTTGCTTCAGTTAAACCCACTCTTTCAATCGTATTGATGTGTTTAGTTAATGTCGCCAAAAACATATTTATACGGTTTGTTTCGTTTTTTACTAAATTTAACAAAATATTACGTATAGGTACCAAGTTTATTATTTCGATTGTAAAAACAAAAATTATTATTTAGTAAAATAATATTTATCGATTTACCAGTTATTGCAATTTCTACTGTTTGTCTGTAAACATCCATACATGGACTTTTTGTAAGATGTAAATAATCACCGACTTGTTGGTCGATTTGTTCATAAAATTCTTGAAATTGTTTTTCTCGATTTTTCCAGAAAGTTAGATCTGTGAAATTTATTGTTATTTTTATTTTATTAGTCAAAATGTAATAATCTATAAAACATTATTAAACTTAAGTCAACTCATCGCACATTCAGTGGGTGACGCGGTGGGATTTTTGTCCAAAATCACACATGGCTTGAGTGCAACCATTGCATTAATTTCATTGAACCACGTGTACACTTGATTTTCCAATCTTTGTTTTAATACTTCATCTAAAATTTGTCCATCACTAAATACAATATATGATGTTATCTGTAGTTAATTACAATAATCGTGGTATTCTAGAGAGATTTTTTTCCAGTTAATTAAAAATCCTCATAAACAAAAAACATAAGAGTATCTTATATTAAAGATCTTTTTCAAAAAATGTTCATATTGTTTTCTATAGTGAATAATACATTATATAATATCTACTAAATTTCAAAAGCCAGACTTCACACTATAGTCCATGACATTTTACTCATCAACAAAATGTTTAAAAAAAAAAAAATAATATTATAATCAAAAAAAATTGCCTGGAAAAAGTATTGATTATATTTCAAAATTGTTTTCAAGTATATAAAAAAATTCGAATCTTTTGAGGTGTGGGATGAAAAATTCGGAGTATTTTTTTTCACTGATAAATTTTTTCTCAGAATAAAAAACATCTTGGTAAACCAAATAACTTATCGTAGTTTAGAATCTATAAATATTTAAAATATCTAATAATAATTTTTTTTTTAATAGTTATTATTTTATTCAAAGTACAATAAGATATTAAATTTGTAATTGGATATAAGTATAGGTTAGGTAAACGTTTAAGAATAAAAAAACTATTTCAATCAAATATTTTGTTAATAAATTATTATAAATAATTTTAATTGGCTACCTCTTTTCAAAGTTTTTTAAAGCAGCAGCGATCTTGTCACGTCCGTAACGCAATGTCAAATTCAATCGGTTTTTTATCTGTCCTGATGATGATATGTTATTTATAATTATGAGAAGATTGTAAAGTCTATCCTGAAATGCTACCACAATATCGTCCGAGTAATATTTGAAATTATCTCTCGTCGAAAATAAATGTACTAAAACCTTGATATTTAAAATCAAATATATATATATATAGTTATTAAAATTACCTATTCATTTTTGAATACATATATTTAGTAACCATATCACTTACATTTTCAGTAATTGCTTCTAAATCTTCAATTGGATTTGAAGATACGTCACCATAAATAAGCATGGATTCAAAATTGATGTCAGTAATTTCAACAAGTTCAAGTTTTATAAAATATGATATTTTATTCTTTAGAACGTCTTCAGGAAAATCATTTATTGGCATTAATACTCCCGTAGAATTTAATGTAAATAAAATTTTATCACAATCCGGCGTATTAAAAAAATTCATTATCATAGTCTATTAAATTCATATAAAATAAAAATACAAATTTTCAAACTAAACGAGTTTATAATCATATTAAGTCCAATGTAATTGTTTTGCCTATGTTGTATCTAATGAACAAATTAATAAATTAATAAGCGTAAACCTACTAGAATACAAATATTTTACTTAGTTAATTATGAATTATGAATTCTTATGAATTTATATTCAAAAATATACATCACATTAAGGATTAAAACTAATTAAAGCAATTAAAGGTGTACAATTACACTGTTAATACATTATGTTGTATTATATTTACTGTTTTAAATTTAAACCATGCATTTCTAAGTGGATGACGTGCTGAGACAATATACATACATGAGTGTCTGAAGTTTTCAACATGTTGATCCATGTTTCTAGTTTAATCTTATAACTTTTTACGAGTTCTTTATACATGTAAGTCAAACGATTGTCATCGAATTCAGAATTTATTCCCATCGAATTCATCCCTCTCCGTATAAATTCAATTTTAAAAACGTTATAACGAAAACTATTAATAATTTCACTTTTATGGGTACGTTTTTTTTTTCAGAAATATTATAATGTGCAATGAAATGTTCACCTAGTATGCAATATTAACGCGATTTCATGGTGCGAAGAGTTATAAATTATAATTATATTTATAGTACAACACCTTATAGCATGTACGTAGTTACCTTAGTGACGGTACTTTGTTGTATAATCCATAATATTGTAGGTGTTGACAGAAATTATTTTACGAAACTACCTATTAAAAAAGCAAAAAATAAGTATACTATATACGAGTAATATCGCGTGTATACATTTATGTATCATCGTATATGTCACAATTTTGGTATCAAAACACAAAATCGCAATATTAGAAAATGTTGCGTTTGTCGATGGTTTACACTTACCAGGGTGTTTAAATCGTTGAATTACTAACAGTGTACACCAATAGTTTTAATATTTATTTTATTCGTTACAAAACAATTTTACCGTATTTGTATTTAATTATAAAAATAGAACATGCACATGTGTAGTTATATTTCAGAAGAGCAATTTTCACTAGTAGTCAAACGACATTACAAAATTATAAGTTAGTGATTATTTTTATTTATTTATTAAAGATGAACATTATATGAGTAAACTATTATTCCTGATCTAAATTTGTTTGTTTTTCTTAAATTTGCATACAACGATCTTTATACATTTTCTTTTCTTGGGCTTCATCCGTTTAAATAAACAAATAAATAAATTGAGAGCTCTATCACAATTATTATAGTATGGCTTAAAAATAATCTGTGAAAAAATGTTGTGATTGTGAATAAGACAAAAATCCTAACTCAGCAACTCCGAAGATCTTATAAATATATATATAGGGAAATAAAGTTCAAGCTGAACAAAGTAAAACTTTTGAGAAGACTACCTTGCATTTAAAATTACAAGGGACATGATAAATAATATATAACATCATAATATTATTCTTAGATTTCTTGAAGTTGTTGTAGATTTATATATACTAAGTGAATCCAGTCAGATTTTTAAACAGAATATTAATTTTCCTCTCATATTCTTCTCTATTTTTACTCGAGAAAATTAAGAGGACGTGATATTCACATGTGCTATCTCTGACTTACAAACGTACAACGTAAAAAAATTACGTTCAACGGGGATGATTTTATCCTAGTTAAATTTAAATTATTTATTAATTTTTTTTTTTTTAATTAGTTAAAATAAAAATTATCAAAAAAAGTTACTTACATTTTATCTGGTTACTGATCAGCTTTTAGGTATTGGTTTTAATGTAATGAATCGGAAAAGATTTTGAAGTTCGGACATAATTATCGTCAAAAGCCATTTATTTATTGGTTAAGCTTTATCGGTATTCGTACTTTAACATATAAAACACTATATAATTTGTAACCCACCTCATTTCGTGTAAGCACGTCGAGATTGTATTATTTGCAGGATTCGAAGGCACGGTAACCCGCCGACGACGACGAACGGGACGTATAACGTACAATTCTGGTCCTTGGTTCTTTCAATTGAAAATGTACTCATTTGATATTATATATTCCATCGTGAAGTATGTATCTAACGAGTCAGTCATCAGGTTGTACCTCTCTCAGCCGGTGATGTTCTGCAATATCTTTTTCTCATCCGAAATGTACGTGACATACAAAATAATTGATTGCACGTGTAGTACAATAAACACCACCAGCAATATTCCGTGTACATCGCTTAACCATTAGTGGCATTAACTGCCATAAACTGACTACGATCCCGTAAATCATCGCAAACCTCATCTACGTGATCCGTCCGTTGATATAAAATTATCTATTTATGCAAGAAATGGGGAAAATGAGAGAGTAAGATTGAGATATTGAGATATTGGGAAAATATAGAGAGAAGGAGAAATGACGATCAATTTATCAGTAAATATAGGTTCACCGAGATGCGAAGCAAGGTCCAAAATGAAACTCCAGACCGTCGGGTTCCACGAACCGGGTCCCGAAGACTTAACTTAAGTCTAGACTTTTTTTAGTGGATGCTGCCAGATGTCAGCTAACTCATCCTAATGATTGCATTATTTAATTAATTTATTGTATTTATTACGTGAACCTGCACCGTGAAGGAGAAAGCGAGAGTTTTTGTAAATATTAATTATAATTGAAATAATAAACGACAACAGCAGTGAAGTATTGTTAAAATAGATCCTCCGGTACTATCGGTTAAATTTTAAAAAAACAAGTTATTAGTAGATGGAAGCCGAGGACAAATTAAAAGAAAAAGTGGATTATATAGAGGCGTTGATTTTAGAATACACTAATATATATTATAAAATCAGTGATAGAGGTTATGGCAATGTTCACTTTGGACACTCGGACGCTTTCAGTACTCACGTTCACCCTAGCGCTCACAAACCGTTTACGCATTTAAAATCGCTTTACTTACTATTCCAATACGAACGATTATTTTTATACGTGAGAGTTTGAACGTGTAATCAAAAATATTTTTCGATAACATGATAACGATATTGTGTCCATTGGAAATATTGTACACCGATTTAAATATTTAATCGTACATTGTCAATGTTCACTTTTTCAACATAAAATTAATTTGTTAGCTCTAAGACGGTTTCACTCATAATTATTTCTATTTATATCCGATTTTAGACTGGGCTAGCAATTAGTTAATGAAATTGTATTTTCTTTTTTGTTAGAAGAAAGTGAGGATGATGGCCATGACTTTGAACTTACAGTACTATTTGTCACTGCCAAATTGTAATACCTAAAATGAAAAATTATATTGAAACTATTGTATTACAGTTCAACGATGGATTGCAGTTCAAATCTCATTTTAGGCTTTAACTTTAGTTATTGTTTATAAGCAGAACTTTATATTTAGATTAAGTTCAACTAAACTTTGCTCAAAATTGTTTTTTTTTTATTATTATTATTATATATTATGTATAGAATGCTTCTGGAAACTTTTGAATTAATTCAGGCACGTGGAGTAGATGAATAAAATGGTGATAAATAGGAAGAATCGGAGAGCAAGAATAAGACTTAATAGTAACCGATTCTACGGATGAAATACAGAATTATCCGTATGGTTTGTCTTATTGTAATAATAATTATTATACTTGAATGATACAAAATTAATATGCTCAGCACTATTCAAATTTGTACTTTATCTTTTCATAAAAATAAAAACCGGCGACGGCGTTTATCGCATCCCGTTCGAATTTTAAGTGGCATCGGTCGTGGCCATAATCAGAAACAAGTTGCTCATGAACTGCGCAGTAACGTTTACGAGTAATTGGACCGCGTTCAGAGCAGAAAAAATTTGGCGCCGAACGCAATGACGTTCACCACAAACTCGGCTGCCTAAAAATAATTCTTGGACGGTAAATCTGTGGTCAAACCGCTGAACTCGATCATTTTGACCAGCAGTGAGCCAGTGACCAACACGTCAAAAAAGAAATTTGGTAGGGTATGGAATGTTTAGCAAACGACCGCCAATTGTTGACGATCAGCCGCACGTACGCACGGGTATCATAAATAAGTAAACGAACAGCAGTGCTATGGTAACGGAAGCCATTGATGCTGTCACCAAACCCTCGCCCACCCGGAGTACGATAATAATAATAATATGTTCACTTTCACGTTTGTTTATTTTTAAAAAGAAAATTTGAATGAAAAAAAACCGACAATAATAATAATAACGACGCGCTACGTGTTTACTTAAACTAAAATAATATATTATTCTGTTTTCGTATCGTCTTATGTAGTTTAATTTTTAAATATAGAAATGTATTTGTAATTTGTCATCTTTATTTATTTATTTAATATTTGTATTACTGTTATTATTATTATTCTAACTAAATATCTGTACATTTTTTTTTTCTATTATCATATTTATATAAATCACTTGATGTTTTTTGGGTCTCGGCCAGTACTGTTATAAAATAAAATAAAATATATTACCACTGATGGCAACTATACGAGTAGCATTTTAAACGCGCAAACACATACTTCCAAGTAATGAATGCATATTTTATTTTCATTTTTATATTTCTCGCTTTCATACCACTCGAATGGGGGGAGGAGGAACAGTTATACCCTACTCATAATATTGTCCTCTGCGTCTCTCTATATCCGCCGCAATTTCTTCGCCTACTCCACAATCCGCATATCTTCATTCTTCTCCCCGAGTAACCTCTATAGTCATTGTTTCTTTGACGCTCCTCTTCTCCAGCTTCCGTTTGTACTTTTTATATTTCACAAATAAATACTAAATAGGTAGACCTAAAAGTATGATAACAATAATATAAAGACACCGATTAATCGACTTGATTAATAATTTATTATACTCCACGACCCATAGTGATCAATATGTTTTTTATGTGATTCCTATACAATATAATTCAATACATTTTTCTCCAAAATCTCTAGCCTCTCTTTAAGCTTGCCTCTTGACGCTTTTTATTAATAATTTGGTAATTTGTTGTATAATATCGAATTTAATTAATTAATTTATGTTTAGCCCACTTATAGATCCTTAATTCTTGAATTTATTTTGTTTTTTTATAAAACTTTTAAATTTTATTTTTATTTATTTTATTATAGGTTCACTGACACTAAACATAATATGTCCAAAAACGTTTGCAATCTCTGTATTATATCTAATCGTACGGGGCCAGTAATAAATATAATAATATATATTATAATTTTAATACTTACAATTACACTGTCCTTAAGTATATTTACCGTGGTGGCAGAATAAAAATGTCGTAAAACATTGTCAATCATAATATATAGATATGGTGCAGTCGTTTGAATGGAAGTCTATATAACGTCTGTATAAAATATAATATTTAAACAACTAACAGACAATAATATATGAATATTTACGTCAATCGTTTTTTTTTTTTACGCTCGTGCACATTTTCTAATTTCTCGAGAATTATTCTTTCTGCATTATGTGGTTATACAAATATTTCTGTTAAAAACTGTGAACACAACAGCATTCAAAAAAACAAGTAGGTATATGTATAGAGAGGATATCCTTTTTATTTCCATAATAATCTTCGTCAGGTTATTCAATTGTTACCTACCAATAATTGATACAATTTGTGCACACTCAGGGAAATTAAATAAATTAAAAACTGGTTGTTGTTTTTTCATAAATAATTAATATAAATACATATTATTCGTCATCGCCAGATCCCAACACCATGGAAATGAGGTCTTCGGTGTCGATCATGCCTTTCTTGTCGATTTCCATGTTGTCAAAAGCATCTTTGACTTCTTGTGTGGAGAATTTGTCTCCCCAGTTTAATAAACCAAACCTCAGCCTGAAAACATAGAGATAAGTTTAAAACCATAATAAAGTGAAATATTCGAAATGTATATTTACTTTTCACTGTCAATTTTGCCTTCTACATCGAATGACTTGATAGCAGCAATAACGGTCTCGTCATCGTCGGTTTGACCTGTATAATTATTAAACCCGTTAAATCATAATAATATATCAACAACATATTATAACAACAATATATCGTTCACACAAACCTCCGTCAGCCATTCTAGCTGCGAACAACGTCAACAATTGTGTGAAGTTAACTGGGCCAGAAGCTTCTCCCAACATGGCATCGAGTTCAGGGTCTGTGACAAGCTTGCCTACTTTGTCCCAAGTGGCTCTCAAGTCCTCTTTGCCCAAAATGCCATCTTTGTCCCAGTCCATCATCGAGAAACCCTATTTAAAGAACAAGTTAAAAATAACTGATGTAATAGTGGTCTCATCTCAATTTTTTTTTTTTTTTTTGCGTGTGTTAATAATTATTAGTAATTACCTCTTTGAACTCGGCAACTTGTTGGGTCGTGAACATAGAGAACACATTACTGCCTGATCTGCGGACTTTCTTCGATGAACTCTTACGGCTGCTGTGTTTTGTGCTGGAATGAGAGGGAGGTGCTTCGGGTTCGGGTGCTGGTGCTGGTGCTGCTTCAGCCGCTGGAGCTTCTTTCAGTTCCTCCTTCTTTACCTTCTTCTTCTTTACCTTCTCTTTGTCACCCTAAAATTAAAATATATAACGTTTACGTTTGCCTTAACAAAACATTAAAAACCCAATAATTAATTTTTTCATTCCGTTGCATATGTATAAAACTGTAACAGAATTATTTATGGCGCGGTATTTACACAAACAATTATTATTGACATTTAATCAAAACAATATTTATCATATTCTAAAATCGTTTAACATACACATAAAATTGTAAAATGTTTTAGATTTTCTAAATAATCCCGTAAGCAATCGATAGTAAAATGTTCAAATTGAATGTATTATAATTCAAAGTTCGCTCGAATAAAAATGTCCAATTATAAATTATAATAACTAGTAACTATCAGTGAAAATATTCTCAAGTACCTACCCTCGTCTAATTAAAATATTAAAACGAATGTGAGTATAAATTGTTCTTAACCGTTCTTATTTCCAGTTAATTAAAGTTATACGTATATTATAGTACGTATAGTATAGTGGTAGTTATAGTACGTTTAATATTTATATTTGTTTATTTGTTCAGATCTATAGTATCTTATAGTCGTCGATTATTTTTATAAATGTATACCTAAGTGTATAAACCCAGATGAATCCGAAAAAATTCCTAACTTTAGCTGAAATCCGAAATAATTTGGAAGTGTGCCAATTTTATGTCATCCATGTGCCATATTCTAAATATAAATCGAGCTTGGTCCAATTAACAAAACGTATTGCCAACTTTATGCGTACATATACAATCCATATAGTATTAACATTCCTTGACTTGAAATGAATTTTTGGGTATAACGCGTTGTACCCAATGGTTAAAATTTAAAAAAACACTTCAAAGGATAACTATATTTATCGAAAATCAAGGAGTACTCCAGAGAACTATCTTAACCCAACAAAACTTTCAATAAAACCGTCATAGAGACAAATTACCAAAATGTTCTTTTTCCGCACATATTTGTTTACACGAATTGTATGCTAATAGGATTTAAAAATAAACTGCGCCACCCTAGCAAATAAACATTATCCTACACAAATACCTGCTCAGTAAAAATAAAATAAACAGAGTGATTATGTATAATCCATTAGGTGTTAAAGAATTTATTTTTAATATAACTAACTCGAGTTTTTATAATCCCCTCGGACTTCAAAGACTTGAAATAAAGGAGACGAATAATTTTGCCTTAAATAAGAAAGGGGTTTCCGTCCTCCTACACCCCTACACTTTACCACTGGTTGCACCTATTAAATTGTACAAATAAAATCGATTTACCTACATATAAAAAGTTTTCTACATGAACAAAACTATATAGGGAGGTAGGTACTGTGGTATATATTAAAAAATGAAAAAAAACTATTTTCAATTGTTCGCTAAAGGTCTGCTAGATTTGATATAATTATATTAGCACTTTTAAGACGTTCTTTAAATGCAAATATGACAAATATAAGTAATTAAAAAAACGGCGCGTTAAAAATTAACACGAACACGGTAACCTGTACAGGTTACGTGAGTATACACGCTTTTACCAGCGATCAATTTTGTGCTCGTGTCTAAATATGAACATGAATATGAGTCATTTTAAATATTCAAAAATTTTAAAAATGGTACCTATACACGTTGAACCAAATCGAACCATCAATTTTAAACGCGATAATATCAAAAGTTTTAAAATAGTTATGCTGCTGATCTCCTATTCGCGACTACACGTATTCAACTATTAGATATGTGCCTATTAAATATTTTAGAAAATTAAATACACATATTTTACCTGTAATAAATAACCTATATTAAATTATATTAAATAATATCCTATGGCTGTTTACTGAAACAAATTATACCTACTATCTACAAGCCGCGTGATTACTTAAGCCTGCAGGTTCACGTTGGCAAGCGACGGGCGATACCCAATTGGAATTGGGATTTAACATGCATTTCAAAATTATCACTCATCGTTCGTCGCGAAGTATAAGTCATGTTTAATCCCATTCGCATCGCTTACCAAAGTTAGCCCTGACGTTACACTAAAACTATAATATTAATATTATGTTATAAAACAACTGGGATAATTAAAATATGAATGCATCATAAATAATAACGCGAATATAGTTGAAAAAAATTTAAAACGTCGGCTTGAATTTATTTAATATTGGAAAATATTGTTCGGTTAAATTATTGTAGTTTTATTTCCGTTGCTTTGAAACGGTATACAGTGTAAAGATATAAAATAAATATTATATAATAAATTACAAAAAAAAAAAAACAAGTTTGCAAAAATATTATAGAAACGAGCGGTACTAACCATTTTGTATGTTGTTCGTAGACGATAATATTACCAATAGAGAAGGTGAATGCTACTGAGCTCCTGAGCTCAAACTGCTTGCGATTCTCGGGTCTCGGCGGTTTAAAAATATAATTTTATCGGCCAGCGAAACACTAAACTTAGCCATACTCAGTCATATGGTCTTTTTGGTTTTATTTAAACTCTCATTCGCTCCCCGCCGATGTCCCTTTCTATTAATTGCGTGCGTATTGTCCTATAACGATTTTTTTTTCTCTGTTGGCATCTCCTGGTATACCTCTACAAGACATCTAATATGAATTATATATACTTTCTCTAACACCCTTACGTGCACCGACTTATATTATACACGCCAATGTTTTCGTTTGAAAATATAATTATTATTTAGTATAGGTATCTATTTATTAACGATTCATCACTTTCGGTGTAACGTAATCATGAATTGATTTTGCCATTACTAAATTCGTCAACATAATATATTTTTTTTATTATAATTTTTAACCGTTAAAAATTTATTTTTAGTAAATTACGTTTGCTTATGTTATTTGGTTTATATTTATTAATATGCGCATACAAGAGTTATTAGGCGATCTAGGAGCGTAGCCAAAGGGGGGGAGATGTTTTAGGTGTTAAAATAACACTCCTCTCCCCGGTCGATGGACATTAAAACCAAAAATATATTATACAAATGCTTAGGGTTCTTATAAAATGTTTAGTTGAATGGTTTTTTGATTATATTATAATTTATTGGGAAGCTTTTAACATTCGGACAAATAATATCACCGAATTAATTTCATAAAATAGCGAAGACATTACGAATATTGGTCTGACCACTCTGGTGAATACTCTAATTGAGAATGCGAAATATTCAGCGAAATTTTGTGGAATCTAAATGAAAATGTATCTTGACAATGTTTTCTATCAAAGGCGGTATTCCTTCTGAGTTCTGAAATGTTGATAACTATAACTACCTACTACAAACAAATATGAAAATAGTAAATTATTTGTCGTTGAAGCTAAATAATTGCACTATGTTAACAATTTCTAAATTGTATTAATTCCGTTATTGTATTATTATTAGTACCTATTATTTATAAAAAAAAAAAAAAGTATACCAGGTTATATAAGGAAACAAATATGTCAATATGCCCTATACACCCTTATACCTCTTAAATATATTGGTTATGTGATGGGCCCCTGAGGCAGAGGCACGGAAGTGCATTTGTCCCCCCCCCCCGGCTTTCCAAAATGTGTAAAATTAAATGTAATTATACAAAAAGAAAGGCCACCGTCATAAAAATATAAAATATAAGATTTTTGATTGGTCGTAATGTATATTATTAGAACATGTCAAGTTTCACATATAGTATATTCCATAATATTATTATAATAACACAGCAATAATCAGAAATCAAAAAATATTATCTTAATTTTATCAACATCATCATCATCATCTTCATCATGATAATTCATCATGTGGCCTTATAACTCTGTAAGATTTTAAGAATTTTGGATGTCATTGCTATCATTAACTTAATTACCTACCTAATTATTAGTTCCAAAACATTTCAGAACTTATGAAATGTAGGTAAGTATATTATGTATTCTTGTTTAGTAACAACGTTTTTGGTCATTTTCATAATATTCAATTATTTTCTTAAATATCTCTAACTTTTCGGTGCAAAAATTTAAACTAATAAAAATAGATGGACCAAAAATACAAAGAAGCCCAAGGTGATACCACGTCAAATTTTTCGTTTTATATACACCACGTTCCAGTTACAAATTCTAGATATTAAATTATTCAGATTTTATGTAGGTCAATATTTTTAAATGGTAATGTCTTTAAAGAACTTTTCAGCTAAGATTAAAAAGGTAATAACTAAAGAAAATATTATCAAATGTTTATAAAAAAAATAACCTGTATAACCTATATAATATGAAAAATTTACTTAATTTAACCAAAATAAATTAGAATTCTATAACGTACTGTATACAAAAATGAGAATCTATAACGCTATCTATTAGTTAATTTATTTACTAGCATAAAGTAAACAAAGAAAAACGAGGGAAATATTAAATTGATAAGAATTATGACTATACAATAACCAAATTAAATACATGTCCTCGGTTTATGGGTCTACCTCATGAAGTCACAGCTCTTATACCTAGTCATATCTTACTATTTTAGTTTAATGTTTTTACTCTTATAGAGTTGTATATTCTGTAGCTGCACTGGAGTTGTGGTGCTTTCTGTATCGGTTATCTAAATTTATTTAGTAGTTTTATGGTTTTCTCGTTTCTATTAGTTAACTAACTATCGTTACTTTAAAGGTTTAAATTTTCATAATCATAAATATGGATACATGGACTTCAAATTTTTGGGCGGAAAATGAAACTGAATGCAAAAGAATTTTGATGGAACCAGGCAACTGGGAGAAGGTAATTTAAATTATTCATAAAATATAAGAACAAATCCAATATTTATCTATGTTGTTTAAATTATTGTGCTGTGTTATTCCACAACATACATTATTAAAAATGTATTTATCTATAACTTTGATTGATGTTTTCTTTTTGATTGTTAGTCGACGTATTTATTAATTTTAGAACACTGTTGATTACTTATTACCTATACACAAATTAAAAAATGTTTTTGTGCTTTAGGTACCGTTATTTGATCACAAAACTGCCCTTGGAACCTTAGTGAGGTTTAAAGGAATGGTCCAAGATATGTTAAATCCAGAGTACTACAGTAAAACTTTTTCAGTTTTTAATTCTGTTACTAATGAAACCAAAATTTATCAGGGAAAATATCATAGTTTTATTGTAAATAAAGTAAGTATAATTATGTTTATTAAAAGATCTTATATTTGATAATAAAATTCACATTTTTGCAGTCTGAAGAAAACATTCAGTTAGGAGATGATTTGATGGAAAGGCAAGTTGTTGTTTGTGTTCCAATTCCTGGACTAAATAAATGGGTTGATGATGTAACTATTTCCAATAATGAGATTGAAGTTGAATTGTATGTTTATTAATCTTTAGTTTTCCTAAAAAAATGTTCATTATTCTGTGTTGTTATAGACAAGAAAATTTCAATAAACGGATTCGTTTAGATCCAGCTTGCCAAAACCCCCCAAAGGATGTGTTAATTTTTGTATGTATTGATTTTTTTTTTTATGTTACATCAAAATATCATTATGATAATCAGATAATGTGATAAGTTAATAAAATAATTGCATACTTAGGTTTATCCTGAAAGTGTAGAATCTTGTGAGTTAAAGTTGAATGAGATTGTCGAAGTTGTAGGATTTCTTAACCGACGTACAATTGAAGAAGATAATGAAGATATAGAATCTTTACCAGCCAAGGAAACTTATTGTATTCATACTGTTCACTATAAATTATTTCCAAACTTAACTCTGAATAATATAAAAACGAGTAAGTTCAGGTTGTAAATGAAATTTATATAGTATAATAATTATTATATTACAAATGTTATTAAGTGGATGATTGTATTTGGGAAGAAGCTTCAAGCCTTCACACAGAGTTAAAATTAATTTTAACTCAAGCATTATTAGGAGATTCTTTAGTAGCTGATTATTTATTATTTCATCTTGTTTCTACAATGTATGTATATTAATAATTGTACAGGTACAATAATTAATTTAACTACTGTCTACTTCACTACTTATGATTTTTTTATTTAGATATAATAGACAACGTAATCATGTTCCTGGAAAATTTTCATTAAATATACGAGGAATTCCAAATAATATTGAGAAAAATTATACTACCAAATTGTACTCTTTGATATCTTATTTGGTTGTTAAAAGTGAATATTTGTCAATTACAATTGATTCTATGAACAACACAGACATGATTCCAAGGTAATTTATGTACTTAATAAAACAAATTAGGGCCCTTTTCTTCTATGTATCATTGTATACATATGTATCATATGCCCTTTGTCGTACAGGTGATTTTTTTTCAGTTTTACAATCTCAACCTGCATGTGCTCTCTTGCCATACAACCATGCAAAATAACAAATCTTTGTTCATCTAGGATAACTGCACTGTTAGTTTTGATTATTAGAATCAATTTAAACTATTATCAAACTTAAAGATATTAATCTCATGATTTATTTTTCTGTTATTTTAATTTTTAAATGAGCTGGTGTGAAATATCACAATTGAGAAATGCTTCTTGTTTAAAAATTAAAATAATAAAAAAAAAAAAAAAGCAACAATGAGACGACACAGGTAATGTTCATATCTTTGAGTTTGATAATAGGTCAATTCGCTCTAATTTTAAAACAAACAGCACAGATTTGTCCCTGCTGAACAAAAATTTGATAGCACTTCGTGCGATTTATAGCATGATTGTATGATGGAAACAATACATGTATGTATGACGTCCTCTTAAGTGGTTCCAATATGTATACTAATAAACTGTACACAATTGTATAGTAATTGAATAAGTTTAAATTGTGTTCCTCAGACCTTAAATTCCAGAATGTGTTATTTTAGTTTTTAACATATTTGCTGAAACTTTTATTCTAAGTATTTATAGGATAATTTTGACAATTACTTCCTTGCTTTTACAATCAATTAGTACAATGTGGTCTACGGATTTGTTTAGTCATCAATAGTAAATAGTGAATATAAAACTATTGCTTTTATTGGAACATTTTTTTTTCATCATGTCTTCGGCATCTACATACAATTTTTGTTATCAAAGAATATCACCATATATAACCAAACAGTTTGAAAAAAACAGTTATAAAACCATTATAATTATTTATTTGTATGTATACAAATATAATAAATATCTATTTATGAACTTTTATGCTTCTTAACTAGATATTTTAGAAAATATTTTATAAATCACAAAAAATGTATAGAATAAGAGCTATAATAAATTTAATTTTAAATACATAATACATATTTTATTAAAAAATTAAAAAAAAAAAAAAAAACATTGGTTTTGAACAAAAACACATAGAACTTTAATGGCTCCCTAGTCAGATATAGATTAAATTTGACCAATTGATATAAAATTGTATATAGTTTATTTTTTATACATATTAGAACCCAATTAGAAATTAAAACTAATAAAAGATTTTGATAAATAAAGGCCAGCTTAATAGAGGATAGACAATTTCTGAATATTGTTTTGTATTAAACATTCCAAATATTTTAAATTGTATATAAGTTTCCGAATTTCAAATTTTTAAAATAGTGAAATTTCTATTACCTTTCTACATGAAAGTAATCCCATCAATATCCATTAATACTATGCAATGCTAATAATTAGCTACCACTCATAGGCATACAGCTATTGATTCTCATTTAAATGACCTTAGCTGTGATAGCAAAATATCCTACACTATGAACTATCTATTTGTTTCAGTCCAACTACCAAACAACATGCAAAAACAATGCTTACGCAGACTAAGTTAAACTAACTTGATTTTTTTTTTTTTAAAGTTAAAACACCTGTCATAAAATTTAACAAGATTAATATTTTGAAGGGAATATTATAGGTGTTTTTTGAATTATGAACTATTATAAAAGTTAATTATTTTAAAATCTAAAAAAAAAAATAGTAATTAAAATTAAAGATAGATTATTAAATAAATTGTTTTACTCAATTAATATTATTATATAAAATCTCAACTAAAAACAGTTATAACCTAAATTAAATTTTAAATCATTTATAATTAGGTAATTAAAAAAATGATTATATTGAAACAACTAAAAAATAATTTGATTATAATTTTTAACTATATATTTGTTATTATTTCAGAAAATGTTATACTTCTAATAGACTGTTAAACGGTTTATTACAGTTATCAAATAGAACACATTTGGTTTTGGATGAAACAAATTTAGAGCCAGGAAAATTGGATAATAAAGGTATTTGTGTTAAATACCCATTTAATTCTTTTTAAAATGATTTTGAAACAAAAACACTTAAATTTAAACCATATTAAGCTTCTATTTTATTTTAAATAAATATGTGCTTGGCCCAAAGTACAATTGTAAATATTTACAAATAGTATGAGTTCAGTAGAAGTGAAATGGAACTATAACAGAAATGAAGGCTGGGTGTTGGCTAGACGCATTAATTGGTCAATTAGATTATTCTGACTGTAATTAGTATTGTGTAGGAATAGAAAATAGAGCAATAGAGCTGATTGAGCATGAGCAAGTTTATATGGAAAAGGAACGAGAAGAATCAGCAGAACCATAATAATTTGTTAAAAATAACATTATACAAAAACAAAATTGTTTTGATATTCATTATACATATATTTAAAAAAAAATCCCTTTGTTCTACTATCTAATATTACGGTGTACTTATTTTTATATTAAATAATAAAATAGTTTATTAATGACTTTTCTAAGGAATGACAAATCTGCAAGCTCTAACAGATGTAATTACTAATCAGCAAATGAAATATGATTTTACCTACTATACAATTGATTATGAAACTCAAATACCAGTATTAACCTTGTCTATTGGAAAATCACTTTTACCCGTAAGTTTGTTAATAAATTATTAGTTTATTAATAAATAGTATTATTAATATAATGCGTAATGAAATATCATTGTTTAGTGTGATATAGATATTGTATTGAATCCTGACCCATCTTGTACTAATAATATTGAAGAAACAATAGACTCTGCATACAATTACCTTAACTCTCAGTTGTTACTTTTGGAGAAATTGAGAAAATATATAGCAATAATTTCAACATTCCCCTTTAATTTTAGTGAAGATGTTTTACAAGTGTGTTACACAAAATATAGTATTATTTTGAAATTAAATTAATTTAATAATTCTACATTGTATACAGATTATTGAAAATGATTATGTAGAAATGCGAAAAGCTGATGTTAAAAATATGTCTGCTGATGATTTGCATCGTTTCATCATGATATCAAAGTATGTTACTTTTATACTTAAATTTGAATATGTTTTATATTGTGTTATTCTAATTATATAGGTTGATTGCTTTATGTGCTGGAAAAAATGAATTGAATAAAGATATTTGGGAAAGCTGTAAAACATTAGAAAGTCAACGTAAATTAAGAAATAAGTCAAATTGAATTCTTCAATGTAAATTGTTTTATAACTTTACATTGAATAATGCATATTCTTATAATATATATACTTTTATTTTATTTTTTGATAAACGATACTAGTAAAAATATTGTAGCTAATTATCAAATTATGTCTAGATGTATGATTTATTAAATTTAAACAATATAAATTTGTCTACTATTCGCTACATCAAATATAATTTTAAAATGAATGTATAATTTTTTGTAATCAAACTACCAAATGGGTTCTTATTTGAATGTTCATTCATATATTTACAGACCACTACCAGATAGTCCTGTATCTAATTAATGGTATATAAAACTGTTTTTTTACTTATAATAATTACTAAAACATTGCACTATGATCCCTCTTTTGTTTGTATATATATATATATATGTATGTATTTGAAGTATCATTTTTACTAAATCCAATTTTAACCATTTTAAAAATTGTATTATTCATGATTTTGAAACAATTTGTGCTGTAAATATTTGCATTAACAATATTTTCCACATTTTTTTTTAAGTGTGCAACAATTTAAATTGTTTTCATTGTCACTACTTAATAATATTTATCGAAAAACCAATTTCTCAATGTACAATAATATTGGTGATAATTTTTGTAAACTTCAAAAAATTGTAGAAACTTAACGATTCATATATTGTTTCAAAATATGTTTACAAAACTATCTTGCATTTTGTAGAAATTATGCCATGAAACAAAAATTAAAATATTGAACAGAACAAAAGTTATTTAAGCTGTCAGATCTCGTATTACATCCTACATGTCTATGATAATAATTCAATTTTAACTTTTACTAACCAATTGTGTTGAAGTATTTTGTTGAATTTGCAAATTATGTTTCAATAGTTTTGTACTTTTTTAATGAAAATATTTAGGAGATTTATCAAATAGAAACACAGTTATGAATATTTAAATGAAATTTATTTATAGTTTTATAAACCAAAATTATTTAGTAGTCTACACTTCACTAATATTTTATAATCAATATGTTTTTTAGGATATAGTATTAAAGTTTAAGTCTTTTTGGAGGGTATATGCCCAAATTTGAAGGTCAGTCGCAATTCACCCATCTCACTAATAGGAAGTACATCTGGAATCCATTCAATAACAAATGGTATTGGTTTTTTTTGATGTAAATTGGTCATGCCTAGAAAATAATAAAATTTAATTTAATAATCTAAGTATATACATTTCATAGTCAATGTATCTTTTCATTTTTTAACAAAAATATATTATTTTTAATGCATTTACAAAAAATTATTTCTAAATAACATATATTACTAACCAACTTTCAAATATGTCTTCAAATCATTTGGTTGTATTGGTTGATGAGATTTAACAGATGGTATATTGTCATACTTTTCATGTTCAAAAGCATCATATGTATTGTCTGCGTTTTTTATGAAACTACGACTTATTTTAAGGGGTACTAAGTTTGTTTCAAAAATTTTCTTCACAAGCATTATATTAGTAATACGCCAGGTATACATTGTGAATGTACCCAACGGTGGAGAATCGTGTCTTACAAATACTGTGGTTGAATTAGGTAAACGTTTTTTTGCAGAAGCTGCACACATACGTTCTCGCATACAATCAAAAAATGTCTGTAAATTAAATCAAATTTTTATTGTACAAGTAAACAAGTGGATTTTGTTTTAATTTAATTATATGGCATTGAAAAATATTTTGCAATGCCATTAACTGAAACAAACAATTATTAACCATTAAAGCCAAACAAGAACTACCACATTCAGTATTCTTGGCATATATATTATATGTTAATGGCAATCTCCAGATGACTAATGGTATCTTTATTTGTTATTCTTGGCTAATCTCTGACTGTGGTTGTTCAATAAGAACATTAACAATAGTTAACATTCTTCATCTTCTGACACTAATTATGTTTATGTACAAAATAAGAAGACTGAATAAGAAGAATATTAATTCATTGCTGAGTGTATATGGTCCGTCAGAGTAAATGTGAACAGTTTTTATATATCGACTTTATATAACCTTTCTTAGATCAAAAATTCAATGAAAATTGTAATTTTTGAATGTAATAATATCTGGCGATTCTTTAGTAAATAAATAAATAGAAGTTGGTGTTTTATGCTATTTGCTTTTATACCTTCATGTTCATATATTTTATCCCATGATTCAGGGTATATCGGAACATATTAAGAGGCCAACTTTAATATCTATAGGTTCTTCCATGTAATTTTCTTAATAATTGAGAAAACAAGAAAATTGATGGTAATACCGACTTCTTTATTTTTTATTGTAATTTAGTTTAAAATAATTGTTGAGACTTTAAATGTTCACAGTACACTTATATTAATCTTTTATGAGTTCTTCATTTTTTATGTGGATAAAATTGTTTTGGCAAAAATTTTGGGTGCAATTTTGGTTTTTTTTTAAGCATATTAAGTTAATGTATTAATGAAAATTGTAAAAACCACCGCATTCTGTGCAATGTTTTTTAATCAACTATTCTATAATATATCCTATCCTTTTTTTAGTTAAATATTTTGATTAATGAATACATAAATGTCTATCATAAAAATATTAAATACGTACCTACTGACTAAGGAATATGTATAAATTATTTACAGGAGAAGAGAGGGAGCAGGGTGACTATAAACTATTTGTATAAGCACCTTTCAATGTAACGCACCCAAGTGAACCATATTCAAAACTGTAGATACAAGTTTCTATAATAGTGATATTTGTTATAATGTAACATTTTATTAGTCAATAATTTTAATATAAATAGTCTTAGTCCCCAGAAAAATAAATAAATAATTAGTTAGTTTATTAGAACATTATTAGTTATTTCACAGAAGTTATCTAAAAAGTTCACATTTACCTTGACTGATCCTAGATACAGTTAGTAGCTTTGCACATTCAAATTCTGGTATCTATTAAATACGTTTGCAATTAATTAAACCAGAATTATTTTGTTTGAAATTATAAATTAATTTCTCAAAAATAATCAAATAAAAATATCTATTCCACCACTAAATTTTATACAAAAACTAATCAACTGTACTATTCTTAATTTAAATAAATTGATTATAAACAAGTCCAGTTTAATCCTAAAAATTCTATAAAAATGTATGATTAATTTTCTAATTATTATTGTATTTAAAAAAAAAAAAAATGTTTTTGGGGTTCTGAGTCTTTAAGAAATTCAGTCTATATAATTTGCAGCAAAATATATTTGAAGTGAAAAATAATTTATTTTAATAAATTAATAATACTAACTTTATGAATAGTAAATACCATAGTTTGAGGATTACCATCAAATTGATAATGCATTTCTTGATTGATACGTTCAGTTACAGAAGATAGCCATCTTTCAAAATCTAATACTGGATTTGGATTAACCACTTGTGATTCTTCAAAACCTTAATATAAAAAGTTAATTCAATTTAAAAATATAAAACAATTTTAATTATTATTATCATACATTCTTTCTTTTTAGCCCTCGTATTTGGATTTTTTTTAGTCCGTTTCTAAAAAAATCAAGATTTTTTATATTGATTAATATCTTAATATACTATTTCTCAAACAATGTAAAAAACTAATAACAATTTAAAAAAAAATGTATATCATAAACCAATAAAAATATTAGATATAACTAGTACATAACACTGTAGATTCAAAAAATATAATCTCTGTGTACTATAGTTTTAATTAATATTTTAAAAAAAAAATTATTCATTGTTTATGATAGTTTTAATAATCTATAAATTACTCAGCTGAAATTAATTTTGTACTTTTGATAAAATATTTGGAACTATTCTTTGATACTTAGGAATAGTCTCTAAGATACAGGTTTCACTAGTTAAAATCATCTGCTCATCAAAAAATGTGACAGGATCATTACTTTCTTCTGCCATTGAAACTTGTACATCTAAAATAACAATTAAATAAGTATAGGCTACATTAATAGTTTTAAAACATACAATCAATGTAATATAATTTATGATGAAAAAAAAAACATTTTAATGTATGGAATTTTGTATGGCGATAATCAATAAATAAAATATAATTTTCAAATATTCTCTCTCAAATTCTCTTAAAAAAATTGCCCTATTCATACAATTCTAAATATCAAATGTGTCTTGTTTTATCTGGACATATAAGTTTGATCAAACTTAAATAAAATATATTTTACACATTTATTAAAGTATCATTTTTGTATATTACAATAAGAGGTTTATAAATTTATTGTATTAAATTAAAGATGCTTTTATATTTATTATGTTTTGTTGTTTAATCATTTTAAATAAAGTATTTATCTTACTAGGCAAATTGTCAAGCTGAATGATACTTGTTGACAGTGTAGAAACAGATACAAAAGGATTAAGATTTTTTTCAAACTCTTGCACCATACATTGAGAACTAGCTATGGCACTTAAACATGCAATATAATGGCAACAAAAATATGTATTTAAATCTGGTATTTGATCCTAAAAAAATGCATGTTATAAAAAACAAATCATATATAAATCATATTTTATCAATATAATACCATTTGATCAACAGTAACCAATGTAGTTGTACAGCAAAAACAGCTATTTAATTTACCAATAATACAATGAAGATAGCCTAAAGGATTTTGAGTGCTTATTTTGCATCGAACAACAAAGATATTTTCTGATACACGTTGCAAATATGGTTTTCTCTGATCTATAAAATTTGACCATACTTCCTAAATAATAAAAGATCACAATTTAAAATAAAAATACTTGAAAATTCAATACTTTAAAAAATTAAAAACATACTTGTTTTACAGTTTGAGGAACCCTAAAAGATTCCAAAACCTGTTTATCTATTTTCAATGATACACCAATAGTATTACAGTCAAAACAACTGTACACATGTTTGCAAGACTCGGTTTGAATACTAGTATTTAACACACTTTCCTATAAAAAAGAATAAAACATTTTAAGTATAGGTACAAAATTTTACAATTCATTAATTTCAACTCTAAATTAATAAGTTATGAACTAAAGGTAAAATTAATACCATATTCAGAATTAAAATTAGGAATAAATAAAAACAGATGTTAAAAGGTGAGATTATTTTGTAGGTCCTACTAGTAACTATGGAACAAAAGATAATTAATTTTTAATCTATCAAATAATATTTAGCTTGATTAATAAATTTAACAAATTTGACAGTTAATTTATTATAGATACAACTTAAATTACTGAGTAAAAGTTGAAATTAATGTAAAACATACCTACTTAGAATACAATTTATTCACTTACATGACACTTAAGAACATTACTATCAAATGAACGCTCACATGATTGGACTAAGCAAATTCCTGTGTCAAATTTGTCAATTTCATCATGGTTTACATCTGGAAAATTGACAAATCCTCTTTCGGTGAAGTCAATATTTTCTGATGATATATAAGAAAAAATCTAAAATATTTTAACATAAATATTTTAATATACAAATCCTATACAATAAAATTATAGCATATTTAATATACCCGAGACGATGAAGATGTAAGTAGTTGGCACACTTCAGATGGTGAAACTTTATTATTATTCGGTTTTAGCAGTATATAACATGTCTTGCATACCACGGTTCTAGTTCCATTGTATGTCCCACATGAAGGACACTTTTTTACACCCCTTTTAGTTGATCTACCCAAGTCAGATAAAAGAGCTTTGATTTTATTCACATTAGCCATTATAATATTTATTATTGATCCTTGATTCTAACTGGACTAACTCCAGCAATTATGTGATATTTACATCATACCAGCATAATAGTACAGATTAAATTTTACCACAACGATCGCAATATAATACTATGCATATTATGTTTTCGAAAGTGAGTTCATTAAAAGTTTGATTGTTAATTCATAGACACGAAAATACAAAAAACAAAATTACACAAAGGTGAAGCTACTAATTTCCATTGCACCAATTCCTTATCAAATAAAATTCGATGGTTGACGGAGTAACGTAATAAGAAGTAGTGGTAGTTGTTCAAAAATGATAAGGATAAGGATACTAACGGACCGAAAGCATAATTTCTATACTTAGATATTTTTAATATTTAAATAGTTTTTAAGTACTACTAATAGCTCCCACAGAGTGTGTCAGGTGTGTCGTGGCACACCCCGTGACCCATAGTTTTAGGAACGTTAACCTACAGTTTATACTTTACTCTAAAGTTAAGAGTAATGAGTGGAGCCCGAAATTATATGCATTTGCATGTTCATATATAGTGTATGCACGTCGATGAGGGTTGGAAATTTAAATATCTACGATTTATATCCACCGAATTCAAATACCATATTTGACTTTGCATATTTTGCATATTAGTTCATAAATACATGTAAGATATTACGCATATAATGTATATTTATTATTGATAAATCAATTTTACTGTAGAAAAAAAGTTGTTGACATTGTTCCTAAGAGGAATTTTGTTAAAATATTGTTATATTTTCACCTTGTATGAAATCTGAGTTCTAATCCATGGCTTACACTTATGTCTTGGTTTTATCATTTTATGAATTCTTTTGTGTGATATGTCGTTATATTTTAAAATTTTGTGTGGTAAAAAGCATGTGATTTTAGTTTTATTATTTTGAAAGTTTATTGTTAGGTTTTCAAATATGTTATTTCAAATAATATAATATATTAATATATAATAAATTGTTATTAAGTTTATTACTAGTTTTAGTGTAAAAATGGTGTTTTATATTTTTAAACATATTCTATTAAGTATAATATTATGCATATAATTGCATATTTAGCCACTTTTTGTATACATATTTTCATCATATTTATGAATTTTTAAATGCATATAATTCCGGGCTCTAGTAATGAGCATATCACGATTTACGAAAATAGTGCTGTTTTCTTTTATGTAGTACTCCATATGGCATATAATAAACTACTGATAAGTAGTTACTTATCAAGGTTTATTAGAATCACAAAGATTAGAATTACTGTGCTATAAAATTATAAATTAATAACAGTTTTCGGTAGAATTATAATTATAATATTATTTTAAAACTTACATTGATGATTGGTATTAGATATTTGTACTTATTATTACCTGTGCAGGGCTCTATTCCGTATCCAGTGCTAATATTATAATTAATTATGGTTAGTCTGTACGAAAAGTTAATGAAAAATAAATTGGAACCGGAATGGGAAAAAATTGTAGCAGAAAATTTAGATTTGGACTATTGCAATAAATTTCTAACTGCCACTGAGGGCAATTCACTAATGGAGTATATGGAAAACAACATCAATTACCTAGACAGTCGATTGACTCAAGTAAAAGTATTTGGACAGTACTATCCTATACCCAGACAACAAGTAGCGTTTGGAGACGAGGGCGTATTATATAAGTTTTCGGGTACAGTCGTCTCGGCCCAACCATGGCCGACACCACTACTGGAATTGAAAAACAAAATATGTTCCGCTCGAGGTGTGGATTACAATTTTGTTTTAGTGAACAGGTAAGTGCAAAACAGTATATTATGGTCATTGGATAGCCAGTTTACAATATTGAGTGTTTAAAGGTACAGAAATGGTGAAGATCACATAAGTGAGCACAGAGACAATGAATCAGAATTGGATAAAATGGTACCAATTGCTTCTGTGTCCTTAGGACAAACAAGAAAATTTGTGTTAAAACATACAGATGTCCGTAAAAAAATAAGACATGTGGAACTAAAAATATTAGATTTACACCATGGCAGTCTTTTAATGATGAATTGGCCAACAAATGTATATTGGTTTCATTCAGTTCCTAAACAAAAGAAAGCAACTAATATTAGATTGAATTTAACATTTCGTAGAATTAAATAAATTCTACTTTTTTTCTATATAAACTTAAAACATATATTGTGTTTTATTATATAGTAAAGGAGATTTTTAAATGTAAATGTATAAAACATCCATCTGTTTAATTGAATGAAAAGTATAATAAATAAAATATCATATTGTGATGGTAAGTCTTGTTAAAATAATCAATAATTAAAAATTAAATTTATATAAGAATGTACACATTTCAAATCTTTTACCAATTAATATAATATCTCAGGCAGTATAATAATTTGGTAACCTATTTTTGCTGTGTTAAAACATAAAAAATTAAGTACTGAACACTATTGTTGTAATGCTACATTTTCATTTAGTTTTTCTTGAAATTATAAATGCCAAATTTATAAAATAATAATAAATAATAATAATAATAATAATATAAAATATTTCTAAAAAAAATCAAATATTTCTAAATATTTATATGTATGTATATTTTATTTTTTGATTTTGAAAAATGTATAGATATTAAAAACGAATTAAAATGGGTCAACTGCAAAAGTTAAATCTCATATATTTATGTAGATAATGTGATAATTGAGTGTAATAGTATCTTATTTATTATTATATTAGTTAACAAGTTAAATATACAGACTTGTTGATGTTTATTTGTGAAAAAAAAAATGAACATAATCTTTACTACAAAATTAATATTTGTTTATAAATCTAAAAAAAAGGAAAAAAAGATAAGCATATTAATACAAATTTAACTTCTTTACTATAAACTTCTATAGTCTAGTTATAAAAAAAAATATATATTTACCTTTAACTCAATATTATTAAAACAAAAAAACTTAATATGAAAAGACATTAAATTGATTTACATATTACAAATTGATGAATTAATCACTAAATTCAAATTTTTTTTCAAATTCAACCTTTCTTAATTCTTTTTTTTTTGGCAAGTCTAGTATTCGTTTCTTTGATCTAAATATAATAAATACGTAAATATCATAAAATAAAAAAAAATGTAATGAATAAATATATATTTACCCAGAAGAAAAAAAACGAAGTGCTGGTGGTTGTTTTTTATATTGTTTTCGGGATGGGGTACTGTGTAATAGTTCATCTGAAGCTATAGTATCAATTTTCAACATATTATTCCAAAAACTTCTGGGTAATTTAAGCAATTCCATTAAAACCTAAAAAAAAAATTGTTTATATTTAATATAAATTGTTTATATTTAATATAAATTGTAAATTTTAACTGTAAAACTTACTTTAAAAATTATTTCAGTCTCAATATGTAAATCATTTATGCAAATAGGACTTGAAAGATCAACAATAATAGGTCCAAAAACTATAGCTAAACTGTTATAATCCGTGCAGCACTGCGGAGAATTGATAACACTATAAAAACAAATGAAAATAATTAATTTTGTTTTTTACTAATAAAATATTTACATTAATATATACTTTTGCAAATGAAGAATAAGAAATGCAAGTATTTTGCGATTAATGGGAGGCAATTCAATAACACCTTCACTAAGTGATCCATTATCCTTTTTCAAAGCATCAGCTAACTTTGAAAAATCGCTTTGAGAAATTAGATTTAGCTGCATACGAATGAAGTTTTTAAGACAGTCACATATTACATGAATGTCAACATTGCTTAATTTAGGAACAACTTTATGAAATTGATTTATTAATTTTTTAACTTCTTCATCAGAACCGGATGCCCTATATAAATCATTTATATCCAAACCTCTTTTTTCAATCTCGTTGACACAATAAACTATCAAAGGAGGAATACCACACTATTTGGAAGATAGTAATTATTTTAAATGATTTAAAGCAATAAAAAATAAATAAATATTAGATTACTGACATTCAAAGCAAAAATTATATTTGGATCTAATGTACACATATCAGATAAGAGATCCTTGCATTCCAAATGGGCAACAATTTTACAGTCTAGACATTTGACCATATAATTATTAAATTTTACTCTGAAAAAATTATATTATACATAATTAAATCAATTTATTATAACAAAGACATTTTATTCACAAACTTCTTATGACACTGTCCACATATTTCAGGAATAACAACAATTTTTTGAACAAAATCATGTATTTTTTCAATATTTTTATCTAATTTATTACAGTTTGAATGTTTTATATGTTTGTCTAACTCATTGGAAGATAATGAATCGGTAGAACCTAAAAAAAAGTTGATTTACTTTTGTCATAAAAAAATTAAAAATTATTGACCAACTTGATGATATTGACTGAGGTTTTGATGATGTTGAAACTGCTTGATTTTTTATGATTGATTTAGCATTAATGCCATCTAAATCCACAGTTACAGTAGTTGTAGCAATAATTTGTCCACATTCACCCTTTACATTTTTAATCTAAAATAAAGCAATAATATACTAAAATTATATATATATACTATAGTACTGAAAAAGAGCTAGATGTACTTTTTACCATGGGTATTCAAGTATAATTATCCCAAACGAAAAACAATTGTGAGCAAAATTATTAAAAGTGTTTTTTTTCCTTATTAAAGTAATTCGAATATTGATAAAAACCAAAAAAGGACCGGGAGAAAAGGAGGTGACGTGAACTGTTGAAATGTTTAACAATTATGATAAAGTACAATGAGATTAAAATTCTATATATTTTAGAGTAGGCACGGTATAAAGTATTTTTATTAATCAAAAATGTTTTTCATATGAAAAAAAAGTACACCTCAATTAAGTTATTTGGCTAAAATTACAATCCAAAAAAATGTACTAAACATTTAAAAATTAAAATGTTTAAATATCTTACTTTCAAAAAATTTAAAAAAGGGCACAACATTTAGGTAAAAGCACCTACCTCACATGATTTACTCTTTATATTTGTTGGAACATTATTTGTTGAACACTTTTTTACTGTTGCATATTTAGGTTTTGAATTCTTTGTCAAATTGCAATAAGAACTGTCTTCAGAAAAACTATAACTCAGATCTGATAACAAAGCATCTATAAAATATAATTAAGTTCATAATTGTTAGTACTTAATCTATTGAACATTACAATTTTTTTTAATAAATTCTTTTTGGAAATAATTATTATAAATAAAATAGATTAGTTAATAGTTAGATTATATTCAATAGATATATTTTAGGGTTTACAATTAATTAATTTACCAGTATTATTAAGAGTTTTCTTTTCATTTGGTTGTGCATATTCAAAGCAGTGAGAGTGGCATGTTTGAGATGTTTCTGTAGTATCAGGTTTTTTAAATAAACTGTATAATTGTTCCAATTGAGATTTCTAGAAAAAAAACAAAACTTTTATATCAAATAAATATAAAATAAGGTTAAGCTAGTTAGTGTTTAATAGTTGGTAATTAAGTAATGCTGACATAAGTCATTAACTAATACACTATTTGTTTAATTTACCAATGTTTTATTTTCAACTAAAATGTTTTCTTTTTCTACTTGAGCTTCATCCAGCAAACGAGCAGAAGTTTTGATTTTAAAAGATAACTTTGTACATTCATCTTGAACAGCTTCTAGAGTTTTCTTAATAGTTGTTTTATCATCTTCTCCATTATGGATTTTACATGCTAATTCATCGATGGTCTTCAATTTCACTATATAATCTAAATACATCATACATTTTAACATATAAATAATATTTACTGATATTAATTAAACAATTTAATGAATAATACTATTTTAACAAGACTATATTCAAACAATCTACTTAAGTCTTAAAGAACAATTTTATTTTATTACACAAAATTCTAAAAATTGTAAATAGACAAGGACTAAAATTTCAATTCAATTTGTAGTTATTGCTATTACATGACTAAAAGCCTATTTTTTTTCAACTTTAAATAGTAAAAGAAAAATGAAATTTTTAGGGGTATAAAAACGTATCTAAAAATGACCACTGCATATGCTATATTGTATTAATGCCCAGTTTTTATTCATAAGGATTAATTTGGTGCCCATCACGACCAGGTAAAAAAAAAATATTAGCCCCTAGATCACACCAAATTGTGACACATCATTTGTTGAAATGTTCCATTGACTTAGATTCTATGAATAAACATACATACAAGGAGGGGGACGGACTAAATAAAATCATATCATGTATGGTAAAAATGTTTTTTTAAATATTTGATTATAATTTATTATATACTATTTTTAAGTTATCTAAAAAAACAAAAATAGTATCTGCATACAAACAAACATGCTAAACACATAACCTTCCATAGTCTAATCAAAGTATATATATATATATATATATTTTTAAGTACACGACTTACCTCTTTCAATTGCTGTATCCAACAATTTTATTGTATTGTTAATGAATAAATCGTACTGCAGAGCGAGCGATTTACAATGTTCTTCCATTATAAATATTATAATATTATTGTTAAACAGAGACCAATTATTATCTTTTGAATTTAATATCTAAATTTTTTGAATGGTAATAATAATTTAAATTATTTAAAACGGAACGGTAACGGATAAAAGGTACCTATATCACAAAACATTGGAAGGAGAAATAATAATGCGATTCGTTCAAAACTTTTCAAAAGCTATGAAACCCAAATAATCAGCGACTCACATGCACTCATGCGGACAGTTATTGGTTTGTGGTCACTGCGCACTACTCACTACCTATTTATTGCCTAATAGTTCTAAGTACATCTCAATTATTATGATTTATTATAGTTTATTAATTTATATTTTAATAAAATAATCTTTTCTCCCATGACCCGTTGACCCCTTTACAGCGATAGACTTGTAAACAAAGTTTATAGGCCTCTAACCCATAGACCTATGTATACTAAAAAAATGATTAATTGTTGCCAACAGACAGCTCAAAATAATAAAATATACTTACGATTACAGATAAAACAGAATAATATTTATTGTGTTACATTATTATTACTTTTTGTAGAAAACTCCAATTTCTCGTTTCTATTGAGTACTAACAAATAATACATTTGCCAAAGTAAACAGATAATTAACTGGTAAGCATAACAAGAATTAAGATAACGTTATTCGTGCATAGACCATACGCTAAATATAACTTATTATAACTGCTATGTTGGTAAGTATTATAGGTTAGATAATAATAGACTAAAATTCATAATAGACCAATTTAAAATAATATTTTTTGGTTTTTTAATGAGAAAATAAAATATTTCTAAAGGCATATTAAATAATTTTAGGTAGGTATGTAATTTTTAAGATTGTATGGGGCAGTAAGACCGTAGACGGTAGCTCTTATGATGATCATCAGTATATTAATATTTTATTATTTTTCTTAACAAAATTTTAAGTTTTAACATATTTTTCAATGCTATAAACCATAGTATGTATTATAGTACTGCAATAAGCATCAGTAATGTGTTCACAATGTTTTTGATAAGCCATATGAACCCATCTAAATTTATGGGTGAGCAATATAAGACAGATAATAATTTTTGTTTTTTTTTTTTATTGCGTAATTATTGACCAGTGTCAATAATGTAGTATAATGTGGGAAATAATGAAAAATAGTGGCGAATTAATTTTCGACTTACAAGCATATCATTACATTTTAAATAAAATATTTAAAAAAGACGCCCTAGGATAATGGGGACGGATGCAGCCACTGTTGTAGGTAATTTAATGTATACCTAAACGATAAATCATTGCTTACGAAAAAACGATTCTGAGCGGAGTTCAGTTGATAGTGATGCTTTGTCAACAATAGATAAGTCATATTATAGTAAAATAATTGAATAAGTTTTTATATATTTTCTTTAATAATATTTGTTTAATATTGCACCGATTTTCCCAGTTTTTCTAAGTTTTTCACATTTCTTGGGAACTTTTTGCCAACATGCCTGTAAACACATTTTGATGTATTTAGAGGAAGAAACAACTTACTACACCAGTTTTCAAGTATTATAATATCCACTTTAAAGATGAAAATAGTATCATTAGAAAAAAATAAGATATTAGATGAAATATGAATATATGATACAAGGTGAATAATAAATACTAAAAATAGGAGAAGGTCTAGTACTGATTCTTGAGGGACTCTTAGAATTTCCAGAAAGAGGTAACGAATGACACTTACCTACACGAACCTTATAGGTCCTGTTTGAGAGATATGCATCAAATTCAAATAGTTTACCACGTAGGCTAAAATAATCTAACTTATCAAGGAGCCTTCAGTGAGAAACTTTATCAAAAGCTTTAACACAATCTATATAACATACATCACTAGATGAGGAGTTGATAATCGTAGACCACAAATCTATAAATGATAGAATGCATTTGCAAAATATTGTTTTCATGTTTTACATCAATTTTCAAAAAAAGTATGTTTTAATTTGTCATCAATCTATTAATAATTTGTATACTCATTAATTTCATGTCCTGACCAAAAATATTCTTTTAAACATTTGTCCATTTAAATTATCACTTTTATACCCCATTAATTGTATAATATATAATCAATCAATGGTAGGTAATATGGTAAAAATGATTATGTTGCAACAATTAGTTATTTATATTCACAGAATTTTGTCAAAGTTAATTTTTTATAATTAAACAAATGTTAAGGCTATATTAAATATTTACATCAATATCAACAGTTATAATTTTTTAAACTTGGTTTTTAGTATTTCAGATAATATAGTGCATTTAATTTACATAATTAAAAACAATAACTAAACCTCTATTGTTTACTGTCATAATTTATGAATCAATAACTAATGTAGATACTAAACACTAATTATGAATTATAAATATATATTATACATATAAATTGTATAGGTAAGTGTATTTTATAATAGTACTGCATTTAATGTAAACCAAAACTTATAGATACCTATATTTGTAAACTATTAAATATTATTACTTAAATATATATAGTTTGAATGAGGACACATTTCAGTTAAATTGTATTATGATCAAATATTTCTGTATCTTCATAATGTGCAAATTTCAAATATACTTGTTCTAATGTAGTTTGACTAAAGCTGTACTCTTGAATATCATACATATTTTTAGCTGTAAAAATCACAATATATTATAACTAACTTATTAGTAAATCTTGCAATAGGATTTGGAAAATTAATTTTGTCCTTAATTTTTAACTATGTTAATTTCATGGTAGAACCCTCCATTTTTCATTCAATACTATAAAAAAGTAATTTAGATTAAATTGACTGATGACTCATCCTCTTACCCTGCCTCAAAAGGGTTGAAAAGTAGCTGATAAATTCTCATTAACTACTTTTAGCTGGTAGTGATTGGGTTTTTAATTTTACTCTAAAACTGTAGCAATTAGGATAACATTTAAATGTTTTATTAAAGAACATAATATTATCTATAAATATTAATTTTAACAAATTTCTCCAAAATTAATTATATTTTATTTCAAAAATGTATGCCCGTAGGCACTTTCATAAAGATTATATTAGATAAATTAAATAGCAATAATATATAGTGAGAATAATATAAGAGAAAGAAAGGGGAGTATTTATTAAGAGAGGAAGAAGCGTAGCATGCAATGGATAAGGCTGTTATAAATATGGTAAGTAAAGTGAGTTAGAACAGCAAACAGATAAAGATAACGAGTGTTTTAGGAGAGAACTTTAAAGGAAATCATTAATTAAGCAAGTCATGTGTGTTTTTTGTGAAAAAAAAAATTAAAAACTAAAGATTTTATTTATTTGAAAAAAAATATTTACGGTTTTTAAACATATTTTATGAATGGTTAAATATATGATGAAACATTTGCTTTGTACACAAATTATATAAAATTATGAGTAGAAATATCATTGGATCAATAGTTTTATTGTTACAGTCAAATTCATTTACCTATATTTAGCTATTAATAACTTATAAGTTACTCATAACTTTACTACACTTTATACTTCTATGTTAAATAGAATATTCAATTGTTTTTATTAATTTTTGATCTAAATTACATAAGTATTTTTAGTAAATATGTTTTAAATAATTATTAACTATAATAAATTAAACTTAGATTCATCATACAATATAATATTAGTGTATAGTCAATCACTTCTGGACTAATGCCTATGCAAAATGCTAATGTTAGTTCACTTTACCCGGGAGGCGGCTGCCTCCATAGCCCCCCCTTCACCCATAAGGAAACCCTGATAATTCCCCTGACCAATAAATAGTTTATATTTTGAAAAATTACTTAAGTAATGATTTTAGAAAAATATTATTTTCTTCAGATAAACCCTATACTATTATATTATACAAATAAAAACAAAAATATATTGTTCACTCAGTAATTTTGTAAATTGTTTGAAGATATAAAGATTAAATTTAATTAATTCATTGTGTGGAATGTTTCGTCTAGTATTATTATATTAATGAACATTAATTTGACTGTACTGATAAAACTAACTGTTAATCCAATAACATGTCTACGCATGAATTAATTTGTTGAAAATTAAATTGTCTATAACATTTTATGTAGAAAATATTTTTGTATCTTTAACCATTCGACAAATATTTAATTGTACAGTGATTGGTGAATAAGTATTACCATTAGTTATCAATATAATGTTAAAAATTATAAAATTGACTACCATTTTCAAGATTCAAAAAGCAAAGTGCCAAAGAATCAACTGTAGTTTGAGGCACTCCAAAAACTAATCGATCGGCAAATTCTTCATCGAGAATTGCATTTGGAAATGATGTTGCAACAAAGTTCTTAACATCATCCATGTCTCCATGAGGCTTCAATTTTATTTCCAATGTATAACCAGCACCATAAAGATTTTTTAAATATTGAGTAGAACCCAAACATCTATAAAACATTTAAATTGAGAACCAATATTATTAAATATGTAACAAGAATATAGGTATAAATTATTTTACCTTAGTTGGCCCTTAACCATTATTCCTACTCTTGAACATAGTGCATCTGCTTCTTCCATTGAATGGGTAGTTAATATTGCACCTTTAGATCCTTGAAAACTGCTAACTATAGCATCCCATAAATATCTTTTAGACCTTGGATCCATACCAGTACTAGGCTCATCCAAAAGTACCAATTTTGGGTTTCCAATCATTGCCAATGCAAAACTCAGTTTGCGTTTTGTTCCTCCTGAACAACAATTCACTTGTTTGTCTGCATGGTCAGTTATTTGAAGACCCTCAATATATTTATTGACAATACTAAAAAAAAAATGTAAACACAAGGTTTTTTTTTAAAAAATTACACAAAGTCTATTCAAATAATTAAAAGAAAAGTGTGAAATGATAGAAAAAAAAAAAAATTAATAAGCCATATACTGCAAAAAATTTAAAACTGTTATTTATAAAAATGAAAAAACTAAATCATTACCTTTTATTAATTTTTATTTTAATTTAAATTAAATAAATCTACGCTAATATAGACTAAAATATTAAATCAAAAGTCCTTTTAGTCTAGTTTTTTAAAACATATACAATATAATATTTTCACTCTGTAAATTTACCTTTGAACTTGATCCTTAGAAATTCCTCGAATAATAGCATATACATGTAAGTGTTCTCTGATAGTTAATGTACTCCATAGAGCATCATGTTGAGGACAATATCCAATCATTCTACATGCTATATCTACAGATTCACGAACATCATGTCCCTTTATAAATACCTTAAATATAAGATAATTAAAGAAATGTAATTTTTAATACTAAAATTAATAAATTACTAAACAAAAAAATATTAAATCTTAATCAAAAATAGAGTTTAAAAATGATTATCTAACTTTTCCTGATGTTTCTTTATCCTCCATGGTGATAATACGCATAGTTGTAGTTTTTCCTGCACCATTATGACCTAGTAATCCAAGAACTTCACCAGTATTTACAGCTAGTGATAAATTTCTAATTGCAAGTTTTCTTTCAATATTTTCATTTGTACATTTATTTCTTAGTAAGCAATTTATATTAGAGTTCATATTTGGGTTAGAAAATTCTTTTTTTAAATTCTGTATACAATTTAAAAAAATTTAATGTAATAGGTAGCCTAATAAACCTATATCTAGTTATGTTTTATTGTGGCTTCATTAATTACTTGAATAACTATTACTGGCCAATCCACCTGATCATTGACAATATCGTTTACTTTTCTCTGCTCAATTTGTACATCATTATCGCCTTCATCTTGGGTATCAATAGTTGTAATTGAAGTTTTTTTATTTTTTGTTTTAGAATCTAAAACCTTTAAAATAATCCATAATGCTGGAATCTGGCCTATGCAACCCATTAATAATGCAACTGTTTCTTTATTGACATATTTGATAAAAGGTACATGTTCATCATTTTCTCGATATACACTGTTTGTGAAGTAAATTATTGCAAAAGGGACGTAGACAAAATTAGTAGAAGAAAATAGAACGTGAAGAGCAAATACCAAATCATTAGCAATACCCAGCATGTCCAATGAAGCTACAATTATAAACGGTACACCACCAATGAGTGACGTCATATTTGGTAATATAGACTGTACAGAATCAGTTTTTTCAAAAAAATATGATACACAAGCAGTAGCTAATATTGACGTTGGACAATAAGCTACCAGTAAAATTATTATAGTAGATATTGCAAATGGAGTATCTAAACCTTCAACATGGAAAGAAGCAATAAGAAATATAAGTATTAAGAATATGATGAGTAACATTGAAATTAAAAGAATGAAATAAGAGCTGAAATATTGTGTAAAAGTTACACCATTGATACGAAGCTGGTTTTTGGCTTTGATCTATAAAATATAAAAATAATTTTACTAGAAAATATTATAATTTATTAATTGTGTAACAAATTATAGTAAATATGTTAATAAATCACCTCTCTATCATAGACTAGATCAGCAGATAAACTCACAGGAACTAGAACAAAAACTATGCCCAAAAAAAATGCCGATGAACAACGACTAAAGCTATACTCGTTTTGTTTGTATTCCATTTTAAATGGTTCTGATTTTATGTCAATTTGATTTCTGTAAAACATATTGATATTAAAATGTTAAAAAAAAAAACAAAGATCTACAAGCAATATATTAATTCTAAATCATATATAGTTGAAAATTAAATGGTATTAATTAATAATACATATCTAGTAAATTATGTTTTAAAATGTCAAAGTGTTCACACACAATATTTATAACTATAACGAAAACAATTTACCCAAGTAATGTGCTTGTGACCGAATTTAAAATGATTGGTAATGAGTGTATAAATGAATCATTATAGTATATTGTAAGTGACGTTGGTGAACAACACACATTAAATGGAGCAAGTGCTCCTAGATGAGTGGGCAAATCTAATAAATCAGAAAATGGACCCTCATATAAATCTGATTCCAATGTTGTATAATTGGTTAGTTCTTCATTTGATATAAATAATCGACTATCTTCTTTGTACACATCTATAAATTATTCATTTTAAATTATTAATACAATTACTAGTTTAATAATAATAATTCAATTAGTTCATGGTATTTTAGATTTGTATATTATCATACAGTATTGTCTATTGGGGTAAATTCAATGGTCAATCCATTTCATTTCATTTTAGATGAGAAGCAACTGTAATTATTGTAATCATATAATGGTTACTTACATGAAAAAGATTAATGACATGACTGCTTGAAAAACTTATATTCTAATTTGAGAGAAAAAAATGTAGACAAAATATAAATTTAAATTATATAACTACTGATAATAAACCAATGTATAGCAAAATAAATGTAATTTTAGATTTTGTTGTAAATTACATACAAATATATATTATTGTGAGTCTCCATTTGTAATTGTATAATTAATTGAAAACACTAATATTATAATTTAATAAATTAACATTTAAGTAATACTAAATTTTCTGATTTAAAAAAAAAAAAAACACCTACTATTATTTAAAGAAATACTTCTTAATGGCTCAATCTCGTGACTTAATTTGTTCAAGATAATTCCAGTAGCTAAAAATACAACTGGTAACAAAATCATAACATAAAGTTTATGAATGTCTCGTAATACTCGTTTTGTTCGCATTTTCAAAAGAGCCATTATGATGTTCCAATTAGTTGGATTATATATTATGGTAGATCTCATACTAACATTACGTATAGTATCAATTGATCCTCGGCTGTTAAAGTAATAATAATAATATTATAAATTATAAATATTAATTTAATAAACTAAATACATTTATGATAAAAATAATAATAATAATAATAATATATTTTGGATTACCACACCTACAAAATGTATGTATGAATAAATGATGTGAAAAAAATGATTATATTAGATTCGGAGCGGAACAAAGAATGTATTGGATTTACATGATGTATATTTTTTTTTGTCTGTAAACAACATTTCAAAAAGAAAACTTGCTTCAAAGTATCAAGTGTAGCATCTTTTCTAAAAGAAAATTTTATCTAGTTGATGCATTTTTTGATTTTCAAAATAATTTGGAAAAACCGGATACAAAATTATAGGTAAAACTGTGAATATTTACGCAATTCACAATGTTACCGATTTCAATGTTCTTAAGTTTTACAAACTATGCTTTCTACCAGAAATAATGTTTTAATCAAAAAATGCCAAGAGTTTATTACATTTTAAATGTTTTTAAAAGTAGATAGTTTTTCGATTTTTATCGCAGTTTTCATAATAATTGGGAAAAATTGGAAAAAGACCTAAAATGAAAACTGATAAATTTATAGTGTTATGTGTTTTCATTATTTTAAATGTTAACGGTTTATGTTTCCTACCAGAAATATTGCTCCAATCGAAAAATGAGACCTTTTTTGTTACATTTTTAATTTAGTTGGTGTTTAAGGAAGTCGTTTATTTAATTTTCCATACATTTTTCTTAACAATTGAGTAAAACCGAAAATAACGTAGGTATAGAAATGGTAAAATTTACTTTATAGGTAATGATTTCATTATTTTCAATTTTGTTTTTTTTTTATTGTAATTCAGTAAAAAATAGTAAAAACTTGAAATTATGACAGATAACTTGTCTATGCGTTTTTTAAACATAGTAAAATTTAAAGATTTGAGTGATTTTTGAGTTATTTATAGGCATTTTCTATTTGCGAGAGTTGTATTTGTCTAGTTTTTATTTGGTAGGTATATACTATTTATGAAAATATCATTGTTTGACCTAATAGAAATGCTTTAAAATTTAATAGGATGTTCATTAAAAATTATACCCAATGGTCATAAAAGTATAATATAATATGTATATTTTATATAATGTATATATATTTTACAATTCCATACAAATTTCAATATAATATGCATTCAATTTTAACATTGGCTTTTAAATCTTGGTACAATCATGATACAATAAAATATTGCTGTCCAGGTCTAATTATTTTCATAATTGTTTTAAGATTAGATTTTAAATAAAATCATAAATATTACAGCCTTGCAAATCATGTATAAATGAACTTCGCTCAGAATCATTTTTTGTAAACAGTAGTTTATCATTGCTTACAGATTTAAATTAAATAACTATGTATCCTACTTTTTCAACTTCCTACCTACAACAGTGGCACACCTATCAACAAGCAGTATCAACAATTTTTTTTAATTTTAAAGCAATATTCAATACTAACAAATAAAAAATTTAATGAAATGCCTATTTGAAACTTGCATGAAAAAATAAACGGGTAGGTAATTGAATATTATATAATGTGTTAAAATAATAAAGCAAAGCCGTGAGTACTATTCATTTATTTATTTTTTTATGATATTTTTTTGCCAAAAACATTTATAATGAAATCAATATCTCATAATACATGAGTACATCCACAACTTTACTTTATTATTTTAAAACAATATTGATTTATATGTTTATATTTTAAATACTAATAATATTTATTTATTAATATATATTATGAATCACCTATTAAAATGTGTCATCGGTTGTCCTTTTAATAGTTCAATTGCTAATTTCCCAGCATTATCGTGTTGTCCCTGTTCAAGATATAAAAATACTTCTTCTAATGTAGTCATTGATACACCATAGTTTTCAATTCCCAAATAACTAGTCTTAGATCTAATTTCTGCTTCAATTTGTCCAAATAGTGGTGGGAATTTACTCACACTGTCATGAGGTAATACAAAAGATAATTCATAACCATGTCGTCTAGTCCTTTCAGCATTTGGAACATGTTCTTTAATCATTTTTACTATAGAATTTTCTTTGGCATGATTATTAAGAATTAATCTACAAAATATATAAAATGAATTAATAATTTGAATAATTCAATAATATTATATTAAAATAAAAATTATAATAACACATTCGGTAGTTAAAATATAACTTTTTCAATGTAATTTTTAAAATTGTAATTAATTAAAATTTTGTTATTAACCTAACATCATTGACAAATAATTATAATAAGTAATATATTAAACAATACAATATTGTTAATAATCAACTTACGTTAAATGATATCCAATACCAAATTTGTTTTTAAGAAATATAGATGTACCACAACATCTCACACATCCTTTTGATATTACAGCTATACGATCGGCTAAGATGTCAGCTTCATCCATAAAGTGTGTAGTGAGCAGTATAACCTATATATATATGTAATGCATACAAATATATTAAAATACTTCTAAGGCTTCATTTAATACAAAATTACCTTTCCTTTTTTTCTTTTTTGAAGAAGTGACCACAAATGTCTTCTTGCTGGCGGATCAACACCAGCAGTAGGTTCATCTAGTATTATAATTTTTGGATTTCCAATTACCGCAATACCAACTGATAACTTTCGCTTTTGCCCTCCACTTAAAGTTTTACTAATATTATCTGCTTTATCTGTTAGATGAAGTTCTAAAAGCATTTTCTGTACTTCATCATCAATTTTTTCAGATGTTTGACCCTTAAGAATAATAAATAAAAGATAAGTACAGTGTACTATACAGTACCATATTCCAGAATATATTTAGTACTACACTAATATGATATATTCAATGTATAAATAAACGTCATCACGGCATTATATATAATGCATACTTACTCTAAGAGTAGCAAAAAATTTTAGATGCTCTCTAGGAGTAAGCTGTTCAAATAAAATATCATATTGGGGACAAACTCCAATCATTCTTCGAATTTTGGTTACATCAGATGGATTTCTAACATCATAACCATAAACTTTTATTGTTCCCGATGTTGGTTCAGTAAGTCCAGTGAGAATATTAAACAAAGTTGTTTTTCCTGCACCATTATGTCCTAAGATAGCAGTTATTTCTCCTTCATAAATTGTCATATTTATACCTGTAAATCAATATTTAAATTATGATATAGTGATATAAGTTCATAAAAATATGTCTATAGAACTTTTTTTACCATTTATAACATTTTTTTTTGATCCTTTAAATGACTTGCAAAGATTTGTTATTTGAATAGCCCGAAATTCTTTCATAGTCTCTGGTACTGGTTCCAAATCAGGATTTGAGATTGAATATCTATTTATTTCATCAAATTCTATTGCTTCTAGTGGTTTAGTACACCAAAATGATGTTTTAAAACAAAACCATGCAGATTGTTTTCGTTCATATTCACTTGGTAAAACCATATCAAAATAATACGCTAGGATACCATAGATGAATGCATCAAATACCATGATTAATAAACTTTCACCAAACGATATTCCTGGACCTTTCCAAATATTACCAAAATTAAGGCCTTCATCTGCTAAGTCCATTGACATAGCTTTATCTATAGCTAATGCAAATCCAGATGGACTTAATAAAGATATTAGCCATAATAGTCGTTTACTTGAAGGATCAATCAAAATATGTAAGAAATACATAAGGCTTATTAAATTCAGCACAAAATTTCCTAATATTCCGGCTGTCTAAAATACATAACATATTATATTTTAAATGTATTTAAATATTTATAGTTTTGATCAGTTTTGTAGGCTAGATAAGTTCATTAGGTACTTTCCTAGGTATAAACTGATTTTAGTTAAGTAATTATTAAACTATTACCCATTATATAATTACATAGTAAATATATTACGGGCAAAGTAGGAGGTGATACAATGCTCGAACATTTTGGGCAATGTTAAATTGATCGTTTTAATAATCTTCTTCAGTTTTCCCTATATTGACTGGGCACAATACGCGAGTGTTCAGCAAATCATACCTTGAGTGTATTTAAATAGGCAAAGTGAATTAAATACAGTGCATACTTATATCTTTACGTAATAGGTACCATACCTACCTACATATTTTATTTACTAAATTGAATAAAAAAATAAACTTTCAAAAATAAAATTTAAAAAAAGAAATACGTTTTATTAATAATTAAAATTACTATAATTTAATATAATTAATAATATTAATTTTATTCGTGTTAAACCACCCTCAGATAGGTAATAATATAAATTCTTCAATAGTATATACCTAACATTTCATTGGATAATTTTATATTTAAATTTAATTTTTTTTTATGTTAGGTATCCAGTAAGGTATTTTGTTCCTGATTAGATTTGGGAATTGTATACAATGTAAACTTTAGCCTACTTTGCCTGTAATATATACCTACATTTATAATAAATAATGATATAAACTATGGATGGTTTTAGCATTTACTTAGACTTTTAAATTATCAAACCTACATCCCTGATTCTCATAATTACATACCACCTACTTACTCTTGATTTATCAAAAAATGGAGAAATCATAAAACTGAATAAAATGACTGTAATTGAATACAGCAAAACAAGCAAAAATATTAATATCCAGTTAGTATTATTGAAAACTCCTAATAAATATAGTATGATGGTACTAGCTAATGACAATACAACTGTATAAGCTACATAGATGTTGAACCATGAGCACCAAAATACTAATTCTTGAAGACCCATTATTTTCATACCTTCTTTAATTTTTTTTTCTTTTTCACCAACTAATTGGACTAAAAGATATGTAATGAATTGTGATAAAGCAATCACTACATAAAGAGGAATAACCATATGAAATACCATTAACCAATCTGTAAATAATATTTTCCTCTTAATAGAATTATGTAAATATAATATTTTAAAAATTTAATCTCACTTGCTGTATAAGCTGGCTTGGGAAAAAGTACGAAACGATAATTTGGTAACGTTATAGATGAGTTATACACTAAAGCTATTTTAGTAAAATCAACTAAAGTTTGTAGAGCTATAAATCCAGAGTATATGTAATGAATTGCTGGACATAATATTTCTTCATTTTTTTCTTCACTATTATGGTGATGTCGATAAAGAAATTTTTTTGTTAATTTATTAGCTGATACTTTTCGACATTGATGACTAGATCCATAAAGTTTGGATGGTGTTGGTGATGAATCATAAAATGGATTAGATCGGATCTCATATCTTTAAAAAGATAACATCAAAATAAACAAATTAGTATACAAATTTAGCATATATGTATATATATATATATACAAAGTGATTTTAAGTGAATTTGTTTTTGTTTTTTTAATCATTGTAGAATTGTTTAAGCTTTATTTTAAAATCATTTTTAATTTTTACCCCTACTCCATGTACCTTAAATAAGTAAATACTTTTGATTTTCAAGAAGAACATCTCTTTTTGGACACAGATTAGAAAAATAATATTTGTTTAGAAATGTTTGTATGCATAGCACTAAAATCAGATTTACTGTTTATGAGTTAAAACCATTTAAAGTTTAGATTGACGCAAGAAAGAGTAATCAATTTATGATTTAAAAATAAATACACAATTTATTACCCTTTCCTACTCCTCGGGTCTAAACTTTAAACTGTTTTAAATCTAAATTATGGTAAATTTAATATTAGTGTTATGCATACAAACATTTCAGAAAAAATGTTTTCTATTCGAATCTGTGTCCATAAAAGGGGTGGTCCTATTTGAAAAACAAAAGTTTGTACTAATTTAAGGTATATAAAGTAGGGATAAATAATTAAAAATGGTTTTAAAATAAAGCTTAAATTTTTCCACAAAGAGAAAAAAAACAGAAATCAAATTCATTTAAAATCCTCAAAGATAATGCTGGTTCATGATAAAAAAAATTACCCTGTATAGTACATGCAAGGGAGAACCAGGATAATATTTCAGACCGGGAAATTTTTGTTTGACAGACCAGGAGAGTTTTAATCTAAAAAATAGGAGTGAAATAACTCAAACTTCCTAAATGTGATGTGATATAACTTTCAAAATATTCTGACGTTTATGAACTATTTATTGAAACTTTATAATTTTTTTAGTTTCTTTGTTGGTTTTGTATGAATAACATTGATTTTGCTTCCTCAAAAATTGTATTCATGGTTCTAGTTATGTAGTTTTTATAATTAATTTGTTCTTAAGGCATAGGTACAAATTTTCAGTCAGGCCTTGGACTAGAACTTATATTTTTAACCCATATCCCAAGGATTCCTTCAGACAACTTGTCCCGGAGTACATGCATATATACCTACATACATACTTATATACATACATTTTCTAAAAGTCATCTAGAGAAGTAAGCATACACCTACTAATTATAATTATAAACAATAATTTAAAGTATCTATTGAAAACTATTAAAAAGAAAATATAATACAACCTCATTGATTGATTTAGAATAGGATCATCATCAAATAATAAGGCTATGTAAATCAATGATGGATTATTTCTTTGTATTTCAAAAATATCTTCTTTTTTTTTGTAAACGTCAAAATTAATTTTTTCCCCGTCTCGTCTCATCCAAATTTCATTCATTTTGTCTAAAAAAATCTAGAAAAAGTTTCATAATTTCATATTATTTAATATTAACAATCATTAACAATCAATCTTATATAGGTACTAACAATTTAGACTGTTGTAAGATTTACCTGTAAATGTTTTGTTGATGGTGCTACAGTTATATTTCTATAAAAATAATTGTACATGTCAGGTGATTCTTGAGGTTCTGGTACTGGTGGAAAATTAGGATTAGGAATTAACCATTTTATAGCTACCAAAAGTCCCAAAGTGTATACCGGAATAGCAATTTCCTGTATAATTATTTTAATTAGCAAACTAGGTACCTACTTATATAATATGTTTATTTATTATTATTGTTAAATGTACTCACGGACAATGTTTTTTTAGTTTCTCTTCGTTTAATAAGTATATTCCTAATAGTCATTGCTTTAATTTGGTACCAAAATTCAAAATTAGTTGAGAACTTCATTGTGATAATTCTATTGAAACAATGCAGACAACTAAAGTCAACCTTACGTACCTATTGGTAGATATATGTAAATATTTTAACAAAAATTATATTGATTTTTATAATAAAGGTCCTCAAGGTTCTACTTTGTAATGAATATCTAATAAGTCCTGTAGAAACTTTATTCAATGTTATATTCTAAGCAAAACCTATAATTTAAAACTAGTCCCTCTATTGGATATGTATACACACTATGTATAAGCACTGCGTAGCATATTATATCTATTTATTTTTATTAAATACATTTTAACTGTTTTAAATAGGTACCTACACCTACCTATTTATTTTACAAATAAATTTTATATTTACATCACAATTTATTAATAAAATATAATAATTTATAATTACTCATACAGTATCTACCTATTAAATATAATTTATAATCAAAGAATATAGTATATACCTATTTACTAAATACAACAAAAATAATAATATTACGATACTTTGGAATCTACCACAAAACATTACTAAACAGAACTAATAACTATTGCTAAATATTATGAAACAGTGTCATAACTATTAGGACCTTACTTTAGATGGTAATATGAATATTTTGTTAAAAATATCAAGACTAAATTGTAACTAATATATTATACTATATCACACAATTTTATTAACATTTAATATTAATAACAAAAGAATAATATTGACAGTGTTGTATGTTTATAATTGTTTTGCATTTTGTAGTGTGTGTAATAAGTTATTACAAAAAAGAAAAAAAAAGTCTATGTTTTAGACTTCTTTGGGGGAGGAGTAATGTATCACCTTCTCCCTCATTGGAATGCTAGTGTTATGAAAATAATCATTCATTATACTCAAAAAGAGTTCTCAGCAGAGGTTGTAAATAGTCCTGTTGCCCCTTCTTCAAGTATTCCATTTAGTTCTATTTAAAAATGTCATAAATAAAATATAATAAGTATACAAATTTAGCAAAAGAAAAAATATTTTTTTTTATAGGTACTTATGTGTTCGAAATTATGTAATTCTAAAATATTGCCCAGAATTCCTCATCTATTTCATGTAAAATTCAAATTATAAATAACTACATTTTTAAAATTTGACAAAATTAAGTATATTTTTATGATTACGAGCTCTTCATAGCTTGATTTACAAATACTGGCATTTTTATAAACAATCATGCTGTTAATTAGTAGCGGAACTAGGATTTATTTTATGGTGGGTGCTATTTTGCTAATAATACTCCTTAGGTACTTATGTAGAACTTCAGGATAAAAATAAATTAATAGTTTGAGGCTTAAATGGTCTTATTCTTAGAAAGATATGAGCTTTCTTGATCTTTGATCGTCTCCCCTTATACATTTTAACATATTAATTTAGTTTAAATTTGAAAATTGTATACAATACAATAAATAATTAATGCCTACACATAATTATATCTCACTTAAAAATTAAAATATCGAAAAATCATCAATGATAAAGCACACATAATCTTCTTAACTTAAAAGTTTGGTAATAGGTTAATTTGCTTTAATATTTTAACTAACAGCACAAAATTTGTTCTACTCAATGCAAATTTGCTGTCACATGCTTGTAAAACGGAGATAGTAGTATGATGTTCACTGTCCTTTTTTTAATCACCCAGTCAAAAATACGATTAGTTATTATCATAGACTTATTAACTATAAAAAAAAATATTTTATAATAATATGTATATATACATTATTATATATTATAATATTACCTTTTCTGTCGTTTACATGATATCTGATATCTAAGTATTAGGTAATTTATAATTTAAAAAAAATATACAATATGCCTAACGATGGGTGCTTCAGTTCAGCGTTGCCAGCCGCAATATACCGGCTGGTAATGTTTAATTTATCAATTTTTGAATACTTATAGTATTCAGCATATACTTAATAAACATGGATTAAAGTTTTAAAATGATTACATGGTATTAATTGATTATAGTAATAAAATCATGCATTCTATAATTGGTTATAATTCAGATAACTAAAAAAGGTAAATTCAATAATTAGCTATTAACTTTGTTTGGCTCATTTTAAAAATTAAGAATATAAAACAAGTTACCAAAATATAGTTAATCAAACTAATTGCTACTAGCTATATTTAAATTAAAAAACTTATTCAAACTAATATTTAGTCAGTTTTAAATAAATCTAAGTATTTTTTAAGATATTATTCAAATTTGGTGTCATAAACGAAAAGTCACATAGGTACCTATCAACTTACAGATAATCTTCTTATCTAGTCTAAGGTTAAAATGTGTTAAAGTTAAATTTTCCTATTACATGTTTTGAACACATTTATGGCTGAGTCTGTTTCTCTAATGATATCTTTGTAGAAGCATATCACTGAGTTCCAAAGAAATATCAGTTTTGCCATATTCACATTCTGCTAGTTTGCCAATGTAACCTTATTTATTAAGGTTATTTTTTGATCAAGCAACTCCAGTATCTCACAGAAAATAAGTAATGATAGAAGCAATCGAGCAAAGTTGTGTCATTATATTATTAATATATTAATATGAGTAATAGTAATTTTAATAATATTAATTAATAATAATAATATTTTATTTTTTTTTATAAAATAATAAAACAACCATTATAATAATTATTACTTGTATATCTTGTCATCTAGATCCATAACTTCTATGTTCTACCAATAAAATTAAGTTCGTACAATTGAATACATATTTTTGTACCTATAACGATTACAATAAAGAAATTAAATATTACATAGGTGCACTTTTTTTTTCTTATTTATATGTAATAATTATACTATTAACTTTTAAAATTCATGAGATTTCTCGACTATCGTACATTTGAATTGAAGATAGTTAAATGTATCATTATAATTAAATTATATTCTGACTTATTGTAATGATATTTATTTAGTTTAGTTTATTTGCAGATTCAATTTTAAATGTTTAAATATTATTGATGTTAATAATTTTAGTTGATTACCTGTACTCGTTCAATTTACACACGAAACATTAAGAATCCCAACTTGAGATAAGATAAATGAACATGCTACACTTACGTCTACTCTAGTGAAGTACAATTATAAAAATATCATGTTTTTTAGAATTATTTATTTGATTGACTAATGTTATAGAAAAAATTACAATAAGTTAATATTAACGTAAAGGCTGCCTAAGTAAATACATTGAAAACAGCTAAATAATTTATTACTGGTATGGAAAATCCAAATGTGTAAAAAATAATACATCTATTTACATAATGTCCAAGAGTATTAACTAATTGACACAATATAAAAGCACATTAAAATATACCCAAATTATCATAATTTTAAACATTTAAAAACGCTATTAGTTATTATTACCTAATATTTGTTTATAAATGATTTAAGTTATAATTTCAAGATATTTTTGAGAACCTCACTTACAATTTAAGGCTCTAATTTATTGGGATATTAGTAAAACTTTGTATAGGATATAATACAGGAAACAATTTAAATAGAAATTTTATCATGTTGGGTATCTAATTTAGAAACCTGTAAATATTTTCCTTGAGTCTTACTAATAATGGTAGTCAATTATCACACAAACATATAATAGATAGAGTATTTATAGGGATATAATTGAACACTAATTTATCTCCAAGATATGTTAAATTCTATATCTGCATAATCAGTCCCCCGCTTACAGTAAAATAAATTGTTTATGGAAAAATGAAATGGATATAATTTTTTTTTACCTTTAATCATTAAAATTGTTTAAAGAGAATAGAGATGCAAGAGTATAGAAATTATAGAAGAATAATATTGATGAGTCATAGTATGAAGATATGAGAACAAATTATAGGAAAGAGAATTAGAAATGAGACATCAATATCTAAGAACCAGTTATTTTGTATGTCAAGATCGACGATAGAACCAGTATTTGCTGTGAAACAGATTGTAGAAAAGTAAAGAGAGAAAAAGAAAACCTATGTATGGTTTTTATTGATTTAAGTTTCTTTTTAGATTTAAAGCTTAAGACAAAATATCATATAAGGTTCTGATGTGAGCGTTAATGAGAAAAGGAATTCATTATTTGTTTAGGTTAAAGTGCAAGTGTAAGAAGTGTATGTGAAATTAAAGAGGATTTTGAGGTTAGAGTAGGTGTGCATCAATAAATCAATAAAATATGAGTTCTTAATATTAAATACTACAAAGATCGGGTTTTTTTTTTGGTAATTTGATAGCTAATTTTTCTAAATATAATGCTTTATTTATTATGTATTATTTCAAAAAATAAATAAAGATTTTTTTAATTGTACATATTATTTCATCTATTGTATACCTGCCTGGAATTTCTGTACAATAATATACGTACAACAACTTTCATCTGCTTAAATTTAAAATTAAAATATAAATTCAAAACCTAGTAGATAATCAAAAAAAGTTAAATGAAATTTTAAATAACTAATAATTTAACTAGTTTAATCAAAATAACAAAGTTGTCAATAATTGTATAATTATTTTTAATTGTTACCTTATTGAACATGTATTTTATAAATTAGACACTGATAAAAATTGAATATGATTTTTAAACACATTTATAAAAAAGATATTATGATCGCATTAATATGAACTGGGTATCTTTTATTGTCACAATAAAAAAAAATACAAAATTTATCAAATGTTTTTTTTTAAATTAACCTAACCTTAATATTTTTCTACATAAATTATAATATATAATAACTATCTAAATCTAAATATCAGACTCATGTAGTTGAATTTAATCTTTTAGTCTTTTATTCAATTTTTATAACATAATATATATTTACTTTACTAAAATGTTTAAAAAATTGTGTGAGTTAAAGTATTGGTGAAAATATCATTGTTCCATCAAAAAACCCACGAACAAAATTCATAATAGATTTTTCTGTTATATGAATTCCATATTCCATGACTGAAATTCTGGCCATTGGGATATCTATGAGAGTTAATAATGGGGCTGCATCATCAGCCAGTCTTGCGAAATGTCTTAAAGTATCTGATGTACCATCCTGTAAAATATAAATAGTATTTTATTGATTTATAATTAATTTACATATTTATAGAAAAATATCATACCCACTTAGAAAAATCAATATTGTTATGAATTATTAAATATATTATTATCATGAAAAATAAATTTTTTGACATAGTATAACCAACTATTTTATCTTTTCGTGGAAATAGGTAAAACAATTTATATTAATTTTATGGATATCACCTATTAGTAATTACTTTATTTAACTATGCTGTAAGTTATTTATTTTTTTAATTATTACTGTCATTGCTAATAATAATTTGTTTAAATTTGTATTGATTCGAGCAGGTTGATAGTTATCGCAACAAATATTTTTTAACATAGTTCTCGTTAAACAAGCACATTTCACTATTTGATAATATTGTTATTAAAATATGAGAATACAATATTTAATTATTTGATATGGCAATAAAATACCAAAAACAGTTAATTCTAAATAAATTTTACATCTTTGAAGTTGAATAATATTTAAATTTAAAATTGATAAATTCAACAAATTTTATATAAGTAGTTTTCAAATTTGTACAAGTGATTTCTCTAGGTATGATATATTAATGTCCATTTAGTATATACATACATCAGGTGCTATAAAGAATAAGAGATCATATAATGCATTAGTTTTAGTTCTCGCAACTTGCTGTGCAATAGGTAATAAAACACCTTCTGCTAATTCTAGTTCTTCTTCTTGGTCTCCTTCGATGAATAAAACTACAGCTGGATAATTTTGAAGTTTGGGTAATAGTCTTGAGGAAAGTGAATACACAAATCGTTTTCTCCATGGGAAATACTGTAAATAAATATTTAACATAATAACAAATTATAATACAATAATACATCAATATATATGAGCAATTATTCTTTAATTAAGAAACAAAAATATTTTACCAAACCATCAGGATCTTCAATAATTTCTGCGCGAGCATTTTCTGTAATAATATTTCCATTTTTATCTATCAACACTAGGTAAGGGATACCACGGACATTAAAACATTCAGTCAGATCTTGTCGTAATGTAGTATTGGTGTATGGAATAGAAAGCCAAGGCATTAATAATGCATGAGAGTTATAAGATTGTTCACTTCTGAAATAATAACACACTATTTATATAATGTTAATAAATAATACCTAATCAAAATCTATACATTTACTTTAAACTATAGATTTGTTTGTTTAATAATTAAAACAAATTACATATTGTTAATATAAAAATATCATGAATACCTTATATTAAAAATATTTTAAAAAAAATATAATAATAATAAATACTCAATCTGCTATATAATATGCAATTATGATTTAAAACATGAATATATAATCTAAAAATAAAAGTAAACATTTTGATATTATTATTGATACTTTAAATTATATGTTACAATAAATAAAACCATACAAATTATTAAAAAGTGAAAGTGTTTGTAGGTAACATTTTGTTTTACTAGATTATAATAATAAAACAGTATAATTGGTACTTATAATTAATTTAAAACGAAAACTACATTTAATTTAATATATTGTATTTGATTTGAATTAGGTACCTAAGTACAGGTTAGATAAACTATCATATAAATGATACAATATTGACCATAGTATTACTATACCTGTCAGAACTAATGAAAATTATTTCAAACTTGATTTTATTTTTTATGCTATTGTAAGCATGAATGAGCTGTGGAATAAAAGCCTTGCATGGTGGGCACTATAAATGAAAGAGTTTGTAAATATTAAATATTACTTCATTAGAATAAATCATAATTAATACCCAATGTGCCGAAAAATATAAACCATATATGGTATCATTAGCTTCCTTTGAGAAAAGTTTTAATGCATCTTGACAAACTTTTTCATTCCAAAACTCCATCCATGGAAAACTTTTACCACAAGATAGAAGTTTTAGTCCATTTCGAGTATGAACTTTTTCTAAACGATTATCGTTTAAAATTAACAAGGTTTCACCATTTTCAACATGATATTTGTGTCTCAAACGAATCTGAAAACCACAAAATCAAATACACATAAAAAATGCATATTTAGAGGTCAATATGGGTAAGTTATTTACCAATAAAGGCATATGTAAGTATAATATTAAATATATAAATCAAGATATTTCTCAAGATATATTATCTAGATATTTCTTTCAAACAAAAAAAAAATAATAATAATTATATTAACCTATTATAATATAACAACCATATTATAACCTATAAATATAGATTTATATTTAATATAATATCGGCATAGTTAATTCTACAATAGTACTTTTCTTTATTTAATGGCAACAGAAAATCAATAGTGTGCAATAAGAACATGCACCGGTCTGTTAAAATAAAGGTTTTAATAGTTACTTTGAACTTCGAAATAAAAAAATGAAAAAATAGTATATAATTAATGTAGTAATGTATATGGTAGTATTGATTTTAAAGTGGTGGAAATCTAAGTGTAACAACAAAGGAGAGGGTTAGTGAATGCGTAAAACTATAATAAATCAGCGACACTTCCCCAACTATGGTTAATGCATGGATAGCAAGTGCGTGTGGAGTCGCTAAGCAAAACTGGCAACCCCAGAGCAATAAAATGAAAAAAATTATCGAGGGTGCCAAATCTTGGGGAGAAATAATGTGCGTTAAAGCTTAAATAGAACTGATACTCATAGTGGGGAAGGAGCAGTTGTTATTAAAATACGAGAATCCCGAGGGGTTACTAAATCGCACTTTTGGGATTTTGACCATAGAAGGGTCTTCATTGTAATAATTCTTAATCACCTAAAGCAAAGTCCTGTACATTTTTAGGTACAGTACCTACTACAGTACTACAATCGGTAAAATTATTTGATTATTTTGTATAGATTTTGTCCTTGAATACTCATTGTTTGGCGAAGTATTGACTTGTTTCTAAAACTGTTTGATAATTTTCTAAACAAGCAGCTCTAAAATGTTACATTTTTATTATATTTTGTCACACAAATTTTTAAATGTAATACCATGTCATTCTATACCAACTTTGGATTTTCAAATGGTAAGTTACATTCAAATTTCAATAAATTGATAGAGTATTTGATCAACACCAAAATGTTGGTGTTGAAATTTTTGATTTCCGTCAATCCATTCACGAGATATTCCAGTTTTAGGTTTGAGCGGGGAGAAAATAGCGGAGTGTTTGTATGGCAGGGTAATGCACGCGATATTTGAATAATACTTCACTACTATCATTTTAAAATTAAAAGTAGAAGTTGTTTTACTCCCAAAAATGAAAATGATAAAAAAATGGTAATGTAACATTTTAGATCTACTTGTTTTTCTTAAATTATAGGCAAACATTTTTTTTTCAAAACAGTTACTTTGCGAAATAATGAATGATCATTGATAATGATAAACAAATCACCCTGTGTATATTGATCAATATTAATACAGGTATTTATTTTAAAAGTATAGTTTTTTAGTACGCACGTGTAAACAAACTATAGGTATTAATATAAATAAAATATATATTGATCAAGGTAATCGCTCAAATAATAATGTAGGTACCTACCACAGATAAAGGAATTTACCTACTTATAGTAAAGTTGTATTTTAATGTTAAGACAACTTTTTTTAAATATTTTATTTTAAAATTATTAGGATGATTAGACCCTAAATTACGTAATATCTATGATATTAAAATCAAATTAAAAAAAGAGCTGAATTCAGGGGTTGGAAGTTGCCACTGTTGTAGGTGAGAAGTTGTGAAGGTTGGATACATAAGGTTATTTCATTTATATCTGTAAGCAATGATAAACCATTGCTTAAATAAAGACGTTTTCGAGCGCAGTTCGATAATACATAATTTGAAGTACCGTAATTTTTTTTGCGATTTTCGTTTAAATTTGGTTTAAAAACGCTTATTAAAAAAAAAAAGTTGTCCGATAATTTTAGAAATTTTACCACGTCTAGGTAAGTTCAATATAAGTATTATTACTAAGTTGCAAGTCTCTACGTGTATTTATAACCGAATTACCGTAAAAAGTTCCCAAAAATTTAAATTCCTTAAAAATGTTGGTAATAATACCGTAAGAAATTAAATCAAAAAGGCAACGAAAAAAGGTGTCTTGTGATTTTTTCTGGTAGAAAACGTCGTCCGTATTTTTATAAAATAATGAAATTGTGAAATTGTATGTTTTCCTAAGTTTTTTCCCACTTAAGCGCTTTTATTTAAAAAATGAAGTCGAAAATCAAAAAATGACATTTTTAAAGTACAATCTAGACAGCTTGAACTTTCATAAAAGGTACAACACTTATACATCGGAACAAGTTTACTAGGGTAAAACGTGTCCACAAACTAGAACAAAGATGGAAAAAAATAAACATTGTAAAACAAATAGCTCCCTCGTTACGTTCAGAGTCTAAAATATTTGGTTGAAAAACTCATTTTTACCATTACTAGATTAGGTAATAATAAAATGTATTCATTTTTAATTTTGATTTCGTAATTCAAACCAGTTTAATATTACTGTTATTTTCTATCTTGTACTTATTTAAAAAGAACATTTTTAATGAGGAAATTTATACCAGTTATAATGTTTTCTATTCGCTTACCCGCTTCTCCACGTTTTCATAAAGAACCGAATACCATGGAACGTTATTGGTCAATCCGTCAAAACATTTTCGATCAACTGCCGTATCTGGATAACAAATCTGGATAATACTGAGAGTCTTCTCGTTTTCGTTTACAGTTTTATATAGATCACGTAAATCGTTCGTATGAACAGTTTCATTGCCTAATGGGACGAAATACAATGCGATTAAAGAACCATTGAACGTCGACTCATTAATCTCCACTGTCGTCGAACCGTATAATAAACGATCACCAAGAAGTTCTATCAACCGTGATGATAGACATAACTCAGCAGCCATATTGCTTCACATATTTACCTAATATAAATAGATAATAAAACAATTGTATTTACGTTATATAATTTACTAAATTAAACCCGAGTTTTATTCTTACGAAAATAATAAAAACGTTTAAAATAAACAATATACATCTATATTTTTAATATCCCGCGTATTGTAACACAACACAATGAATATTTTTTACGATTTTAATGTAATATTCTAATTCCCCTACAAATAACAACTTATACCACCACACGAAGCGAGATTGTGATGAAACAACTTATGTTTAGCCTAATAATTCTATATAAATACATATTATTATATTATGTATATTTTAAACAATATTTTGAAAGTTAAAATTATATTATACAGGTACATAAATATTTTTTATTAGAGACGTAATAACACATATATATCTTAGCGGTTACACAGAGAAAAAAATAAATAATAATATACCTTATAACCAAAGATTATAAAAAAAAAAAAAAACCATTCGGTAATAAAAATAATGATTATAGCATGAATGAGAGGAACATTAGAAGATTGAAAAATCTGGGGAAGAGTAAAAGGAATATTATTAGAAGTACATAAAACGATATTAAAATACCATTGTACATGTTATATACATATTGGTATCTATTTAAATTTGTATATTAAATACTTCTGCTGGTTTAATAATTAATTAACGAAATTCGTATGTAAATATAGTAGGAAGGTACCCATAGATCACGGGATCTACCACGTTGACAAATTTCAAATATATATATATATATATATATAGGTACATATTAAATTGTAGAATTCTAAAATAATAAAAGTTGCTATTTTTAGTTTTGTTGACACGTAAATAAACATTTGATTTAAACAATTTCCCCATAAAAATAGTACATAACTAGGTACTATTACTATACTGACTACAGAAAATTTGTTTTCATTCGAATTGAATAATAAATTAACTGTTTAAATTTAAATAATTACATTTTTTTTTTTCTAATTATCGCTATTTTTGATTAAAAATTATAATAAGATATAAGATCTATATCATATAGATTAACAAAAATATATATATTAGATATATATTAGATAATTATAAAATAAATATATATTAGATGTAATACGAATCAATATTATATTTTTAACTAATATAATCTATTATATTAAACTAAATATAATATTATAACAATAATACTAACCTTAGTTTATGAAAAACGTGCCAACTTTTACTATTACCTATTTAGACTACGGACACGGGACAATAAAACGTCACTAGCTATTGTAGAAATTTACGGGGTCAACTTAACAGTGAACACGTCGACGTCACAGTGTATACTGAACTGCCACAGCCGGATACACAGAGGCCAAAGGGATAAGGGATTGGTGAGAACTAACTTTGTTTATATTTCATATAGATAACTACATAAACAGAGTAGGTGTATACAAACATTGGATACAAGCAGTATGCCACCGCCGAGGGAGAAATCCCTTTTCCGTAAAGCGCGTTAAATATTACCTTGGTCTTATACATACAGAAATAATTAAGAAACACAATATAAAATGTCAAAAGACAATTTACTTTCCAACACGAATGAGTCACTAGTGTAGGAGAGAAGTTGAGAAATAAAACGTCAAACTATTGCAAACGTTAAAAGATTCTGAGCGAAATTCAGTTAAATGCGTTTTTATGTTTAAATTTTTAAACAAATTGAATTCATTTGTAAGTAAAAAATAAATTACAATTATTTTTAATGAATTATAGGAGAATTCAAAGGGGAAAGAAACTTTTATAATAATTATAACAATTTCTTTATTTACGGAAATACACATTTCAGTTAGAATAAAATAAAATGACAATATGTTTACTATCATTAGATATAAGTTCGGACGATTTTTTATTATTTCACTAATAAAAAAAATCATTATAATTTAATTTTAATCATTCTAAGGTCAATTTTTTGGTGGCAAAACTTCTAACACACTATAAGAATAATATTTTTAAAAATGTTCAATTCTGCTAACTTAATATGCATATATAAATATCTGTTACCTCTCATTTGTAATAATTTCGAACACCTATTTATTTTACGTGTTATTCATATGATAAGACAAATTCTGAAAAGTAAAGAGTAGAGTAGTACACTTTAGTACCTATGTTTTTTTAAAAAACGAAACAAGATTTCTATTAAATAGAAAAGTCGCTAACAGACAAAAAAAAATAAGCACACATTATAGTAAAACCAATACGAAAAACAATTAATGTTTATCTTTCTTATTTCAATGACACAGTCAAATTTTTCAATACCCACCCACCTTTTTATATCAACACAAAATATAAATAGTAAAGTATTATCTAATTAATATAAATAAGTATCTTGTATCTACTCAATCATAAACATCAACATTCAACACACACACCACGCAACTGTGTCAATTTAACCCTGTTCACGCCGCCAATTTTATGTATTATGTATATCTATATTATATTATATTATGAACTATTCTAAACTGTAAGATAAAATTGTAATACATTTTTAAATTGTTTAATTTATTGACTTATTTATAAGTAAAAGTAAGGTATAACACGGTAAATATTAGTATGAAATCCGGTTTTATAAATGTTAAATAACTCAAAAATAAGTTATATATTTTATACTAGTTTACTATTTGGATAATTTGTTTTGGAAAAAATTGTAACTAAATAGACATTTAATAAAAACATAATAAAACCTTAGGTATGAAAAATAATATTATCCATACGGCTAATGGCTATACAGCTTTACAAATGAAAATTTACATTATTGAATATTGTATACCTAGTCTATTTAATAACACTTTTCACTTATTATTTTTAAAATTATAATTTTTTTCAACATTTTGTCTTTAGGATTGTCTAATCTTTGCACTTTTTTCTGTGTTGGTAATATTAGTAGGTATACTTTTTTCTAGTGTTCTTAACTTATTCTGGTAGTTAATTCATATAATTTATCAATAATACACTACTTTGATGAACAAGAAACTTAATCTAAGAGTAAATATATGATATTAAGTCGTAAAAAACTGGTGTAATGTGTAGTGCCTGCATGATTTTATATGACATTGATATTATAATAGGTACTTCACAAAATCAATAGTAATAATAGGGGTATATAGAAACATTAAAATAAAATTAGGATTGCCAATAATAAATTAATAAACAAAGTCTAAAAACATTGTTCAATATATAAATTAATTTATGTCTTAGAAAAATAATTTTTGTGATGAACCAAATTAAAGATTTTTAAAAAAAACATAATAATATACAAATATCTTATAGAGTTACTTGTTAAATACAAATCATTTGAAATTGTCCATAATAATATATATCTAATTATAAATCAACTTATACAATATAAATTATAATAATATTATTCATTAAATATAATATGATATAACCTATAATACAGAACAGGGCACTTATTGTATGTGTTTATTAGTAATAGGTACATTGGTACTTACATTAAGCTTGAAAACAATTATAAATTATAATTTATTAAAGTATTGTAATACAAAATAATAAAACATTTTTCTATAATATGTAATTATTATTATTTTCAATAACGTCATGATATTTAAAATCAACTAAGAAATTGCAAAAGAAAATTAATTAGAATCCTAAACTTAAATGTTTGATCTTTATATTATGCTTTATGTATTTTCATGAATATAATAATAACTTACTTTATTTATTACAGATTGTAACAATTAACAATGACGTAAATATTGTTTTTAGAATAAGCGACTTGGTTTTCATTACTAATAATGCAGGGCCAGATTTAGGGTTATGGGAGCTTTAGGGTGCATATCAGATAAGAACCCTAATAAATATAAAAAAGTTAAAATTTAAAAAATTGTAATTAAATTTGCAAAGAAAATTACCATCTTTGTTAGTTTTCTTTCACATTCAAGTATTGGCAAAATATTTTCATTGAGGGTGTAAACCATCAAAGTACTACATATTAATAACTAATAAGTAATAAGCCACTAAATCTTTTAATATTTAAATTTATTTTATTCAGCTTATAATAAAAAAACAAACCCCATTCATATACATAAATTATTATTTTGATTTACAAATTTTAAAAACTACAGTTCAAGTCAACAAGTATTGTCAAGATGGTACTGTTCAAAATGTGAACAACTTGAACAGGAAAATACCATGTGACAAACTGAAACAACAGTGGTCAGATGTAGTCAAATGAGACATGTAGAAGTTAAGACCAGACTGAAATGGGGATTAAAACCATGTATATAATAGGAAAGAGTGGAGGAGTTTGGTATTGGCAGTAAAGGACCTAAATATTCTATAATGTAAATTTTTTTTTTTTTTAATGTTAAATAAAATAATTAATTATGACTAAACTCAGTGAGGGTACAGTTGCACACCTTGCACCCCTGTGTGCATGCCTATGCATTCAAGTACAAATGAAATAGTTATCTATGTTATTGCATAATTTATTTTTAAAACGTATTTAGTCTACATATCTATAACATCAATGTGCTATACAAGCCTTTTTTTTGAAAAATATCTCATGTTATCATAATCAATATTTATCAATAGAGCATATCCATGAATATTTTGGACTCACAGGAAGCCACGAACCACAATTTAATAACCGCCAATTTGAACTATAATAATAGTATCTAATCGTTTTTATTATATTAACATCTTTCTGTGATCAATGGTATAACTATCATTCTAAAAATCAAAAATAAAATAAACTAATATATTATTAAGACTAAACCACAATTTCACTAAAAATGGGCCATTATTTCATTGTACAATTTAAGAATACTAAAAATCTATTGTATTATTTCATGAGGTTTATATTCTGTTCTTACGCGTTAGATAAAGTATACAATTACTACGCACTTACTTATATTCAATTGTTTATATTCAGATTCTCAATACTAAGTAGATATGACGACCGTGATATTGACAAGATATTACTATATTAGAACATATAATAGATAAGGACAACTAGAAAAGTTATCATAGACATGTTACATATTGTAAGCAGATTGAAATTAATGGTACCTATAAGCGAATTAAGACATTATAATTAAATCGTGTATAATGTATAAGACAAGAGGTAATTTTTTCAAATAAAATTAATTATTATAACAAATACGATTATAGTATCTATAATCGATAAAATTATCACATTGGTGATCATGATAAAAATTATTAACCAAACATTTAACCGTCGTAACCATTGTGGTACTAGGCATAAAATGTAAAGATATATAACAATTGTATACACAGGGTTACACCATAGATCAGCGTTTCTCAACCATTGGGTCGCGGATAATGTTAAATGGGTCGCCAAATAATAAAAACGTTTTATAATAATTTCATTTTAGACTATTTGTATAAAATAATTTTAGAAATAAATAATGAAATATTTTTCGTAAATTATTTTTTTTAACAAACAAGTATAAATTTATAATTTTGAACTAGTCTTTCAATACTATAAGTCTCTAGTAACTATCGGATCAGATTCACAAAAACGATTAAATTTGGTAAGTTGGTTGACCAACATTTGTTTTGGTATTAATTGTCATCATTGTGATTTTCACAGGGTTTATTACTCGTTTAGTCGTGTCGGTATATTTATTTAAAAATATATGTAGGGTAAGAGTTACTTTTAGTCATGGTAATTGAACAATTAAATGAATTGGGTGAGAAGGGTAGCCCTTCGTTGAGAATTATTTTTTTCAAAAGGTCACATGAAAAATTTAGTAAATATCTTAGGTTGCCAACACACAAAGGTTGAGAACCACTTTCATAGATAATATAATTATCACTTACGCAGAAACACGGGCCGTGCACAGAAATTACGGACCATAGTTATATTACTCTATGATTTACACAAACAAAAGTGCAGCTCAGGTGGCGCGCTCTAACAGTCATACGTATTTAAATAATTTATTTCTTATACCTTAAAATCACGATTTAAGATAACTATCATCGATCGTATTTCAATCGTGCACAAAATAGATGAAATTTCATTTATTCTGTGCTTGCGCTATGAACGGCATAAACTAAGATAGTTCTTTACATGCTTAATCAAAGATAAAACATACTGTAGTATTTGACCGCTAGACATCACTACAAACGGGATTCAACAATAATTTACTATAGACCTAATTTAATAATTTAATAATTTAAAATAGTGATGGTAAACATTGTGCTATCTGTACGTGTAATAATTAACTATACGATACACGAAAATAAGAAATTATGTTGGTCAAACTGTTACATTGGTTTTTCGTCAACGAAATTGTGTGGTTAACATTTCTTATGCCATTTGTTTCTCGTCCAGAAAATTAAAGCGTGCCGTCAAAGTCTTCTCTCTTCTCGGAAATAACTTCATAGGTAAGGGATACAAAATTTTTTATTTCGTTGAATTCACCGTGTCAAATACTATTTACAATACTCTATTTTCCACAGACATAATGCCAGCCAAAACGACGTCAGTTAAGAAAAGGGTACGTATTTGCACACTCCATGTTCATTAGAAATGAGTACTTGACTAACAAAAACCTATGACGATTTTTCACTTATTATTTCTAATTAACAAAAGTACATATTTCAACGTTAAAACGTATTTTATTCATTTGGAATTTATTTTTTATGATAATAATTATTATATTAAATACGTTTATTGGCGTAATAATAAATTAAATTTTATTTATTTCACCTACTTTAATTTTTACATCTTGATCGTGTTTCTTTGGTATAACTTATACCATAGGTACTCCTTAACCTTATGTAGTACTTTTTTAATTTTACTTTAAAATAAGTTTACTACTTTCAGCTAGTTTGTACTTTTAATATTTTGCAAAAATGTTCATTAGTTTTTACTTTTTAGTTTGTGTCCGATGGTATGTTACGTGCAGAACTCAATGAGTTCTTAACACGAGAACTTGCTGAGGATGGTTATTCAGGCGTTGATGTCCGTGCTGCGCCATCACGTACAGAAATTGTAATCTCTGCAACACGTACTCAAAATGTACTGGGTGATAAAGGCCGTCGTATTCGTGAACTCACATCTCTTATTCAAAAACGTTTCGACTTCAAAGATAAGGCAATTGAACTTTTTGCTGAAAAAGTGGCCCAACGTGGATTATGTGCTGTTGCTCAAGCAGAATCATTGCGTTACAAATTGATTGGAGGTTTAGCTGTCAGGAGGGCATGTTATGGTGTGCTTAGATTCATCATGGAAAGTGGTGCTAAAGGATGTGAAGTTGTAGTATCTGGTAAATTAAGAGGTCAGCGTGCAAAGTCAATGAAATTTGTTGATGGACTTATGATTCACAGTGGTGATCCATGCAATGATTATGTAAATGTTGCTACAAGACACGTATTGTTAAGACAGGGTAATGTTTAAAAACATAATTTTCTGTAATGCACTTATTCATATTTATTCCTTATTCTTATAGGAGTGTTGGGTATCAAGGTAAAAATTATGTTGCCATGGGATCAATCTGGTAAACTTGGACCAAAGAAACCTTTACCAGACAATGTCAGTGTTGCTGAACCAAAGGAAGAGATTTTGCCTACTGCGCCGACCAGTGATATTAAATCTAAACCAGTAGAGGTAGTACCTGCTGTTCCAGTAGTACCTATTGTTGGATAAAATGATTGTATAAAATAAAACCCAATGTTTTTTTTAAACAAAATTTGTTCTTTTCATTTCTTTGAAGTTGCTATTTCATTTATTATTCATTAAAATAATATGTACAACATTTATTACTTCAACATTATAAGACATTTACAAGAAATTCCATTTAGGTAGATAAATGGCAATTTCTAATATTTTGTATAATATGTTTTAATTAGTTTATGGATTAACTAAATGGTTTAGTGTTAAAAGCTTAATACTCTTTTATTGTTTATCTTTCCCCATAAAATTAATTCAGATTCCGAGCGTAGTGAGGAGCTATTAGTTTTACTAATATGTTTATTTTTTTTTATTATTTCTTCTAGTCTAGAACACGTTTTTTCCTTGTAAACTTTCCCTGATTTTTACGCGTAACAACTTTTCTGGTACTTTGGAGAGGTAATTTTTTTATTTTCGACACCATTTTTTAAATAAAAGCACTTAAATGGGAAAAAACTTGGGAAAATGTACGATTAGTTCATAAAAACAACATAATTTTTGGTGCTTTTTTGATTTACTTTTTTATGTTATCCCCGAAACTTGAACTTTTAAGGAATTTTTTTATGTAATTCAGTTATTAATACATGTAGAGACTTGAAACTTAGTAATAATACCTATATTGGACTTACCTAGACGTGGTCAAATTTCCAAAAATAATCAGAAGACTTTTAATAAGCATATTAAAATTTAAATGAAAATTGCAAAAAAAAGTTACAGCAATTCAAATTATGTATTACCAAACTGTGTTCGGAATCGTCAAGTAATTGTTTATTCTTGCTTACAGATATAATTGAAATAACCTTACTTAGGTGTCCTACCTTCGCAACTGCTCTCCTACAACAATGGCTGCTCTCATTTCCAGTATCGGCTCTTTTTTTAATACTACATGTTACTTTAAGGGGACCAATAACAATAATTTTTTTTCTTTGTCTTGCATTAGTGTGATCGATTTTGTGAAGTGATACAAATTCTGAAAACCAGTTTTAATTATAGAAGTAAAAATGATTTATGCCATTATCGCTTTTTCAAAATTTTGATATGAGAAATTATAAAATTATTTAAAAATATAATAGTATGCTAAAGATGTTCAATAAGCACAAATAGTAAAATCTATTTCCTTCTCACTCAATTCAAAGTCGATATCAATTAAAAACTCCATGCTTACTCATTCACAGGTAATATGATGTACAGAGATACTTATTAATACTTAAAATTGATATGTGTAGGTTATTCATAAACTACTTTATTATTTTATAAAACATTGTTCTACACTTACTGTAATATAATTATACACTTGCAATATGATCTAATGAATTGGTATCTTGTGATTCAAGCCAACAATTCAAATAAGTTTTTAATTTATTTTTTTGTAACTATGGAATCTACAATCTACTCAGAATGGTTATTATTTTACTTTTTGTTAAATCTTTTATTTGATAAAGGTATTAAAAATAAAAACAGATATTGAATTTAAATATACATAAAAAGAAATGTAAAAAATATGTCCATGTATGCTTTATTGGAAATCAGAATATTACACAACTGTTGATGAGATTTAATGAAACAATAAAGTGTAATTTACATGGTCAAACATTTTATAAAGGTATTTGCCTAATTTCCAACTTCAAATATTTGACCATGTGAAATGGACAAATTAATATATATTTTTTTTTTTACAAAAAAAAGGTATTAAGTTACAAATAATTTTTATATTTACATTTATTTATTTGTGAATATAAAAACCAAGTAGAATATTATGAATTTTTAAAAATTAATTATCTCCCAAATAAGGTTGAATAACATTTACTAAGGATAACATTGAATGATTTTATTAATATGTTTTACAAATTGCGATTAATTGATAATAATAAAAATATTTAAATCTATGCAGTAATTATATATACATTCATAATAGGTACATTCATACATAATAAATTGGTGTATATTCAAAGGATTAGAATGATAATTAAAAAAGTATTATATTTTTATAAACCTAAAGTAAATATAGTACAGAATACAGATTGGAAATCACAAAGTTCATTTTAATTGATAGTAGTCAAAATAATGTTGAAAACGGTAACACTAAGAATTGATATTGAATAAAAACATTTAATAGTTTTTAATTGTTACGACAATATATTGTTATACAATAGTACCACAATCATAATAATAATATTATAATAAAATACACATTAAATATATTATGGATCTTTATGACCATTCTCTTCCAATTTGACCAATCCCAATTTTTTAGCTTCAACTTCATATACTAGAAGTCTCCACATTTTCACTACAAACACTTCTGCTTCTTCATCAAGTACCATCTGAACATCATCAAGTATAGCTTGTGGGCTACTACCAGCTAATACTTTTGAACAAATAAAATCTACCAAAGTTGGTTCTGGCTCACCGATATATTCGATAATTTTTTTATTTATCCATGGTCTAATCCGTTTTTCCATCAATTGGTTGTCAACAACAGTCCAATCAAGATGAAATGAAAACAAGTCGTCTTTGTCAGTAGGAATACGTTCAATTAACTGACGAATATTTTTTTTCTTTTCTTCAACAGCTTTACTTTCATCTTCTTTTTTGTCAGTATAATCAAGAGGAACTAATTTTCTTTTTTTAGGTCTAGGTAATTCTTCATCATCATTATTAAATACATCTTTAACATCCATTCTTTTCTTAATCATCATTGTTGTAGGTTGAGTTATAGGTGCAAATTCAGGTGGAGGAGTTTGAGGTTCATTGCTAAGTGGTGTAACTGGCTGCTGTGGACTGGGTGTTAAAGCTTTTTCAACAAAACGTCTCTCTCGTTCTTGCTCAGCTTCTACGGTCTTCTGTTTTTCGATTTCTTTTTCAATTTCCATTTCATAACGTTTTATTTTATCCTTTTGTTTTTCAGCCACATCTATTAATAATTTGGGCTTGTACATTTCTTCTCTGGCTTTTAATACTTTTGCAAACTCTAGTTCTGGGTCTTTGTAGTCACTGTTATATATCTTTTCCCGGATTGTGTCCAATTCATCCTTTTCTTTTTGTCTATCTCTCCCGTCTTCTTCAATTTCTTTTTCTCTAAGCTCAATTCGTTTTTGTAACTCTCTGCCTTTATAATATTTTTGATCATCTTTTTCATCATCATAATCTTCTAAAAACTCTTTAAGTTTTTTGGCATTCCTTTCTCTTTCATCTTCTATAATTTGCTTTTTAGTACGATCTTTGATTAATTCTTTTTTCTTCTGATTTTCACGAATTTCCCACTGCTTACGTTTTTCTTGGTAGGCCAATTCTCTTTCTCTTCGTCTATCATCTTCTTTTTTTAGTTCAAGTTCTTCTTCTTCCATTTCCTTTTCTCTTAATCTACTTTTATCATAATGTCCTCTGCCTTTTTCTGGTTCTTTTTCTTTACGGTTTTCTTTGTCGATACTTTTTTCTCTGTCTTTTTTTTCCCGATCTCTTTCCTTATCCCTTCTTTCTTTCTTTTCCCTATCACGTTTATCCCGTTCGTCTCGTTCTCTATCTCGTTTATCTCTTTCTTCTTTTTCTTTATCTCTTTTATCACGTTCTTCTCTGCGACGTACTCTTCTACTTTCTTCTGAATCTGGACTATCTGGACTTCCATGTCTGCCATTCAGTTTTTCTTTTTCTTGTTTTTTTTTTCTTTCAACTTCTTTTTCTTCTTCTCGTTTTTTCATAACTTCTCGAAACTTACCTATTTCTCGAGAAATTAAATTTTTTTTTTCGTCTTCATTTGGTACCAAATCAAATCCAACACCATCAACTATACTTGGTTTATCTTCTTCTTCATTCTGTTTTCCTTCTTTATTCATTTCATCATTATGTTCTGTTATTATACTGTTTATTCGTTGTCTACAGTATACTTCAAACTGTTGATTTTCTTCAGAATCATCAGCACCTTTTTTTTCTGCCTTAAACTGGTCTAATGTTTCTTGTGCTTTTGCATCTACTTTAACCACAAGTTTTTTATTACCAACAACCATGTCATGTAAAACTTTAATAGCACGTAATGCAGCTTCTGCTCCATAATATTCACAAAAACCAAATCCCTGTACTCTTTTCCAAGAAGCAATGTTCCCACAAGTTGCTAAAATATGTCTGATCATAGCGTCAGGAGCTTTTTCATCAATATTGCCAACAAATACAGTAATTGGTGGTTCTGAAGGTGTTGGCTGGCGGAAGTTTTTTCGAATTGCTCTTGGATTGAAACGTGGAGGAGCAGATACAACGTGAGGTGTAACAGGTACAACCAATGGTGGTTGTTGCATTGGATTCCATACCATAGACTGAGGCATTGGAACACTGGGTACAGTAGGAGTAAATGGCATGACTAAATAATTTGCAGAAGTTGTAGGTAAAAATCCAGTAGAAGGTACAGTAGAAGTTATATTTGGATCATCCATGACGTGTGAAATAAACAAATGCTGAAATTTAAGTAAACAAAGTATTAAATTAAAATTAAAAAAAAATCACCTTTCTATTTTATAAATTATAAACAGCAATGAAATAGTCATATCTTACCAGTAACTACATATGTATAAACAACTATAGTATTATAATACAACATAAATCAACTGTTTTCACGCAATATACATTATACAAATTATAATAACGAATACAAATTGAACAACTAACAAGCTGAACAAATTGGAATAATAAATGTTCAATGTTTATAAAACACTAAAACACACTTTTTAGAAGAAGGCAGTTTTATGATAAAGTAAACTAAATTGATAAAAAAAAATGATAATGTTTGTTATTTTTATCAAGGTCGTTGGCCCATGGAAGAGTTACGAAAAACCGAAAATCCTCCAAATTTTAAACTAAGTGTCAACACCTAAAGAGCTAAAGAGAATAGATCATTGGTTCTTATTAGGCTTTCAAAAATATATCTGCGTATAATGTATACAGATTTTTGATAATATACAGGAATAAAAGTGCCCATTATTGTAATAATCGTCCAATTCCAGTCAATGCTCATCTAAGCGTAAATGACTGTAGTGGCCAGTGGTACCTAATATTGTAGACAAATTTTTTTTTTCAATCACAATAATCAAAAGTCAATTTTGATAGCACGGCATAATTTCTAAAAAATAATCAGTGGCGTCATTTGGGAGTGGCAGGGAATGCATTTGACCCCTCTTATCATCAACGGGTCTCTATTGGGCTGGGTATGGGTTAGTTTTGGGCCACAAGCCTGCAAACATAATTCATGATTTATGTTGCATACGGTCACTCTGAGCTACAGTTTTTTAAGATTTATTTGTGATAATAATTGTATACAATATATTTTTAATTGTACTTTTTATTAGCATTGATTACAATTTAATTAAAATTACCGGGTTCTCATAAGAGTCCATGTACATTTTTAGAGAATGAGGAATGTATGTTTATACTGATGTCTATGGTGACATAGTTATATTGTTTTGTAAATACATGTATACTCTATACATATTGGCACAAATAGAACATAAATTGGAGGAAAAATTCACCTCAAATTAAATCTTCATAAGTATAGTAGCTAATAAGTAATATATTTAGGTATCCCTCTACATATATATTTATTATTTGGTCAATGTTGTCCAACAAAAAAATGTGTTATTTGTGCCTATGATAGTATGGGCGTCTCCAGGGGAGCAAGAAAGGGCATTTACCTCCCCTAGGTTTTCAATACTTATTTTCTGCAGCCTTAAGTTCATTTTTCTTCATTTCTATGATTACTATAGCGAAATACAGTGCCATTTGGAACCTGTGACAAATATATTACAAGGTGTATCAGTAAATCTTTATCAAATCAGCAAACATATTGATTCATTACTAAAAATGTTCGATAACCATCGAAAGGATGATAATAAAATTTTACAAACATTATTTATCGAAGCTGAATTAATCGCCACTGCTATAGATATTTGTATTACATATTCAAGAACGGTAAATAACAGTCACTAAAAGCAAATTATGAAACTGAAAGTTATGAAGATTATTACTGAGTACGGTTTTTATACCATATCTTGATTCAGTTACACAATCCATAAAAGAACGTTTTGAAAAAGAAAAAAATAATGATTTTTTATTATAATATCTTCACCACGCAAGTTTTAAACAATTCGAAAAAAAATATTCTTCGAGAGTGTTGAAAAAATTTACGATTTCTATAAAATTGATAATCTACAATTTAAAGAAGAAAGTTGGTACAATTTTTGGCAAAATCGAGACTACCAAGACATTAACTTTGTTGATTTATTAAATAGTAGCTGTACATTTTTCCCAAGAATAGCAATTGCTTTGGAAATATTTATATCCCTACCAGCTACAAGTTGTACAGCAGAACGTTCTTTTAGTACTTTAAGGCGTGTTAAATCATGGCTTTGATCAACGATGGGTGAACATAGTCTGAGTGGGCTATGCATGTTAAGTGTTCATCACAAACAAGTAAATTCAGAGAAAGACCAATTAATTAAAAAAGCACTAACACAATTTGGTAGAGAATGTCCACATAGATTACAATTTATACTTAACGAAAAAAAATAATTTAAGTAAAAATACCTATAAACACTAGTAACTATAATGGATCAAAGTTAATAATTTATTTTATAAAACAAAATCGTCATTTATTTTTTAAATTATGTTTGTCTTCCTCCGGAAAAAAGTCTGCGGACGCACATGTATGATAGTAAGTATAAAATTATTTAATAAGGATATTTGTATTAAGATAAAATGTAATTGACGGATGAATTAGCGGGTGGTTTTTTCAGTTTTATTATGGGCTGGTCAAATTGTTTGCCCCTTCCTCTCAAAAACTGAAATCACGTCATTAAAAACATTATGAATGAATGTGGATTTTATATGCTCTTGGATTACATAGTTTACATAATAGCCATAAATTTAATACTGCGCCCCAGTGCCGTATTAAGAAATTTAGCGCCTTTAGGCCTTGTATAAAATGGCGCACTTATTATATTTATAACTTTTATTCAAAAACCAAACATGGAAGTTTTGCGATCACATATTTTAAAAGATGAACATACTTCGAAAGTGGTTGGGCCACTGTTTTAGATGAGAAGTTGGGAAAGTAGAGAAGAAATTTAATGTTTATCTGTACACAACGATAAACAGTTGCTACGGAAAATCGAATCTGAGTGGAGTTCAGTTGATAGTGTTGCTTTTTAAACAATACATATGTTATAACCTGGTAAAATAATTACATATGCATTAAAAATTTTCTTTCATAATATTTGTTGAATATTGTATATTTATTTTTCCGTTCTCTCGTTTTTCCTCTGTTTTTTCCGATTTTTCCAATAAATTGAGAAATTTCCTAAACAAATCAAAAATGGCCTCCTTAAAGTACCACCTCAGTCAGATTTATTTTCAGAAAAAGTGCTGTCATTGTAAATCAGAACAAAATTGCTAGTAGATTAGTTGTTTATAGGAAAAAAAAAATAAATATCATTGTAAAACCAATACATTCCTCGCTCCGCTCAGAATCTAAAATCTCTTGGTTTTTTTTTAACTATGCATTTTACATTGAAAGAAATTGCATAAAAACAAAGTAAAATAAAAATAAGTGTTTAGTAACTAAAAATTATACTTATTACTTAGTAATTACATTTATATAAAATACTAATTTCAACTAGATAGTTTTTTACTGGATTTTCTGGTAACGAATTCAATAATCATATCAGAATAATCCAAGTTTTAAAGAAGTTTAATTTTTTTATTTAATAGAGATAATGCTGTTTAGTTACTGATTGTAAGTGGCCGTTTGGACAATATTCGTTATTTAATTATTTTTAACTACTTTTTAGGTGTTTAGACTTCAATTATTAACAACAATGTACAATATTATTATATGTATAAATATTACTGTATGAATACCTGCCTACTTGAAAAAAAAATTAGAAAATGAATTGAAATAATGAATATAATACATAATATATAAATATTTAAATGATGATAAATTTTATAATCGAGTATATATAATATTTTATTACATTAGGTATATTAGTCCGAGTTACATTGTCTATAACAGTAGGTATAACTATAAAACAACATAATTTTAAATTAAACTATTTATACATAATACATATATATATATAAACTGCAGCTATTTGTATTTAACAAATACATCCTTTAATGCAGCCATATAACGTTTGTCCGCTGTATCCTCCGCATCCACCGCCGTATCCTCCGCATCCACCACCATATCCTCCGCATCCTCCAAATCCACCACCACATCCTCCACATCCACCACCGCATCCTACACATCCACCACCGTATCCACCGCATCCTCCACAGCCACTGCAAGGTCTACATCCATAGCCACTACAAGGACTACATCCACTGGAATCACAGCAACCACTATTACCGCATTTTAACTTTACATTAACCGGCACAACGCATGCCTAAAAAAAATTAAAATTAACAAAACTAATTTTTACTAAGCATCAACAATTTGAAAAACAAATTATAATACCCTACTACAACTTTTCTCAATCAATGTAACTATGTAAGTATAGTAAGTGTTTCAAGGATATTACAATGATGTAGTAAATACATTTTTATAATAAATAAACAAAATAATATCAACGTAAGCTTTTAAAACGGATATTCTATTGTAATATTATTACTGTATCATTATATTTCATATTTACCTGTATCATGGTAATTGAAAAAATAACAAACATTAGACTAACTAAAACTCTGAATTTAAACATTTTCATCGGTGACACACACACTACGAGAATACACAACGTCAAATGTAAAATATTAAATACGTCTAAATCAATGATCTATATAACTATAATATTTATAACTAATTTGATTATAATTTGACAACATATATTTTAAGTAGATATACTTTGTTTTTAATTTGCATACGCACGAAATAAATATATTATAATGTTAGTTTGTCATTTACACACGATTTACTTTTATAATAATAATTTTTGTTTTGAAAAACTTCTACGTAAACCTTGTGATCTTACTTTTAGTGCGTGATTCATTATTATTTATTGTTTTATTATGACTGCATTCGATATTGATTATGATAATTTTTTTAAATTCAATATTTATGATTTTCACAATTTTTTAAAATTGTATATTATATTTAAGAAATACTATTTTTTACTACGCTGTAACGATTTAACATTTTAAAGTTTTTCAATGAAATTCTAAGTATTTCATGTTCTATGGATTTTTTAAAAAATCTTTAATATGGAGTTAATTGAACGGACGACAAATGCTGAAGTAATTCTATTTTACTTAACGTTGTTTATTTGACTTTTTAAACCATTTAATCAACCAAATTCCTTCCTATTAAGTATATAAAATTTCTACCAATATTAATAACAGTTGGTAACATTGGAGCACTATTATTAATGGCTATACATAATACAAATTTGATTTTAAATTTTCTCAAAATTATAAAAAAAAAAAAAATAACTTAATACTTTCAAAGGTTTAGTACAATAAATACACTACCTATACAGTATAGACACGTAATTATACAAAACTAATATAAATATTATATTGTACTCAATATTAGTAAATATTTGATTAATCTATATAATGAATTATATTATATTTTTCACAGTTGTTTCATAAAATAAAAAAATATGACAGGCTATAAAAAGCTTCATATAATTGTTCATTTACTTAACGGTTTACTAAAGGACATACCAAGCACTTTTTGTAAGTTTTACCAGTAGTTTCAACGGAAAAGCCAAAACATGACATATACTCTGGGGTCACAGCTGATACTTGAAGTTGATAGCCACCATTTTATAATGTCTATAGACATTGTAGTGATGGCGTATCAAAAGTATAAAAATAAGACGTGTAGGTAAGTACCTATTATATTGTAAGATTAATTATTTGATGTTTCCTTATTGCAACTGCAATAGCTTTTGAAATATTTTAAAGTAAGAGGAGGAAAAGTATCGTGGCCGTTATGGATTCTTTTGATAGGTATTTTATTCAAGGTTTTTAGTAACATGCCCATAATAACATTGGATATAACGTAAAATAACTTAATTTTAGTTCGAGAAACCAATAAGTAGAATTAATTATTTGTGTTTTAAATCATCACGCCACTAAAGTTGGAAATACAATTATTATTTATGTAAATATTTTATAATATTTATTTATTTGTATATTTAAACGGGCGTGTCCAATTACAAGTATAGATATATGTTTATATACAATATTTTGCTATTACAGTATAGTTAATCTTAAATATCATACATAAAGTAACAAATAGTAATATAATCTGTAAATAGATTGATTTAAGTATAAAATATTTGATTTTGTGAATATTTATAATCAAAATAATTCATTAAAGAAAATAATTTAAAACATAATATAATGAAAACTTGATTTAAACGTATGACATTGATATATACATATTTGATGATTATCCAGCCAAAATAATATTTAGGTAATAATTTGAGTCATATATTAATACACAAGAAAACTGATTAACATTGAAATAGTTTACAAATTGCATTAATTTATTTATAGGGGGATTTTGAATATTATAGTTCGAATACTGGAGTGGCACATAAAAAGTATTCAGCTGTCTAGTTCTAAAACTTGAAACATTAAAGTCCAATAAAATAACAATCCTCGGCAATTAATATCCCCATTGGTTAATTTTGAAATAAAGCATAATTCTAATATTTTCCTTCTATTTCTATTATCAAGTATTTCTAGTTTTAAGTATGCTAATATCGGCTGATAGAGGCGTGCCCAGGATTTTGTTTTGAAAGTGGTTTTAATTTGTTAACGTTAGTATATAATTTACAACTACATTATTAAAATAAATAGGTAAAAATCTGTATAAATGTATATCAGGTGATCCATTTAAATAGGTACAATCATTATCTCGAAAAGTATTAACTTTGTTTCCAAAAAATGAATTATTTTCAAGATAATAATTGTCTTATTGAGGATTGAGCATTCTGTATAAATACCTTATAATTGTTATATGGTTTAAATACGATTTATGGTATCTACTACCCACAAATTATAATATATGTTTAAGGTACACGCATATATACATGTAAATTTGTACAAATACGTATTTATATCCCATATAATTCTCTATGTATAATAATATTTTAGACTCGGATATTGTTATTTTAGATTAAAAGCGATATAACCGTGAAACACGTATTTTTAAATGAAAATCAAGATCAATATAATATTAGGAACGAAGAATTCATTCACGGACGAGTAAACAAAATATATTCTATATATATATATTTCACCTACTACTTAGATATAGTTTTTTCTCTCTTATTTTTTATACGCAGAAATATAATTTATTTTTATTTTAATGACCATAGGTATTACACTATTACCAAATATAGGTATCTATTATAGATACCTACCTAATACTTATGTATATTGAATAAAACAATATTATGTTACCTAAAAAGTAAATAATGGAAAAAATATATAAGAATTTTGTATAGTTATATTTACTAAGATTTTATATAAATTATAATATACTTAAACCATTAAATTTATATTTTTGTTGTCATGCTGTATTTTAAAACGAAATAAGTACATAATATTTTATATCTAACACTGAAATTTAAAATAGCTACACATTTTTTTTTTAGTTTCGTGGTAACTTTAATATTTTTATTTCATATTTTTAATTATTTTGCATAGGTATTTTTTAAGTTTTTAGAGAATACAAAATAGACCTAGTTATTATTATTACTATTATGCCATTCCATATTCGTAAACGTAATCTACTGTTATTTTGAATATAGTATAAATAACTATAAAATTACAATAAATAATTGCCTAATGCAACCTACCAAACTTAAAGTCAATGCGTTCGCCGTCTGTAACAGTATAAACACACCAGTATAAATAATTCATTTTAACTTTAAATAACTATGTAAGCAACGAAAACCAAATTTATAAATTATTGATTACATACAAAAATAAAATAGATATCATTAGATTAATTGGGGATAATAATTATTCAAATTAGCATATTACCTACCTGAATAACGAAAACCGCAACAATAAAGACGGGAATTTGTGTAATATTATCGGATACAGGAATTATGTTTTCAGAATTTATTATTGTAAAAAATTAATAAAACCTAAAAAAAAGATAGAAAATTTAATGTATGTAGTTTATTTATTACTATTAAGTACCTACTTAATATTATATGTATTCAAAATATATACTTTACATCGAACTGATGTATAAAATATATATATTACGAGTTCTATATATTATAGTTATGAGTTATGACCTTCTAAATAGTGTAATTTGTGATTTGTTATTTGTTTGAATTAAAATGTATTATTGTTTACAATAGTCTATAACCACTAGTCTTAATTTATGTTTTAAATTATAAACAATATTAATTCGAATACATTTTTAATTTATTGAAAATCGATCACGTATTTAACCGATCTTTTACCTTGAACCTCATTTATTTTTACATTTTCTAATCTTACATTAGTGTACCTACATATGATACCCAAAATATATAAAACAATTTGCTATAACAAATTTACACCAAACGTAAGTTCAAAAATTTTCATTGTAAAACTATAGAGCATATACCAAGGTGATAGATACCAAATAAAAATGAAATTCCGTTGTGTTTATGTTCTGGGTGTGTTCTTTAATTTTTTGAATGTCGGATTTGGTGCTGCAATAGTTGGACAAAAAATCTGTAACTGTCTACCATCAATAGTAAGTATAATATTATTTGTATATTCCTTCCGTTTGAAAAATACAGTGGATTAATAATTAAAATAATTGAAAATAATGATGTATACATTTTAATGTATCAACAAATCATGCCGTTGATATCAACATTATATGTAGATAGGTAATTATAATTATTTTTTTTCATTCATTTTTCAATTTTTCGTGATGTAAAACAGGAAAATAAAAAATAAAAATACTTGTTTAATCAGTCATCTGTTTACTTATTTATTCATCTGTCTACTTAGAAAAACAAAACAATAGTATCTACTGGATACAACTTTTTGAACGACTATATCGCCTCAAAAGTGTCTTCCCGTTTAAAATAGATTAAAATCATAGTAAAAATAATATAGCTATACTCTGTTACAAATCTAAAATACTTATATACTTTGTTTATAGATTAAAATACCTAAAATATCAGTACCTAGTGCACCTGAGTATCGTATTGTCTGCACTAAAACGCCCGGAGCCCAACAATACTCTCCGATAAACTGTCTTTGCAATTGTGTTAATATACGAGTAAGTGTTATATATTGTATTCTAGTAACAGTTTATTCCTATTAATTATACAATTACAATGCACCTACATATTATGAAAACTATAATGCTGCACAAGGGTTTTTTTTTAAATATGAAAATAGTATACTTTTAGACAGGGCCTGGTAACCAATAAACTGAAAAGGCTACATCCTAGGATGCCAGTAAATGAGGAAGGAGTAACAAAACAATTGTTTTTAAAAATTGATTTTTTTCAAACTTGTATTTCTATGAACCAGTGACCATAGACGTAGCCAAATATTTTTTTGAAAGTTAGAGCCGAGTAATAGAACAAAATCCAAAGCTGATTGAGGAATTGAAATAATTATTATGTATAATATATTTAACATTTTTTAAAATGTTTAATGGTATTGCTTGTATTCAGGGGAAAAATCCACAAAAAATCGGGAAAACCAAAACAAATGTACGAATTTTTTTCTACTGCCCTCGCCCCTTGAAACTTTCTTGCGTTTGGTACCTTTTCTGGTAGCAGATGATCGACCATGCATCGGCTATGAGAAGTTTTCCGCATACTATGTTTGCAGGTGACACCAGCAAAAGACGAATACGATTGGACGGCTATGACACCGATTCCAGAATTTTGTGGTGACAACATGGGCCCACGACTGTTCGGAGTACTAGGTAGTGTATTTGGTCCTCCAGCAAACGCGTGTAACACCGGGGCAGTCTCATCAGCCGGATATCCGATAGTCCAGGAGCCACCCGGCCCGGACGGTATAGACGAACCGACAGATTCGGCCGGAACATCATGCTGTGGCAGTCTACCCGCCGATCCGGTTTCCCTGATGTTAGCACAAGTCGAGGCCAACCGATGTCGTGGTTCGGGTGTCCGGGAAGATCGTTTGGCGTTCGGGCCCATTTCCGTGCCAAAAGACGCGTTACCGCCACCATCATCTTCATCGGACGTCAACGAAGAGGGCTTATACGCACTGAATACGCCCATCATCGAGCTAAAAACATGTAAGCGATTCGGACAGAACGCCAAACTGGCGTCAGACACGGACGCGTTGCTAGCCCTCGAGGAGGATTCGCAGCTGTCCGACGACCCCGGACTGACAGTTAATCTGCCCAGTTACGCGGACGTCGAATACCAGACCGAAACGCTTTCGTGCACTCCCTTAATAGATGGGGTTCTCATGCCCACCGCAACAAATCCCGAGTCAAAAGTCGTCTACGATTCCAACGCAATGCGCTGCGGTAGTAATGTCTCTTCGCAGTGTCTGTGCAGCTCATGTAGCAAGTGCTCGTGCAGAAAGTGCTCGTGCGAAAAATGCTCGTGTGGCAAGTACACCAACTGATTAGTACTACAATGAGTTGACGGCCATAGGAGACCAGAAAAAAAAATAACATAAGCCTCTATTATCAACAAATAATACTACATCTGCCTCCGAATTCCGTTCCACATATATATTTAACTGCTAAACTAAACTTTATTTGCCAGACTGGTAGTTTTGTTGACATGTTTCAAAATGTTTTTTTGCTTATTGTCAGACATGAAAATAATAAACATTATTAATATTTTATATTAAATTTACGCAAATAACATTTCTCCTAGTAGAGAACTAATATTTATTTACAACTTTTTTTGATTTTACTTGAAGTTTGTTGACTATATTAGTGCATTTGATTTAAAATAAGTTATTATAGTTTCTGACATACGGATTTTTTGCCGGAAATCTATCCGTCTTTGAAGTTTTGTCATTTCTTCGATGACTTTTTCGTGTCAAATTATAGGGTACACATGTACATCATATTTCGAAGGAGAAATGAACCCGAAACTCCCTTTCGTTTACCATATGATATATAATGTCTTAATATATTTACAAATATAATATAGTTCTGATATTTTTTGGGTGTAGTGCACCATTATTTTTTACTTAGGTATACCTATACACTATATGCAATATGCACAAAGATTATATAGCCATAGGTGTGGCTACGGAGTGTGCAGGGTGTGCAGATTTATAATAAATAATTGGTTCAATTGGATATATGATTGAATTTAAATAAACATATCAAACATTGATATATTATCAAAAAAATTCAATTTTAATGAAGATGGATTAAATGCAGAATTACGGTTAATAAAAAACTCTAGGGCATTTTGAACAATTAAAATAATAAATATTTGGTTACACAAATTATCAAGCAGTGACAATTTTCCTAATGTACTTCGAACATTCTCAAGTTTTGTGATTATACTGGTAACTTGTTGCTCCTGTGAACGATCATTTACAAAATGAAGAGTATTATGAAACAAGATAGATACGATTCTAGGCTCATGATTTTTGTGGAGCAAAATCTTGCAATATCAATCATCTATGATTAGGTTTATTGAAAATTTAAAATTAACCAACCATAAAGCGACGTTTAAAATTATAAAATATATATTTTTTTGCGAACATAATAGATATATGTAGTATGTATAATGTATATAGTATTATATTAACATAATATGAACAAATTCAAAAGAATTTATTTTTTTTTGTAAGTGTATAATTTGTTTTTAAAGTTAATGCTCTAGGAAAAAAATGTAAGGGTGGGTATACAAATTATTTACTTGCATCTCTTGTTAAAAAAATCTGGTCACACCTATGTATATAGTAGTATTAAAGTGATTGAATTAACCAATTAATTAAGGTTACATTGGTATGCTTATATTATTACTATAAAAAATATATTAGTTTAAAACTATATTTATTTTCGTTTTAGATTTACAAAATAAGCTGATTATTATCATTAATTTGGAATAAATTTTCAATAAATACCAAAAGTAGTTGAATTGTATAAAGTTGTGTTATTGAAAAAAGCCTATAGGTATAGTAATAATTACGTAGCTATAGGTACAATGTACATACACCCGTGAGCAGCAGCTAGAGCTCCGTCACTAGAGTCAAATTCCTCCCCTCCCCTATTTTAATACTATAGAAATATTTTTTGTAAAAAAAATAAATAATATATTACTTCCAAAACATTATGAAATTTTAGCATACAAAATGGTAAGGGAGGCAGGGGGATTGAATGTTAAATCACCAAAATACATATCCTTGATACTATAACGCCATACGTATATACAAAATTGCATCCTCTAGCTTTAAAGGATTTGGGGGTTTGAAGGAATGTTCAACGCTAAAAACCATCCTCCTGCAAAAACGTGTAACATAATAGATATGTGATAAATTTTATATTGAAATTCAACCCAACTTTTATCACTTCAATCTATCTATAAACAATTAATCCTAATTCCCAAGTTTCAGCTCACTTGGTCCAGAGAGAGCCGCTTAAAGTATCCAAAAGTAGAGGGAAAAAGATGAATATATAATATATTATTGTATAAAAGACTCAATAAAGTGCAGTCGTTTCTATTTTCGGGAAAAATTTGATAATAAAATTGTCAGGTACCTATTTCTATATAACTACTTGTACGAATCTTCCGTGATGAGAAGAGTAATAGTTACCAACGATATTCGATAACCATAACTTAAAAAAAAGTATAATACAATGTATTTTAACGATTTTTGGTTCAAATACACTGTAATAGCGTATAGTAAAATATACCTAAACATTGTATGCCTGTTTCCGATTATTGCATTTCTTATGGGTACACTTGTTGCGTACAGCAATGCACATTTAGGTACACTCGCGAAGGATAAGCCGTATTATCGACTATTATATTATGTGCCGTATTCTTTTTACATAGTTGATTGGTATAGGTTCTCACACACAGTTTTCACGGGCACGTGTGATATTTTTTTTCCCCGCCGGAACATAAAATAAACGAATAGTTTACAAAAAACTAATATATTTAATGTCGAAAAAAATAATTATATTTTTCGGCGTGCGTGGCAAAAAACATTTTAAAAATCAACAAATAAAATAATGCACCTATATATAATATTATTATGTATAAATACGTCCGGTCGTACACCTCGACGACGGCGGCGGCAGTGACGGGTCAAAAGACTTAAACGCGAGATGAACGATTTCGACTCGAACCCGCGCGCCGACGAATTAACCTTGATTATTATTCGATGACAATGGAGGATTTTATGCCGGTGACGACCACTGACGCGCCATTATGCACGCAGGCCTCATCTGTCTTATCGTACTTCTGCATCGCGGCCGTATATATACGGCAAGCGAACCGGCAGACGCGGTTATTGCGAGTCATATAATCGACCCGACACGATCACCCTGTTCGTAAGTCGCAAGTTCGCTTGCGAGTACACAGTTACCGACGAAAATGATCACGATTACGATAACTATAACGTCGGTGGTCGCCATCGCGATAGTGAGCGCGGTACATCAGGTAACCGCGTCGACGACCATAGATAATGTGGTCGTCCGAATGGGCTTGCCAGAAGGCCAGGGACTGTCAGGCGTGTGCCTGTTTAAAAACGGGCCGAACAAGCGACGGCACGTCATGTTCAAGTCGGTGACGTCAGCGCGCAAGAAACACGGTGGCGGTGGCGACTACATGGTGGCCGGAGATTTGTCGGCCGACCGTGTGTACGAAGGCACGTTCACCCGGCTTGTGGACGGCGATCAGGTGGCCCGGTTCGGATGCAAGGGTGGCCAGCAATTCGAAATTGCTACGCCGTTCGTGGTGCCAGAACGGGACTTGGACACCATGCTGGCGGTCAAGGAGTCGATGGAACGGCGGTTCGGCGCACAGCCGTCCCGTCAGCAACCGCGTAGGTTTGTTACGGCGGACCACGTCTCCGTCACGCTCAGTGTACTGCAACAGGGCAAGTCAACTGCGCCCTCAGATACTGGCGACTACGTCGATGACAATGCCTCAGTCACCGTTGACGTTTTTCAACTGTACAAGAAACCGACCGCCATCGGAAACTCATGGAATTCAAAGGTCACTGGCACCGCCACTCAGTACTCGGCGTTTCCATTCGCGAGGTATGCGCTCCGATATCCGGTAGGAAAACTAATGTTGGACGACCTGCCACCTGATCAAATGTTGGCCGTCAAGTTACGCCGTCCTGTCACAATCAATAACAACGACAATCTGACCGAAAACGCCATTTTTATATACACCGGTGGCCTCTATCCTCGGGGTACTGCCAATCTGACAAAAATGTTGGACGACGAACGACCCGAAGATGACATGTTCACCACGAACCCTAACGTAGCGGATACTGACGTCGCTGCTACTTCGCTACAAGTCCTCGCTAAGTATGTGCACCGCGACCCGTTCGGTAAGCGTTCATCAAATATAGGTATTAACTCACAATATTTAGATTAGGTTAGGATACTTAACCAATAGGTATAAAATATACTTTATAGGCTATAAATTAAAACAACTACGAACCCATACTACGCATGGAGTTGACATTTTTTTAGAATGCACGCACCAAATTTTCATTCTAAGAGAAATTTATATCCGTAATTACTGTATTTGTCAAACTAACCGACAACAAAACACATTACACGTTACTTAGAACATAAACATAAATATTTAAATTGTATGTAAAGCCAAGTTAAGATTATATACATTCGAATAACTCTTATGTTAAAAAAAAAACGGATAAAAAGTTTGCTTGATATAATTTGTAAACAAATTTTCAATTTTAATCGGGATACTTAACAAATGAAGGGAGCATCTATGTTTTTTTCAGTATGGAGTTTTATAATGCTATCATGGATGACAGACAAAAATGTAGTCAGCTTGCTTACATCCAATAGTGACATATGCTTGTGAAACGTGGTAGACAGCTTAGGGAGACTAGGAGAAGCTTCTTATATTTGAGAGGAATGTGCCAGGAAAAATATACGGACCTGTGACAAATGAATCAATTGGGAACTATAAAAAGAGAAAAAATACCACCTGAGAATCCCTATATAATAAACTAAGTATTAAATGTTTTCTGAAATCTCAACATCTAAAATGGCCGGGTTACATGTGAGGCAAGCTAAAGAGAGCATAATTCAGAAAGAACTAATTAATAAACTAACTGACAAACGTCCTGGTTGGGGAAGACCTCGGTAACGATGTCAAGATGCAGTAAAATGCAAGTATAAAAATGGTAAACAGAACGGCAAAACTCATAGAAAAAAGGTTAAAATGGCCTAAAAAGCAATAACAAAAAAAAATCTAGTTATATACTTATTGGACCGGTCATTATTTTGGCCTACCCTAGCCAATATTTAAATGACGCCCCTGATACCGGTATGTACCTGTAGACAGTAATTATGTATAGGTTGGTATATCTATACTGTAGTCGATGTAAATATTATGTATAATAGACATCAAAAGAGTAATTATAATGCACCTATTATGTATACATGCTTATAACATTAGATAGGTAAAAAGAAAATTGGTCTTAATGTTGTCTATATCACGATCTATATTATATTCGTCTTAATAATATAACAATGATTCCGATCACAATATAAACTTTAATTTAACAAATTGATAGGTTTAGGTATCGACATATTAAATACGATTAGGAATTGAATCGGTTGAATGTCATTAAAAATAATAATATATACTAGCAGGTTTTTTACTTTGTTAATGGGCTTAACGTGCCCGAAAGATTATACACATTATAGGACCGTCCACAGAAAAAACACGTGTAAACACGACTAAACAATTTTAAACGATAATCATTCTTCCTAAAATTCTAAATCCAATAGTTTAATCGTAGCTTACTGGTAATATTATATAGGTTCCATACTACTTACCACTTATCTATGAGATATTTGTTTAAAGACCAACTAAATAAAACAATTGTTGGTTTTCAAACCTAGATACGTAACTTATTATTAATGTAGATAAGTATTAAGTCTTAGGTTGAGCTCCAAATCCAGATTAAAACAAACGGGACAATCAGTTTAATCCAGATTATGATAGTTTGTATACCTTTCCATGCAACTGCAAACATTCTATTTTTACCCGAAAATCCATGTTATGTATATATGTATTGCAAGGTGGAAATACATAAATGAGTACTTTTTAAAAATAACTGATGAACAATGACAAAAAAATACGAGATTTATTAGAAAAATCAATAAAATAAACTTTTAAATTTGTATTTTTTTCAAATACCTACCTACTCTTTTAACAAAATTATCTTAACAAATTTTAACGAAACAACGAATTAAACGTTAGTTTATACTTGTACATATATATTTTTATCAGATTTTTTTAAATTTAGAGCGAAGTGAGAGATCTATTGATTCAACTATGTTTTAGATTCTCAGCGAATTGAGGTATACATAGTTTAACAATGATGTTTATTTTTTTTTTATTGCGTACAAAAATTTTAGAAATCTTACTCCGATTTTTAAGTGCAATACCTTTTTCTAAATGGAAATTTACTGTAAGTACCACTGAGTGGTACAATAAGGAGGTCAATTTTTGATTTTCCAAGCATTTTTCAAAATAATTGGGAAAAAACGAGAGTATTTACGAAATGAACCTATTCAAAAAAACATTAAATTCCCCTCTATATCCTAGTTTCACAACTTCTGACCTGCAACACAGGGGCGTTCTTATGAGCGATCCCCCCCCGAGAGAAGTAGACATTGGCATTTGGTATAGTCATTGATCCAGAAGTAAATATAATCAATATATTATTTGATATAACTTTTTTTTATCAATCATTAACATTAAATTTAATTATTACGCCCCCCCCCATGTCAAGGTCTGGAGACGCTCCTGCTACAAGTCTACAACACAGTGGCCCACTTATCCTGCGATGTATGTACCTAAGTTTATTTTTCCATCTTTAAATAACTTTTCGAACAAGAAACTTGCTTTAATCGAAAAATAACAAGAGTTGGATGTTGAATCTAGTTTGTGCATTAAAGACCATTTTTTTTATTTTCAAAGTCGTTTTTAAAATATTGGAAAAATCAAAAAACAAAATTTTAGGGAAAACGGCAAATATTTACAGTACATTGCGTTATGACTGATTTCATTGTTTTTAATTTTTACACACTGTTTTTTGTCAGAAATATTTATGTCCAGTTAAACCGGTTAAAAATAATCATAGAAACTTGAAATTTTGATTAAATATTTAAATTAGTCCTTACTAGCTAGATGGTAAGTATTTCAAAACATTCTGGCGATTCATAAACTATTTATACATATTTGAAATATTTTTCTATTCATACAAAAAACTCTGCCACTTATACAAAATAGTGGAATTGTGCTATAAGCTATTATATTTTATGAAAAATAAAGCTCGGAAAGTGAACTTAAACTTTTTATAATTATTTATTTTTTAAAATAAATAAACGGGTAGAAATTAAGAACAAATAATTTAATATTATGTATTTGTTTTAAATACTAAATATATGTACAATATACAAATAAAAATAAATATTACAGTAACATAATGTAATATGAATTGTTTTACAATTAACACCATAGTAATTTGAAGACACTGTACAAGATAAATTACCAAAGTTACTATAAAAAAGTTAAATACGTGGGTTTTATGTTAGGGGAGGGTGAAGACTTAAAACTTATTTTCAAAATTATTGATTTTTAAATATCTAAAACTTTTTAAAATTTTTTATATTGAATTATATTAAATTATTAAAATAATAAGTTATTATTCAAATTTTTTTTTTTTTGGTAAATGTAGATTTTGGTATAATATATATTTTATATTTTATCTGGAACTCAAAATAATAAATTTGTAAGTTAAGCAAGGATGACGCAAAGAATGAAAATAAATACCAATAATTTGTTTTAAACATATTTTTCTTGAGAGTTATTTAGTTATTTGTTAGATTTTATTAGTTAAAATTAAATTTTTTTTATTATCAATTTGGGTAATGGTTATATTGACTGAAATTGTAACTATTACATTTGTACTACTACAATAATTAAACATTTAAAAAAAATAAATATTTTTAGATATAATCAAAAATACAGTCAAATGTTATACAGATGGTATGGTTTACAATGGATATCCATGTCAAAACTCTGATGTTTGTATACCATTAGGTTGGTTATGTGATAGTCAAAAAGATTGTCTAGGTAATTCTTAAATACTTTATTATAATTTTATAAAATTAAATTTATACTATATTTTATATTTTTTAACTATTATAGAAGGTGACGACGAATATAACTGCTACACTGATACAGATATAGATAGTGGTGAATATAACAATAATTTATACAACAATAATGATAATTGGTATTATAACCGTGGTATATGTAAAAAATATGAGTTTCGATGTCGTTCTCGAAGGATGTCGGTTTGTTTACCCAACTCTTGGTTATGTGATGGAAGAGTAGATTGTGATGATGGGCAAGTAGAAAACTGGCAATTTGGTTTATAAAATATTTGTTCAACTAATCAAAAAATAAATTTATTTTATATTTAAAAAATAGGTGGGATGAGAATGAATTCAATTGTGGCCGAACATATGGAGGTCTGAGACCAGGATTTGGTGATTTCAATTCTCGAGAAGACCAAACATGTTTGAGTAAAAATAACTTTAAATGTTGGCAAGGAACAGGGTGTATAGCTCTCCGTGCAGTTTGTGACGGTATTAAAGACTGTGCTGATGGATCTGATGAACGTGTTTGTGACAACTGGAATTCACATTGTGATGAGTTTACAGAATATAGAGTAAAGAAAATATATATATCATATCAACAAATTATTATTATTATTATTGTTATTATTATTATTATTTTTTATTAATATTGTATAATTTATTTATTTTTCCAGTGTTTGAATAACTATAATACATATAATGCTCGCAGTTGTATACCTCGGCAATGGGTATGCGATCTCCAGGACGATTGTCCACATGGGGAAGATGAATCAATCACCAGTTGCTTAGGAATGGATCACCCAACATTTAACGGTCTAGAAACTGATATTGTGGATTTTTAAACAAAACTAATTTTAATAAATATAAATTCTATAATCACTAAAATTGTTTTTATACAGTATTAAATGTAACCTTATCATCTGGTTTGCTCTCAAGTGAAAATGGAGGTATGCGACAATCAAATAAATGTCCATCTTCGCGTTCCATTCGAAAAGTTCCCCTATAAATAACAAAAATTGTCACAATACACATGGTATACGGCATACATAAAGAACAAATTATTAATGACATTTTGTTTTAAAGGCCTTACTGCGTACGTGTATTTTCTAACACAAATGCTCTATTTTAATTTGAATAAACACTACAATTTACATGTTAAGTAATGTAATTTGTCTATGGTGCCTGTTAATTTAAATGAAACAGTATAGGTATGCGTGTATATTATGATTTATTTGGCAATAGGTATTATAGATATTATAAATCAATGTATACATGATGGCAGTGTGTGGCATACTATCAGTAACAATTGTTTCCGATCTATAAAGTAGGGGGTTAGGCAACATTCAACAATCAGTCAAGTGTGCACAAACGGGTATACTCTTAAGGAAGACAGGGTATAGTGTATACAGTAGAGGCTTGTACAAAATAAAATTCTTTATGTACATGCATATTAAAAAGGTTTAATTAGTAAATGTTTGAAATTAAAACTTAGTCATTAGGTCTTAGACAAATCATACATTTCAGACTTAATGAAAATAAAATTTAGGTCTTGAAAGGACATCATTAATATTTTTTTAATGGAAACAACAGTAATTTGAAACTTAATTTATTTTTGTAAATATAAAAATTTAAAAATAACTAGGCACCCATAATAAACATTAGTTTAACTAGATTATATTTTTGAAATAATAATGTAAAATGTATAATGTTTCATAAACATTATAAATGCATAAATATTGTTCTTAATAAATAATTTTATTTCAACTTCTCAGATAGAGTATATCTAATTATGATTTCATAATAACTTACCACATGTGACCACTAGGTGCTTGTAAGCTCACATGACTACTATATTGAAATGCGGGGGATTTTTTTGACAATACAGGTTCTTGCCCTACTACTCCTCTTCCACGAACAGTTTCTAATGTTCCGGATAAACTAAATATTCTCCAATGACGCTCTCTCAATTGAACACTTTGTTCACCCAAATTTTCTAATCGTATACAATATCTCCACTGAACATAAAATAATTAATTAATAGATTATTATAGGTTATTAATATATAATAACTGAAATAGTTTAACAAATTACCCAATAAACAGAATTTGTTTGAGATTCTCTATATCCCATGTAAAATGGTATTACTGTAACTCTAATATTTTCTGTAGTTTCTTTATGAACATCTGACAATTCCAACCAAGGATGATTTTTTTTTTGCCATGAACGCAATGTTTCTTGTGCCCCAAAAGGTGGATCTGCATTGAATTGAAGTAATATAATAATTTGTATTAATTCGTTTTCTTTTTATTCTCCTTTGCCTTCATCTCAACTATTTGTGGTTGGTCACCCTCATTCTAACTTCCACTTGACCCGATCTCTCACCTTGCATACAACAACTTTCCTCATAAAACTCTCAATGAAATCATATTATAGTCACTTTTTCTACCAAGTTTATTTTTGTTATAGTTCTTACTGCTTCAGATTTATCTCTTCCCGTGATATGTAAGGCCAAAAAAAAATGTCAATAAAAGATTCCGTAGATTTATATGTGTAAAACCGGACTATCCAGGTGAAAAGAGGATAGATGGCAACTCTGAAATGTCATTGATATGTTCAAATCATTTCAGTTCATTTTCTTTACAATTAAAGCCACACTCAAGCTACCTTTTATGTATCCTATTTCTAACTCCTCATGTCATTCCACTCATTCACCTAAGCATTCTCATCTCTGCTACATTCTGTTCTATTTTTCTGTCTACTACTTAACAATCAAAAACCATACAACATAATTAGTCTTACCATACTTTTGTAGAACTTATCTTTAAGTCTTAATTGAATTCTCTTATCACATAAAAGAAACACATTTTATAATATTCAACAATTTTAATTAAGACTGTAAATTATTTGAAATATTATACAATAAACAGAAATAGTATACCTTTATTAGGATAGTACATGAGAAATTTATCAAAAAGCTCATGCTGTAAAGGTTGTTTTTCAGTTGCAGTATATGGAAGAATATCTTCTTGAGCTACATAGTCTAATCCAGGTATTGCATATAAACTACGGCTAGTATCTTGATTACCAAGAAATGTAACAGCTTCTGTTTGTGCTCTCTATATTGTAATATAAAATAATTAACTATTCTTATTTTTTATTTGGATAGTTATCTTAATTTAATTACTATAAAAGGACAATCTCTTTCATCAATCAGGGTTTGATAAAATGTATGCGTTTTTCCTTTGACGTCTTTTCCTACAGTACTATAATAAAAAAAATATAATAATATAGTAAATATTTCATAGAGATGATGGAAATCATATATTAAACTAATACATTTTCTTATATCATTATTATAATTGGTTAGTTATATATAAGAAGACTTACTTTTCTGTTTTATTAACAACATCACGATTGTATACTCTGGCTAACCATGGAAATAATATCACTCCTCTGTATCCAAATATTCGATGAAAAAATAACTGACCAGTTTCATACTTTTCAATGGATTTTGGTAAAGTTAACTGGCCAACTTCTATCAATCTAATTATAATTTATAAAAATATAACTAGCTCTTGTTATTATTATAGTGTATTTATATAACTTAAATATTTAATATATTATACTCAATCAATTAAAATATATGATATTAAGAGTATATTTTACATCATTGATTACCTGACATAGGAACGAATGCATTTACACAATACACTGCTTCGGCATAAACTCTTAAACATTTTTAAACTTTATATTTAAATGTGATGTATAATTATTGATTTTGAAACATTTATTTATTTTATTTTCATCTATTACTTAAATATTAAATTAAATATAAATTTACATTAGTTTGGAGTAATGGTGGAACACCAAACACAGTTATCAGCTATAGATTATAACCATAGATTATAGTACTTATTTACTGATAGACTATGGCATTATATTTAAATGATAACATTGAAAAACAAGGTGGTTCAATATCTAAAAGGTGATTAATGTTATCCACCATGTTGAAAATATAACTTTATAAGTACTACTTACAGGATGATGTATAAACGTGAAAGAAGTAATTTGTGGAACAAATGATCATTGGAAGTTGAAACAAATACCCTTCCTCACAATAAAATTGATATATAATTTAATATTAATTTCATACGTATTGCCAATATTGGATTGTAATAAAATGGAACAATTTATGCCATTTAATTCATTTTCTTTTTTCCAAAATACTTGTCGCACAATTTTAGATTTAAGTACTTGCATTAATATTACGGTAGTTTATTTATCGTGTTATATCATATTATAATATAGGTAGATACTTCAGTACCTACTTATATTATTTAAATTCATGATTTTTCAATACCTACTGAATTTGATGGTCTTTTCAAAATGTTGTCCGAAGTTACTATTTCAATTACAGTAGAAAATCCATAGTTTTAAATTTTCCCAAAATTACTTGTTTTCTTTACCTGGTCAAAAACTGACTTTTTAAAAAATATATGAGTTTTACTTATGCTCAAACCAACAGTGTAATCAGAAGCCAAATCATCTAGGTCCTTACATTTTAATAAAATATTAATAATAAATATTACAATACATTTTGCATTACGGGGTTTTTATATTAGATAAAATGGTTCACTATAAATTCTGAAACCAATCTTTTCCTAAAGAATCATAAACCTGCAGTTATTTGAAAAAGTGTATTAAATAGAGGAAGTCATAGGGTTAAAATATTGCAAATTTCAATTTTTTGACTTAAACTCAAAAGTATGAATGATAATTTTGAATAATACCATTTGTTCGGGCCTTAAATTAGACTAGATAATAGTTAAAAAAAAAAAAAAAAATGGTGAATACTAAAATAACTTAAGACACAAATATATTTTACATTTGCATGGGGTGAAAATAGAAGAATTGGCTCTATTCTTCTTTTAACAATCAACACTAATGTGAATTTAAAATTGGAACCATAGAAATAAAATTATTTAAAGTACTTAAATAAGTACATCTAATATCATAATCTAATTTGGTAGGTAGTTTTTATTTTTTAATGTTCATTACATACATAAAGTTCAATCTATTCATGTTTATGAAATTATCAATTTACCTATCTAGATTTAGCATGTAAATTAATTTTAACATTAATTATTTGCTACAAAAAATCATAATTCAGAAAAAATAATATATTTGGAAAAATATACTTGTGGAAGAGAATTAAAAACTAACTACCTATTTAAATACGTGCATAAATAATAAAATAGGTAGGTATAAATAAAAAAAAAAAAATTGTTTTGGAAATATATTATATTATGTATTACATGGTTAATAGTAAGGTAACAATTTTCATTTAAAATTAAAAATTCATATATTTAAATCAAATAATTCATGATTTATCATACTTATAAAATGTAATATTTTTGATATATTGTAACTAAAGAGGAACTATGTTAAAGCTGAGATTATTTGTGAATGTTAAAATCAAATCTTCAATCGTCTTTAGAATCATATTTTTTAACATGCAGTATTGACATAGTTTCAAATAAGCAACAACATCCACAACGTAAAGCACACAAAGTTTCTGTACTAAACCAATCAATTAAATGATCAGCATGACCACCATGTCCACATTTTAAACAAACATGAGCTGCACCTCTTACAGTAGAATTACACAATGAACATTTCAGATTAAACAGTTGACATTGATGGCAGAATCCATCTTTCAAAACATCTTTGCATTTAATGCACTCAACTACAAATTTGCAAACAAAAGAACTACTTTTGTCAGTTTGATGTTTTAAAAATTTTTTAACACTGGCTTGCTGATCTAGTAATCCCAAATTATCTAATACATCTATATACATTTTTTTATATTCATCATAGTAAGCAGTATTTTGTGAATTAGAATCTTCCAACAACAATCCTTGGTCGCAAATTTCAAAACATTCATTTGTATTTTCTTGTCCCCTAGAAAATATAAAACCTTCTGATAGACTGTTTGAACGTGTAAGTACAGGAGTTGGAGTTCTATCTTGTTCAATATTTTTAAAAGCAGGATTCGGGTTGAACACACAACACAATAAAGCAGCAGTTTGAAAATCAGAATGACTGGCATAATGATGGATTAATGAATCAATCAATTGTGTTGTAAACGGATGATTTTTCCAACTATTAATTTGGTCTATTTTTAACGTACCCTTGTTTTGTAAATCACAGTTTATATTACAAGCATATGCTGCCAATGTCCAAGCTTGAACTAAATCTTTTCTTTTAAAACCATTTGTGATCCAAGCATTTTTCAAGCAAGTTTTGAAAACATCAGTGATATCAAGTTCATATTTTATTGCCAAGTCTTTATTAATTGGAAATAAACACGATACATCATAAATTGCAATTATCGGTTTGTCTGATTGCTGATCTTTTCTGTTATTCTTTGTGTTTCGATTGCTACCATCAGTTTTAGAACCCTTATTGCTGAACCAAAAGGGTTGAAGTTTTTGTGCAGGAGTATTATTTGTGTTGTCAATTTTTTGTAATGCCAAAGATGGAAAGAAATCCGGTTTCCTTTTTGGTGGAGTATTAAACCACAACAATGAACCATTATTACAAAATTTTAATCCCATATTCTTATGTTGTAGCATATTATAAGAATCTTGGCTAGATATGTAAGTACTTGAACGTTCATAATGTGATGGCGATTGAGAATAAACTGAGTGCGTTTTTTTGTCATCTTCACCAAATTGAGTTTCTGAAAATGATATTCGATTTTTTCTAAGAAATATAACAAGTTCATGAAGACAATACTGTACACAAGTCAAGTTTTTAGCAACTTGTTTTACAGCTGAATCATATAATACTTTATGTATTTTTTTTTTCATGCCTTCGTCGTAAGTACATTTACTAATTTGAAACCGTGGTTCAACATTTACAGGATAATCTAAAGGAAATGTCATATGAATGGTTAAAGAATTATTATTTATTTTTACTAAAGCTATTAAAACACGTCTATCAGGATCTTTTTGTTCAATAAAAACTTCAGAACCAACATTTAATGAAAGAAATTCTTGGTGTAAATTTAAAATAGGTTCATTTTTTTCACTGCCACATGAATCACTACAAGAAGACATATTAAAATGAGCACCTTCAACTTCATTATCAAAGTTTACAACATTTATGTCATCATGTGAATCACTAGATATGTCACTAGTTTCAGAGTGTTGCGTATCACAATTAACATCCACATTATCAGTACATGACCTCACAATATAATCCATCATAGGCATTTCCTGAAGGTATGGCACAACATTCCAACATCTTAGGGTCTGATCTTTAGACCATGTTATTAATTCATGTTCAGCAAATGTATCCTCATTATTTTTCATCCACTGAAATTCTAGTATTGTATCAGTATGACCAATAAATGTATGTACTGGTGTATCAATGGTATTTAAATTCCATAACAATAAATTATTGTCCACATTTTTCTCTGGAGGAACCAAAACAATTAGTATACCATTGCCAAAAGGTGTACATTTAACACTCCAAACTGGATTCACGGTATCCAAAACACTTTCTGGTTTCTTAAGATTATTGATTTCAAAAAATTTTACAATAGAATCACAACTGGAAGTAACTAATTGGTTTTCATTTGTGTAACTCCAATCTAAACAGTTTATACAATCAAAATGAGCTGAAATATAATGAAGAGGATGTGAAGCTTTTCTTTGATCCCAAATTTTTACATTTCCACTGTGAGCAGTAGCTAATAAGTTATCAGTCATATGATTCCATCGCAATTTTGAAGCTGGAAGAAAAGCTGTAAGTGATATGGCTGGTCGAGCAGGTGCTCGAATATCCCAAATATATACAAATGTATCAATAGACGATGAAGCTAGAATAGTTGGTTCAGAAGGGTGCCAATTTAAATCCAATACAGTTCGTGTATGAGCAGTCAAATTATACGGATATGCCATATTAGCACCATTTTCCCAACAGAGTAGTTGCACATGATTATTATAAGCAAATGCACATATATGTTGATTATAAGAGGATGGATTCCATTCTGTAGCATAAACTGGATACTTGATGGGTCTAGAGTTTATAATATTTGCTGATTTATGTATTTCTATAAAACCATACTGTTCATGGCCAGCTAAAAACACTATACAACCAGTATAATCCACAGCCATTTTATTAGCATCACAATCTCTAACCTCAATAACATTATAGTCACTACTCCACCTTGTAGCCATTTTGTTTCGATCTGAAATTAAATTATATTAAATTTTAATAAATACAAAAACATTATAATTGTATATTTAACTTACTGAACTTTAAAATTTCATTAAATACAATTTTTAAATTATATTTGCAGATACTTGTTCCTTTCCTAATTTACACAATAATCTGAAAAAAGTTAAGACTGTTATTCGATATTGTTAGAATGTATAATAACTATAAAGCTAATATATCATTTAAAATAAAAGTTAAAAAAAAAAAAATTAGCAGTTATCATGAATGAAAAAAGAAAATATTTAAATTTCAATTTATTAGTATTTCTTTATAGTTTAAAATCATTTCTATTATATTTAAAATTAAGAGTGCATCACATTAACATTTTGCTGTCTCAGTTGCTTTTATAGGCGATATAACAAAAATGTGTTTTTAGTTCTGAATCATTGTACTTGAAATCAAATAGAACTAAAAATAAATTATTTCACTAAATTAAGATGATAACATTTATTCTGTTTAAAAAGGTGGATTTTTGATACTATATTATGCTTCCCAGATAATGTATTTTTTAACCAAATTTATTTAAATTATTTATAACAGTAAGTACCTATTTTATAGGTAATAGTGGAAACCCATATTTTGTGACTAAATTTTCTTAAATGGTACTTTTCAACCTAGAATCAATCTATTCATACTTAAACAATATAAATTTATTATTGTTAATAGAAAATTGTATAATAAATAAATCAAAATACTACAACTAAAACACATACACTTTTTTTATGCAATATGTACCTAATATTTCATTAATATTTTTAATTCTGCATCAATATTAAAGTGTTGACAGTGTTTTATATATATTTTAGTTTAACTAAAAAATAACAAAGTAAAAAAAAAAGTGAATTAATAAAAAAAAAAATGTTTTATAAAATACCTAGGTATAACATCAAATAGTTTTGTACTGAACATTTTATACTTTACTGTATTATTTGTTTACTTCTGAAAAATTCTTTATTGAAAATCAGGTACCTAATATTTTCTTCTTTAATTTGGTAAAATAATTGGCCTTATGAATTTAAAATAAGCACAGTTACAGATTTCAACTCCCGATGCTTGTTATCACTAAAATCAGAAAACAAAAAAAAATTGATTTTTATATATTTTTTAGAATCCAAAATGTATATATCGGTTATATTTTGTAAAATTACTAAATCCTAATAATATTTATAATATATTATGTAGGTATATCAAAATTCACAGGTAGTAAATGAACCAAGTACCTACCATGTTTTATATATTTTCCAATTACAAATAAATTTATTTGTTTATACTATGATGAGGGTAAATTAATTTCGAAATTTTTAATTTTTATATGAAAAATATACTCGTTAATTAATGAAAAAATGACAATAAAAAGTAAACATTAAGAATTGCCACAAAATCACTAACAGTAAAATTTTTACCGCGTTAGATAACTCACTGTTCATATCTTATCTTCTTAAACCGTGATTGATTAGCTCGAGCCTGTTATCTTGGAGAGAACTGCAGACATATTGTATGTCTATGAAGAACAGTCTTACAAGGCTCATATTACATAGATAACTTTGACATGAATACTCCCTCCCTTGTTTACTGTAGAAGAGATAAGAAAGCAGCAAATGTAAGAAAATTATTTTTCCATATTTTTAAAGAAACTAGTATTTTCTGGGCGACAGATATTATGTTGGATGCCATAGTTTTGTAAGTAAATTAAAATTATTTCTGAAAAGTTGATATCGTACAAATAACATTAATTCAATTTATCTATGCTAAATCGCTTTTAAAAACGTTTACATACAATTATCAAGTATAATTGTTCATATTATTTTTTCTGAATTACTTTCATTGTATACCCCAAAATATTTCTATTAACATTTTATATCAAATAGGAGTTCAGTTCATTCATAATTAAATTAAAGGAACAATGGACTTTTTAAATATTTTATTTTCGGTTTTCATTTTTAAATAAGTTACAATTACCATTAATGGAATAAAGTATTTACTATACCTAAATACAATTCTAACAAAATATTTTAATATATATTTTTTTTGTATAGATATTAAATAAAATAAACTTATTAACATAAAATTATCATATTACTAATGGATTTATTAAAATAAACAAAACAATAATCTTAAATATGTTTATTAACTAGGTATAAATATAAGGAAGAATTGTATTGTGTTTCTTTTAGAATAACACGATATTTAAAATAACTTTAAATTTTACACAATTATAATATTTTCAAAATAAAGTCAATTAAATACAACTATACACTATCCAGAAAACAAAAATACTAGGTTCAGGCAATAGTTTTCTAACACTCAGTTGTTGGTTAATACAAAAGGGAACACATGGAAATGTGGAAAATAGGTAAACTGTGGACACAGGTATTAATTAGTCGCCTAGTATTTATTTAGTTTGTGAATAAAATAGTTTTTTTTTTTTTTTTTTTTTTTTTTTAATAATAAACTGTAAATTTAATTCTTTTTTTTTTATTTTAAATAAATACTTTATTAAAAGNACGTGAAAAAAGTTAAGTTAATGTTTAACTCATATTTGGTTTTAACTTTACCATATTGTATATATCTTTTAATAAAGTATTTATTTAAAATAAAAAAAAAAGAATTAAATTTACAGTTTATTATTAAAAAAAAAAAAAAAAAATAATAATAATAATAATAATAATAATATATAATTAAGGGAAATATTTACAATTTCAAATATTATGCCTTAACATATTAGTTATTTACTAACTAATAATAATAAGTATAAATAATGTATACTCGTCAAATATCAAATACATTTTTACAATGGGTTATCCTTCAAAATGGAACCGATTTTCTTGTATGCATATTCTAAGCACTTAGCTAATTCTGGAGTACAGCCATGTTCAGCAATTGTATTAAAACGGTATGTACGAAAAACATTGTGTTCAATAAAGGTCACAGCATTCATTAACGGGCATAATATAACTTTTGTATGATCTGTAAAGTTTATCTAAAAAAAGGCAAAATATTTAAAATGGTAATATTTTATATATTAAATTTGTATAAATTTATAACATACTTGTAAAGTGCCGTTAGTAAGTTGCATGATAACCGATGTAGTAGATCGATACCATTGGTACATGTAAGGTGTACGACTTAACTGGTCTGCATCTTTAGCTAATATATCAGCTCCAGCTTTTATTAGATGATCATTCATATAACGTCTGAAGTAATTCAATAACTTCATTTTCTTCTCCAATGATGGTGGGGTATGATCATGAGTATAATATTGTTCGGAACCACTTCTTTCTATGTAATGTACATCTCTAAAATATTTTATTATTTTAATAAACAATTATACCATAACCATCAAAAAATTAATATTAAGAAATCTTACTTAAAATTAGCTAATAATACAATTCTAGTAAAATCATTGAACATCACACCAACACAATCATCAGATAATTCATAACCAAATCCATACTTATCAGAATAATCAACCCATTTACTGACCCAAATAAGAGGTTGTGCAGCAGGATCAGTGTTTTCCTCTAAAATTAAAAATTATGTTTACTATATCAAAAAATATTTATTATTTTAGTTTTAAATCATACCCATATTTTTCATTCCTTTCATGGGTGGTTTACACTTCAATAAATTTCCCAACTCTTTTTCAAGAGATATCATGTATTCTCTACAATCATTAGCAGATACCCCATTTCCAGCAGGAGGTTTGTTTGCCATGTTGAAAATTGGTAATCTATTTACTGGATCTTGAGGTTTAACAGCAACTTTAATAGCAACCGCTTTGGGACTGTTCAGTTCTGAAAATCATAAATTATTATTTTAGTATAAAACTGACAATATTTTTAAATCTACAATATATAAATGTTTACCGATTAAATATTTACCATTAAGTGGTCTACGATTAGAAATAGATTCTCTGTAATTAATAGAATCAAATCGTGGAGCCATGGTGAGACAAGACGGAGGCAATTTTTTAGGCATATAACCAGTAACAAAAAAATCGGACTTCATAATGTCAGAAACATTGGGGCGATTTTTAGGATCATATTGAAGCATTTTATTAATAAGAACACTAGCATTTTTATTTAAACTGGTAGGTAAATTATAATCACATCTTGTTATTCGAGCGTATGTTTCCTTCAAAGAATTAGTTTCGAAGGGTGGTTTACCAACTAATAGTGTATACCTTAAATAAAATGCAAAATTAAAAATAAATCAGTATTTAAATAATTTATATTAGATTACATACATGATACAACCAATAGACCACACATCCACTTCAAAACTATGACCAGTTTTGCTAAGAATTTCTGGAGCAATATAATTTGGAGTACCACATAAAGTTCTAAAAATAATAAAGTTTTTTTTATTAATCACACCGAGTATTATAAATTATAGTAGGACAGTTAATACTTTTTGCGTTGTCCATCATATTCAATTCTAGCAGCTAAACCTAAATCTCCTATTTTTACTTCCATTTCATCATTTAAAAAAAGATTTCCCAACTTTAAATCACGATGAATAATGCCTTGTTGGTGTAAATATAATGTGCCTTCAAGAATTTGATACACATAGTAACGAGTTTCAGGTTCTGTAAGAGTTTTCCTTCTCCTAAAAAATTCATAAAAAATAATAAAAATTAATCATCATACAGTTTATTAATATAAAATCTATTAAATTAACATATTTTTATCTAATGCACCAATACATTTTCAAACAACTACTAATTTTTCTCAACTAAAAATGTAATACTAGATTTATTGCTTTGTTATTTGAAGCTCTCAGTGTAATAATGACTTTAAATATACTATGAAATTCAGATCATAAACGAACTAAACCATCTTTAGAAAATATTCACTAATACCTCAAACAACAGTTATTACATTGTAAAGTCTACGAATATTTTTAAGAGCAGAAAAGAAAGAAATATATATTATATAGGATATTTCTCCAATATCTTAATATTAATATTGTGGGGTTAATTCGCTATTGTACTGAAGAGCTAATTTATTATTGGGTGTGACCACCCCTGTCAGATTTCCTTTCAGAAAAAGTGCCATCATTATAAATCGGAGCAATATTGCTGGTAGAAAAGTTGTGCGAATATAAAATAAATAAACATTATTGTAAAACCAATACATTCTCGCTTCATTCAGAATCTAAAATTAGAAATTAAATAGACTAATTTAATTTGGTGCTGTTAGTATTAATATTAGAGTGTATTAGCCTATTACAAAACTTAAATTTTTAAGCCTTTGTACCTTGGTTTTCCCCTAATAGTTTAATTTTTAAGCTAAATATAACTATATGAAATATTATAATTTAAAAATGATTTTCTTGCTTCAGAATTAAAATATCACAAACAATATATTTTTTACCTTTAAGTTTGATAATAGTTCAATTCAATCTAATATAAAAACTAACAACATAAATTAGACTAGACCACTGATTTTGAGGATGCTAAAATTATGTATACTAAAACATCAAAGACCAATGGAGCCATGCCCCACAATCCCCTTTACACGACTCTTATAATAAATCAACTACACATTACATTTATTATTTGGGGCACATAAATTTATCCAACTATTTTAATGTTATTTTTCATACACACATGCAATCTATGGGAAATCTGTATTTTGTTCTGCTTATTAAATATGAAATACACAGAAAAAATACTCAGTTATTACTATGAAAAAGCTTTTTGTGTTTTTTTAGAGATGCAACACTTCCTAGCACCCCCCCTCTCACTAATTATGTCTATAGTATTACTAAATAAAATATTGACATCTAATTTTAAACATAAATCGTAACATAATATAATCTACTTTGTATATAATATTTACGCAAGTTTAAAAAAATTAATTACAAAATATTGAAATAAGTTAGGCACACATTACAAATAGCCAAAAATATTGCCCATACTTGTAGCAAGTTCCCAAAATATTAAATTTACTTAAAATTGTTACTTTAAAAAAAATATTATTACATTCATAACATAATAATATTTATTATAAACATGCATATATATATATATATATATATCATATGAATAAAAAGTGTATTAAGATCTTCTTCCTCACATGTTTCTCAATTCTATTTGACTGGTAATCTATATCATCAATTGTATTTAACTATCTCATTAACACCTCATTATAACCACATCATTTGTTAAGCTACTGTTAATGCTTCAGAGTAATTAGTAATGTCTTTTCATCATACTTTTAATCTTTTTAGTCTTATCAAAAATATCAAAACATCTATACCACACCTCATAAACTCATTTAATTATTTCTCTGGTTATTTCTTTATGTATTCTATCTAGTGACTTCACTCAAAATATTAATTTCAATTAATTATTAGAAATAAATATGGTATATATTATATTTAATATATAAAATAATAACACATTATGCTAGATTTAAATATTAATTTTAAAATGTTTGATATCATTGTATTTACTATTATTAAATAATTGCAGAAGTATCAAACACCCAATACGAATATAACTAGATATTAATAGTTATAAATTTTATATAAATATCACTAAGACATAATTAAAAATAATTATTTCTATATTTAGGCATATTTTTCATTTTAACTTTCCAACTATTTTGTCAACAACATTCTAGTAAAAAAATCAATATTGTGTTTAACTTAGAGAACATGATACTGAATGACAAATTATACACTAAAGATTGCATGACAATAACTCCTTAGTAGATTTGACCTATATCACAAAATTGCATAGACAAATTAACTTGAAATAAGTTATAACATATTATTTTATAAATAAGTCTGTAAAGTAATTTAACAAATAAATACAAATATCAAAATAATTATCTAAGCTCTAAATATTGTTTTCAAGTTTATAATCATTAGCATTTAACAAGTTTGATATAAAATAATAATTTTTCATTACTTCAATACTAAGAGTAGTTTTTTTTCATATAAAGCAAAAATATGGTTATAAATCTAAAAACAAACAGACATGCTTCACACAATGGGTAGGCCCAATGTTGTAGATGAGAAGTTAGAAACCTAATGAAAAAATTTAATGTAAATCTGTACACAAAGATTAATCATTACCAATGAAAAAACGATTCTGAGCAGAGTTCATTTGTATATTCTTTGAAAGGCCTTAATATTTATTATTACATTTCATAAATGTATCAATTGTTTCTCATTTATTAGGAAAATCTTTGGGAAAATAAAAAAAAAACCTTTTTAATGTACCACAACAGTCAAGATATCCTTTTAGAAACAATGCTATACTTGAAAATCAGAGCAAAAATTCTAGTTGGTAATGTTCAAAGATAAAAAGAAAAAAAGAATATTGTAAAACCAATGATTCTGTAAGGATTCAGGATTATCGTTAAATATAAAAATAATAATTCTAAATAATAATTTGAACAATTGACATAGAAATTTTAGCGGGAGGTAAATAACTTCTACGATTTAAAATTTATTTAGAATAAGACAATTATATATTTGATTGTAGCATAGTTTAAACAAATTAATATATTATACTTGAATTTTATTTTGTTGCTTTTGATGAAAAATTTGTTTGCCATTTTTAGCATTTAATAAAAAAAAACATAGTTTATTAAACACTAAATTTGAGAATTATCAAATCTAATAAAACTTAAATGAAAACAAAATACAAAATATTTATAATGTTTAAGACTTGTTATAAAATTTAATAAATAATGTAAAGTAGTGAGTATCAAACTTGATACATCATTAGAGCAATATAAACATTTTTCGGTAAAAATATGTTGCTACTTCAGAAACTTAATGGAAACTAGTTCACTTTCAATCAAAACAATGTATAGCCCATGCCACAAGGAACACATACAGCAGCAAATCAAAACTTGTATATTTTCGCGCATACCTACTACAAAACATAATTAACAGACTTGACGGTGGGAGAAATGTTATTGTTTGAAAGCGCAAAGCTGTGTGCGTTTTATCGTGGCACGGTGTATAAATTAAATTTGTATTAATTTTCTGATCATAGCTTTGATTTGGTGTTTCCCAAAACTGATTTTTAAATCTATATCCTGTAAATTTCCAGACTAAATTATTATTTTAAAATTTAAATCAATATTTACAATAATCTATTTAATTTACTAAATTGGTAGGTAATTATAATGTTTACTTTGTAATTAGACTTATACGATTTAGATAAATTTATTAATACTTACTTATGAAGCTCCATCATAGATCTTTTTCTGCAAAGTTCCAAAACAATGTAAACAAAGTCATTATCCTCAAAAAAACTATGAAATGTAACAATGTTTTTGTGTTTCAACATCTTGTGAATATGTATTTCTTGAGTCATTTTATCCTTTTGATTATGTTTCAAAAGATATCTTTTGGATACAATTTTTCCAGCAAATATTTCTTTTGTTTTCATATCCACAATTTCATAGCATTTCGCAAAACCACCCTGTAATAAATCAACAAAAATAACAATAATATTTGTGTCTTAAATTAACTCGCAAACATAGCTCAAAAATTCCTAGAACGCTAATTGTGGCCTTTAGGTTTACAATTAGAGTTTAAAAACCATAGGTAAAAATAATGAAGAAATAAGTAACTTTGAAAAAATAAGGCATACATCTAGGTTAGCTCCCACTCTTTTTTCTTCAGAGAATTAAACAAATGTACTTTTGCTGATGCTGAAAACAACAGTGCAATCAAAATTGTGTAGTCAAATTTAGTTTTTGAATTATAACAATTTGACTCCTTATAAATTGTGGATATTATGTGCATTTAAATAACACAATATTGCAAGTTTCAGAAATTGATAGTTATAGCCAAGTAGTGATGTGTAACTGTTTTCATTTCAGAGATTCCTTATTTGAATCCTCCGTGTACCAAAAGTTTTAGATTCTTAATGACGTAAGGAATGTATGAATGTATTGGTTTCAATTTTTTTTTAAACTTTTGTTTAATGTGTTAGATGTTTTGATGGGCACCCCATAAAATAAAAATAACTATTAAAACTCATTTTCAATGTAAAATGTATTTATTTTCCTTGATCCCTAATCGGCGTGGTTTTTTTGTTTATAATAGTCTAGAACGATTGCTCTGAAAATATTGTCACTTTACATTATTTTGCTGCAGAATCAGAAACAGAATTCAGTTATTTGTAAAATATAAATTATGAATTATTCTTGTTACAAAAAATGCAACTTACAGTGAAAATATAATGCAGAAATTAATGAATTGGAGGTTTATAAATTAACTTTAAACATGCAAAAAACTAACTCCCTTTCTTGGATTTTCTGAATGACAATAGTTTGTTTAATGTTACCACTACACAATTACTTATTAGGAAATAGGAATAAGGTTACATATACAGGTGTATGATAGGAATAAACAAATTTCAAAATGTTATAACTCACATTTAGGATTAATTTGAACCCATTCAAATAAATGGAACAGTAGATATATTTTAGTAGGTAGGTAGGTATATAAGATGTAGGTATGCTTACCTAGACATTTTTTCTAATAACAGATGAGAAAATAAAAATGTATGTTAGCATCAAGGTGCCACAAAGAAAAAAAAGGTGATAGTCACAAAGATGTTTAATTTTAAGAGTGTAGACTACATAAAAAGGAATTCATTTTCAAAACCTAACAGTTATAATTGGTCTTATAAAGAATGGTAGTGATATCACACATACATTCAAGTATACGGCAACTCTAAGGCAAACTAAGAAGTGGGTAAAATATTTAAAATATGTAGTGAAATTTTTGCAAATTATTGGGTTAGGTAGTCCTTTCTTTTTTTTTCGTTTAACAACAACATTGATGGTTCTGTGTTAACATTACTACAAACTGGGTAAAGTCCTAGAAAATAACAAAATACCCCTCAACATTTATCTACATTAAGAGTTTTAAATTCAACAGGTAGGTGTGCATGGTGTATCAATTGACAATGAACAGAAGGTAGAATTTTTTTTTGAATAAAATCTGGTTAAATGAGTTTCAAGTAAATATTAAATATTTAATAAATGTAGATAAACAACAAGTATTTATTATTTAGTTACATCATAGGTAAAATCAATTAAGTAAAGACGAACATTCAGATAATAAATTTTCAAAAGAATTTAACGAACTTCTAAGTAACAAAACCAACAATAACTACACAACTCGTTATTCAAAACATAGGTACTTTAATAGTTGGTTTTATCCTTTGTTATACGAAATGTGTCCAAGACGGCGGGAAAGAATGGAAACGTTCAATTTGAAATTCCGTTAATGTAACAAATTGTTTACACACGTATCAATCATGTGCGTAGATGTGCAAGTCGTGTAAACTGTAGTCGATTATAAAAACCGATAATGTTACCTTTCCAAGAAAATTGCCTCTTTGGTACTTCTTGTTGGTCTTGTTGTCGAAAATTAATTCAGGGATTTTGACTTCCTCTTCCTTAGGTCTGGACGACATGTTGACGATGAATAAGTTTACTTATTATTATTAGGTTACTATAAAACTGATGAGACCGATGTCACTATTAAAAGTAGTATAAAAATCGACTATAATTAAAACAAGAATATTTTTATAAATAATTATATTATAACGTGTACGACATAATATTATACGGACGGTGAAAATATAATATAGGCAATTATAAGAATTGCACCGATATCAGCGAATTTAATAAAAAAAAAGGGTTCCGTTTGATACAACGGTAGTAATAGTGGTGGACGTGGTACACGGACAATGTAAACGGCCCGTGTGTGCAACTTGGCGGCTTTTCTACAATGCTATGGCTAGTAATCTCTTGAAAGACAAGACTTCACCATACAACAAGAAGAGAAGTCGTGAGGGCGGCCTACGAGGTGATTACCGTGTACTCGACGGGCGATCATCTATGGCGGGAATTCCGGATGAACGTGTTTTTGGGATTACAACGAACGTGGAGCACCGGTCGCGGGACAAAACGTTATGGAAATGACGGTTAAATTGAAAAATACGTTGGTAACCACCGTCATAAAATCGCACTACGCATCTATGTGTGGTACTGCGGATAATAGGCGCAGGCGCACCGCGCGCAATATGAACCAATCGCAGTCGATTGCGCCGACCAGCCGTCCGTTGTTTACGTAGGGTTGGCCGCGGTGAAGGGTCAAACACTCAAACGAGTCAAACGACCGTTGCCCCTGGAAGAATAAACAATAATCGACAATAACATCGTTAAAGTAAAATACCTACTTATTAAAGTGTAGTTCAGAATCAAAATCATTTAAAAAATGGTTTAGTTAGTCACAACGGGTTGGTTAAAAAACCATCGATTTGATAATGTGTAATGTACAGTTTTCAATAGAAAAATATTTATTTTCAAATTTGCATTAAGCCGATTTGAAACTCTACCCCGCAATTTATTTCTTATTGTTACTGTACATATAATAATATCAATAATATTTTTAATTGATATGATACGGTTGACTAACGGGCGGGAGCACTACTCATCAAAACTGACGAAATTTGGTGTTACTGGATTACTAATTACTTTATATTAACTATCTAATGCGTTATATATTTTTGTTTGTTTCGTTTTATTTTATTGTCATTATTATTATAATGATGCGTATTGTACTCTTGGGTCGCATATTTTGTACTGTTTATTGAAATTGAAATTGAAATATCTAAAATCATTGTCGTTTCATGACAATGAAAACAATTTAAATACTATGAAAATGATATCGCATTGTTAAAAAGACGTTCAGAGGTTTAGTTATTTCTTCAATGATAAATTTCATACAAGTATATTTATTTTGACAGTTCCTTATTAGCTATTAATAATAATCATATTAGTAATCATTTTCCTTTATGTACGCTTCTTACAGAGAAGAGTATTTAATATTTATTTCATATTATGCTCTTTTATTGTCCTTTTCCCTCTCTTATCTTAACCTTTCTGCTATTCTAATTTATTCTAAATTCCAAATATATTATTACACTAATTATCTATTCTCGAGGCTGACTTTATCATCAAAATTGTATACATTTTTGTTTGTTTTTATTGTGAATTGATATTTGTCTGGCTTAATTAATTTTAACTAAAAGCTCCTACAAAAAAAAAATAATAATATGTTATCATGCTCCGAAATCGCAGCCGGACTCCTCGTCGCCAGTCTATCACCATAATATCATCACCATTGTCTCGTTTGAATGTAAAAACTTGGACGGCACAAATCTAGACCGTAAAAATCTGGAATAAAAAATTGTTTGGCGGAGAAATACTTAAACATTTAATACAAGGTTCCTTTTAAGTTGTACGCGTGGGAGTTGTTTTAAATATTAAATTCCAAATTTGTACTGTCCAGATTACAAAATTTTATATTCCAGTTTTGTACCGTCCAAGTTTTTACATTCCAAGTTTTTACGTGAAGCCTCCCAGTTCATCACCATTGTCTCGCCGCCAGACCCAGGCAGTTTTAGTGCTGGAGTATGAACACACATTTTACGATTTACCCTGCTGGAGTGTCGGGAGGAGGGAGATTAATTTACAAAATATACATAGCTAAGTTCACCTAAATCAAATAAAATCCTCCCCCAATGTCATAGAAGTTATGTGCTTTTCGCGGGACCGACCACCCGTCGGTCTCCCCCTCCCCCCGTAACACTGCAATATACATCGACAATGCGATAATCTGCAACTTGTAAAGTTAATTTAGTAAAAGTATTTATAACTATATAGTTAAGATAATACCGGAGTTATCAATGCTAGTCCGATAGATTTCGGAGCTTGATACAGAATTTTACGAGGCCCCATATATATTTATTTTATTTTATTACCTTATTTTCATATAATTTTTTATACTTTAAGTTCTTGTACTCTTGTTAGAAATCTAAATTTGTGTACTTATATATAAACTAATAAAATCAAATTTGTATTTTTATATAGATGTATAGATATATGTATTTGTAACTACTTAGGTACAAATAATATTTTGACATTTTTATTAGCTATAATTGGTACCATCTTGATTTTTGTCAATAACAGTGTCCTGAGAAAACCACACTGCCACACGGCGTATGGGTGAAAATTCGCTTACTATTGGGAAAAAATTATTATGATTATATATTAAGTGATATTCGAAATACATAATTTGCGGGACCCTGCACATACGTGGTGCACTGACGGACACACATCCCATGTGAGTGCAGTCACTGTTGTAGGTGGGAAGATGAGAAGATAGGATATAGACGGGAATTTAATATAAATCTGTAAGCAATGATAAACGATTCTGGGCAGAGTTCAGTTGATAGTATTGCTTTGTCAACAATATATACTTATGTCATATTATGGTAAAATAATTAAATATGAATTAAACATTTTCTTTAATAATATTTGTTTAATATTGTACCTTTTTTGTTTTCAAGAAAATTTAAACAACAATAGCTCTATAATCTTATATTTATATTATTTTTTGTCTCCCCTATTTTTAAGGGTAAAACCACTACCTATTTTTAATTTTTAAATGGCAGCTTACATTAAAAATTCCATAAATAGATGGAATATTACTTAAAATAAATTTGTGTGTTGAAATTTTTGATTTCCGTCAATCCGTTGACGGGATATTTCATTTTTAAGTTTGGGTTGGAGGAGAGTGATGGAGTATCATTTGTGTGGTGGTACGTCGCGCGATGTGGTAATAAATTATTTTAACTAATACTCTAGTATTAGCGCAGAGATCTATTAATTTTCCTATTATGTATACTTATTTTTTTTTCTGTCTAAACGACTTTTCGAAAAGAAATTTTGCCTCGATGTATAGAATATAGTATCTTTTCTGAAAGGAAATTTTATCTAGTTGGTGTATTAGAAAGGTCTTTTTTTGATTTTGAATGATTTTTCGAAATAATTAGGAAAAACCCAAAATAAAATTATAGATAAAACGGCAAATATTTGCGGCATGTCCCGGCGTTATCGATTTTTAATTTTTACAAGAAATATTAATAAAATTGAGCAAAATACTAGTATAATACTAAAATATAATATTATAATGTAATATATAATTTCATTAACACGAGGCCAGAATTATTATTATACATATGCATGATGCCTGGGGCAGAGGCCGATTCTGACTGTTATAAACGATACTGCACCAATAGAGTGGTGATAATTCAATAATATCTTATTATTGACCCACATTGTCGAGAATAATTTGCCTATACTTTGCCCCTCAAATTGATGAAAAATACTGTTTTTATTACAAAACGTAATTGGAAATGACTAATTATGATTTTTTTCAATAGCAGTTATTTAAATATTTGTGATATTTAATAGTTGCCTCAATAGTACTATTAAATCTTAAATCGTGTAGGTACAATAATATAGCTAATCGTGATAAAGTATTATATGAGGAACAGAACAACCAAAACAATCAAATTATTTTATACCATTGAACAAAATATATTTCTATACATCAAAACAATCTAAACAATTTTACTATGTAGGAAGTATATACTATAATCGTGCTATCATTATAATATTATTGAAATTCCTTTTTTATAATAGTATTCATGTAATTATAATATTACAATTAACAATAGTTTGTAATAATTTATCGTTACATTCAAATATAAATTATATTCCCCTCTACACCCTACCTTGTCCATAGTTTGATATAAAATGTAAGTACCAATCCCTCTCTTTTTATCCTCGTAAAAACCCCACAATTCACTGTCACTTCCACACCCTCACTAGTCACTACATGGTTTTCTTCATGCTGACTCAAAGTTGAGTAAGTAGGTACCTATATAAACTACTATTTAGACACTTGTGGTGACTTTGTTCATTATTCATAGATGTCCTCGAATACCGTAACACAAAAAATAAATTCCGGCTAATAATTTGAATATTACCTACTATTCTTTGGAATAATAAAATACACCGAAATGACCAATTTAAAATAAAATTAATCGGTGTGCATGTCCCTCCCCTAACTATGACATTATTGTCCACTATTCAGAGGTTTATTTTAGACAATTAATACCCTTATGTGTAATCTTATAACTGAAATAACTCCCTGAAATAATAGCACGGGTAATAATTTTACAAGTTCCATTTTACCAAGTTTACCCAAATATATATTCTGCAGTAGTCGTATTTACAGTGGCGGGATGTTGGGGGTTCCCCTACCTAGAGCCACATAACTTCTATATTGGTGGTCTTGGTGTGATTTAGATGGACTTTGCTGTGTAAATTGTGTAGATATACCCTCTCCCGAGTTAAGTACTTACTAAAATTGTTTCATTATGGCGGTGAAACATATTCACTAATATTTTAATTAACCAATGATGCACAATATAATTAACAATACATTTATAAAAATTAAAGTTTTTATTTGTTCAATATAGTTATTGAACAATTCTTTAATATTAACAATATAGTTTATACCAGTGGGTTGCAGTAAGTTTTCTATTTAAAATTACATACAATTTTAATAAGTGTGTACTTATCACTTATACTAAGAAAAAATATTTTACATATCTAGTATATAACTATTTAGTTTGCTACTGCATTATTCTACCTGGTATGTGACATTCGATATAATAATTTAGCTTTTATTATTAAATTGTATAATTTCATAGTAATAGAAGATAAGAATGAACAATCAAATTCTATTAATACTTCAAATAACATAACTATGTGAAAAGGGATTTTTTTCCATGTCGAATTTGAAAATGTTAAAAAGAAATAAAATTCAAACAAAACATAATTTGCAGATTGTATTGTACAAAGTTGAGCCGAGATGGAGTATGTTATATGAAATCTGTCAGGGTCAAACAATGCACTATTTTTTTTTAAATAAAAATTGGATATTACCTACAAAATATTAACTTATATTTATTCAGTAATAAAAGCACTTCTACAATGGCATTCTGACATTAAGCATTTTAAATTTAGTTTTGCTTTTCATGACTAATAAAACAATTTACATTTTGAAAAATGTATGATAAAAATAACGTGTCGAGAGTCAAAAAGGTTGAAGACCACTAGTATATATAAACTATTAAGTATACCTTATCATAGACCATGTATATAATAATAAATAATTGCAACTTTTGTGGGTTCTTAATGTATGGTAATAACTAATAGCTATTAGTTGGTAAATAACATATTTCGAAAATGATTAGAACAATATATTAATATTAATGCGGCCATATATTGATACTGGTATTAACAAAAAATTAAATCAGAATTTATTCTTAAATAATTTCTCCCATTCGTTATTGTCTAGGGCCAAGCAAAAAAAAAGCAATTTTATAGTCAAATATAAAAGGAATTAAATAAAAATTTAAAGGTATACATATTACAATGTTGAACCGTTAATACTGCCCTCTATTCAGTAATCAATAATTTTCAAATTACTCAAAACTTTTCACTAATGTTAAAAATAAATGTCTGCATACTGCACATATAATTGTGTTAATTTAATATAATTTTCTCATTTGAGTAAATGTCTTTTAAACTAACCAAATGCTCAAGTTAAAAATGTATAGTAATTTCATGTGCATTCTAGTATGTCATTATTTATAAATTACATATTTCAACAAATAGAACACGCCGTGATTATTTTTTTGTCTTGATTTTCGACATCTACAATACCAATTTACTACAGCCTAGGATAGGGAGTTCAGTATATCAGTAGGGTATGTCTGATCATAATTATTACTCATTTGAGAAATTATAAAAGTTAAGTAACATCACGTAAATGATGTATAATAAATAATATTTTAATCAGAATTTAAATAAACTATACTGTAGAATACAATTGTATTACATATAATTCTTAATACTAAAATTGAACAGAAAATATTTGAATAAGTTTGATATTTTAAAGTTATGTATTTTTGAAATAGAAAAAAATTATTTGTTTTTAAAGTATTAATAATTATTCCGGTTGTCGCGTCGTTGTCTGTTCCAATCTTGACCACCAGCTTGTCGACCAAAGTTTTGTCTATATTGCCCTTGGTTTTGATTGCCACCTCTTGGGAAAAAGTTTCCTAGAAATAATTGTATTTATTAATAATGAAGGCAGTATTAACTAATATCATTATTTAAAACAGATAGTTTTATTTTACCTTGCTTCATTTCAAAAATTCTTTCATTGGAGTCTACAAAATTGTTAACTTTATCAGCCAGTTGCAGAGCAAGTGATTGTAATCTACTTGGTTCACTGCGATGCATTACAACAGTTTGGGTAGGGTCATCAAGAGAAGCCATTAATTCTTCATTGATTATCATTTTTGAGATGATAGAGTGAGTTGTATTTTTTGGAAGTTCAAACATTTCAGATAATGTCTTTGTTGAAATAGAATTGTAAACATGGGAATAAGTAAATAAGTATGTGCGGAGAGATTCTTCTTTGATTAAACGTTCAAGCATATCTCTTACTCTATCACTTTCATAGAATAATTCCCAAACCTGTAAACAAAGTTATGTAATAAAAAAAAAAAAAACAACAAAATAACAATAATAAACTTATACTTTTGCATTCATTTTTTCATTGATAATAAAATTACGGGAAGCTAACCAATTTCCATTTCTCATTGCTTTACTAGCAGCAACAACATGTTCTCTCATTGATTCAGGAGGACCTACTAAGGACTGGCGTTCACTCGATCGGAGTTGTTGGTAAAATGTTTTAGAAATCATACGGCGACGGGCATCAAATTCATGTGCTAAATAATAAATAGTATGAAACTCAAATTCAGTAGTATTAATTTGAATAAATCAATTAAATTACCAGCCATATATGGAATTTCAATAAGCATAGCTGAGACCAGATATACACATTCCAAGAGTTCCAAATTAATATGCATATGGAAAGGCATTTGTCTTTGCTTTTCTACTTTTTCTTGTTCTTTACTACGTTCATGTTGTCTCTTTAAATAATAATTAATAAAAACATTAAAATTATTAATGGCTAATGAATATTTCAAATTCTTTATGTTTTAAACATGAAGAATTTACTTGTGGTAACAGTCCTTGTGCTAACAATTCTTTAACTTTAGCAGTCATCATTAAATCAACTAAACAGTTGTGAGCATCTTTAATGTTACCTTGGCGAAATGCACATAAGCCAATATGTGCCATAGTACGATTGTACAGGATCTATAATAATATTAATAAATATAAGTATTTAAAACATAATTTAAGATTAGTTATAAAAAAATACTTGAGTTGCAGGATCTGAATGTTGAATTGTTTCTTGTAAATGAGACATAAGAACTAAGTCTCTTGCTTGGAACCAGTTATCATGTAAAGCATGATGATATACATGACATAGAATTGCCCTTGTTCTTAAACGATCAGTAGAATCCTTATCATATATATATTTGCATAAATTTTCCATGATTTGAACGTTTGTTTTTAGAGATGCAAGTATTTCACCCTAAAACAATTTAAAAAGTAAATACAATATTAATTATGTTTAGGCATTTTATATGAGTAAACAAAAATGTGCTTATTATTTTGCATTTTAATATTTTACCTTTTTTTGCTTTAATACCAGTGGATCAAATTTGTAGTAGAGATGGTCTATTTTACGCATATATACACGACAGACTTCAGATTCAATATTCTGGTGTTCTAAATAAAGTTGAACTTTATCGATAATGTCACATACTCGTTTTTCATCCTTCAATCTAAAAATATGATTAGATTTAAAAAAAACATATGAAGAACATTTTTATTATAATGTTTAGAAAAGCAAATTAAATACAAACCTTTGTACATAATCATTACTATGAGGATCACATTCTTTCAAAAGTTTAGTGAATTCTTCATCTAATCTTTCAACGATTGTAAGTACACAACCACGTACTCTAAAATCTGGCTTATCTAATGTTTCTCCATCTTCTGGTACTGATTCCCCAATAAATATTATATCTTTCATAGGGATAATTAAGTCCAAAAGCTCAACAATACATTCCAACAACCTAAATTAAAAGTTTTATTAATGCTTTTAAAAAATTGTACTAGCAATAAAATAATTAGTGAACATACTTGCTCCAAATTTCTGGCTTCATAGCATCTGATACTTTTGGATTGTAATCAAAAATAGAAGAAATAATAGACATTTTTATTTTTACTCTTAAACCTAATCCTAAATTATGGGCTTCTGATATCAATAAGAGCTCATGTAATAGTTCAATTTGTTCTCTTCGATCAGTCCGTTTTTTTCCACGTGCTGCTACTACTTCAGATAATTTACGTAAAACAGTTTCTGGAGTAATTTCAGCATCTTTTGCAAACATTTTTGGTTTTTCCTGTAGTAACAATAGTTAAATAATACTAAGGGTCGTTTTCATAATGTCCTGTGTGTTTGATACCGCTAATTAGCAGTTTTGCTATAAACTAGGGAGAAATTATGTTGGTTAACTAATGGATTGCGCTTACACTTTATGGGACATTGGAAAAAATCCTTAAAAGATTTAAATATCATCGTATTAGATAGGTAGTTATTATAATATTAATTTATTTCAGTTTAGGATCAGTATTCCAAAAGAACTGTGGTTCTGAAGAAAATTTAGGCCATACCACAATAAAAAGTGGTCGAATTTAAGTCGAGGGAAGAAAAACAACCGCAGGTGATGAAAGGACAATAGTTAGGAAAATGATAGGTTTTTAAGATCATTATAATCAATAACTATGTGTTTAAAATATTAGACAATGAATGTAAAATTAGTGTTATGAAAATGAGAATTTTTAGTTGACTATGTATATTGACAAGGAAGAATGATATAAAGTTTATAATAGAAAACCTATTTGTGGAATCAATACAATATAAAAAAAAAGAGAACAAATTAAGTATGTTGAGAAACGAAAACAATACAGAGAGATTTATAAACATAGTTGTGACCGACATGGGAGAAACCAGTGAATGCACAGGTGTTATTTAGCAGATTGCCAAGAGCAAATTTATAATTAAGATAACTGAAAGAGGACTCCTCATTTCTAAAAGGAACATTTAATAAAATATTAACTTACAGATGGAATGGCAACTCCTCTTCGTACTTTTTGCCATTCAGTATCACTCTCATCTTCTTCTTCACGCTTTTGTTTCTTGGGTTTCTCTTTACGTTTTTCTCTCTTTTCTTTCTTTTCATCATCATCCTTGTCAGTTGATCTATAGATATTATAAATATTATTATAATCTATATATAATATATATATATATATATGTATATATATAATATACATTCTAAAATAATAACAAAAATATAATAAACCAACTTTTTCAAAAATTTTTCTCTTATATTTATATATTGACCATTATCTTCACTGCTCGAAGAAGAGCTTTCAGAATCACTACCCCAATCAATTGAAGAATCATCACTGTCAGATTCTCCACCAGTTTTTGGTGCCTAAGTGAAAAACATGAAATTATTAATGGATTCATTGATTGTAAAATGAGGAAATTCTAACCTTAGGAATTTTTTCTTCTGGTTTTTTTAATGTAGCAACTGGTACTTCATCTTCACTTTCACTTTCATCAGAATCTATATCTTCATCTTCTTTTTGATCTTCTTCTTGATCAGGCAAGTCAGGATTTTCTCGGAATTTAGCTAAATCACTCTCAAAATCTTTAACATACTTTCTGAATTTTTGTCTGAGAGAAGCTAAACTTTTTGAATTATTTTTGGATAAACTTTTACGACCCAAACGATCGTCCCAGGTATCATTTATAAAATCTTCCATTTCAACCAAGCAGCGTACAAAAAACCGTGGAGCTATTCCATTTTCTTCTTTCAAAATAACTGCATTAAATGCTTTAGTGTATGCCCGAGTTAAATCCTCAAAACCTATAAATGATACAACCGGTTAAAAGTTATGTACAAAATATCTGTCTTCTAATAAATTATATCTTAACATACTGGTCAGTAAGCTACTCATATCCTTGATTTTCTTGTGATTTCTAATTTGTTTGATGGTCATTGTCAATTCTTCATATCGCTTTTCTTTCAATGAACGTACAATACGTTTTGTGTCTTCTTCATCATCACTAAACTATAAAGAAAAAAATAATATTTGATTAGTCAATATTTAATGGACCATTAATGGAATTTCATTTAATAAGTTAATTAATGTTTTGGGGAAATTTATTATAATTGGAGTTTGCTATAATTTATACACCAAGTCACTTTAGTGTATAATTAAATGTCAACTTTTATAATGAAATAAATCATGTTTGGAAATATTTCCTTAGAATTTTTTGTAAAAGATATTAAAATAAACCTTTATTTTTACACCTATTATCTAGTACAAGAGACCCAAGGTACAAAACTCTTCTCAACATATTAATATTAAATTATAACAGGGATTATAATATGTAATTTGATGAAAGCTTCTAACCAGGGTTGCACGTTTTAAATGTTTGTTTAATACAACTGTTTTAATTTAGTTCAAATCATGAGATAAAAACAAATGTTTAAAATAAAATAAAATATTGTTATAAATTTCACTAAGGTTTGACATCATAATTTTATAAATAATTTACAGGCCATGAGTTTTACTAAAGAGTAAAGAATGATGTAGTCTTCACTCTTTACTTGAATATTTAACTGTGGACATTAATACAAAAATGGTATCTATCATTTATAATTGTATATTATACAATTATATGGTATGTAAAATATGCACCAAATCTCAAAGTTAGCAGGTAGGTAACAGTAAAATACACATTACCTCAATTATATAAATGATAGTAAATAAATACAATTTCTTTGATAATTTTTATTTTAATCTCAGTCTTATGTGCACTTTGGTAGTACAGTTATCAATTACAGTTCATACAATTGTAATTTTATAAAATCATAAACTACCTAAATTCTAAGTACTTAATTATTAATATTTAATATTTGTTATGTTATTATGACTAATCTAATCTAGATGATAATCTGATATATATATATATTAATAATTAGATAACTATACTATAAATTCAAACAATAAATCAAACTATTATAAAATCAGTTTTTATTTTAAATCAAAAATAAATATGTTTTTTGTTTATAATTATTTAAAAAAAACTGGTTTTAATGTTACTGTGTCATTAAACAAAATTATATAATATAATAATATTAATTAAAATATAATTAATTTAAATTTTATTTTTTTCTAGTGATAATCCAGAGGATAACAAATGGGGTATATAGGAATAGAGTAGTCAGATCCAGATACGTAATCATATTTGCGGATTAACGAAAATATTTTTTTTTAAATATATTTATTAACTATGTGAAAGTTACATACTGTGAATGTTGCTGTTGGTTGGCGGATAACCTGTTCATCTTCAGACGAAGAATCAGATTCGGAATCCGAGCCGGTAGCAAAGAATCTACTCATGTTTGGTTCTTATAGTAGAGAAAACTGAAAAACAATAAATAAAACACTGATGAATTGAAATAGTTTAAGTATCTTCGATGTACACAAATAAAAAAATTGTACCTCTAAAACAAAAAACGTGGAATAGACCGGACAACCGAGCAGAATTGCGATGAATATTATATATGATGGAGGGGAGTATCGATTGATTGTGATGTCGCGATGTTGATAAGCAATATTACACCACGCCATATTACAGTGTCGCCAAACACTAACAATTTGATAAATTTGTAAATTATTACTATTAAGAACATTGTAGATAATTATTGAATTTATGTTATTGACTGATTGAAAGTTTTTCCATAAAGTTAGCATTAGAATATAAAAATCAAATTTTTTTTTTATTATATAATTTTTCTGTGATTATTTTGATAAATAACCGCAAATTGTCAATTTGTCGATGTCACTGGATTGTTAACGAACCCGTAAATGCCACAGTTCCGGTGGGTTTTTTTTTACCAGTGCGGTGATGTCTATGTGTTTCATGCATTTATTCAAGTATGGTTCACAGAATGACTAATTGATGTATGTAAATTGTTAAATTAATTATTTAATGTATTAATATTTATTTAATCATGATTTATGGTCAACAGTGTATTCAGTGGCATGGCTAACTCAATATTTTTGAGAGACAAATGTTTTGGTGGAGCACCCACCCCCAGTTACTGCCAAAGGCACCCACGGGGGGAAGGACCATTATCCCTTTAAATTTCTGACTAATCAGCAATTATTTTATAATTTCCGACTAGAAACTGATGGTAGGGGGGGGAGTATATTAGTGCCGGCTCTGATGGTCTCTCATAGTCTCATTGGACTCCTTGTTGGCTTTGGACTCCTCGAACATTGTGTGTAGTTTAAATAATGAACAATCAAACAGTGATTGTGAACACACAATATTATTCATTTTTATCGTTATTACTTAACAATAATCAAAATATTATTTATTGTAATTTTTCAATTATTATAATATCAAATATACATTAGACATTAACTCCCATATTAGCTTTTAAAAATCTCAGAGACAAACGCCTCTCAAATAAGTGTTCATTAAATGAGTATATAATATTGTATATCTGTTATTATTTTTGAACAATTTGTTCCATTATTATTATACTGCTAGATTTATGCAACAATATCCTATATAATTTTAAAAATACGGTATTTTTTAAAAGTTCAATTATGTAAATAAGTATTTATGATTTTTCCAAATATTATAGTTCCACTATAATAATTTAGATTTCTTTTAAAAAAAAATTAAATGTATATATTAACAAATAATAAAAACGTTTTTAATTTTTTTTTATCATCGATTTAAAAAAAAAAATCTTCAATAAATAATACCCTTAGCCTTATTAATTATGAATTATCTATCAGTATTAATACTTTTTCGATACCTGAACTATTGTTACCTATTGTATTAATACTGTATGGTTTATTTCCGTTACCTATTTTTTATTATCGTTTTACTGTTTTTTTTTTCGTTTAACACCTTTTTTCGGTACATATTAATTACGAGTGTGTATCTATTCAAGGGAACTATATTATCTGATGCCAGATTTTCAAATTAGAAATTATTTTTAAGTAAAAATTCCTGATTTATCATATGATTATTACAACATCTGATACGCAGGTATATTTATATGTATCCTTATATTTTTTTGTGTGTATCCAGTTGAGAATAATAATAATATTTATTGAATTTCCAATTATATAAAATAACAATTAAATTACACAAGGTATAAGTTCACCTTCAAGTCAATGGCTGTGTAGAGATGAGAATCCAATTATTTAAAATTTAAATTAATAAGATACCCATGTAGGATAAAATTAAATAGCATCATAATATAAGAATAAACAATAAAATAGAATATCACATAATGTACATAACTATGTAAAAGTTAATAACTAGAATATAATGTAAACAGATAGATTTTTTTTAAATAAAAAATATAAAATTTTTAAGAACAATTTATTATTTTATTCGCGGGATGATACTCGGAGTTATCACTTATCATCGACATAGATATAAAATAATAAATGCATTTCAAACCATAGATATAGAATATAAAATATTCTAAAAATATGTTTTGCTTATATCGTCTTTGGTAACTCTAACATAGCTCTTTCTCTCTTGCACATATCTTTGCTTCACGTATCTCACTCTATGCGCAATTCATTATTTTTATAACTATGTTTCAAACCTTCGACCATGTAAACAACACCGCACCAGTACAAAAACCCACCGGATCTGTGGCATTTACGGGCTCGTGAATTGGTATGTTAAACAATTTGATACATGTTATCTATGATGAAATATTTATAATAATATTTTATTATGCTTACATTACAATTCATTACGTAGTTCATTAGATAAATTTAAAATTTTAACCTTTTTTTAATTAGTTGTATTTTATTATTTATTACCTTAAATAAAATATATTATCAACAGCAATACTTAAAACTTATGATATAACAAAATAACTCATCATTTGATTTTTAACTCTTAATGGTTGTGTTTAAATAAGTATACAAATATTTTTTTTTTTAAAAATGGGACAAATACACACAGTAGGACCAAATAAAGCACTTATTGTTTCTGGTGAGTAATATACATTTATACTTTATACATAATATTATACTTGTAATCAGTAAATGTTTATATTTTTCTTATAAATATATAAATAAAGTTGTTTAACATCTACAACCAAAAGCTTTTTATCATATCTGATGCTTTTTCACCAACCATTAAAGTTGGAGAATAAAGATGTGCATGAGGTATGTGTGGAAATATTGATGAGTCTACTACTCGTAGTCCTTGAATTCCAATCACTTGTAATTTATTATTAACGACATCTCCCATTCTGCATGTACCACATTGGTGATGATAGGTATTAGTTAAATATTTTGATACACAAGCCCAATAATCATCAGATTTAAATAACAAATGACTACATTTTGGGTATGGTGCTGGGTCCAGTTTAGCATCAACATCTTTGAATGCCTGAGTTTCTTCTACTAATTTAACTGCATATTTTAGTGCATATACATTGGCATCTAGATCAGTTTTAGTTTCATAATAACCATAAGACATTAATGGCGGATTCCATGGGTTTTTATTTCTTAAAGTTACATTCCCCCGGCCATCTGGCTGTAACATCAAAGTTGCAATCATAAATGAATTTGGTGTTGGTCCTACAGGAGCAAATATCAATTCAATTTCTTTGCCCGATGGTGATTTTGCATAAGCCAATCCATCTACTCCTCCTGGTAGTACAAGTGGTCCACGACCATATTTAAACCATTCTTGAAACAAATACGGGTCCATTATAGTTCCTTTATTGATTGCTGGGCCTGTTTGATTTACTGTGAACTGTAAAGCTAAACAATACAAAGTACATTTTTTTTTACCAAATTTAAATAAAATATATATATTCAACATTATAATAAATCTAGTTTAAAGTTAAAATTGCTTTTTCCCTTTAATTATTTTTATCTATATATATATATGTATATAGTATTTGTTTACATTGTATATCATGTGAAATGAGAAGTCTTACTTTTTTTTTTTATCTATGATTATGAAAATTGTATAATTAGATTTGCATTAGTTATCTATCTGTCTGATTACTTTATAAAATTTGTCCCAACATATGAGTGTAGATTATAAATTTAAAATCTCAGAAATATTTGAACTGATAAACACCTAATAGATTTTTGATATTGTGAAAATTTGATTAAAAAACAGTACATATTATAGAATTTAATGTCATAATTTAATGTTTAAAAAGTTTAAGTATGTCAACATAATTTAAATATTGTGAAAACAAAATCATCATAGAAATTTAATTTTCTCCCTTCCATTTATTAAAATATATAAACATTTATAACTAAATAAGTATATATTAGTAAATATATGTTGAAAATCACTAAATGTCAAATTTTCATTTAGAGGAATCAATTTTATGCTATTAGTTTTAATACTGTTTTACCAAATTTGATTATTGTGCTAACAAATTTACAGATTTTATATTTTTATTTTATTTTAAATATTTTTTTGTATTTAAGTGAATTGGCCTATAATCAAACTTAAAGGTAAGAACAATGTCTGTGTCTGTACTTTAAATTTTTGTTCGATATTTTAATTTTTAATCAAGATAAAATAATTTTTATATTATAATATTTTATATACTTTTATGTAGCATAAAAATTAAAATATTGAAGAAAACCAAAATACAAATACAGATAATATTTTTACATTGAAGTTTGCTAATAGGCTTAATATTAATACACAATATTAAAATTAAAACTACTTAAAATTGGATCTACTAAACAAAAATTTGGTATCCAATTTTCGTTATTAGATGTAAGTATCTTTAAAGAAAATATAGGTACCCAATTTATGTATAAATGTTAACAATTTCTTTAATAATATTAACTTTAAATATGGATAGATATTTTAGCACACCACAAAACATTATTATTGGTGAATACTATACACATTTATAAAAATAACCATATTGAAGAAAATTAGAAGAAAATGAGTTCAACTGAAACAAATATGTTAACCTTCAACCAAATTAGTTTATGTAATTTTGTGTTTTAGTTATTTTTATACCACAAAATAACAATGCAAATGATGTGTTTATTTTATCAAATCATTATAAATTTGACCAACTTTTTTTTTTTAAAAATATATGTGTTATTAGTGTTAGAAAAATAAAAGTTGTCAGAACAATGGTTTAAAAATCACTGAATAATTATAAAAAATAGACATTAACATATAACTCAAAATATATCAGGGTTTCTAAAATATTATTATTTTTTTTTTTTTTTTTTTTATTATAAGTTTCATGATTTTGTTAATTCATAACAAAAAAGTTAGATTACAAAAAAAAAAGTAATTAATTCTGTTTTGCTGACTTTGATCTGCTAGTTTAAGAAAAGTTAAATATCTAATTCTTTCTAATTAAAGTTAGTTATGTTGTACACATGTAGCAATAATCTGATACTTTTGAACATTTTCCATTTAACTGATCATTTGTTAAAATTGATAAAATTTTAGTATTTTAAGGTGTTACAGATTTAAGTATTTAGATTTTATAATATATATTAATGGGTTTTCTATATCTAGTAACATGAACTGTTAAATCATTTTGTGTTTCCACTTTTTTAGGGTAAAGTGAAATGTTAAAATATTTTTTTTATGATATTTATTCTAGTACAGAAAGATGCATAGTTTTTAAACTTGTGGAAGAGTTTGACAATGTCTGACTTCATCATCATAAAAGTCATTAAGTTAAATATAAGTTTTGAAAAATATAAAAAACTTAAATTTTTAACTAGATTTATGACCAAAGAAAAATTAAATTAACTATTAAATACATACCAATTGTACCATAATGGTCCAGTAAATTTTGTCCTACTGGTAAATCTTGAATAACTGGTATATTAAGCTTTTGTAGTTGTTCATTTGGTCCAATTCCCGATAGCATTAGTAATTGTGGTGAATTTATTGGTCCAGCAGATAAAATTACCTCCTTTCTAGCATATACCATTCTATTTTTTCCCTTTTTTACAAATTCTACTCCTATTGTTTTTTTAGTTTGTGGATCAATAAGTATTTTTTTTACTCGACTGAATATGGCCACATGTAAATTTTGACGATGTTTAACTGAGCGAATATAAGCTTTAGATGCACTTACCTATAAAAAAAAATATTTACCTTCTAAAAAACTAATATACAGGATGATTCACTAAGTGTTCTTGCCATTTTTTCAGTTAAATTTCGCATACATTCACATTTTTATTTTTGGAACTTTTAAGTGTAGTTAAAGCTGATATTTTTGAGTACTAAGATTTTTCACAACATTTAAGGAGTATCCTGTGACGATACCAACTTTGGTTTTTCAAATAAAAACCTATTTTAAAAATTCCATAAATAAATAAAATATTAGTTAAAATAAATTTTGGTGTTAAAATTTTTAATTTCCGTCTACCCGTCGATGTGATATTTCGCTTAAGTTTAGGTGGTGGGAGAGTGGTAGTGTAATATCATTTTTGTGGCGGCACAGGGCGCATTAGTGTTTTATAAAACAATTTTTATATAGGTTTTCATTTGAAAAACCAAAGTTGATTTTGTTATAAAATTTAGTAGGTATTCAGAAATATTGGCTTTAACTACACTTAAAAGACAAAAATCAGAATTTAAATAAATGTAAAATTAAGACAAAAAAAATGGATTGAGCACGCTTAATGAATCATCTAGTATAATATTATGTATAAATTGTATTGACAAAATTTTTTCTCAAATTATATTATAGGTACCTAACTTTTTTTCACTAATAAATTTTTATTTTGCTGAAATAAAATATTTTAAATTTTAAATTTTTGTATTATGTACATTGAAAAATTACATTGTTTGACAAGAGAGTAGTATTTAAATAAATCAATTTTAATTTTATATACCTAATAATATTTGGGTTGATAAATATCTATCATACTTTAGTTAACCTTGTAATTAATAATAATATAACATAGATAGTTAATGGTATAATTAATAACTAAAAATAATCACTATTTGTTTATAATTTTGTATAAAGATTGAGTGAAAAGGCAAATAAATTGTCTTTTACATAATTAATGATGGCAAATTATTATTTGTATGTAATATATATGTACAGATATATACAGTGGAACCTCGATAACTCGAATCGGTTGGGGGGGCGAAAAAAAAATTTGAGTTATCGAAAATTCGACTTATGGAAAACATATACATATCACATACATATCATATATTGGAAGCCAGGGGCCAAGGTATTCCTTCGAGTTATCGAAAATTCGACTTATAGAGGTTCGAGTTATCGAGGTTCCACTGTATATATATATTTATATTTAATTATATTTACTCTGTGCCCATTTAGTGTTGTAGCTTGTATACGCGATACTCCATCCACTGGATTAACTGTGTAATCAATATTTTGTTGCAGTCCTAATTCACCCCCAGCTTCTATAAATTTGTTCATAAGTGGTGAATGATATCGAGTTCGTTCAACATGTAAATTTCCTTTTTGTGAATGAAAAGATGAATTTTTATATTCTGGTATAGAATTATTTTCAGCTTTTAAAAAATAGGGCAACACATCTTTATAAGCCCAACCAGAATTTCCGAGTCCTGAAATTGTATCATAATCCTCCTTTTTTCCTCTTGTATATAACATATAATTTATAATTGATGATCCTCCCATGCCTTTTCCTTTTGGCCAAGGACAGCGGTTATTTTTAAAACTAAAACATCCATTTTTAGCTGGTTCAGCTGTGTATCCCCAGTTATAGTCTGTTGATGCTAGAAATTCTGCTGCTCCTGGTATATCTGTGTATATAGATTCATCTTGCCCTGCTTCTAATACTAATACGGTCCAATTTGACTGTTCAGATAAACGGTTTGCAACAACACTGCCTCCGGGACCTGCTCCAATTATAACAAAATCATACTCACGCAGTATTGGTTTATTATTTAAAAAAGTGTTTTCTCTAAAGGGTATTCCTTGTTGAAGATACTGTCCATAAATTGACTCAAGTAAGCTTAATATTAATGAGGATGTAGATGAAATAAATAAAAAAACAAAAAGTATAAGAATTTTCATATTGAGTCAAGTATAAGAGTCAGTGAACTTGACCATGTACAACTATTGTCAGTGCCAAACCCTCGTGCAATACTGTTATTCCAGGTCAAGCTCCCCACTATATATGCTTTTTCTATAATGTCAAATATACTGTTAGATACTCCCACTAACAAACAATCAAAGAATATTTTATTATTTCATTTTATATAGTTCATTGTTTTTAGATGAATTATTATGAGTCGATTACTAAATACATAAGTTCATTATTTTTAATTCTTAATTCAACATAATATTATATTATTTTAATTTATTTATACAGACATATTTTTACATAAGCTCATATACATTTTACAGAAATTTGTTGAAACAAATGTTGGACTAATTTAGATTTACATTTACATAACAACCTTTTAGAACAATTGATTTATTAATATAACAACATGTGCTAATTGGGTGACCTATCAACATTTTTCTAATATGGTTAGATTAATTTGTTGATTGAGTTTTAAAGTTATTGATCTATACACATTATAATCTATGAAAAACATGCATTTGCAATTGTATTTGTATGAAATATTCTAGTAGGATAATATAATATTTCCTTTAAATTTAGTTTTAGGAGAAAATTATCTTTTATGAAAATAAAAATGTTTAATGACCAGTGTAATTTTCAAAAAATGTATAATAAATTTAATAATTTAAAATTTTACTATATTTCTAGAGTTATTTCAATTTTGAATAATTTGGTATTTGTATAAGTAGTTTGATAATCAGACGACATTCATATTACATAGGTACATTCATAGCAATTTAGTTTAAAAATGAAATTTGAAGAATATGAATTTATACTGCCAGGTAAACCATTCAAGTGGGTGCACTCATTTTCTCGGAAAGTATTGACTTTTTCCGAAATTTGTATTCTAGAACATTTAAGAAACAAGCAGATCTACAATTTTATATTTGTTTTATTTTTGCAACCAATATTTTTGGGCGGTAAAACCACTACCTACTATTGATTTTCAAACGGCAATCTATCATAAAAATTCCATAAGTAGATTGAGTATTAATTATAATAAATTTTAGTTTTGACATTTTTGATTTCCGTCAATCCGTTGACAGGATATTTCACTTTTAAGTTTGAGTTGGTGAAGAGTGGTGGAGTATCATTTGTGTGGCTATACGTCACGTGGCGTGTTAATGATGTACCACTATTCTTCTTTACCCCAAACACAAAAATGGAATATCTCGTCAACGGACTGAAGGAAATTAATAATGTCAACACTAAAAATTGTTTTAACTAATACTCAATCTATTTATTGACGTATAAATATTAGGTTGCCCTTTGAAAATCAAAAGTAGGTAGTGGTTTTACACCCAAAAATAAGGATGACAAAAAATAACAGAAATATAAAATTGTAAAGCAGCTTGTTTCTTAAACTTTCTAGAAAACAAATTCCGGAAAAAGTTAATACTTTCCGAGATAATGAGTGTACCTACTTTAATTAATCACCTGGTAGTTACACTACAGTTTGTTCCTTATGCACTTTTACCATGGCCATTTTTTTGTTGTTAAATATTCTTTACAGTGAAAGTTAAGTAAATTAAAACATATGAATATAATACATCTTATATTGATTGTACATTTTGCCTCTAACTATATAAATTATAAATGTTAAATATAGGCAAATATTAATAATAATAACAAATAATGCATATTTATTCATTTGTTATAGTCATAATTTAAAATATTATGTTCATTACTATGATCTCTTAATATGAAATATTACTGATTCAGAATAAGATAATGTACATATTATTTTTTACATTTTATAATCATCAAAAATATACTGTTTTTTATGTGTGTGTCAATAAAATATTTTAATGTTATTCTTTATTATTTTATTGGGGCTGTAACAAAAATAATACATGATTTAATTACACCTCCAACTCAAAAATTCGGTATAGACACAAGTAAAAAAGTTTCAATGTAGGTACCTATCATAATAGTATAACGTTTTATATTCTGAATGAATATATTGATTTTAGGACGTGTATTTTCTTTGTCTGTTAAAAACTTTTCTATTAAAAATCTTGATTCATTCTTCATTTCTGGTGTCAAATTTTGTCTAGTTAGTTTTTATTAAAGTCTTTAAATTGATATTTTTTAATTACATTTTGTTGTTCCACTTAGTGTACATAATATATTTTGTTTGTCTATAGTGTCGATTCGCTCCCCCCTCTAATAATCTTAATAATGTAAAATAGGAACCTTTTTAATGAAAAATAGGTATTATCATTATTATATCAAGCATATTATTGCCATGAAGTGTCTGTCTTGGTGGTAAAGTACTAAAATGCTTTACTGACTAAATCAATGTCACTTAGGTCTGTACCTACTACCTATTGTCTGATTCAAAATTAGGGTACTTTCGACAATTAATGGAAGGGCTGATAAATATTTCATAGCTTGGTAACAGAACGATAACAAACCATCATGAATAAACTAATTAATTAGTGATGGGTAATAATATGTGTATTACAGGGTGATTTTTTTATCATGAACTTATCTTGGAGTTTTTTAAGTTAATTTGATTTATATTTTTTCTAATTATTATGAAATAGTTTAAGCTTTATTTTAAAATCATTTTTAATTTTGACCGCACCTTATATACCTTTAATAAATGTTATATATAGGCAATCTATTACACTTCCCTACTCCTCCGATCTAAATTTTAAACTGTTCTTAACTCATATGTAAACGGTAGATATAAACATAACATATACGTAACATATATAATAGTAAATATGATATTAGTGTTATGCATATCAAAATTAATTATTCTAATATTATATATATATATATTAATATAATTATACTAATATAAAATCTAATTATTATTAGAAAAAAATTTTCTATTCAAATCTGTGTTTAAAAGATGGATTTTCATATTTGAAAATCAAAAGTATGTACTTATTTAAGATATAAGGAGTAGGGGTAAAAAATTAAAAATGGTTTTAAAATAAAGCTTAAACGATTCCATAATGATTAGAAAAAACAGAAATCAAATTCACTTAAAAACTTCTGTGATAATTGCTAATTCATAATAAAAAAAATCCCCTTGTATATTTTTATATTATAATTATCATTGTATGTCTGTAAGTAGCACAATAATATGCACATATCTAATTTGTATTAAGATTAGAGGTGTTGGTAGGGAAATACTAGTTAAATTATTTAACTTTATTTTTATTGTTTAAAAGTATTTATTTATTATTATTCATTTAATGGTTTTACAATGTTGTTTATTTTTATTTTTTTATTTCTGTGAGTAACTTTTCTACCCGAAGTCTTAGTCCGATATATATATATATTAAGTGTTGCATATTTTCTGAAATAAAATTTTTTCTAGTTGGTACTTTAGGTAGGTAATTTATTTTCTTAGAGGTTTCATAGTAATTGGAAAACTTGAGGAAAAATGGCAAAATTTACAAAATGCTTTTATTATTTTTCAATTTTGTTTTTTTGTTGTAATTCAGTTAAAAATATTTGAAATTTGGACAGAAAATTAATATTTGCCTATTCTAGACTCTGTCATTTTTTTGAAACACAGCCATTTTTTAACTATTTATAGATATTTTTATTTTGAGAGTTTTACTTAATTTTTATTGGGTAGGTATAGAATTGCTTGAAAATTTATCACTTTAAGGATTTATTGATACAATCTTATGAGGCTTATTATAAGTAATTGTGGTAAAAAAAAAAATTGAGTTTAATGTAATTTTTTATTAATAGAATTTTCACAAAAATCGTAAAAAATATAGCCTTTCAATATATGTATAACTGATTTGCTTTTAACTTGAAAATTGTTTTTTGCTTGCATTGGTTTATTGTTGCGTACAGATATAAATTATTTTATTAAGTTTAAATTATATTTATTAATTCCCGTATATATCTTCTTTCTCAACTTTTCTTTTATAATGGTGGTCCACTGACCATGCGATGTGTGTTCATCTTTTTTTTAAGTTTAGATATGATTTAACGTTTATAAATTTATTCAACCTTTTCTACCTGTGTCAATAAGTTTTTTAATCATTCCTACCTATAGGTATAAGATTACTGAAAAGGTTAAAACAAAATGTATATTTCATTCATCAAATTAATGATTTATTAATATATTTTTTTTTTATAATAATTTAATTTTATATCACAAGTAAAACAAATTTAAAATATTATTTCAGTTAAATAATATGCATTATATAAACTATTCATATTCATTAATTGTAAAATATAATTTTATTATAAATTAAAAAATTAACTACTAATAACAACTAAAATTAGAATTATTTATACTTAAATCTGTCTTAATACATTTTTTTATTATCACAGTTAGTAGTTTTCAAGTTTTATTTTTTAAATAGCCTAATTAAATGATTATACCCCAAGATTTTTTAATTAGGTCTGATCCTTTTTCAGCAATCATAATTGTTGGTGCATTAGTATGTGCTGCTGGTACTTCAGGCATAATTGAGGCATCAATAACTCTTAAGCCTTCAAATCCTTGGACTCTTAAGTTTGGATCTACTACAGCTGTAGGATCTCCGATTGGTCCCATTTTACATGTTCCAGATAAGTGATATATGGTAAATGGCAAGTGTCGCGCTGCACATTTCCAATATTCGTCTGAGTCAAATTTAAAGTGCTTGCAACCCAGTATTGGAGCATCCCACAATGTAGCATTTATACGTTTCATGGCATTAGTTTCTAATAACTGTTGACTTATTCTTACTCCTCCTACTATTATATCTAGATCACTTTCATCAGAAAAATAATTTGGGTAAATTGCTGGGTATCGAAAAGGATTTTGATCTTTTAATTCTATCCATCCTTTGCTTTTTGGTCTCATTATCATGGGAAGTATCATGTATGCATTTTTTTGTTCAATTTTTTTAAAAGCACTGTTATATAGTGTATCGTTTATACCAAAGTTTTTTCTAAGTGTTTCATCTGAACCCAGAGCACCATTTATAAATAATAATTCAAGATTAGGATGACCATCAGCATTATTAGGCTGTTTCAAGTCAAAGAAAGCTAAAGCTTCTGTACCTCCTGGTATTGTTATAGGCCCGTTGTGGTATTTTAAATAATCATGTATAATGTTGGCATTTCCCAAAATTTTGTCTCTACTTATTGTATTTGTATCATTGACAATGAATTGTAACCCTCCCAAAGCTACATGATCCATTAGATTACGACCCACTGGTAAATCGCGTAAAACTTTTATTCCTTTTGATATTAAGTGATTTTTTGGTCCGATACCTGATAACATAAGTAGCTGAGGAGAATTAATTGCTCCGCCTGAAATTATAACTTCTTTCTTTGCTAGAACTCTATATTTTTTTTTTTTCCTGTAGTACTCTACTCCAATTGCTTTACGACCAGTTTCATCAAACAGAATTTTTGTTACCTGGCTATTTTTTCTTATATGCAAGTTTTTTCTTTTAATTACTGGATGAATAAATGCTACATTGGTACTATGCCTTAAACCATTTTTCATTGTTAATTGGTGAAAATTAAATCCAATTTGACTTCTTCCATTTAAGTCTCTTACAGGATATCCTGCCTCATAACCAGCTTGGACGAATGATTTAGCCAATATACTTTTAAAAGGTATTTCTGATATAGAAAGAAGTCCTCCCTTTTGATGAAAATCAGGATCTTGTAAAGTAATATTTGCATCTTCCGATTTAAGAAAATATTTGTGTACTATATCTGAATTCCAACCTAAAATATTTTTAGTGAAATAAATTACTCAAATAAAATATTTTTGTTTAGACTCATATTTATGCTTACCGAAATTTCCTGCATCAGCCCATGCATCATAATCTCTTCTATTTCCTCTGGTGTATATCATGTAGTTTAGTACACTTGAACCTCCCATAACTTTTCCTCTTGGGAAATTGCACTGTCTGTTTACAAAACCTAAAACATTTATTCTTTTTTAGGTGGTGCTTGTGGATCAACCAAAAGAACTACAGTTGTTGGTGGTTGGGCTTGGGCTTGGTGGTGTTTAACAGATGTTCAATATCTATCTCTCGAGGTAACTATCACATATCGGTGTTATTATAGTTTATTTATAACTCATATACTCAGTTGTTCTAAAATTGGATATTTGTAATTCAAAAGTGTTTTTAAAAATCTCATTATAGTACTATAGAGTTAATAAACAAAATACATTTTTAAACACTTAAACAATTTTTATGCAAAATGGGGTCAGATTTGACTATAAACAGGAATGATGTACTTATTAATTATATTATAGATTTATAATTTATAATTTAATTATTTTATTGAAGTCAGTATTCTTGGTAGTTACTTAAAGTTTTAAGTAGTTAAATATTGATTATACAAGTTTAAGATCTAAGTTATTAATAATATTTAATGTTTAGGTTATGACATTGTATCCAATGTGTGGTCAAGTTGAAACAGTTCATGGAGTACCTTTAACAGTGACTGGAGTAGCTCAGTGTAAAATAATGAAAGCTGATGAACTCTTACAAACAGCATCTGAACAATTTCTCGGTCGAACAACTAATGAAATTAAACAAACTATACTACAAACTTTAGAAGGTCACTTAAGAGCTATTTTGGGTACTTTGTCTGTTGAAGAAGTATATAAAGATAGAGATCAATTTGCATCTCTTGTAAGAGAAGTTGCTGCACCTGATGTTGGTCGTATGGGTATCGAAATATTATCATTTGTAATAAAAGATGTATATGATGATGTTCAATATTTAACTTCACTGGGAAAATCACAAACAGCTGCCGTGAAAAGAGATGCAGATATTGGTGTTGCACAAGCCAACCGGGATGCAGGTATTAAAGAGGCTGAATGTGAAAAATTGGCAATGGATGTAAAATATGGAACAGACACAAAAATTGAAGATAATTCAAGAATGTTCAAGCTCCAAAAAGCCAATTATGATATGGAAGTGAACACAGTAAAAGCGGAGGCCCAGTTAGCATATGAATTACAAGCAGCCAAAATAAGACAGAGAATTAGAAATGAAGAAATACAAATTGATGTCGTTGAGCGAAAAAAACAAATTGAAATTGAAGTTCAGGAAGTTGAACGTAGAGAAAGAGAACTGAATGCCACTGTTCGACTACCAGCTGAAGCAGAGAGTTATCGTGTTCAAGCAATAGCTGAAGGCAAAAGGTAGGTTTTGATAAGAACTAATATTTTTTCACTTAATTTAACCAATATATTCTAAAATAATTTTTTCAATTAAAGCATTAAAAAATAATGAGTTTAATATGTAGTTTATAATTTATTTAAGTTTATGTATATTTTGTTTTTGTTTTGTTAATTACCATCTTCCCCTCTTCAATGTAACCACCATAATATTTGTATTTAATTAATATTAATAAAATAAAATTTATATTTGTATGATTTTTTGTAGGACCCAAACTGTCGAAGTTGCAACAGCTGAAGGTGAACGAATTAAGCAAATTGGACTCGCTGAAGCATCTGCAATAGAAGCAGTTGGTAGAGCTGAAGCTCAAGGAATGTTGTTGAAAGCAAATGTATTTAAAAATTATGAAGAAGCTGCCGTTATGGCATTAATTATGGATGCATTACCAAAAATTGCTGCAGAAATTGTGGCTCCATTATCTAAAACTGAAGAAATTGTATTATTAAGTGGAAATAATAATGTAACAGCAGAAGTGAATCGATTTGTTGGACAATTACCTCCAGCTGTTCAAGCTTTAACTGGTGTTGATTTATCTCAAGTATTATCAAAGATTCCTGGTGCCAAAATAAGTGGCAACTAGGTTAAAATAATAAGTAATTTAAAGTCTTTATTTATCTTATCTTTTTGTTAGATGACCAATAAAGTGTATTATTTTAAGTTTATTATTCCATTATCTTCATTTTAATCTAAAATTATCAATTTTTTTTAAAAACAGCAATTTATATGAATTATATAAACTATATATAATTTAATAGGCTGGTTCTAGTTGGTTAATTATGTATGTTTTAGACCAATAGGCAGTGGAAAATTAGATATAATTCTAAGGCCGGTTTTAATTTTAAGTTTTAGAAGACCTTTAAAATTATGATATTATTTTTAACAATTCTGTGATATAACTTTATTTATACTGATTTTGGACACCAATTTAAGATTGAAAAATCGTCTTCTTAAATAATCTAGACCAGGAAACCTGTGGCTCCTTAACATGCAATCTATGGCTCTTGGGAAATTGAATCAATATCTAGACATTCTAGATCTAGAGCTAGACCCATAAAATATAAATTGAAATTTGATTTGTATAAACAAAAATAATAATAATATTGCGTAATAATAATGCCTACCAATTCCCATTAAAATTGCTTAGAAAATATATCAGTCGTTTTTTATACTTTTGTTTTTTGTCATAACCATTGTGTTTCTTTGAAAATCATGGTTTTGCATTTTTTTTTTTTTAAAATAGCTCATTTACTGAGAAAGGTTACCCAACCCCTGGCCTAGATAATTGGCAACGAATCTATCCATATTTTAAAAATGTGTAATCTGACATTGGGAAGCATGTCTAATTTCCCAACTCTTATTGGTTTATATGTATGAAAAATTGATCGCCTGGAACTATGCCATTTTATGAGTAATCATAATAGAAAATTTTAGTATATACATCATAATGTTACCCATTTTATTTTTTTATATTTGCTTTTTAGGTAAATTTACCATTATTTTGAATTACATCGTTTGCTAGCACTTTATCATTTTAGCTTTTTACTTTTTTTTATAATACTTTATACTCAACAAATGTATTTAAATGAACTAAAAATGTATTTATTATATATTTTTAATATGTGTACGGATAAATATATATTTTTTTTTTATCAAAGTTAGACATTATTTATAGAAAATCCTATTAAATAATTCTAACTGTTATGCTTTTTGCTCAGCTAAGTGATGTGTTAATTGAATATGCCAGGGATATGGGGCTGTGAATTGTTATCAATTCCTCTCATTTAAATTTAATGTATATTATTTAATTATGACCTAAATAAACAAAAATTGTGCCATTAGAAAGCAATTTCTTTATTATTTTCATATTAACACATCACTCAGTTTAATTATTGAGTTTTATATGACATATTTTTATACATTTTTCAAATTTGTAAAATATTAGCAACATAAAATATACAACATATTTCGTTATTATAGTAGATAAACATATTTTATTGATATTATTTTCATAACTATTTATTTTAATCAATCATAAAATTATAAGAAAATATATTTTATTTTTAATTTAGATAGAGAACATTTCATGTTAGTAATAAAACTTGTACAGTTATTTTGAACAAATTTAATTTATCATTTTGAAAAATATTTTATCATAGGTATTTTTAAATTTGTATTAAATGTTATATAGTTTTATTATAAGTTGTCATATTAACATAAACAATCGTCATAAACAATAGATAAAGGTTCAATCAAATATAAATGTTATAAACTTCTGACATGGTTTTAATATTTTAAAATAATTAAAATTTTGTTAAAAAAAAAATTTGTTAAAGTTTATAACATTATAATTTGTTGAAGGAAAGATTTAAAATTAATACAAAATTAAAGATTTTTTGTATATTCTATTGATCTGCATATTGATTTTCAGTATTTAGATCATGTATATCATAAAGAGTGTTTACGCAGTTAAAACATAAAATTATAATTCATAATTAATAAACTACCTAATTTGATTTGTGTAGGGCACACAACATACAGTTAGGCAAACCATTAGTGTTTGTATGATTTAACTTAATCACTGCATTATTTATAATTACCTAAACAATAGTTGTTCGAAGGCATTGTCTTATATTTCCAATTCGCATCTGTGAATTGTAACATATTGGCAAGTAGAGGAACATCCATAATGAATTGTTCTTCGCCACCTGCTTCAATTAATAGTACGCTCCATTTGGTTTCCTGAAATTAATATTGCATTATTATTTTTTCCATTTATTTTAGTACTTATTTATAAACAATATTTTTGAATAATGAAACACTTTGAAACCAAAGGGTTTTGAAAATAACAAATCATTGTCAGTGAATCATTTAATGGTAGCTATTGATATTATCATTGATTATAAATATAGTACGACTTATAATGAACCTCTCATTAAATTTTTAAGTATTTTTGTTTTGTTTAATAATTTTATCCAAAGAATTCCTATCAAATAAAAATTGCGTAAAAAACTCAAAAACCATATGACTATAAATAGCTCAAAAATGGCTTGAATGTTGTATAAATTTTACTCTAGAAAAAGTAAATTTTAGTTTTTTGTCGAAATTTAAAATCTACGAATATTTTTAACTATAAAAAAAAGTAAAAAATAAAAAATAAAAATCTCACCCCCTACAAATTAAAAAAAAAAAAAAGGTTTGAAAGGCCGTAATATTTATGATATTAAAATTTAATTTGTATACGATTAGATATATATTTAAAAAAATTACTTTAATAAACTCTACTCTTTTTTTTTTTTTTTTAATTACTAAGTATAACTTATAATAAACTTCCTGTTAGGTTTACTACACCAAACAATTATAATTTACTCAGTATACTTAAGATTACATGTTTAAAAAATGAATAATATCGAGTCACTATTTTTAGTCGGATAATTATTAAAATCTTAAGGTAGTCAACTTGCCCCACTCTCCCCTATTCCTTATACACGTTAAATATTAGTTTCATCACTTACTTCTGATAAACGGCTTGCTACTACTGATCCAGCAGAACCGGCGCCAACTATGATGAAATCAAATTCATTTAATCCAAATTGTTCGATCCGTGAATTTCGTTTACTGAATTCTAAATTTTCGAAAAACGTACCCAACGCATCTTCGAAAAGTGGTGGATATTCTGTTGCTTCATCTAGCTGACTGGTATGGCCAATAAAGAGAAAAAACACTATGGGTAGCGTCCACATCAAGAATCTGTTAGGGTTAGATACAAAATATTAATGTACAGAGTTTTAAATACTGAATGGATAAATTGACACTGAAATTAAATATATTATAAACCTGTGATGATTATATATAATTTTAAAGTTTTTTTAAGGGGGCCTGTAAACAATCCAATTGTTTGTCAAATAGTTGACGTAATTCACGTGTTAGGATGGACATTTTGATTGACAGCATGTTTGACAAACACATTTTGATAAAGTACGGCTATGTTTGTCAAACAAGATCTCAGACAAAATAAAGACAAATTCGAACTAATTTTGTTAAGTTTTGTAAAAGTTGATTTTAATATTATTTAATATATTTAGGCGAGTAAAATAAGAACAGCTCAAAAATATAATGTGTATTTTATCTAATATCTATATTTTTTTTATTGCTTATATGTTTACGATACTATCCATAAATTCGACGATAGAAATCTTAAGTTCCTCAATACTTATCATCATACAGTGCATCATGGTGCCTGGTAGCATCCTATTTCTGGTCTAACTGAGAATTCTATTCAGAACACTGAAAGACCATTCAACAGAAGCCTATAGTCACGACGAATAAGCGAATAAGATCGGTTAAGCAATGAGTATTGAGGATTCCGCTGGTCCGGCTACATTCCAAGTGTTCGAATGCAAAAATAAATTAAATAGGTAAATAGTTTACATCATAGTCATAAAGCGTTATTCACGTAGAAGAAAAAACTCAAATAACTTACTTTTTCGTAATGAAAATTACGGTTAAACGAACTAGTACTTAGTAAATAAGTTTTTTTTTAAATTTGGTCTGGGGAGAGGGGGAGGGAGGGTCGCGCAGCCCCTGAAATAAACTTAAAGTAGCCTTACTTAATTTTTTCCCTTTTTTTTTTGCAGGGGATGAGTAACTGGTTACCATCTTTTGATTTTTCAAATATTTGAAAATTCCATAAATATCCATATATGGATATATATATATATGGAGTTTTAGTACATTTTGGTGTTAAAATGTTTGATTTCCGTTAACCCGTTGACGAGATATTCCACATTTAAGTTTAGACAGAAGGGAGTAGCGAATCACTATTCAAATACCGCGTACTATGCCGCCACACAAATGACGCTCCATTACTCTCCCCTTACAGTGGCGTAATTTGGTAATGTTTGTGGGGTTATTTGTAGGGCATTACCTTCCCGACCGATAAAAAAAAAAAATTATATTTATCATAATCACATTTTAGTGCAATAAATGCATGTACCTACGTATATTATAATCTAATCATAATGTGTTCGTCAGATAATCTAAGCGGTTATTAGATACATACGCAGTACGTATTCCTCTAAATAAAATTTACTAAACGTACCTATAAGCAGTACTACACAACATATTATACTGCGTTTTTTTTATTTAGAATATATCATTTACTGCTTATTTGTCTAGTGTTCGGTGATATTTTAGTAGATACTACATATGTAAAGCTCATTTAGAGAGTCTAAATGATGTTTTAATGAACTTTAACCTAGAGAAATCTTTGTAAAATGGTCTAATAAACTATAGGTTATCTTATTTATGAAAAATTGTAGGTAATTCCAAAAAGTTTTTAAATGAATCATTTTTTGAAAAAACAAGTATTTTACAAAAAAATTAACTGTACTATGAAATTTGGAAGACGATGTACATCTAATTCAATTTATATTTGATTTTAAATGCCTAATCGTAACCTACAGAAACGTATTAGGTCACTCACTTCGTTATTATTCATAATGCGTATGAAAATATTAATGAGAATATGAACGTTGAACGTTATAAATAGAGAAACAGATATAACGGTAGATAAAACGATGAATTCGGTAGGTAGGTACTTAGTTATTTCGTATGTGATAGGTCACGTCATACCTATTGTCATCTTCCACGTCCATCGATTTACAATTCGAACTGTACACTTAGTACTTAGGTAGGTACTAAGTGCCAAAAATGCTCCGTTTGTCCAAAAATTACTTTTTTCTTTTCGCCCACGCCTCTTTTTATTCAAATGATTTGGTTCATGCAAAAATGGTCCTTATCAATTTAATTTAATTTTGAGAAAATTCAAAAAACCTTTCTAATGCTTTGTGAATTTAAGATTTTTAATAATTTTTTTTTTTTAGTGTTCACATAGAACACGTGTGTCAATAACGCAAACTTATTTAAGTTCAATGTTTATTTTTTCATCTATTTTTATTTCTCAAGTATTTTTACTACATATACAAACTAGTTAAATAAAGCCAGCCATTTAGCATTTATCTCGAAAGTACCACGAGGAAACGGCTTTTATTGCTCTCCGAAAAGTTATGTGTATTTATGTTTGTGTTTGTTTATTAAAATGGGGTGATTAAACAAATATTGTTTTAAAATTATATTATTTTATATTTAGTATAAATGTCATATGTAGGGTGATATTTAGATTTAGAGCGGAGTGAGGATTGTATTGGTTTTTAATAATTTTTTTTTTTTTGCGAACAACTTCTGTATCAAAAATTTTGCTCCGATTTTCAAGTGTGGTACTATTTCCGAAAGCAAAATTTATCTAATTGGTACTTTTAGTAGGTTATATTTTGATTTTCCAAACAGTTTTCATAATAATCGGGAAAAAATGTAGGAAAAACTGGAAAATTTACGAAATTTATTATTTTCAAATCGTAAATATTACTGCCTTTCAAAACATGCATGTTTACATAGTATACATGTACACCCAAACTCCGCTCAGAGTCGTTTTTCGTTAGCAATGGTTAATTGTTGAGTACAGATAAAAATACAATTTTCCCTTTACCTTTACAACTTCTCACCTACAACAGAAGCTATCGGACGAAGAATGACCGTTTGTTTTTTATCATGAGTCAATAATTTTCTTGTTGGATTTTAAGTGAATTTGTTTTTTGTTTAATCATTATGGAATCGTTTAAGATTTATTTCAAAACCATTTTGTTAAATCATTCATTTTTTACTTCTACTCCATATACCTTAAATAAGTATATACTTTAGTTTTTTAACGGAACATTTGATATTAGTGTTATGCATATTCGAATTTGTAGAAAAATATTCTCTATTCGAATTTGTGTCCAAAAAGGAGGTAACTATCTGAAAAACAAAAGTATATAATTATTAGTTATTGAAGGTATTTGGAGTAAGGGTAAAAATTAAAAATAGTTTTGAAATAAAGCTTAAACGATTCCACAATGATTAAAAAAATAAACAGAAATCAAATTCACTTATAATCCTCCGAGAAAATTGCTGATTCATGATGAAAAATTACCTTGTATGATAAATATTTTGTCTTTACTCTTCAATACACTATACACTAGTGTTTATATGGTATATTTAAATATAGGATTTGGTAGGTAGTCGAAAATTCATAAATTTGATTAATCTAGTTTTGCTAGGTACCTACCTATTTTATCTTGTATACAATACTATTAGGCATGCTAACTGATATGCGATAACATTAGCGACTACATGTAACCGGTTGAATTATGTTTACTTCCAGTTAGGTAAATGGTAGTAGATAAATGCGACATTATCTTGATGTAGAGGTCTACAGGAAATATGTATGTACACGCATTAAACTGGTGTTGTAGACGAGGACATAATTTAATATCTATAATGCTGTTTTAGAAAATAAAACGATACTGTTTTGCCCAATTATATTGTGTGAATTATTATCGATAATATTATAGTTATTATGGAATCTAAAGAAAGACCAATGAAAATAAATAATTGTGAAATCAATTATGTTATACAAACTGGTAGGTATTTATGAAATCATAAACTTAAAATTAGTACCTATAGTAGTTTAAATTTTAACACCGACATAATACGTTTTTTAATCAGGTCGGTTGCCTACAAATAATCGAACTTACAGCACTTTGACTTCAATTAGCGATCGGCTGATCTAAATATGTTCATTTTTCTGAGAAAATGAGAAAGCCCTTATACAATAATACGCATGTTATAAAAGCGTGTGAGGAATTTTCAAACTTTTTATCCAGGACGTTTTATTTTAATTTTATTTAACTATTGATATTTAATGTGAATACGGATAGCATTTAAAATAAGTATTCTTTTAAATTTCCCAATTAGTTTTGGAAATAACAATACAATTTTAAATTATAATTTTAAGTTTTAGGTAATTACAAATTATAAATGACAGTAGCGACTTTTAATATTTACTAGTATATACTAGTCAAAGGTGCAAGGTACCTAGGTACCTACGTATTCTATCGTCATATGATATATTATATTGTATTATTATTTTCATTGTACACATTTTATGTTGAGTATAAAATCTTTATATCTTACGTATAATGTATATCTGTCCAATTTCTTCCCTCTTCAAAACTCGTGATTGTGGAAAACCGAATTATTGATAATCAGATTGATTTTGTTTTAATAATATTTTCGGGTACCTACCGATTATAATTAAACATTGTAGTACCAATTAAAATGATTATAGGTATGTATCTTTGGGCATTCTCGTAAGAGGGTGATATGAAGGATAAATCCCCACGGGAATTTTTTATGACCAAATAATAGGTATTGCTATATTATTATTATTTTTTGTATTATAGTTGATCACTATCAGTGATGATTACAAATTGAAAATGAATGGTGCCTAGTAAAAAAAAATTACATATACCAACCTCAATAGATATTAATAATAACGTCACTGTAAATACCTGGAGATAATAACAGATATTTACTAATTTTGGTATTTTGTTTAGAAGATTACATTTTTATTGCGTTCAAAATGTACGACCATTGACCATGATTTATATTGAAGTAAGTGAAGTAAATCAGTTCATGCTTTCTGAACTGTATATATTATTTTTTTTTATTTTCCTATTAAAAATTATCCTTGGCCCACAGTAGAAATTCAAATTAAAAAAAATAGAAATATTAAAATTACTTATAATTATTAAATTATATGTATTGCACACGCATAGTGAGATTTTATTTATTAAACACTTATTATTGTATTGTGCATTGTTAAAATTAGTATCTATAATTAAAATAACTAAATAATTAAAGATGACAGATTTTTCAGATTATTATTAAATTATTTAAAGGTTATTAATTTAAAATAAACATGTATTCGTATTGTATTTGAATTCGGGAAAAAAAATCTTTAATTTCAAATTTCATTAAGTACAAGTATTTTAATTAGTATTTTAACAGTAATGAACTTAGCAGGAAATTATTCATTTTCAATTCAATTCAATCATTCTAACAAAATTGTATTTATAATCTTTATAGTTTTGTATTTTCATCAATATAAATATTGTTTAGCTTTTGTTTTTATATGCGAACAGTAGTTTTTTTGTGCAAAACTAATTGTTCGAAGGTCAGTGGAAAAGTTCTTTAATCAGTGATTTATCTAAAGTCAGTTTTTGGTGGGCAGATTCGTATCACGACTTAAAATAATTTTTAATCAACCTTTCCGCTCCGCTTTTCTTTCTTGAAAATCTTGTATTATATTACATACGTTGAACAATTAATTAATTTTGGAAGTAAATATTTTTGTATAGTCTATAGGGTGTCTGATGCACCAGAACCCCACTTTGGAACCGACACTGATTCAACTTCAAATTTAAAAAGAGTAAGATTGTAAATTCGTAAAATACAGATTGGCTGTTTCAAAAGCAATAAGAAAAAGACGTCCTAGGATAATGGGAACAGGTGCAGCCACTGTTATAGGTAATTTAATGTATATCTGTAATCAAAGATAAACCATTGCTTACGATAAAACGATTCTTAGCGGAGTTCAGTTGATAATGATGCTTTGTCAATAATATATATGCCATATTATATTAAAATAATTAAAAAGGCTTTATGTATTTTCTTCAATAATATTTGTTTATGCTTTAACGATTTTCCCGGTTTTCCCGTGTATTTTCTCGGTTTTACGCATTTGATGAGAAAATTGAAAAATTACATCTTTAAAGTATCTATCCGCACTGATTTCCTTTCAGAAAAAGCGCTAAACGTAAAAACCGGAGCAAGTCCTCTGGTAGAAAAGTTGTCCATAGAAAAAAAATAAACATCTTTGTAAAACCATCCATAAGCTTCTTCGCTCCACTCAGAATCTAAAATGCTCTCGAAGACTAAATATTTATTTAATCATCCAAATCAATACCTATGTTTTTTTCTAAAGTAACGTGCTATTTCAATGTAACTCTGTAAATAAAAAGTCTGTAGGACGTCGGATTTTCAGTTAAAAATCCAACTTCAACCGATTTATTTTATAAATCGTTCCAGGTTTTTATTATAAATATGAATTTTAATTCAGTGTTTATCTGCCACAATAATTACATTAAGTCGATCATTATTTAATATTTTCTATACTTAACTGTAATAAATATTTTATTTTTATTTAAATCTGCGGGCCTAAGTAAAAAAAAAAAAAAAAATATACGGTTAAAATTTAAACACTTAAATATTAAATCTAAAAAAGCTAACATTCATATACACAATGTGTACCATTACAATACAATTTATTTACATACAAGACACAACAATGATTTTGTAGTAGCAAATTTAATATTGATCCGAATTGTAATATAGGTTAAACTCATATGCACGGTGCATTGGTGTGATGCATAATATAACGTACGTATAGGTAGTATACGGTATAGGTTGGTATACGTTTTCTCAGTAATGTTGCGTATTTAGGATTTTATCGTGGGGTGTCATGCATCGGCAAACATTTCGTTTAATATTTTGAGAGAGGGTGGGGGCTATGCAACTCATTATTTCACATAGCTTTAGCAACAAATAATAATTAAATTCGAAATGTATATAAATAAATATCTATACTTATGCATATTAAATACTCGTAGGTAGTAAATACTCGTAGTTCTACATCACACGTGTAATTAAAACAAAACCTAATTTTCTATTATTCTTCAAACTTCGGCTTAATATATCACTGATGTCATCCGATACATAATTTGTTACATTCGATTTGCAAAACTGGTAGACATAAAATCAAGGACCAAATATATTTATTTAGTTTATTCGGTGTTATCGATTATAGAACTTTATCATATAGTAATAGTTCAACGATAAATCATAAATATGAAAATTATGTAATAACGAAAAATTAGTTTAATAATAATATAAACTTAACGGAGAAGATCTTACTCACTAAATTTGGGAATCGTGGTTTTGCTCCATTACGTAGCAAATATATTCTTGTGTAGGGTTAGAATTACTTTTAAATATAATAATTATCTTTTGTTATGTATACTTGATATTCGTAAGGAACAAAATATAATATAAAAAATAAAATATTTTAAAAATAGTGAAATTACTATTATTATTTTTTACGAGTGTAAAAGCATTAGTTTTTTAGATAATATTTTGAAATTTTTTTCAAACGGCTATTTCTCCCTCCCCCTCTCTCTGCTGATTTTTCAAAGTACGTGTCTTTGGCTGTGGCAAATACTTGCTCGCGTATTTATCATACCTATTTTATAAATCATTAAATATCACATGCTTAAATAAAATTACTGACACAGTTTATATACATAAAACATACAATTTCCAAATAATATAAACTTATTATTTTTCGATTTTTACTATTGAATAATATACAGATTTATAGATAATAATGAACTATTATTATTAACGTAAAACTTTAAATAATTAAGAGAATTATCTGAAAAAATAATTAAAATTGTAGGATAAAAAATTATACATTTATTACTAGCTGTTCCGGCGTATTATACGCGAATTTATTAATACGTATTATACTAATTGTATTATTATTTATTATACCCATATTCATTTTTGGTTGTAGCCATGTCAGAATTGAATGAAAAGAAATAGGTGGAAAGTGTACTCCCTTTAGTAATTCACCTTAGGTGGATTAAATGTCTTCTGTTGTGAAATTTTAATAGCGTAAATAATACTAACAATAATAATTATAGTAGTTTTCGTTCTCTTAAAACCAAGGTAATCATTGAATAAACAAAAATAAATAAATAAGCAATTAGATATTCGTACCAAATATACTTAAAAAAAAACCCTGTTTTAAGGGTTGAGTTTTCAAAAATCCTTTCTTGACGGATGCTTACGTCGTAATATCCAGCTGTGTTCCAAATTTCAGCCCGATCCGTCCAGTGGTTTGGGATAGGCGATGATGAATCAGTCAGTCAGGACATGTTATTTTATATATATATATAAATAATGAAAAAATAATTATTAAAATAAATTATTTTTTAGAAAAATAAAATAATTACGCATATACATATACAATAGTGAACTAGTTTTTAAAGTTGAATTTTTTATTTTACGAGTATTGTAATATATTTGTTTTGCTTTGATATTAATGTCAGACTGTAAAAATATAGAAGCTGTTCTAGTATAGTATAGATTTGGTATACAAACGTATTTATATGCATTAACGGTACATAGCTTTTACGACACTCGGGATTTTAATAAAACATGTCTTGGTTATTCGATTGTACTACTAAAATATACAATAATATTTATAAATTCAATCCACGTGCAATTATTTTCACTATTATTTTTTTACTATTTTGTAATAACCGACTGTATTTAGTCAATGACAAAATTGTTCAATAATGAAATCTGTACAGGGTTTCCTACGATGATCTAACACTTGAAATAACTTTTGTTCTATTCAATATTTGTTTTATATATATTTTTTAAATAACTAGTATGCCTCTACGCTACAGTTAATATGTTACAATTTTTTTTTTTTAAGTAGTGGAACTTGAAATAAACAATTTTACTATAATTAATAATAAATTTTAAATAGCTATTTTATAAAATATATTTTTAGAAAATGTTTTGTGGTTGAAACTTTTGTTTAGGTATCGTCTTATTTCATACAATTTTTTGAAGTTTTTGCAAATGTGAATATTATTGTGGGTGGTTTATAATTTATTGTAATATTTAATCAGTTATCTGTAGTACTATTGTATGATATTAACTCGTGGAAAATAAAATCCTTGTCATTTGATGTGTTCTAAAATAAAATAACACGTGCTGATTGATTCATCATCGCTTAGCCGGAACTCCTGAAGCTATAAGTATAAAATTTGGTCAGTAGTTAATTTATATGATGTAGAGACCCATTAAGAAAGCATTTTTCAAATTTCAACCCTTTAGGGGGTTAAATAGAATACAAAAGGGTATTTAAAAAGGGTAACGATATTTCTTGGTCGTATAATAAAGTTATTGAATCGATTATTATTATTTAATTGATTAGTATTTGAGAAAAAAATATATTAATTTATTATAATTATACCAGTAAACAATTTTTATATTTTTTGACAATCATTGAACTACTTTTATTTCATTACCTATTTGTAATATTAAAAATTTTATAATACCTAATTATTCGAGTGTTAAAAATAAATCAACTAGGTACTATGTATATTAAATTGACTATCATGTAAAGGTTGTTTTAATACGTATTTATTTTATAAATAAGTAAAATAAAAAAATAACTTTTACGTAGTCATGTAATCGTGTAATCGTATAATATGCGCAGACAAATTCGGCACAAATAGGCGATCGGAAAAAAGTACCTTTTTTATTTTGGCGCAAATGGACTGTACCTAAAACGATTAACTTTTTTTCGTGCAAATGGGCGACGCCCGTTTATAGATATTGAAATCCACACCTCTTGAAACCCATCATAGGTATTTTTGGTACGAAAGTCAAATTATTTTTTTTGAATTATCGGTTACCTCGGCAATACGGATAAAAAAATATAAAATAGTAGACTAATAAAATATGTAAAATCTAGCAATAGCAATGCGTTTCCTGGACATCTAGTATTTTTATATAATATCATGTTTAGTTTTCTTTGTTACGATGAAAAAAGACAGTATCTAAGGTCAGTAACATAATATATATATATATACTATATTAAGCATGTACAAATAGATTCATTCGTAATTTATTAATCAACTTTTTTAATAACGAATAGAAATTAAAAACAATCTGTCGAAAATACTAGGCTGTGCAATATAGCAACAAATACACATCGCACTTCAACGATTGCGACTCAGTGGTTTAGTTTAAGGCAAAGGGACCTATTATACATTTTATAAAAAAAAGATATACTATTTTAGTTAACTTTTTAAGACATACAATTATACGAGTACAATAATAACTTATTATTATGCGTATAGGAATACGTATACACTAATTATTATTAGGTAAGTAAGTACTCATTTCTATTTAGTATATCGAGTAAGGTTATAGATATATACATTTTAAACGATTAAAATAGTACCTAAGTAAGTACCTGCCTAATGACCATGTATTTATAAATTATAATCACAGACAAATTGTTTTACATAGATTACATAAGTCATAAATTTGTGCAATTAATAATAATTTGTAGTACATGATACTATTTAGGTATTTTTGCACAGTTGAAATAATTAAACGCCGGGAATAATAACCAGGAGTACAATATTCTATATAGGTACGTGTTTATTTTAGACCGATTTCACGGACGAATTAATAAAACATATTATTATTACTGTGCCATTGGTGTTGGTGTCACTAAATTTGTCCTACATACAATTGTTTCTATTCTGATAAAATAATAACACGAGTATTTAGGTTTTAATTGTAATGAATATAACGATTCGTTATTGAACATCGATTTAAACTCTTTGCTGTAAAGTTATTTTTGTAGATTTGAGTGTCAAAAAATGATTAGGCTTAAACATCTTATGATAAAAATCTGAGAATTTTGAAAGGAATTCACTACATTATACATTATAATGTATCAATAACAAATTATGTTAACGTTACGTTTCGATTAAGGTTTTATTTGAAATAATTTTTCTAACTTTCTTTGAAAATTGTACTTTTTATACAAATTTACAAACATATATGGCTACTATATAGGTATTTAGAATAAGTATTGATACTTAAACGCTTATTGAATTTGTTGTCATAAGGAACTAATTTTTATTTATGTGCCTTTTTGAGAACAAAAAAATTACTGCAATTTAACTATTGACTAAATTTAATTTCATGGTCATAATTTATTTACTGATACGGTTAAAAAATACATGAGACATGATGAGAAAATAAATATTTTTCTTTTCTTTTCTTTTCTTTTTAATCTACTGCATTAAGCGTTTCATATTTTTCTGTTTTTACTATAAATGTATAAAAAGTATTATAAGTATATTAAGTATGTCCTTTTTAACAAATACGAATAGAGATATACACCAGGTATAGGTTATAAATGTTGTTAAAATAAAAACAAATAAAATTATTGATCGTAAATAGACTAAAACGAATAAAAATAATATATAAATCTACATTTACGATTACTTATCTATGTGTAGTAAATAGTAAATAGTTTTGTATTCACCTGTATATTGAATAAGAACTCATAATGTTTGAATAAGTATGTCACAAACGTTCGTAAACGCGTATGTTTATACACAAAACCGCAAATTAATTTTTTGATTTAGTTTAAAAAACAAAATTTTTTCCAAAATAAGAAATAAGAAACATATTTTTTTTTCACCAAATGCACAGATACGCGTAGTACAAGACTCAGTACTCACTACGCGTGGACGTTCTGCGCAAGGTTCGTTGTTTCCTATGACATTGAGTTATTCCACCACAATATATCATACGGATACATTTTCGTAATTGGATTATGACACATAATAATAATAATAATATATTAATTGTAAACGTTATTAGTATGAATGTATATAATACATCTACACATATACCTGCGATGAGATTGTAATAATTCCAGTGTTCATAGTAATAAAATATGTATTTAATAAAAATAAAATAAAATAATTAATTAAATAAAATAAACAAAAATATATCAAATTACATTCTATATTCATCTCTCTAAATCTTCCCCCCTTACCATTGTCACATTAGTTCCTTGATTTTCTACAAAGGTAAAATATATAGATGAAGATCCTTTTTAGAATATTAGAGTGCAGCCAAAAAAGCTATTAAAGTTCCACTAAGTCAGTAGCGTGCAAAACATTCTTTATACTTGAGGCAAAACATAAATATTAGGATCCAACCATTCAAAAATTGGATTTTTATGTGTCCCGCAAATAATTGCAGCAAAAATTCTATTTAGTTTTATTGACTACATAATATAGGCTATCATATTCGTCAGTAAGTAAATTAATAATAAAATACAAGAAACTAAAGGTATCTTTGATCTTTGAATTAGTGAATCTTAAGAACATTCAACAAATTTAGTCACCCACCGATTTTAGTCATGAAGCAATCGCTTTAAAAAAATAGGTCCTCACGCCACTAAACTAAAATATGAATTTTTTTCTTAAAATTGCTTTTTGGATTAGTAAAAATGCAAAATGCTTTCTTACAAAGCACATTAATAGATGCTGAGTGCCTACCCAGTAGTATTTTTTTTTGAAAACAAATTCTAGATTCACAAAGGTAATCTATACTATTCAAAATAATCATCAACAAATTCCGATATATTAGTTTTAATTTTTGTTGATTCTCGGTGACCTTGGCTATAAATTATATAAGAGGAAAAGAATATCTTGTACTACTACTTATACTAGTCTGTTCAGAATCTTCTTTGATTGTAATGGTATATCGATCGCCTTGGTTTGGATGAAAACCAGTAAAAAAAATGCAAACATTTTTAAAATTTACATTTAAAATACAATTATTTCGATACTTGCACGTTATTATATAGGTAGTAAAAATAAATACAAATAATATAGGTATCTACAATATTATACTCGAGATTAAACTGAGTCATATTTGTATGATATACATTTCACAGATGTAAGCGAATCATTTTTTTTCTAAATATTGTTTGATTTTATTTTTATTGCATTTCTAACTAAGGCTCAGATTTTTTGTTAGTTTCCAAATCCAGTGGCGTAGCCAAGGGGCTTTGGGGTTCACCCTCTCCTTGGCCTAAAAAAAAGTAAATCGAGTTTTTTTTTATAATTTATATAATTCATAGTTTTGTTACATGTATAAAATATAACAGAACTACTTTTAGGCAGCTTTAAAATGTTTAAAGTTTTAATTTCCTCTTATCAAACAATAATTTGCCACATAAAGAAGAAAACAAATAATTTGGCAGAGAAGTATATTGAAGAAGAAGTCCTAATTTAGTAATTAGAGAAATATTAACATGGGCACAAAAGTTTGTTGGAGGAAAAAACCAAAAAATTCATTGGAACCTTTTATAACATCTAACCCACTCATTTTTCCATCTACTTATAAACTATTTATAAACTAAAAAGGAAAGTTAATGTTTATCTGTAAGCAACGATAAACCATTGCTAACGAAAATACGATTCTGAGTGGAGTTCAGTTGATAGTAATGCTTTGTCAACAATATATGTACGTCAAATTATGGTAAAATAATTAAATAGGCATTATATATTTTCTTTAATAATATTTGTTTAATATTTTACCGATTTTTTCATTTTTCCTGGTTTTCCAATGTTTTTCCCCGGATTTTCACATTTGCTGGGAAAACATTTGATAAAATCAAAAACTGATCTCCTTAAAGTACTTCCCTAAACTGATTTCCTTTCAGAAAAGCTGCTACACTTAAAAAGCGGAGCAAGATTTCTGGTAGAAAAGTTGTCCCCAGAAAAAATATAAATATATCTTTATATAACCATAAGCATCTTTGCTCCACTCAGAATCTAAAATTCACTTTATGTTTTTTGGTGATTGAAATATTTAGATTTTTTCACGCTATACCTACCTTAGAAGGCGTGGTACAATGTTCGCCCACTGTAGTACAAAACACGGTTTATTGGTACAACTAACAATACTTATAATACTAATACTTACAGTCAATACAGAATACTATTCCACTCAGAATTTATTTTTAATTTTAATAATTTGAAACCCGGAAAGTTATCGTACCGACTGTAAAATTCTGGAATGCAAATTTACGGACAAGAAAACGGCGGACTGTAAAAATCCGGAATATGAAACACTGTAAATGTATATCAAATGTGATGTAAATGAAAATCAAAAAATTACCTCCCAAAAGTACCATCTGGACCACATTGCCTGTTAGAAATTGTGCTACGCGTATATATCTGAGCAAGATTTCTGGTAGAATTTTTGTATACAGGATAAAAAAAAATTTAACAACTTAGTAAAACCAATACATTCCTCTCTACACTCAGAATCTAAAAGTAAAAACTAATATAATAGACATAGATGAGATTCGACAATTTGGATTACAATAGTATTTTACCTTGTATTATGTTTTTAAATTAGAATTGAACGTTTTTAGTACACAAAAGACGAAATGATTGATGGACTATGTGGCTTACACTCTGGACCTTAAGCTTAACAAATATATGAAAAAGGGGAAAGACTGAGGTTGTAATAGTCACGAACGACATTAATTTTGAACAACAGAGAATACAGTATAATCATAATAACTTATATTAATATGAAATAAGAACTATATAAACAGTAAAATGGTATCCAATATTAATTTTGACCTCCTTATCAAACCTATTTTATAGTAGTATATCAATATACTAAATATCATTTAAATGTTTATGAGCCCTTATTAATTTCTTTCACGTGTCCCTGATTTATTAAAATACGAGTTTGTAATAGAATTATGATTTGTTTAAGGTAATGAATACATATATTTATACAATTTCCTAATTTATGCCGATATTTTTATTATAATTTTGTTTACCTATATTTATTTTGACTATTTAGATGAATATTGGATATATTCATACTTCATATAAAATTGCCAATTATTAACAATATCTATAGTATAATTATTATAATGGTTTAACCGTTTTCGTAATAGAGCCGTATTATGGGAGGTAATGGGGATATTTGATCCGGGGTGCCAAAGGTTTTAAAAATATAAAGCGTCTTTTAACTCAATAGACAACTTGAAATACAATTAATGATATACTATATTATTATATCACTTGTTAGTTGTTTTATTTTCAAACTCTTTGCTTAGAGTAATAATGTATATTGTAACACATAGTACGTATACCCAGAGCCGGATTAAATACTTTGTAGGCCGTAAGCAAATTATTTAGATGGGCCTAATTAATTACTTAATAAATATAGGTAATAAACAAGTATACATATATATATATATATATGAGTATATGAAGAATATTGTTTTCTATTAGATATATAATAGCCTTTCACCAAATTTAGGGGGGGAGTGATGAGTGAATACTACAAATAACAAAATATTATTATATTATATTACAAATGAATAAAAAAANATTTAACTCAAAACTATGATAAATTGAAAATTTTTATTTATAAAATATATTTTTTAATTATAAGTCAATACACAAATTATTATAACATTAGTCGCTGCTTTCATCGTCGCAACTATCAACTTGTTTATCAAAACATAATTCTTTTTTCTGGATTTCTCATTTGCAAAATTTTGGATCACATCTTCAAAGTTTAAAGATTCTACAGATTCACTTTCAATACTTAAAATTCCAAGATTTTGTAGGTTATTTTGTAATAATGAAGATCTTAAAACGTTTTTTAATTATTTTAATCGGCTAAATGATCTTTCTCTTGTACAGTTGGTACACATAAGAGAAAGATATAAACGTAACAACCGTTCAATATTTGGAAAACTCTCGGTCACATTTAAATCAATTATCATCTTATACATGTTAAGCAAAATATTTTNTTTTTCTGGATTTCTCATTTGCAAAATTTTGGATCACATCTTCAAAGTTTAGAGATTTTACAAATTCACTTTCAATACTTAAAATTCCAAGATTTTGTAGGTTATTTTGTAATAATGAAGATCTTAAAACGTTTTTTAATAATTTTAATCGGCTAAATGATCTTACTCCTGTACAGTTGGTACATATAAGAGAAAGATATAAACGTAACAACCGTTCAATATTTGGAAAACTCTCGGTCACATTTAAATCAATTATCATCTTATATATGTTAAGCAAAATATTTTTATTCTTATTTTCGTTTGTTGTAATTAATGATAAAGACGTTGACGAAAAACTTAAAAACTGTTTAAACTCATTTGTAAAATCATCAGGGAAATCTTTTGGATACCTTTCTAATNAATGAAGATCTTAAAACGTTTTTTAATAATTTTAATCGGCTAAATGATCTTTCTCCTGTACAGTTGGTACACATAAGAGAAAGATATAAACGTAACAACCGTTCAATATTTGGAAAACTCTCGGTCACATTTAAATCAATTATCATCTTGTACATGTTAAGCAAAATATTTTTATTCTTATTTTCTTTCTTTGTAATTAATGATAAAGACGTTGACGAAAAACTTAATAACTGTTTAAACTCATTTGTAAAATCATCAGGGAAATCTTTTGGATACCTTTCTAATAACTTTTTCATTCCTCCTTCTATGTCTTCAATTTTCATGTCCATTTTAATGTCTGATAATAACTTAAAATTATCCCTTACGGTAGTATAAGCGTTAATTCTATGTACCAAAGCACTATAAAGCTGATCAATTATAACATAAAAAGTATTTATTTTAAATGATTCTTTTGCATTTAGTTCATTAAAACTACTCTCGTTTCTCTTAAATTTTTTTCTATGCCTAGTTAATTTATAGTCTTCATTCTTAGCTCTTTTCATNGCAGATTGTCCAACGAGATTCAACGAATGTGCAATACACGGAATATAATCAATAAATGAATTGCACTTTTTTATTTCTGCTTGCATACCAGTATAAGTCCCACTCATGTTGCTAGCGTTGTCATAGCTCTGCCCACGACAATTTTCTATGTTAATATCATTTTCTTTCAAAAAGTTATGTTAACACAAAGCAAGATTTACACCAGTATGACTTATAATATGAATAAAAGTAATGAAACGTTCTACTGGTCCATCATTATTTACGTATCTCAAAATAATAGTTAGTTGATCCATATGGGTTATATCAGGAGTAGAATCAACGCTTATTGAAAAATAACCGGCTTTTTTTTAATTGATCTATAATCATTGTACGAGTTTTGTTTGCAATAAGTGCAATAAATTCGTTACAAATAGTTTTGGACAAATAAGATGTGTGTCCTTTCCCTTGATTTCCGTGTACAGCGATATGTTGGGCTAAAAATGGTTCAAATTTTGAAAGAAGCTCCAATATTCCAAGATAGTTTCCATTATGATTTGACCCGAAGTGTTCGTCCGAACCTCGAAATGGTAAACCACGTCATATATGTAGTATAAATATGCCGGTACATTTTACATACATTTTTTTTCAAAATGCTATTTTTTTCAGGTATAAGGTTGCAATATCAAAATTAAAATTGAATATTTTTTTTTTTATTAATTATGTTCTTTTTGAGTTTTAAGCTTACCAATGTTTTCAACAATGTGTTCTCAACATTCCATGTCAATTCATTTTTCCAACAGCGAAATACCAAATTTATTTTTTTCAACATCTCAATTTCAATGGGCTAAATTTTTTTCTCTTATTTTGTATATTTTTTGAAATGGTTTTGATAAATTTTTCTGGTACAGATTGATATTTAAAAGATCAAAAAGAAATAATGTAAACATTATTGTTTAGATGTGATAAATATCGACAGTTTTTTATTTAAAAAATTCAGAAAAAATAGTTGTGATATTTGTGATATATATATATATATGCGACGTGAACGGTTTTTGTTATCGCGTTTGGGTAATCCTTCAACCTAACCGGTCGACTATCGCAGTAGTTAGCTGGCCAGTGTTCGTTCTGTGGCTGTAGCGCGAACTACTTTCTATGTCAGAATGTATTTTGATCTGATGCATTATATTCAAATAAATCTACAAATCTTACAATAGTGTAAAAATTATTGTTAAAATTGTGATAAATATCAAGCTGCGCCAGAACCGGCATATTTATACTACTCACCTCTCTGCATACGTGCCTGGGGTTGCTACAACTTACTGCTACTATCATAATATGTCATGATGTCCATATACCACATCAAATATATAACTCCGAATATAAACTATTCTGAATAAAACTGTTACAAATGTGTATATTACTCCAAAATTAAATTTAAAATTTGATTAAATTAATANATAATATAATCTACGGTATACAGATAAGAAAGTCCGAACATTTTTATTATTATTTAATTATTAGTAATTCCTATTTTTATATGAGTTATTGACGTCCCATAGCTGATGGCACTGCGTTTCATTATCTGCGGGGCTTTCAATCGAAACACGTGTTTCTCCGAAACGGCTCGACCGATTTTAATGAAATTTTTTCGTATAATTGTTGTAAGAAGATAATGAGAACTAACGTTCGGATTTATTTGATAATTTATTTTATATTGGAAAACAACGTTTGCCAGGTTGGCTAGTAATATAATTAATTTTTAAAAACTAGACATTTTACGGGCCGAATTTTTTCGATGGCCGTAAGCAATGCTTATTTTGCTTGTAGGTAAATCCTGCCCTGCGTATACCTAAAACAGGAAAAAAATTAGGACTAAGAAACAATCTTATTTGATAGAGATAAAATTTTGAAATTTTATTATGAATTTAATAATATTATAAAACAAAAAAATAACTAACTTGGAGGAATTAGCCAACAAATCATCTACAAGTAATTATTGAAAAAGGGAGGAAGGTGCTTAAAAATTGATGCCGCTGTGTGCCAAATGGCTTAACATGACTCTGTTTTTTTATATTTTTACGGTCATTTGATCAGTGTCAAACCAGAAGATTTAAAAAAATGAAGTGAAAATGAGTGTTTGATAATGTCTTATTTTAATAATGTATCTGAAGAAACTTGATGATTTCGCTCCAAATGTTATGAAAAATAATTGTAAACTTAAATTTCTTTAAGTTGAGTTTCTTTCTTTGTTTATAATCCAAGTGTTATAACTTCGTATATATTGTATACAATTCTTACAAGGAAAATCAATATTTCTAATGTGTACATGTGATGCCGATATCGGATCATTCTAATTTATTGTCCAATTCAAATACACAAAAAATATAAACTATATTATATTTTATACATTATAATATTACTAGATTGAATACTTCATGACGTGTTGTACTTATTCATTCAGTAAAGAACTAATTAAAGTAAATATATAAATTATAATCACAATACATTGTATTATAATTTATAACACTTATATGGTAAGAGACTACTTTCGGATAAATTCTGTGATAATTTTCTATCCTGAATAAAGGATTCTTTACAAAATATGATGAAACTATTCGAATCGATGATGTATTCTGTTCACTAACATGTCCTACTTACGCATTTTTGATGTACGCGTATGAAAAGGATATTATTGTGTAATTTTTGTTGGGAATCAAACACGATGTGAATTTATTTATTTATTCTTATACCTAGTCAAACATATATATTATTTGATCACAATTTACAATTGTATAGTTTATAATATTCAACTACGGATACGTATCTAATAGTTTTCGTTTTACATTCGCTATAAAATATTACAATTTAATTTTTTTTTAGATGATTTGATAAAATCTCTCTCAGTAAAAAATAAGTATATTTTAGCAATGCAATTTTAGCAAAGTAATAATTATAATTGTTTTTTCTTGGTTTCGTTGACCTTCAAATTTAAACGTGTAAATGCCTACAATCCGTAAGACTCTATTTCGCGGCGTTTTATACAGTCACGTATGTGAGCATAAGCACGTACATATCATTATATTATTTTTGTGTTCGTCAAAGAGCTTGACCGGTTTAATTGGATAGGAATAAAGTAAATCGCAAATTAGGATTTGAATGTGTTGGACTCTCGAAATAACCTCGTCTTGTTGATTATTTCATGAACACGAATTTCAATGTGGTTATTCCGCCTATTGGGTTTAATCATCTTGTTTCTAATATTCTCAAATGTAGAGACTATTATTTTAATCTGTCACAGGCTTTAAAATATGATTCCTTACAAGGCGAGAAAGAGTGATAAATGTCTATTGGATGTAACAATGTTTTAATAATTTATTATAATCACTAAGGTGTCCTTTATTATTGGAAACACATAGGTATGGATTTAAATGATATATTGTAAGGCTACAATAATCTTTGCATGCGGACTGCAAATTTAAATACCCGTCAAATTCCTGTCTATATTCTATCTTTTCATCTAAAACAGTAGCTGTACCCGTCCCCGTTATCCTAGCATAGTTGTTATTATTAAGCATATAATATAAGGAACGATACAGTTCACATAATTTTACAATTTCGAAGGACTTCCAGAGCGAGCTTGGTCGTCTATCGACATTTCACCACTTTTGAAACGGGAAAACCACTCAAATACTGAAGTTTTCCCTAAAACATCACCTTTGTAAGCTGTATTCAACATCTCAAGGGTTTCTGTGCCTGTTTTCCCGAGCAGGAAGCAAAACTTGACGGCCGCGCGCTGTTCACGCAAATCAGCCATTACAAAAACGACGAGTACGAAAAATAAGTTTTAAACAAATTATTACACCAACGTAACACAACTTTCCACGATGACGACCGTTGGCATATTGAATGTTCAGAAGTATATTTATACGTTCCTACCGGAAAAAAATCGGTACTACTAAAACTCTGTCCCACACAACAGCAGTTCGGTTTCTTTTGGGTATGCCCTCGTATGTATTTGCTATATTCATAAATGCAATGATTTTTTTTATCACTCAGATGCTTTTTTTTTTTTTTTGTTGATGGTTGTTTTAATACATTTTTTTTTTTATGGCATTTTCTACGTCCATGGTGGGCGTTTTTCTCGGAGCAGTCATGGCAGTAATTTTGTTACATAAACAGTCAAATATCTATATAACGATTTACATGATGAGATATTTTACTATATAAGTATTATTTTTATTAACTATAGTAAGCTGTTAAAAGATTTTCGTGTTACTCAAATGTATTCAATTGTTTGTTAAGTATTTACTATTATTTTATATTAAAAAAATGAATTAAGTACAAACAATATTAAATCTGCTACTAGAAATTGAATATTTAGCATTATTTCTGCTTGAAAAGTGCCATCAGACACAAAATTAAAATTAAAAACACTTCATGGTAATATCAATAGGGTTGAATATAAGCTTGTGTATAATAATCTTAGTATCGTCTTCCCCCATAAAACTAAGTCAAATATGCCACTAGCATATGTATATTTATAAAAATACCATTGAATGTTTCGAATATACTCACGTTAAACTTCTTGTACAATGGACGATATTATAACTGCATTCAGGGTATGCCATCATAGAATTTTTGAAAAATGTCAAAAATGTAAAGAACATTGCCATTTAACAACATGTATAAAATAATTAATTAATATTTTTCAATTGACTTAATATTTATGTAAAATGATAAATTTCATGTAATTTGCTTAATAACTAATAAGGTAACAAATATGCAAACAAAAATGTTATTATTATTTTGATAAAATTGAGTTTTAAATTAATAAAACTATTCAAACAAATTTTATTAAAAAAATTTGTTTATAAAACGTTAGATTCGAACCGTAAATAACATTTATTATTCGTATTTCATAAATCCTGAATGAACTGAAAACATTTTTAGGTATATGTTTACAAAAACTTCAATTTAAAATGTACCAAAACGAGTTTTCGAGTTTTAAGTAAAATATTTTATCTGTATAGGTATGTGCACAAACGAGTTTTACCATGTCACATAAAATAAATGAAGGTTAACTATTAACTAGTTCTTAATTATTCGTCTCTGCATAATTTGAGTTCCGATGTACATTTTCTAAATTTCAAAAACAGAATTATATTAGGTACTGAATAAACAATCTATTTAATTTAATTAATTTGACGTATTCGACAATAATTATCATACTTTATTATTATTATGTTTGTACTGTATTATTGACTATCTGTGTTACCGGTTTCGACTGTGGGTAGTTTTGTAACTTAATCCCCTTTTGTAAGGGAATTACTCGCGGCTATTAAATAAAGGTCAAAATTCAGACAATTTCTATTCTCGCCATCGTTGCCTGCGTGATTTTTGATAAGTCGTAAATGATTATTAGTGTGAGTGCGGTCGATGTACGCGTATAGGTAGACACTGTTGCGTGTTACATTGTTAATCGTTTAATCGTTATCGCAAATTTATTTTTAGGTATTTCAATACAATATTATTGAAATATAATATTTTTTCATAAATATATTCTTTGATATTTTAGATTCTGAGGGGAGCCAAGAAGCTCATAGTTTTACAAAGACGTTTTAATTTTTTTTTTTCTTATATCGGTGCGCAATTTTTCTACCAGAAGACTTGTTTGTATTTTTAATTGTAGCACCTTTTCTGAAAATAAGTCGGTGTGGAGAGGTACTTTAAAGAGGTAATTTTTCGATTGTCCTAAGAGTTTTCTCAGGAAATGTGAAAAACGTAGGAAAACTGGAAAAATCGATACAACATTAAAAAAATATTATTTAAGAAAATATATACAGCATATTTGATTATTTTACTATAAAATAACATTTAAATTGTTAACAAAGCATCATTATCAACTGAACTCCGCTCAGAATCATTGTTTTCGTTAGCAATAATGTATGGATGAAAAAATATTCATCATCAATTTGTTCAAAATTTAAAATATAATATTTTATTAGTCACACAAAAAAAAGAGCTGATACGGGGGATGGATGCGTCCACTGTTGTAGGAGAGAAGTTGAGAAGGTAGGTTATTAATAAATAAGGTTATTTCATTTATATCTGTAAGGAACGATAAACCATTGCTTGACGAAAGACGATTCCGAGCGCTGTTCGGTAATACGGTCCGGTATTACGGTACGATTTTCGTTTAAATTTGATTTCATAACGCTTATTAAAAAAGTCGTCTACTGATTTTTGATATATTACCAAGTTTCAAGTCTCTACGTGTATTTATAACCGAATCACAATAAAAAAACTCTCTAAAATTAAAATTCTTTAAAAGTTCGAAAAAGTTTAAATGACGATGATACCGTATGGAAGTAAATCAAAAAGGCAACAAAAAAAAACGTGTCTTGTGATTTTTCGATTAAATTATTTTTCCTAGTAGAAAACATCGTCCGTGTTTCTATAAAATAATGAAATCCCGAAGTTTTATTTTTCTTATGTTTTTTCTTACTTAAATGCTTTTATTTAAAAAATGGAGTCGAAAATCTAAAAATGACCTGTTTAAAGTACCATCTAAACAGCTTGAGCTTTCAGAAAAATTGTTTCACATATACTTCGGAGCATGTTTACTACGAAAAAACGTGTCTACAAACTAGAACAAAGAAAAAAAAAACAGCATTGTAAAACCAATAGCGCTCCCTCGCTACTTTCGGAATCTAAAAAAATTTATTTTGTTTAAGGATTAATTTTTCTAACAAAGCGTCATTTAATTTTTTTTATTACAGTCATGAAGAATGATACCAATACTAAATAATTTCTAACTAAAATAACGTGGATTTCTTTTTTTTTTTCCTAATAGAAAGAACGGAAATTGACGTTAACATTTCACATAAATAGAAACTCTTTCCCGTTCATCGTTCCTAAATTTGAAAAGAAACGTATTTCAAGTTTCATTCATATGAATGGAATTCGTTCCTTCCCAACACTGGTCTCTACATCGTAAAAATTAGGTACTGGCCAAATTCCATACTCATAATTTCAGCGGCTCCGGCTAGACGATGATGAATCAGTCAGTCAGTCAGGACATATTATTTACTTTATTATTGATTATTGTTTTATCTATTAGGTAAATATTAATATTTTTATATTTATGTATTTACCAGAGTAATAATAATCTAATTATCAAATTTGTACGAATATTAAGTTAAAAGATGTTACTTACAAAAAAATAATAATCAAATAATTTTGAATACCTTCTAAAACCTTGACCACGTGATGTGAGCTGTTTACGAGTACCTAAGGTGTTCGGGTATTTGTCTCATTCAAAGCTTTTTTCGTTGATCTTGTATGCGCAATATACTCGTATCTATTATGTTTCCGGCGATTCACGATTCCGCACAAAACTAATTTTCGACGTTGCCGAATGTATTTTAAAAATAATGATGAACATGGAAAGTGGTTGAATCAATTTTTCGCTTTACCTTTCCTTGCATGTTATGAAGTAAATGAAGCATTCACTGAACTTATGAGTATTTACCCCAATGATACTGTGGGATATTTGTTCACTGATTATATTTTGAACAATTACATTTAAGATGAATGCTTGTTTCCACCAGAATTGTGGGCAAAAGAAAATTAATAAATCCAAGATAAAAATTAATTTTTAATGAACTTCAACAACTTGATTTAAGTTTACATCAGCAATAATATTTATAATATACTACTATATATTACTTTATATTACTTATACTTTTTATAGGACAACTAAAGGTACTGAAAGCTTTCATCACATATATAACGACCAATTTTATCACCCTCAAATACATATTTATTTAGCTCCGATGTTTAAGTGTAGCATATTTTATGAAAGCTCAAGTTGTCTAGATCGTACTATGTACTTACGTTGGTAGTTTTTTGATTTTCGACGCCATTTTTTAAATAAAAGCACTTGAGTGGGAAAAACCGTAGAAAAACGTAAAATTTCATTATTTTATAAAAACACGGACGACGTTTTCTATTAGAAAAAATGATTTAATCGAAAAATTACAAGACACCTTTTTCGTTGAATTTTTAATCTTGTTTTTAATGATAATTTGTTTTTTTGATTTTTAAATTAATTTTCATAATGATCGGGAAAAAACGTACCATTTTATGATATATGTATTTTTTTTTAATAAGCGTTTTGAAATCAAATTTAAACGAAAATTGCAAAACAAATTACGGTACTTCAAATTATGTATGACCGAACTGCGCTCGGCATCGTTTTTCGTTAGCAATGGTTTTCGTTGCTTACAGATATAAATGAAATAACCTTATGTATCCTACCTTCTCAACTTCTCATATAGAAAAGTGCGGCCGCTCCCATCCCCAGTATCAGCTCTTTTTATTGTTTGTTTTATTTTTTATTTATTTACATTATTATGTATATTTTTTATCATAAGTGTTGAGGTCACAACAATTTTTATGCAGAATCGTGTTACATTACGGTCAGATTAAAAATGACTACTAGTAATGACTACTAAAAATAAACTACGAGAGGAAGCTCTGTTTTTTTTTTAAATATATGGGTACTAGGTATGTAGTTCCCACTTTAAGATATTTCTGTTACGATTACATTTTATTATTACCTATGAACTGAACAATTAGAATCCTAATTTGAAGGTTAATGTGACATAAGTATTAAAAGGTTACAACAAATTATAAACAGTATTGATTATTATTATTTTTAGCCAGTGGATAGTTTTTACATGAACTATGAAAAATAATATGAACGTGCAATATTATATTACAGTGTTCCTTATTGATAGAATATTATGTTTTTGTGAAGGCTATTTGATCGAGACTGTTTTACATTTTTACATTGTATAAAGTATATTGTACATGATACAAAATATAACTATTTTCGTATTTTGTTAGTCAACTAGTAAAATCAACTTCCCAGAATTTATGAGTTTTAATGTATATGAAAAAGGATTAAATTAAATACAATATATATATCTATACTAAATAGTATAAAGGTTATTTAACCAATAACAACGATAATGTTTTAAATCTGATTTTAGTATTACATTTTATAATATGATATGAATAAGATGATTTAATATCCTGAAAATTTTTATGAATTTAAACAGTATCTATTAATGATGTCTCGTTTTTGGACGACATTTTATTGAAATTAAAATGGTGTTTAAGACCCCCCCCCCCTCGGTAAATCCACAACTGAGCTTTGACAAATCTGCAAAAAAAAAACACTTCTAATACAGTGCTAATTTATAATGTTTTTACCTAATGGATTCTGAATTTACAATTACACGATTTTTCACATCATTTAAAATAAAGATCTAATATTTTGCACAGTTTTGTAATTTTTTTATAGCAGTTCACAGTCGATTTCACGTGTATCATTTTTATTGTTTCTTATTTAAGTTTAATCATTTCGATCTTTTCTTTTGGTAAGTTTTATGTACTTAGTCCTATTTTAACCTTGCGACTAGAGTGACATATAGACCATATACTCATAGACTGCTGACTCATTTTATACCAAATACATTGAAAGCTCTACGGTGATGCAGCTTGTCTATAAAACAGTGCCTAGGTAAACTGGGAATATCGGTACAACATTAAACAAATATTATTAAAAAGAACATATTAAGTCTATTTAATTACTTTAATATAAAATGACATATTTATTGTTGACGAAGCATCACTATCAACTGAACTCCGCTCAGATCCGTTTTTTTGATGAAATGGAGATAAAATTGGAAAAAAATACACACAAAAAAAAAAAGGACAGTAATACTTCGCACATGAGTGCAGCCATTGTTATAGGTGAGAATTTAGGAAGGTAAGATACAGACAGGAATTTAATGTATATCTATATGCAACAATCAACTATTGCTAAGGCCAAAAGGCTTCTGATGGGAGTTCAGTTGATAGTGTTGTTTTGTCAACAATATATGTCATATTATGGTAAAATGATTACAACAATGTACAATAATAATTGTTTGAAAAAATATATAAATAATAAAAACTTAATAATAACAATGAATAAATTGAAAAAGTTGCCAATGCCAATCTTATTTTTAATCTTTAAATCTTTTTTAACCTAAAGAAACAGTTTTCCTTAAATAATTATGTCTTTGTTTTGTTTTTCTTTTTGTCCAATAAGTTTTAAATAAAAGAGTTATTTGATCATGAAAATGCCCTTCTTGCATCAAACAGTAATTACTTGTTCGATTTCAATTAAAACGATTAAAGAATTTGAATTTTATTAATTTATTCGTAACTTTTGAATAATATGATAACTATAACTTAATAAACAAAAATGACTTATACTTAATAGTCACGGAGTATAACACACTACAACGAAAATACGAGACTAGTGATAATAATTTAAAAACGGGTTTTAACCAACCTATTAATCTACAAAAAAAAATAACAAGGTTATCTACCATAATATTATTTTTCAATCATTGAGAAATAAAAAGATATTACTTATAAATACGAGGGCTAATCAAAAAGTATCGAGACTGATAACATTGCTCAGAAACCGAGCATTGAAGAGCAAAACGATTTGTAAACCTAGCGTCTATGACTTATACTGAGCACATCTATTCGTATAAAATCTCTATAAACTTCTACGTTTTGATTTGACGATATTTTTCTAAAATTTGTTTTTCACGTTTGGCGATTTCGTAATGAATCCAAGAGAAGCGGGACTTGCTGCCACTCGAGGGCACATTTTCAGTTTTTCAANAACTGGAAAAAAATACCAGACAAATTTTCTAAAATCTCCAAATCTGTCAAGTTACTGTTCTTTTGGGTTTATTACAAAATCGCCAAACTCAAAAAATGTATTTTACAAAAATATCAGTGAAATCAAACCGAAGAATTTTATAGAGAAGCAATAAAAACAAAGGTACTCAGAAAAAGTTATAGAAGCAAGTGATACCAATCCTACTGCTCTTCGATGCTCTTTTTCCGAATGATACTACCAGTCTTGATACTTTTTGATTAGCCCTCGTATAACGTACATAGTTTATGGTTCTATGCAAGAAAGGCATTTACACACAATCACATAAACGCTTCTACAGTGCTCAATTATTAAAATTTCGAATTAAATTTGTATACATGTAAAGTACGGGTTGTTGAGTTCAAAAAAACATTTTAAGCAAAAAGGGCATTTTCGTGAAAATGCCTTTTTTGCAGCCATTTGCTCAGTTTTATAAAATTCCCTTTTTAGAGTACCACCCAGGGAACATTTTTTTTCAGAAAAGGTGCTATACTTGATAATCAGAGTAAGCTTTTTGGTAAAAAGTGTTTCCATTAAAAAAAAAAAAAATAAATATCTTTGTAAAACCAATACAATCTTCGTTACACTCAGAATATAAAATTACCTCAATGCATCAATTACACAAAATTATGTATTAGAAATGAAGATTGAAACAAGATTTTTAATAGAAAAGTTTTTTACAGAAAAAATACACATACTAAAATCAATATATTCATTCAGAATATAAAACATTATACTATTATGATAGGTACCTACATAGAAACTTTTTTACTTGTTTCTATACCGAATTTTTGAGTTGGAGGTGTAATTAAATCATGTATTATTTTTGTTACAACCCCAATTTATCTTGAAAATAATAAACAATAACATTAAAATATTTTATTGTGACACACATAAAAAACAGTATATTTTTTATGATTATAAAATGTAAAAAAATAATATGTACATTATCTTATTCTGAATCAGTAATATTTCATATTAAGAGATCATAGTAATGAACATAATATTTTAAATTATGACTATAACAAATGAATAAATATGCATTATTTGTTATTATTATTAATATTTGCCTATATTTAACATTTATAATTTATATAGTTAGAGGCGAAATGTACAATCAATATAAGATGTATTATATTCATATGTTTTAATTTACTTAACTTTCACTGTAAAGAATATTTAACAACAAAAAAATGTCCATGGTAATAGTGCATAAGGAACAAACTGTAGTGTAACTACCAGGTGATTAATTAAAGTAGGTACACTCATTATCTCGGAAAGTATTAACTTTTTCCGGAATTTGTTTTCTAGAAAGTTTAAGAAACAAGCTGCTTTACAATTTTATATTTCTGTTANTTCCTTCAGTCCGTTGACGAGATATTCCATTTTTGTGTTTGGGGTAAAGAAGAATAGTGGTACATCATTAACACGCCACGTGACGTATAGCCACACAAATGATACTCCACCACTCTTCACCAACTCAAACTTAAAAGTGAAATATCCTGTCAACGGATTGACGGAAATCAAAAATGTCAAAACTAAAATTTATTATAATTAATACTCAATCTACTTATGGAATTTTTATGATAGATTGCCGTTTGAAAATCAATAGTAGGTAGTGGTTTTACCGCCCAAAAATATTGGTTGCAAAAATAAAACAAATATAAAATTGTAGAGCTGCTTGTTTCTTAAATGTTTTAGAAAACAAATTTCGGAAAAAGTCAATGTTTTCCGAGATAATGAGTGTACCCACTTATATGAATCACCTTGTAAATTGTAATATATAGTAATAATGTTACATATAAATTTACTGTTATTAATCATTTATAAATAATTTTAATTATTAATTATTATTCTTATTATTATAATTATTAAACAATAATTGGTTAAATTGTCTTAGTTTTATGAAATTTGGCATTATTTATTTTGTTGTCTGTCCATTGATACAAAAATTAATTAATTTGTATTAATTTTATCGATATCATGTTAAAATATTATTTTGAACAATGAAAGCAAAACAAAAACGTTTTATGCGTTCTAAAGGCGATGGATCACATTACCATCCATTTTGCATTAAATATTAGGTACCTAATTCTGAGAATTAGTTTTTATTATGCCTTTTTTTCTTATTTTTCAACAGTATAATATCCACTTAGTATTGTAGGACAATTTATATTATATTTTTTTTTTATGCATAATGCTGTTACGGTAAAAATTAGTTATAAAAGTTATGTATTTTTTAAAACCGATGAATATTCGTTTTTTTTCTAATAATATTTTTACTAGTATATTTTAGTTTAGTGATATATCAAAATCTCCGGAGAAACGTTTCGATTCCACATTATGAGAAAATATTAAAATAATGGTAAAAAAATAATAACAATAATAATTTTACATTATAATTATAACACTTAAACTATTGTTTTATGTACAATAATAATAAAAAAAAAATGGTAACAAAATTTGAGTACAACAATTAAAATACACGTAGCAATATTTGAATGGTAAGTATTCATTACAAATGGCACGGCTAAAATAAAACAATAACTGTGACAAATAGGAAGTGGAACTCGAATGTTTGCAGTGTCACTGTTTTCAAAATACATACTTTTCCCTTTTCGGCCGAAATATGTTAAATCCCTTTTTGGCCAGTAAAGGTTTTAATACTAATCGAGTCTGATGAGGTAAAACAAGTGTATACGTTTTGTCAAAACTTTAAATATTTATGTATCATTTACATAAACTAATACCTATTATCACATATTATTTTGTTTAAAATTTAAAAAAAAATAATTATTTTTGAAGTAGATATTTGTTTGATAAAAATTCACGACATATAATTGATTTTCCATCATAAAGTCATTAGTTTTTAGTCAACTCATTTAGTTTGTTTGAACATTTTTTTTCATCTTGGAGTTTCTTGTGTACACCTACTATGCGTGCTTATTTGTACGTAAGACCCTATAAGTTATGATAGTTCGATGAGTAAATGCAGTTAACCGATCTGTCACGCAAGGACGAGTAGTATGTTCTTAACATTTTTTTTTAAATAACGGAACAACTCTCGCATCTAAAATGATTACGTAAAATGTATCTAAGAGGGTTTTAACAAAATGCGAGTATATAACCATAATAATAATATGATTTAAGAAAAAATAATTAAAAATTGTTTTTATTCTGAGCACCGCCGTAAGCACATTATAAATTTGGTTGATTTGTAGGATTTTTTAATAAAAAGGTTTTTGGTTTTTTATAGTCACCCGTAAGGTAACCATTTCAATATTTTAAATCGTGGTTTATGTAGAAAAGCTATCAACTTATTTCATTTCGGCCGAATAGGAAAAGGTCATGTACTCATGGGACGGGTTAACCCCGGTAACGGTTATTAGCGAGCCAATCCTGTTTAATCATATCGGATGCTTTTTCGGCGATCATTATTGTCGGTGCGTTGGTGTTGCCACTGACGATCGTCGGCATTATGGACGCGTCGACTACTCGCAAACCCCGAATGCCATACACCCGTAGTCTAGGGTCCACTACAGCGCTGGGGTCGCCGGCCGGTCCCATTTTGCACGTGCCTACCGGATGGTAAATGGTCATGCTGAAGTGGCGAATGCTGCATTCCCAGTACTTGTCGGACCCGAACTCGTACCTGGCGCATCCCGGTATAGGCACCCGATGGAGCCGTGACCGATACTGTCGGAAAGCTCTGCTCTGTCCTATCTGTGTAAACGTAAACATAGGTGTAAATTCCAAAAACAATACAGAATAATTTTGGATAATTACAGTGGTGTACCCTGCACTGAAAAATCTCAAAAGCGCTTTTGAGTACATATTACGTATGGAGGTGCCTAAATATATGGTCCTGCAGGATACGTCACCACAAATACGAATAGACTTACTTGAACTGCCATTTTTACGCCTTCTACCAGAGTGGCTATATCCAGTGGGTCGTCGAAGTAATTGGCGTCTATGTACGGATAGGCCATCGGATCTCTCGATCTCAACCTGATAGTTCCCCGTGATCTGGGCCTAAGCAAAAGTGGCATAATGGTCCAAGCGTCATTGTTGGATATAGGTCGGAAAACTTTGTCGTATATGGAATCTCGGACGCCTAGAATTTTCCGTACTTTTATGCCGTCGTCCGAGGATATGCTCGCGGGTGCCATGTGGAATTGGATATCCGGATACTCGGTGTTATTGGCGTAAACAGTAGGAACAAACCCAAGTCCTTCGACCCCCCCGAGCGTGGTCATCGGTCCATTTTCTCGAGTCAAATATTCCATTGTTACGGGGACCGGCTATACATCGATATAATATACATTATCTGATTATTATAGGTTTCGTCCAACGAGGTTTCGTTGTATTTAATACGTATTCCACAGATCCAACATAAAACTTAGCTATACGTACCCTCAATCTGTTCTGTACAATAGCCACGGGTTTGTCGACGATGAACGTTAACCCGAACATACCCACGTGGTCTTGTAGATTGTCACCGACGCGCAAATCCCTCAGTACACGAATACCCAGCCGTTGCAAGTGTTCCTGGGGACCGACGCCAGACAGCATCAGAAGTTGTGCGCTGCCAATACTGCCACCCGATAGGATCACTTCCCGTTTGGCGTGCACCAGGTGCATCCGGCCGTCACGCAAGAACTGCACCCCCGTCGCTTGGTTGGTGACCGGGTTTATGATGATCTTGGTAACGTGTGCGTACAGCGCGACATGCAAGTTGGGCCTAAGCCGGGCTGGCCGAAGGAATGCCTTGGCGGTACTACACCGGGTGCCCCGACGAATCGTCCCCTGATAATCAGTATGATGTTCATAAGATGATTTTAATGTATAATATTTAAGTTGAAAATTAGTCACGATCAGAGAAAAAGTGGATAGAGATTATTAGGTGGCTAAAGAAATATTTCTCTTTATCCATATATAAGGAAATGTATTTGACTAATATAAATTACCTGCGCGACCATAAATCCTGTTTGATATTTTCCGTTTATGTCTCTGTTCGGGTAACCCGTCACTTCTTGACCGGCTTCGACGAACGATACCACCAACGGGCTTTTCCATGGGGCTTCTTGTACTGTCAATAGGCCGCCTGCCCTGTGGTACGGTGACCCGGGTCTGGCCAAATATGGATTCCGGTTGTCTTCCGATTTGGTGAAGTATTTCAGTATTTCACTGTAACCCCAACCTTCGTTGCCCATGTCTCGCCAACCGTCATAATCGTGTCGATTACCACGAACGTACAACATGTAATTCAGTACGCTTGACCCGCCCAATACTTTACCCCGGGGCCAATTGCAACGACCGTTCTTTAGTCCCAAACACGCCTTGCCTAGAATTTAAAACGTACAAATTATATTCACTCGTTATAGACGTTTCTTCGATAAGGACCGACTGAACAACTGTGGTGCTGATAAGATATTTCGAGTCAGAGGCTTTTGATTGTGTTATGCAAATTAATATGAGAAATTTGTTAAAAATTTTAGGACAGAGGGAACCGTTTCAGAAAAAGTTTTAAAATAAAAGCATAAGAGAAAACAGAAGAAGAATCTAAACGCTAAACGTCGTAGAAAACATAATTTTTTTTAGAACAAATAAGCTTAGCACTTACCCGTTGGTTCGGTTTTGTATTGCCAGTCCAAACGCGATAATTGAAGGTAAGCGGCCAACGAAGGGACGTCGGACAGTTCGTTCTCGTCCGGGCCGGCTTCTAAGAGCAAAACGCTCCAGTGTCCGATCTGTAGCAAACGACGACCGAAAATTATTAAAATGATTGGAGAATAAATAATAGATATTGCTAGCACTAGTTAAGATACACTGGATATTCTAAGTAGCGGCTCTCGAAATAGAATGTTGTGAAATAAATTGAGTTACCTTGTTTAGTAGTATAAAACTAGAATGATAAGTCTCTACCCCAACACAAACTTAGGCTTATGTGTGTTTTGTATAGATAAAATGTAAAAAAAATAAATTAAGTCAACATTATTTATTAAAATAAAGAACTATCAAAGTTAATTTCTAATATTTTTTTTTTTAACTAGTGGAGTTATCAAAAGTTATCAAAACTAGTAACTTACAACTTTTTAACTAGTGTCTGCCCAGTATCACGTCTTATTATACTATGGCAGATGTTTTTTGCATGATTTAAAATACTATTAATGACGTGACACTCATGATAAGAATCGATGATATAAAAACACAAACGGACATACTTCGTACAATGGGCGGGCCACTGTTGTTTGTGAGAATTTAGGAAGATAAAGGGAAAATTTAATGTATATCTGTATGCAAAGATTAATCTTTACTAACGAAAAACTATTCCGAGTGGAGTTCGGTTATACATGTTTTGAAAGGCCGTAATATTAACGATTTGAAAACAATAAATTTCGTAAATTTTCTGGTTTTTCTCATTAATTAGAAAACCCCCTGGGAAAATCAAATAATTACCTCCTTAAAATACCATTCCAGTCAGATTTTTTTCATTTCATGAAAATTATTCACAGAAAAAAACAATAAACAGCATTGTAAAACCAATATATTCCTCGCTCCGCTCGTAATGGTTGCCTATCGTATATTATTATGTATTTTATGTTATATTTGCCACACTACCAAGTCAATTTGGTAGACAACTTTTGATTCTTTGTTGAGCGTCCAGTGTATCTTTATGCTGCGTGACTACAATTCGTCATCGCCGTCACTGTTTACCTCTGATAGCCTATTGGCGACCACCGCGCCCGCAGATCCTCCGCCAATAACGATAAAGTCATACTCCCGCTTAAGGGTTTTCTGGTTGAACGGTCGGGATTCGGGGTCATAAAGGTCGTACCGGTAGTAAGCCATGGCGGCTATCAACACCGGTATCATCCATACACTGGTGCCCACTATCGTCAAGCCGGCTTTTAAAGCTGATCCGGCCGCGATCAAGGCGAATATCATGTCCGCTGCGGTCGTCCAGCACTATTGCAACAGAAGCGGCATTATTGCTCGTGAACGCGGGTTCTGAAACATAAACGTTTCGATTATGCGCTACATATTAGTATGCACTATATATATTACATAGGTGCAAAATGCACCTATGTAATAATATTGCGGTTGGTCCGGCCAAAAAAAGGGAAAATTCTCATTAAAATCACGATGCCAAAAAATATTATTACTACCGACGCTTTTCGATACATCATAATAATTATCGCGGTGTGTAAACCGCGAACGGCACGCGATACGGGCTCTGGGTGTACGACGGCGGCGGTCATCGCGTACAATCATTACGTAGACATTAACACATACCTAACCTAACCTAATTACCTAACCCGACCGAACGATAGCGTGTTTAGGACTTTTCATAAGCTGTAAGATACGGACTTTTGAAATACGTTGAGAAACCCCTACGCGTCGAATTTCTATTAAGATAACTTTATACAGGATGATTCACTAAGCGTGCTATGCACTAATTTTTTTTTGTTAAATTTTGCATGCATTCAAATTAGGATTTTTGAATTTTTTAAGTGTAGTTAGGTTAGGGGAAAGTGGTTGATACCGAGTCATGGTCAAGATTAAAACAGGTAAAAAAAAATCCGAGTTGCGGACGGTATTAAAACGAGTAAAAGAAAAAACTTCGTTGTAGGAGAGAATCTAGTGGGGTATCATTTGTGTGGCGGTACTGCGCGCGGCGTTTTATTAGTACTAAAAATCCAAGTATTCGAAAATATCGGCTTTAACTACACATACAAATTCCAAAAATCAGAATTTGAATATATGCAAAATTTAATCATAAAAATGGGGTGAATTATCTAGTATACAATACAACTTAAAATAATGTCATTGTGTTTTTGCGTGTCATTATTTCACGTAAAATCTACTATTTCCGTCTTATAAACGCATCACGACGTGACAAATTTACGTAAAGTCGGATACATTTTGTGCCGTTCGTTTTAATATATTAGATTGAATTAACCTATTTCCAGAATTAATAGTTAGAACCTTATCTGTGTCTGAACGTCGGTTTTTTTTCGATATTTAAATTTTTAAGCGTGATATGAGTAAGTGAAATATCACGATTTTTTTTTATATATCGCTTAAAATTCTACGTCTTTGCTACCTATGTCGTGCGTCGGATGCGTTGTACACGGAGACAGTAGTTGTAGATGTGGCGTCCTGTTAATATGATTTAATGGCCTCGAAATTCGATTGTGAACAAATTTTCATGCACGAAATATTACCCGGGCTTTAGCAATAATTGATAAACTACCTTTTTACTATATAAAATGGAGAACTTGCACTGTGCAATGTTGATTTTATTTTATCGATATCATATATACAAATAAAAAATTATTATTGGACTAAAATCCGATAGATAATTATAAATTTCTAAAGTGCTAGGATAAACATTTTCGTAGCGATGGTATTGAAAGAGTAAAATCACCGTTGCACAGTGCGACTTCCCTTTTTTAAGGTGAAAATGTGGTGTCTTAATAATGAAGTCCGAGTAATTTTGGGTAGTAGTAGGTACATGTTTTATGTTTAGTAAAATTACGATCACTTTTTTTTCTTTAATTTAAAATTTAGTTCATACATTTTGATTTCACTGCCAATTTCGTTCTTATCTTTTACGACTGTGTTTAATTGTAACTATCCAAGTTATTTATTTATAGACTATGATGATTATTGATTGAAAAAACTTTTAATTTTGATTTTCTGGAGTGTATGATATTTATTTGGTACCTACTTGATATAATTATGAAAACTAATTTAAAGACAGCGCATAAAATTTATTTATTTTTTTTTGTATTATCTGGTATTGAAAGGTAATGAAAGTTGATTGGGACGATTTATCTAATAAATTAATTTTTCTTAGGCACGACCCGAATTTAAAGTCTGCGCATGCCTATGAGTCGACTTGTAAATGTAATAGACAGCGAAAGGTTGATAAATTTTAATTTTTTTTTCAAACGTTATGAGAAAATCGACTATATTCAACCCATAAATACGGCACGTTATTTTAAATTGAATTAATTATAATAATTATTTTGGTAATGTGTATAATCGATTAACATTATACTGTTATTATTGGTAATGGATATTTCCGAATAGTTTATACTATCGATAGTTTTTGATTAATTTGGATGAACTATCGAATGTTTCATTCGAAAATTGTTGTCCATTTTATTCGATAAAACTGTCGAATATTTCTAATAACTATTCGTTCTACAAAACTGTTGAAACTATTGAATGGTTAAAATATTTGAATAGTTCGATAGCACCTGTTTCGGTCGTGCTGATCACTAATAATTATTTATAATATGTCATAATATACGTTTTGTACCTGAATCGATTGCGGCGGCTGATGTGACGGTCGTAGAAATAATAGTTGTAGTAAACGAATCCTCGGCGTGTCCGTCGATACACATTGTCCACACTGACCTAATGCACGTGTTTTTCTGCAGCGGTTTCGCTTTTACATAACGCCAATCCGAACCTCCCCTAGGCTGCAGCACCTGTATGGCACGTGAAAAAAAAAAATCACACGCTCATTATAATATACGGCACAGTTTTTTTTGTTTTTGTTTCTATTATATTGTGTTCAGTGTTTTTCGCCACGGTATATCTCTCCGATATGTACGATAGTCGCCCCCGTGTGTTTCAATACTATTTTCCGAAATTGCGTAATATTAAATATATACGAATACCGGCGGTATGATTGGAACGAATACGGCGCTGTGTATAAATTTTAATTTAAACGAGGTCACCGAGTTTTGAAAAAAAAAAAAAAAATCAAATCATACATACAGTAAATATAAATACTACGCGTACAAGTCGTCGGGGCGGGATGAGGGGGGGAGGGGTAAGGGGAAACAAAAATATATAATAATGATGTAATCCAAGGATACACTTTCACCTGACCGACCGGCAGTCCGACTGACCCCTACGGGCGATAAATACGCGTGTAACAGGTACGTGTGCGTACGACCGGTCTCATCGTCTGCCCACCGGCCAAACCGTATCCAATTATTATATAACAACTACATTATCCGTCTACAGAGTACGTATTATATGTACACGCGCGCTATTATTGACTCGACTGTCCTCTCGAAAACCGTACCTGTATTGTGTTTATTATAGTCAAGAGTCTGCCGCAGCACCTATATAATATTATATACCTAATGGGTGTATTGAAAGCGAATTGTGTTTCCTGTTTTGACGAAAGTCGTCGACTTCTTCTTCTTTTTCTTCTTCTTCGCGGTCGGGTTAGAGTTCACCGCCGGCACGGCGCGGGGTTCGTGTAAAGTGTGTGTCGTCTCGCGCGCGAATCGTGCCGAGCGCGCGGCAACTCTTCTGGCCCGTCGTTCGTGAATAGAAAAACAAAACGACCGCGCGCGCAAAAATAATACACAGCTGGGTGCCTAACTCCGCTCGTGCAACGTACAGGGTGATTCTTTCGTCACCGACCGGCGCGGCGATTGTAGTCTATACGGAGATTTCGAATGGGTTTAGTCGGTATATTCGGGACGCTTAAAATGCACTATGTTTAAAATGTTTATCCGATCCGGGTGTAACGGAAAAGCTTGTTTTATAAAAATGTGGTTTTATGTTTGATCGGAAAACACTTTTACGGTTTAGTTTGAAATGCTCCGATACTTTGATGTTCCGATGTTCGAATATTTCTTCCCAGGTGATATTTTATTTGAAAAACTTTTGGATATTACCAATTATTTTTCCGGAAAATTGTTTTTATCGGTTAGGAAAATTAATTTTCATTTTGTATACGCCACGGCGAGAATTTATTTAAATGCACGTGGTATACATAATAAACTTAATTTTAAATTGAAACTAAACTGGCGATTGCGAAAAAAAAGCCCGGACTAAGCCGCATTAAGATGTCGTTAAAGGATCAATGCAGTGGATTAATTTACCATTAAGAGCTAAGAGGTATATGGTACAGGTGTAGTAGATGTAATTATAGAATATTATGTACATTATATTTAAAACTTTTTCAATTTTCAAAAACGTCGAATATTATATTGCACGACGAATAAAATCGTTAACCATAACAAACCCGAGGAAACTTCGAATACAATTTACTCGAAATCTTCGTATATATGTAATCGTTATATGCCCCTGCTAAATAGGCAACACTCTGTATACATCGTAAAGATTGAGATTAGCGGCAACAGCAAAACGATATTGCATCGAATTTACATATATATTATAATATATTAGTGAAATCGCGCGAAGTACTTAAACCGACACTGTTGTTCGGTCGTCTCGCCTAATGACATTTTCAAATAACTACGCGATTGTCGACTCGTCAATATTATATAAATTGAAAAAAAACTATTTGGAAATAATAATGGGACAAATAATTCATTATTACGAAATAAATGCGTACAGTCTAAACAGTTGGACACTGTAGTTTGTGTATATATTATATACCTACTAGTAGTTGCTCAGTGAAATTGTTTACATAAAAAAAAAAAAAAAAAAAAAAAAAAAAAAACAATAGGTGTAACAAGCGAAACTGTAATATTTTCCGCCGTCGTTGAAAATCTAAAAGAAAATAATTATTTGTAACCAAAAAATCTTTATTTCGTTCGTTTCCTCTTTTAACTGTTTTATTATATTATAATGTCAGATTCGGGTGAGAGGAGGTTAACCGTACCGATAATAATTATGTCAAAAAATCAAAGAAATCATAAAAAAAAAAAACTTTCTAGATTTTTTTCAATCACAGTAGTAAAATAAAACGATTTAACGCGACTAAAAGTCGTGTGTTTTGGTTTCTTCGTTAAGAATTGTTTGTACTAAATGTTATGGTAATTTATTCTAACGAACGAATTGTCTTCAAAACCAGTATAATATTGTATTTAGAGTATATAATTAAAATACTTCATACACGAATGAAGAAAGAAAAATTGTTTTACTATATATATATATACAATATATATAACGCTAAATAGCATATATATACTCTTAGTTATCTACATTTAGTTTTTAAATTGAGCATTATAAATAGTTTTCTGATTCGATAAGTTGGACGATTTTTAAGAGCAAATCAAAACCAGCCACTTTACAGTGAAGACGAAACACGGCTTTTTAGCGTTTACCCCGGATGGCTTTCTCAATTTGACTTGATGTTGATATTATACGAATATTTATTGTATACAATTATACAAAATAAAAAAAAAAAAATTAAATAAGAGACGTATTTCATAGAGTAATATTTTTAAAAAATTCTGAAGTACCTACATCTGTAAATTATAATTGTACCATTTAATGTGACTTGAAATTTCCCACAGAGTTGATATTGTACAAACCAAAAATGGCCAAAGTTGATTTATATAGGCTTTTTCTCATAAAACCGCTCATTTATCGTTTGTATGCGTTATTTATAAAACGATTATATAACGTTTTTGTATTCATTATTGTTTCTTTATTGTACAATATGAATATCAATCATTGTCTACTCATCGAAATGCATAGTATATTGTGATAAATTGTGATCTCAGTAATTGCAGTAGAAGAAGTGTCAACACGCAGACATTTCAGTGAAAGTCGACCTGCACTTGTGCGTAATTGAATATTATCATACTCAACTTATGCAGGTAATACATTATTGTCAATTGAATGACGAATTCGTAAGAGTGTCTGTATTATGATATTGTCTTTTACAAGGTTATCATCACGGAATCTAGATTGCAATAGTCGACCGTCATAGTTTTCTAAATACACAATTGCAAAAAAAAAGATGTTCGTTACAAAAGAGTGTGGAGAAAGAAAACGTTTCAAAATTTTCGTTACGTAAAAAAAAAAAAAAAAAAAACCAATAAACGTAATATGCATACTCGTAAAATACTTATTGGCGTGCGCAAGGGAAGAAGGATAGGTCATTGGGAGAGAGGATGGGAATCAGCGTGTGCGGTTGTACACTTTACTTTTAAATAGTTTACACAAGTTTATTAATATTAGGTATTATAACTTTTTTAACAGCGATATTTTTATTATTATTCAGTAAATGTATTTTATATTTTCACTACTAAACTGAATGAAAAAAAAAATGTGACGTTTCTCGTCAACGAAAAAAGTACAGAATTATTAGTAACAGCTGAATTTTCTTGCCAGGATTTTGTAAAACCGGAATAAGGAACTAATGAGTGCATAACTTGAGTTGATGTTTATATATGTATTTACATTATTTCAGAGTACTCTGTAAATAACTTCGTAATTACATTATTGTATAAAATAGAAATCATACAAAAATGATCAAATTATGAAAAAATTAAACAATGAATTTAGTTTTAAAAGTACCTACATATATTTATAGCTTATAATAATTGTTGGAGGAAGCAAACAGAATTATATAAAAAACATATGAGTTATATATAAAACATAGTGAAAACACAAATTTTATTTAATTATGAGAAATAACAAAAATACAATTTTTTTTAATGGGAAAATATAACACTATTTCAAGTTCATTAATAATTGTTAATCATAAAAAATCATTTAAAAAAAAAAACAAACATAATTAGCACAACGAGTGGGCCACTATTGTAGTTGAGAAGTTAGGAAGGTAGAGGGGAAAATATCTGTATATAACGATTAATCATTGGTAACGAAAAACGATTTTAAGCGGAGTTCGGTTATGTATGTTTTGAAAGGCTGTATTATTTTAAATCGTAAGATTTGAGAATAATACATTTCGTAAATTTCTTCGTTTTTTTATAATTTATCATGAAAACTTTTTGGAGAATCAAAAAAAGAACTTCTTAAAATATCACCCTACGAGATATTTTGGTAGAAAAGTTATTTACAGAAAAAATAAATAAATTAAATAAACACTATTGTAAAACCAATATATTCCTCATTTCATTCAGAATCTAAAATCGTCAACATGTTTATTTATTGTTAAAAGCCACTTTATAATTATCAATAAATTCTTCCATTAATTTCATTGAGTTACTATGGTCAATAATGAATATTAATTATAAGGTTATAGTTATAGGTAAACAACAATAAATTTAAATGCTCTAAAACTTTCGTGCTCCGAGAAAATTATGAGTTTATTTTCAAAAAAAAATATTATGACCTAGCATAAAGAAAATTCAAAAAATAAAAATCAAAAATATATTAGCAATAATAATTATTGCAAAATTATTTAGCATACAAAATACAGTGTTAATTTTTATTAATCTTAAGTTTTGGTAATATTTATAATATATGTACCCAAGTGGGTATCCAAATTTACATAAACGTTAAATTATAAGTAAATCTATAATATTTTTGCACATGGCAATTGAATCGATCAAAAAAAAAAATGTAGATGTTCGAAATGTTCGTATTCAGAGAAAATGTTCTAAAGGATTATTTTCGAGTACTTACAACATTATAATATTACAAGATTTTAAAATATAATGTACATATATATGGTGTTTATAATAGTTTTATACACGTCTGCTGAGAATAGTTAATAGAACGTATTTTTTGATGAAAAAAAAAAAATTAAAAATTAAAAAAAAATCTATTACGTAACTATTTTGCGCTTCTCGCATATTATAACTGCACGTTTATATGTATACGATGTACAATATATTACGATAAGTCAAAGTAATTTAATTTTTTTTTTATATACAAACGTCCGTTATATTCGTAACTCGGATTCGGTATTATATTATGTGTTCCCTTGATAGATTTTTAACACGTTATCTTCCGTGTAAATGTATTATATTATTTTCGATACGTTTTTTTTTTTTTCATAACATTATCGTCCGATCTTTGAATGACCGTCCGGATAATAATAATTTACAATATTTCACTCGTTACTACATTGTTAATTATCTTCTTTAATAGTATTAATAAAAGAAAGTGTCTGTCTGTCTGTTTGTTCTTCGTAAGCATTTTCAAAATTCAAATTCCAGAGCATGGCTAATACATGGTTGTTGATATTTTCGGAACAAAAATTGATTGATTTTTTTTTTATTGCTGGTTTATAGGTTACCTTGGTGACACGGATGAAAAAAAAAAAATTATAATTGTTGGTTAATATATGGTTATCACAAACAATGAAATATCCATTTAAACATATTAATTATCGAGCAACAAGGGTTAAATACTGCAGTGCTAATACAATTTGCAGTAAGACGAATATTCTTCTAGATATTTTGTCTAAAGAAATATATTTACAAATAATTTAATCGACATACAGTACTATGGACGATTTAGATATTACATTACTTTTATAAAATAATAGATATCTAGGTCATTTTATATAACGGCATTTCAATCAACCGGTAATGCGATTTTTAAAACATAACGATTTGATTTTAAATTTTTCCCGTGGTTCATGAACATCGCGTAGAACAAATGTTGACCAAGTGCCCCTAAGATAATTTAGATTCTGAGCGGAGCAAGGAATATTTTGGTTTTACGATGATACAATTTTTTTCTGTGAACAACTTTTCTACTAAAACTTACGGTCCGATTTTCAAATTTAGTACCTTTTCTCAAAGAAAATTTTTATGGGATAGTACTTTAGGAAGGTCTCCTAGGGGTTTTTATAATAAATGTGAATAAACGTAGGAAAAACAGGAAAATTTACGGAATTTATTATTTGTACATCGTTAATATTACGGTCTTTCAAAGCATGTTTAACCGAACTCCGCTCAGAATCGTTTTCCGTTAGCAATGATAAATCGTTGCGCACAGATATACATTGAATTTCCCATTTACCTTTTCAACTTCTCACCGACAACAGTGGACCACCCATCGTGCGAAGTATGGCCGTTTGTTTTTTAAAGTTGAATTTTTGATCACCACGCGTGTTATTGGTTATACGTTTACACGTTTATATACCAGAAAAAAAAAAAAAAAGTTAAATTTTAATCATCCTACTGTATCAGCTACAATACAATGCGTTACGCGCAGTGTCCGTCCGCTACAGTATAATTATGTACGAATAACGAACGATTGTATAAGACTAAAGTATAAAACGAATCGGCTGCAGACCGTAGTACCATTACTATTATTGCACAACCATTAAAAGACGCGTTAATTTATTGTGTGGCGAAAGAAATAATCCAATTTATTATTTGTGTATACGAAAATCGGAATTATTTAAAGTGAAACGGGAGATGGTCTGTTGTACCTCGTATACTCGTATTATTATTATGATAATAATTATACATTGTAGTCTAGATCGAATGGTTCAATTAAACACTCGTAGAATACAAATTGTATAGTAAAATCGGCACCTATAGCGCAGACGAGTAGGTTAGGTTAGATTAGGATCCGTATTGTTATTATTCGAGGGATCCCGATGGAAAAAAAAAAGCGATATCTTATCTGATCGTAAAGACAAATGTTTCGGTTTTACCGTGATGTGTCTTTGTACAGTTTGTTAACAACATTTCTATTAGAAATATTGCACCAATCGAAAGTATTATAAGAACTTTCTTGTAGCATTTTGGATCTAGCTGGTGTATTTAGGGCGTCATTTTTCGATGTTCCCCGTACTCATCTCAATAGTATTGTGAAAAACGGGAAATTTGTTGTTGATCTCACGAGATACCGTAAAATCACGACGCTACTCCGTTCAGAATCGTTTTTTCGTTTGGAATTTTTTTTTTTGAAAATATTTAATTTCAAATAAATATCTACCACATTTCAGCGAAGCTTGCTTTGGTGATAGAGAGTTGCATGTATACGTTGGCGTCGGCTATTGAGGTGCTGCGGTTGCTCGAGCACCTCATGTCCTATTCTATAGAATGCCGAGCATCACACGAAGTAATAAATATATATATATTATTTGGAATATATTTCGGTTATTTGATATATACCTACTCATAACGCATTATAATATTTATATTATTGTTGATGACCTCATCGGCCATTTACGTGGCTGAGCACCCCATGGAATTAGGGAAACCCGACCGGTGCCCACGGTTACACAGATACATACAATTACAAAAATGAATAAGGTATAAATTTACATTTGCATAAAATGAATACATCATACAAACCAAATTATCCGGTATATCGTTTCTTTCCAATTATCCTCCTAAAACAGTGGCTCACCCATGAACGGTATCACCTTTTTCTTCTCGAAATAATTTTCTTTTTATGTATTTTCATGTCATTTTAAGTGATGTTTTTATTTTGATTATTTTGCTTTATCTTTTGCTCTGTGATGTACAATACCACAGCCATTATCTCGATAAAATACGCATCTCAAAACCTTTAAAAACCCTGTAGCCCCGAATAATCGTAAAAATTCTATAGACAGCGCTTTTTTTTTTACCGATATTTTAATACGCGCATTATTGTCGGGCGAATTTTTCACGTACCTTTGCCTAATAAATTATACGAGTTGCTGGGAAAATTCACCGCCGAGATACTCACTGAATTACGATTGAACCCATCATTAGGCGCGAGGTATGAGTTTTGATAATATAGCGATTATATTAATAATAATATTTTGTAGTTATGACCGTGAATTTATGGTGAAGGTGTTGGGACCTATACCGAAAAAATATTTCAGATTTCATAGACGCGCGAAGACTTATAATCGTTCGATGTGTATGATCTGTTTCCTGAACGATATTTTAAATGTTTCGATTGGACAACATAACTCGCTAGATTCTTGTCCGCGTTCAGGACTTGCTGCAACTGCATATGAAGACTTATATACACGGTGCTTACGATCGTACGACCAGTGTTGTCACTTGACTTCGTCGGAGGCCCCTGGAAAACCACGGGCCCACAACAGATGAGGACCATAGTAGTGGCCTAGACCAGGGCATTATCGGACAGGTGAGGGTCGTTTTGAAAAATTTTTTTTTTTTTTTTTTGCTAATCAGTTAGGTTTTACCACGGGCATCGGAAGTTCTAGTTAAGCCACTGCTACGAGTGCGGATATAAAACGGCTTGCCTTATAATACAATTGTTATAAACAATATTATACTTACGTACGAGAACCTTTGCGATGACGGCGGATATCAGATACACGCCGACGGCCGAAAAAAAAAAAATCCGATGTCCGAATACGCGAATAACGATCGGAAAAGCGAAAACGTGACGGAATCGGAAACAGAAAAAAAAAAAAAAAAACAATGTCCGTGGCGTACCGGCGACGGACGAAATATCGCACGGCGACGAGAACTGCACGTGTACCGTTAACGGCGGGACCGCGAGAACACGACGGCGACGGCCAGTACGAAACGTCGGGACGGTGACGTGTTGCAGCGTCTCGTAGCGCGGACAAACATACTCGAGTGCATCGGTAAAACGGTGGCGACTCCGCGCGACAACCGGTGCGCGGCGGCGAACGGACCGCGAACGCTTTCCCTTTCTCTTGGCGCGGGTGCGACCGCGCGCAGAATCTGTGCGGTGGCGGTAATGGCGGGGCCGGTACCCGCGTACCGCGCAAATGTACAATAATAATAATATGTAACAGTAATAATTATTAATGTTATTGTAATATAATGTTGTATTTACTGCCACCACGCGGGTATCCATCGCGGCTTGTACCACGCGATCGTACTCGTTACGTCGTCGGCCAGTGTTGTTGTTGTTGTTGTTGTTGTTGTTGTCGTCGTCGCAGACGTACCCGACGGCGGAAACCGGCCTGTCCGCGCCGTGACCGCGCGTTGTTTATCGCGGCACGTCGGGCCAAGCGGCCGTCACGTGTTCCGGAGTCCCGGGGCGCCCAAACGTACAGACAGCCCACCGGTGGCGCGCCGGACGTTTGTTAAACCCGAGGCAAGGCAAAAGAAATTCAGGACCCACCCATCCGCCCGAAACACGGATCCTTATATTATGTCTTATAAACAATTTTTTTTTTTTTTTTACAGCAAAATCCTTATTCAGCTTGATATATTGATAACATCATATTATAAACTATCATGTTCGTATGTAGGTATGTTAATAATGTAATACACAAAACTACAGGGGCGTCTCTGATCTCTTAATTAGTTAATCTTAAATCTACAATCGACATATTTAGTTGCACACCCATCCGCTCATTACAGTTTTGAGGCGATTGCCTCAAAAAACCCTGCTTCGGCACGCCACGCCCATATCGCGTCTCGTGGCTGCTCGTGAATCCTGTCCCGAAATTATGAAACCCGACGGGACGCGCGCGTCCCCGTCATAGTCGTTTCGTCCTGGGAGTCATATTGATTACTCTGTACTCTGTACTATATACTTACTCTGTATTTTGAAAATAATAAACGAGAATATTCTTGGACATTTTCAGATGATTTTTCGCTTCAAGACGCTGTTAGTTTATCACAACATAACGAGTGTGTTTTCTTGGAAACTACATGTCCGTTGAATAAAACACTCCGATTTGTTATTCATGCAGTAACTAAACGTAGATATTTTAAAATATGCAGGATTCCACTCAGTGATTTGAAATGTTTTTTTAAACAGTTCAATCTTTTTTTTTTTCTGGAAAACACTTTTCAGTTAGTAGGATCCCTATGTTTAATGAACTTACTGACTTTCCATCAACTGTAGGAACTGCAGTGCCGCAATAACCAGGTACGTTACGTGTATCAAACCCACGTGCCTATGTCCTCAGCCTATAATGAGAGCTCAATGATAAATATTGAAACATTTATAAAAATAAAGAAAATAGACTTTTACCTACTTAAACTAAACTGTTTTAATACATTTTATTCTGAGCAATTACATGTGTATCTCGGGGGATGCAGTTTATTTTTAGAACTGAATGATAACATTTTTATGAATAGATGTGTGGGAGAGAGAAATATTTTTGAAATGTCGACAGGACATTTGATTCGGTGGAGACAATGTGATCCATTTTAGAGACATTTTGATCCGCCGAATCAAAATGCCATCCTATCCTTGACTTCGTGGGCTTCGTGAAAATTTGGTTGGGTTTAGTGAGTCCTAGGGAACGCATCTAAAGTTTTAGTTAATTCAGTTCCCGCTCTTGAAGTATTTCCCACTTTAATCACTGGTAACCACGGAGCGAAGTATATCGAACTCGTTATTTTTTGTTTTCAAGTCGTATATGGTGTTACAACACCCGAACTCTATTATAGGTACATACCTAATGTCATACATTTTATTGTGATAAATTTATTTAATTCGCATAATAGTAAACTGCCGTATAGGATATTATTATTTTCGAAATTACGTGTTTTTCGTTAAATGCGTATAATGGGTACCTATAACCTATCCCGTACTATTATATTTATTGCCGTATTATATTACCGAACGAGTATTACCGAAATTTATTACTATTAAGTCCGAAAAAATATTTTAATTGTCGTACACGATTTTTTTTGTATTATATTGTAGAAATCAATCGGTATTTAACGTGCGTGTTTTCGTGTGCGTTTTGTATTCAATTAATACAAACGGAATCGTATAAAGAGTGTTGCACGTTTACTGCTGATTCATATTTTTTCGGACAGGAATTCCGAAATAACCACGCGTTGCAATAAGTCGTTAGACCGTTTTTATTTTTATTATTTTTTTTTTTTTTTTTTTTTTTTGTATACGAATCGAACAATAATAATAATATTCAAAGAGCGCGTATTTTATTGTCGTCAGACTACACACGCGCATGGTTTTATAATAATAATAATGCGATTTCTTTAGAATTATTATACGAATTATATTAAACGGGTTGGACAACTCATTATTTTTATATTTTTATAGTGACGTATTACAAAAAAAAAAAAAAAAAATAGTTTTGTAATCTTATTTTTCAGTTGGGTCAAAATTACGTTAAAAAAAAAGTATTTAAATACGAATAAATTAATGAGTACATAAGAAAAAGTTTTAGGTATGACTTCGGTAGTATAGACAAAATAAGATAAAACAGACTGAGATGGTTTGGGCATGTCTGGGAGAGAGGAATCTGAAGTTGTAAGAATTGCAATGAAAACAAATGCAGGAACAAAGAGGTGGAGAGGAAGACCGAAAAGAGGAGGTTAAATGTGATTGAGAATGATATGAGGACAGTCGATGTATGTGAGGTGAGAGATCGGGTCAAGTGGAAGTTTAGAGGATGACGGTAGCTGATCCCAAATAGTTGAGATGAAGGCGAAAGAGAAGGAGAAGAAGACGATATTAATTACTTACACTGCAAATACGATTTTCATTAAAAAATATTCTAATAGTATCAATTGAAAATAGGTAATTTATAAACGAATTTACTTACTTAATTGAAATGTGAACGACTGATTATTAATTAACCAATAAAATCTACTGCAGAGTATTAATTATTCTTATAATATATAAATATGCCGTACTATGATTCTTATCAATTTTCAACTTTGTTTGTCTATTTGAAAAATAAACAATTATACACATTTTTTACAATATTCGAGTATTGTATAGTATTTAATACGAGTATTATGTTGTTATATTTAAAGTCAGAATATTTTAAAGGTATTTAAAGACTGATATGGGACTTTTGAGTTCTTTACAGCCACGATCTTAGAAGGTATAAAATTTGGATACTGAATATCTCCTCTGTATTAATTATTTGCGTTCGTTTAGATAGGCAATTTTAGTTCATTTTTTACGTTATATTCTAATGTCTAAAATGTACGCATTTTTTTTTAAATCTAGGCAATAATTTTACATATAAATGTTTATAAATAAATAGCAATATAATTATTTATTTAAATTAGTTATAATTATATTAGTTTTCAACCCGTTTTCAAGATGAATTATCGCATCGCCCCCTCTTAGTTCCAGCCCTAAAAATTAGTATAATAAAACTGCCTCTCTTAAGCAACCGCGTTTTATAGCCCAGTGTCTCGACCTTATTTTCGAAGACCGTGGTTACAATACTGTAATATAATTATTATTAAAATTCTATAAAATGGTTCGGCTACAATATTAAAGCACACAACACGTCATAGAATCGTTTAAAACGCCTCATTTGTCGGATAAATCGTTAAATGGATAGGTACTGGGTACTTACACATTATAATTTAATACAATAACACGATGTTATTAACATCATCTACGCACAGCTGATAAAATTTATAATTTATAAATAATTTACACGTACGCTAGTCATTTCGAGTGTAGTATTCATAAATTGCATTGCATTCATAATAAAAACCGTACAAAAGTTATTTTTTTTTTGTCGACAACTAATACTTAGGTACGTCACTTTCAGTTACTAATCGTATAATTTAGAGTTTTCTCGCCGTTTTGTCTTATACCTATGACGGCTGTCAGCCGTATTATTTTGTCTTCCCTGCAGTTGACGGAACATGATTATTATTATAATACGATTTCAACTATGTAAATCGCGGATAAATAAGAACTGATAATAAGAAATAGGTACATAAAGTAAACGTTGGATCCGCAATGGAAATCTAGTTTGATAATTCTAAATTTCGGAACAAAATGCAACAATAAACTAATAATTTCAAACTGCAGATAAGTTTTAGAATGTGTATTTGTGGAATTTTTACTTAACATCACTAAATTTTGGAAGAGACGTTCTAAAATTCTTAATTTTATTAAGGAAACGGAAACTTTCTAAGTTTGAAATTGTCTAGAACTACCTACTTGTTGTATTACTTGTGCTAAAACATCTATACAAAATAATTTTTGGGCTGAAAAAAAAAATATCAATTCTATATATAATTGAATGTGTTATGAACAATTAAATATTTTTACATTTTATTATTATATTTAGTAACGTAGCCAAAAAAAAAATTTAGGAGAAAAGAGCACTTCATTTTTTTATCTAGTGTTTTTGTTAAACTAGGATACTTATCACCTGTTATTTTATGATTCCCTTATTCCCTTATAACTTATTCTGTATACCCCCTCAGTTTTGAGACAATAACAATAAACAACATTCGAAACTTATTGAAAATATAAATAAAAATTCAATATATCGATGGCGACACGGCAAAAGGGTCTAAGTGACACAGCTTCACTATTGGATGGAATAATACGTCTATTACGCGTGAACAAAAACAGCTGTGACCTTTATTTAACGAATAATTTAAATTGTTTATAAAAGTTATTTATTTTGTCTTCTCAATCATAGGGTCTAAACGAAAATAGAAGCTAATCGACAATGCGTATTCATATTAAGCACATACAAAAAAAAAATAAGTATTCAATGAAAAAATTCCTATTCCAACCGAAAAAAAGTTATTGCAAACCTGAAAAAAAAAAGGTTGAAATCACTAATAAATGCTTTTGATTCTCCTGAAAACTATGAATTGTGTCGCTTAGACCCTTTTGCCTTGTTACCATCGATATATTGAT